TTGATGTTCGATCGGACCGATCAACAGATTTCTGTCTGGGATTTGATTTCTTGGATTCAGATTTCATAATTCTAGATTGTTGAGATCCGAATCTAGTCAGATTCTCCAGAAGAGATATCATTATGATTCGATTGTTGAGATCCGAAATCGACCAGATTCCATCTCCAGGGGAGATAATCTCGGATCAGGTCAAAGATACAATGAATTTATTATCGTGATGATTCGATTATCATGATGATTCGAGATGTTGAGATCTGAATCTTATCAGAAGATATATGATGATTAATTTCCTTGTGCCTCTCCGAATTAAATTTCGATATTAATCTATTTTCAAAATTCAATAATTGTCATGAATAATAATCTTTTTTTCTGGTCATGCAAGTTGTTCTTGGAGTGATCCGAGAATATTCAATGTTCAATATTCTCAGAATCATCTTGGAATTTGAATGTATCGATCAAAATAATGTTGTTTGTTGATTGTTGTTTGAGGTTATAATTAATCGGTATCGGTTGAGAGGTGGTCATTCCATTCTTTCTTCTCATGTGTCTATGAGTATATGATTTGGTGAAATTTATATTCCTCTGATTGACTCAATCATTTCGAGATCTGATTATTGTCTAGCAGTGATAGTTAGGTATCCATCCTATGAATGTACCTATCATCTATTCCTCTGTCTCTGAGACAGATTGAATCGCTATTCGTTCCTTATTTCATTTCGGTCGTCCCCCCCCCGTAGGTTAGCAATGAATGATGGATCCATCAATGAAGACGGACATAACATAGGGTTTTTTTTTGATTTTGTCTGAAAGAGATTGTCGTTTTTCGGTAAGGGATAAAATGTTGTGAGCGAGTCTGTCGGGGGGGGGAGGGTCCCGATTGGCACCCCTTCAATTTTGCAAATTTATTTTCGACCGGAATTAGAATGGAAATTCGCCCGGACCAGGCAACACCTTACAAACACAAAAACATCGCACCACCACAATCATGATCTCCCTACAACCATAATCACAAATGAGATCGATGGAGTCAACTGCTAGCCTCTGCACCTATCCTTCCACTTTCGAATCTTTGCGCTCCTGTTCTGACTCTTTTTCTTTTTTTTTTTCGGCCCAACGGAATAATTTTTCTGCAATCACATTACCACAATCAAACAGACGAAATATACAGGACTCATCGTCTCACTCACCTCCTCACTTCACCACTGTTCTCGGATTCTTTCCCCATCCAGATTCTCGATCAATTTCGATATATCATCAATCTGTGGATCAATGTCAACACATTCTCAGACTCTTCAGATCGCCAAAATGAAAAAAAAAATATCTCCGAAATCGATAAAAATCGAAATCCTCAATCTTCGCCGGATTTTGGTCCTAAGTAACACTTTTGGGCCGAAAAAGCTACTCTTTTTTTGAAATTTTTTAAAATTTTCGAAAAGGGTAGCGGGGTTGATCTTGGGTCGCAATGGGATGAAACAAAACAAAAAGCCGCCGCGCCTCACGGGCTCGGTATGCCGCAGGGGAGCTCGGGAGACAGCGCGCAGGCCTGATGGGCGCGGCTGCTCGACCAGGCGGGCTCTCAGGTGCTGTCGAACTGAAACGAAGAACCAACTTCCTTCCCATGTGGCCAAGAAAAATTTCAAAAAAATTTCGATTTGCCCAAGCAAAAAAAGTTTGAATTTGAGCGGATAGAATGTCGATAGGTGCGAAAAAAGAACAAAAAAAATTTCGGAAAATCGGCGACATTAGCAAAATCCCATTAGTTTTTGCAAATTGCCCACTTTCTGAAATTTTTTTCAAGTTTGCTTTTTGCGCCTCTTGATTTTTGCCGGATTTTTTCAGATTTTTTTCTGAAATTATTCCTGGCCAAACCATTTTTGCCGGATTTTTTCAGATTTTTTTCTGAAATTATTCCTGGCCAAACCCAAAGAGAAATCTTCTGTGCCGGAAATACGCCACAGACCGTCCGACCCTTACTCCCCGGCAACAGAAGGCGTAACTCCACACGGACTCACCACTCTGGGCGCTCATCACCAGGAGCGAACGCCAAGAGATACGGACCACCCACGCGGGCAAATATGCAACATTTACGCCGGGCCCTCGCTCTTCTGACAAAGAAACAGGGGCGAGAACAGGCCCGGGAGCTGCCTCACAATGGTCCGGCCGTCGGGAAAGCTAAAAAAGCTCAAAAGTTGGATTTTGTTCCTGCACTATGTGGATTCTTCGAAGTTTTTTGCGTTAGGACGGAAATCCTGCGAGTCAGTCTATCAATCAGCTTTGATATCCGGTATACAATCTGAACCGATCAACGAAAACTAAATGCAAAGAACTAAAAGAGAAAAGATCTTTACTCTTCGAATGTCATTTCTCTACTTTATCATCTTTATCGTTTAAGAGAATTGGATGATGAGAATGAAGAAAATAAGACTGTCACTTTTCTACTTTATCATCTTTATCTTTTGAGAGAATTGGATGATGAGAATGAAGAAAGTGAGACAATCTCGGACAAGACCAAAGCGACAATTTGAATCATACCCATACATGACAAGAAAGAAAGAAACATGGAGGAAGAAGCCGATAACTATTTTCTCGATTTCCGATTTCCCATCTTGGGGATCCCGATTCGAGAGAATGATGCCAACAGATATTCGATATAGTTTACAACTCCTACAAAATAAAACTCATTTGAACGACATGGAAATAAACTCAGAAACGAACACACAATCTTATTCGAAAAATAGAAAATCGAATTCAAAAAATGCCCATATATTTGAATGATTCCCGACCGGGATTCCGAGAGAAAATACGTAATGAATAAAAAATTTTTCTAAAGTCTCCGGATGGATGGAAAGCTGCAAAATCTTTTATCTTCATAAACTAAATGCATTCCCGTTAACGCGGTCGGACACGCATTATAATGAGCGCGACAAACTACAACTGGCCTGCCTTTTTATTTTGCCAAGCATCTCCCTAGCACGGCCCTGATGGGACACCAAAAAACACAAAGAACGATCACCATCATACTCATAACAATGGACGCCCGACCATGCTAACTAATACTTTACACATATGAAACCTTTCTACATTTGCCACCCATGCTCGATGGAAATTCAAAATAAATCAGCGAAACGAGGAACCTATCCTGACCCGATTTCTGATGGGATTCGATCACTCATTCGATCAAAATAATCTCCCTCCGATTGGATTGCTGACGCGATTCGGTGCAAAGCGGATAATCTATCCTGATTCTACCTCGGATCCCCCGACGAGAGGGAAAGAAGGACTCGATGAAAAAAGTGAAACACTGACACTATGACTCGAGATCCTCGATAGGATTCGACACAGAATGGATGAAACAATTGCTGGGATTCGACAAAAAGAAGACGAACCTACTCTGATTGCGTTTTTTTTTCCTGTTCTCATTGCATTTATAATTTGCACTCCCTGCGTAATTTATTCCCGATCGGATTCGAGATAGAGCTGCTATGTCCTCCCTTGATTCCCGATGGGGTTCGATGGAGCAAACAGATAAAATGCATTATGGTTCTGATTCGGATGCCCGATGGGATTCGATCCGGTTCAAAGTAAAGAAGCAGACACGTCTATCCTGGTTCGCGGGGGACTGCGTTGAGAAATCTCAGATGACAAAGATCTCCCGCAGCTGGATCGATTCCCTTCTCAACGATCGAATTTGGACAAATCGAACTCATGCATAGCTATTTCATGTCATTACTTTTATCATCAAATGAATCATGTCGGGAGGGGCTTCCTTGCTGGCAAGAAGCAGCTGCTCGCGGGCCGGCGGGCAGCCCGGCGGGCAGCTCTTCCTGCCGAGTGATGCCTTTCTAAATGGAACGCGGGCCCTACTTCGTTCTTCTAAATGAAGCCGCTCCAGGTCGCCCGCCTAGATGCCGACTCTCAGCTCCGTCCGAACCGCCTGCGTGGCAGGCTGATAACTAAGGCCCACTTTTTGGCCGCCCAATGCGCGAAAAGGACCACTTCTAACGCCCCCGCACCCCAAGCGAGAGGGCATCCGGGGAGCGCTTCGACAGTCAGCTGTCTCTTAAATTCCTGAAGGGAGACTACAGGACTTACCCAACTAGAAGTCTCTGGAAGGGGACTAGCAGTCTGTGGAAGGTGCTTTTCGCGCCGGAAAGTCGGACGCGCGGCGTTGCTAAAACGGCGTCGCCAGGCTCTGCAGAAGCCCCTCGAGCTGGCCAGCGCACACCCAAAGGCAAAGCCCGACCACACCACCACACGCAGGATGCCGAGCTTGCGTAATCGGGAGGACCCGCCACGTTCGACGGAGCATCAACGCCCACCCCCACCCTCGGATGATGGGGGTAAATCAAAACTAACCGCGCCTGCGCGCAGCATTGGAAAAAGGTCCGGGCTTCTATGTTTTGACGTTTCAAAATCCGGCTCTAATGGAAGGCGAGAGACGGGCGGCGAAGTGCGCAGTGAAGAGCGCGGCGGCAAGTGCGGCGGGGAGAAGGGGGGGGGGGGGGGGGGGGGGGGGGTGGGGTGCGCGCCTGCGACGAAAGGGCGCGAAGCGGCCCGTGCATCCTTCCGGCCGGGGCAGTAGCAAGATAAACCACGAGCCGGCCGGCGCTTCATGCGCTTTTTAAAGTCCCTGCCTGTGCCCTCCTGTCGCCGCTTCAGCGGTCTTTGCAGGGAAGGGATTTCTCCGTGTGATCAACATTTGAAGCCTTTCGCAGGCCGCAAGTCATTGCCATCATCTAGCCTGCGCGGGGTATTGTGGATACAGAGGGGGACATGTCAAAATGTTCACTATTATCGGTAAAAAAACTGCGCGCTTGATTCTGAAAAGCATTCCATGAGGATCCGCATCAGACCGACGGCGCGGAACTCGATACTTCAGGGCGCTTTTGCCCCGAGCTTTCAAACGTCAGCTGTGGTTGTCGCAGAGTCAGCATAGCGCACAGCAAAATAAACAGACGCTAGGATACGGGACTGCTTCACCACACCTCAGCCTGGCAACCTCAAGAACTGCGTCTGCTTGGTACGACTATGACACGCAGACCTGCTTTTTGTACAGAACACAGAAACGCCTTTTAACAATGCCCAGTGTCCATTTTGACACAGGCATCTTCGCCTTCCAATCCTGGCGCAATCATCTGCATGTAAAAAGAAAAAAAGCACACTTCAAGCTTGCGGGCAACATGGCGTCGAACGCATCTCTCATAGAGGAATATTGAGCACGAAGCGCTGAACTGATATCCTTTGCAATCAAGTTACAAATGATTCGATGGCTCCTCTTTCCCACTCAGTTAAGTGAAATCATTCGTCATCCTCGTCCTCGTCCTCCTCATCGAGCGCCTGAACAGCAACTGTGTCCATCTCACGCTGCCCCTCCGGCGTGATGCGACGGCCCCCGGTCTTTTCGTCGATCTCGATAATGCCGATCTCTTCCAACTGTGGTTATCGTTGTAAGTTCAAATAGAAGAAAACAATCACATACACATACACTCTTATAAGTGACGGCGCGCACTCTTACTCATGCAAAAATATGCCGTCCCGGTCCCCGTCCTCTAAGCCGCTCAGATGAAAAGACGATTTATCATCTACAACTCTTTCTCTGGGGAGAAGAAAACACCGACGAAGCAAAGCATTTGTACCTGCTGCATGCAGTAGCGGATGATCTTCCCAGAAGACTTGCGAAAATGACTGGTGCACGTTCCACGGCGCTGTTGACCTCCGTAAACCTTGCGAAAGGCGCCAACACCGGAGCCACCTGCCGAGTGTATCGAATGAGGATTCAAATGCGAAGCTCGAGAATGGAACCATTTTATGACACACCGATTGGACCATGGAATAATGCAATGTGGGTGTGAAGATGAAACCATAATATAAAAATCAAAGGGCAGAAAGATGACTATATGCTTATACCTCGGTTATACACATGGCGGGCAATAGACGCCGCTCGAATGTAAAGCCAGTCCTGATCCATAGGCGGCAGCTCCCGAGATACGCCAGTCTTGACGACGTCAGCCCAGGGCGGAAGCTCAAACTTCCCTTGCCGCTTCATATGCTTCGCCAAGGCGGTGATAAACTTCTGCGCCTTGACATCCTTCACGGTACAAGCGCGCTCCGCGCCGAAGAGATGGTCGAACGTAGTGGCCATTGTTTCTTTCTACTGCAGAAAATCTTTAGATTTTCATTTTTCCCTGTACACAACAAATTGAACAAAATCATGTTCAGAAAGGAATTGCAACAAGACATGATCCTCAAATTTTCATTTGTCAAAATGATCCGGCGGAGTTACGATCCAACCTCTTTTCGGAAAAGATGTGACTAGCCAGAATAACGTCTATTTCTCTGGATCACTTAGGCGGACAATTTTCTTGACAATGATGCTTTTGTGAAGATCGGTTGGATTCTGAATTTCGGGATCACGCTTGAGAAAATAGATAACACCGCGATCTGGAGTAGTTTGCAAACGAAAAATATGTCGAATTTATGCATGCGTCATCGAAGTAGGCGAGTCCGATTTCAGTGACTACACAAAAATCAGCTTCGGACTTCGGTGCAAAGTAATTTAAAGATCCAGAGCCCAGGATCAAGCAAAAAAAGATTTGGCTGAGCAGAGGAGCCTCAGGATTGGATATTTTAGAAAGGGCACCCTAAGTGCGCAGGCAGGTCCTCCAGATTGGTAAGGCTGAGCGGACGTGCCAAACGGGAAGAGGACTGCTGGCACGCGAGAGCGACTACATACCGCCCTACCTCCACAGCCGACCGACCTACTCCGTCGAGTTACCCTCGCCATGATCCTACGGAGCGCTACCACGAGTACGATATAAGTAAGTATTTGCTTCGTACTACCGCTACCAGCTTTCTACATCGTGAGCCACTCCGGAACTGTTCTGCATTGCCCATGGTGATTGCGTTGCTATCGTCATCTTCGTCAGTGACTTGATTGTAACGCGTGGATCCTGCAAGTATGTATGATCCAATCCACCTAGAGGCATCACAGAATAACTCGAAACATTGATCTTGCAGCATGGAAGTGTGATGGACTGGGCGCAGGGCATGCCATATGCCCAGAGTGTGCCAGACATGCGGAGTGGCCCGATCCGAGTACTCAATTGCATACCGCGGCCAGCCTTTTTCTGGCATATTGCACTCCCGTGGCGGTAAGTGCACGCAGAAGAAATCACACAGCGCATACGTGCGGCGTTTTCTGCCTTGTAGCACATTTGGAAAGTAGTGAACTAAGAGGTGGAGGACAGGAGATCTGACATTCATCATCATCATCATCTATCCTGTTAACAATTAATGAGCATGAATGGAAACTGCACCTTCATTTTGATCTTTACACGACCTCGTCCGCAAACAAAGTCTTCCGCTTTCGCGATCATCAAATTTAGATCTTGCGTTTTTGCAGGGCAGACACACCACTTCTTCTGCGTATCAATCCGTGATTTACTGCCTTGCGTCCCGCCCGAGGTCTGCATCTAGGCCTAAAACTGTACAAAAATACATCCACTTTTTAAAGTTCAAATGCCCGATAATTGTGGTACCAGTACCTATTCCAGCACGATGTCCGCCCCTCTTCTTTTCAAGTAAAACACAGGAACAATAGCACCTGAGATGATGCCGCACGCCTTCCTGAAACAAAAAAAACAACCAAAAAAATCCAAATCATATGCCCCGGTCTGCATAAGTACGCGTTCGAAACTTGCTGTGTGGAGTTCTGTGCAACGTGGCAGGCATAGCATTACTAGGCATTCAATGTAGCCCATGAGGGCGGCCTGAGGCTTACGCGACAAATGTGCCGGTCGGCTCTTCTATTTTCGAGAAGCATCACCTACATTGGCAATGTCAGCTTCCTTTGGAGGCTCGAAGTCTCGACTATAAGCAAATCAATCTATTCAATAAGTATAAAGACAAAGTACAACCAAGCACAAGTATATCAGAGCTAAAGCGGCGCCAGAAGCGAAGCGAGCTACAACTCGCTTCTTCGTTCCCAGTTCCGACAGACAAATATGTACGGCAACAGCAGGGGCCTGCCCGCAATTAATACGGAGAGCGAGCAACTTCGTTTCCGACACCCCCCGCGCCCGTCGTGGTACTTGTCGACGGTCCACAATGGTAGTTATTCGCTAAGTTTTGTTGCTGTTGGTTCGCCACACTGCCGGTAGTCGGCACGGAGAATACCGAGAAAAATCTTGCTCGCCAATTCGAGAGAACACGCACCCACTTATCTACCCAGTGGCGCTAGCCATGACGCTCCCCCCTCCCGCTGCCAGCTCAATACCTGGCAGGCGCCTTGGAAGCCTGCAGGCCCACGCGCGCCCTGTGCCTGCCTGGTATCCCATTGCTTTGCTAGCCCGCATCGCCCTAATCGTTATCATGATGTACGCATACGCTGCCTGTCTGATAGATTTGAATTAGAAAAACTATCGCCCTAAATGCAGCTACGCGCCCGCGACCGGCGGCGATGACTTGCCCACGCGAATACAGGCGGCGGCCCTGGGACTTCCACAGCTGCCACACTTCTCTTGTGGGCGCCCGACGAACTTGTTTTCTTCGTGGCGCGCGAGCGACGGCTGGCTCATTCGCTTCCCACCCTTTGCTTTTCCTGTGCAGGCTGCCGCGCCTGTGCAAATGGAGCGCCTCTCGAGTTTTCTTTTTGCGCCAAAAAGAGTCCGCCCTGTCTATTGATGTGCTAGACAGTCGGGATGCGCGGCGCGCTCCGGCGATTTCCTCGCCGCTCGTCCGAGTCGCCTGCTTCCCGGGGGCGACCCGGAATGGTCCCCACTTGGAAGGAAAGCGCGCGGAACTGCAAGACCCCCCGCGACTGCGATGTCTGCGCCGGGGCTGAAAACTTCCCACCCTTAAGAGGCGCAATAAAGCGGCGCTCGCGGGGAAGCCTTGGCGTGCTCCGTTTTTCCGGATCGCCTCGCGTGCCACCGCTTCTACAACTCCCGAGCGCCAAAATTGTCATTGGTCATGGAAATTCTCGCAATGACATCACTCAGCGCGCCACTTGCACTTGAGTTCCCCCTTGCTCGCTGTTGCATTTTTACGCTATTGCCCATCGTCCAAACAGGTTCCTGAACCACCTAAAGGCAGTGCAATCCCGAGGGAAATGCACAAGCGGCAGAACATCTGAAAGGGGAGTTTCAAGAAAAGCAGAGACGCGCGCAGGTGCTTGGGCGATACATCGGCGCGGTAGGGTGCAGCCGAGGCCTCGAGTATGGCACCGCCCTCTTCTTGGCATGAAGCTTTTTCCGGCGCTCAAAGAAGCGGTGACATTGCTGTAATTCGGCCAGAAACCGATCTGGTTCGTAATGGTTTGGTTTTGACTCGGAGCCGCCATGTCTTGGCCGGGTGCTGTATGCAGGCGAGAGCTACCGTTGCAGTGCTGGATAGTATACTAGTACTACTAATACTGAACGAAGCCAATCAGAAATTGAAGCTGGTGAGGCATGTGCGATTAATCGAGCGCTTCCTGATACCGAGGAGAGGTGGGTGGACCCACCCTGGGGAGGCTGCATGTGGCGGGCCTGTTCTGAATCGGCATCCCGACGGCGTGCCGCATTGTGCGCTTTCGTTTTTACGCGCCCACATTTTTTCACAAGAAGCGCTGCGCTGAGTGGTGCCTTGCTTCGCTTGAGCGCTGAGTGGTGCCTTGCAAGTGAAGTAGGAAAATCTAAAGCAGGGCCGAGACGTGAAAGAGGCTGCGCAACAAGCAAAAACTAGGTATTTGAAACGGGAACAGTGGCGCCGGACAAAAATTGTGCCTGCGGGTCTCGTCGCTGTCGTGTACCGAAAAAATGCAGCTGATTTTCCTTGCGCGCAGCGCATCCTACTGTAGGATATGAAGAATTTTCGGCGCGCACAACGCGCGGGGCAACTTCCTTTCTGTGGCTGCGCTGCGGGCGCGAAGTGCTGTGCTTACGTGCTGCGTGCGCGGCCTTGCCGCCCACTATTTGGGACGTGGGAGATCTTCTGCGCGCGCCACCCACACGGAATTCCCCTACCTCCAGGCAGCGCCTGCGCAACGGGAGAAATTTTCTCTGCGCGCTTGACTTCGTGCCCGGCACGATTCGAGCAGTTTTTTTGTACGTGCTGTGTCCTGCGCGAGGGTGTTGGCTAAGCTTTTGGGGCACGGAAGGAAAATGCTCCACCCACGAGACACGTCTACGCACGGCCTTGCCTCAAGTCCAGCGGAGCGCGAGCGCCAACGGGACGAGCTCGCGTTACGGAAAAATTTTGTTCCTTGCGCTGCGCGTGCGGCAAGGCCCCTCCGAATCGAAATTAGGGCTCGGGAAAATCTTTCTTCGTGCGCCACCACCGCGTGCACGACCATTGTAAATCTTTTTTTTCCTCCACGCAGGGAAAAACAGAATCCTCCCGTGCGCGTGCCATCGCTGTTGCACCCGTTCGGCCTGGGAAAAGCTCCCGCGCCTCACCAGCGCGCAATCACGCATCCCAAATATCAATGATCCTCGGAATGAAGAATTGCGAGCACGACAATTGAACAAGTTGGAATGTTTTTATTGAAGAGGCCCGTCCCTCCCAGCAACGTTGATTCGGCACAGCTTCTTCTAGGTGACCGATCGCACCGCACCCCCCTTCTCTGCATTGAGAAGGAGGTCGAGTAATCGTGCGGGCGGCTCATATAAGTGATACAGCTCGTCGCGCATGGACAGGGCCGCCCTTCCGGCGCATCCATGGATCCCCGTGGGGAGCGCTGAATAAAGGAAAGCGAATAAGGGTCCGTTGTGAGCTCAAGCTAGGAGGTACAGGTATGTAAACAGCCATCTAGTGGCAAAGATAAAAACACTAAAGACACGACGCGTCAATTGTAGTGGTTCGGATGCCGATTCCGCGAACGGCATTACGCTTGCGGAGGGCCTATCTTGTCACAAGCTGTAGCGCTCCCACTTCCATACGCTGAAACAGACGACATCGCGCGTTGCCCGCCGGTCCTATGAATGACAAACTTGTCGGCGTCAGGGACGAATGGCAATGAGTCGCACTCTGAACAAGTACGGCCTTCTCATCCCTACGGGAATGTCCTGCTCAGGTGTTATAATCATGCATATAATCACGAATAATAAAAAGCTCAATGCTGCAAGACTTGCACTGCTCTAACATGATGCAGGCACAAGGAGCATGGCCTGCCTTTTGAGCAATAGGCGTCTTCCCTGCAGACGCCGACACATTTGCAATTTGTAGCCTTCGCCCTGACCGGTCTGCAGTAGCTGCCCGTAATCTGAGGTGCACAAACTCAATGAGCTTTACGTTTAGTTTTTTGCGCCTCCGCCTAAATATATAAACTCAAACTGGCTAAGACGTGCACGGCCCTTTGTTTTTTGACACATGGGTGCGGCCTACCGTGGCGACTCTCTTGACTTCCTCGCCCATCTGCGCCCTCGCTCGGCTTTTCGTTTTTCATCTTTTCGGCTGCAGTGGCGATTTCTTTGCATCTACTTTCGCTTTGTACTTGTCGGCGCTTTGTTCTTCTGCTTTTCCTTTTCTCGTTATCGCTTCATATTGTCTTCGAGGAGAAATGAGACAAGAAGGCCAGCGCCTCACACACCCGCCCCCCCCCCGCACAGGCGAGACCATTCCGACCAGTCGGCCTGTCCTCAACAGCTCGACATGTTTAGTGGAAGGGTTTCGCTTCGAGACACGGGGAGGGGTTTGGCTCGTCATTGCCGATCGCGTGCTAACTGGTTTGTTTCGTGGCCTGTGGGCCTTTTTACTTTTCTCTTCGCCGGGATCCGGATCAGAAAAAAATCGAAGCACCGGCGGAGGCAGCAGGTTTCAAGTAAGATGTCAAAAAAATTTATCGCATTCGGCTGCGATCTTCCCCCGCTGACGTTCCGGCTTCATGTGTCAAAGGGAGGCTTCGCCGCGTTTTTCTTTTTATATTTCGTTGGAAAATAATCCGCGAGGCCCCGGCCGCCGATCTTGGGGGCCATCCATAACTCAAAAAAAGCCGCCGCACTCAAATTGAAATTAAGTAAAAGCAGAAGCACATGAGATTCGAACTCGTGTGCTATCTGTCGCATGCGCATTCAAAAGTTAATTTAGCTTCAAATAGATACTCGATACGTGTTTGTTGCATGAATTGCGATTGGTTTGTCGCTTGTTGCTGCATCATCAGATTCGGGTTCAGCTGGTTTACTGACGGGACCATCCTTTGGGGAGATTTCATATGATTGAAAGAACCTCGTGGAGCTTGCAAGGTCGGTACTTTTCCGGGTAATCCGGATTGCAATCCGGCTGCTGTTTAAATTTGGTTAGGAAATCAATCCGATTCATTGCAATTCACCGCTGTTCTGTCGTGTTTCGAAGAATCTTTGTACTTATATTCATAACTAGACTACTACGCCGGAGTCCAGGACGCTGGCGATGGGGCGTCTAGTAGAATTCAGCTGCCTATCAGGATGGGCTGGGGTCGTCCACCATTGGAACAGAAGTCAAGGAGTGGCCCGTCGACATTGTGTCGGCCCTGGGCGCGCACTGGTTCGCGGTGGGTCTCGTTCACGATCGCGGCGGACCCTGGTCGACTGACCCTGGCCCTACAGTGTAAGGCTGAAAAAAACCAAAATGCCCCCACTTGAAATCATATTTCCATTTTACTTGTTCATAGATTTAGATATCGATATTGTCTCAAGATCCTTTTCCCCATGCCGACGTATGACCACGTCGCCATTCCGACCGAAGACAGCAAAATTTTTTTTATGTTGTTGAATACCTGCGCCCATTGACTGCAACGCAGCTGCTGCAGCGATATCTGCAGGACTGTACAGTGTGTCTAGGAAGGAAAAACCCCGCCCGCCAGCGAGCTCCGCTTCTCGTCCAACCAATTCGATTCCATGCAGAACCACAAATTGGGATCTTCGCTTCGAGGATACGTCTGCGCCTGAGGACAACTCTATATCACCTCCTCATCATCTCTGCGACTTCTACTCAAAAAAATTATTCGCAAGGAACTAAATTTCGTTAACTTCAAGGTGCTCGAACGCAGGCACTTGCTGTTGCTTTTGCTTCGATAGCATGGACCCATACGCTATGCTTTGCTGTAAGTTCAGTAGACTCGCGTAGTCGTAACCTGTGGAAGTGTTGTTTGTTCTTGGCACAATCAAGTAAGTACTAGTCTCACTTATCCGCTGCGTCGCATCACGATGGCGACCTACAGGACGCGTCTCAGTGATGATCTTCTGTGCGACCGACACGGACCGCGGCAGCTCGTACGAAAAAACTAGCAAAAAAAAAGATACTGCTGCCCCCACTGTTGCTGTAACCCGCTCCGGATGATCCTGCACTTTGTGCTCCGCCGTGCAGCGCGTCGGACCTACTATGGAAGCTGCCTGCACTAGGCGTGTTAAGCATCGCTTTCTCGTGGTCTTCCATACCCTCCAGTAGAACCGGGAACCGTTTTGCGAGTTTTACTGCTAGTCGCTGTGCCTGCTCCGGGGCAAGTGTGGTCGCTGTTCTGCGCGGTATCGGTGCATGGGACGGCATTTCTCCCTCGAGCATGTGCCGCAAAACTGATCAATGTAATCGCGCGTGAGTTTGTGTTTGGATAGTCAGCCAAAAAAAAATGCAAATCGTGGAAGCTAACATGTGTGTTCGCGTCTAGGTAAGCGAGAAATCGCGGAAAAGAAAAACGTCGGCGGTGCTGCAGCTTCGGCACCGCGCTGGAGGGACACCCAGAAACATGACACGGGGATGATTTCAATTTCTTCTTCTACCGACTGGGTCGAAGGGGGACTAGCGCAGAAGCCACTTGCTGGGCGTTCTGATTTAGAGAGGGGGCGTCGCCTGACGCATAGCCCTACGGTGAATGTATATGTAAGCTAAGCGCTTGCACTTAGGCTTAGGTTTGTATTGCAATTGCATTGCAGAGCACAAGTGGCAGCAACAAAAAATACTCGGTCCTGAAGGCAAGCGAGCACTATCAGCTTTTGCTTAGCGTACTGTCTAAGTTCCTCTTCGTGTGGTGACTGGTACTAGTTTAGCTCTCGTAGAATTACGTGCTAGCGTATGGCGTCCTACTCCATCACTGGCAGTATGAAAATAAGGATCAGTTGCGTGCTGCTCGCTCCTGAAGGGGAGCAGGTGACTGTTAAGCGCGCCACTAGAGTTCCAGTTCCTGGGACGTCTAAGCATTTAAAAAATTGCGTCCCAACAGATTGCCACCAGCGCAAGACTAAAAATAAAAGTGCCCGCTTTGATGTCAAGCAGCTAAGTTCTTTGGGGAGTTGCCGCAGATTGGTTGTGCCGGAGCTCTTTCTATCTTTGGGGTCTTCACACGTGCCCGTGGTGAAGCTGCCAGCATCAACATCACAGTCACAAGGTCCTGATTACAAAAGCCTCCCGCGCATGCCCGTCCTTGCGTACAACAGATGCATGCGGATGCCACCAGAATTTTGCCAGGTACTAACTGACACTGAGCCTCCTCTTCTTACCCTTCCTGGCGACTCCGTCGCTCCCGAAGCTTTGGCGATGGCACGCAAAGCAGGCCGACGGGAATCACCGTCAACCGCGAAGTTACACCCGGCACCGCCCAGCTGCCTTTTTCATAATTCCCTATCCCCACCTTCTAAGCCCTTTGTTGCTTATCTTTTCGGATTTGTCGCTGCGCTTTCTTTAACATTTTTAGGGGTTGAAAGAATTAAGTTTTTGGTCAAGGTTTTGATTTGCGATTTTTCATTTTTTTTCTCATCGCTCTGAATGGAAAAGGAAAGCGCAGACCATCCAGCCGAAAAAGCTCGCTGCGCCGATATCAACATCTCGGCCGGTATCCAGACCAGCAGAAGCCGGGCAAAATGGAGGCCGCGCGCTTGCTGCTTCCAACCTCTCCCCCGGGTGAATACGATGAAGCCGCGGCGGCATTTTTCTCGGCTTCTGCTGACCTGGACTGCTGGCCAAGATATTAGCCTCGGCACCTCCCCAGAAGAACCCCAGACGCATGCCATCCGCCGCGAGGTATTTGGGGCGCCGGGCTGCTGGCCTGGCTTCTCCGCCCCCAGATCTCATCCTGCGGTGGCGCGTAGCGGGGTCCGGGGGAAGAGGCTGAGCAGCTGCGGGCTTGCCCGGCTGGAGGTTTGGCCGGGTCCCGGTTGCCGCCAAGGCGGCAAGTTCTCGGCTAGGCCTTTTCATGACAAAAGCGCACCAAAATGGAAGCAGGTTCTGACTTTTTCCGGGAGCTTTCCCCAGACTAACGCTTGCGCCTTTGCCCTTGCCCTGGCCCCCCCCTTTCGGCCGAACTTGGTGGCCTAAACTGGGCCGACACGGGCGCCCATATCTTGGCCTGGCGGCCTGCCTTTTCCTGCGAGTTCCCTGGAGCAAATGGCAGGGCGCCCGGCTTCTCTGCCCCCGCATCTCGTTCCGCAATCTTGCGGGACGCCGTCCGGAGGCAAAGGTAGAGCACCTTCCTGGCCAGCCACAGAGATGCTTGTCCCTGTAGTGGCTGCCGCCAAAGCGGCAAGGTTTTGGCCAGGGTTTTGCTCAGAAGAGGCTCACGGACATGGACGCAAAGACTTACTTTTCCCGGGAGCTTCCCCCGATCTAGAAAAGTAAGCTTTTGCTTTCGCTTTGTGCTTCATCTTGTGGCCGAAAGTGCGGAGCCGAGCTGCGCCGATATGCTCGCCCATATCGTGTCGAGGCGGCCTGCTTCGTCGTGCAAGCCACCTGGAGCAACTGGCAGGGCGCCCGGCTTCTCTGCCCCCGGATCTCGTTCCACAATCTTGCGGGACGACGGGAGGAGGCAGAGGTAGAGCACCTTAACGGCCAACGACGGATATGCCTGCCCCTGTGATGGCTGCCGCCAAAGCGGCAGGGTTTTGGTCAGGGTTTTGCTCCGAAAAGGCTCACCGCAATCGAAGCAAAAACTTATTTTTTTCGGGAGCTTCCCCCGAGCTAATAAAATAAGTTTTTGCTTTCGCTTTGCCCTCCTTTTTGTGGCTGAAAGTGTGGAGCTGTTCTGGGCCGGTATGTTCGCCCACATCGTGCCCAGACAACCTACCTGGCCCTGCAAGTTACTTGGAGCATATGGCAGGGCGCCCGTCTTTTCTGCCTCCGGATCTCGCTCCGCAATCTTGCGCGGCGACGTGCGGAGGCAGAGGTAGATCACCTTCCTGGCCAGCCACAGAGATGCTTGGCTCTGAGGTGTCCGCCGTCGACCTCATCTTCAAGCCAAAGCCTTATTTTATTAGGTCGCGTTTCGGACAAAAAAAAACTAAGGTTTAGGTTTGGAGATGAGGTCGACAACCCAACCTCAAAGATCGCCCTCTCTTTTTGCGGTCCACTTCCTGCTGGGCCACTCGCAGTGGCTGGAGGCTGGCCATGGCCGGCCCGTAGGAACTTGACCTCAAAAAGAGAGGCCGACTTTTGTCGGCTGGGTATAACGAGCTCATTTCAAATCAAAAACTTAGTTTTTTTTCTTCCGAAACACGAGCTAATAAAATAAGTTTTTGCTTTCAACACGAGCTCCGAAAGCAGCCCCGGAAAGCAGCCCTCTTGTTGTGGCCGGGATTTTGCCCAGTCAATCTCCGGCGGCGGATGTTGGCCATGCCTAGACCCGCACACCCGGGTGGCCGATTTGACGACAAAGACATACCGTACTAGCTCGGGGGAAGCCCCGGGAAAACCGGGCTTCCGACCTCATCTCCAAACCAAAACCTTAATTATTTTTTCTCCGAAACGCCACCTAATAAAGTAAGGTTTTGGTTTGCAGATGAGGTCGGCGGCGGACGCCTCAGAAACGGGCGTCCCTTTGGTTGGCCAGGAGGGTGGTCTACCTCTGCCTCCGAACATTGTCCCGCAAGATTGCGGAGCGAGATCCTGAGGCAGAGCAACCGGGCGCCCTGTCACTTGCCCCAAGTAACTTGCAGGGCCAGGTAGGTTGTCTGGGCACGATGTGGGCGAACATACCGGCCCAGAACAGCTCCACACTTTCAGCCACAAAAAGGAGGGCAAAGCGAAAGCAAAAACTTATTTTATTAGCTCGGGGGAAGCTCCCGAAAAAAATAAGTTTTTGCTTCGATTGCGGTGAGCCTTTTCGGAGCAAAACCCTGACCAAAACCCTGCCGCTTTGGCGGCAGCCATCACAGGGGCAAGCATCTCTTTGGCTGGCCAGGATGGTGATCTACCTCTGCCTCCGAACGTTGTCCCGCAAGATTGCGGAACGAGATCCGGAGGCAGAAAAGCCGGGCAGCCTGCTCCGCGTACCAAGTAACGCGCGAGGCGAGGCGGCTTGCCTGGCGTAGATGCCAGCCTAGATCTCGAGGGAAATGCTGACCCCCAAATCAGCCAGCGTGCGCTCGTCAGAATTGTGGCGACACCTCGCACAAAATCTGGATCGGCATCAAGGTAGAAGGGCCTTCAGCTCTGAAGGCCCGGCGGCTTTGGTTTTGCCAGCCAGACGAAATACGAACCAAGGCACCACCTGGACAACTGCCGGGCGGTGCGAAGAGGGACAAAGGCGGGGGCTGCGAAATCTATGAAACCACGAACCAAAACCCTGATGTAAACCTTAATTTTTTCAACCCTTAACATTTTGTGGAACACTAAACGAGATTGATCCTGATCCCAAAGACCTATCCTCTGTGTCGGCCGCGGACCCGATTAAAAACGTGGCAAGGGAAGACGTCTTCACACGGTCCGCTGGTGCAGGGCGCCTTAGATCAGAAGAAAACCAATGCGGTGAAAGCACATTTTCATGTCCAACTCGTCATGTCTGCGCGCACTGCTATCTGGATTTTCCCCGAAGAAGCAAAAGCACCCAAATTAAAGAGCAAGACAAGCTCAAAGAAAACTGCTTAGTGCCTGCAAGGCCCGGAGGAAGAATCGAAAGGGAAGGTAAGGCGAAGGTAAAATTCGAACAAGAACTATCAAAAGCGCCTTTTTTGGTCATATCGCGAGATCGTACACTATCAACAAACGGCTCCAATGCTCCGAGCGATGCTGGGAACGTTCAGACCCTAAATCCTAAGGTGGGCAACGCCACCGAGAGACCTGCAGTATATCTATCTAAGTAAATCTATGTGCTTTCTTCTATGCCTGATAAAATCAAGATGAACTTACTCGCGTGCACGAAAGGACGAATGGCGTCGATCAGCTGAGATTGATAGGGATCCCGCGACACCGTCAACGTCTGCTGCAACACATAGTTTCCGTACTGGTCGCATGCACTTGAAACAAACATGAGCGGGCCCAGAATCTGGCACAGGAGACCTGGACTGTATAGCCACATCCTTTGTCTCCGCTTTAAGTGTCGCTACTGCGCAAATAATTAAGCCCTCTGCGTCTGCGCAGACTGTGACTGATGGAGTTGAACCACGCAAAGATCTGGGGGCTGTCATGCCGAATTACGAGCTAGCTGTGCGAAATGCTTCGGGCTGGGTTCATTTGATTTTGGCCCAAGAGTCTGCCATCAGTTGTTCACTGCCGTTGATGCGCTGCGTCGGCCCCTTCAGTATATGGCAAAACGAGGCGACGCGCTTCCAGGTTGCGGAGATGGCTCGGCGTATCCGAGAAACGGCACCCGGACATTCTGGGTTCTAATTCGATTCGCCGCTCGCCTGTTGCACGATCTGGCAACGTCGAAAGCAAGATCTCAAAAACAAGCGGCCCGCGCCACCAAGTATCTTCAGTCCGAGGCACAGAAAAAGTAGATTACAGCGGGGCGCTGCAGCGGAGTCAGGGGCGCACGTCGCAGATGTGCCGCGGGCCGCTTTCGTCCGCTGGTTCCAAGCAGACGCCGCCGCCACACTGTCTAATCTGGGCGAGAGGTGCTACCGCTCACGCCGGGGCACACCCCACGCAGAAGTAGACCACAGCCAGAAGAGTGGCTACGTACCATCTAAGCGCAGGCGCACTCCACCAATGTGCGGGCCACTTTCCGCTGGCTTCAAACAGACGCCGCCGCCGCACTCTGGGAAGGTGCTACCGCTCACGCCGGGGCGCACCCCACGCAGGAGTGGGGCGCACCCGGAAGAGGTGCTACCACTATTCAAGCGCAGGCGCACTCCACCGATGTGCGCGCCACGCTCGGCCGGGGTGCTGCCGCCCGCGCGCGGGCGAATTTCAACCACGGGCATGCGCTCGGCGTCACAATCTTTGGGCGGGCTACTGCCTCCCACGCGGAAGCATACTAGCTTCACCGAAATGCGCGGGACGCCGCAGTCTGTGGAAGTGCCGCCGCTGCCGCCTTCGGAAGAGGGCGCCCCCACAAACAACATCGAGGCGCACGGCGTCACGCGTAGGGCTGTCGCCGCGAGGCTCGGTGGCAGCCTACGCGCGACAACCGTAGGCACTGGGACTTGAGGCCGCTGGCTGCCCGCCCCCCGAGGGAGGACGGGTGCCGCCCTCCTTGGCTGGGAAAGCGGCGCTCTGCGCGTGGTGTTCCCGGGTGCCCTCAACGGAAGCGCGGCTCAGTAACACACACTGCCACACTGAAGGCTCGCGCACGCGCGATAACACGCAACAAGCAGGGGCGCTGCGTCTGGCTCCCTTCCGGGGCCCGGAGCGAGGACGAAGCCTCTCTCGACCCCGGTGGGGGCTCGCAAAATTTTCGCACCCGCGCGCGCGGGTATGAAAAGCGGCGGAACGCCGGCCGCAACCCCGGCGCCCCATCTCGGGCTGATGCCGGCGCGCCTGCCAAGGCGGGCGGAGGCTGGCAGCCGGGCGCGCGCGGCGCGTCTTGGCTTGTTCGATAGATTCGCCACCGTTCGCGGCCCCATGCCCCCTCTGGCAGCACGAGGGGAGGAGCGGCCTTGCTGGCGCCGCCTAGCAATTTTGCAGAAACAAACCTACCAGCAGAAGGCTTGGGGCGCGCTGCGTCCTCTATGTCTATTCCGCCCCGGCCGTCTCGTGCCGGTTTGCCAGCTTCAGGCAGGCGTCGCGCGCCACGGAGATTCGATCCGGACCACTACAACAATGCGGCCGCGTCTGCCTTCGTTTGGGGCAGCGAAGAAAGGCAGCCGGACAAATCGGGCAAGGCTAGGTCCAACCGTTCTCCGATCGGGCCTCCGCATGCGGTCGGGCCCCTGCATCCGAACAATAGACGGCGAGCACCGCGCGCCCCCCCACGCGTCCTGCGTCGGGCGGGGGCACGGAAGGGCGGAGGGGGGGGGGGTGCGCCCGTACGGGCCCCCCCGGTGGCGCGCATGTTGCAGCGGCCCGGGGCGCTCCGTCCTGACGAAGTGCGCAGCAGGTGCTTGCAAGGGAAAAGTGGCCTACGGGCCTGCGACTCGTCCCAATCAATCCCGCCGCCGGGGCCCGGGCGCCGAAAGCTGCTGCCTGGACGAACCCTGCCGGGGGTACACAGCCACGGTGGGCGCCGCGCCCCGGCGCGCGGCACTGATTGGGCGGCACAGTAGCCAGTCAACAACCTAGCACTGGCGCAGGCACCGCGGACGCGGGCGCGAACTACTTGCTTCAACTTCTTGCTTGCTAGGGTTTGGGGATAGAAAATGGGGCAGCTCTCGCCGGAAAAACGCATGCCCGGCGGCGGGGCTTGGCGCACTACTTGCTTCAACTTCTTGCTTGCTAGGGTTTGGGGATAGAAAATGGGGCAGCTCTCGCCGGAAAAACGCATGCCCGGCGGCGGGGCTTGGCGCACTACTTGCTTCAACTTCTTGCTTGCTAGGGTTTGGGGATAGAAAATGGGGCAGCTCTCGCCGGAAAAACGCATGCCCGGCGGCGGGGCTTGGCGCTCTCCCGACTTCATCTTGCGGGCCGGAACGCAAAGGGCCGCCCCCTTGTGGCGCCTTGCGTGCCGATCTTTGTCTTGTTGCGGGCTGCAGGGTGCGACTACAAAATAGCCCGAATCATCATCAGCGTGCACATTCACAAATCGCGCACTATTATGTTAGCTCTGACCGGCCGCGGCCTGGCTCGTGCAGCTGCAGATCCAATTCGCCGCGAATAATACGTATTTGCAAAGGACTTTCATCCAACTCGACGCCAATTCCAATGCGTTATATTATTTACATAGCAGCCTCTTCACTACTCAGCATGACGGAGGAGGTGCCTCCTGCGACCATACATTCCGGGGGGATGCTGCTCTCATCTTCGTACGTGGAACAACAGGTGCTGCACTACGTTGCTAACGTCCATTTTCCCCGCGTTGACGACTCCCTGAGAAAATTCGAATTGCGCGATTTGCTTGGATGGCGGATTACGTTACGGCCATTCATTGACAGACACACGGAACACCATAGCGTCGGGGCTCCGACATCTGAAAAATGAACCAACGGGAGGCGCCAAGCGACCTGCTTTGCGTGCGGCTAAAAGATACGCACCAAAACACGCGGGGGCGCCCGCCAACTCTTGTCGGGGAGTCGGGACCATCATTTGCAGGGCGCGCATCGGTCCCCCAATGTCTGGGTGGCCGAGAGACTAGAAGGGGTCCGCCGCTGCAGTGCCGGCGCTTTTTGCTCTCGCCCAGGGCGAGAGCAAAAGGCCTTTTCTCGCCGGCCTGGTGGGGCTATACGCACTCCGCCTCAGGTGCGTCATTCGGTGAGCCCCTCCCAAGCGAAGTCCCATGGCGAGGAGCTCTCCCTCCAATGTGGTGCGGGCGCTCGTGTCGGAGACTCACAGAGGCTGCGGGCCCCAGGACAAACAGCCAAAAGGAACAAGGGGGCGCCGCGACTTGTCGCAGTGCTGTTGCTTGCACCAGGAGGCGAACGGCGCCGGCGTGGTGCGAGGCAACCTGCCACATGCCGGGCTCCACTGGCACGTTGAGGAAGCAGCGGCTGCAGCGCTCTGTGCCACTTGTGGAGCCGGTAGGCTTCAGCGAATGGGCCACGCTCACGCGCTTTCGTGGCCATGCCGCAGCCCGCCCGAGAACACAAAGTAAGCCGGCATGCGGCTGCTCCTCCTGGTCCTGCAGGGCCTGCACTACTTTCTGTAGGCGTGTGGGTGTCGGATCGGTGTACTGCTTTCCCTCGAGTGAGAGAGATGCGCACGGACACTGCCTGTCAGAGATATTCTTGCAGAATCGGCGTCCTGTCGCCTATTCGCAAACTGTAAGTGTAACGTCTTAGGACTTATCGCGCTGTTGATCCAAAGCTACCCCGTGGCACGCGCATCAACAACTCAAAACGAACCAGCGAGCGACTCAAGGGCCACCAAAAATCAAAATCAAAAGCGGCCGCCGGGGTTCCAGCTCAAAGAAAAAACACAAACGTAGCGAATTTACAGCCATCGGGCCGGAAGTAGCGACGTCGTTTTCCATCGCTATCTCACCTTCGCACACCTTGGTCACGGGTCGGCCGCGAGGTTGCTTATTGCGGGCACGCCATGGGGCCCCGGGAATAACGTGGCGCGCATGGAATGGCTCCCACTTCAAAAGAAAAACGTCACAGGCTTTGGCAAGCATACCAAATTCCCGCCCGAAACTAGGCCGGATGGCGTTGGGCCGGCCCGGGCGCCCCGGCAGGGGCCCAGAAAAAAAAAGCGGGCCCATCACATGTGGGCCAACTTCAGAGGCCTGGCGCGCTTTTTCTTCATGCGTTTCTTTGCAAATCCCTTCCGGCCTAGAAGACGGCGAAATGGTGGCCGCCATCGCAGTCGCCCAAAAGACTGCGAGATAGTGGCCGCCCCATGCGGTTCGGCTGTCTTGATTTTGCGCGCGTTATTTTTTGGGCGCTCTTTTGAGAGTCCCGAATCCATCGCCAGAATAGAAGGCGGCGGGCGCCTCAGAAGGTCGCCACTTTTGCCAGCTCGCCTGCGTCGTTTTTTCAGGCGGTACTTGCTAGACTTGGAGCCGGCATGTTTGATGCGTCGCGGGCAACTGCTCTGAATTTTTCAAGCCGGGCCGTTGTGCAAACACGCTGGCACGAGCGGACCAGGTCTACTGAGCAAAACAGAGAGAGAGACACAAGTCAATAACTAGAGTACCTCAATCAGCATATTGCGGTGGCTCTCTGGTGCAGTGGTGAGAACCTTTTCGAGCACATTAGACGAGAACTTCTGCTGACACAAATCCAGAACATGGTCTTTCAGGCGCTCGATCATTTGCGGAAGGACGAAGCGGCATCGAACTGAAAACTTTTTCCTGCTTGAGCCTCGACACCTTCGCGCTCCACCCCTATCGACGAACCCGCAGAGGGGTATTAATATACGATGACTCGCTGCATACGCTGATATAAAGAGGTTAGCAAACACACGGAAGCGGGAGCTTCGAGGTTCATTATCAAGCGAGATCGACGAGTCAATGCAAATTAGAATTAGTCGGTCTCACCTTGCTTATAACACGACCTCCAATCGAACAGGACAAAACAGTGAGGGGTGGGTACATCCCCGCACAGGACGTTTGGCGCAGCTTCCGAGAAGCACGCTACCACTGTGCCAGGTTCTACGTACAGAGAGAAGGGGCGGAGGATAAAATAGAAGATTGGATCTCTATCATCTGTGTGCGGCGCTACAACATGACCAAGCGGAAAAGTAGTAGACAATGACGAAGGGGGCAAGCAACCGACACTCAAGAACAGGTCGCAAGAAGTGCAATATCGCTGTTGACAGTCGTAAGTCGTAGGATGTCGTGGTTGAGAGCACATGTTGGACGACATAGTTTCCATACGGATCTTGCACAAGCTCCAGCGTCGACCCCACGATAGTTTCGACAATAAAGCTAAGGCGCTCCCCAGCAGCTTTGTCCAGGCAGGTCTTCAACACGCAGCATCCCCACTGGTCACGGGCCATGCTCACGACGCTCTCGCGATCGTAGCAAAGACGCCCGAAAATCACAGGCAAAGCATTTTTGTCGTCCTCGTGCCCCAATGCTCCAGTTTTTGTTTTTCCGCCCCGCCCCCGTGAAGTAAACAACTAAGTAAGTATGTATAAAAAATCAGTCCTATTCTGCTGCTGCTCTGCGGCTAGTTGCGCTGGCCCATCTTTGCCATGATTGATTGAGAGAAGGCAGGGGATTGCAATTTGTCCGCATGTCTCGGGGGACGATCTACGACCCTCCCAGCCGGCACCTTAGGTTCCTCGCTTCGCTTATGTGGGTTCTTTTTCAAGTCCAAACAAATGGAGATAGAGCTGATAGCCATGTTTAGGCCAGCTGGGAACTAGCTGCGTGGTGGTCCCTCGACGGTGACGCAAGCGCTGCCTGTTGGAACGACGGTCGGCCCTTGGTGGTTGCCGGCGAGACCACCAAAGACCGTCCTTCCATCAAACAGCCACATCTGCGCCACAGCGTGTGTGTGTGTGTGTGCCCTGGCTCTACAGAAAAGCACGCAATAAGCAACAGACCATGGGGCATCGACATAGGAAGCGACTTGCGCTGTGCGTTTGGGTTTACTTTTACAGGGCGACAATAAAATGACCACGGCAAGGAAATCGAAATGGCGACGTCAGTCAACTTCATGGCTGTGGCATAGAGTCACTGAAACTGTTAAGGCGCACCAAGCCGGGTGGGTGGTAGATCCTCTCCGAACCTACGCTTAAGCGGACATTCACATTTTGTGACGACCCCCTTCTCAAGTACATAGGATAGCAAAAAAAATCGGCCGCACGTTTGTCACATTCGTTCTTCACGGATGCGGAGGCTTGATACTACGAAGAATCACATTCACATAGATACCATGCCAAGCGTCGCAAGACTTACGCGCCCCGATTTTCATCGAGGCTTTTGACTGGCAGCATTCTTTCGGGGCCGGGACTTGACGCTGGTCTCTCTACTTGCATACCCAAAACCTCGTGGCCCCACTTGCCGTTTTCTTGGTCGGAGTGTAGTTTATTTGGGTCTTCGGAAGAGACAGCAGAAGTCGTGCTCGCACCAGCGTGCTGCTCTTCTTTCGCTTCGAGTTTTTTCTCTGGCAGCAACTTCTCCAACAACTTCACCACGACGTGGAATCCCGTGTATCCATTGCAAGTTTTTGTCATGGTCACGACATGAGCTTGCCATCAAAACACAGCGCTAGATGCGTTCTTTGCGAGGTTTATTTTCTGGCGCGGTAGAACCGATACGATCACGATGACGAGATTTGTCACGCTTAGATCGACCACGTCCTCATGTTTTCCTCAAGTGGAAAGCAATGGAAATCGCTTCCTGGTGAATTAAGTGGGAGTGTGGTCATGCTAACTGATACGTTGCTTTGCAAAATTGAAAATCTGCAGCCAGGCAGCCGCAATGTCCTGACTAGTGTGACACAGTCGCATTTGATATGGTAACACTTCGGCTTAGTGGTTCAACGTGGTCTATGAGACCCGAGACAACTTGTTGAGTTCGACCGCGTCGGATCCCCTCCTCGACTGTGTGAATCGTGAAAATTTTACGTCTGAGATTCAATAATGCAAGGCAGGCGTGCCATGGCGTGGGCGCGCGTACATGCTTCTTCTTTGAATATTAAGGAGTGCGCAGGTTGGTGGAAAAGAAATTACTTATGAAGCGTGGCCCTAGCCACAAAGAAAAACAGAGACTCTGAGGCTGTGAGACCTAAACTAAGAGACGCGCCGGAGCTCTTACGGTGTTGCATTTTGGAGGGGTATAAAACAAAAACCAACACCGCCGCGAATCGGATTCACAGCCGTGCGGGAAATCCGCCGTCCTCCCGGGGGATCCGCCCGCCTCCCGGGGGATCCGTCCTGGCCCGGGGGATCCGCTTTCCCCGAGGGGGATCCGCTTTCCCCGGGGAATCCGCCTTGCTCCCCGTGGGATGCTCTGCAGAGTCCTCCTCCGAAATCGAGGCCATACCAGAGGAGAAAGGCCGCCCCCCGTGGCGGCTCGAAGTGGGCCAGAGGATTCCCAGGATCCTCTCCGGAATCCTCTCAGGGTTCTCGCCCGAAATCGGGGCCAGGCATATCACCGGGTGTGGGAGGGCCGTCTGAGGCGGCCCAAATTGTTTGGGCGCGAAGACTCCAGAGAGAATTTTGCCGCCCTCTCCGGCATCCTCTGCAAAATCCTCTCCCGAAATCGAGGCCATACTAGCGGAGGAAGGCCGTTTGAGGGAGGCGGCCCAAATTGGGCCAGAGGATTCCGGCAAGGATTTGAAGGCTTTGCCGGAATCCTCAGCAAAAACGAAATCGGGGCCATACCACCGGGGGAGGGCCGTCTGGGGCGGTTCAAATTGGGCCAGAGAAGTCGTGGGTGAGTTTTCAAGTCCGCTCCGGAATCCTCTTCCAAATCCTTTATTCCCGGAATCGGGGCCATACCACTGGGGCCGGGAGGACCATCGGAGGCGGCCCAAATTGGGCCACGGGACTCCGGAGGGGATTATGGAGTCCTCTGCAAATGATCCTCGGCCTAAATTGAGGCCATTCCATCGGGCCCAGCGTGCGGTAAGTGCGGCAGTTTTTTTCACACAAGGCGCCGGACTGGTAATAAATTGCGCGCAGGCCTTTTGCCGGGCGGCCATCCTTGTCACAACCCGCGACCAAGGGTGGCGAGTTGCGTATTACTGTACAACACGGGAGGGCACTCTGTATGGTTTTGAACCGAGCGGGGCTATCTGCATTCGGTGCGTGTACATCTGCGCCATAACAATATATCCAACGACCAGATGCACAGGCGTCCCGGGAAACCTGAGCGCGCCCTGTACGAGCGGAAAAGGTCGTTAACGTTTGGGCCGGAACGGTTGTCGTTTAGGTCTCACAGCGTCACTTTCTCGGAGAACCTGAGACACAACAACTAAAAGAGAAGACATACCGAATTTCTGGACAGCTCGCGTTCCGTGCACCTCGTTTGCAAGCATCGCGAGCTGGCCGTCGACCTTGGCAAACAGAGAATCAAACTGTTCATCAGAACAATGCTCCAAGATTTTTTGACTTAGGTAATTTCCATATTGGTCGCTCAGCAGCTGGACGAATCCGGGCTCCGCTTTTTCGTAGATCAACCTGATATGGTTCGCAGAGATAGTCTGTCCGACTGTTATTAAATTCAAACTCAATAAGCTCTGATCGAGGAATTACAAATAGCAGCAGATGTCATCACGTAGTTGAAATAGAAGGATAGGTATAGGGCTCCAATTCGGCTGGCTAGCATGGGCCGACTTGTTGATGTCGAGCAATCAATCTGGAAGGAAACAGGAGTCTGAAAATCTGAAATGAGAATCCAAGCCAAGAGCTCCGCCCGTCCCTGTGTCTCGTGGTGATTGGCAAGAAGATAAGCAAGCATCAACCACCACCAGAGTCCGTCGCAGGTAGAAAAGAACGACTGTGATCTTTTTTTTTGGTCGGCCCATCCCACGAACTTGGTTGGGAAAAGTTCCTGTGTGGCGGATATTAGGACGCACGCGCGACCTCCGCTACCTTTTTTCTCCGGGCCTTCTGCCGCCCGCAGGAGCCAGCAAGATACCAAAGGCAAAAGAGGGGAGCAGGGCAACTTCCTCTGCCTCCGACCGACGGGGTGAAAACAGGACGAGTGGCCCGGGACTATGAAAAAGCGCGACGCCCCCTCTGCACGCTCACGCGCTGACACAAGCCGGGAGCATTCAGACGCTCCGGCTTTCGAATACAATTTACCGGGCGCGGCGGATGAAGTTTCTCCGCTGGCTGCACGGTCCGCGATGGAGCCGAAAATAGCCGCTATTTTCGGCTCCATCGACCTGCTTGGTTGGCGCTAAGCGCCAACCAAGCTCATGTCGGCGGGCGAGGAAGGGGAACGGAAGCGAACGGGGCAGGGTTTGAAGATTAATCGGACAGGGACAGGGCGCTTTTTCAACAGAAGCAGAAAACTTTTTTCATTCTGTATTCCGCTTTCTTTTCAAAAGAAAGCGGAATACAGAATGAAAAAAGAAATACAATAAGGGCGGAAAACGAAACAAGTAAGAAGAAACCAAAAGCAGACGAATTGCCGAGATGTCAGAGGCTGCTCAGGCGAAAAGCCATGGGGTGGTGATTCTCGGCTCCGTTCTCGGTGTATATGTAAAGTTCGGAAAAAAGCACAAGCAGGCCCGTTATTCCATTAGACAGGCTGACTAGTAATTTTTATACTCAGTCATGTCTTTGTCATGTTCCATCAGCGACCGCTGCAGTGAGCGGCTTTTCCACTTGTCTTTAGCGATTTCAAGCAAATCCCCTACGGACACACTCTTTAAATCATTTGCAGTCATCTTGGCGTCCCTGCCGCGCTCATACCGTCGCGCCATTCGCGGATAGGCACCAGCCTGGGGGTTGCTAGGGTTGTAGTTGATCTGGCTCATCCTCCTTCTACTTTTTCGCAGGTCCTCGTGGAAAGTTGGAAGAGGGCCTCACGCCTCCAGGGAAGCGTCGGCGTGTCTTTGTCGGAACTCGATTCGTTGCACGATGATGTCAGTTGTGGCTGTGCGTATGCGCGATATTTTGGCTGTCCGAAATGTATCAACTACATCAAATATGTCTGGGTCGGACTCGGAAAGAATGCAGTTTTTTGTCATTGTCGCACTGTTTTTCTTTTTGTGTGACGCAGAGCCAGAAGGTCTGACATGCAAGCCCTAGCATTCGGTGACAAGAAGTGTGCAACGTTTGCTGTCAAAAATTGTGCGTGAGAGAATTTTCGTATAATCTGCAATGGGCATCACGTGTTCGCATCTTTCCAGACGCAGTCCCAGACGCAGACACATTTCCGATGCATAAAATGGTACTGAGCACAATAAGGAGCGCGGGGGGAACGAGCGCAACCTCCCAGATGAGAGATCACTATGAAGTGAACTTGAACTCGATAAAAAGCTGCGCACTTTCGATTGCGGCTTCAGTGCTGGCGATCGTGCGCAACACTCGATACAGATACGGCACACAGTCAAGCAGAAGCAAACGCTACTACATGTAGTTCCTTCTTGTGCGCCTTGCCTTCACTGCATGGGCACTCGATGTATTTTTATGTAACGCTTGGCGTTGCAGTGATTTCCGTACACCGTGGCTGGTCCTGGTGTAAAACAGCCTTGGCCAGTAAGTAGAACACGCTCACGCGCTACACAAACCCTCACCCTCCAACAAAAGTAAGACGCGAATGCTAACTTCCTGCGGCACCGGCGCTGTTAACTCGCACTCCGAGCAAGCTCCTCTGTGACCACTTCGAAGTCGCTCAAAAAACCACTAGACTTGCCAACAAAACAAGAAAGAGGGCGTATTGTGTGGAAACATCCCCCCTCTCCATACCAAAATTTGTGATGCTGATTTGAGGCCACAAAGACAAATCGTCTCTGTATTGCAAGAAGATACATAAAAAACCCCGCCGCGTTCTGCGGGCAATTTGTAATGCTGTGTGGCCTACAGATGAGAATGCCCCTACCTTGCTAGGCGCCTACACCAAAACGCCTCTACTCCAGCTCTGTATCTGCCTGCAGTCTTCTACTGCAAGACCAAGCTTATTTGTGGTCACAAATCAGCATCACAAATTTCCTTTTCGATATGGGGAGGGGGGATTTTTCCCTGTGATAGGACGGCTCCATAGGCACAGCAATCTGCATGCTTGGGTCGAGCAGATGCGCGACGTCATTCATTGGTGCAGCCCCGGTCGGCTGCGTTTGAAACGCACGCAAAGCCAGCGTGAGGCGTTTTCGGCTTTACCAGACTCAGCCTGTCTCTAGCTTGGCTACTTAGCTGTCGCTCGTCGGGATGCAACCAGGTGGCGAAAAGACGGCCCCCAAGCTGTTGTTGGGAGCGAACGCTGAGCGCGCTCATGCGTCTTGCAACGATTGCTCCCCTGTGTGCGGTTGCCCTCGTCCAAGTCCTTAATTCTGCAGCACACGTCGCACCGCTGCGCCACTTCCATGGCGGGGCGTAAAGATCCAGACACTTCTACACAGTGCATCTCGCTCTAGCTTTACTGATAGCTCTTTATCGTGCTGGTCACTTCTAGTAGTTTATGTCGCGCGGCAGGGACTGCGCTGCGCTGGCGCCCACATGATGCCACTAGACGCGGTTGCAATCACTTCGCACGCGTGGGTGTCTGTGAGCGGGAAAAACGCCCGGCGAACCATGGTACGCGATGCATGGCTCCTGAACACAAAGAGGCACCCCCGAAGGGTCGCACCCTGTCAGAGTGTCCGGCTGCACCACACACAACTCACAAGCCGGGCCCACAGAGGCCCGGCGCAACACACCCCAAAAGGGCCCTCATCAGGAGGCAAAGGGGCCACCAGCGTTGTCAACCTATGCCAACAGATCGGGGGACCGCTGCGAGGGCCCGCCCAGTAGTGACGAGCCACCCACTACAGTGGCTGTCGTGAGTCTCCCCTTTTCGACATTGCGGCGTTCTTGCAAGTGTTCAAGCAAGCTGAACACGGATCGGCTCCTTCTGAGACCACGCACTGGCTTCGCTGTGTAAACCAGCCTGCACCTAGAAAGACAGCTATTTAATCTACATGCTACTTCACACCCCTGCCTGTCATTGTCTGCGTGTGCATGTCAATGTAAAACTTTTGCAATGGATTTTTTCACGCAATCACACCAGATATGTATCTGAGTGCGTGCCAACACATCCACCTCGGGCTGATACTATTAGGATTACGAAGAATTATCGTCCGAGGAGCTTCGGCACACAATCACGAGCATGCTGCAGCCTTATACGGCAGCTCCGCGGCACTCTACTACATCTGCGCTACTTATGCGTGCCTGCTTTTACTACTTACTTTGTGTTTATGGATGTGTGTCATGATTGTCGATGGGGTTTCTGTTAGTGCTTGCGAGAAAAGGAAAACTAGCGCTGGAGCTTTATGTTTATGAACGCAAGCGGACGGCTTTGGTTTTGCCACATCCGCCACCTCCTAGAGTGGCTGGCCCACACAAAATATTTGAATTTAAGCTGGCATCACTGGATGTTGTTTGGGGGAGCAACTCAACAGAATAATCGATAGCACGACCACTCAGCCTTCTGATGCCACTGGACAACATGACATCAGTCGACAAGCCAGACCAGACCAGACCAGCCACGGACCCGATTGAGGCGGGCGCCCCATACGCAGGACCCAAAAAGCGGCGGGCCCCGCTCGGCTACGGCCAAGAACCAGCGCGGCCCCGCAATGGTGGCGGTGGCGCGTCGCACGCTTATTATCATTGAAGCCCACGAATATATGCCTAGCATGCGCCAAGCCTGCAGAATCCGCCGCGCAAAGCGCCCAACGCATTGCACGGCGTTTTTCTTGGCCAACTTTGCTTGTGATTTCCCTATTCCTCATCTTCGCTTTATTTCTCTCTTTGTTTCCACTTTGGTGGCCAGGAGAACGCAAAACCCGACAGGAACCGAATCCCCGGGCGACCTTTTTTCTTGGGTGCGCGCTTTCTCCGATGGCAGCTGCGTGACTTGGGCAGATGGGATTCCGAGGCATTTTGCCGGCGACCCCAAGGCCGGCCTTTCCCTCGTGCGGGCGCGGGCTCAACCGCTCTGCGCGGGGGGCCTGGCGCAGATAGGACTTCACGGGAACGGCTGTGCCGCAAAATCTCGCACGGGGGTCTCTGCGTCGAATCCGCGTGCCACTTCGTGCCCGGCATCTCCGGCGGCGAACGCGGGGGCGGTTTGGCCGGCGAATTTTGGAGGTGCCCCCGGAGATGCTTCCACAATCTTGCCTACGCGCATTCTCCGAACCCATCCAAAGTCGCCCGCCAGGCCGACCCCGGACCCTTTCCTGACTGCGCACGCTCGACCTGATTTTCCAGGGGTCGACCTGCTTCTTCGAAAACGCGGCGCGCGCGGGTGAGGCCCCACCGGCTTCCCCCCGGAATTACACCGCGGCCGGGCGGCTCTACCGGGGCCGGCCACAGAAGCCGGCGAGGCAGGGGGCGGCGGCGCGGCCACGCTTCCGGACTGTTCCTGGCTTGAAGGGCGCAAGCGCAAACACTAGCCGCGCTGGCAGGGGTAGTGAGGTCACAGCAGTTTTTCTAACTTCATCCCCAATTTTAGTAACTGTTTTCGCGCATAGGCATACCGATAAGCAACGGGGCCGCGTTTCTTGTCTCGAGGACTCCGGCGGGTATAACGTTGCTACGAATGGTTTGGCGGGCGGCAGAAGTCGCAACCTCCGCTCCCGCTGCGCTTAGAGCATCTTTTCTTCCTCCCGGGTAAGACTCGATCATTTACTATATCTGAGTACGAGTAGCGCAAGAACGCCGAGCATAGTAGCGCTGGCTCTTTTACTGGCATCATGTTACGCTCTAAAATTTATTGCGGTCGATAGCTCGCGGGGCGTCGTCATCTTCAAACTCGAAGTGATCGACGCAGCGTCTGCCCAGAATGGGCGACAAGAGATAATGTTTAACATCGAGATCGACGCACTCTTCGCATTCGCGGAAAACTGTGCCAGCACCAGCGGGTGCGGGGGAGCGGCTCTTCCCTTTATTTGCAAACACCGTGCATGATCTTGGGGAGCGAGCCCGTGGACTTCTTTCTCCTGGTGCCCCTGCACTTAAGTCGTGAATACGATGACGACAGCCAGTCGCCACAAATGTGGTTTGGTGTTTCGTGCTGCTGGAATAACCTTGAGAGCGCTGACCCTGAAGGTGGCGATAATCTGCAGGCAATGTCCATCGCTCCGCCAGCCTTCTGCAAGATTCTGGCTGCTGCGCCATCATCTTGCTCAGGTGTTTCGTGCGACGTGTTTCGGTTTTCCCTCCGGCCTTATTGCTCGCATCACTTCGTGCGTGCGATGATGCCACCCGGGAGGGCGCGTCGTTTTCTATTTCTTCGCAGAAGCGCGCCTGCTTTCTCGACATTATCTTACTCGTCATCCCTGCTCCGTTACTACTCTGATGATCGCCGAGGCCCGCCCTATGGCAATGCTCTACACTGCTCCTCCGTGTCGAACTATTTGAAGCCGACGCGTTGTAGTTGTTCTTGTTGAGGTTGGTAGATGCCCGTATGGTTATGGACCTCTTGCTGGATACGTGACTGGCATGGCACGGCCGCTGCGTTGCAGTCGACGGCGAGGCTGCAACTGCGTGGGCATGGGTGACAAAAGAGCTCGCTAGCAGACTACTATCCGCAGTATTAGAGGAAACCGACAAAAGCTTGCGGCCTGCCCGTTTATCAATGCGACTGATGAGTGGCATAGCGGACGTCCAAGCTCCGGGAGTAGAGCCTCCGTCCTTCATAGCACATCTCGCACTGTCGTCCTCGCATGACATACCATCACCGGCGGCCACGTTAGGTTCACGATCACTGTGCAGCACATTGAGCCGGTGCTGCTGCTGCTGCTGCTGAAGTGGCGATTCGCAGATACTGCTCTCCGATTGCAGCTGGGTTGTGCCGGGGTAGTGGAGGAAGGAACCACTCGGCCCTGTCTTAGAGCAAGAAGGTGGAGCCGCAGAAAATCCCCGAGTCTGCATTGTTTTGGAAAATTCAGCTACCTTTCTTTGGCTGAGTCCGAACAGATCGAAGCTGGTGCGTCTGGAAACCTCTCGGGAGGTTTTGGTTGAGTTGTATCGACTAGATTTCTATCCAGTGCAAATATTGCAGTCAGGGATGAATGGGATACATATCTGTAATGCTGAAGCACGAACTGCTCAGACTGGCAAGACAGGCACAGAGCAAAAGCAAGACAAAGACTACAAGTACAACTACATCCAGAGAAAATAATAATAAATGCCAAGGGGCATGCGGAACAGTATAGCGCCACAATTTCAACCACTCTAACAACCCATTCGATTTTTTCCGGTCGTCCCTCTCGACAACAAATGTTACTGTCACCATTCAAGCTAGCATAACATTAACATGACAAGATAAGGGATAGTATAAGTGCCAACCATTACGTTATCCGCCTCTGCCACTGCCATCATAATTGCGCTTCATAAATTCAGTGAGTTTGGGCATAATGTAGATCGGCCACTGGGCTCCCTGGAGGATCGAGAGGATGGCGAGGGGGAATATTCGTGATCCTCACCAAAGACATTGCGATTGGTGTCCTCCCAGTACTGCTTCCGCATTTTGTTTGGCAAGTTCTTGAACTTCCGGCGCTTCTCTCGGATTTGCTGTTCGCAGGTCTTGCCCGACGGTGGCAACGGTGTCGCGCGTGTCTGACATGCGGGCGCTGTCATGGAACCCGCTGTATTCGACAATGCCAAGCGCCTCATACCCGCGCCAGCTTGTTTCTTTCGACGAGAGATCGGCGCATGCCTAGCGGGAATGAAGGAAGTTGCGTCATTCGTTCGATCGACCGCTGCAGTGCCTCTAGTGGGTTGTGAAGAATTTTTACCATGATCGGCATGGTCAGAATGCGCGCAACTATCAACAGTCACAAACTCAAGGCAGACAATTTCCCGCCGAGCATTTTTCTGCTGCTTCTGGAGAAATGTAGGCATGCAGATCAAATCACCATGTAGAGCTCATGACACGCTGCAAACACGATGCAGATCCCACCTGAAATCCACGATCTGAAATCACATCCAAGAGCGAAGAGCGATGCAAATCGAGAGAATGATGTGATGACGATGATGATGAACTTGTTCCTTTCCCAATGCAACAGCTACGTGGATACTAGTGCAGTAGCCTGCTCACCGGGCTACATGGTGTATTAGTGTTCTAACAATCTTGAGCCCTGTGCTTAGAGGGCTAAAGCTTTAGGCTTTAGCTAGAGTTTTTTTGTTTATCCCCTTGAGTTTTACACTTGGACGCGCCTAGTTTTTAGACTTTGAAAAATTTCGAAAAACTAGAAACCACAAACATGGCCACCGGCAGCGAGAAGGACACCCCGCCGAAGATGGCCACCAAATTGGAGGCGGCGGAAGATTGGCCGCGCTGGAGTTTTGACCTCTTCCGCATCCTGGAAGGGTACCCGCGCAACCCGCCCCCGACCTCCACCGCCGTCGGCGCCTCCTCTTCTTCCTCCGCCCCGCCCTCGGGAGCTGGTGCAGCCTGGAAGGATTGGGCCGAACTTTATGCGGATTACCGTAAGGAGATCGCTAAGGGCACGGATATCCCGACCGCCTTGGCGAAAGTTGAAGCCGCCCCCAGCTGGAACAGCTGGACCGCGAAACCGCTCGCCGCCATGATTTCGCAAAGTTGTGGACCGGACCCCCACCAAATTTTGCGCGCGATCACCGGCCCGCAGCCTACGCACCTGCTTCGCATGGTTTGGGCGCTCGAAAATAAGCACGCCAGTCAGAAGATGGCCACCCGCTTCGCTGCTGTTGTGGAACTTATCCGCATGCGGATGAACCCCGGCGAGCTTGCGGACGAATACGCCAACCGCGTGCGCGCTGTCTTCCGCGAGAAACTTGGCGGAAAAATTTTGCTGCCTGAGTTCTTAGCCGGCTGCATTTTGTCCGGACTCCCCGACACCTTCGCCCCGACCGTTGCCACGCTCATGGCCAACGAGGTGACCGACGCCGATCGCATTACCACCACGCTCCGCGAGTTCCAGCGCGTTGCCGGCGAAACCAAGACCGAAGACAGCAAGGCCAACAGCGCCAAGGTTGTCGCCTTGGAGAAGAGCCAGGAAAAATTGCGGAAGGAGTTGGCAAGCGTGAAAGCGATCGCGAACAAAGGCCAAGGAAAAACGCAGAAGCCGGAGGACACCCAGAAGGCTAAGCGTTGCCAGTTTTGCCGGCACAAAGGGCACGACGTGACCCAGTGCCGCAAGAAGGAGACGACCGCGAGCAACACCAAGAAGGCAAACACCAACAGCGCCGCCGCTGTTGTCGTCCACACCGCCGAAAAGAAGACCGCGACCGCCCCCGTCCAGCTTCCGGAGCTGAATGGGATCACCAACGGCGTCACGGTGGGAAAGAAGAAAAACACGCCTTGGGGCTTGTCGGGCAGCCTGCCCATGTTTGTGCGCGAGCACGAGCATCGGATGGCCACCGATGAGAACTATGCGAGAAAGGCGATCGAGTTGCCTTACACTCTTGCAGGAGAAGCGGCTGAACGAGTTCGGAAGTTCTACGAAACGCGTCAACCACAGCAAAACAAGAACAGTGTAAACCAGGAATACTGCGAGCGTTCTCCGCTCTGTGTGCGTTCTCCGCACCTAAAAACGGTCAATTTGTACTTGGCCAGTGTTCTGCTCGCTCTGCTTCTGTCGGTTGTGTGGTTCTTCGTGTTTGTGTGTTTTACGTTTTTGAACTGCCCCACCCTCGTGATTGGAAGTCCAATCTACCGATTTACATCGTGTCTTGCGAAAGCTGCGATGCAAATCTGGAATCTTTTCGGTCCCTGCCCCCCCAAGATTTTGAAGAAATTCGGAATCTCACTCCCCCGGAATTCGTTCAAGAAATTGAACTCCAGGAGGTTGCTACGACTTCCCTCGTATGCCGCCGGTTGTGCCGCGTATACGAGTCTTCCGAACGTCCTTAACTCCTCCAGGCACGCGCGCGCGCACTTCGTGCAGCAGCCGAAAGCCAAGGATGGACTTCGAGTTTTGAAAGTCATCGCGGACAGTGGTGCTACCCACCACATGTCCCCGCATGAGTCAATGTCTGAGAGCTTTACCGGAGAAACCGCGAGTCTCACAACAGCTGACGGCGAATGCTCGGAGCCTGCGAAAATCGGAATTCTCAAGCCCAATAACTTGGGTGCCCGGGTTGCGTTGTACCACCCTGCGTTGCAGGTTTGCCTGCTTTCTGTCGAAACGATGGCGCAGGATGGTGGATCGTACTACCACGCGAAAGAAGAACGATGGATCCAGGACGCTTCGGGCTATCGCCACACGGTCAAAATACGTCAAAAGCTTCCGCGCGTTGGTTTCTACCTCTTGGAAGGCGAGGCGTTGGCGCACGTGATTGGAAACCAGAACTCCTGCTCTGCCTTGCGGTTACACCAAAGGCTTGGGCATTTAGGAGTCCAAGGCATCAAGGTTCACTGCCCTGATTGCGCTGCTTCTAAGTCCTATGGTTCTCAACAGCGTCGAAAGGTCCGCCCCGCGACCTATCTCCACAAGGAGTGGATGGACCAAGTTGAGACGGATTTCTTCTCCGGAGGATTACCCGCTTCCATGGATGGAAACACAATTTGCATCACGCTCCGGGACTCAGCCACAGACTGGCTCGAGCCGTGGGGCATTGCAGACAAAGCGCAGTGCGGCAAGGTCCTTCGGGACTTTGCAACGCAGGTCGGGGTCCCCAAGGTCGCTCGTTGTGACAGTGAGCCCGTGTTGAAAGGCATGGAAGGACCATGGAAAGAAGCCTGCCGGGAAATCACTTGCGTCGCTGGCCACAGCGTTCCACGAGAGCCGCAAGGCAGTGGGAACGTGGAGCGCTGGCACAGAACCCTTGGGGACGGTCTTCGGGCCAACCTTCAGGGAGTAGATCCCCGGCTCTGGGATTGGTGTGCGCGGTACATCGCGTATGTCAAGAACCGAGCGCAGCGGAAAACCAAGCTCCCCGCCCCTTTCTACAAGCGTTTTGGTCGTCTGGCCGATGTCAAACACCTTCGCCGCTTTGGGTGCGTTGCGTACGTCCGCAAGCACATTCCAAGCGACAAAGCCGAGAGCACGAAGTTGGTTGACCGCTATGAAAAGGGAGTCTTCCTCGGATACTCCAGGGAGTCAAGCTCGTACGTGGTAGGTGTTTTCCACCATGATGCACGCGCAAAGAGCGGCCAGAGATGGACGGCAGTCGAATCTCGGTCGGTCAAGTTCGACGGGGACACGTTAGTGCCCAATGTCAACGCCCTTCGGAAACCGGAGAAAGAACCGTCGCAGAGGCAAGCCCCAAACGCCGACGATTCCGCTGGAGCAGTGAGAAGCGATTCCGATCGCCTTCGCGCCGCGCTTGAGGAAGTTGAAAAGCGTTGGAAGCAAACTTCTGAGGGGGTTGAAGAACCGGCTCTGAAACGGAGAAAAACGGAGTCGCCCCCCCCGGCGCCGGAAACGGCCCAGGGCGGAGACAAAGAAAACGAGTCTGCCGGAAGTCCCACCGACGGCGACGGCCGTGGTGCGGCGCCCGCAGATGGTCCCGCGCAGGAAGGAGGAAACTCATCTCCTGTCGCCCCACAAGTTGCGCCCCAGGTAGCGCCGCCGGACGTTTCAAACTTGATCGATGATGACCTAAACCCCTACACGTTAGTGGAAAAAGACGGCGTCCCCATCAAGAAAAGAAATCGCCGCGGACGGCCCAAGGGGCTTACTCACGCACAATGCCCCCACTGGCAGAAGCCCGGTCGGAAGCCCAAGCAGCCAACTGCTTCGGACCTTGTGCAGCCCCTCCGAGATCAGCCCCAGGGCAATGGCGCAAGAGCAATTCTCGAAAACGAAGTTGCTAGTGCGTTTGTTGCTTCTCGAGTTTTTGATCAGGAGAAGGACGGCGAAGCAATTTGCTGGACAGTACAAGTCACCAGGGTGGAGGCGTTTACAGGACCAGACGCCGCCAAATGGCTGGAAGCTGATACGCTAGAGCGTACACAGCTAGAAGCACTCAAGTGCTGGAGGCCGTTACAAGATGGCGAATTCGGTAAGGACGACGAGATCATCCCGGCCGTTGTGATTTACACTCGCAAACGGTGCGGAAGATTCAAGGCCCGCCTTGTTGCACTCGGAAACCGCCAGACGAAAGTCATGCGCGCCGAAGTGTTCTCCCCGACCGTTTCCCATGCCGCGACCCGCACCCTGCTGGTTGATGCCGCCGCTTCGGCTAAGTTCGTTGAACAATTCGACATCTCGAATGCGTTCATCCGTTCCGCCTTAGACGAATCGGATAGAGTCTTTGTTCGCTTACCCAAACACTGGAGCACGGATCCCCGTGGCGACAAAGTCAGACTTTTGAAATCCTTATACGGACTCAAAATCGCGCCACGCAAGTGGTATGATACGTATGCCGCGTACCTTCTGGAAGACGGCTGGAAACGCTGCCCCCAGGAACCCGGACTATTCAAGAAGAATGGGCTGACGCTGGCCATCTACGTTGATGACTCTCTCATCTCGGGCGAGAATTTCGACGAGGTGCCCGCCGCCTGCGCCCGTATCCTTGGTAAGTTCGAAGGCAAACTTATCCCCGCAGAGAAAGAAGGCTCTTTCGATGTTCGGGATATCCTTGGCGTTCGTATGCGTTACGATCGACAACGGAAGACCTTGCGTCTTGATTTGGAGAAAGCCATCAAGAAGCTAGCGGAAAAGTTCAAAATCGACGCTGGAAAGCCACTTTCCACGCCATGCGTTTACACCGACTTTGATGAAGGAAAGCCGCTGCCGGATTACCCGCTGCGTAGCCTCATCGGAGGACTGCAGTATATTGCAACCATGGCCCGCCCATATTGCATGTTCGCAGTGAACAGGGTCGCACGAGCTCAGGCCAAGCCTACAGCTTCTGTCGTGACAGCGGCAAGGCGCGTAGTCAGGTACCTGCTGCAGACTTCCCATGTCGTTCTAGAGTACACACCGGAACGGGAGCGGGAATTTCGCAAGCAATATACCGAAGTGCTTGAAGAGCAGAACTCCAAACAGTCTCTCCCGGACTTTGTTGGATTCAGTGACGCAGATTTTGCTGGGTGTTCCGTCACCCTCCGCAGCAGCAGTGGAAGCATTCTTTTTTTCAGGGGCATGCCCATCGCTTGGTCTAGCAAGCGCCAGACGCTTCGCGCATACTCAACATGCGAGAGCGAGTACATAGCCCTCTTCGACACGTTGAAGCTATCGCAGGCCCAGGGGTATCTGGAGTGGCTCGATGAAAATCAGTCTCTGCCCGGTATGCTCTTTGTGGACAACAAATCTGCAATCGAAGTTGCGCGCTCGGAGTTACCAACCAAGAAGACGAAACACTTCTTGCTCCGTTTTCACGAAGTCAAGGATCACGCCCAAAACATCGCGCACGTACCCACCGGCGCGAATAAGGCTGATCCCTTGACCAAACCAATGGGAAGTCCTTTGCTGTGTTTCCATGCGTGCGCCCACCCATCTATTGACTTAGATGACAGCAAGATAGGTCTGCCGGCTGTCTACGCCGCTCCGATTTTCGAATCGTAGTCCATCTTCCGCGTGTCACACTCGAAGGCTACACATGCCTGCGGAATTGTGTAGGATTCTAGTGCCCGTCTGATTTTCCTTCATCCGCGCCCGAAACTTCCACAAGTTTCGGAGGGGGGGAGGTTTTTCATCAGTTTCGTGGTTCTTCTTTGTGCCGTAGCCATGAGAGATTGCCTGTCGGTCTCGTCGTGTTGAGCCAAAGACGCTAGATTTATGCTTGCATTTGGAGCGAACCATCATCGTAGCATCGGGATTCAGTGGATTTGTGCATCACAGTGTCTGTTTCTAGGATTTTGCAATACCTATTTTCTATACTTCTGTGACTATCCACTACACCAATATCGTTCCATCCTGTCACTAGGGGGAATGTAGGCATGTGAATAGTCATGAGGGGGAATGTAGGCATGCAGATCGAGTCACCATGTAGAGCTCATGACACGCTGCAAACACGATGCAAATCCCACCTGAAATCCACGATCTGAAATCACATCCAAGAGCGAAGAGCGATGCAAATCGAGAGAATGATGTGATGATGATGATGATGAACTTGTTCCTTTCCCAATGCAACAGTTACGTGGATACTAGTGCAGTAGCCTGCTCACCGGGCTACATGGTGTATTAGTGTTCTAACAAGAAACAAAATTCAGGTGCACAGAAATAAAAGGCACCAAAAGGCATCGCGTCCACGCCTTTCACTCCGGATCGATCATGGTCAGCAGCCCCAGCCAGCGATGTATTTCACTGCGCGGAGCGGCTGGATCTGTGGATGCAGGGAATAGACGCTTAGGAGGCGTCTTTGTCTATCTCTCGGTCTTTCACGTTGAAATTTTCCGCGCCCCCGCATGTCCGAATGGAAGGCACGTGCCTTGCAGTAAAAGCGGGGCGTACATAGAAACAATTGCAAACCCGGGCGAGGGGGGTGGCGGAGTGGCGGGAAGCGAAGGACCGCCCGCTCGATTCGGAGGCACACAGAACCACGAGCGCGAACGGATTGGCCTTTGGTACGCGCATGGGATCGTTACAAAACAACAAGCAAATGATCCGGGCAGGGAGGGCGGCGAGGTCCCCTGTCGATTCGCAATGGCGCAAAGGCGGGGCCCCCCGGCGCATTCTGCCAACAGCTCTAGTATCACCGTGCTAATACTGAGTAAGCCGACCTCCACCCCTTCACCGCGCTACTGAGTAAATGATGAGGACCTACACCCATGGAAGCTCAAGGCTTTTGTTTTCTATTTTTCGCGAACCTTGGGCGGACTAGGATGTTGAGGAAGCCAGCAAGAATGCTCGCTGGAACAAAGTGACCCACATAGACAGCTTTGGCAGAAGTGGCGCATAAGGGATAAATGCCCTCCTGAACTTGCTTCTTGCTGCTGGTGATGGTCATCTGGAGTGCATCTGTTTCACTTTCGGACGCGGGAGGGGCAGCGCAGTCAGGGCCAACGCCAACCTCGGCCGCCAGAATCTCTGGCAGTCCATCACAAGCGGCTTCGACGCCACGTTTTGGCTCGTTCGTAGCTATTGCGTCATTCGTTACGTTGACACGCGGGCGCGGCACCGCGGCGCCGGGATTTTGTCGGTTCTTCGACTCCTTCTGGTGGCTTTGCGCTTGAGCATCGCTCGAGCGAGTGCGGTCGGCAGCAGTTTTTGCTTGCTCTGAAGGGGGACTGCGGATCGTGCACCCTGTGGCTGAAGTTCGTGAAGTCGTACTGGACACGGAACCTCGACTCGTACGTCGAGAACTCTGCGCTGAGTTTTGCAGTGATCGCGGTCCTCTTGACCGTTGTAGCAGCGATGATCCGCTGGTGGGCCGGCCGGGCAGCCGGTCTTCAGGAACTGTGTTAAGCATATCCATTCCACCAGGCGGAAGCGCACAACTACCACCACTCGAGTTCATGCTGTTCGACCAGTGCTGCAAGGGCACTGCCACAACAGGGTGGCAATTTATTGCTATCGTGGAGCTGAAAGCAAACACGTGCTGCGGGGGAACGACACGCCTTGCAAAGACCGTCCCCGGAGCCGCAGCCTGGCCTGGTGCCGTGGTCGTGCCCACTGTGGGCGTCAACATCCTGCAATTGCCCGGCCTCGTGGGTTTCGGAGGTTGGTGTTCCAATTCCCACGTCTGCGTCGATGATAGTTCCAACTTGTCGCCCAATTCAATATTGTGCCGGTAGTGATCCTCCACCGGGCTGATATCTCTAGATGCGACGCTGTGCTTTTCGTCAGATTCGCAGACGGTCGGTCGCAGCAGTCCGCCACAACCTCGGTCCACGTCCAGACCCAATGACTTCGTCATAAATCCTCGGCGATGATGCTTGGCAGCCTTGATCAGGGTGGAATGGCCTGTAGGCGGGTCGTGAAAAGCATTTTCGTCCGCGTCTCGCGTATCCGCCAATCGGATGCCGGCGTGCGCGCACGCGAGCTGCGCTTCAAGGAGCCTGCGCTTCGCATCTAAGACAAAGGGAAACTGGTCTAGGCTGACCCGGCGTCTCAGCGCTGCTTTCAGCGCGCGGAGGAGCAGCTTGCGCGACAGTACACGTATGTCACAGATTCCTTCTGTCATGAACGTTCCGATACTTCGCACACCCAACAGGCCTATCCAGTGCAAAAATGCCGGGGTCTCTCTGGAGAGTTACAAGGCTGCTCCTTAGGTTTTGCATAGAGCTGTGTCGTCGCAAGTTTTGAGCAGATTCCGCTTCCACAAACACAATGCCTACCCTCCATGAGAAACGCCATCTCGTCTGGGCGCCCCAAAGTGGGTGCCTTTTGCTGGTCAAGCAATGCCGATCCTAGTGTCGCCGCGACGCAGCATGACAAGCGCGGACTTTTCCAGACCCATACGCAGACAACATATTTGCAATGCATAAGGCACGCAACCTCACCGAATACTTCTCCAGCGCATAGAGTTCGCACGATGTAAGATGATGACCGAAATGATCGCGGTGCCAAAGCACTGCCGCGGTCCATTCCTCGAGGCCCCACGAGATGCACGTCGTCTCTGGTTCCGCTGGCCTTGTTGTCATGCCACTGCGACCTCGTAGTCGTAGAGATGGCGCGAGACGACCACTCCTCCTCATTGCAACAGCCCCGCAATACCCAGCGAACTTGCCCCCTGCGGAGAAAGTAAACATCACTCGGCGGCTCGCCGTCTTTGATTAACACCGTCTGGGGCGGCAATATTCTTGTCGCAACTTCGTCACGTAGTTGATTCAGAAAGACGGGATCACAGGCCGCAAAGCTCCGAAAGTGTTCAAAGATATCGCCGAGGCAACGCTGGGCATTTCTTGGGTTAGTCATAGCAAAGACAATGAACTACTTATGGCACATCCGGCGCCCTTGGGTATCGGGCGCACGACATCCCCCCGACGAAAGCAATAATCATCGCCACTCCCAACTTTGTCGCCTGTTTTGAACCGGGTCCATGGGGGCACGCAAGGGAAAAAAGGGAAGGACGAACAGCACCAAACCCCCTGCGGCTGCTGCTTGTCTTCAGACACACCGCGCCAAGGTCCTCGGAAAAATGAAAAGGCTGACAAGATTGCTCGGGAGTCCAAACAAAATAAAAGGCAAACACTTCTACGCTTGACGGGCGGACTCCTGATAAAAATACAGGAAAGACACTGCCGGGTCTCCGTCTGCAGCCAAGGACACCATGCAAGTTCGGGGGGGTCGCAAGCCGTGCCAACTCAACATAACAAAACCGCACGGCAGTCAGGTCTGGCACTGGAAAACGACCAAGAAAAAACCCACCAACACAAGATGGGATGGAATCATGCAAAATACGGCCGGGTTGCGAATTACGATTAGCACCGTCGTCCATTGCTAAACGTAATTCGTGACCAAGCGGCGAACGAGGGTGGGGTAGAGCCACGGGGCTACCGGATGAGACCGGGGCTTCCGGGTGCAGGCACGGAGACACACCTGCGGGGCGACCGAAAAGAACGCAGCAAAATATAGGGGAAGGGGCTTCGCCGTTGGGTACTTCCTGAAGTGGGGAGGGGCTACAGGCTAAAAACGTTAAAAGTCAGGGGCTTGGGCGGCTAAGATACTACAGATCTCTATCGGCTAACTATGTGCGTGTTGGCACGCGCGGCCCGTTCTGTTTTTAAATCTGAACAATGAAAGTGGCCCAAACGCTTACGCAGAGCAGGCGCGGGGGGGTGTACGACATCACTACGCTACTCCATTTGCGCGCATATAGAGGCCTGCGCCTGTCGCGTTGCATTCACCAAACGGGCGCAGCAGTGGCAAGGCGTCCGAAAGCTCGGACCAGAAAGAAAGCGAAGGACGCGGCTACGGAAAGATGCGAGCTGTGCCTGTGCCACGCAGACATGAGCATGACCAAAAGCCACCCAGATGCATAACACACTGCGGAAACCCGCAAGGACTCGAATTCTAGCTGTAGATTGCGGCTAGGGGTGTGCCGTTTGGTACAGTTAAGACGGGCCCCGCGCCTGCCCTTGTGGTTGTGTTCTTGTTCGGTCAAGCGCAACGGGTGGGGGGGGATTGGTATGGGTAGGCGGGGAATGGTCCATCGAATTTCTTGGAAAAAAAACATGACCGAGCAGCAGATGATACACAGGGGGCAGAAAGGGCCTCGTGAGGGTGCAGGTGGGATTCACGAAGTTGATCAAAGATCATCTCTGGCATCATCTAGAAGGACCGGGCCGCAGAAATTAAAACTCAATAGCATGCTTTGTGGTGCACCTGTTGTTTAAGTTTTGTCAGAGACAATCATGCCTATGCGACCAATCACAGCTCGAGTGACACCACGTTCACACATACGGAGCTATTCTCCCAGCACATCTAAAATCCGCTGTTCTCAACTCCCGGGTGGGTAGTTGTTGGAAAAGAACGGGGCAAGTTGACCTCGGGCGAGATCAAAATATCCTGGATTGGGTTTTTCTCTTTTTTTTGCTTAGTGTGAACGACATACAAGAAAGAGAAATCCAGTGGACCTTGGTTGCCCGGCATCTCCCCCGGGGTCCGCGACGAGATCACCTTTCTCGACCCCAGACCCACTACTTCTAGTAGTACTACTTCAAATATATAAATATAATAAGGCTCGCTCCTGCCCTTGTTGTCTACTGTTTGTGCTTCTGTAGCATAAAGTCGCTCTTCTCGGTGTTGTGCTACAACTACTAGCCACGGTCACACTGTCTCCGCCTTTGGGAACCGGCTCTCGAGAGCGTGGTGATGGGTTACCTAAAAAGTCACTGATCAACTTCAACGGAAGCCATCCTATCATGACCAACTAAGTACACGAAAACAACCAACAACGCGCCACCACTTGTGCACGGCGACACCGCTGTCGCGGCAACGACTCACGCTCTCAGTTTTTCTGCTCCATGCAGTGGCTGCAGCTCCAGGAAGTGGGACTACACGAACGCCAGCACACGAAACAACGCAAGGCCCACGAGTTCGCTTGCGCAGTGTCCACAGTCAAGCGAAACACTACGGCGGGCTTGGTGCGCCCGCGTTTTCTCGAAAAGGATATAAGTCAAGCTTGAAACTGTTTTGGACTTTAATACGAGGCGACATCATGCATGCAGATACATTTTGATTTTGGACCTGGCCTGATGAAGATGAAAGATCGCGCATCGATCTTTTGACGCATTCCTGTCATTTGTTTTGCACCAATTAACTATCCTGTCATTCGTTTTTGGTTTTGTTTTTTGGTTTGGATAAACAAACTCAAGAAGCTCACTGAGGAGTAGATAAGAGGGCGGCACGCCACCGACTAAGCTACGCCGAAGAAGCCACGGCGGGCTCTCGCGTCGTGCCACTTGGTGGCTTCTAGGGAGCGCGCCCGTTGTATCGCCCCCCGATCATTTGCCGGAGATCGCTTCTGGTGGCCCCTGTTGAGGGGAACTGCTCCGACCGGCTCGTCTGCTCGATCGCGCGCCAATCCATTGTCTTCCACAACATGGAAACCCTTGGCGGAAGTCGCTGCCACATGTGGGAGACCTTCGCGCCGTCATCCTTACCCGCGTTCAGTCACCGCCGCGTCGGGCCCCCTTTCTTCCCCCTGCCGACCTCGTCCGTCCGGTGTATGTGACACGGAGCGGACTCGGTTCGGTGTCGGCCGTGTCGGAGAAATGGCGGCCCTCGCCTTCGTTTGGGTTCGCTTTCTCGTTGTAGTAAAAATCGATGCCCCTTCGCACAAAAGGGTCCTGCGTCTTTATACTGCCGAAAAGCGCCCCTGCTGCCCGACGAAGAGACGGACGCAACGCCGCGGCCGCTTCAACAATAGAAAGAAGTGCGGGCCCCAAGGCTATCAGCTATCAGGCGACCCAGTGCCAGGGATCATCTGCGCGCCACAGGTCCCCGATCGCGTTTGCGTTCGTGCATGCACTGGATCGGCGTCGGCCGCTAGCCGCGTCACAGACAGACCCACACGCGGGCGCGGCTCGTTTTCTTTTTTCGATGCGGAGGCGCGCGGCCGTCCGTTTGGCGGCCGTCAAGACTGCCACCTCCTCGCCGGCCTACCAGCCTTACTTTGGCACGGAAAAGGCTGCATCAGGGGAGGCGGCTGGCGCAGCGGTCGTAGGCTTTGCGCGAAAAAAATTTATTTGTCCTGCCCTGCGGTGCCTTCAAAGGGAAAGACACGCCGGCCATTCGCGCCTTCTCAAAACGAGACAACTTCGCACAAAGGCAACCGCCTGCAACAGCACTTGCCCGGCGTAGGGAAAAAAACACGCGCCAAAAACTGGGCCGGCAAAGCAATTGGGCGCAAGCCTCCCCGGTGGCCGGAGGAGGAAGTGGGCGCCCTGCCTCTTATGTTCACCTGCCTGCGCGGAGCCCTCCGACCTGCTGCCCGTCCGTCCTTTCTACGGTTCTGCTTTGGCCCCGCAACCGAGCGCCCTGATCATAGTTGGAGACGGGCCGCGGGCGCTGTCGTGCGCGCTTGCATTAAGTCCCCGGCAATAGAGGCCGCGGACGCGTGCCGCGGTGCGGCGCATGAAAGACCTTGGGCCCATTCACCGCATGAGTGTCGCACCCGGGAAAACTGAAACACTGCGCCCCCCGTGCCAATGCTGGCAGGAGATGGTGAAAGTGGATAACCTAAACCCTGAAGCCTAAGCCAAACCCTTCCGGATCGATCTTTAGCAGCCGGCGAAGACGGAGGAGCAGTGGCTTGCGGGTCGGAGGAGAGACGGGCGCGGCGGCAGCCATCCCGAGACGGCAGCGGCGGCGGCCTACCTAAACCTAGGACCTAGGAGAAAAAAACTGCTTGGCGCCAGTTGGGCCCGGGGAACAAGAGGCAAGCAAAAAAGGAGGCCTTAGTGCAAAAACGATCGCCAAAAAGCAAGGGAGAAGGCATGCGCAAACTGAAGTCCAGGGCGTGCGACCCATTTTCTTCGTATGCTTCAGCAGTGCTGAGAACGCTCCGGCCCTAATCCCCTAGGCGCCGAAACCCTAGGAGGTCTACGTACGTATGCGCAAAACGGTCGAGAAAGACGAGGAAAAAAATCTCTCGGGGGGGCCGAGAAGTCGCCATGTCGACACACTCAGGCGGGAACAAATCCGGCTCGGGCGAGGGCGATAAGCAAGGCGATAAGGCGACGGCGAGATGCAAAAATGGTAGCAGCTGAGTAGGTGCTCGCGGCTTTCCAGGAACTTGCGAAGCCGTTTTTTTTTGCAAGTGGCACCGCCAAGCGTTGCAATTTAAGAAGCCCGCGAAGTGCGTTCTACAATTACGACGAAACTACTTTAAGGCCGACCGCTTTGGGTAGGTTTTGTTGCTACGCGGCCACTTGCAACAGCGAGGCCCCTGCGCCTGCAGGCTTTTATGCTTGGCGGCGGCCTTGAAGAAGCTTGCGGCGGGGCCCTACCTCGACATCTTCTCAACCTCCCGAGGGACTTCCTAGAGGCCCCGCAACAACTTTCCCCGGGGATTCCTGGGCGCCCCTTAGCTAATTCCTTAGGCGCCTACTTCGGGGCTTCAGCCTGCTGCGGGCAAGGCGCAACAGATACAGCGAACAAAACGCAAAAAGGCAAAGCGCGAAAAGCAAAGCGGGAAAGCAGAAAAAACGCAACCGCTTCGGATGTCGAAGGCGAGGCGGCACCCGGAAAACGCGGCCAAGCGCATATGCGTGGGCCCCCGAAGGCTCCGCGGGCGGGCGCGGCTTTTGGGCGTTGGTTTGAAAATGCAGCCGGCTGCACTAGCGCGGGGCGCCGAAGGGCCCGCGCCTTTTCCGGATTTGCAAGCGGGGCCCGCAGCCGGCCAGAATGGACAACAACGAGCCCAGGGGGCCAGGCTGATCCCCAGGCGTGGCGAGTAGTAGCGGCCTCATACATTCGCTTACGCCCCCGGCCCGTTGCCCTTCTCGTCTGTAGGTATACGCAAGCCAAGGCGGCCCCCGAGGCGGCCTCGAGGCTATTGCCAATGTCCCTTGCATGCGCTGCACATGGATGGCCAACCAACAGCGGCGGCCCGCTTTCCCTCTGGCCTGTGCTTTTTCGGGTTTTCGCATGAGACAAAAGAGGGGCGTCTGCCTGCAATTCGACGAACAAAGTCGGTCCGTTCGCCGCCGAGCGTTCTTCCGCTCTGGACTTCGAAGGCGGGGCGGCACCCGAAAAACGCAGCCAAGCGGCCAAGCGCGGGCCGCCGAAGGGCCCGCGACCGCGCCTTTCGCATCTAACAGCGCAGCTGGCGGGCTGCGCTAGCGCGGGCCCCCGCCGGGCCGGCGGGGGCTTTTCCAAGTTTAAAACCAAAATAGGAGCCCTTAACTTTTCGAAGCCCTAGAGCCCTGCTGCGACGGCCGCTGGACCGGGATGAAGACCGGGACGTGACGGAAAGAGGAAGGGAGGCGTGGAGGAAGAGGAGAGATGGCGGTGGAGCGGGGCCCGTAGTAGGACATCGGGGAAACTAGCCAAACTCATTTTCATGCGCACATCGTCCTGTGCACACTTGGAGAAACTCCAAGTTCATTCAAAAAAGCGGAACCGGCCACGGGGGCGGGCCCGACAACAACGAGCCCAGCGGGCCCACTTAGGGCCTGCGCCCGGGCTCGCGCATCTACACGCAGCGGCTTCGCATCCGCATGCAAGCCCGTGCGCGCTTTTTGCCAGTATATGCAAAAACTGCGAACGCGCGCAACGTGCACGAATTACAGCGCAATCGCTTGCCAACTTCTGCTTCTCAGCCTACTACCTCTTTGCCGGATTCGCACCAACTTCGGAGCCACCTCCTCGCCAAGTAGCTAGTTGAGAGCTGGCGCCCGGCCTCGGGTTTATACGAGTGCGACACTTTTGCACTGGATCGGCTCTCTCATGCAACGACTCCACGGGCCTGCATTCAGAAGCGACCGAGGGCCGGAAGGAAATTCTTTGCAAGTCGCGGGCTGGGGCGCTTTTTCTTTTAGTATCGCTTAGCGGAAATTCTTCCGTCTGCACTCCACCTACGCTCCCGCTCCCACCATTATAGAGGTGTCCGACGTGCTGCCCATACATGCCGATATGGAAAAGCAGCGAGTGTCTTGGCGCAACAAACTTCCAGCCCGTGCGCTGCGCGGCTGCAACCATGGACCAGTCGAATTGGTAGCTGCTTACAGTGTCGCCGCCTGCTCTATTGCGAATTTTGCGGAGCGCGTCCTCAGCAGCATGCAACAGGGTTCGCGCAGCGTGTCGCGTCAACACCAGCCCTGCGGCCCCGCCTGACTCCTTCTGCTCCAAAGCAATCGCTATCCAATGTAAGCATGTCTTTCTGACCCCCCCGGGGTAATATTATTGCGGGCTTCGGGCTCGGATGAACGCGCGCACGCACAAGCGCGGGCCTGCCACGCTGGGCCAGTTATCGCCTGGGCCTTCGCGCAACAAATTCACGCAAGAAAATGGAACCACCCTGTTGCAGCGTCGCATCCTGTTTATGGTGATCGCCAAACCCACAGACCCCCTCAGCTATTCCAGTCACGACCTAAAAGCATTCGAACTCGCCCCACTCCCTGTAATTAGTGCCAGAAAGATACACATGGCGCTGTGTACTACTACTACTAGTACTACTAGTACTACTAGTGCTACTACTACTAATACTGCTATATCCGTGAAGTTCCGCGCTGAGCTTGAGTTTTTGTCATGGATGGGCAGTGCTTTGCGATCTCTTGGTCCTGGGGAACCGGGCCGGGCCGGCGCCGGCCACTCTCTAGATGGACTGGGCCGCTCGGCGACTTCCCAATTCTGTGCCTCACGATATTTCAGGCCTCCGCCTGCCGGGGCCCGTGGCGTTCGAAGGCCGTAAAGCATGGCGGGGCTGCCTTGATACATAGCGCCGCTGCCGTGGCGTGGTACTGGTAAAAACCTACGCCCGGGCCCAAGGTGATAACACAAGGGCAGGCGGTTCCAAGCAGCGACCAACCCTTTGGGCTGCGTCGTTGCATGCGGTGCCCCACGCCTTGCCCGCGCTGCCTCGTCACTAGTTTCACAGCAAGCAGGCCGCGACAATGTGACTGCGGCCCCAAAGGGGTCGCAGTCAAACCAGACTAATCTGAATGCAAATTGTCGCGCGCACTGACAAGAGCACTGTGGTGGCTATTGCAATAATTCCCGACCCGCCCCCGACGGCCGCCAGCGCGTGCCCCCGACCAAAAATAACGCAGCCCAAGCCGCTAACAAAAGCCGGCGTCCGAACAAATTCCAGCGGGGCCCGCGACAGAGGCCCACCACGCACACCCTTCCGATTAAACGCGCCCGAGTACGAAAGCGCCTAAGGCACACCGGCGGGACTGCAAAAAGTTCGCCCATACGCTGCGCGGCAAAAACACACGAAGGCGGTTTGCTCGCGGCACGCACGCGGCCACCTTTCTGGAAAACAGAGGACCAATAGAACCCCCCTCCGAAGCCTGCTAGTCTTACCAATAATAGCCGCCCCATCGAGGGTAGTGAGGTCAAGGCGATTTTTGTGACTGCCCGCCCCCATTTTCCTTACTGTTCTCGCGCATTCCACTAATGAGCGAAGTAGTCGCGTTGTTTGCCTCGAGTATTCCGTCGCGTAAAATATTACTCCGCATCATGGTGTCGCGGATGGCAGAAATCACAGCCACAGGCCTCCGCCTTCGCGTCTCCCAAGCCCGGAAGCCTCGCCCACCTGCTAAGCTATGGCCCCGCCAAGGCCTCCACCAGCGCCAACCCCCTGGGCGCCCCGAGTCGGGCCTTTTAAAGGCCCGACGCTAAAGGCTTCAGCATGCGGATTGGCTTTCAGATTTTTGCGGACTTTGCTTCTTTGGGTTTTTTTTGTTGAAAAGTCGCACTGTTTGGCCTGTTCCCCGCATTACAAATGCCAGATTTTGGTGGCCGGCCTCGCGACCTTCAAAAGTGAGCCAAAATGGGGCCCATGCCATGCGGCTTCGCGCTGTTTTTCGCCTTGGCATTTTTCCGGCGCCCCTTTTTGGGCGGCCCAAATCGACGGAAATAGGTGCGCTGGGAGCCTCGGAAGGGCGCCCCTTTTGCCGGCTCCCCTGCATCGTTTTATCCCGTGCGAGTCGATAGCCTTCGACCGGGCTTGTTTGATATCAAAGCCCCGGCCGCTTGATCATTGAAAATCTTTTTTGTCAAAAAACACTTCCGCCCGCTTGAAAACTGCCGGTCGTTTTGCGCGATGCCTGGCAAAAAAGCCGCTAGATTAGAACGCTCGTGACCTCACTACATACAACGCTGCAAGTGTTTTAGTTTTTCTATTAGATCATTTTGACCTCCGACAAACTGTTTGAAGTGCCACGTTTGCGCTGGATAGTCGAAATACTTGGGCTGGGCGCAAGGGCCGCAATCGGTTTGTGCCAATTCAGCTTGTGTGACGGGTTGAACAACGATAGGATGCACATTTTTCCGGTTTCGTTTCTCTCCGAAGAGGCATCTGCCGGACTAACAACGCCACTGTGCCTAGTATCTTTGCCAAACAACGCCGACGGTGGTGCCGCCCGGACCTCCCCCGCCTGTGAATTCCACGTGCCTAGAATCTGCTGCATCGCCAGGCCAATGCCCTTCGCGGGAACCATGTCGGAATCCAGCAGCAGAAGCGCTTCGTATTCCGGGCGCTGATCGAAAAAAAACCGAGCCAAGAGGTGGGTCGTTATATCAGCCTTTAGTTGCTTCACATGTTGATTTTTCAACATATGTTCATCGGTCGCAAGTAAATGCCTCGAGCTGAGCACGTGGCTCTCCGGCAAACCAAACCAGTGCTGCAGATCTACCAACGAGTACTGGTCACTGTTGTCATCCATGATGTACAGATTGCGTTTCGGAATGTCGTTAACGGCCAAGTGCTGGCTCAGAACCTCGGATAGGAACCGCACGTACCCAATGCGATTGAACGTTGGGATGCCGATCATTATTTTAACCGGCTCTGGAGATTGTGCCGTGGCTATCTTTGACGCAGCCGCAACGCTCTCAACCAATCCCGCCGTCAGCGCCCGCTGCTTGACAAGTTCAGCAGGTTCGACCGGCTTTGTGATTGGCGTGCGATGTGGGTGCTTTCCGGCGGGCAAGACGTAGTTTCTAACTCCCGACGCCTTTTTCGAAGCACCCGGCAGATTATATATTCCTTGGGATTTTCGTGCCCACCTTCCACAACCTCCTGCCGCAACCCCCCCCCCCCCCCCGAACGAAAACACCGGCCAAAGGTCCCGGCCACAACTTCCGGCCAAAACCCTCCGGGCCCCCAGGTCCGAGGGGCGCCGCAATGTCTCGGGAACGGACCCTGCAGCCCCCGAATGATCGCGCGCCCGCCCTTCCTCGAGGCACCATCGTCCCCGGACGCTCCGACTCCCATTCCGCGGGGCCCTTTGTGGCTCCAACAAACGGGCTGCCGATTTCCCGGGCCTTGTTCACACAAAGGGGGAGGCGTGCCTCGCACAGTGGGCCTCCTGCAAAGCATCGGCCCCCATCCAGATCCCGCGAGCCATTGAAGATCCGGAGTCTCCGGCCAACCCTTCCCTCGGGCCCCAAGCCGGCCCGACTTTACGGGGGGGGAAGCGATGCAATCTGGCCCCGGGACTCCCGAAGCCCCCGACCCCGGAAACAGGCCCCCTGCCGCTGGGGCCCGAGCCTCCACGCCGGCACGGGCCCGGCGCTTCAGGAATTCCCGGAAACAAACCCTTCCTACGACGCACAGGCCGCCGAGACCGCCAGCCCCTTCTGGCTTTGGACGAAAAAGCCCCGGGCCCGATGGCGAAAAAGGCTCGGGCCGCCGACAATCGAACCCCGGGGCCTTCGTTCTGGCCTCCTCATCTGTTACATTCTCAACTGTTACGCAGCGAGGTAGCGACTTTTGATCATTTTAACTAGCTATACACCGCGGCAGCTAAAAATATTAGTTTTTTTAATTAAAGCTGTGCTTTTTGGAATCGCGGCGGACGGCTGGATCCAGGGAGCGGCAAGGCGGAAATCCGGAGCCTGCAGCTGCATCATCGTCATCATGTAATGGACACCCGCTCCCAGCGCCACAGGTCAAGGATCCCCTCCCCGGGGGGTGGGCGAGGAAGCACTTTCGGCGACCTCATCATACAAAAGCCGAGCGCTACCACGGCAAGTCGCCCCAAGAAAAGTGCCAACCAGTCGGGAGCTACCCACCACGCCTGATCAGTACAGCCTGCCCGGCCAGCTAGCCGAGCGCGACAGCCCAACATTCAGAACGACCCAGGACCCGACCCATTTTACGCCATAAGTTTTTGCTCTCACGGAAGAGGCGACGCACCCCTTTGGGTTAAGGGGCGAGGCTCTCCCTTAAGCCGCAACCCCACCCGGACAGGGGAGGCTGGGCCATTTGTGCCTTCCCTGCGGCACGGGCGAAAAAGGCAAGCGCGCGGACCGTAGACGTCAAACCATTGGCCAGCTGTTTGGCACTGCTGACGGGCAACCCACCTGGGGCACAGCGACAACTTAAAGGCTTGGCGTGTGCGTGGCGGTCGTCTTAGTGCAGCCCCTTGCCTTATTCTGCAACAGAAGCGAAGGGCGGGCGGGGGGGCTGGGATCGTAAGCCGGAGGCGCGTCGGGGCTTACCAATTAAGGGTGGCCGGCAATCCCCTTTGCATATTGAGCCCCCCGCTTCCAAACTAGCTCCGTCCTGCGCCACCAATAAACTTCCTTCTGTTGCAGAGTGAACCAACGTCCCAGGACCGCAGAGCGCTAAGTCCACTGAACCCGGCGCAAGCCTCCTCGGGACTCCTCGCCACCTCCTGTCTGCGCGGGAGGCTTGCGGGAGCTACAGTCTTGCACTTGTAGCACGCCTCTGCTGACTTTTTCTTTCGTTTTTCTTAGTTCTTGCGCAGCGTTTCTCTACGTTCTGACTCTCGTGCGTTCTGTTCAACAAATTTGCTTCAAAAGCCCTCTGCGCGGCACGGTCTCAGTGTGACAGAATCTCAGTGGCTCGAGTGGACATCACTAGGCTGCTCGCGCGCTTGCCTGTAGATTGGCCGAGAAGTCGGCGCGTCCTCCGCCTCCTCTTTCTTCCTGCCTGTGGCCCGACGCAACATCTCGCCCAAGCTCCTGGGTGTGGGTTGCTCGCCTGCAATGAATATGAATTGCAAAATCCCGCCTCCAGCATGACAAGTCTGCCCGCCTGACGCATGAACTCTCTCTAATACCTACAAAGGCCCGCCTCCTGGGGCTCGGGAGCAGCTGGCTTGTCGCGCTGGAGTGGGACTCCGGAGTTGATAACTCGCGACCACCCGCAGAAGGAAGGCCCCCCGGAAGGCACGCAGCCACAAACAAACGCGATAGATTTTGTGCAAAAAAGTTAATAGTTCTCGCTCCCGCTGGGTATAACTAGCTAAAATGATCAAACGTCACTAGCTCGCTACGGAACAGCTGAGAACGTAGCAGCTGAGGAGCCCAGACTCGTCGGGGCTCGCTTCTGGAAACAAAGGTCCCCGAAAGCTCCGGCCCTTCGAGGAGGGGGCGCGCTCCTGGCCGCTAGCGGCAGGGGTGCGGCCGCGAGGCCGGAGCGCGGGGGCGCAACGAGCAGGGGGAAGGCCGCAAAGGGCATGGGCCCGGCTGCGCGGGCTAGAGGGAGGGGGCTTGGCTAGAGCAGAAGGCGTCCCAAGCTAAAGCTCCAGAGTGCCGCGGGCCGGGCTGCTAGGCTCGCCCCGAGCTGAAGCGCCAGAATGCTGGTCACCAGCACCCAGCACCCTGGCGCTTTAGCGGGGAGACTCACCGGGTGGGCCTCTCCGCTACAACCGGGGCTGGGCCCTTAGCATTTGCAAGCACTACGGGAGGGCGCGCCGCCCCCGAGTGCCGTGCGATTCTTGCGGGGGGGAAGGCGTGGCGGGGTGCGTGCTGCGTGTGTGGTTTCTGATGCGAAACGAGTTCCAGGCACAGACGACACGCGACGAAGAGCACGAGGCGGAAGTAGGGCGCGAGACTGCGAAAGTAAGGCACTTGCTGCCGAGTCAGGAAGCTCCGCGTAGATTGTAATTGTGTCACATGTCTCGCGCCGTCCTGTCATGGCGGCAGGGCGCATACTCCGACAGCGATGGGGAAGAGGGTAGGCAAGGCCTACCAGCGACTATGCGCGATCCTGATACCACTCCAGCGCGGGAGGGTTGGGGGAATTTCGATCGCGCGATCGGGCCGGGCGGCGTTTAGGAGAGACGGGGCGCTTGCCAAGTTCTTTTTTTAGCCATCAAGGAAGCAGATACATAGTACGTAGGGCAGTGAGGATGAGGAGCCCGGCCCTGCATGCCATACCTATCAAACCACCTCCCCTGGCCTTCGCTGCCTGGACTCACAGGCCCGCCAGCCGTTCGGAGATAGTGAGCGTGTAATTTGTATCAAGTGAGTGTCTCGCGTCGTCCTGTCATGGCGGCAGGGCGCATATTCGGACAGCGATGGGGAAGAAGGTAGGCAAAGCCTACCAGCGACTATGCACGACCCTGATACCACTCCCATCCATCGCAGGAAGGGCCGCGCACTTCACTTGTCTCCATTGGCAACACGGACCGCGCCGCGTCCTGAACGAGAGAGCCTGCCCCCCCACTCGGCCGGAGGCCTTGCCGTTCTTAGGCCCACTACTAGCTAAGGGAGACGGAGAGCGAACTGGGGTGAAGATTGCGCCCACACTCATGAGTGCGGCGACAAGACCCCGCGCGCAGTTCTCGTCGCACAACGAACGCGAAATCGCGGGAAGGCGACTGCAGGGCGACCACCCCGGCGCCCCCGCAACGCGGGGGGCGCCCTTTGATTCCGTACGAAAGGTTAGCCACGTGAGGGCTTTTGTGGCTTGCCGCTCCTGTGTGATGTCCTTGCTCCGCGTTTTCGCGGGTTACGAGAGGCGCGCACCCCTGGAAGCGTCCTCCCCTCCGGCCGCAGTACCGGCTTAGCGCGAGGTCCCTCGTCAATCGTATTCCGCGCATGGTCTTGTATGGGGCCTCGCTTCGGCAGCCGAAGCCCCTAAAACGCGCAACGGAGCATCTGCGCAGCGACCTGTAGCCGCCTGTGATGTCCCGGCCTGTAATCCGGAACGCTCCCCACAGAATCGGCCGCCTGGCCTCCTTCCTCCCTAGAGCAGGCGCGGCGGCCCCGGCCTTCTAGCGCCCACGCGTGCCGTCGGGCGCCCGGATGTGGGACTGGCTGCAAGGCTGCGCTGTGCGCTGCTCGTGCGGAAAGCTAGGGCCACTCAGCCCGCCAAAGCTATGCCGCAACCAGAAGCACGCGGCGCATTTTCTGCCGGACCGTGCACGTGCGCGGTGATTCACGGGCGAGCGACCCCCGGCCGAGGACGTCGCGGGTACGTGGGCCGGCGCCGGCCCTTGTCGGCTGAAGGGGCTGCGACGTAGCTATGTAGATGCTCCGGGCCCTACGCCTCGCGCAGTGCTCTGCGGCTGCACCGCTCGCGTTTGTTCCCCGAGCGAGGATCTGCACTTGGTCCCCAGCTCGGAACGCGGACACAAGCTGGCCGCGGCAGTACCCGCCAGCACTTGGCTTCTGCACGTTACTACTGCGCCCCCCTGACTCGGTGCAGCGCTAGGTGAAAGCGTCCAGAGGAAGAAGCGGAAACGTCGGGGATCGCGCGACCGAGTCGGGCTGCGTTTAGCCGAGACGGGGCGCTTGCCCAATTTTCAGGCAAGTAGATACATAGTAGGGCATTGAGGATGAGGAGCCCGGCCCTCCCTCGCACACCTATCAAACTGCCTACCCTTATCTTTTCTCTGCCTGGGCTCACAGGCTCGCCAGCCGTTCGAAGATAATGAGCGTTTTTATTTGTTTGGTTTCTTTCGTCGGATTATGATTATCCGCGCAGTGTGGTACTGATTGTGCTGATCGTTTTCATGTAATGGCGTACGGCGTTCGCCTACATACTTTTTCCCGGAAAGCAACATTTACCGCCGAGCATACTTTTTTCCTGCGCCGGCGATGTGACCGAAGCCGGCCACCTGGAGCTGGCTGCCCGAAGTCGCCTGCTGGATGATCTGGAGAGCTGCGCTCCATCCCCCATATACGGCCCATGGCGTACTGCTTTGGCGAATCCGCGGGGCGACTTGGATCGGCGACGCAGGTCCTGGCCATGGAAAGGCTTTGGCGTTGCAAGAGCAATTTCTACGCCGTGAAGCAGTACAGCAGCGAGATGATGAAGCGGCGGACCTACTAGGAGGGCCAAAGTGCCCGAGGTATGACGCCAGAGGCCGGCCGATCCCATCGGCCTGGGTTGTAGTTCCTGCTGCGCCGGAACCGGGTCCCGCCCTGGGAGATCGATGCCCGCTGATAGCGGTATCCAGCGAAAAAGCGCGGCGCCGCGCGTTCTCTATTTTTCGCTACATCGATGAGATGCAGGGTGGGAGAGAGTGCACTCGGTCGCGGCGCGCGAGTGGCGACGGGCTACCTCCGCTCCGCACCGTACCGGGAAGAAATCTTGGCAATAAATCGCGGACTGGCCGCGCGCATCCTGTTCAAAAATATCGCACTCACACAAGTAGAGCACTTTCCCGGCTCGCTGAAAATCTCTCGCCAACCTTTATTTTCGCGATCTCCTTACCAACTTCCCCATCTTCGGCTTTCGATCTATCAGCTCCCCAAAAACTCTGCCCAAGGCTTCCCATCTGCCTTTGGCCAACATCGCGCGAGCTCGCGGCCAAGCTCGCAGTCGCGGACGAGCACAGCCGCCAGCTGCGCTGCCTTTCTACCCACTGCGGCCGCGCCGCGGGCCCGTGCGGCGGTCGAGTCAGACAGCCGCCTCAGAATCCGGCAAGGGCGGGGGCCACCGCCGGGCCTTTTTCGTGCTTTGCGGCTGTTACAGTGCCAAAAAAATAAGCGCCCTGCGTGCGAAGTCCACAGGCTGACCATTGTGGGGGCCCGCCGCACAATACGAAGGCCCGGGGCCCCGTCGTCGGGCCGCAGGGGAAGAATGCCCCGGCCGCGAACTTCGCTCGCTCAACCTGGCTCGCTGACGGCGGCCGGTGGCCACGCCATTCCCCGCCCCGAAGCGAACCCGGAAAGAACACCCCCAAAGAAGAAACGGACCGCCGGCCCGAAAGCGCTCCCCCCTTTTCCCAGAGTCACAAGCCCGGCTCTTCCCGCGATATGCTTCAAGCCTGCCCAGGGTCGGCCAGTTTGAATGGAGGACATGGGGCTTAGGGCATTTCAGAAAATAGGCGCACTCACCTGGTAGGCCCCTGCTACTTTCGTGCGAAAAATTTTCTTTTCCACGGCAAACGTTTCCCGCTTTGCTACGCCAACCCTTGGGGTCGCTTGAAAGTTAGGGGGCCCACCTTTTGTTTTTTTCCCATTTCGGGGGCCCGAGCGGGCCCGCTTTTCCCCGTTCCCCCCCCCCGGGCCCGGCCCGCGGATCCTTCTTCGGGGGCGGGGCCCCCGGCTCGGCCGGCGAGGAACAAAACAAAAGCCGCGGCGAAAGAAACCTAGCCCCGCCCGAGCCGGGCCGCCCGGGCGGCCAAATGCGAACACACGGGCAGAAAGGGGGGCCGGCCCAAAAAGCCCCCAGCCAGGGGCATTCCACAGCCCGCGCGCGCGCTAGCACTGGCTTGCCGGCGCCCCGTGGCCCACAAAACAGTCACTACTTTGCTTTTTTTCTATCCTGCTTTGGAGTGCAAACACTGTTTGTTTCTTTGCCGCAAAGAAAGCCCAACAAAGCGGGCGCCCCTTTGCGAAAAAAAGCAAACAGGGTGAGGCGCCAAACAAGAGGCAACAAACTGCAACAGCCGAAAAGCCCCGGGGCCGCTTCGCTCTTCCGCCAATACGTGGAATCCCGTCCCGGCCCATTGGCCGGAATATCCCAAGACGCCTGCGCCCCGCCACCAACACCAGAAAGACTCTTCAGGCAGGCTCAAGCCTCCCATGGTAGTTGGGGGGAATATGGAAGGCAAGAAGACGACGCGCTGGGGCCCCGGGGAATAAACCGAAAAAATCCCTGCGCCGTTCGGTTTTTGAAGGTTCGGACACAGGCGCCGTCTCCACGGCGGGAGGCCGATTCTATTGACAAAACCATCGGCCCCGGGCGGTCGCGTGCAAATGGCGGCCCCTTGCTTCTGTGGTCAGTTCGGCGCGGATGGATGCCCTTTGCAGCCCAACCCACAGAACGGCGATGCCAGCTCACCGCGCTGCCACTTTCGCGCCAAAGCCTGGCATGAACCGGGAAGGCTGCCCCGTATGTGACGAAGGCAGGCGCCGCGGCATTTGCCACGCACTTCTGGCGCCGGGCCGGGGGGTTCCCCCGCGAACGAGAAAAACATACACGCAGGAGCCCGATGGCCCCTCTCTGGAAACGGCTGAGGGGCCCGCAGCTTCGAGCCTTTTCATAGGCGCAGGCCTTGCCCCTTGCTCTACCGCTTTCTTTGCCTTGCGCTACGCTACCGGGGCGATTTCATACTCATCCAACGAACACAAAGGTGGGCCGGCCGTTTGGAGAAACACACCAGGACAAACAACGCGCGCGGAGTCCGCTTCTGCTGCTGGGCTCCTTCGCGCGCTGCTGTGTTTGATGGCTTGATCATGTCGGAGGGTAGCGCTGGCTTTCGCGGGCTTGATCGAAAACCACGAACCCTCTGCCGGCCTTTGGGCCGACAACATTCCCGGCCCCGCCGCCACGAACGTCGCGAAGGCGCCAGGCTATGCTCAGCGGCTACACAGCCGCCACGTTCTTGCTCTTCGCTTCCACCAAGCGGCCTGCGGGCGAGCGTGGCCGGGTTGACTACTGTCCCACTGAACACACGAGAGCGGCCTGCCTCACACGGAAATGCCTGTCGGCTGCGCGAGATAGCCGCATCTCTCCCCGCAGTCCGCCTCAACATTGCCAGCATTATTCAAATCACAATGGCGCGCACTCAAACTCCAGGGAGTCGGGCAGCGGCGTGTTCGTCTTGGTTGTTCTTTTTCCTCTTTTCTCTTGGGCCTGCTCACGCACTTAGCACAGAGGAAACCGACTAAGACTAACTCTGGCGCAAGGCTCTATTTTTTGCTCTGTGGGCTCTCTAACTACTTCTTGCTCTTTTGGCTCTACGAAGCTATTTTCTCTGCGGGCACTTCTACTCTGCTACTTTAAACTTAAAGAGCTACCTACGGCTCTGCGATAAAATTTTGCTTTTTGCGTAGTACGCTAAAAACTACCTAAACTGCTACCTCCGGCCCTACACGGCGCGCGGGTTAAACTTCGGAAGCATGCACAACAACCAGAAGCAGTCCGAGGACGCAGACTGCTGCCTCGCTTCTGTTGGCGTTCCTACACTTCTTCTCGGCGCCGGGGAACTTTGGGGGCTGTCGACGCTTCTAGTGGGCCCTCCTGCCGTCTTGCGCTTTTCTACGCCGCAACCCTGGCCGCGCCTTTCTTTGCGGATGATCGGCGGCCTACTTTAGTCCCGGCCCTTTCGGCCCCGGGGATAGTGGGCATGCCCTTTGTCAAGCTTTTGCGACTTAGAATCTTTGGAGCGGCGCGCCTTTGGGGGGGGAGTGTCAGCGTGCGCGGCTCCTCGCGTCCTTGTGTCTCGTCATCCTCGTACACTCAGCGCGAGCATGATATACGAACACTTTCAGCCATTTGAGCTGTCTCATCTGTGAGTGCTCGCAGACTCTGGGCAGTGACCTGAGTCTCTGGTCCGATGTGAGAACTTTGCTTCAGAAACTTTCGCGCGTCGGCGGTTTCTTTCTCCTTGCGTGCTTGCGTGTTCAAGTTCAGGCTCTAACACAAGTAGGAGGTGCTCAGCATTTATGAGATCCCACCCAATAACTTTCCTTAGGGAGGGGGAGGGCGCGTGCTGAAGGGCCATTCTGTATACCGATACATAGGCGCTTCGAGAAATCCTTAATAGTCGAGACGGGAAGTAGAGGCTTGCTGCCACAGTCAAAGTCAATACGTTTCCGCTTACTATTTGTCTTTCTTTGATTGTTCATATTTCTTGTGCTGTCAGGGCATGGCTCAAGTTTGTACTCGGCCCAATTCGAGATTGTTTGCATCGTCCTTCGTCCTCCTCGTGCAACTCTCTAAATGGTCGCAAAGCTGCTCCTGCCTAACAAGATATATAGCAACGATATACATAGATATACTCAAGTCAGACACCGGGAGATGAGAGTAAACCACTATCGATCCCGCCTCTCTGTACAGGTAAATGTAAAAAGAGCATTGAGATTTTCTCACTTGCAGTCGTATATCTACACGCAGTTTGTTAGCTCATGCTCTTTGTTCTGTTGAGTTAATTACTATCGATCGCGATCCTCTAATGCAATCGCGTCGGATCGCGGTAGCAAGTGTTTCCCTTTCTTCGCTAGCTTGCCGCCTGCACATGAGGCCCACGCCCTATCTTGAGCGTCTCTCTTCATTGTTCGCGAGGTAGCGCGTCCGGGAGCCTGCTGACACTTTGCATTGATGAGCGGGCCGACGAATCAAGGCACAAGCAGGAAATAATAGCGGCAGGGTGTGAGATCAATATCCGCTGGCAGCAGTATTTTCTCGGCTCTGCAGCAGGGCAAGCGCCATCTCTTCGTTCACGGGAGGCGCATCGTCTAGCCCTTCTCTCATAAAGTCCTTCATAGCGACGATCTTCAGGAACGCATCCTTTCGATATTCTCTGCTATCCTGCCACGTGTGCCATTCTTGTGTGATTTCGTCAGGAGTCGCAGCGCTGCTCTCCACATGCGCCCAGTTGTGTGTCTCCTGTGCGTCCTTTGGTGGGGCTCCCAGGCTGTCCGAAATGCACCAGAACCCTCTATCCTTGTGCAGCAGGTGTCCCTGCATCGCGAGCCCTGCTTCAGTTTGTTGATCTGTCAACGGCCGGCCGTCCTCACTTACCCAATAAAGATACTGGCCACCATTTTCCATTTCAAACACTGGCCGCCCAAAGAGCTCCTGCGGTTGTCTCAGGAAGCATCCATCCAAAACCTGGCACAAATGGATCAAAGAATCAAAAAGAAGAAGGGGCCGCACTACAAGCCAGCAACACGGAAAGCCTGGCAATCCCCGCCAGGACATTCGGCCGGGTCAACTTTGGATGGGGCGGTCTCATCCTGGTGTGGCGCGAGGAGCGGGCCATGGCAAGGCACTGGGGCGGGCCGGTGACCGAGAGGACCGGGTGGGGGGGGCATACAAAACGGGCGCCCTTAGCGCTGAGCTCAAACTCCGCGGGCACTACAGGCCGGCCGGGTGGCCTAGTATGGAAGCCGGCAGAAGCGCGCCGAATATGGGGCAGCTCGGATGTTCGTCCTGGCTTGGCTAATTCTTGCCGCCGCCCGCACCCGACCGCGCCCCGCCGGTCTATCTTGCCTTGCGGGCCAACTTTTCGCAATGCCGTTCGGCGCTTTTGTTTGCCGTCCCGCCCGGGGGCGCCGCCGTCTGTGTCGCCGCGCCGCGGTTTTTCTGGCTTGGCACAAAAACCAACACAGCTTCGATGGCCACAATCTATGCCGCCGCGCCTAATTTTTTGCACGGCGGAAACTGCCCAAAGTTGCCGACCGCTGGGGTTCGAAAGGGCAAGCGTTCCCGACACGCTATGGCCCCACTTGGGTCTCCACCAGATCGGGCCCCTTGGGCGCCCCGGGCATCGCTTGCCGTTTTTGGTAGGGCGCGTTTTTTTTTTTTGTTTTTCCTTGTCAGCAAAGCAGTCGGCTTGTCCTCTCGTCGGCCTCTGAAGTGCTCGGCTTTGTTTAGTGCGCGGCTTTTCTATCTTTGGCATTTTTCCGGCCCTTCCTTTTTGGGCGCCGCAAAGCCAAACCGCCAGGAGCCAAGGCGGTGGGAGCCCCGAAAGGGCGCCCCTTATTGCCGGCCCCCCTGCGCCGTTGGTTAGGTTTTCCAAAGCGGAAGGCGGGAGAATGAATAGCCTCGGGCTTGTTTGACGGAAAAGCCCGGGCCGCCTGGTGCGTGAGGCGTTTTTTTTTATGCCAGAAAACACTTCCGGCCGCCTGCACGCCGTCGGGCATTTTGCTGGGCGGGTGCCAAAAAAGCCGCTAGGTAGGTTAGCGCGCCCCCGGCCTCACTACACACAACGCACGGCCCTACGCTATGACGCGAGCGATAGGCCCCGAAGCCTCTTACGAATAAAGCGCGGGCCGAACTGTGTGGGGGCCCGGCTTTTTACCTATCAGCCATCACGCTGCAGCCGATATGCCTCGCAGGACCGGACCCCGAAGGGCACGGGGGTAATTTTTCCGGGGCCGATCCGTCGCTGGAATCAAGGGGGGCAATCATCTCCCGATTGGAATCAATGGCGGCGATCGTCTCCGACTTGGAATCAATGGGGGCGCCTTCGTCCTAGTGTGAAAACGGGGAAAGGAACATGGGAAATCGATTACATTTATGCCTTGGACGGTCGTTAGCATACAGAAGGGTGAATTTGCAGTGAATTTGTATTGCATGACTTGCATTTACTTCAAAAGAGAAGTGCGCTGCGTAAAGGGCTGGGCACGAGCCCAAGCAGCTCACGCAGCGTGAAGGGCTGCTCGGTGCCAGGTGGCACTTGCAGCACCGAAAGAAGTAGTGGTAGGTCTTGCTGGGGCCCGCCGGACTGTGTAGTGCATATGTAACCAAAGAGTGTGGGTCGTGGGGCTCTTGTTCATCTGCGCGTCTGCCTCAGAAGTTCCTCTCCGGAATGGTCGGGAGGGAGGGCGACGCCTGAACACAGGGGCACTAGTTCAACACGTGCGCTCTCACGAGTTGTGGTTGTGGCTTGGAATTGGATATCTGGGAGTAGCCTCGGGTGGAAAGGAAGGCACGACTCGGCTACGGGCACTAGCTTGCTTGGCCTGGTGTGCTCGGCTTACAACTCCCCAGGCGTGTTTTTGCCCCCGGAGCAAGTCTTTTTCGAGGTGGCTCTCAGGTCAAGAATTCTCTTGGTGAATTTTGAGGCTTTTTGTTTTTGCGACACTTTTTTGAAGCCCCCAAACCCGGAGTTTCTCACGCGCTAGCGAATTTTGAAAAGGAGCCGGAGGCCAAAATTCACCGGCGCCCTTTTCAAAATTCACCCCAAAATTCACCGGGCGCCCATTTTCGACCGTGATAAGCAAACTTTAGCGCAGAAAAGTGCTCAAAAAAGTGCACAGATAGGCCATGAGAAGGAACGCAAAGGGGGAAAAAGCGTAGTCCTCTGCTGCCCTAAGCCCGCCTGTATTCTGCTGAAAATGCCGCAAGATTTCACGCGCCTGCCGGGAAAATGCGTCAAAGCTCTCGGCCGGGTCCTTTCGTCCTTGCCTGCCTTCTTGCTTAGTTGTATGCGCTTCGCAGCCTTTATTTCTGGCGTCTTTGCCGCGGCTGCTGCAGTGCTCTTCTGCGAGAACCCGGAGGCGCAAAAACCTGCCCAAAGAATGGCGCCCGGGCCATGTCCTCTGGCTGCCCACTGCACAAATAAAGCCCGCGGCTGCTGCGCGGTGCAGGGCCTTCTACTTCCCAGAACAGGGCCAAGAGGGACAATGCCCCGGCGGGCCCAACTGCAATTTGGCATGCAAAATTCACTACAAATTCACCACTTCTCATGCTAACGGGTGTTAAAGCTCTAAATTACATCAGTCAAGCGCACGGCTTGGCTTTACTTTTCAGGCTTTCTATATATGACGGAATGCCAAAGCAATTCTTCGGCACTACAAAGGGGGGCTGCCAGGTAAAATCGAAACTGGTACTGGCGCGGCATTAAGTCGCTGTATATTATATATAACATGGCAAGAAAGGCGCGCGCTGTTCTTATCTGCCTTGCTGTGCCAATGCAAGCCCCCGCAGTTTGTTTCTCGCGACGCCTTGGCGATACCGATATCCCTCTACGCTCTGTTTTACTTTTTTAGAACGCGCCCACAAGAGTCCTCGTTTTTTGTTGCAGCCCCACCCGGCGGCGCATGTTCTCGAGGCGCGTCACGTATCCGCCTGTCGGAAGCGAGTGCGTAGCCCTCGGCCAAAGGCACAGGCCCGCCGTTGCTCCTTTTACCTTCGCATCGCGCTGCCCCCCCCCAGCGCTTGCAGGGCTTCCTCGGGGCCGGCCGATTTCATGCCGGCAACGGACACCCAAGAAACTCTTCGAGAAGTCGCGCCGCCGCGGTGGCGAGGCTCCCGGCCGGGCTGCTTTGTGTGGCCCGACGGCCGGGGCCCCGCGCTCGCCCCCGGGCCCGCCAAAGAATCGCCCAGCGCAGCCCCCCACTGTGTGGCCTCTGCGCGCACTACCTGTCCGTGGACAGGCCAACGGCCTCTCCAGGCGGCCTCCGGTTGGGGCTAGGCTTGCCGCCCAGCCGCCACATGGCACTCCGCCTACGCCGCCTAGCTAAGTAGGAATTGCCCGGGTCATCGCCCCAGGAGGCCGGCGGCCGTTGCCCTTTCGAAAAAATAAAAGGGACCGCGCCAGCCTCCGGCCCAAAACTTTCCGACAGGGCGACTGTCGGCTCCTCCCGAGGCTTTGGCTTTGGCCCAAGAAATGGGCCAGAGATTTTTTCCAAATTTTCTCGGGGATTTCTCCGGATTTGCAAAATTTTTGGTGCTGCCTAGCGCTTCCGGTTCTTCACAGAACTTTCCCAGATTCGCTTCAAGAAGTGTCCAAAAAAAATTGGCAAGGCCCGCGGAAGTTCAGAACCTTCCCGGACTTCGGCAAGAATTTTTCGCGTTTTTTGCAATTTCTGCCGCTCTCTGGGTGTTTGGGTTCTGGCCAGAATTTTTTCAAATCATATATAGCAATTTGGGCGCAATATTATCGGGATTCGGCGGATTTTCCTCGGGCGACGCGTTCCGCTTGAGAGTGCATTTCCGTGGGGGCGCTGGGGTTGGATGTCGTGTCGGGGCCTTCGGGTGCCCCGGGCCGACGAGGCCACTGCGGTTAGGGCTAGGCGGGCAGACGGGCTCACTGTGTCAACGTGGGCAGCCTTTCACTACGTCCCACTACGGCCGAAGCGGCTCGCAGAGGATATTGGCGCGAGCTGTGGAGTGGGCCGCGGGAGCGTGCTGCCTCCGGCCACTTTGACTCGGGGGCGGAGGGTTGTTCGGCTGCGGCAGCTTCTCGGGCTTGCTACCTCTGCGGCATTCCGCCGGCCGGCCCTGTCGGACGGGGCCGGCGCGGTACGTTTTCGGCGCCTGGGCCCGCGACCCAGAAAAATCATGGCCGCGACCAGTCTCGCGGTCCTCGATTGTCCATTTCCGTCAAGAAAAATCTTGGGACTCTAATGGGCGCGTCCGGTCGTCCTCCCTAACTTTTTCGACAGTCAATAAAATAAATTTGAATATGAAGGTCGCGCCCGGAGGGCGATATTGGTAACCAAAAGCGTGCGAACCACCCCAGTCAGTGCGAAGGCTACCGCGCATCCCTTGACTTCCTGGTTAGGGCCGCGGTCCAAGAGTGGTGCCCGCGAGAGCCGCGCTCTCATCCTCTAACCAGGAAGCAAGGGCGCGCAAAAGACTGCGTTTTTTGGCGAGCAGCAATCCATCGCGCATAATGTTATGCACGAGGGCACGCTGGCCCGGGAAAATGCACAAACTTCAAAAAGTGAAACAATTCTCGCCATTTCTGGCAGCCTTTTTGGGCCACCCAGATCGAGCATTTCCAAGCGGAGTGAGGGTCGCAATTTTGGACCTCATACAGGTCGAAGACCGTGAGGGGTGGACACACCTCCACAGGCTTGATAATTGTTTTTTTATCGCCCAACCCCGGCGCCACGGGCCTCCGGACAAATTTGAAAACCACTTCTGAGCGGCAATTAATTTCCAAGCGGCTTTTGCTTTTTCAGCAAAAGCTGTCACTTTCAATCTCCAAGCGGCTGGAGCGGCCGAAGGGTGACGCGTTTTCGCCTATAAAACGCATCATACCATTGGCGTTAGCCGAAGCCGCCGCGTTCTTTTTTGAGATTCAGACCGGGCGGAGCTGCAAAGCTTCTCTTTTTTGCGCTCTTCCCGCTTGGTAATTGCTGTTTTGGCTGTTTTCGCTAAAATTCCCGCAAATTCTGCCCGATCCGCTTTCTCAAGGCAAAACACACTTGGAAGTGCCCGGCTTTGCGAGTGGTTCTTGCATACTCCCGAGGCCCTCCCATATGGCAACGGCAAAGCCTTCGCGCCGCGTTTGCGATGGATGAGCATCTCGCAAAGAGCGCTTTGCGCGCGGGGGCGAGCTTGCGAGCCCCCGCGTAGCTTGCGAGCGCTTGCGCACGCTTTGGTTACCAGATGAGTATCCGGGCCGGTTACACTATATGCACAAAGAGTCTTTGTCAAAGACATCACATCAGACACACACGCAAAAGACGAAACTATAATTACCATTGGGGATTGGCATGGGGATACTTCCACCCCACTCATTTCGACGATCCGGAGTCGGTCAACAGGCAACGCGCCGCGCTTTTCGTCTTCTTTCGAGAGTTTTTGGAAAGCTTTGTAGCTTCGTGTTTGGGGATCGTAAACCTGCCAGGTTCCTGCGATGTCCCGGGGATCTTCCGCACTGTCTACGACCTGCGCCGTCATCGCAGCCGGGGGCTTTGGTAGGGACGCGATAGCGGGGCTCTCGGCAATAAGCCATTTGTTTTTCGCCTCGTTCATGAACAGGTAACGCTCACAATGTACAGTCCCAAGGAGCCCGGTTCTGCATCGATAATGCTTGAAAATGGGAACGCCGAAAGTTTCAGAGAGGCGCCAATATACACCATTCATCAGCTCGTTCTCCCCGGAGGCGCCTACAAGCCATAAGTCGTCTTCCGGTAGGGTCAGATCTGTGTCTTCACGAATGACGGCAGATTCGTCCGGCGCACCGAAAGCATGTTCTTTCTCGTTTTTGTCCAATTTGTATTGGCCTGTCTGCCCCATTTTGTCCTGCTCACCTTTTGCTGTCTCGTCGGGTCTGGCTTCTTTCGCTGCAGCGCGCATGCCGGCTCGCGCCTGCATAATTGCTCCGAACACGGGGTGATTGTCAAACCCGCTGATTGGCGGGCCCTTCACTGTAAATGGCATGATACACTTGTCATGCATGAATATGACGTTCTCGTGAATGTATCGGTCGTCCTCAACCGTCGCTATTCCGTGCATCTCATCCTCATAGAAGTTCGTATGCGTTGGATCAGAGCCGGCGAAATATTTCCACCGACCGTCGTGCGTTTGCCATCTACCACGGCCATGGCGCTTTCCTTCCTTGAAAGCGCCATTGTAAACACCCGTCTCGTGGTAGGAAATACCCTGGCCACTCTGCTGGTCCTTATGCCAGTTGCCAACGTATGAAATTTCTTCGTGCTTTTTGTCTTCTGGTAGAGAGCTTTTATAGGGGAGCCCTCCCATCCAAGCACGAAACAGCGTCGGGTTCCGCTCCTGCAGCTTTGGTCGAAACAAGACTCCCTCTCCTTCGCGGAGACCATCCTCCAACACCTCGCCATAGTATAACGATTCGTCATCGCAGAGGAGCCAGCACTTCTCGTCTTCTGTAGTGTAGAACTTATCCTCGCGGAAGGTGCCTTTGTACATGAATTTAAGAAATTCTGTAAAGACCAGCCGGCACTTTCGTGTCGTTGGATCTACTCCAGGCTGTTCGCGGTCCTCGCTGTACCGCTTCAGCAAGTCTTCGCCCGCGTAATCCAAGAACTTTCTTCGATCGTCGTCGATCTGAACAAGCTGCCAGCCTAACGATATACCCGCGTGATGTGCTTTACAGGCTTTATTTGCAGTTTCTGCTGCGGCAGCAGATACATCTGCGCCACCTTCTTCGTCCCCCTTTTTCTTGCGCTTTGCCTTCTTTTTGTCTGCGGTGCCTTCTGCTTCGGCTTCAGCGCCATGGAAACCTTTCCCCGGAATGCAAACCGCACTGACAAAAACGTCTCCCAGCTCGCCACCAAGCAGCTCGACATCTCCAATGGCTTCGCCAAAATTATCGTACTCGACCACGACCTCCCTCCGGGTTTTCTCCATATCTTCAGCGCACAACACACCCCGTCCCTCACGTAAATTATCGCGAAAAGGGCCCCGGTAGACGATATCCGTTGGTAGCATAATCTGTCCATACCCGTGTCGCTTGTCCTCTTCCCATTCCCCTTCATACCACTTATAGCCAAAAGCGTCGTACTTGTCGGGCGGAACCACTTGCTTTCCAAAGCCATTCTTCTTATCTTGTTTCCACTGCCCACGGTATACAATGTTACTTGTGTGGTCAACGGACTCACCCTCACCATTCCGCTGGCCGTCTGCCCACTCTCCGTCGTAATGATAGATGTCTCTGAACTCGCCCCCGTCTTGCTCCGCACGCTGGACAAGGCGACCTGTTCCATGTGGCTTGCCAAACTGAAAGGTGCCCTCATAGGCTGAATCGTCTGCGTAGATTGCCTTCCCTTCGTACATGTGCAGAGACTCTCCGGCCTTCATTTGGTAGACGTCCAATCCAAATTCATACGGAGCGGCTCCAGCAAGCTGCAAATTTCGATTATCCACGGGGAGAAAGCGCCAAAATTTAAAGTGTTTTTTTCCGCTTTCGTCTTCCATGTCGGGTATCCGATCAATCTCGTAATTCTTTGACTCAGGCCATTCTATCGCAAAGTTCTGCATCAAGTACTTTCGCGTTTCGCCCCAATCACTGCGGAACTCGCCCTCAAAAGAAAGCATCTGGGCTGGATCGATCTGGGGCAGAGGTATGTAACTGTCCGCCTTCGCAGCTTGTCTCCTTTGCGCATCAATGACATTCGGGACCTTCGCGATGACGCTATTTTCGACGTAAAGCTTTCCCTGGCCGTGAAACAAATCATCCCGAAAATTTCCTTCGTAAACCTTGGAAATACCTTTCCGCTGTTGCGAGCTCAGTAGAGTCATCACCCCACGGCGTCGCGTGGGGTCTTGAGTGCTTTGCTCCCAATAATAATCTTTGAAAGTTTCCACGTAAGCGCGCACATTAGCGAAATTCGGGGGACTAGCTGCAACAACATCTGGCAGCTGTGCTGATGAGCGGGCGGCGACCCCGCTCAAAAAATATTCCGCATCTGCGTATTTTTTTTTTGCTGTGCAGCTGAAAGGGTGGGAAAAGGCATCTTCACATGAAACTTTTTCGGTTTTGCTGAGTATGAGTTTTTTCAATGCACTAGAGAACGCTGACGCAGGGCCGCCCCGGGTCTGGAAGGCCTTCTTGGAAGAAAAAGAGCAAGCGAAGCGCGGGCGCGGGCGAGGTCAAGAGCAGGCATGTAGCCTTTTCTTCGAACCGCCTGTCGCAAAATGTCACGCCGTGCCGCATTTTTTTTCCTTCGAATGAAGCCTGGCCGCGAAACTGCGTCCACGCCTCATTTGGATATGGCTAAACGCACGATGGAGCTGGTCAGGCGACCAGCCATCCTCTAACTGGCTGTGGCTGCGTTTGAAAATCGCACGGCGTGGGGAATTGAAAACATACATAGCAAACTTGAGCAAGCTGCGCGAGGTGCTCACTTACTAATAATGCTCAACGTTTGCAGACTTTAGGACGCAAACAGGTACAAATATGGCGCGCACGCTAGAACCCGTTTTATCTACATCTACGTACTAGTGTGAATCTGAATGGATGAAAAAAACTCACAGACCGCTTTTTTTTCTTTGCCTTCGCGCTTTGACAGTTGCTTTGCTGTTTGTCAAAAAGATTTCACTCGACGTAGCTAGCTACGCACGACGAGCGTACTAACACTTCAGGCCAAAGCGCAAGCATGCTAATAGTGTTTTACCTTGCATTTCTTTAATGAGGCTAGCAACGCGAAATGTGTAACCCGGAGGAATCCTTCCGGGCTTGCGATACAAGACAAACCGGCGGGCTAAGCCGACTCAAGGCGACAGAACCACACCCGCAAATCTGACGCGCATACCCCGGAAGAGTTATAGGACTCGGAACACCCCCCCCCCCCCAATTATTTATTGGACTCGGCTCGCGGCCAAACATGACGAAGACGCCAAACGAATACTCCGCCCGAAGGGTATTCGGTTGGGCTATTCGCGTTCGCCTTGATTTGCCGTCGTTACGTATAATCAAGAACGCCGGACAAGATAGCCGGGGAGCATGGAAAACGGAGGGAAGTACTCTGCGACCTGGATGAACTCCGGTCGACAGGATCCGAAGCGGCGCGGCATGCTTGTCGAGGACATTTTGCTGCGCTCGTTGCAGGGCGGATGGAGCTCTAGGACGGTATTTTTCTCGGATTTGCCGCGCTTTTAGGATGCGCGCGCGCTACCCAAAGGGCCGCCTGAAGATTTTTGATGAGTAGGCGCAGGCTTTGAAGAATGCGGGCGGCCTGCTTTCTCAACACGACACGCCATGCCGGTTGTTTGCAAAAGCAAAACGCCGCGGGCGGCCGCATCCCAAAATTGCAAAGCGTAGCGCCGCGCGCGCGCTGGCTGCTGCGAAGACCTGCCGACTGCCACTATTGCGAGGCTGCCTGGCGCCAATTGCGAGGCGCTGCCGCCACTTCTTTTGGCCTAGTTCTAGTTGCAGAATTGCAGACCATTAACGAGCAAGGAGTCGCGCGCGCGCGGCTCTGGTGCAACAGCGAATCCGTTCGCCTGATCCTTCGCCAAGCGGGTAGTGCTAGGCAGTGCTCGCCATTTACTTACTAACTTCTCCAGCTGCGTCAGAGACTGCGACTGCAGCTTCCACCCATCTCGTCAGCAAATCGCTGACTCGAAAACGTCGGGAGCGTGAAAAGAAAACGGAATGAAGCTGGCGGCGTGTGGCTCTTCGCTATATTTTGCTAATATGCAGGCAAGTGTGGATCTTTTGCTTTTCAAGGATTAACAATAAAGCTTTCCATATCCGCATCTTTTTCCGTCTGCCCAATCGCCTGCATAAAGCGGATGCTTTTCTTCATCCTCGATATCCCCTTCACCCGCCCAAAGATTACCATGACCATGAGGCATGTGCTGCTGAAACCCTCCTACGTAGACCCGACCATCTGGCCACTTCTGCTCGCCTTGCCCGTGTCGCATGTAGATCCCACCGACAAATTGGTGATCCGCTACTTGTCCCTCGTAGTGTCGAATAAACGATTGCTTCTTTTCCATTTCGCTGTCTTGCACAACCGCTTCCCAAAGTTCAAAGTACTCAAGTCGACACATGATTTCGAGCCGTTCTTCATAAATGTCAGCGCATTTCCAGTCAGGATCTAGCGCCAGGCGCAACTGCCGCCACTCTTTTTTGTCTACGAAGCGCGACGCGACCCGCAGCGATACTTTGCTTAGTGTGCGATTCAGAGTGACGGTCATAAAATAGCTCAGTGGCACGCGGTACTGCAACACGGACTGGTCGTTGTCGGCGAACGCTTCGCCACTAGCCGGCGCCATTTCAGCACGTGAAATTCCTCCACTTTCCTGCGCGTCCATTTGCTTGAAAAGTTTAAGGCAAAATGAATGGATTTCGTCTTCATGCCCGACCAATTTCGGCTCGTAATCTGTCACCAATATCTTTACTCCGGCAATAAATTGATCTGCATCCATTTCACAACTGCGAGTCAGGGCACTCCAAAGCTCATGCACTTCGTTGAAATCTTCGTGATCTAGCGCCCAGTCCCGCAGCTTGGCTAGTTTCGGACTATGCGGAGGATGGTCGAGCAAGTTGTGAACGTCTTTAACCCCAAAGTCGGATAATTTTTTTTCGGCACACCACTGCTCCATCAAAGTCTTGCATAGCTCCTCAGGATCTTCATCCGGAAAAATTTGGTTCTCCGACAGCATGGTTTTGAGTCCCTCGCGAACTGCTGCAGTCTCGAAACGTAGATCCCGGGTCAAAAAAGTCCAAACCGCGTTGTAGCTTTCGAAAGCTGCCAACAGGAACTTTCTGAATGGTGCCAGGTCTTCTATGTTTTGATCTTTCCATCGAAGTTGAACGAAGTTACTCGCAAGGCTAACCAGCACATCCTTGCGGAAGGTGCGACTCATTTTTCCCTGATCAGGAAAGACAATGTTCACAGCCTTCAAATAGAGCTCTTGGGCCTTTTGCAAGTACGGTGACTCAAAGGTCCGTCGCTGCACCGCCATCTTTGAACTAAGGACCATTTTCCGAACTTTTCCGGCTGTCCTTTGTGCTTCGGCTTGCGCATGATCGACGACGCGCAGTCCGGGATCTATTACCCAACCGAAGCCATCTGAGCCGGGCTCAGCGACAGAAAAAGGCTCGTCAATCATGTCTGGCGTGGCGACAGCGTCAGTTGAAAACGCCCAGGGGCCACCGATATATTTTGCTTCGTGTATAGAAGCTCCTAGCTCCGGGCTTAGAATCCATCGATCACGCCCATCCCAATAGAGAAACAGGTCGTCCTCGTCATGCGTGAAGTATAGTTTTTCATTGAGGCGCCCGCCTTTCATGTACTTTCCTACCATTTCATGGTACGTAAGTCCTTCGGTGGGCTCCAAAATTTCAACGCCTTCGATCTCGGTGTACTCCTTAATAATTACTTCTGCGACGTGATTCGGAATCGCATCGGGTTTCCAAATCTTATTGGGCTTAATCTGGTCTGACATGGCTACGTAGTGCACAACCTTTTTACTCTCGTGAACGGCTTTCTTTTCGTAGAGTTCGAGTTTATCCTCCAATGCTGCACAAAACGCGCCATGATCTTCGATTCTGCCGAACTTTTTCTTTTTCACGGTGCTGCCGTCGCGCGCGCTCCGTTCCTCAAACTGCCTCAATGCCTCCTCCCGTGCAGCAAGTTTATCGCTGGACCTATTCAGATCCCCTGCGCCCTCTTTTTTTTTCATTTCCTCCTCCTTTTTGTATTGCTCCACGTCGACAATTTTATCACCGACTTTTCTTTGCGTCGGCCCCTTCCTTTCTTTTTCTTTTATGGATGCTTTTTTCGCAGCCATTTCGGTTTCGCGAGCGCAGGCTTTGTAGAACTTGAGCGTCCTGGCTTTTTCTTCTATTTGCTCTTGTTCATCAGATAGAGCTTCGACTTCTGGCATAGTTAGAATATTTGCCTTCTTTTGCTTCGCTTCTTGCTCCTTCGTCAGCGGCCGTTTTGCGAGATCTTCTTCATCCTCCTCGTCACTACTCATCAACTCATGGGGGTCTATGTCCAGAATCTGACGCTCGGTTTCTCCAACGACCTTGGCAATTTCATTCAAAACTTTTGGCGCAAGAGCGACTAGTGCAGAGTACCCGTACGCTGTGGGCCCTTTCTTCACCATATTCTTCACGAATTTTACCCGCTTCGCTTTTTTCTGCTGCTCTTTTTGATTGTAGGATCGAATCTGGTACTTGAAACCGCTTGTCAGCTTTTCGTCCTCAGTGTATTCCTTTTCGTCGAACTTGTGATTGTTGAACGCCCCTGTAATGGGAACGTTCTCTACTTTACCGTCGTGCCGTACACGCCTCTGGCACAGCGCCGTTGTCAAAATGGGGGACCAGGAACTTTTGACCTTTTCGACCCCGATAGGATTTGTATACCCAATAAAGTCGTCCATACCACCTGGATCCGCGTCCCACACACTAAAAGTAATCGAGGTCTCACCCGGTGCCAAGTCGAAAGCTATCTCTTGGTTCCATGTTGCCCCTTCATAGAGTTTCAGCTCATCCTCATACTCGCCCTCCACTACTGTCGTCATCCGGTCTTCCGGAAAACTCAGCGTGGGATCCTATGAAAGTGCACAACTACCCCTCCCCTCCGTTTGTCATGCAAAAGCCCAAACCCACGCCCACCCCTCGCCTTTCCCAAGCCCTCGCCTTTTAGCACAGTCTGCGATAGCGACAGCTTTCGGAACCCTAAAGTGTACAACAGTCCATGTGTGGATTTGTCACGCAGACACTGCATGCATATTCTTCCTTTCGTTGCTGCTCGTCATTCAATGTAGGTAAATGAGGGGGAGGGGGACTTGTGCCCTCTCATAGATCCTCGGCCTCATGGAGAACCATACCATAGAAATCCTGATTTCCCGCCTCCATGATGTCGGTTTTAACATGCTCCACTCCACACATTCGCACCACGATAGTTTTTGTCGATGCCCCCTCCGCAAATTCCTTTGCCAGCATCTGATCGACTTGCTGCACTATCTCGTAGGTTCCCGTTCTTTCCGTAATCAGGCCACCAAGATCCCGAGTCAGAAACGAATATACCTGTTCGTGCCAAGTGCTAAGCAGGTCTTCCAATTTAACAGGATCCTCGTCGTCTTCTTCCTCCCAATTGCTCGGCTTGTACAAGGTAAGGTAAGAATCGTAACGGGGTTCACAAAACTCGGTGCCGTAGTGATTCACGACCTGGATTGTAGCGCATATGGTGGGAACTTTTTTTCGCAAGCAGAGCTGGTCGATGGAGAAACCAACCGTCATACCAGACTTCACGTCATCCTCGTACCGGTCTGTCGCCCGGACCGAAGTCACGCGCGCTTTGTGTCTTGCGGGGCTCGCGTAGTACTGCAGAGATTTTTTCATGCCCGCCATGCGTTGTTCCTCAGGCGGAAGCTTCGGATCGATCTCCGGTTCCCCAACAAAGATCACTCCCATTTCCTGCACCATGATATCGATTGACATAGCAGATAAAACTGCACTTCCAGCAGTTGCAGCCCGCAACTTTGGGAAAAGGTACTGCCCTCCCGAAAATGGGATCACGATGGACGCAAGTACTTCACGAATGTAGTACCGGTACCCCTCGATCTTAGCTTTCAGGTCATTGATTTTCTCTTCGGCTTCTAAAACCATTTTCCGAAACTCGTCCTTGAATGAGCGCGCGTTCATGGTTATCATTGTGCCGGAAGTAACCAGCACACAAAAAAGCGCCGTCAAGGGGGGAGGGATAATCTGCGTCATTCCAAAAGTCAAAAAGGCGAGGGTGACCGACTGCATGAACCAAACGAACACGTCCCCGCCGACAAACTTTGATATAACGAGGGCATCAGTTACATCGCGGGCCACGTTGCGCTCAAATTTTTCACCAGTGGCGGGATCTTCCTGGACTTCTCGACGGGGCGGCACCGTTTTGTAGTCCGACCGTGCCTGATTCACTAGCACAAAAAGCTTCATGCCGAAAAAGACACTCGCCTGAATGGCACCGGGAGGGCGCGCTGCTAGAACGCCAATAGACACCAACGTAGAGAATCGATCAACGACGTAATCGAACTCCTGGCCTTCGGAAATCTTTCCCACAACTATGTTCCACGATTGCCTCGTTGGGAACTCTAGGCTTTCTTCCGGCACATTCACCTTGAAACGAGGAACGTACTTCATAATCGGGTAAACGTGTTGCATCTGGACTTGGACCTCCACGTTCGTGCGCGCTCCGTCTGGCTTCTCGATGTTGTAGCGCTTGTAACCGACAAACACGTCAGGATACTTTGTAAACACCGGACTTGTACAGTATCCCTTCTGTGGCAGGTGGGGATTTTCTTTCACCCGTTCCTTGCGAATTTCTTGCCAAAATGCGCGCTCGTCGAACATAATTTTAGTCTCCTTCTTTTGCGGCTCGTCGCAACCGGACCACCACGGCTCCGCACCCTCCGGGTACGTATCTTCAAACTTCTTGGCATCAGATTGACAAAGCGCTCGCCTTCATGATCAAACCACCTACTTCCGTGCAAGGTTGCGAGATAAAAAAACAAAACGCACTCAGCGCACGACTGATACATATTTATTACTTTGAGTCGCCGTCCTCAGGCTCCGTCGTAGCGACTGCATGACGAAGCAATCGCGGCGCCGCCCAAACGCATAGAAGTATCACCTTTCACGACACGAGCATCGTGATAAGTAGGCGGGCGCGCTCTTTTTCGCCTGCGCCGACCACGTCAAAGACGGCCGGCTGATCAAAAACCGAGACCCGACCGCCCGAAAATGAGAAAGGCAGCGGCTGCCGTACTACATTCCCTACGGGGGCCCATCGCTACCAAAACCAAAGCGCGAGCCGGTCAAACTGACGCTGCGGCGTCGGCGACTTTGCATAACATAATTCTCCAGAAGTATACCATACGGAAAAGAATCAGAGTAGCGCCCTGGGCGACTTTTGCTTAATAGTAGATTGCTAACAGCAGCGAACTTCATCTGGGACCTCTACTCGAAAGCAGTGCTGCCAGCAGCTTAAGCGCAGCGCGCCAATGAGAGCCCTGCAACCAGACGAGACGCCAGATTTGATTATCACGGGCCACCGCGCTCGCAGAAATGAACAGGGCTTACCGTATGGTTGTGATGTGAAACATAATACGCGCGCCGAGTCAGTTCGCACATTGCCTCGCGGCAAGGTTCGCCCGGGGGGGGGGCTTGCGCCACAAAAGGCTGCCCGTGCTGCTGGCTTCCGTTGCTTCCCGCTGCGGGAAAAGTAGCAGTGGGCGGGGCACGCACTCAGGGAAACGGGGGGGCGCTCTGCAGAGCGAAAACGGGTGGCGGCCCCGTGTTGGAGAATATTGTACGGCGGGCGGGTCGCGCGGCGCGCGCCGTTGCGCCCGCCTGCTTCCTTGTTTGCGCCTGCGGCAGAGACATTACCAGCCGGAGCGCTGGACATGAAAGGGGGTCGGCGGCGTAACGCCTGGAGGCGCTTGCCCTTGCCCCCGTTCGCCACGCGCGGGCGGCCTTCCCTCCGGCCCGCCCGAAGAGAAGGCCACGCCCGTCCCCCGAAGGCACGGCGGGAAGATTGCGAACGGCTGGCCCGTCCCGCTTCTCTCGGCTTCATTTGTCCGCGGCAAGCTTCCTGCGGGCCCCATGCAGAACTAGAGAAATCGCGCCCCCCGTAGGTCGGGGGGTGCTCGGTCGCAAGTTCGAAAGAGGTCTGACAGCTCGCGCCCTTCCGGTTTTGGGGCAGTCCCTGGCGTTCTTGCTGCTCCTCAAAGCTGCCCCCGCTTCAGGGACCTTGAGACCACTGTCGCGCATTTCGTTTCTCTAGTGGGGGCAAGCGCCCGCGGACGACTCGCCTGCGGGCTTTTCTTCCCCCTTCGCCAGGCGCCCGCGGCCTTTCTACTAGCAAGCAGCCCCGCTGCCTTTTCGTCTACAACTGCATGCATGCATCGCCGGCGGCCGCAGAGCGAATACTGCTCGCCTGATTGCGGCAATCCGTCTGCCTGCCCCCAGCTGGAGACGCTAATAGTAAAAATAGGTACGGAAAAATTTTTCCGGTTTCCATCAGCATTTTGAAAATGAAAGAAACGAACCGCGTGGCCATTGTGATACATGAGAGCGTAGTCCAATAGATCGCGCTCTGCCGAGGTCATCTCTTCGTCCGTAAGAAGGACCTTGTAGAAGGAAAATCAGCACCGGCGCGAAAACCTTCCACGCAGTACACAATACAAACTGCAAAAAATTTCTCCGAGGTAGTGCCTCTGGTCTAGGCCTGTACCTCTACCGCGCTACTATGTGGCTAGTGTCTCTATGCTTGAGCTGTACCAAAGGGTCCTGGGTGTGTGTATGCTCATCATGTTGATCCAGTGCACGCCTAGCCCTAGCTAACTCTATGGCTGCCATCATAGCAATACAGAGCTACGGATCTTCATCCGCGGGCCATCATGTCCCTCGGCCTTTACACTGTTGGGGTCTTTAGACTATTGGAGTTGAAGAACTCTGCGAGGTCGTGCGTCGGTGCAAACTTATTCGCCATAGACCTCTTGATCGTCTTGCTTCTTCCCGACATCTTGAAAAGCCAAATCGCGCACCTGCTTTTGTAGCTGTGCTTTCTTTCTCCGGAGTGCGGCCTTCTTGGGCTCGTCTAGTCCCTTTGCATCCGCGAGCTCCTTCTCCACAGTTGCAAGTTCCTGTCGGACTCGACGGTCATGCTTGGCCCTCTCCATCCTTGCAAGGGCTTCTTGGTGGGCTCTGTCTTCGACCTTGTACCAACGTCGTGGGTTGCGAATGTCGAGCAGCGTTTCTTGATAGTCAGCAGATACTAAATCTGCTAGGGAACGTGGCCGCAAAAACTCTGGGTGTTGGTCGGCATAGTAGGCGAGTTTCATTTTTCTTTCGTAATATGGCTGCAGCTCCACGAATATCCACTTCTTAATTTCTTTCTTTTCATGTTCGGAAATATTTCTTTGCACGCGGCCACTGTACCGCTTTCTCCAATAAGCCTGTATTTGGGAATAAAACGGTATTATTTGGGAGTAGATGTCAGAATCCCCTTCCTCGTCTTCGAACCAGGGCTTGCTCGGATAGTCGAAGCAGATGTACTGCCATTTGGTAGCGTACTGGACATGCTTTCCTTTCTTAGGATTTAGCTCCCAATCGTTCCAGCCTTCCGCAGGCTCATTGCTCCAGAATAGAGTAGCCGCCTCTTGTCCTCCCGGAATATATTTGTTTCCCGGTTGGTCTCCGGGATATATCAGACGTTGGCTTAGGTCGTTCTCGATGTAGTGAACGCCGCGTCGGAAGTCGTCATCGTCTGGCGTGTGAGGTTTCAGATGCCCTTGCCGTGGGACGATACTCAATATGTATAGACGCCAAAAAGGTAAAACGCAAACAGGTCTTCAGGCAGGGGAGGAGGGAACAGAACGAACTTCCCGGCATCCGCCCACTCGCTGCATGTCCTGAAATAGCCTTGGCAGAGGACAAAGAGGGGCCCGGCCGAAACAAACGGGTCGGCTATGGGCCGGTGCTGGATTGCAACATCCTCGTGCTTGGTCGTGTCTGTGAACTGTCGCATTGGCTGTGCGCTGCAGTCGCGCCTGCTGTGCGGCGTTCATCAACAGAGTGGGCACCGGCGCAACCAACGCAAGCGAGCGACGTGCCGAAGCGCGCCGCAACGGCGGGCTCGGTATTTTCTTCGAACATCACATAAAGCGGCAGAGACCGAAAGGGCCCGGGAGGCTCAGCAAGCAGGCTGCAGGCCTTCCACTGCGCTCTGTCTCGATTCCCGAGGGGCCGCACATCGGACACACAGACACACATGCGGGCCGGCCCCGCCGGACACGACACATTCAATGAGTACCGAGCCCACCTCGGGCACAAACCAATGACTCCAAACAGGCGGGGCCGCTTGTAATGCCGGGGCCGGGGAGCCGGGCGCGCAGGCTTGCGGAGCAAATTGGTAACGCTAGCAGAGTCGTTCTGGGAAGCGCCCCCGCGGAAGAGCACACGGCCCGGGCGCAGTTTGTGGGGGGGGGGATGGGGCTGGGGCTATGGCAGAACGTGGGGTCCAGACGGCCTCTACGGGCTCGTCGGGCGCCGATAGCAACGCACACACTGGAGCGGGAGCACCGCGCCAGTCTTGGACCGCGGCGGGCCGCGCTCTCATCCTCTTCTAGCCAGAGAGGAGGGCGCGCAAAAGCCCACCCGTTTCACTTTCAGCACGCCGCCGGCCGTCGCGCATAAACATACTTAGCGCTATGCACCGGGGCAGGCGGGCCGGCAAAAGTAGGCAAATGGCAAAAAGTTGCGCAATTTTTGCCGTTTGCGGCAGCCCTTGCTTTTGGACCGCCCAAGTCGGGCATTTGTAATCGGCGGGGCAAAGGTTCCAATTTGGCACCTCCGAGATAACGAAAACCGTGGAAGGTGGATACTTACACCTCTATAGAATCTAGAAACCCTTTTTCTTTGTCAATCTCGAAGGCAGGGGCCCTGTGACAACTTCAAAACCTTCCTTTCAGCTGCCGCATCAGCTCGGGTCTTGCATTTTATACAAAAGATGCGCTTTTCGGCTACGCACCGGCCTCCGGGACATGCTGCATAGAGTCGGTTTGTTTTCAGGCCCATTACAGTTCGCAAAAAGTCGCACTCCTTTTTGAATCGGACGGAGCCGACGAAGTCCGTTTTTACCCTTTCCCCCAACCAGGCCGCGCCGATTTTGCTGCATTTTCAAAAACTGGGCCAGATTTTTCGGGGTGAACTTTCTGGCGGCCAAACGACATCGAAGGTGGCCCGCTTTGCCAGTGGTTGCATGCCCCCGAGTTCCTCCCATATGGCAATGGCGGAGCCCTCACGCCTCGTTTGCGAAGGACGATGGGCGTCTCGGCGAAGCGCTCTTGCGAGCGCTTGCGCACGCCTTGGCTACCAAATAAAAGAAGCACACGACAAAGTAGCTTCGAACTGCTTACTTACTACCGCCACCCATAGCCATATCCATTCCACCGCCGTGGCCGTGCAGTAAGTTCTGCTGCCTTATCGCCCGCCCTCGTGGTCTGTTTGGAATAGCGATGTCTTTCCCTGACCTACTATATTGTACTTCTCCAAAAGCCGCTGCTTGCGCATGCTTGCATCAAACCACTGCAACAAAGCAAACTTCTCCTCGTCCTCTAACCGTTCATCATCACCACGCTTCTTCTTTGACAGCCAGTCGTCGCGCATGTCGTCCAAAGATTGGCATACCTCTTTGGACTCCATAAGGCGTCTCTTGTCACTGGGCTTCAGGGTTTCCATCCAATTCCAGTTTTCGGGTTCCTCCTTGAACAGCTCCACAAGCCAATCCGGACCTAATGCCGCTCCTGGCCTGGCTGCCTCCTGTGCCATTTCCTCCTCGACTTTTTTCACCTGCGCGCGATACTCTTTTTTCAGCTTTTTCATACCCTCTTCTTTATCCTTTTTCATCTGGTCCTTCCTCCCTTCTTCGTCCCGCATTCTTCGAAATTCCGCCTCGTCTTTTTTCATCAAGTCACACACTACAGGCAAAGAATTCGCATCCCCTTCTTCATACCCACAAAATAGGAATAGCTCGTACGCGCGCAGCAATTGTTTCGTTTTTTCCATTGTACATAGGAGAATGCCAAGCCCCAAGCAGGTTTGGCCCAGAAGCGGTGCGCGAGCACTCCCCGGTCACACGCGGACACTGCGAGCCAGTATCGGCTTGCGTCGGAGTTGAGGCAGTCCAGCCAAGCGCTGCTATGCCAGTTGCTTTCTGACGGTGCCAGTCGTGCGTGCCCGAGTCCAGAAACCAATTGCGTGCTGACGGGCCGGCGGCGGCTGCCCTGTCTGACGACTCCTACACAAACCTGAAACCTGCACCGTAGGCCCGAGCCTGATTTCGCCAACCCAATTGCTTGCAAGACCTGAAATCACTAAGTCTGATTCCAGGTTGCTCACGTGCCCTCCTCTGCAACCAAAAATCATGCCACCCAGCGTGATGGATTTTATCCGGGCACGTAGCGTGTCATGCGCGCGCATGATGCACACCGATCCGAAAACGGTGCACAGCAAACGGAGGTCGAGACACTGCTACTGAAGCCCGAGCAACAAAGCGAAATCCTTGCTCCCCAGCAGGCAATGAAGAAAGAACAAGAAGTTGCCAGCGGTTCACAAGCGCCTAAAGCTCGCGACTGCGCCGTGGGCGTGTAGCTTTGATGCTTTGACGAACCGGACTACCGGTGCTTCCGAGAAATAGTACCAGCCGACAACAAGCTCAAGCGCGCCCACTCCTGTGGAGAAGAGGTGGAAGCGCGACAGCATTAGTCTGCGGCTGCGCGCCCGCGCGGCACCAGCCCTCCCCTAATGAAAAGCCCTGCGACCTTGATCGCCAGGGGTGACTCGGTCGAGGCAGAAGCACGACGACACTTCTTGGATTCCTACACATCCGCCAGATCCGAAGCCATGCGCCTGCACGTCAATGGCCGAGACTGCTCGAATCCCGTTGATTGAGAACGACAGCGATGTCATAGAGCAGGTGTTCGCAACACTTTTCACGCCTGCGTCAGAGCATATGACTTTTTTGCGTATGTTTTCGAAGTGGATGGATTTTCTATACCCTTACGCACAAGATCCGATGGACTTTCTCACCAAACCGGTAATCTAACGTCGAGTGGCCACCTTGCGAAGCCTTGGCCTCTAGTTCCTTCAGTTCGTCTGCCGTCAAATTTTTGCGATTACCGAAATACATCACCTTGCCCTCATCGTCTCGAATCGGGATCGCCCCGCGACTATGCCCCTTGAGAAGTTGCGAAAAAATAGGCACAAATCCTGGCACGATCGACGGAACTTCTATCTTCATTTCCCTGCACTCAACATCGACGTATTTCTGCAACTTCTTGTTCCAGATTAACTTTTCCTGCCCCGGCCGTTGAAGCCAAACCATCATGTATACAACAAAGCACAGGAATCCAACTGGGTATCCGATGAGACCTAGCAGGCACGCGAATTTGACGAGGTAAGGCGACGGATGAAACCCGAAAAACACTATGTCCCGACTACGCCAGAAATCCGGACTAAGTGCGTGCGCGTTGGTCTAGGAACGGGGAGCTTTGGACGCTATCCAAAATGATTAATGAAGCAGTCACAGCCACGGCACAGCCCAACACCAGGCAAAGTACATTACGCCGAAGCAATAGCGTCGCAGGAATTACGCCGATTGGCCGCAGGAAAAAGCGGGCGGCAGGCTCGGTCGCGGCATAGAATCCCGCGGGCGCCTGTTCCATAAAGCACCAGCCGCGGGCTCGCTGCGCCAGCCCTCGCCAAAGCGCTGCCGCTGAAAAAACCAATCGTGTGCTCGCTTCTTCAGGCGAGCGAGTGACTGTTGTCCGTGCTAATTGAGTTCCTGAGAGTAAGTGGCTGGCAAGCTGTGTTTCAACAATTTGCCACCAGAACTTGACTAAAAAACGCCCGTTTTGATGTCGAACAGCCAAGACTGGGGAGTTGCCTCGGAAAAATTGCACCAGGGTGCTCTTAATCCTTGGCTTGAGGCGGGACTTACACTACCTCCTCTTCCGTGTTAGTCCTACCAACCTCCATGAAAAAAACCAAAAGCAGGGCCGTGGCGCGACGCTGGTCGCCACGGCGCCGCAGCGCCCCGCTCGCTTACCAGGGGGCGACACGGGCGCCCCGCGCTACGTCTGGGGCTGCGCTGCTGCGGTGAATGAGCCACGCCGGCGCCCGCTCGCGTCCGTAGGTGCCGCTCACAGTTCGGCAGCATGGGTATACAGAGAAGCGCGCCGGCGCACGGCTGCGCTTACCTCATCTACGCGCCCAAGGTCCTGCCTGGTCTATCCTTCTCGGGCCCCATGCGCGTCTGTAGCTGTAGCACTTTCCGTTTCCTTCTGAAATAGATATGAATATCGCGCCCGCGCGCGGATAAGCGCAGCGCGCGCTCGCCGGCTGGTATGCCTTCGGCTACCTAGCTACCGGGCCAATACAGAGCGGAGATCCACGTGCAACTCGGCCGCAGTGAGCCCTTTTTTTTTGGCCGGCCGCCCTTTCGTGTGGGGCTCCGGCTACGGGCGCTGGGCCCACCAGCGGCGCCCCCTCCGGTCCATTCGAGAAAACGGCCACCAGCCGCGGCAGAAGTCCACTGGATCGCTCCAGGCTACTTTGCAGCCGCAGTCCGAGGGTTACTGGTTTGACGCTCGGCAAAGGAGCGCACCCACCTTGGGACCGACTGCGGGCGGAGGAGGGCCTACATGGGCCTACCGCCACTGCGAAATCACCTTGCCGCCTACTCGACTGGAGTTATTTTTGTGGGGCAGGGCGTTCGGCTTTGGACTACCAGCAGCCCCGTTTGCGCGACGAAGTTGTTTCCCACCTGCAGCACGAAACCAACAAAGCACGCACTTTCCCCGGATTTTCAGCGTAACCTTATCAGAAAACATGAGGTTGCTAGCTGCTTTGCTGAAGTTGATGAGCCCGTAGTCGAGCAAGAAAATCCAGAGTGGTCCCGCTTCGAGTGTCATCAGTCGGGTCTGCTGCTTTCGGTACACCAAAAAAAAATATGTCCAGTAGAAGGCGAATCCTGTGATCATCAGAATACAAATGACGATCAGGTTTCCAGCCACGCCATTCAACATCTTCTGCAGGTCCTCCAGCTCTCGCAAGGTGTCTAGCGCTTTTTCTCTTGCTGCGGCTGCATTGCCTTCGCAGCTCAAGATGGGCAAGCCATGCTTGTCGAAAGTAGTTTCTTCGAAAATCTGCAGCCGCCGCGATTTAGTGCTTGCTAGCTCCAGCTCACTGTGGTACGTCGGATGCGCCGTCTCGTTTTCAACCGTCGAGGCGGAGTCTTCACCTGGCCAAGAAATATCACGCGAAAAGATATTGCCTGCGCCAAAGTCGTACGAGTTTCCATTCCCAGAAGCATTGACTCGCTGTCCGATATGAAAACCACGACGCTTCCTCGTATCTGCACCTTGCTTGCGCGATTTCTGGCCCTGCAGCGTCGCCGCTCCCTGGATCGATGTCCATATTGAAAATGCAAAGCTTCTACTTCCAAGTAACAAGCCCTGCGCGTTCGTTCGTGCGGAGCGGTCTGGATGGACCGAAACGCTACGCAGGTGCCGGTATTCCTCTTCCAAAGCAAGTGGGTCGCTCTCGGTGACGCGCTCTGCTCCTGAACGAAATACGTTACTAGCGCGCTTCTGTTGTTGTCCCGTAGTTTTTAATAGCAGGCCAGCCGCGTTTGTGTTGGTGCGACTCACGACAAGCCTAGCGCTGGCGATAGTAGAGTCTTTATCAGCCACCTCCTCTGTGCCCGTTTTCTTCTTTTCTGCCTGCCCATTATCTTCATGCTGCAGTACATAGACTGGAGCAGCCTGTGCTGCTACATCGCCTCTGGGAATATCAGCGGCGTGCGGTCCTGGTTCTGCTGCAGAATTGTTGACGGCGTACACGAGAGGTGACGGTGATAGCGGGCGCAGTTGTGCAGTTGTACCTGCCTGCGCAAGTCTTCTGGAAGACTTTGCCGCCCCGAAGAGGGGAGCACCTGCATCGTAAGTAGTCTCCAGAGGACCCACCCCGATGCTCGACGCAGCTTGAGCGATAAATTCTTCGAAGAACTCGGGCCCATACACTTTCAGATATTTGCGAGCGGCTTCGTGACTCTCCGAATGAAGTTTCTTGCAGTAGATCGTAGTCACTTTGATCTGTCCAAGAATCTGCTCTTTGTAAGCGTGGAACTTAGCAGGCCCCATGGTGAGCCAGTCGGGCATGAACTGTTTGATGTCAAAGTTGAACCCCGAAATTGATTTGGTAAAATCGGCGTATACCTTTGGACATCCCCGGATATCTGCCGTGAGGTCCATAAACTGGATCTGTTTTGCCAGCGCCATCAGGTTTCCTGCGCTAGCGACGGACATAACTACCGCGACGGTGGTCGCCGTTTTTGATACGGCTCTACTGAGTTCGGGCGAACCATCTCGATAATCAGGGAAGTAGCTAGCGCGCTTCATTTGCGTTTCTGCGCCACCCATTCCAACAAGCCCGCGGACACGGTTTTTCGTCTTACCGAGCCCAGTCGCAACAATTCAACCCCAAAAACTGCGCGACTTCTCGGCCCGCCATACGCATCCTGCCGTGCCTAATAGTAATATCACTCACCACCGCACGGCGATCGATATAAATCGTGGCCAGAAGGAGCTGCGAGCCCCTTCAGCCCGAGAAGGAAAGCCGGCTCCGCATGCCATGACTCCGCCTGGGCACCCGCCACCCGGGGTGCCTAAAATCGGGCCTATAGCATGAGCGCGAGCCTTCGCAGTCTGCAGGCGCCGGTGGCTTTTTTGTTATGCATTTCTTCAAAACGACGCACGTTTTGGCCGGCTCCAGAAGTTGGCGAAAGCAAGGGCATCAGCATGCGCACTTGCTGTCTTTTTTCCGCTGCCATTTTGCTGCCGCCCATATTTTGGCAGCCCAAACGAACCCCCCAAACCTTGGGCGGCGGGCGCTCCCTTTGCCTTTACCGGCTCACTTGCGAGACCAATAGTAGCATTGCAAACGGCCGGCGCGCGCGCGCCATCTTCCCACCGTGCCTACCGCATGCCCCTGAGCTACTCTACGAAGCAACAATAACAAATTACCTCGCGCCGCAATAAGAACAGTGGCGCTGGGCCGACGCCTTTCGTGGAACAGCGCAGCACCTAGCGCCTAATAGCATATTTTATTTATCTCGGCGGAAGCCAGCGCAGCAACCTTCTCTTCCATCGCGCTAGTTATTCTGCTAATTATCATGTCGCTAGTCCCTCCCATAAAGTAATGCTCGCCTTCATCCACCACGGACATTGTCGGTAAAACATAGCTATCCAGTGCAAAAATATCGTGCTCACATGAGACCGCCACTACATTTAAGCAAGGACCAAGAAGTTGGCGAGAAGTGAACTCTGAGGCTGGTCGAGAAGCGGGCGGAGAAGTTGGCGCCGACGCTGGTGGAGAAGTAGCCATCTTTTCCACCCACTGTAAGCTCTCGACAACGCGCAACGCTTCGAGATATTTTGTAGGAGGCGCCGCTCCCGAATCTGCGGGCCGTGGCCAAGCCGTGGCGTGCCTGTGGGTGCGTGGCCTCGGCAGCTATAAAAAAACGAACGAAGCCGCCAAACCTCGAGAACGCCTCGACCTCACAACCAGGGCCGCGCACCACTCAAACCGTTGGCCATGGAAATCGATCCCGCACACACGTAGCACGATCGTCCCAAATGAGGCCCGTTCCCAATGCCATGACAGCGCGCGACAGCGCTGAAGGACTTGAGCTGGCTAGATCCTTCACTCTGTTCCTCGGTGGTCATAGAGCAAAGACATAGAGCAACTGAGGCCAGTCACGACCTGGGTACCAGCTTGCCGCACCGTGAGAAACCTCACGAGGCGGATCCGTTTCATGGAATCCGCCACGATGCTGAACATTGCTAGTTCCGCCGTGGAATATGAGGAAGCTGCCTGGTCAGAGAGAATTGGCTCAGGTCCTCGCGTCTTTACCATGTTCCTAGCGAGCTGATTCGTGAGATCGGGAGACGATGGCGAATTGATGGAAACACTGACGGAGGTGAATGAGCTGAACCTACAGGACGCAGCGCATGAAGAGACTTGCGCCACTTGCTTGCGTGCTTGCATCTGAGGGGACCAAGCTGCTGCCTATAACGAGCGCAGTGGGGCAAGTGCGTGCAAGTGTGTGCGAACGTTCTCAAGTCCAGCAACACAGACACTGCTATGCTATATCTATTGCAATGCAAAATCAGTATGAAGCTTGAATAGATCAGATGTTATATATGAAGGTAAAAAAAGACGAACTTTATCGCTCGCTGCGCTTCGCGAAAGCAAGGCTCTACTTCTGCTGGGGGTGCGCGCGTAGTTTGTTTGATTGCAGGCACCCCCTAGCCAGCGTAGAATTGCTTCTAGGTCAACCTCTTACCCAACCCCTCGACCAACTTCCGCGCCCACTTTCCAGCCAACTTCTCGCGCTGGAAAGTCTCAGCCCGTCTTCTCCATCGATCTTCGGCCGGATGAACACCGCGACGATCCAACAATCTATCCCTTGCTAAGACTAAAGCCGTGATGGCCAAACTATTACTCCGCAACTTAAAAGCGAAAGCCAAAAAGGGCATTCGGTACTGTAGAAGCTACCAAGGTGAGCCAGAAACTGCACTATTAACCGCTTAAAATTTCCGAACGCTAATCGTCTGCACTGGATTGCATTGAGAGCCGGGCATCTCGAACGACGCAACGCCGCCCGTTTTAGCAGTGAAGGGGAGTTCAATTGGAGCCCGCTTCGCGCTACCACCCTCACGCTTGGCGTTCGAAAGATACTTCCTAAGCGCTGGAGAGTATCCCCAGCCCCCGACGAAAACAACCACTATCCCCGTCGCCTCTTGGGGATCGTGGAAGCCGGACAGAAAATCTAGGCCCCAAGCTTGAAAGCCCGGCGGCTCGCTTCTTTGCAAAATGCATTAAAGCTTGCCGGAAATAAGTACGCCCCCGAGCTTAGTGATCAACGCGGAGCTATACACACTTCGCTGCGGCCAACCTTGCGCAGGGAGTTTTCTTTCGCGTGCTATCTGTTTTCTTTTCTCCTCTGCGTCTTTTCTTTTCTTTTGTCCTGCTTTGTGTTTGCTTTTTCTTTTCGCAGGGATTTTTTTTCCGCAGATAGCCTCGCTGCTTTCTTTTATTTCTGGAATTATGTCGGCCGGGGCGTCCGTGCGTGGCGAGCTCTTCGCCCTCTTTTCTTTGTCGCTGGAGCTCTTTCTTTTATTTTCTTTCTTTCGCGACTTTCTTTTGTGCTTTTCTCCCTCTTGGGACTTCTCAGGCAACGCGCCCACAGTCTGCGCCTCCTCTTTTCACGAACCGCCTGTCAAATTGCGACGCTTCTCCGGATCTTTTTGCGCGAGAATCAAAAGAAGAGCAAAAGCTTCCGGCCCATATCAAGAACATTTCCGGGTCTTCGAGTAGCGCTCAGCAGAGATCATAGGACAGATCGCAGAAGCAGTCTTGTCTGTTTTAGCTATCTCTAAAAGGAAAGACAAAAAACAAAAGCTAAAAGTAAAAAGCAAAAGGAAAAGCTAAAAACTAAACGAAAAAGCTAAAGTAAAAGCTAAAAGGAAAGGCTACAAGTAAAAGCTATAAGTAAAAAACGCAAAAGCTAAAAGTAAAGTCTAAAAGCAAAAGCTAAAAGCAAAAGCTAGAAGCAAAAGCTAAAAGCAAAAGCTAAAAGCAAAAGCTAAAAGCAAAAGCGAAAAGCAAAAGCGAAAAGCAAAAGCGAAAAGCAAAAGCTAAAAGCAAAAGCTAAAAGCTAAAAGCTAAAAGCTAAAAGCTAAAAGCTAAAAGCTAAAAGCTAAAAGCTAAAAGCTAAAAGCTAAAAGCAAAAGCTAAAAGCAAAGAAAAGCTAAAAGCAAAAGCTAAAAGCAAAAAGTAAAAGCTAGAAGTAAAATCTAAAAGCGACGATGATGATGTTACCCAGTAAAGGGTATAGGGTTTTGAAGAATTAAACTATTCTTCAGCATCGTCCTGCTCCTCAGGACGACCTCCTTCTCCGCAACGCCTGCGGCCCCGTTTCTTCTTCTTGCAGCGTGCCTGGTGCGATCTCATCGCGCCAACAATCCAGCCCAGTTTGCGCAGTGGCTGTCCTTCATCGGGGGTGTGAAACGTGGCGCCATCGTGTTGAAGCTCGTGCTTGTGCGTCTTGCAGTGCGGGCACCGGATATGCTGCGCGCCGTTCTTGTCCGTGTAGAGAAATTCACGAGGTAGATGATAGGCCCACGCAGAAGCACCGCCGCCGTAGGTGTGCTTCGCTTCCGTCCTGTTCCAGCCATGATATTCGGGTCTGCATACGTTGGGCTTCAGGTTGGACCCAAGCGGGCGCTTGTCTTCTTTCTTCAAAGTCCCAATCTTAATCAAATTCCCCTTCCGATGGTCTTCCGCATGTTTTTCCATTGCGCCGGCGTTGGACTGAAACATGAGCTCGCAGCTCTTGCAGTAAATTCTCTTGCGCTTGTCCGCCCCTTTCAGCTTCGTCCTGATGATGTCGGCACTGCGACACAAGATTTCTTCACGTATCGACTCGCCTGCTTCCGTATCGCGTGCCTGATTTGAATTTCTGAGGTTCTTCTTCAAGTCCTTCGAGGCATCATCGGCGACCGGTTGGCATAGCGCGTGCGCTTCAGCGATATGGGACGAGAGCCATAAAGGCAGACCCAGAGCGGGGTGGCTCTGGTTGTTGGCGTTGTATTGCTTCAAGGCGTCCGCATCTAGTAGCTCAGCAGCGCACCATGGACATTCTGCTTTTTTGCTGCAATCGTAGATCTGCTTCGGTCCGCCATGCGGCAGGGCAGCCGCAGCAGCCAGGCACCGCCGCGCCATCTCTTCCCCATCTACTCCAGCCTCCACACATTCCCGAACTACTTGCGCCTCTGTCTTGGACGCGCCACCCGCGTCGAAATATTTCTGCATCAACTCTTGCTCCGCAATCTTCTCAAAGTCTGGATCATTGTCGCCCCAGTCTTTCGCGACCGCTTTGATGTATGCCCACCTTGTACAAACATAGTAGAGTCGCTTGCTGATTGCGTAAAGGGTGTCACCTCGAGTAGCTTCGTCTCGTCTCTCGGTAGTGCCTTCGATATCTTCCCATAATAAATAGTTCCAAAAGGCCCAGGCCGAGACTGCAGGCCGCCTGCAGGTACTCCAGCACCTCCGCAAAGTGGTCCGGAGCGTTGCGCTTTCGTGGCTCTATCTGTTTAACGCCTTCAATACTTCGAAGCCAGTCTGCACGGCAAGTCTTTCCATTTGGTTCGGACCAAAGGACGCTTGCCATTGGTGAAAAACGCCCCACCAGAGCCATGCGGACAATGTCGCCCTGTGGTCGCCGCATTACATGCCCAATCATCTTCGCCTGCAGGTATCGAAGCCGAGCGGCAAGGGGAGGAATTCGCTCGCAGGCGCCTTCGTAGGCTTCTGGCTGACGAGTGACACTCATCACGCTGCCAAAACGGTACGCCCAAAAAAATTTTTACCATTTTACTTTCGGCCTTCTCCATCATCCTGAGCTCACGCGGTGACACAGAACGGGCTTGCAGGCCGTATAGCAACACCGTGCGCACCATGGTCATCAAAAGCTCACCCTTTCGCTGTTGTGATAAATCCGATAGGCCGGAGACCATCGATTTGAGACCGTGAAAGGCACGCCAGGCCTTCTTGATCTTCGTCTCTCCGTCCTCATCGTCGTTCGTGTTCATCCCCAAGTTTCTCGTCGCCATGCTGGTTATCTCGCCAGCCACTCTTTTGCTCATGTTCTCGCGCATGCCACACGATTTCAGAACTTGCCCGAAGGCGGTGGCTGCTTCCGTGGCAACTGGGCCGGGTTGCGGTTTCTGCTTTTTCCTTTCGTCATTCGTTGCCTGTAGTTCACGGGCACGGTCTGGCCCTAGCTGTGAGAAGATCGCGGCGTCGTCAGCAAACAAGAGGCGGCTGAGAATGATGCAGAGCCACCGCCCTGGGTGCGTTTTCGCTTCTTCAACCGGCTCGCCCTGCTTTGCAAATGGGGGCACAGACTTTCTCTCACCAATGTACGCGGAATCAAAAATCTTCTCGAACCTGTTCCAGTGCCAAGCGTTTGCCCGCATGTACAGCGCTACGCCCTGCTCCGTTTGTGGTAATTTTTCTAGTTCGCGCTGGACTGCCCGCATCACTGCGGCGTATGACAAAATAAACAAAAGCGGGCTGGATGTGCAGCCTTCCTTGCATCCGTGATCGAGTCGGAATTGCACGCCGTCCGCAAATTCATGGATCGCCGACCTGTGAGAGGACTCGATGACCTCCCAAGCTTTTGCTTGTTTTATCCCCAGAGCAGAACTGACCGAACACACTAAGCGCCAGTCGAGGCTTGGAAATGCCTTTCCCAAATCCACTAAAACCGCAGCGACTTGATTGAATTGCGGGAGGTGCTGGCAGTGAGCCAAGTCCTCCTTCAATCTGTTGTAGACCAGAAGCGAGTCTCCTCTTCCTCTTCCTTCAATCTGTTGTAGACCAGGCATCCTCTTCCTCTCCGGAACCCCAGCTGCTGCATGTCGAAGTAACCTTCTTCCTCTAATAATGAGTACAAACGGCCGGCATGAATCTTCGTCAGTAGTTTCATCAAACAAAAGTGGCGAGATGCAGAGGAATCTATAGCAGTCGGGGTCGCTCCGATCGCCTTTCTTGAAGAGTGGCACGTCTTTGCATGTGTGCAGCTTGCTACTAACGTCTGACATCCTCCGCCCTGCAATTTCGTCGCTAAGTAGGCTCGCGAGGATGCTCACGGACTCCTCGTCTAAGTGCTTCAGGATGGTAGGGGATAGGTTGCTCACGTCCTTCGCGCGCCCCCCCTTGGCGAGGTGGCGAGTGGCTGCCTGCAACTCTTCCGGGTCAGTGGGCTTGCCCAGTTCCTCGATCTTGTCCGCCGGGAGTTTGGGCACGAGGTTAGGCATGTCGTCTTCGATGGGAATTCTCTTCGCTTTCGGAAACAAGGGCGCATTCCCGACTTCAAAGTACTTCCTTCTTGCTTGTTCGGCGCTTATTCCCACCGCGCGGTCTTGTTTTGCAAGTTTTTGCTGACGAAAATTTTCCCACATGCCTGCGATATTTGCACTTCGCCGATTCTAGTAGCTGGTCTTGCTCCATGTACGGCAGCCGCTTCTTCGTCTTTCCCGAAACCAGTGGAGCCATGTAGAGGAGGAAGTCCTGAAGTTTTTCCAGTGAAAGCGAGTTTCCGTTTTGTCTTACTCTCGCGCGGAAGACTTCTCTCACGTGGTGTCTCGTGGCGGGGGGGATTTTGTCGAGAATCCCGAACGCAACGCCTCCGCCCTCTTTGCTATCCCTTCCTCGATCAATCTCCTCCGCGTTTTCACATCACAAACGACTTCCGCCACCTTGTGATCGAGCTTGTCACTGCGCATCGGCTGTCCCTGCAGATTGCGACCATTGCCATCGATTCGAAGCGGAGGCATTTGGTGAACTTCTGCAGTTGCGTTCCACTTGGCACTACGTGGTCTACTTCCGTTGAATCGCGATACGTGTGGTAGTTGCCGTCTTTGGCTTTGAACCAGGAGCCGACCAACACTGCACTAAGCCCCGTGAGCTTCTCAGCTAATTGCTTGCCACGCTTCGAAGAACTCGCGAGCCCATGGCCTCCATGAATGCCCGCCCCATCCTTTGCGGAGATCTGCGCACTCCAATCGCCTCCTACCACCCGCTGCTTCCATTTCTCCTTCTTGATCCGTTTGCTTTCCAGGAACAGCTCGGAGAAATTAGCATCAAACGCGGCACGTTCTTCAGCTTTTAGTGCCCGCCGCGGCCCGTATACCGGCCCGAGAATTAGTTCGTCAAAATACAGAAACAGCATCCGCTCCCGCGTGCGAAGGGGGTTCGTGGGAATCGCGGCTTCTCCACGTAGCTGCTTTCGCAACTCCTTGCCCAGAATCAAAAGTCCGGCACCATTTACCCATACCAAGTCGGACGCTTCCTTCCTTAACCAGTGAAAGGGCTCAACCTGCCCGGCCTTGGTTTCTTCCACTAGGTCGCTGTGGTCGTCCGGAGCATCGTCGTCGATGGATTCGGCAACCGAAGCAGCGTCTAAGTCGCCTTCTCCTTCCTCGTCGTCGTCGCGACTTTCTCTTCCACCATCATCCACAGCCATCTTCTCCTCTGCCTCCAGTTGCTGTCTCCGGGGCGTGGGCAACAGTGGGCAAACATAGGAGAACTCAGAGAGCGTGGCAACATCATACTGCCGGCGCTGTGCGACGCGAAGCGCGTGTTGGAGTCGATTACTGTGGCGGTCGTCACCTCTCACGTTGATAATCCCAAATCTTATCCGCTGATGCCCGGGCAAAGGAGCAGGGTCGGGCTCTTCGTCTCCGATTCCAAAGGGGTCAGCATGCATAGTCTCGGCGTTTTTCCTGGACTCTTCTGCAGCAGCCCTTCTGTTCTCTCTTATGTCCTTCGCTAGCTGATCACGTGCGGCAGTGTGCGTTTTATCTTCCACGGTGTCCGCACCGCCACCGCTACCTGTCTGCTCACGCACTGTGTCCTGGGCAGCCATCATCTTCGAGAAATTGGGCTCATCGTGCTGGCACGGGGCTAGTTCCTCTAAGATGTCGCTTTCGTTTTCATGAGAAACGTCACCTCTTGCCCAGTCACCCCTTGAGTAAAAGCGAAAAGTAAAAGCGAAAAGTAAAAGCGAAAAGTAAAAGCGAAAAGTAAAAGCGAAAAGTAAAAGCGAAAAGTAAAAGCTAAAAAAAAGCTAAAAGTAAAAGCTAAAAGAAAAAGCTAAAAGAAAAAGCTAAAAGCAAAAGCTTAAGGCAAATGCTACAAGCAAAGGCTAAAGGTCTAAAGGTCTACAGGTCTAAAGCAAGGTCTAAAGGTATAAAGCTAAAGGCTAAGAGTAAAAACTAAAAGGAAAAACTAAAAGTAAAAGCTAAAAGTAAAAAGTAATAGCCAAAAGTAAAAAATGAAAACTGTAAAGCAAGAGAAAAGCAAAGCGTGTAGCAGAAGGCCAGCGACAGAATTTGGAAAGCTTTTGAATTGCACAAGCAACAGCAACAGCAAGCAAGGTGGTGAAAGCTGGAACTGGATAAAGAAAGCGTGTTCGGCGCTGGCAGAAAATGCGACGCCTTAGGCTTTCAAAATCTGAAACAGCTGGCGCCTCACCCCGAGGTCCGACCAGGTCCCCGGGAACCTCAGCCCGAGGCCCCACCAGCTGCCCGCCATCAGCTCGCGGTATAGCGAACTGGTGGCGGGCACTCCACCCCGAGGTCCGACCAGGTCCCCGCCATCAGTTCGCTATATAGCGAACTGATGGCGGGCGCTCCAACCCGAAGTCCGACCTGGCAGACCGAACGAGATCAACTGAAACAGAACAGGAGTTTTTGAATTCCTGTTCTATTTTTGGTTTTTCGCTCTAGCGGAATAGCGTAATTTTTTTTCACACTTCTACAGGCGAAGCATACGTTGCTAGTTTCATCAGAATACTTACTTCGCCACTATTCCAGCGACTATGGTGCGAAGTTCGTCGATGACTTGCTTGGGAAGTGGGTTGCAAGTTTGTGGAAAAGTACACACTCAGGCTCACAGTCACAGCAGAAAGTTGCGCGAATTATATAGACACGCACGATAGTTCTGCACTTGATAGTAATCCTGTACTCTTTCCCAGTAACCTGGTCTTCACTCGTGACCAAGATCGGCACCGTATGGAATTCTCCGTATAAAAAGTATTTTGTCCAAATCGTTTTGCGGCCCCAGGGCACTTTATGGACGCGGCGAGCGGGCCAGTTCAGTTGAGTCGCACCATGCCAGTTCGCCTTCGGATTTGGGACGTTGATAGTGCATCCGTGGCAGGGACCTTCAAAATCAATATCCGCCTCAAAATAGGCGTATTTACTGTATTCCCACCACCAGACGCATTTGTAATCTGTAACATCAGGGTCGAAGGGTGGGTCCATGGTGCATGGGGTGTCTGCAGTAGTAAGCATGGTTAGAGCAGCATAGTCGCTAACTCTTCGCTTTATGGTGACAATGTAGTTGTACTCCCGCCTCAGCTGCTTACTAGCGACTGCTCCTTCCGGAGGTAGAACAGAGATCTCGACAGCTTCCTGCCAAATAGGGGGCTCTTTCTCGTCATTCGGAGGAAGAATCGCATGGAACTCCCCTGTACCAGCGGGGTGGGTCTTTTCATGCCCTCGCTGATCCTTAAAGCGAATGCGCATCTTGCGACTAGAAGCTCCAGCACTGAACTTCACACCCGATGAGTTCTTGTCTATCATCACGGTGTATTCGCGAACCAACGGCGAGAATTTTGGAGATAATATGTGCCCCGATACCTTTAAAGAGGAAAGATGAAGATCGAGCTTCTTTTCGACGTGCAACCGTATCTCGTATATGATCGGCAATCCACCGCCGGCGAACAGGCACACCTTGTAAACATCGCCAGCCTTTTGCGTGGCATGCTGGTAGGGCGGGAAGCTCCACCTCGATACAGCATCAGGTCCCGCAGCGCAGGCGCTTACGTACTTGCTGCGCCCTTCCATGTGCGAAGGGAATTGAAGCCCTACGCTGGCCTCAGGATTCTGTGCTGCAGCAAATACGACAAATTCTTCGCCCGTTAGAATGTAGCTGTCATACTTTTTGATGGCAGGATCAAACGCAGGACGCAGGAGGGCAGCATCGTGTCTGAGATTGATCGCCACAGACTCCAGAACTGCGCCCGAGCTGGATGCCAAGCGAATAAGATTGAAGACGTATTTTGTGCAAACCGCCCTCTGCTGAGCGCTTAGCTCGGGTCTCTTCCTCGCAAAAATACTCTCGAAGGTTTCCAACCCGCCCTGCGCACCCGCTCCCCCTGCACCGGCAGAGAACGCATTCAAAGAAACAGCACAGCATTGCCATAGTTATGCGGCGAGTGCTTGCGTTGCGGCTTTCCTTTAATTTAACATTAGCACAGCCAGAACATAGGCCCTGCACTAAAGCCACTGGACGGCTCTGGACTGGAAGATATGAGCCGGTGGCAAGAAGAACTCACCCACGGAGCCCGCTCGTGGTGGCGTATCAGATCAGAAGAGCATCCGACGGGGGCGCGTTCATTGTTTGTGCAAGAAAGCCTGTCCAATCTGAATCTGAGCGCAACGAAAAAGAATCCAAATAAGGGGGTCGCAAGTTGTCCGACTGGGCTTTCAGGGCTCCTCTTTCGACTGGCGGGCTGGGCCTTTGGGCCCCTGGCCGCGAAGGACCTATGCTGGATCCATGGCATAACCCTCAAACCGGGAGAACTAAGACCCACCCGGCTAGGTGGGCCGCAGTGGCCTTGAGAACGTAGTCGGGCAGTTTGTGGCCTCTCTAAAAACGAAAAAGAAACAGGCCGCTTGGTGATAATAGGGTCCGCGGGGGGGCAAGCGCAGGCGCGGCAGCGGCAAAGGGCAGACGAGGGCGGCATACTGAACAGCAGAGCCGAACCGCCCGGAACAAGGCCGCCGCAGACGGCCGAGTATGGACTAGGGCAGCCACGAGAGGCCGGCGCCGATTTTGCGACCCATGTCGGTGGTCTCATGGGGTTCCCCGGGCAAAATCGGTGGCGGGCCGCCGGGACGCGTCCGGCGCAGGCCTGCTGGGGTGGCCAGAGTGAAACGCGCGCAAGCTTGCCGGGATGCCGAATGTGTGGGGAGACGGGACGGAACTCCGCCGCCCCGGCGGGCTGCTTCCGTGCTGCGGCGGCGCGGGCCGGGTGACAAAGGTCGCCACGAACCGCGCGAGGCTGTGGCGGAGCAGTGCATAGGGTGTACACAATAGGCAAGGCCGCGCGCGGCGCTAGTACACCACGGCGCCCACGCTTGTGTTTGGATCTACAATGGCGGCCGCAACATGCTCGCAGGTCACAGGGCGCGCCCACATTCTCAAGCGCAATAAAAATACAGGAAGGCCACAAAGCATTTGCCTAGGTTTTTCCGGGAAGGACTGCCGGCCCAACCAACCGGGCGGGCCTGGGGCTATGCGGCCCGGGCTTTAAGCTATATATAATGCATGGGACCAACGTGGCAGCGCAACGCGCTCGCCCATTTGTCAGCCGGCTGGCCCCGACTTACGTTTTGGGCCGCCGGACCCAAGACCCAGCTGGCGGGGTGGGCCGCAAATCCTCTCCGGGCCTATGCCAATACTTTTTTTGCGGCCCTTTTGTCAAATAAAAGGCGGTGGCAATCTACTGGCCGGGAAAAGGGAAGCGGCCTGCCCCTCAAGAAGCCAAACCGGGCGGGTGCAGTTTGGCTCCCGGGCCGGCCCCCACGCCCGAACGAAGAGAAGCGGCCCGGCTTTGCCCGCCGTTGACTTTGGGCGGCCAAAGGCCGCCGATCGCAGAGGCACCTGCGCGGCACCTCCACCGCGAAAGGCAATGGCGCGCTTGCGGCTGCCAAGGTCCTGCGCTGGTCTTGTGGGGGCGCGCCGGTCGTGCACGCAGAATCCGAAGGGCACTCCGGGCCGGGAGCTGCCCGCGTGGGAAAGACGGCAAGCGGCGGCAAAGGGGCCCGATAGGGGAGCCCCGCGGGGCCGCCCTGGCGTCGCCTTGGTATTCTGTTGCTCATTTCGCGCGCGCCCCCCCCCCGCAGAATCTGGAGGGAGCCGCGGGCCGGAGATTGGGAAAAGGCAAAAGGGGCCCGGCGCGCCCCTAGCAAAGGGCGCCCTCGGTGTGTTCTCCTTCGGCAGTTCGGGGCGACAGGGCGCCTGCGCGTCGTGCCGACAGGGCGCCTGCTCTGGAAGCAACCAATGGGGAAGAGGGCACCCAGAGCCTACCAGCAAGCACGCACGAACCTGCTACCGCTTCAGGACGGGGCGGTAGGGGGAATTCTGGTCGCGTGCTCGCGTCGCGCGGGTTTTCGCCGAGGGAGGCGAGGCACCTGCTCACTTTTTGCCAGGCCGTTGTGTATAGGAGGCCTGACGAGGACGGGCCCGGTGCTCGCATACCTATCAAATGGCCTAGCTTCATTTTCTCCATGCCTGGAAGGCATACAGGTCCGCCAGCCGTGGGAAGACAGTGAACGTATATAATATTGCCTACGGTTGTCATGGCTCAGCTTGCCTTACGGGGTCCAAGGATAGCCGCCCCTTGTAACGTCTTAAGTGGCTACTTCTGCGCCCGCCATTCAGGTGGGCCAGAATCGAAGGCGCTGGCCACGGCGGAGTGGCGCGACTTTCGCGCGCTCCGCCGGGAAATAGTCCCAGGCCGCCCGCGTCGTTCCCGTAGCTAGCCCTTGCTCTAGACGAAGTCGCAGGGGCTTCGCAGTCAGTAGCAGCTGCGCTAATGCGAGATAGAAAGGAAACTGCTGCCACGCGCCTTCTTCTTCGTCCCTATCAAAATATGGCCACTCCAGCGAAAACGGTTCCCGTGCCCGGACCCTCGTGGCCGCACGGGGTGAGGCGATACCCAACACCGGGGGCCCCCCGGTTGCCCCTCGCAGCGAGACGCAGCCTGCCGCCGCCACTTGTTGCGCGTGGCGGCGCTGCGGAATGCGAATGTGCCCCATTTGTCGATAAATCTTCTCACCTCAACCAAATAAAAGCCGCCAAAAAAGCGCGGCAGGCTTTCGCAAGTGGTGGCATTTGTGTGCTGTGCTGTACCATAGCAGGCATAAACCTTAGTAGGGCGCGGTATTCCCGGTTCCGGAAGATCCACGCCCAGGCGGCCGGATGAAGTATGGGGCACGAAAACTTCCCCCATGCCACCCCCACCAACGCCCTTGCTGCGATCCGAAATGTATGGGAGTGCTATTGCACAAATACAAATCCACGAACCCTGTGGCGGTTGGTCCATGTCGCTGCCCACGAAAAGTGCTACGGCGCGGCCTTCCTGAGCACTGAAGCCAGCGCGCGCCGACCCGTCCTAAAAAAAGGCGCCGCGCCCCTCGGGCAGAAAAACTTCGAGCTGGGCGCATTGCTGAATGCGAAAGGGCGCCGCCCAGGCGCCAGCACCAGCCCTACTTTGGACGACCTGCCTCCGGGAGGCGGGCTTCATCGGGGGGGCCCGTGCCTCGGGAACGAAGTTTTTTCTTAAGGCAAACACCAAAGCACTCCTCGTCCTCCGGGCCGCCGGCTGCTACCGGGATTGCGGGTCGTCATTTCCAAAAGGAAAGCCGCCCCACCACCGTTTCCGGCATGGCGGGGGCGCAGCCGAGTCGTGGCGTGCCGGCGTGCACGCCAGCAAACCGAGTGCAACAGTTTTTCGCGAGTCCTAGCGGCACTGCTGCCACCAGTGCGGGAAGCGCAATGGGGCCACGGCGCAGCTTCGGATTGGAGGCAACCGCGTAGGCAGCCGGGGGGGCACAAAAGAAACCCCCAGGAGAGAGATGGCGCCCGCACGGAAATGCTCGGGAAGGCTGCTTGGCCCTTCGGGCCAGCCAGGGGGAGCGCGCGAAACACGCGAGGACACCAATTTTCTGGAGCGAGCACGCTCGCAGCCAGAGGAGTAGGCAACAAAACTAGACGGCCGCGCCGCCCGTACCTATCGGAACCCGCCGCGGAAGAGGCGGCAACCAAGCGGGGCGCCGGCGGCTCTCACTTTTTTCGCGCCGCCCCCGGCGTTGCCCGGCTCGGCTGAAAGGGCCGGCCACTTTGCGTGCGCTGTGGCGCCACGCAGCATGATGCGCCTACAGGAGCGGCGACTGGCTGAAATCGCGCGGGACACACAGGCGCACCGCTGCGCCCCTTTTGTGCCCGGCGACGCGGGCCACGCGCTCGCTATTGCGCCCCCAGGGCCGCCAAGAGATGGGCGGCCGAGAATCTGCCGAGCCACAAAGGAAAGGGGGGCTGCCTAGCCCGAAGGCCTTCGCGGGCGTTGCGTTGCTGGTTCGTTTGTTATTCTTCGCGGGCGCGCTGCCTGCGAACATATAAATATATTCATATTGAGCAGATGGATTTTTCACACTTCATAGTCATCGGCGAGGTGCAAACACACGCTCTTTTTCTGGTACAGGCAAGATCTATATGACATTCGGGAAGTCTTCGGTTTACCCGGAATATCCCAATGGTCGCATCCATTCGTCTAGGTAAGTCGTCGACGGCGGTGGTTTCCCGAAGTCTAATGTAACATAGCCTGCTTCATACTTGCACTCCACAACATAAAACGTACCGTCCGGATAAAAGCTGCCCCCAACAAGACTACACTGATTCTGCGGATGGAGCAGTAGTTTTTTCAGAACAGCGGATGCTCGAGGACCCCTCTTATCTTTCAACGCTCGCAGTCGTGGTTGCGTCGACGGAGTACGCACATTACGGCCACCATTGCAATCTTGTCCGTGTTTCCCTCCCCGCTGAGAACGAGGCAGCGGGCTCTCGTAGACGGGCTCTCGTGACCGCGGCGTCGGATCTATATCAATATCAGTCCAGTTGGAGGTGCGGCGCCAACTAAATGGCGTGGTGATAAGAGTCGCCAAGTCGTCCGCTGCGGCGAGCCTTTCTCCTACTCGTGCAGCGCGATCATCTCGCTTGCTGTAAAGAGTTCTAGGCAATGCGTCCCCGCTCTCCGGAGGAGATGCCGAAGGCTGCTGGTGATAACTCGAGGCCTCCGCTGTGTCTGCACAAGCAGCAAAAACAGCAAAGAGTGTCACCAGAGCCGGCGCGGTGGTTGATTTCCACAGCGACATTCCTCCGCTCGACGCAGCAAACAACAGCTGGTGCTGGCGTGCGCGAATCCTACTTCTTACGCATGTGCGACCATCTTTCTTCACCTGATGACCTGCATCTGTTCGACTCCGACCCTCAGGCTGTAACTTCTACCCCAGATCGGCCCCTTTCTACTCGTCCCTTGCATTCCTGGACCCTCATTCTCGTTGCTTGAGCAGCAGCTTGCTGCACTTGCGAAAATGCAGCAGCGGCAGCGATCCCGCTGCTGCTGCTCTGGTCTTTTTTCAGCTATGATGTGGCGCTGCCTGGTGCGTCACAAGTCTGTCCCAAATCCCAAAAGCAACTTCCTGTCCAAGGATCATCTGTCGGTCGCTGCGCTCCTCCGGAATGCGCACTCACATCGACTCGCTGCTAGCACTGCTTGCGTGTCAAAAAGCGCACTAGATATGAGACTGACAGCACAATGCGACCAGATCCGGAACCAGATGAGCTGCAACGCATTATAACTTTAGAATCAAGTAAGTCGCATGTATGTTCCGAAACTCAAGGCATTGAAATATAAACGCTGCAGGCTCATCGCCATCTCGGAGGCGGAAAGTCAGCTCCTGGCCATGATCTCGCTCCGGCTCTCTCCGCTCCCGCTGTTATTGTTTCTGTTTCTCTATGGACATATACACAAATACGAACGATCCTCAGAATCAGAAAAACCGCCGCGCCAATGCTTGGCGCATGCCGCTCCAAGTCATACCGGTTTACTCGCGTAGGGCTACATTCCATACTACTTAGCCCTGGCTTTCGGCTGCCCCACGCCCTGCGTCGAAAAGGCCGAGCGCTCTTATAATGGCCGCGCCCGGACGCGGACGGAGAAAGATGCTGGCAACCAAAAGCGTCCGAACCACCGGCCCGAGCCGGCGCGAAGGGCGCCGCGCATCCATCCCTTAGCCCCTTGGCCAGAGGGTGCTAAGCGGGGGCTGCGCCCTTATCCCCTAATTTCTGGCTAATAGAGAAGTCGAAAATCGGGCAGGAGAGAAGCACCTCCGCAAGCAGGCTACGGAGGTGGTGCGCCTTCGTGGTTTAATCTCGAGCGCGAAGCTCTGGGTGAAGCACAATAATGTGGGCGTGCGGGCTGCTTTTCCCTTTGGCTTTGTGTTCCTTAACAGATAGGAAATACAAAGCGGACACATTCATAAAAATAACGACACTGCGCGGAGGGAGAGGCAGCCTCAGATGAGAAAGGGGGTGATCCAGTCCCGTCGCCCCTGTTCTGTCGGGGTTCGTTCTTTATACATTCGTGCTTCGTTGTTTTTATTTTGCCTGAGATTCCTATCTGGAATGCACGGTCGCAACAGCCACCACGCAAAATTCCTAATCGGCGACAAATCACAGAGATTTTTCAAGCTCTTTCTAGCCAACTGCCACACAGTCTGCGAACATTTCCTTTCGCGCTTTTTTTTTTCTGGATCTATGCGGCCGCCCAGGGCGGCCCAGAGAGTGCAAAATTTCCGCCATCAAGCGCGCCATGCCATCACCCCTTGCTCGGGCCCAGCCTTCTCCTCTTGAAAAACCAGCCGGGCCGAGCCGCGAAAGTGCTGCCCTTGGCCCTTCCCCCACTTTTGCATTGCGCCTTTTGGGAAAATGCGCTTTCTTTTCCGCGACCCAGTTTCCGGAGCCAAAAGACACCCAAAAGTGTCCGGACTGTTTTCGAGTGGTTCACGGAACTCGGGCTGCTCCGATACGACGACCGCAAAACCTTAACGCCCTATTCGCGAGCAGGGGTGGATAACTCGCAGATAGGGTTAGGCGTGCGGAGCTTTGGATGGCCGATCGTCTTCGGCTATCCCTCGCCAGAAGCACCGCTTCTCCGCGATCGGGCAGTCATTGACTTTGCGGCAGCGCGCACGAGAAGTGGCGCTGGCAGACTTTGCACAACCATTCGGCCGCGCCCTTTGCTCACCGCCGCGTGATCTACATGCGCATGCGGCACTTGAACACGGGCCGGACTCTCGCCGAGCGTCGCGGACTCTCTCATATGTGGTAAATGGAGAAGGCTTGCCCTGGTGAGAAACGGGCAGAACTCACCCCGACCGGAACACTCTCAACTCCTGCTGCGCGATTGGGTGTGGGAGGTAGGTGGAAAGGCCACGCCCTCGCGCGGCCGGCCGCGGCTGTCGGAAGCACAACATCAACCGCGGGCAGCGGCGACAGGATTTCGGGCGCCGGGCTCGTGCCTGCGCGGCGGCCCAGAAACGCCAGCGGTGTACCGAGGCGCGCTGGCGGCGCAGTCTCAAGATACCAGAGGGTCACGCGCCACCAAGTAATGCGGCCGGGTGCGGCCCTCGCCGGCCGCTGATGTGGCGCGGCAAGGAGGCAACCGAGGGCGGTGCTCGTTCCCGGCAGGAGCCGGCTGCGACAAGCTCGGGCGCGACGAACGCAGAGGGCGGGCCAGGGCCAGTGGAGCCGCCGGCGCACTGCCTGCCGAATAGCCGGGCCCGGGGGTGCGGGCGCGGCCCGGCCGCGAGGCCAGCAGGCGCCCTCGCTCCCGTGGCTGCAACCCGCTCTGCCGGGCTGCACGCCGATGCGATTTTTTTGACTGCCCGACGCCCTGCTCCTTATTGTCTTCGCGCATTCAAGCAAACAAAGGGGCCGCACTATTCGTCCAGCCAGTGTCCGCGATGTATAACATTATGCTACTGGTGGCCATGATAGAGAAGGCACAGGTAGTAAACATCATCGCGCCCAAGGGCAGCGGGCTTCCTGCATCTAAGAGCCGGACGCATTTGCTTCCCTACGCCATGGCCCCACCCGGGCCGGCTCCCCGAGCACGCCAAAACAGGCCAATAGCACGCGCCCCCGCTTTCCACTTGTATCAGACTTTGGCTTCTTGAAGTTTTAGTTTTTCACTTAAGTCCGGAAACGCGGCTGCTGGCCTGATTCCCACAGTAGAAGCGGCCGACTTTGCTTCGAGTCTTTGCAGCGCGGGAACGCAAGCTGCGGGCCTAAAAGAGCGTGGCCAACACCATGAAGCTTGCCTATTTTTTCCGCCGGCGACTTCCTGGCGCTCCCAATTTTTCTGCACCCGAAAGCGCCAGGACCTAAGGCGAAGGGCGTCGCAGAAGGGCGCCAGCTTAGGAGGCTCCTCTGCGCTCTTCAATCGAATACCGTACCGATTCGGTGCTGCAGCAACCAGTCTCACTCAGATCAAGCTGCAATATCTTTCTGCGACAGAACACCTCCGACCGCTTCGAAACTGCCGAGCGTTTTGCGTGAGAGCTTGCAAAAATGCGGCCAGAATAGAACAATCGCCCCGGCCTCAATATATGCAAAAGCCCTAGCGCGGCTCCGCGCTTTTTTTGGATCACTGAATTTCACTTCGCTGCAGGGCGCGTGCGACTTGCTCCGCCGCTCGTTCTGCCGCTCAAGAAAAACGCTCCATCCCGAGGCAAGCCTTCCCGCGATGCTCTAGTACATTCGCCGAGCGCCCGGATATTTAAATCCATAGGCTAGCTGCTTCCCCGTTCATTCTTTTTCCGGCGGGTCCCACTGTGAATTCCTAATGCTCGGACTTCGCTACCAGTGGCAGTGCCACAGGTAAACACAAACAAACCCATTGCTGCGGAGCTACGCTTCGCCGCCATCTTTTGCGAGTGGAAAGCGTACGCACAAGCCAGAGGATCCATCTAGAGTGTCGCTCGGACTTCTGGCGGGTCCAGTCTTCGAAGGAGAACGCCGGTGCAGATTCTTGCATCAAAAAAGGACAAGGGGCTGGCGTTGACTTGCTTCAGGAGTTCAGTAGCTCCGTCACGTATAATCATCTGCAGGCAGCGTTCGCCGCTGTTGCCCTGAAACGCTACGAGCTTCGTTAGTACACAGCACGCAGCCTCGACGGCTGTTCCGTGAGTGCGCGCGGCGTTCTTCTCTTCTAGCGACGCTCCATAGGGATGCTGTACCCCAAACGAGTCACGCAAGCGAGGCGCCTGGTGTGCCGTTTTTTCGGTGCCGGCTGTCGAGGCAGCAAACTGCACGCGCAAGGCTCGCAGAAGCACGGGCACCCCGTCTCCCTCTAAAAACGTTTCGAGGTCGCTCTCCTCTTGTATGACATTGCAAAGCACGGCACATACTTGCTCAAGCACACCTGAGTGCTGTCCGTGTCTCGATAGGAGTCTCGTGGCGGTTTCCAATGCTCGCTGCCTCTTCGCATCCTCTCCGCCGAGCTTGTCGTGCACTAAGTTAGCTAGCGCCATACACGCTAGCTGGCAGCTCTGAGCATCTTCGCCATAGGTTCTCAACGACTGCAAGACCAAGGCCACAGCATCTCTTTCGACCATACGGAGCCGCAATAGAGGATCCACTGCCAAGTTACTCACCGCGCCCAGTGCTTGCAATTGCACGCCTGCGTCCATGATTGAGAGGCACTGCAGCACTTGCTCTTCTGCTTGAACTGCACCAAGACGCGCGCGCGCCTCAGCAGATACCGCCAGAGAAAAAAGCGACGCGCAAGCTTGTTCGCATACGTCAGCCTCAGTCCTGGCCACGTACTCTCGCAGGCATGCTGCCACCGCCTCCAGTGCATTTGAGTTGCAAGCTATTTCTCGCAACATGTCCGCACCTGCGTACACGGTCAGAGCCCAGCACGCTTTGCGCTGCACGTCTGCTGCTCCGATATGCTTTTCCATTGCCTGGACAATCCGCTGAATAGCCCCCAGTCGAACAAGTGCACCCTGCCACTCCGGGAACGGTGCGAGAGTACATAAGAGCTCGCAGCCACCTTCTTGCACGCGTGACTCTCCTCCGTGCTCCCGCATGGCATTCACAACACTCTCTGCGACATCAAGGCGGAATGGCGGAGCCCAATGCAATATGCGAGCGCTACTTTCAAGATTATGGCCTACGCCTAGAACTACAAGCTTCAAAAGCTACTATCCGTCTCAGCCTCGTCACACGGAGTCAGTCAAGTCATGATCTGCGCTGTGGCTCACAAACCAACTCCTCACGGGTGTGGCCCTCTGAACGTGCCATCGGCTAACAAGCCCGGCCTCGGAGTAGAATTAGACGCAAAGCAAAAGGAACAGGTGGAAGGGGAGCGACGCATACACAAAAGATAGAAAAATCGGGGGTGATAGAAAAAGCATAAAGATAAAAGATAGACCCCAATCGGCATTGGCGAGGCTTGACGAGTGGCACCCTGCCGCCGGTTGCTTTCTAGCAATGACGTCGTTGCTGGTTGCCTTTTTACTCTAATATGCCCGCAAGGAACTTGCTACGGAACAAAAGGCCGGAGCCCTGGCGGCACGTGAAAGACTCTGCCGATGGTGGCTCCCGAGGAAGCGGGCCAATGGCGCCGCGGGCTGCGCCCACAAACCTGCTGCACCCAGCTGGAGCTTCCTCGTCTGCACGCCGGATCCGACCGCCACCCCGCTTGGCATAGCCTTGCATGGCATGACCGGCGTTACCAGTCGCGCTCAATATATAATCCGGGCCGGCCGCCTTTCTTTGCGTCCCGGCTTTGGCTTTAATGCCTCTGCGTTCACAAAAGGGACGCCAGCAATGCAGCCGCTCGGCGCGCGCTCGCAACGCAAAAGGCCGCGGACTGCGCCGCGGGCTGTTGCACCACGCAGCAGCCCGCGCAACAAATCCCCGTAGCTTGGCTCCTGCCAAGTTGTCAATGCGCGCGAGTGCGCGGGCGCCGGGCTTTGCTGCCTGCCAATACGCCAGGCCGGCAACTAGAACTACACACGCAACAGTACAGAGCGACAACGAGCGCAGCGATTGGCTTCTGTGGCTGCCCCCGCGCCCGCCCGGGGAGCAGGCGCAGGCCACCCTTGTGGCGGCTGCCTCCGCACCCGGGCCCATTGATTGGCCAGCGTTTTTTGTAGCTGCCCCGGCGGCTGCACCCTTTGTCGCGGTTCGCTTCCCACTCGGGGAGCAGGCATGGCACGGAAGAAGCTACGGCAGTGGTGCTGCGTTGCGCGCGCGAGACGCCGCCCCGCGGGACCACCGCCGTCGGGCTCCAAGGGGGCGGGGGCCAGGTTGCTCCGGGCGGCCCCCGAATGTCTGTGGGCGACAGTGCGCGCCACATTTCCACACACTGCGCCCTGTGCGCCTTGCGCCCAAGCTAGGGGCCGCTCGCGGTGGTTGTTGGGCCACCCGGGCCCCAGCACGGGGGGCCCGAGTTCCTGGTGTGGCCGGGCCTGCGGAGTTCATTGCGAAGCGGCTCTCCTCCCTAGCAGCCGCGACGGCCGGCGAGAAAAACAACCAGGAACGAGGCCGCGCGGGTGTCGGGAAAGGGAATACGGATGGGGGCGCCCCACGGTGAGCGCCATGGGGGTTCGCTCGAAGAAGAGCGGGGGCCGGGCCACATACGGACAGGGTTCCCAGAACAGGCGGGCGAGCGGGGCAGCATGCAATAACAATGGGCCGGCGAAAAGGGGGCCCCGGATGAGGGAGGCCGCCGAAGCGGTGAGGGAAAACGCGGGGGGCGGCCGGGCGGGCGCGATCGCATGTGTCGGGCGCCGGGTTCTTCAGGGCCGGGCCCGGCGCGGGCGGCAGAAAGAGGACTGGAGCCCTCGCCCTGCAACCGCCCGCGATGTGATGCCTGCTCTAATTCTTCTCGCGACCCTGGCTGCGAGCGCGCTGCCCCTTTTCTCGGCGTACCGGCGGCAACCAAGGGCGCAAGAGCCTTCAGACCCCGCCCGCGCTCACAGTGCCGGCCGCCAGCGCCCTTCGCAGAGCAACCCCCACGTCCGGAGCATTGCGTCCGGAAAACCGGCGGCCGGGGCGGCGCGGGCATCCTGCGCCGACCGGGCGCAGTGCACGGCGCCATTACGTGGGCGGCGGGGGGCGGCTCCCGAAGCCGCGGGCCTTTGATGCTTCATCTGCGAAGCAGTTGCGAAAGCGGGAAACCGAAGCAGCCCCCGGCTTTCACTGGAAAAGAACGAAGGCGCCCGCGGGAGTCCACCTCGAGCTCAAGAGCATGCCCCCGGTGCCAGGGCGATTGCTGCCGGCGTGCGCGCGCTGCGGTGCTCCTACCGGTTCGCCGGGTCGGCCAAGCCCGGCGCGCGAGCGCTTCGCTTCTTCGCAAATTGGGCGCCGGCGACCTCGCCGGGCCCGTGCCGTCACCATGCTACCAGCGGTTGATAACCGATCGCGCCGCGCAGCGGGAAATACACGCGGACAACAAACGAACACCCGCACAAAAAAGCCCGAGCTGGCGGCGGCCCAAGCAAATTTGCAAAGCATTTGCAAGACTTCGCAAAAAAATCCGTGCCACTAGCTGGCACGCTGCCTGGCTCTTCATCGTCCACCGAGTGCACCCACCGTGGCCTGTGTTGCGCGCCATGGATGCGACAGGTGTTTTACTTGACGCGGCGTGGCTCTTTTTAGCTTCTAGTTCTACTGGATCTATGTCACTCCATGTGGCGCATGTCGCACGAGGTATTACAGGAGGAGCATGTGCCCATTGCTTGGGGGCGGTACCTAGCTACGCACCTTGTCATGACAGGTAAAGGATCGGCGCGCTACGCGGTACCCGAGGTCGTTTCAGGACGCAGTCCGAGTGGCCTCGCAACAGGCACACGGGTGGGAGGGCGGGACAAATCAAAACTCTGGACTTAGAGGCGCTCTAAGCGCGAAGACATCGTGCTGACTAGATCACAATCGCTTGGGTCCGGGATCTATCAGCCCGCTCTAGCTAACTACGACACTTCAACCGCCTAGGCTAGCTCATGCTCCTGTCGTGACAATCAGTCTCCTCGGCGACTCCTAATGTCACTCCATGTGGCGCATGTCGCGCGAGGTACTACAGGAGGAGCATGCGCCCATCGCTTGGGGGCGGTACCTGGCTACGCAACTTGTCATGACAGGTAAACGATCGGCGCGCTACGCGGTACCCATGCGTGAGCCCCGGACGAGAGCCCCACACTCACTCTTGTGGATGAACGGACGGCCGCGTGCGCGACCCACTCCTAAAATCAATGGCCATGGCGTCTGCACCTTTTCAATTTCACTTGTCCTTTTCTTAAAGGGAAGGATGGCCGAGGCTCACTCTGCGTTTGCTACGTACTCATAGATACAAACAAAAATCTCAGAAGCTTTGTTTTGCACCCAGGGCCTCGTCTGAAGCGCCTACGTTGGTTAATTTTCGATCCGTTAGACGCTCGCATAAGCGGGCTCGAAGCACCATTTGAAAGATTTGCGAGGGCCCGACTGGCGTAGTGCCAGACCTCCTTCTTTCGCCAAGATTGCGCGCAAATCTCCATCAGATCGTCTGCGCAGCCTTCCTGGAGGCAAAACGCCAGACAGTTCTCGTCCAATACCAGGAATGCAAACACTTTGCACAGCTGCTTTGCAAGTTCGTCACTGCTATTCTTCTTGGCAGCTTTTGTAGGGAAGAAAAAGTGGCTGCGGCAGGCAAAAACGTAGCACCTCAGTGGGCATGGCAAAACTGTCGAGAGGTGTTTCTTTTCTCCCTTCTTTCGATTTTGCGCGCGGCGAATGGCTGTGGCGCGGCCGCCTCCCGCTGCGGCCATCTTCCGGGCTGTCGAGTACCTCTGGCACTGGTTAGGAAAAGTCCGCCGTGGTGGTGATACACACCTAATCCCGTAACTCGACCCCGTCCGAGTTCCCCGGCGTGGGTTGTTGCCTGTACTGTGCCAACCCAAACCATCAAGCGGGGGCAGCGAAAAAGAATGGCGCGCGCGCTCCGTAGGTAAGGTGGGCTGCAGAACTCCTCTCGCATACTGCACAACAATCCTACGAGGCGGCAGCATCTGCAGCAGTGTGGAACACTTCTGCGCACCAGATGACGTTTTGCCGCCCGCTTTAGCAGTAACCACCCACCCAGTGGAAGTTTGCCCGCTTGCCTTTGGCGCCTCCTCTTGCCGCAAGTATGCAAGGACCATCACCGCTACGGTCCCATCCGTGGCGCTCGTCCCACCCTCCGCCCAGCCAGCGGGAAACCCCGTCGCCCCCGGCGGCCGCCATGTGCCGAACAGGGGGCTCCGGAACAACCGGCCGAAACCTGCCCGCAGAACCCGCCGAGGGCCGCGCCGGTATACGAGGCCCGCCAAGTAGCGCCGCGCCCCGCCGGTCGAAGCTGTTCGCGCGGTGCGTGACCAGCCTGGCTGCGCCGGGAGGCTGGCCGGGGCGTTTGTTTTCTTTATTTTCTTCCCTGCCGCGGCTGGGCCCTAGCTATCTAGGCTATAGCGCGGCGCTTCTATGCTTGAGAGCCTTCCTCCTCTGCGACTTTAGCGCCTGGGCTCTGTGCTTCTTTTCGCGATTTCCCCGCCCCCCTGTCTTTCTCCCGGCGCGCTTCTTTTTTCCCTGGTTGCACGGCTAGCCACGGTGTCCGTGCTGCCTTTTTCTTGCTTTTTTCCGCGGCCTTTTTCTCGCGGCCCCCAGTAGCCTTGCAGTGGAGCGGTGTAGTCCATGACGATGCCCACTGTGGTTGTATTTGCAAACGAGACGCCGGCGTCCCAATCTACGCGCCACCATTTTCCGCTGGCCGAACGGTCAGCCGGCCCGGCCCGGGCAAGCTTCCGGCTTTAATTTCCTGCTGATTATGTGTTAATTCTGAAAAAGGCAAACGGTTGCCCCAATTTTTTTTGTGGCGGCAGTTGGTTGAGGAAACCCGGCAGGCCACGCCGGGGAAGCCGACGAGGGGCGGACCGGGCCAGCGCAAAGGGGGGGCCGGGGCGTTTTCGCGCGGGGCGGGCCGCGCGCCGGGGCGTTTGCCCGCGGGGATAGGGCAAAATCGCAGCGCCGGGCCCCATTGGCGCCTGGTGCAGATTGTCCCCGGGAAAAAGGAAGCGCGGCCCGTGGTTTGCCCGGGAAGCCGACCGCTCCACGACGAACCCCCAGGCCACCCCGATGCGCCCTCCCACATTCTCCGGCGGCCAAGGCAAGCTAAATGACCCGGCGTGGGCCGTCCCAAACCCAAGCGGGACGCGGCCCCATTCTCCTTCCAAAAAACGCGTCGTAGCAAAAATCTTTGGGGCAGTGTTAATTTTCCGAGCTGGGCTTGTGTTAATTTTAGTGTTAAAATATGTGTTAATATTTGTGTTAATTTTTTGTGGTAATTTCCCGGGGGCCGATTTCCCACAGGAATCGCCTTAAAATGGAATTAACCCAAAAAATTAACCCAAAAGTTAACGCATATTTTATCGCCTTCCCGGGAAAAATCGCCCCGGTGTTTTCCCCCAAAACCGGTTCCCGGGAAAACGGGCCAGAAACAAAGACACCCCAAAAGCACAGGAAACACCGAAGGGGCCCGCCGACACTTGCCAGCCCAAGGCCAGGCCCGCTCTGCCCGGCTTGCCCAAATAAATGCCCAAACGGAAGCCCACAAGGAGACCACACAGCCTGCGCGTGGGCCCCCAAGCACTTCCAACCGCTGCTGGGCGCCGCTGCCACGCGGACCAATATTGAAAACCACGAAGGCCCACAAGGCCATCGGACCGAAGGGGCGCCGCCTGGCGTACGGCGGAGGGGGGGCCACCGAGAGACCGGGCGCGCAACGCCGCCGAAGGCCGGAGGCGGCCTCCCAAACAGAAACGACGCAGCAGACGGGGGCGCGGAAAGCGGGGAACCTCGCGGCTGGGGCCGTGGCACAACGGGCCGGAAAATCCAAGGCGCGAAAGCTAGGCAGTTTGGAAATTAACAACATTTTAACAAACTTTTACCCTCCTGATTTTGCCCGGGCCGGGCCGCCTGAGAACGGGAAAAAAGAAGGGGCCCACAAGCCGCCTGCCCCATCCAGATGCGGCATCTCCTGACCCTTTCGAGGCGCCCACCGAGACAATGCGGGGGCAGTTTCGGGCGCGGCGCGTCCATTCCGGCTACCTACGTGCGCGGACTCGCTCGGCCCCTACGGAGTCCCCTCGAAGCGAGGGGGGCGCTCGCCGAAAAAATGGGCGGGCGGCATCCTGGCGGACAGAGGTCACTCCCGCGAACGGGCGCCGGCCTTGAGGGCCGAGCGCTGACGCAGAAAAGGAAAAGCTGCGCGTCTTCTAAGAGGCTGCGCAACAATTGGTCCCCCTTTCGACAGGTCGAAAGGGGGGGGTAGGTAGGTCGACGGCCGGCAAGCGTCGGCCGGCCCGCCAAAGTGGGGGGGGTCCGGCCCAACGCCGGCCCGTCCGTGGCACGGTGGGTCGCCCGGCACTGGTCGGAGGTCCGCCGTATTTGCTTTCGCGCAGGCACTTACCCACAGAGCCGGGCTTCACTACTCCGGCAAAGAACAAAGCGCAGCCAACGAAAGAAGCCCCGCGCAACATGATAAATATCGCAAGGGCCTCAGCTTACGCACGGGCCCACAGCCCTACTTTTTTTGGGGGTTCCTAGAAACAAATGCAAAAGCCAGAGGCCAAAGCGAGGCCGACCGCGTGCTTGTTTTCATACATTAATAGGAAGAGAAGGACTGGGGCTGGGGCTTCGGCTTGTTGACTGGGGGCGCATTGATATCGGTGCGCCGCCTGCAGTTTAGCCATTTTGGCGCAAGGCGTAAGGTCGCGAACTGCTACCAAGCCCCGCTTTTTATCCTTGGGGGGGCTCAAGGTGGTAAGGGGTTGGCTGTAGCAAATCGCGCCCCTGTGCCTTGCGGCAAAAGGTCCCAGCAACAAACTTCGGCGGACCCATTGGCGAGGCAATAGACAAGGCTCCCTGACAGGTTTTCACTCGCGGGGATACTGCACAAACGAAAGCTTGGCTTTCAGCATTCGCGCGAATGATGTCAAACCTGGCGCGCCACTTTTTGAGAATCAGTCGAGGAGCACGGAAGCAACGCCAAGAGCTGCACGCTGCAGCGGAGCGAGAGCTTTTGGCCCAAGGTGCTGCGCCATGACTCGCTGCGCCCGGCCCCCTTTCACCCTTCACGACACGGGGCACACCAGGCGCGAGCCCTCCCTTTCAGCCCGCCGACTTTCCGTCGGGGGAGGAGTTCTGCTGCATGGCCTGGGGCGCGATGCGAGTCTGCGCGCCATCCATGCCATGGCGGGCCATTTTATTCTGGCGAAAATGCTGCAGGTGTTTGGGCTTTGTAGTTGGCGCATTTGGGTCCGCGATTCTGATTGCAGGATCGCACCCGGCGAAGCGTAGCGGCTTGCTTTGGCTGGCAACGGCGACCAGGGGCGGGCTGCGTTCGCACAAATTCCGATGTCCAGCCTGGTCGGTGCCTACTATGGCGGCTTTCATTAGACGAATGCAGCCCGCGCCTGTTCGTGTTAGTTCCTTTCGCAGCGGGCCAATGAATAAAAGCGAAGCCGCGACGATTTTCCTCAGCAATTTATCCGCAGCGCGCCCCGCGAAATTTTTGCAAGGAATGCAAAGCGCACGCGCGTAACGTAGCTGCACCTCGGGCGGCACGTGGCTCCTAAAATTCTTTCAACTAGTGCGCGACTAAGGGGGCGCGAAATTTTTTGGAAGTACCTACGTCGCTGGCCAAGCAGCAAGGTCCGGGAAACGCCTTCAGCGGGCGTGCGTAGCGCGCCCCACACAACCGATCTTGTAGTACCCGGGGGCGCTTGTCGAAAGGGGGGGGGGGGGGTAGGTCGCCAGCAGGCCGCTGGCCCCCCAGGCAATATAAAGAGGCTCACGGGGCCAATGAAAAAACAGAACGCCCGGGGAGTCCTAGCAACTCTCGTCTATTTTGTATGGAGGGCGCCGAGGGCATCCACGACATAGCCACCCTGCCGCGCTTATTCTACTTCCGACCTGGGCGGAGCACTAACATTCTGGCTCTGCCGAAATGATTTTTGCCCCCTGGCCCGAGGTTCGGTTGCTTGGTATAGAAGTTGAAGTGTCGCGCGGCACGCATCCTACTGAACGAGGTCCCTCTGGTGCTTCCCCGCTTGCCGCCCCGGGCGTGCCGGGCCTGGGGCCTGACTCCGCGGGGGTGCCGGGCGACATAGTAGCGCCGCGCCCTGTCGTGGCCTTAGTCGCCGGGGCGACATAATAGCGCTGCCGTGGTGGCCTTAGTCGCCGGGGCCCCCGCGATTTTGTCCGCCTCGACGACCGAAGGCCCTGCCCCTGTGCCAATTAAGGCGCTGGGCCGGGAACGGGCACCACGTTCGCGGCAGTTCTGCTACGGGGGCCCGGTGTTGTGGTGCGGCGCTTCGGTTTGCGTGCGGAGACGCCCCGCGGCCAATAATAGCCGCCGCAGCCAGGGTGGGCAGCGGGGCCATTGCTGCTGTGCTTGTCTTCAAGCAAAAAAACGGCGGAGCTTTCATGGCCGCCATGCCACCACGCCTAGCGCTATGAATACTTACACGGCGGCGCGGCGGCCGAAAAAAATCGCTGCCCAAAGCTGCCCGCCTTTTGGGTTTGTTGAGGCGAAAGGCCTGCGCCGCGTGCGGGCTACCAACCTTGCTGCTTTCAGCGGCGCCGCCATCTTTTTCTTTGCTTTTTCTGTTTAGGCGCCGCCCTCTTTGGGCTGCCCCCTGCGTTAAAAGATCCCGGCTTCGATGGTTGGCAGGCGTTGCGACGTCGAGGGCGTGCAAAAATGGCGCCAATGGCATGCGGATGCGCGGTTTATCTCGTACGGGAGCGCTCCTCAGTACGGGGGCGCTCCTTCTGCCGGCCCCCCTGCGCCGTTTCAGCAGGCGGCAAGCTATAGAATGGCGTCGGGCGTGCTTGCTTGGCGGCAAAGCCCCGGCCGCTTCATAATTGAAAGCCTCCAGCGCCGGCCAAAAAAACACGCCCGGCCGCCTGGGGGCTGCTGGCCGTTTTGCTTATATATGGGGCGGCAAAAAAGGCGCAAGGATGGAACGTCTGCTGCCTCGCTGCATCCTACCAAATAGCTATAGCCGCCGGGGCGGTGGTAGTGAGGTCGCGCCGGGTTTTCTGGCTGGGCGCGTCCGCAGCAAACGCAATTCATAGCCCGCCCCGAGTGCAAAGGCAGGGCCCTACTTTTGTCCCCATCATAGCGCGGCGCATGTCATTAATCAGCATGGCAACACACACCGCAAAAGGCGCGGCGCAAAAATGGCGCCGGGCCGCTGCTGCTTTTAGAGACGGAGCGCCTTCCTGCACGCCATGACCCCGCTAGGGGCTCCACCAGGGCCGGCCCTATGCGCCCCCGAAATCCGGCCCGTAGCATGCGCATTAGCTTCGCTTGCTGCCTGTGGCGGCTTTTGCAGTTTTTCTCTTTTATGTCAACGCCGCGCGTTTTGGCGTGCTCCCCGCAATAGAAATGGCCGCCCTTTGCGGCCGGCTTTGCGACCTCCAAAAGTGGGCAAAAACGAGGCCAATGCATACCATGGGGCTCGCGGCATGTGGATTCGTAGCATTTTCTTGGCGCACCTTTTTGGGCGCCCCAAATCGGGGGAAGCAGGTGCGCCGGGCGCCTCAGGGCGGCGCCCTTTTTGCCGGCCCCCTGCGTCGTTTTATCAATCGGCAACCGATAGAATTCGCGCGGGCTTGTTTGGTATCAAAGCGAAAGCCCTGACCGATTGGCGGGCGGAAGCTTTTTTTTACATCCAAAAACGCTTCCGGCCGATTGCAAACTTGCTGCCGTTTTGCGCGATGGGCGGCGAAAAACCCTCCCTGGCTAGAGCCGTTCGGTGGCCTCAATGCATGCAACTCTGCCAGCCAGCCTCCGTCTGAGGGCGGCTGCTTTTCTCGATCCTTCGCGGGCCCCTTCCCGGCCCGGGATTGGGGGGTAGGGTTCACGACATTGCCGGCGCGCGGGGGGGTCTCTTGGATCTGCTCAATCCAAGCTGTGCCGCAACGGCATGGACTTCGGGCGTGCTTTTGCGGCAGGCACCAGGCAGACCTGCAGGCCCGGCGACTACTTCCTCGCGCCGGCCTTCGTGGCAGGCCGCATGGTCTCGGGCCCGACTCGCCCCCCTACTGGCGGCCTGTTCCCCGCTGCGCCCCTCGGGGGGGGCGCCCTCCTCGTGCGTATGGAATGGCGCAACTCGTGTGGCGTGCGTGCCCTATGAGTGGGGAGCCACCTCACGGACGTACACGCCGCAGCCGATTAGACTCCGGATATTGCATTTGGTATGGTGGGAGAGGGTTTGTGCCCACATCAGAAGCTCCCCAACCTGAAAACGAACTTCTTCCGGAGCTCTCTCTCAATTACAAGCGCAATATATAATGATAAAACTACTCAGAAATAACGCGAGGCCTATCTGTACCAGACAGAGGAAAAGAAAACCGAAGCGGCAGCAACGCGCCCCTCGTTTGCACTTCCGGAGGTGTTCGATTTGTCATGACTGCCATGGCTTATTTTCCTTCCTGATAATTGCAAGCAGGCGCCGAAGCAGAGGCATTCCATTCTCTGCCAAAATGGCGGTCCGGCAAGCGGGGACTTCTGCCAGTATCGCTAAGGCGGCACAAGCGTGCAGGGTTACGTCAGAAGGCGCAGGAGGAGTATCAGACCAAGCAGACAGTGCGGTTGGCACTGGCAGCACCCCCGCGCTTTCGACTGCGGCCGCGGCGCCGTACGCTTTTCGCTCTGCCGTCTCGATTGACACGCGCGGGCACGAAATGAGAGCGCCAGCAGTGGCCGACGTGTGGCGATACAGAGCGTTTAAGCATGCGAAAGCGCCACCTCCTTTCAAAATGCCTTCTCTGTTCAACGGATCGGCGGCCAGGCTACCAAGAACGAACGCGCCGTATGATTGAATCTTCTCGTCCAAGGCGTGCCGTTCCATCGCGTAAATTAGTGCGGAAACTGTTTCCCCAAGATTTGGCCAGAAAGCGCCCTCATCGGTGTACAGTGCAAGCAAACGAAATACGTCTCGCGTAGCTTCCAGACCGTGGCTCCCACATATTGCAACCCGTAAGACTTGCAACACCCCATTTCGTACCAGCACCGGCCTCAAGTCCGGCCTTTTGCTTAAGTCGGCCAGAAGTGCAAGCGCGTGGCTGTCGCTTTCCCCCAGCGACGTCTGTAGGCACTCTGCTATGGCGTGCAGGATTGAAGACAAATCTTCCTTGGCGATATATTTCCCAGCACCTTCAGCGTCGAATTTTACCATGAATCGGAGAAAATGCAGGGCGTACCGGGATACAGAAGCGTCGTAGCGTGAGAGAGTCACCAGAGCACTCGGCAATAAAGCCCACAAGTCTGCCAGAAGTGCGCTGCTTCCTGCTCCATCCTCTACTATCTTGGAATTGTCTGCGAGAATTGTAGCTGCCTGCGCGGCTGTTCGCAAACAAGAAGCCGCGACGTGTCGATCATGGCCTCCGAATTCCGTCAGAGCAACACGAATACCTCGTATGCCGTTGCTTCCAGCAATCACGCGTGGTCGCTCCAGGCTAATGGACTGCAGCACAGACGCTCCGTAGCGGATTGTGAACAGGTCCGACGGAAATTTTTCCATCGCAGTCAGAACGGCAAATAGAAAAGAACCACTGCCGTTTAACAACCAAGAGCGCGGCTGTGCATCCTCAGAGAGCAGGCCAAAGAACCACGAGCCATGCCGCTGCACCAACAAGCTCCGTGGGAACGTGGCCATGTTCTTTGCGACAAGGTCAGCCGCCCCCATGCCACAGAGTTGCTTTAGTACTCCGAGCTCTGACAAACTTGCAAAGCGCGCTAAAACAAGAAGCAACCTTTCGACGACGGCGACCGCACTTCCGGCATCGCTCAAAATGCGCAAAACCGACCTAAGGCCCAGGGCGGAGTCCCACACTTCCCAAGCATTCCGCTCGGATTGGGCCGTCCACAATGCCAGGACTCGAGCGCCCTGCTGCTGCGCTTTACCATTTCGCGAGTTCAAACTTGCGACCGCCTCATCCGAGCGTCCTTTGTAAGCATCTACCAGAAATTGGGGGACGTGCTCATCTGCAATGCCCTCTACCGCCCGAACGAATGGAGACAGCTCCTCTCGCTCGACATTCATCAGGGAGCGCAAACTCTGTACCTCAGCCTCGCGGGCCGCTAAGCGCTGAAACAGAATGCCCATCATGTCTGCAGTCTCCACGGGTGAAAGTCGGACTTCGAATGAAGGCATCGCTGGCAAGTGCGTAGGATCCTCCCGAGCGAGGCGGCGCTCGCGTGCAGTGTGATTTTTGAGAAAAAGCTGCAGGTCACTGTCCGATTCGAGCAGGACCCGCGACTGCCCACTGACGCCTGTGAAAACAAAGCGCTCCACTGGTCGGCCGAGAATGAACTGGAAACTTTCGCTCATCGTCCTGGTTAAGGACTCCATACTCCTGCAGCCATCCTCCCCTACTTGCGCTTGGTGGTGGCCGACAAGTGACAGCAAGACTCCGCTCGCCATGTCGATTTGCTGACCGCTGAAACCCTAAGCCAAATTCTGAGTCCGTTCGAAATAGAAAACAAACTAGCCACCCCATCAGGTTTAGGGGGTGGCCCCTCATGTCTAGCAGCCAGCGCTACGAGGAATCGGTCGCGTGCTCGCTACAACGCAGCACAGCCAGCTCGTGTTTTTCAAGAGAATCGCTCACGCGGCTGCTTCGGCAAAAACGGCAAAGAGCGATCTGACACCTTTCTTGCACCTATGCGAGATCTCCGGCGAAGTGCTTTGCGCAGTACCTACTCAAGGAACACCGAAAGAAGCGCGTGACACCTGCGCCGCAAATCTTCTGCGGGCGACGTCTTAGGGGGGTCGGACATATAGGGCTGGGGCCCCACCAAATCCACAAACCTTGAGCCGCACGCGCTCCCAGCGCGGCGTGGTCGGTCCGGGGCGTGCCACTCCGCATTGTCACATGGGGCGCCGCCCTACTGCGGTCGGGGATAAAAAAAGCAAGGGAGGCCCGCGGGCGCAGGGAGTACGAAAGCGGTTAAGTGCGCTCTCGACAAGAACGAGGCGGGAAGTCACGCCACGGCCCCCGGCGGCGCCACTCGTTTTGCTGTCTCACTGCGAACACAAAGAGAACTGCCCGGGCAGAACTCTTCGGCGACCCCGTTTCATATTCTGCGCGCCCCCGCCAACAACGCGCGAGCCGTCATCGCCGCACCAGTAGGCGTGGCGCACCGAGGCGGGCGGGCTGCGCTATACTGCGTAGTCGGTTGGCGCAACTGCTTGCGCAACACGGCTCGGGGGGGCCGCGTCACATTTTTCGTGCCGGCCTTGCGGAATATCTTTGAAAGCCCGAGAAGGCTGCCGGCACCACGCTGCACAGCTGCGTTGGGAAGTGGCGCCCCTACTGGCGCGGGCCGCTGCAGCGGGCGGGGCCGTAGGGTCACCGCCGGCGGCTTGCCCCGAGGGCAAGCCGCCGAGTCTCCGCGCCCCGGGGCTGCGCACCACGCACGCCCCGCGGCGGCAAAAGCGAGGCGCGGGCCACCTCGCCCCCCACCCCGCATAAGGAGGGCCGGGGCGCCAAGGGCGCCAAAGCTGGCGCGCCCGCGCCCGAGCAGAAGGCCGCAGGAATCCCCCCGGCGCGGGGCCCGCAATCGTCACGGCTGGCCTGCAGCAACCGCCCGGGCCTTTTTTCCCTGCGTAGCTCCCTCCGGCTTCCGGAGTTGCGCCCCTTTCCGCGACCCCCCGAACGATGCGGGCCGCCGGATGGCCCGTCCGAAAGTGACACCACCATGGCCCCGCGCCGCGCAATATGTAAGCAGGCACGCGCCTAGGCCCGTCCCCGCGTCCCCGCGCCCCCGAGCCCCGCGGGCCTGCCGCAACGCGATGCATGGGGGCAGGCAGTTCCTGGCCATACCCGTCAAAGGGCCAACCAGATCGGCCCCTGGAAGGATGGCCCGGACATGAAAAAGCGCGAAGGGGCCCCGCGCGAAATTAATCCGAAGGATAGCCACTCCCCTCGCGTGGGCTCTTCGGCTGGCGGTGGGAGGGTTGGCCACCTGGGTGGCGCGCGCGAATATGGTCAGCGATTTGCTGCGCATACACATCGAAAAAGGGCGCGCGCGGAAACACCTGGGCCCCCCGGGGAAACAAAACACGCCAACACAAAATGGCCCCGCAACTGGACAGGAGCAACCCCGGGAATCAGCGGGGCGAAAAGGGTGCCGCTGGTGTGCCAGCCATGTGCCGGGAGTGCGCCAGACGCGTGCCACGGGCCCGGCTTTTTCCAAATCACCGGAAGACCGGCCAGAAACCGGCAAGCCCCGCGGGGGGCCTTCGCTTTTCGCTTTTTTCTGCCAGATTTTTCGGCCAAAAAACAAAACGCATTCCCCCCCCCCGCCCAAATTACAGAAATAGGCCCGGCAGCCGAACCCGGGCGGCCACCCATGGAGCAGACCAAAGCTGCCGGCCGCTCGTGCGCCGAAGGGCCCCCGCCCACGACCGTGATCCGAGCACCAAATCCCCAAACCATGCCGGGGCCCCCAGCATTTCACCGGGAAGCGGCGAGGTCGAACGGGTCGCGGGAAATGCAAGCAGAAGCACGCCCAAAGCGTTTTTTTTTTGCATTTTTTCCGGCATTCGTGATTTATTTTCGTACTTTTTCGGCTACTGGTGGGGGCCGATCTTATTGAGCAAGGCCTCCGGACGAACCTGGCCCCGCGCTCGGGCTTGTCTGGCCGCACGCTGTGCGAAAAGCTCACGCGGCGCGTCCGCGAAAGGCAGAAAAGCCGCTGCCCTTGGCCCGGCTAAGAAAAAGGCCCCTAACCTTTCGCAAGTTTGACGCGGCCATCTGCACCCCCATCACGTAGGAAAGCACGCCTCTTGGCCGCAGCACCATGCATCCGCGCGAGGCCCGCGCGGCCCCCCTGCTGACAAAAGCCGCGCAGGCACTCGCCACGCCCCCTGCGCAGTCAAAACGCGCGCCGTTGTCGCGCCCACCTTGTCGCGCACCGAGAATCCCTCCGGCCGGCCAGCTTCGCCGGAAAGTGGTTTGGTCGCGCGAGTTTTCCACACGAGGAGAGGAAAAGCTTTCCACTAGTGTTCCCCCGGTCAAGTTTGCGCATTGAGAAGGCAGTGAAAGCGTCGGCCTTGAAACGTGCAGCGCCTTCGTGAGCGTGCAGTCGGCCAGACCTCTTCGTCAGTCTTCCTGTTCTTTAGCAAGCAGCTGTGCCAAAGCATAGCTAACCAATCTAAAAGTTACTTAAAGTATAATCTGGGTCGTGGGCCGCTCCACGAAAAACCTTGTTGGGCGGAGCAAAAGCTCCTAACCACTCACGTGCCAACGACAGCACCTCCCGCGACTGAAGTGCCAAGCTCGTACGCGTCGTTCGTCGCGCCTTGCAGGAAACCCAGCTCCAAGCCCAAATCGCGGCCGCTCCATGGAACGGGAAGCACACATCGACCCCACGCGTGATTAGCGACGCCGTTCAAAAAACAAAGCGCTGGGCTCTGCATAGTTTGCCAGCAATGCAGTTTTTCGACAAAATTCCCGACAAAGGAGTTCCAATACATCGACGGCGGCCCGAAGCCCGGAGGGCGCTCAGTGTTGTAACTGACAAAGAGGCAAATGGTCGCGCGTGTGTAGGCCGGATTGGCGCGAGCCCGCTTCAAGGTCCGCTGGTCGTAGACTAGAACGTCTGATGGTCGCAGGCTTGTTCTCAAAGGACCAGACTTTATGGATGTGCACCACATTCTCGCCTTATTGTGTGAGTGACCCAAAACGTCCAACGCGCCCAAGTTCTCCGGTGTATTTGTCAGACGGCTGCACTGTCGAAAATTGTCCGGAAAAGTCAGCAACGCGAGCCGGCAGATGTACCGTCCGGCGGGCCTACACCAAGCTGGCGCAACCAGTTGCGTTCCTTTGCTATCGCCACTCAGCCCACGCAGGTTGCAAGAGGGTGAAAAAGCTCCCGGGGCTGCCTGCTAGAGTATCTATCGGCACAAGCTCCACAGCCCGAAACCAAGAGCGCCTGGGCCCAGGCGGCATCAACATGCAGGCCCCGCGCCACCGATCGAAAGGCGCCGGGCCCCATCCTGCACTCCCCTCCGAACACCCTGCGAGGCCCCGGGCGGATGGGCAGCAGGCCCAGCCGCAACGCCAAGCACCTACCTATGAGCGCACACGATGCCAAATTGGCCAAAAGGCTACAGGAAAGCGCCTGGCTGCACCAGGCAAGCGGTAACGGTCGTGTGTGCGGGCGACCCACCGACCGAGAAAGCGTTTGCCGGCCTTGAGTTCTACCTGCAAGAATTCAGCCCCGCGGCATTCGCGCGGAGGGAATTCAGCCAGCCCTTAGCCTGGCGGCGATCACGTGCAGCGCCGAGCCTTGCCGGAGCGGACTTCTCTTGCGTGCAGGGCAAGCGGCCGGGGCTCGGCAACGAGAAAAGCCTAGCGCTAGCGCGCGACGCCAAATCTATTTCGCACGCGGGAACGTAGCCGGCAGACCCGCGAAGTTTCCTAAACGGGCCGGGGGGGGCCGCACTCCACCGAACGCGTTTTGGCGAGGGGCCGCACTTCTGCTGTGTCCTTCTCCCGTGCGCGATTGGCACAGGCTGCCGGGGCTGCAGGGTGTGGCCTTCCGCTCCGCCGGCCCGCCCCGCGAGAGCGATAGGCACACAATCACGCCGCCCGCTGCAGGGGGGCGCGCCCGCATTAATATGGCGCCGCGGGGGGCTGCTCCAGCTACCAAAACCGACTGCGCAAGCAGCACTGCGCCCGCCAGTCGCAACGAACGAGGGGCAACAGCGAAGGGCATACACGAGGACAGCGCTTGCGGGCGCGAGAGGGCCTGTCTCTGAAGAGCCCTCTCGCGCCGGAGGGACTCCACCGCCCTCCTGTGTATTACGAAGGCGGCCGGGGAGTTGCCATGCACTTGCACTGCCAATTTGACAGGCGCTCCCGAGTGGATACCCCCATCCCTCTGCGTCTCCACAGCTTCCTCCTGTCCCGGAACGAACCCAAGGAAGGCAGGCAAAGCGAAAGCCCTACCACCGCCCCGCTCCCCGGTCCGAAAAATTTCGCGCGCGGAGCATCTATGCCCAACAAGAGGTGGCCGCGCAACCTGCTGTTTTTCGCATGTCCCCAAACCCCCGCCCTTTCTTCCATCCGACCGGCTACCCCCGGCGGGCGAACCGCTGCTCCCAAGGTATGTGGCCCGCGGACACGTGCTTCGCAGGCCTGGCATATGCGCGGAACTGTGGCAGGCTAGTGCTGCCATCGCGGTTGCGATCGCAAACAAAGAAGCGAATGACGGCGCACCGGCGCAAACTTGGCAGGCTGCACAGGATAGCGGGTGGATTCTTTCCCGACGAACGTCCCATGACCGTTGGCAAAAGTCGCGCCAGAACTGCCAGGCGCCCTGTCCCGAACATTATGAAAGCAGGCCCGCGAAGGCGAAACTCCCTTCGACGCCCGCCTGCGGCGTCCCTTTTTTAACGCGCTCGGCGAATGCTGAAACTCCGGACAATTCTTGATGACCATACGGAACGACAAACGTTACGCCGGGCTGAAGTTTGCCATGAGTTTGAATGTAATCGAGCAGCAGCGCTCGCTTCTTCCAAAATCCGGCCGCACTACCCGCCCCGGAACAGCAACTGTAAACAACTTGGCGCGCGCCGGTGCGTGGCGTTGTATGGTGCCCGCCAGCCCGTGCGCGGGCGCCAAACTTTTCCAACAACGCCGGGAGTTTAACTTCGCGGAGCCCCTGCGCTGCAATATAATACGGCCATGCCCGGGCGAAAACGCGACGCCCTGGCGTAAGCATGCGCCAAGCGGAGCCGTCTAGGGGCTATGCGCATTGTTGAAACTCTCTCTTCGCCCAGGGGCGCCCTTGCGGGGCCTTTGCTACAGGCACGCTTTAAAATTTCCAACCAAAGAACTAAAGAAAAAGAACCACGGCCGGGCAAGCAAGGGCGGCGCCTGATAGGGCCCCCTAAAAGGCCGGCCGGCTGGCAATGTCGCCTAGTCGGATAGCACCCGAGGAGGCCACCTCCGCGCCCTGGCGCCGGTCTTTGCCTCCGGCCGGGCCGGCGCGCGGGCCGTCCGAAACGGCCAGGCGAGGCCCTGCTGCCGCGCCGGTGATACAGAAAGGGCCCGCCTCACGCGTGCGAAGAGCTGGGCCAGGGAAAGGAAGCGAGAAAGCGGGCGCGAAAGGCCGCACCGGGAAGCGCCTGCACGCGCTACCCCCTACCTTGCTGGGCGGCCCCAGCGGGCCTACGCGGTCTCGGAAAAACATCCTGCGGACGCAGTGCCCAAACTTGCGAGAAGGGGCCGACGCCCTTCGGGTCGGTGGCGCAGCCCCCGGTCGGCCAGAAAAAAAAACTCGCCCGCTTCGGCCCCAAGAATAAAGGCTCTGGCTTTTCGGGGTTAGAGACTTCCCGTGGGCCCAGTAGCTTTCGCAAAGTAAAATCTCGGCGGCCCACGACGAGAAAAAAATGAAAAAGAACGAAAGGCAGAAAAAGGCGGCGCCAGGCCGTAGCCCGGCGCAAAGCTGCAAGGAAAAGGAAAGCGGGGAAAAGTGCCAGCCGGCTGGGGCAGGGCGAAAAAGCGAGACCTGCGCGCGGGTGGGCTACAAAAGCACAGCCCACAAATCAGGAAAAAGCGGAAACACAGCGGGGCAAGATCAGAAAATCGGAAGTGTACAGCTGTGAGCGGAGCGCGTGCGTGCGTGCGTGCGTGCGTGCGTGCGTGCGTGCGTGCGTGCGTGCGTGCGTGCGTGCGTGCGTGCGTGCGTGCGTGCGTGCGTGTGCGTGGTGTTTTGTGTGTTTTGCGCGCGCGCATGTGTGCGCGGAGCAGCGTTTTTGCGCGCACGCACACACACCTGATGTTCTGCACGGCGGCACGGCGGCCGATAAAAGTCGCGGCCCGAAGTTAGTTGCAAGCCGTTTGTGGCCGTCGAGAGAGACAACGCGCGCCGCCCCATGCTGTGGCCCCGCCCTGGCCCCCACAAGGGCCGGCCCTTGGGCGCCCGGGGAAGGCGGAGAAACCTCGCACCAGAGAAAATGCACCAGCCGCCGCGGACCGAATTTTTCTTAGCGGCTTCGCAAGCGCGCCAGCGCAATGGGCGCGCGGCCCTGGAAGAAGGCCGGCGCGCTCCGAAGGGCGTCCCGGAAGAGCGGCCCTGCCCGTACCGAGGCGACTTCGCACGGCTTAGAGTACGAAGCGCCCCAAGTCGGCCCGGTGGATCCGGTAGCGAGCCTCGCTCAGCCGGAGAAACATTCGCCCGGCCCCCAAGCCAAATATCGATAAGCGGGACCGCACGGCGCGGAAAGTAGGTTCCTACACTGAAAAAGAACCAGGCGAGCCAGTAAACGCTGCAACTTCCCTCCCCATCCATGGCCGCAGAGGTCCTCTGCGCAATCAAAGCCTTAGGGCGGCGCTGCAAGCGAAGGGCCGCCATCGAGCCAAACCTGAAACAAGGCGCAGGCCAGCAGAAGTCAACAGCGGCCAAAGAATACCCGCCGCGGCCGGCGGGCGGAGTGAAGTGATATTCGCGGCGGCCCCTTTGTCCTGCTAGCAAATTATACCCAGCGCAGGCGCCCGACCGAAAAAGTCAACATGTGCGCTCGCCTCTAGGTGGGCGAGAAACTGTCTGGGCACTGTCGAGTTTTCTGCGAGTAAATGTCTGTTTCAGAGCGAAACTCTAAAACATCTTGCAAGGCGAGGCACCACCCGACCGAAAAAATCAATTGTGTGCTCGCTTCTTCAGGCGAGCGAGTGACTGTCTACCATACTATTTATGTTCCTGATTGTAAGTAGTTGGTGACCAGTGTCGCAACCGGTCACCACCATGAACTGAAGAAACACTGCCCGTTTTAGCTATGAACCAACAGTCACGGGGAGTTACCAGGGGGACAGCAAGCCGAGACTCACCATCATCCCTGGTTTCAGAACGTAGCAATACTACCGCCTCCGTACGGCTACTATCAACCTCCACACAGCCACGAGGTCCAAAACAAGCCGCCTCTGCTTGCCCTTCCTCGCGTCAAACAGATGCCATAAAAACGTCAGGTCCTAAGCAAGACTCCTCTTCTTGCCCTTCCTGCCTACACCACCTGAACCGAGGCTCTGGTGGCGGTATAGAAACGCCACCGGGAAGCGCTGGAGAACCGAAGTTATGCCCAGCCGACTGAAAAAATCAAAATGGCCGCGGGCACTGCCCCAATAATAGTCCCGCGGGTAGTGCGATTGCCCGTCGTGCGGCTGGCACCGAAATCGCGAACCGAGGTCGCAGCCGTTCAGCATGGCAAATCAATGGGGAAGCTATTCCGCTCGCCATGGGCGGGCAAACAATCGCACAGACGCCCAAAGCTGGAACTAGTCTACGTAATATATGCGCATGTGGTGGCCTGGAGGCACACTTTTAATTTTTTGAAAGTGCGCGCTCTTGGAGGTTGGTTTTGGACGCACAAAACCGCTAGGCTTTGTTGCTCTGGGCGCCTCGAAAGAGCGCGACTTTCGGCTCCCCTGCGTCGTTTTTGCCACCATGCGGATTGAAACGCCAACGCGACGCAGTGCAGCTTTTTCGACGCCAAACCCAAACCGGAAAGAGGCCTCGGGCTACTTTTTTTGAAAAACACTCTCCGCCGACCGCAGGCCGCCAGTCGTTTTGATCTTGACTAAAAAGAGGCCAGATTAGAACGCTCGCTGCCTCACCGCTTACCAAAGCGATGAAACCGCCTCTCTGTGTCCCGGAGCGGGCTCCAGTAGTAGTTCTCAAATACTACACGAAGTGGGGTTCCTGAAACAAGAGAAACTGATACTTTACTTACTGCTTTGCTATCACGGTGCCAGGCTTCATCAAGTATGGACGTGCCAATCGTTAGCAAGCTGCAATCTGGTACGTGGTTACTTTACAACTACGGAAGAGTAACGAAGCAAAACCAAAAAATCACTATGGATGGGCGATTTAGTCGGCCAGGGCCGGTACGTTGCCGTTCTTGTTTGCGACCCGACACAAGCGCACTGGCTTCCCAAATAAACGATCAGGTTTTATTTCTGTTCCGCGGTAATTTCCCACTAAAACCAGATCACTTTGCAACTTTGGCTGCGACCATATCGAGACACCGCGAATTAGATACGCCCAAGGTTATCCCAGAAATGTACGGTGTTCGTCCGTCTCCAGTTGTCTCGAAGTACGTGTTCACAAGGGGCGTTAAGAAAGTAAGCATCGGCTGGACAACTCGCTCGAAGTGAGTATTCTTCATGAAGTAATAGCTTCTCCCGATGCAGGTTCCCGAACTGGGGATTACAGGGTTCTCGTCTTTCGGGTCGTAGTCTTCCATCCATAGAGCCGCGATCTCGTCGAACGTTTCCCACCGACGGCCTCGGATGCCGGTATTGCTTTTGCTCTCGCTTATCCAAAGAAACGAGCGCTACAGTTACGCACTGCGCGGCAAGTCGCCGACTTTCTTCCGCCTCGCAGCAAAGTCACTGCTGAGTGACGCGCAGCGCCGAGGCTGCGTGCTTCTGTGCTGGTGCTCTAGTGCAAGAAAGCTGCAGCGGATCGAGCAGAATCCCTACTGCTGGCTACGCCGTTCTGTTCCGAACGAGCTAGCCGATTTTAGGAGGCAGCTACTTTAGCACGCAGAACCCAGCCGGAGGCGAGGGCCCGCCCGTGGTTTGCATGAAAGGCGGCCCGACGAGAAAATCGCCCATCGGATACGAAAGAAGGGCGCCCTGCTAGGCGTAGGCGCGGCATCTTAGCATAAAAAGTGCCCGCGCGCCCTAAAAAAAGAAGGCGCTACTCGCTTGATATTTAGCGCGCCCGCGCCCCGCCCGGCTTCCGTGAGTGGCAAGCGTGCGCCGCCTCTTTATTTTCTGCGGGGCCCAAAAGAAGTCAGCGCGCCGGCCTCTCCAGGCCGCCTGCGGGCAGTTGCGGGAAAAACGCGCCGCGCCGCCCCGCGTCGCGGGGGTGCAAAATAAAGCAAAAGCCGGGGGCCACTGCTGCAAATATGACAGCAAGCATCAGGGCGCTCCTTCCTTCAAGGAAGGAGGCCTGCTATCTATCCGCGCCGCTCCCCCCCGCACACACACACGGCACGCCCTCCGGCGCAACGTTTCCGGCTGGGGGGCGCGCGGCTGCGCCTTTCGTGGGGCGGCGTACTTCGTTTCTAGCGAGGCGGGCGGGCACCGCGGGCCCCCTGCCCCCCCCCCCTCCCTTTCCCGACGGCTGACGCCCTAGAAAGGAAGCGGGCCCCGGCGGGGGGCCCGGGCCTCCCTGGGCGGCCCCATGCCCCCGGCCGCGGGCCCCCCGGGAGCCCGCCCGGGGCCCGCCAAAAAAGGCGGGCGGGCCGCGCAGCTTGAGCCGGGCGGGGTCTACAAAAATCGCGCCCGGGGGCGAGAAAAAGGGGGCCGCCATTACCGACGCCTCGCTGTCTGACGACGCACGCCGCCCAAAGAGCCCCGGCGCCCCGGGGGAGTCAGCGCCGCGCGACGGACGCCCGTGGCGCAAGGCGCCTTCCCTATTTCCGACCTTCCTCCAGGCAGAGAGACCCCCCGCCCGCGGCCGTCGACTGCGGGTTGGGAGATGGGCTGAAACCGGGCCCGGCTTCGAATCCGCCCGGCCCAACCAGCCCCTTCTTTCCCCTATTACCGGGCCGCCTCCCCCTTCTTGCCGTTTTTCCATTTTCCGTGTTCTGTGGCTCGATCTAACTGCGCCCCACAGCTGTGCTATTGCTCCCGTACGGAGCGAGCGCGCTACGTCGCCCGCCGCTGGCTCTTAATAGCCTTCGCGTATGTATTAAGTGCGCAACCGTGGCACTCTTCTCTTTGCGTATGCCTATATAGATGAGACACACTGCCGTGGCGGGCTGCGTCCTTGCAAGTACCTTCAAGCACCGGCGCGCTGGGTTGCGGAATAATAGGAGCGCAAACCATTTTCACTTTCTGTTGGATAGATCGGAATATCAAATGACCTAGTGACGATCAGAAACACAGCGCGACGCAAATCACGATGTAAATCTGGTCTGATGTCAAATCTCTTGGTCTTGTACAGACCGGCGATCTGAAATCCATGATCCTCCTCCTTAGCCGTAGCCATCCTGTTTGTCATGCATATTGTCCATCCTCTTGATATCTCATCACACCCCTGCAGGTTGCGACTAGTACCCCTACTAGTACGTCTATCATCAGTAAGCTCAACACCGTGCTACGTAAGCACTTAGTACTGCTAGCACTTGTTCACGTCGTGTTTACCCGCTTACTGTCTTGATCGTGCGTCTAGGTTTCTAACAATCTAGTCGCACCTTTATTCAGCCAAAATTTATTAGTTTTCTTGTTTAGAAAACTTGCGCCTGCATTACAAATTTTTACTGATTTTCTTGTGTAGAAAATTTGAAAAACAGTCACTACATCTTGTAAGATTTACTTGTACAATTTCAGAGCTAGCATTACAAATTTGAACGTATTTGTTGAAAACGCACCCCCACAACTTTAGGAAGTTTATCTGCAAAATTTAGAAAAGAAATTAAATGCCATGCAGACATTTTGGTGCTAGTTGCGTAGCTAGAGAACTTGGAAAGCATCGAGATTTGTGCATTTTAGGCGCGAAGTGTTACGGCTCCAAAGGTTGGAACGTTGAAGACCTTAGCGACCCACAATTTGCAAACTATTTCCACAATCTCGATTGGGATACAAATTGGGAATTTGTATTTAAGCGCGATTATTGTTTTCTTTTGAACACAATGGTCGACACTAACCAGGTGGAAAAGTACTCTATTCCGCCTTACGACGGAAATCCGAAGGGATGGTCGGACTGGCGGTTTAAGGTGCAAGCCTTGTTGCAGATGTTGGGGATCTTGACACTGATCGACAACTTCTTGAAAACGCCTTCTATTGACGGATGGAAGGACGACACGAGGGCCATCGGTGCGCAGTTCTTCGCTCGCTTGTGCGTGGCGTTGACTGGGGACGCGCTGGAGGTCGTGAAGAGCAAGACAGTCGCTTGCATCAGTACGGCTTGGGGTGCGTTGTTGTTGGAATTCGATAAGCGGACCAAATTCGCTCGAATGCGGTCGCTTAAGGATTTACTAACCACCCGGAAAGACAAAGACCAAACGGTAAGGGAGTTCGTTCAGCGGAAACAAAACATCTTTCGGGATGAGCTGGGCGGTGAAGTCTTCCGCAGCGAGTTGATGACTTTCGGATGCTTCTACAACCTCGGGAACGCCTACGATTCATTTATCATGCCGCACGTCATCCAGGACAAGCCGGACAGTGATAATTTGTTGAAGTTGGCGGAGGAGTGCGAATCCGTCTTGAAAGACGGGGGCACCGAAGAGGACACCGCAAAGCCCGCTTCTCTCAACTTGACGCAGGCCGATCACAAAGCGATCGCTGCTGAAGTTGTTGCACAGAAGGGGAAGAAGGGTGGCCGCTGGGTCAACAAGAACCAGCACCCGTACAAGAACAACAACCAGAAGAACAACAAGGGCGGCGGAAAAGGAGGCAAGGGAGACCAGCAGAAGGGAAAAGGCGGCGGCGGAGACAAATCCAAGATCAAATGTCACAAGTGCAAGCAGCTTGGACATGTTCGTAAGGATTGCCCCAACTGACGAAGCTGGCCGGGTTCCGATGAGAGTTGTCAAATTTCTCATGCTGCTAAACGTCGAAAAACCGATGCTGATGATGTTCATGCTGTTAAAACAGGCTCTACTTCTGGTCAAAGTAGTGATGTTGCATGCATTCAAAATCTAAAGTCTCCCTCTATTTACAATGCTACAGCACTCGAAACAAAAACTGATGGTCTTGAAACAGCACCTATATCCAGTCACAGTGTACTTGAAACAGCCTCTATTTCTAACGAGAACGCATCGAAACGCATGATGAAAAACGCATCTATCCGCCCTGTTTACGAATCAACCGGCACTACTTGTAAGATTTCCAATGTAAAATTTGAAGTTGATTCCGCTCCTGTTAAGAACGTGAAAGTACCTGAAAAGAACGAAAATTCATTACAAAAAATGCCTATTCTGCATGGGGCTTCGCGCTTGTATGATCTCAGCAATTTAAAAAGAAAAGCGAACCCGCATGAGATGGCAAAGAACAAAAATTACGAGGTGGCAGATTCCGCCCGTAAAGCAGAAGGAAACTGCATGGATTGGACTTGTTTTAACTTGTGCAAGTTTGTAGGGGAATCATGCAACGGGGTGAAAGATCAGCAAATTTTTGATTTTGCCGATACTCCTAAGGGCTTCACTGTCTTGGTGCATGGTCACCACCAGGGCAGGGACAAGAAAAACGAAAACCAGGAGGCACAAGACTGGTTTGGTGATTGGTCAAAAGAGCGGGAAAAGGGTCAAACAGATCAAAACGGCGAAAAGTCCGCCGGCGCTGTTTCGTCTTTGACATTTGCACTTTTGTCGAAGGGAAACGGGAAAAGCGCCCATGGGATTACCATCCGCCCGGATGGTACTCAAACAACGGCAGTTGTTGATAGTGGTGCCTCGCACCACATGACAGGGGACTTGAGCTGTTTTCAGATCGTGTTTTGGGATGATCCAGTAACGTTAACGGTTGCCGACCGAACGTTAGACACTCCCGCCTACCGTGGTTACTTCCACCATAACTCTTTAGGTTTAATGGGTGGACTATACCATCCTGACGAAAAGTTGTTTTTGGTGTCGGTAAGTCTTTTGAACGACGAAAATGACTGCCGGGTAGTTTTTGAGGGGAGAGACGCGCTCTACCTCCAAAAGAAGAAAACAGGTTTCAAAATTCCGATGCGCCGGGACACTTTAACAAATTTGCCGCAAATAGACTTTGCGTCTCACAGCTTGAGCGAGCTGGATACGGCTGGAGATTTACAAAACGGAAAGAGCCGGGCCGCGTGGTCCGAGCCAGCATTTGTGAATCTGACTCGTGCCGATCGTCTTCGACAACATGAAAGGTTTGGGCACTTTCATATTGACGGTCTTGAATATGGACGCTGTCCGTTGTGTGACTTAGCGAAGTCGAGGCAAGAAGGGTGTAAGTCAGAACGTCCGGAGCACTGTAAGCCAAAGGCTTGGCTAGATCAAGTGGATTGGGATCATACCTACGGTTATCCTTTGGGTCTTGATGGGGAGAAATTTCTTTTGTCAGGGGTGGAGACATTCCATGGCTGGGTAGAGAATTATCCTCACCGGGAAAAGGATGAAGCGTGGAAAGGTCTGCGTGAGTGGTGTTTAGAAGTTGGAAAGCCCAAACGGGTGAGAAGCGATAACGATCCTACTTTTCGAGGCGAGAAAAGTGACTGGAGAAAGTATTGCTTGAAGCAGAGTCCTCCGATCGAGCCAACTACGTCTGCGCCGTTCACGCCGCAACGTAATGGAGTCGTGGAACGGTGGAACCAAACTTCGAAAAATGCCTTGCGGGCGAATATGATCGGGGTCGATCCTCGTCTTTGGCCATATTGTTCAAAGTATATAGCCTGGACTTGGAATCGGTTAGCCCGGAAAGAGCAAAGGAGTCCATTTGGAAAAGTTCACGATCGCGCGCCTTCGCTCAAGTATTTCAAGAAATTCGGAGTCCTTTGCTATGCTCGGAAGCACGTTACGAAATCGACGGACTTAGGTGCGCTCGATGTTCGGTACGAACGTGGAGTATTCTTGGGGTATTCGAAGAATTCCCGTTATTTAGTGGGTGTTTGGCGTGACGACAAACGAACGAAAGTCGGGCTGAAGTTCACTGTGATCGAAAATAGATCCTGCAAGTTTGACGAATCTTGTACGATCGCCGACATTGACGATCTTCGCGAAAAGAACCGTGGAGCCTTTGCACCCTTTGCCGCACCCGACAAATTGTGTGTGTCGAACATGCCTGATCCGTTGGTGGCTCCCTCGGGAAGTCATGAGCCCGATCAGGATGCTCCGCGTGACCAGGGTGATTCGGGGCCCAATGGGGCTACTGGAGACCAGCAGGTCGAGGAAGGGGGCAAAGCAGTGGAAGGGGGCAAAGAGGAAAGTGTTGCGCAAGCAGAGGAAGAGGTAGTTATTCCCGAAGCGGAAGAGCTTGACGAACCTCCCGCCCGCCCAAAGCCCAAGGGCGTCAAGAAGAAAAGAAAGCAAAAGCCGAAGCCTGCAGTCGTTGTCAACAACAAAAAGGGTCGCCCGAAAGGTTCGAAGAACAAACCGGGAAGCAAAAAGCCAGGCCCTAAGCCAAAAGCAGCAGAAGCTGGAAACGTATTTCAGTTGCCTGATGATTTTGACTTTGGTCGAGACTTGGACGAGTACCATGCCAAGCGCATTGAGGAAGAAGGTGAAGAAGTTTTTGCTCATGTGGTGCCACTCACCAGAGCGCAGATTCTTCGAGATCCTGATGCTCCGAAGTACATAGAGGCCGACGATGTTGAACGACTCAGACTTTTAGCAAAAGAGTGCTGGACAGTAGACGAGAAACCACAAAAAGGCGACGAAGTTGCGCCGTCGTGCGTGATCTACACGAAGAAAAGATGTGGAACATACAAAGCGCGGCTGGTGGCACTGGGAAACTTACAGTCGAAAGAACTCTGTGGCGAAATTTACAGCCCTACCATTTCGCACGCAGCTAGTAGAGCCCTACTTGTTGACGCTGCTGCAAATGGAAAACGGATCAAATTTTTCGACATTTCAAATGCGTTCACTTGTGCGAGTTTAGGTGACGAGCGAGTTTTCGTGCGTCTTCCGAAGCACTGGAGCACTGATCCGAGAGGTGACGCCGTGCGCCTACTGAAGTCTCTTTATGGTCTTCGAATTAGCCCGCGTCGCTGGTTCGATACCTACAGGAAGACTTTGAAGGAACTAGGTTGGAAGATGTGCGAACGGGAGCCGGGGTTGTTCCGTAAAGGCGTTCTTACGTTGAGCGTGTACGTGGATGACTGTGTCATGAGTGGTGACACGGAAGAAATTCTCGACAAAGAGATGGGGAAAATTTTGGACAAATTTCATGGAAAAGTGATCCCGCCGAAAGCGAAACCAGGTGAAAAGGGTTGCGAAGTTTACGACCTCCTGGGGGCCACTCTGGAATACAACGCATCGAAAAAGACCATGAGGATCCACATGGCAGAGGCTATTGACAGAGTTTTGAAGAAATTCAATATGGTTGATTGTCGGGGAGTTGCTACGCCTGTACTTCCTGGAAGACAATTGCCAGAAATTCAGACTACTGAAGTTGATACTTCTGCACCGGGAACGAAATTCCCACTGCGAAGCCTCGTGGGTAGCCTGCAGTATATCGCTTGTATGTGCAGGGTAGACATTGTCTACGCGGTGCAGCGTGTTGCAAGAGAAGTAGTAAATCCGACACCCCAAGCGGTGAAAGCAGCAAAACGGATTTTGGCCTACTTGAAAGCAACTCGAGAAATCGGCTTAGAATACTCGCCAAAAGCTGAAGAAGATTTTCGCACGGTTTACACCAAAGTGACGAAGGAGGCTAATCGGGATTGTCCTGATTTGTGTGCTTTCAGCGATAGCGACTTTGCAGGGTGTACAGTTACACTGAAGTCCACCAGCGGTAGTATCCTGTATTATCGTGGTTGTCCAGTCGCTTGGTCGTCAAAACGACAGACAGTCCGCGCTTCCAGCACGTGTGAGGCTGAGTATGTTGCGATCCATGACACGATGGATCAAAATGTGCTTAAGTCAAGGCTGGCCAGATTGGTTTATGGAAACTGAAGGGGAAACGCTTCCGCTCATTTTCACAGACAATCAAAGTGCGCTAAGTCTCAGCAAGAGCAGTACAATCACTAAGCGCTCCAAACATATTGACTTGCGTTATCACATTGTCCGCGATCATTGTCAAGATTTGCGCTTTGTGCCGACAAAAGTAAACAAGGCCGACCCCCTGACCAAGGGCCTGCCTGGTGAAAAGTATTTGTCTCTGTTCAAGACGGACCCAAAAGCAGAACTTCACACAGTGCGCGCGCTCCATGTGTCGACTGACCTTCGGCCCATTGTACTAGAGCCCGCTACTGTTATGATGTTGGCTGCGAAGCTAAGTAAAGCATCTGGATTGACCATCCAGATCGAAGGAAAGCCCTACGACTTTGCCTAGTCGTTGTGCCAAAAAGGAAGGAGGAATGAGGTATATGCTACAGGTGAACAATGGTTACTATAGCTTCGGAAGGGGGAATGTTGGATAGATCGGAATATCAAATGACCTAGTGGCGATCAGAAACACAGCGCGACGCAAATCACGATGTAAATCTGGTCTGATGTCAAATCTCTTGGTCTTGTACAGACCGGCGATCTGAAATCCATGATCCTCCTCCTTAGCCGTTCGTAGCCATCCTGTTTGTCATGCATATTGTCCATCCTCTTGATATCTCATCACACCCCTGCAGGTTGCGACTAGTACCCCTACTAGTACGTCTATCATCAGTAAGCCCAACACCGTGCTACGTAAGCACTTAGTACTGCTAGCACTTGTTCACATCGTGTTTACCCGCTTACTGTCTTGATCGTGCGTCTAGGTTTCTAACACTTTCACAACCATGGAGCTACTCTCCAGAAGGTACAGGCGTCCGCCCCTTCAGAGGCCTTGTCGCAGGCCTGGCTGCGGCTGCCAGTCATTGCACCGGCGACGCGGCCCACAGTGGCAACCAAGGGTGTGCCCGAAGGGCTACGCGGTGCCAGGGCCCGGAATCTGGGCGGGCCGTCCGCGCGCGCATGTGGTGCCGGCGCCCGCCCGGCGAGTCTGCAATTGTCGGCGCGCGCCCGTCTTCCGAGGTCGCAGGAGACCAGGCAGCGCGGGGACGGGGGCGCGCCCTCCCCCCGGCCCCGCGCTGGTGCCGCCTGCCTGGTCTGGGCTTTGCGGCCCCCCGGGCTGCAACGGCCTGAAAACCCCGGCCTTTTGTTCACCACGGCACACCCGCTCCCCGATTCCTGCTTCGACGGCTCCTGCCGCTGCGGCGGAGGGAATATCGAAAACCGAGGAGGCCCCCTGCTGGCCCCGAGGAGAATTCGCACGGGGCCCGCCCGGCGGCTGGCATCTTTGTTGCCTACGCCCCCCCCCGAGGGCCCCGGCGCCTGCCCGTTCTTTGTCATCGAAAAAAAAAGGGAGGCGCACGGAAATATAAGCGGCTCCCACTAGACGCTGCGCGCCTTGCCATATCCCACCTGCGACCAATGCTGCGGAGCCCTTGGGGGCGCTGGCTATTGCCAAGGCGCCGCGCTGTCGCTTCTCACACAAAGCGGGCACCGCTCTTGCAGGGAAGAGGGCGGAATCGGCAGGCGGGGCCTCCGCGCTGTGGGCAGTGGCAGGCATATGCATCGTTAGGCCCGGCGGCCGCATTTCATTCGGTAAGTAGGCCCCGGCGCGGCCTCCCCGTAGGTATCGCGAAAATAACTGCGGCGCGGGGCAACGGGGGGCAGCAAGGAAAAACGCCGCAACTTCGCGTCGCCACACTCCCGGGCGGCTGCCCGAAGCCTGAAAAGCATCCATTCCTTCGCCCGGCGCTTTGGTGGACTGGGCAGCCGGGCGGAACAAGCGGCACCTATTCACGAATGCAGAAAAAGATGGGCGCCCGGCGGCGCCGGGCCCTGCGGGTTGCAGAGCTGCGGGCCCCGGGGGCGGGTTCCCGGCGTTGCAGGCCGCATGAACGCCGCCGGCCCGCCCGGGATTCAACCAGCTTCGCGCGTCTTGTCTTTTTGTTCTAGTGGCGCAGGGCCTTGAAAGCGCCACCTGGACACGTCTATCGGTCGGTCGGAGCCCAAAGGCACGGCGCTAGAGCCCCGCGGTCGGCGATTCCTGAAGGTGCGCGCCCGCCCGGGGGGGCCGCGCCCGCCCGCCCCTGGCCCCCCCCGGCCCCGGGCTTTCGCCTTCCTAGCCAGGGAAACGGCCCCCCAAGCGCGCGCGGGCGGGCGGCATTCGGGCCGGGCGGAAGGAGATAGCGAGGCGCCGCGCGCGCGACCACGTGGGGCGCGGGGGCGTTCCGCTTGGCCCTTCTTGCATTTCTAAGCCCCCGCGCCACGGGCCCAGTGAAAGGCTTTCATGCGGAAAACGCCCGGGCGGTTTGCCTTTCTAAAACTTCTAACTTTTCCGGTTTTGAAAAAAACAGCCCTACCCATTTTCCCCATCCGCAAATCGGGTGGGAATCAAATCAAAAAAAGGCGCCCACACTACCCAGGAAGAAATAGGAGGAGAGAGAGACGCCGGCCCGGCGACGCAGACAACCCGATGACAGGAGACTTACGACGAGGCGACGGGGCGCGACAAGAAATCAAGACAACCACTCCCAAACCAGAAACCCGACATGACGATCGCGACACGCCCTGCCAGCGCGGCGATCGCAACAAACTTCGAAAACCCGACTTGTAATTCCCGCCGCTAAAGCCCATCTCTAATTTCCGCCTCTAAAGTCGGCCTCTAAAGTGGGCCTCTAAAGTGGGCCTCTAAAGTCGGCCGCTAAAGTCGGCCTCTAAAGCCGGCCCCTAAAGCCGGCTTCTAAAACAGCCTCTAAAAAGGCTTCTAAAAAGTCCTCTAATTGAAATCACACACAAAGTCGCGACTTTGTGACTTTAGAAGACGAAATAGAAGAACTCGGGACGCCAAAACCAGAAGCGGAGCCGGAAGATTCCGGCTCCGCTTCACGCGAACATCCAGTGCCGGACATCCCGAAGTGTTTGCTTCGGACCTGCAGGAGATGGCGTTCGTGTTCGAAACCACGAACATCATCTCCCGGTCCTCGACAAACGATCTGCGTCTTCGAGCCAGCGGCGCATGAGCGGGGATGCGAAGAGGCGCAGACCGCGTCGCGTCTCCAGAGAAGACGGGCAGGGCCCGCGCCTACCACCCACATTGTGCGCCACCCTCTACACCCACCCACAACCGCCCTGCTTGTTCAAAATAGCGCGGCACTACTTTACCCAAAAACCAGCCCTGCCGAACCCCAAGAGACGAAGAAGGGGCGCGCCAGTGCTGTGTTGGGGAAACGACCAAAAACACCGCCCCCCGGGGGACTACGAAGGAAGAGAACCGCCCCGCGCTCACGCTGGGGGCCCAACACGATTAGAAGAAATGGGCGCCCGGAATTTTTTAAAGGCCGGAAAAATTAGCAGGATTTTAGAACGGAAATCCGCCCGGGGTGTTTCCGCATGAAGGCTTGGCGCGCGGGCGGCGCGACAAGAAGCGGATCCGGATGCCCGAACGCAATATCCGGCAAGCCCGAGCTGGGTGGCTCGCCGGCGCGGGCAGGCAGCTGAAAGCGACAGCACGGGGGCGCGGGCGGCCACGCACTGCTTGGTCCGTGTTTGCATTTCGGCGCCCCGGCGTTTCGGAGCAAAAAAAGCCCGCGCAGCGCGCAGCAGGCCGGGCCGGGTCGCGCGGCAGAAATCCCCGCCCCGCGGCCGTCTGGTGCCGGCCGGAAGCATGGTCTCCTCCGCCCCGAACCGGCCCTCCCCGTCGCAGTCGGCAATACCCGCCTGCCTGCCCGCGGGAATCGCCCCCCGCCAGGCCCCGGGCCGAAGCCGAGCGCGCCGCCGCAAGTGGCGCGCCTTCCTTCTTTCATGGCTGCAATGCAAATGGGGCGGCGCGGCCGGACGAGCCACGGGCCGAGGGGAAATGGAGCTGCGCTACAGGAAGCCGCGCGACAGGAGGCTGCGCGCCCAGTGCCGGAACGGGAAAGCAGCATCAGCACCGGGGCGGGCACATCCAGAAAACTGCGGCATAGCCTGGCACAGTCCCGCAACGCAAGAAAAAGGGCCAGTGGCGGAGCTGCGCAGCTCGCCGAAAAGCGGTCAGGCGGAAGGGAAGCAAGGCTACTAGGCCCTTTGGGCCACCACAGTGCCTCGCACGAGGGGGTATGGCCTCCTGCCGGAAAGCTGATGCTCCCGGAATTCTAGTAGGGCCCCCCGGAAGGCGCTGCGGCCCACGGCCTCCCCTCCGTCCTGGCGCGCCACAGCGAGCCACCCAGAGTCGAACGGCAGCCGCCAATTTTGCCGCGGTGGGTGGAAGAGGTCAGTCGCCTTTGGTCCCGAAAGGGCGGGCAGCAACGAAAAGGGGAGCCGCCCGCTGAGCCGGCGCAGAAAACGAAGGCCCTGCCGGTGCGTCGCCGCGCAGCAAGCACGGACGCCGGCGTGGCGTTCGGGGATCACGTGCGGGCACGCGTAGCGGCGGTGCGGCTGAGCACGAAAAGCCCGCCCGGCCCGCCTCGCTCACTCTTTTTCTTGGGGCGCAAGCACCAAGTGGATTTGGGCAGGTGGCTTGGTGGGCGTTTCAGGCGTTGCCCGGGCGTCTGGGCTACCAGCCCGTGCGCAAAACTCTTTGCGAGTTCCGCAGGGTTCCAGTTTGCGCCTGCCCGTCTTTCCTTTCTTCTAAATTTTTTCTGCTGCCCCGCGTCAGATTGTGCCCCCCAGTCGCCGGGTCTTGCTCCGCTCTTTGCGCGAGACTCCAGCATGTCGGAGCGGCATCCGTTAACGCGTAATAATTGGAAACCTATACCGCGCTCGTATGGCAGGCGCGTCGGCTTCGTCGGCTGATATGCGCTTTGCGTTTGCGCGCCCCCACATGAGCGTTTTTTTACCGTCTTGTCACCCGAAGTACCTATTTAATCTCACAAGCATTGGCGCGTTCTCTGGCTACAACAGAAACGCTCAGATGCTCTTCTCAAGGTCAAGGCTCCTAATTACACTTAGCTTCAGAAAGATACACAGCAGAGGAAACACACCCAAGCACCCCGTGACCCACCTCATAAGTTTTGCACATAATTTTTCATCCGCTCGCGCTGTTCTGGAGGCAGCTCGCTTTTGTTAGCCTCAATTGAGCTGCCGACACTACCACCAGGGAGCATCATCTCCTGGGACCCACATTTTTCCGCTACCGCTCTCCGTGGACCTCTTTCCCAAATGCGATCGGTGTCAACGGACGTGTCTATGTAGTCGCAATCTCGGTCACGCCGCGTCTGCTTTTCTTGCCAAACTCGTGCGCGCATCTTCTCGTACGAAAATTGCAGGATGTACTGTGGATCAAACCGGCGACAGTCGAATTCTGCAACAACATGATAGAGTTGTAACGATTTACCGCCAGGCCCGTCCTTGAGATACGTTTCATCGTCCTCGCCGCGGCTCATTAGCCACGAGCTTGTCCCCTTTTCTGCCCCCGTCAATCCGTGTGCCTTGACGTCTTCTCGCCAGTCATTCTGTATCTTTTCATAAGGGGAGTGCCGAAGTGGAGCAATGTCCAGCTTTCGGCGAATCTCGCGGATGACCTGCAGCGGGATGAGGGCTTCGACCTTCACCACTCCAACGCGTTCAAGCTCATCATGAGTTTGCTTCAAAAAAGAATAGCTGTAATGCGGGTAGTTCGAATCCACCAAGCATCTACTATCGTTTCCTTCCTGCGACCTGCAACTGCGAGTCCGGTTGTCTATCCCACCCTCAAGAAGACCTTCAAGCTTTTTGTCTTGTGTCACCATCCGGTTCCAGGTGGCCTCATCCAGAAGCTGTTCTGCAAACCACTCCACCGCTCCTTGCGCTTTTTTGATACTATCAACAGACACGCGAGCAAGACTGGGAGAATGCTGGAAGTGCTGCGACAGAAAGCCCCGTGCTACCCAGTGATTCGCGAGGACCGCGGGCACGTTCGCTTCAAGGAGTTCCTCCTCGTGCGCTCTTCCATCCGCACGGACATAATTGCCGGAGCCTGCAGCTGCGATCGCGCGGTCGTCGAACTGGCTGCTACTATCTCCTTTTTGCATTTTGGTCAACATTTTGGCTAGCCTCGCGGCGCTAGTGTTTCCTGTACGTTCGCTCTCCTCTCGTTTCCGCTCGTCTAAATCCTCCGGAAGGCGCACGCGAGACTTTGGCTGCTGTATTCTGTCAGGGTTTCGACGCGGAGATTCTATCAGCTCACTACGAGACGGAGTCTGTCCATGCGACATCTCGCAGACCGGCAGAGAAGTCAGACTTAGCCATTTGTGTGCAGCATCCGGGTCCTTTTCAGCTTGCATCCAGCAGTAAACGTGGTGCTGAATCGGGGCAAGCAACGACGCTGCACGCTGTAGCTTGTGCGTGAACTCGATTTCGCGATCTGGGCGAAAAGCTGTATCAAACCTGAGACTAGAGCGCTCTACACAGGGGACCTGGTTCGCACAGCGCGTCCCACGTCTGTTGACCACCAGAAACCCGACCACCGCACCACCAGAAAACAGGAAGATACTCGGAGCACGGCTCCGCCATACTATCCAGCGGCTGCTGCGCCCGACACGGACGTCGTACGCGAAAGATCGCCACGCGTGAACAGCCACCTTGATATGAGGCGCCACCAGTCCGCCTCTGAGACAAATCAATAATGCTTTTCCGCCCAGGAGAAAGATGGCGACTCACAATTAATTTACCAGGGCCCATTTGCCATAAAGCAGACATCGACAATGCCTAGCTGTTTCCATATCACACCCTGGAAGAAAAGCCGATCTGCAAAACCTCCAGCGAAATTCTTATCGAGTATCTAAGCCACTTGACGCATCAACAGTCATTGACAGAGTGATGGATCAGCGCTATCAATAATAGACATACAAAGTGCCTTCAACTGGCTGGCGAGGTACGGATGAAGCTGGAAAGAAGCAATCACAAAGAAATGCACAGTTCAATCGCTCAACAGGGGCGCAGGGAAACGACGCTCCATATCGGCGCACGTGCCCCATTCTTACAAGCGCGCTCGTTGGCGTGCTATGCGTCTGGTTGGGAAATTCGTATTTCCACGGCCCCCCGGTATTATGGCAACAGTACTAAAAACTCCAACTCCGTGTCAGAAGGAAGCGCGGTGGAAGACGTTCGCTGCAGCTTGTGTTTGGCGTGCGGATCTACCCTAGGTGGTAATTTGTCGAACTGCACGCGGCAGACCTGGCGACATCGGTTCCAAGCAGCTTGCTGCAACACAAAGATGAACAAGCACAGTAGAAGCAAGTCACTTCACGCAAAAACGAAGCAAGTCGACCCATCGTCACTTGAGAGTGCACACCTCCCGTGTGGTCGTACAGCTGCGACCGAATGATATCGATAAAGATACAGCATTTAGCATGATGCTGTGCGATCCACGCTGTATTTAGATAGGCCACTAAGCGGCATGGTAGTAAGCTCTGTATCAATCAGCGCCCTCCGGATCAAAAGCTCTCTCAAAACCGAAAAGGCAGCATGAGCATTTTAAAATGGCTTCTCAACCTACATCGGTGGACTTCTTAGAGAACACTCCTGATTAGTGTGTCGCGGTAAGTTTTCTGGTATTCTGTGTCAGTGCGATTGTGGGAAGACATGCGGAGCGTTACAGCATGGTAGGTTTGCCCGCGGCGGGTGGCGTAGGAGTTAAGATTCCAGGTCTAGTCACCAAGCTTTCAGTGCTTCTTGCGCTGCGCTGCAATTGCCTCGGTCATTTCTTCGCGCTTCTTCTTCCCCCGCTTGTGCGTACCGAGTCGCTTCTTAGCATACCTGATTCAAATTTTTAGTAAGTAAGGCATATCTACATGAGTCGTACCATTTTGAGACTACGAAACACACCACTTCAAACAGCCTCCGCAAAATCAAAACTGCTTCCATTTCCATTCACAATTGCAGTCAGCAGTAGAAAATATAATACTTCAGCGCACGCTTCAGGGAAGAAGCAGATCCCATTTTGATCAACTCCATAACCCGGCGCTCGTACGGTGCGAATCCTGCTGTTTCTCGCACAACCTCCCTCACCAAAGCAACCCTGTAGTGATTTAGCTTGGGTTTTGAAGATGGAATGGTGCCTAATATACAACGTTCCTGATGTTGTAGAAAGCTCGCTTGCAACGCCTTCAAGGCAACGAGCACTACTAGGCCTCCGAGCTTCTATATGACTTCGATGAAAAGTAGGGCCCAGCGAATATCTAATTCCGAAATCTGCTCAGATCTACAGCCACGACCCAGGTAGAGACTATATGTTGCTATCAGATATCGTTTGACGACGGTAGACACCTCCAGTAGGAGTATATTCCAGCACGCCAATACTGAATTGTTTCCGTTCACTAGACAGGAGGGGGAACATCTCTGGCCGTCGAACTTGAGAGAATAGAGATGTGGCATCATGATCATACGCCATCTGACAAAAGGAAAAAATATGTAACTTGGATACTTCGAGCTGAGCTTGCCTTTCATGTTGGACGGACGTTGCTTCAACTCCCGAACGGTCGTGATGTGCCCGCGGTCGCGGCCGGCTGCAATCCCGCTTCGCGCCATTCTGAACTCTGTCTTTCCACAATTCTAGTCCTGACGATAATGTCCCTGAATGAAAAAAAGTGATAAAGGGCTCGAAAATCAAATATGACTTGGCAAACCGAACCAAACATGGTAAGTAAAGAAATTAGAGTCTCATTGTCATTCGCGAAGGATTTCGTACGACAATAAAGTCACATTTCGGTAGAGGTCAGGCCCTCCAGTCAAGATCCAACATTGACGCAATAGCGGCGCACAAACGACCAGCATTCTACGATCATCCGGATCATGGTAGCATCATGGAATTTGATCCTTTGTTCTGAAAAAAGATCGACATATTGGTAGTCTGCCTCTTGACGCGGGTGTGTTGCATCGCTTCGATTTCTGTGGCCCAGATCCAAATTGATCGCTTTTGAGTTTCCATTTCCTCATCTCGTCTGGGATCTACTCCTAGCAGCCTCATCTCAACTTTTTTTTTAATAAGAGAAATCACAGATCAAAATCAGCGAGTTAGCACATGGACAACTTCAGATCGGAAGTTCTGGAACAAAAAGAAGAGAGCAAGCGTTCTCCTTCAGAATGCATGCTTGAGTTACGCACGCACAGTAGACCCGTGCAAGATTTTTTTCTCCAAGAGGACCCATCGCAACAGAGTTCCGAGTTGGCGAAACTCCAACAACATCCGAAAGTACAAGTTTAAGTTGTTTGATGGCTACAATGAAATAAAGAGCTTGCCGCAACTTCAACGCGGCCTCCGGAAATTTCAGACGCTAGAGCGCGCGAAATAGCAGAAGTATGTGCATTTTTCCCGTGATACTTTTTCTCATCGCAACGGGGTCTGAAGTGACGCAGACCGCCATCAAAGACGAGAGACATGCAACAAAAACAGATTGATGTGGCATTTAAGTTGGCGGTCACTGCACGCTGTTAATACTGACGGCAAGATGCATACCTACTACCCACGGAGGAGGAGTTCAACATCTACTTAGTAAAGCAAGAGTCTAGGTCTGTGGGGTGCCATATCTGCCCGTAGCAGAGACTGACTGCACTCGCGTTCTGTCTGAGATAGAATCTCCTCGCCTTCAGCGGAGGAGGCATAGTGAAAAATACTTGATCTTCATTTTGATCATAATTCGTAAAACAAAACAGGTGGTCAATTTCACATTTATTTTTATGTTGGTCTTGATGTTTCGTTACATTGACATTCATTGTGTTTCTATGAAAACTATCTCCAGGAAATGAAAAGTAAGATCATATAAACATTGCAGGAAGGCCTGACCGAAGGACCCGAGTACAACCAGTCATGACATTAAGCAACAAGACTAGAAAATTAGGACCAACAATCGTCGCCTGATGATCCATCACGCATTTAGATAGCTAGTGGGGTCGATCTGCTCGGGGCACTCCGTGATTTGCACCTCGAAGCGAGCCTGAACGTCCTCCAACACCTTTTTATCCTCATCCGTCGCCGTGAAGGTAATTGCCAGACCTTTGGTCCCGAAACGCCCAGCGCGCCCAACACGATGCAGGTACGAATCCGAATCCGCAGGCATGTCGTAATTGATGACGACATTCACCTTTTCAATGTCGATTCCTCGTCCGAATAAATCCGTAGCGACCATGATCCGCTTTTGAAATTCCTTAAACGCCTTGTAGCGCTCGATCCGCTCGGTCTGCTTCAAACCCGAGTGAACTGCTACGGACGGAAAGCTGCATTCCTGTAACAGCTTATCGAGCGCGATCGCTCGCTGAACCGACTTCACGAAGATGATAACCTGTGTAAAATCAAACGCGATTGTGTTTGGGCGACAATAGTGTTACTGCTGATAGTTATCATTATCCTTGCGGATTCCGAAAGGAGACCAGGCTGCTCCCAGTAGAGCCTAGGACATAAAAACTGCTACCCAGTCAACATGGTGCGGTTTTTTCGCATCACATTTTTTCGTCAAACATGAACTCCATGAAGTATCATTTGGTACCTGATTGAATTGAAGGATGTCCAGCAAATCATTCAACTTCCGATTTTTTTTCGCCTCGTCCAGCTTTACGTAGTATTGGAGAAGCCCATGCAGTGTCAGCTTGCTTTCCTCGTCGACCCGAATTTCATGCGGGTTCTGCATGAACTTTTTGCAGACATCCCGAATCTCCTTCGTCATGGTAGCGGAAAACATCATAACTGTAGATATTTCATGATTCCATAACGACAGTCACGCATTCCAATTCGACTAAAAACCTCCACGTGACACTGGAAAGAAAAAGTACACATGCAGATACAAATATCGGACGTCCGTCGCAGCTGTCGGAAATAGTAGTGGCAACAGCGTATAATTTGGAGAGCGACGATAATGGAGCAACTGCCAAAATTTACATGAACGAATCTCGCTGTCTCACCTTGCTTTTTTTTGGGGCATTGGATGAAAATCTTCTGCACGTCTTGGCGCATATCCGCTTTCTCCAAGCACTTGTCGCATTCGTCTAAAATAAACTGCTTCACGTCACCAAGAGCCAAGGCCTTGTCCTTCAACAGCGCAAGTACACGACCTGTGTATGAAATCGATCATATGAAATCACAAAGGGAGAGCGTTCCACAGCCTAATTGCTTCTGCATCAGGCTGCCAGAGACATGCTGTACTAACATCATCCAGACACACACAGCAAGCAAGCGTACCCGGAGTTCCAATAACAATGTGCGGCGAGGTTTCCGTCTCCTTAAGCAGTTTCTTGTCTTCCGCAATGGGCGTGCCACCGTACACAACTGCCACCTTGCACCAGGCGAAGTACTTCGCGAACCTTGTAAAATGTGCCGCTTTTCTCTTTTGCCACTAAGTCAGGTGCAGCGCAATCATCGAGACCTCTGTTCCAGGGAGGCGGATTTAATCTTAATCACATCACTCAATATCAGATAGTAGTTGTGCCGATTAAAAAACAAACAAACCAATGGAATCTTGCTTCGTTTGTACCGGTCATACTCCTTTTTGATCTGGTACGCGAGTTCGCGAGCATGGCACAACACCAAGACTTGCAGCTTGTTTTTTTTCTCTTCTTTGCCCTCTTCGATCGGAACTTGGCCATCCTCCAATCCCTGCAGTGTGCTTAGCACGAACACGGCTGTCTTTCCCATTCCCGACTTCGCCTGACACAGGACGTCGGTACCTGTATGTAAAATATTGAGAAAAACTCAAAGCGACGTTTTCAGCCAGTATCATGCTATCGGCGCTCGGTGGTCGAAAGACTAGACAAACAGACACACAATCTGATACCCAACACGGCCTGGGGAATGCACTCGTGCTGCACCTCGGACGGATGTTCAAAGCCGCAATCAACGACAGCTCTCTGCAATTCGGCCTTCAAGAGAAAGTCACGAAACCCGCTGGCGTGGATGCCGATGTAATTACCTGATTGCGAGGTGTAAAGGTAAACTCTGACTGTGACATTCGTACGCATAAGAGCCACCGGGGCAACAGGCAGTCCCTGCAAAAAAGCAAAAGTCTTGTATTGCAAAGCTCAGGAACTGGCAAATCGATATCAAACATTCCTGATGAAAACACAGAGTTGCTCCGAACCTTTCTTCGCCTCGCCGGTCTGTGCCTGCTGATCGAAGGTTTGGTCTTCCTCGAAGTCGGGAAGTGCATCCTCATCGTGGCTCGCCATTTTCTTTGAAAGTGGATATAATGCAGACGGCAGTGCGCAAACGAGAATCACCGTAAAAAAAATCCGCGGTCGCTCTAACTGTATCAAATAAAATCAAATCGGAAATTCGACGCCAGAAAGTCGAAACCTGCTTCTCAACTGTGTATGCATTTCACAAGAATTTTCATTGGAGAGAATGGGGAAAGTGCGACGCATAGACGAAGAATCCACACGAAACCGCGCTTCATGTCGATCGCAATGTAGTACTATCGAACCTTGCATTTGAGCTGCAGATGTCTGATCTGTCCGCGAGAATTCAAACTTTACGATCCAAAAAAGAGAAATGCTTGCTCCTTGCATTTAAAGAAAAAAAACGTCACATTTAGAGCATCTCACTAAAATTGATCTGCGCAACGAGTTGTCTTCGCATTCACGACAATTATAGGAGCCCAAATCCAAATGCCACTAAGTCTACGAGTCCTACAATCGGGCAATAGTTCGAACCCACAGAAAGTGGAGAGTACGTCAAAATTCAAGAGTTCGACGTTGGGGGTTCTGAAAGCCGTAGGAGTCGGTCTCTTGATTAGCAAAACGCTGCGCGCATCGAATTCGTGGTTAAAGCCCACCTCGGATCAAGAAATGCACTGAGCACAGATGATGTTTCGCACGGATCGCAATTAGGGGACGGCAAAGTCGTAACGACGAGGCGCCTCGAGCCGAAACACTACCGGAAATACTCTTAAATTCAAAAAGTGATTGCTGTTCGTGGACGAACTACAAGCCGAACGCGCAAACTCGTTGCACATAAAAGCTGCTACTCAGCAGCCACAGTTTGTTCCTATCCTTGCTTGTTGCGTTTCTCGACTCTTTCCGGCAGCAGAGCTCGGCTATTTACACGAAAGGCAATTCATCAAAGCTGCGCAGGGGCATGGCAGTGTGCAGAGGGTTACTTAAAATGGGGCCTGCTCACGCGTTCAAGTATCGCAGTCCTGAGGGTTCGTTCTTTTTTCTTGAGCAATACTCGACAATCTACCGGCGTCACGTGCACTTTCATGACGTTTTTTAGCCAGCACTACACGCAAATATAGCGGGGATATGTGTCGCGAAATAATCGGGCTCCAGTCGCTCTTCATATGAGTGGGTATCTTTTCCTGCTTCGTCTGCAAGCAACTGCCAAGGCTTCTGCCAGAAATTCCGGATCTGCCGTGGCGAGACGCACACTGAATGCGGAGGACTTCCTTGAGATGGGTAGAGCCGAGCACGCAGGATAGAAAAACCGCTTCTGATTCCAGACGTCTGGCAGCAGCAAAAGTGCGGATATGTGGCGCAAAGTGGGTGCTTGACAAACAGCCAGGCCATTCATCATCATCGTCATTATCTATCCTGCACCGAGGGGCGCGCGACGTTTCGGTCATTAGACGACAACACAGCAGGGCTTGTTGGCCTCGACCTTAGGATCGCCCGCCTCCCGACGATCTCCAATGCGCCTCTATGAATGTGGAAGGCAATGCTTCTTGTTTTCCAGCATCGGCGAGTCTCGAGCGACAGAGTGGCAGCCATGGGCAAGGTGCTGGCAACGGCTAGGCAGCCGCGCCGTTGAGCCATTGGCGACCGTGACACCCCAAGCCTGCCAGCAGGCAAATGGAAGCGCGACGGCGCCAGCCCCCCACAAGACCATGGGCAAGCGCCTGCAGCAACCGGCTCCGCCCCATCCCGTCGATTCCGCGCCGCCCCTTGCGCGCACGTACGCGCGAAGAGCGGCTGCTCCTGCTTCTGCTGATTCATTTCCCTGCGGGGGGGGACAGTCAGCACCGCCCACGGGGCTAACGTGAGGCACGCACTAACTCCATTAAGTGGCGCAAACGAGTACCGCCACACCTGTGCACAGATGATGCGCATGCGCCGGCAAGTTGCCCAGCGCGATATGTCTGGCGGAGAGGTTTTTCGCACGCACCCCGTCGACAAGAGACTTGGTCGCGCTCATCGATCGTCAGCGCCACACATTTTCGGCATATCTTCCTTACAATGTCGCGGCTGGGTAAGCTAGCCATCCGCAAAAACTTTCAACCAAAACCGAATGAGTTTTCCCCCCTTTCAGATAGTTAACATCACGCGCTTTGGCTCAGAGGCGAGCCCTGCGCCGCGCAGTGAGCGAGTGAGAGGCTCCTCACTTGCACAGGTTTGCACTGGCTGGCAAATTTCATACTCACCCGGGAGAGTATGACAAAATCGCGGCCCCTGGGGGGCGGGGGCAGCGCGCGCCTTTCACGGCTCTGCGCTCCGTTGATCCATGATCGGAGAGCAACGCAGTTCCACGCATGCCGGAAGCCGGGTTGCGCCCATGCTTCCTGGCGCTACGCACTCCTTGGCCCGACGGAGTTCACCGACCGCCGAGGTGAAGAGCTCCGCTCACTTCAGGCTCGGCCGAAGCACGTCTTCTACTGTGGTCGGATCAACTGCAAGAGTTCACCTGCAGCGAAGCGCGACTTCGGCAATTATCATGTGAGGACTTCACCTCCAGAGATTTTATCACGCCACTTCTGTCGAAGAGCGCAAAAAGTTCACCAACACCTTTGTAGCGACCTCATCTACGGAGTGCACCGTAGCCGAGGTTTTGTAGCAACCGCGTGGCGCATGCGCGGCCGCCAATCTGATCTCTTTTGAGCCATTTTACTTTCTGAGCTTTTCTGATTTTGAGAACGCGATTTTCCGATCTTGGCCTCAAATTTGAGGGCGCGCTTTTCTTTTTCTTTGGTTGTGCACTCTTTCTTGATCTGGCGATTGTCCAATTTTGGGAATATTTTCGAAGGTCAAATCAATCGCGAGCGCGCAAAGCAGCAGGGCAGCGCGCGAAGCGAAAGCAACTGTGCTATTTATTGCAGCCCTGGAGCTGCAAACTATTCCTAGACGTGCACGGGCGGGCGTTCCGTCGTGCACATGTTTCAGGCGATCGGCCGAAAACTAAAGGCAAGAACTTAATTTTACAAGCGAAATAAACATTGGAATAGAAATTGAAAGTCCAAACCCACGCGAAGCATTAATGCGGCAGGTGCAACGCGCGCCAGAAAGTGTTCGCATACCACCGCTGCCCGCGCCCTAAATGCAGCGCAGCTGTCCCTTGGCCTTCCATGCAAAAGCGGCCAAAATACAGTGCGGCGCAGCTGCACCTCTGTTTTCCGTGCAAGAGTGAGCCGCTTTGCCGTCCCATGGGCCCAGGGGGGCGGGGAAGGAAATACCGTCATCGTGTCCTGACGTGCCATTAGGGGGCCCCACCAGCCTTAATCATTTAGGTGGCGTAGACTCGGCGATCCAAGCCAACCAAGGTTCGCAAAGTACCGTGGCGGATTGGCGCCGCCCTCACTAACGCTCCCGAAGTAGTGGCGCAGAAACTTTTAACCACCACGATAGATATTTACGCGCGGACGAATGCGGTCTGGGAGCCACCAGATGCGACGCACCAGCAACTTGGCAGGGCTTTGGAGTTGGACATTGCGAAGTCAACCAACATATTAGGAGCTGCGAATACGTAGCATTGCGTGTCGTATCACTACTGCCATCTCTTTAGCTTCGCCACTGAAGCAATCCGATTCCGCAGCTGAGAAGCCGCAGCTTGCTTCGTGTTGCGCTGACCTGAAAACAGTGCACCAAGAAACGTCATTACTAATACATCCCGTTTCTCCTTAAAAAGGCCCCTCTTTCCATTTGTATGAGTTCGTATTTTTTACTCTTGCAACCGCTAATTCCGCGCTGCGGGAGATGCATGTAGTGTAAACAACAACAAGAACAAAGTGAAAAAATTGGAATGAAACTATTGACGCGTCGTACATCATCATGAGCGAAATAAACGTACTCATGTCCACGCGTAGCAGCTATTTGTTCACGCCGAAGAATGCGCTGTAGTTCCTCCGTACTCAATTTGCCAATGTCATGACTTATCATCGCGGAAGAATCGGGCACTTTCCCCGGTGCATGCACTCCGAGCTCTACATCCACGCGACTGTTGTAGCAATCCGCTGGCTGAAGCGGCTGCTGCTGGTAACGATACGCGTCTATGGGAAATGGCGGGTGTTGATAAGTCACGGCCTGACGATCTTCCTCGAGATAACCAGCAGCAGCATCGTACTGCGAGTACAACTGCGCCGGTAGTTTCGTACTGCCCCCCGGATAAAATGATAAATCGGCCGAAAGAGGAGTGCCGGCAGGATGAAGCTGCGTGGCGTAATAATTATACTGGACTCTATCGCGAAAGTGGTCCAATCCAAAACAACCTGAACCTACTTCCTCCGGTGTGTGTTGGGCCACGTCTAATGCTGGCGCTGCCTCGTAGTACGAGTTTAAGTTGACAAGCGGCGCGTCTAAAAAATTCGGCCCAATTCCGAATTGCATGTAACTATCATTCAAGCCGGGATCTCCTCCTCCTCCTGTAGGACTATCGACGGTGTTCATCTCTCTTTCAGCTGCAGCTTGCGAATCCATCAAGAGAGGTGCTGGCGGGTCACTGCTGCGCTTCCCACCACAACTTGAGTCATGTTCTAGCACTGTCTCCATCAGTGACTTCGACGCAAAATTGGGCTCCCGTGGCGTCAGAGCTTTTTTGGTGCCACACTCTGGCCCAGCTGTTCCAAATGTGAAAGCCATCTCGGAGTCTTCGCTCTCGGCATCCTCCTCCCCACCATCCGACTTCTTCGAGCTGCGACTGCCGATGCCCGTGCCCGAAGCATCGTTCCGAGGAGACTCGTAGTGTGATGGAACAGGGGGCAAGCGAGTACCTTTTCGCTTCCTACTCGGGGTCGATGTTTGGCTGCTGCTATTTGCCGGGCCAAATGTAAAAGAATTGGAAGCATCCAGATGCAGCTCCACCCTGCTTGACGAAGATACCATGATCCAAAAGTGCGAGGATGTTGCACAACTCACTCCGATAGGTCCGGGCCGGACGATGAAAACCCTGCTGAGTTATTTTGTGTAACTCGACATCTGCGGGTGCATGTGCGGCGGCATGTCGTTCTCCCCGTGCACCACACCGAACAGGCTGATGCGAGGACTAGACAAACCACCAGGACCAAGGGGCGCCAATGCGCCCCCACAATCCTCCGACTTTGGATATTCAACGCATGGGAAACCGTAATGCAGTCGCACGCCTGCCATGGCAGTTGTCCAGCGCCAGGGCATGTTTCCACCCAGCTGTGCTTTTTATTAATTCGTCTTTGCTGCAATCAGTCCCGCTCACTAGGGCGGGCGAACCACTCAACCCGTTCCATGCCGAGCCGACCCCGAGTCCGGAAGTCCGCCTCGTCTTTTCCGACAAGCAAGGTGCGGACGACTCGTGGCGCACCATCGTGCCGCAGCATGTAGCGCCGCCGCTCCGCGGGCAATGGCCCCGGGCTGGCTCCTGAGCCAGGGAGGTCGGAGGGTAGGAGCAGGGCGGACAGGGAGCAGAAGGAGGTCGGAGGACAGGAAATGGACGGGAGAGAGGTGAAAGAGTTCGGATGATAGGCAGAGGACGACGAAAGACAGGGGTAGGAGGAGGAGGGGGCAAAAAAAGCACATTGAACGAGATGAAAAAATATGAGAGCGACGGAACGATTGAGTCGTTCCTTCACTCTCATAAAAAAAAGGCCCTCCGTCGATGAACCAAACGCCAGCCAGCCCTGTCCTCCGACCAGCGGACTTCCTCATCCGCTCCGTGGACCTCCTCCGTCCTCCCCACTTTCTCCTGCGACCAGCGGGCCTCCTCCGGAGTGGCGGACTTTCTCCATTGCTCTAGCCCTCTTCCTCCGGCACGGGAGCCTCGTTACCCGGCCTCGGGACTTCTTCCTCCGGCCCGTAGGCCTCCGTCGCCGAAGTCCGGAGTTCCACCTCCTGCGCCCCACCTTCGGCGCGGACCTCTCCTTGCGGGCCGCACTTCCTTTTCTGCTCCGTACCTCATTTCCTCCGCTGCCCTGGGCCTCCCCCACCGGCTCGAGGGCCTCGTCGCATGGCCTTGGGACTTACTCCTCCGGCATGCGGGCTTCCCCCGAAGCTCCCCCTCTGTCCGGCCCGCGAACAACTTCCTTCGGAGCCGGGACCTCCTCCTCCTCCGACGCCGGAGGAAAAATGCGGTCCGTGGGCCTCGTCATCCGCTACCCGGACTTCCACCTCCGACCCGCGGGCGTCCAAAGCGTTCGCTCACTGCGTACGCACCGTGACGAGTGGTCGTGTCTGCACCCGCGCGCAACAGACAAAATTGGGTGCGAGGCACACACAATCCAGGCGGCCAAGGCGAAACTAGCTCCTGCTTTTCTATTTTACTATTTTTTTGTGCGCTCTTGAGGTGGTAGGCTTGGTGATGCAAGTATGTGATCGGTCGTCTGTTGTCTTTGCTAGTACCACACAGCTGCCGGGAGCTTCAAACGCCGGCAGCTAGCAGCTGAAACACGCCATGACGGCCGCGGCTTGCTTGGAAGATGCCCAGTGCGCATCTGTGCACCAAGCTCAGGGGGCGGCTGCAATTTTTCGCTTTTTCGGAGGGGGCTTACATTCATCTTCATGGTGGGAAATTATTTGAGTACATGGGTATCTGCCTTGAAAAGGACGCGGCACTGCATCTGCACCAAATTTACTTACTCATGTCGCGTAGCATAAGCCTGTGCACGTGTCGGGAGCGTGATTGACATCCATCTGTCTGCTCTGGGTACGTAGGGTGTTAGCTTAGCAGTACACGTACTCAAAAATGACAGGCAAAGTCGCACACGCAACGTACAAAACTTGATAGATATCCTGGGATGTTAATTTGAATTTACCGCCATCAAGAGGCCTGAACGAAGTGAAGTTTGCTTTTACAGGGACAGCGCGTTGAGTAGTAGTAGTACTAGTGTGTGTATGTGTGTGTCATTGTATAATCACAAAACTTTTGAAAGTCAGCGTGTCAGTTTTCTTTATAGTCGAGCTTCCATTTTCCCAGCCTGCCCAAAGCACTCGCCTTGAGCTCGCCAGCAGACACGCTTGTCGCTCCGAGCGGCTTGGCATGGTCCGACCCTGAGCTGTATCGTGTAGAAAAGATCCCGCTCTCCAAATGAAGCGTCGCGCTTCCCTTACTCTTGGATGCCTGCTCTCATCGCCTGACGTTTTCTCCACAGCGATCAGATGCATAAGAGACCTTGGCTGATGCATGGTCGCCATTGTCAAAGTTCCTGTGCTCCGAGAGTAGTAAAAATCTGCACAAAGAGGTTGGCTGTGATCATTCATGCAATACCAGCGCCCATGAAAGCGAAGCCTCACGGTCATCGCCTTCAGGCCGAACGAGTGCTTCAATACAATGGGGTCCAACTTGTGCGGGAAATCTTTTCCGTGTTGTACGCCTTTCTGTAAGCCGTGCCCTTTCCCGCCAAGCGCCACGAGACGGTCCATCAGTTGAAAGTGGTCATTATTTTCTGCATGGGCTACAGCAGTATACCTTTTTCGGGGTTGGAAGGTAGCGATGCCAAAGAGGATCGCGCAGCACTTCATTATTTTGACATGAACCACAGACGCTCTCCATCATCATCATCATGATCACCATCGTCCTAACAGAGGAACCGGCAGACACATCCGCACTCCAGCCACAATTTAGATGACGGCAAGCCAAAAAGAAGTGGCCCGGCCGGTCAGAGCAGCAAGGCCGCCCTGGACAGTGCGCGAGGCAGCCGATGTGTGCGACCACCTAGGGCGAAGGGCTGCGCCGTTATTCCGGTTCTCCCTTGGTTAGTTTGCTTCTCGATAACAAGTATCGGCGGCGCTAAAAATTAGGCAAAACAATAGCATCAGTGGGCCGTGCGCCCATTTTGTTACGTGGCTGGCTTCTGCGGCATCTCAGACCAGTATGCGCGTGGGAATCTGGCGGCGCCAGCCGAGAGCCCCCGGCAGGGCGCGCCATGAGCGGGCAGCTGCCAAAGCAGGGCGCTCCCTTCTTGTCATGTATTTCGTGCAAGCCTTTGCGCGCACGTGTGAGCAAGGTCCTGGAGGTTTTCCCGGAGTGAGAATTCACTGAGGTTTCAAGGAGCGAAGTTTTCGCACTCCAGGAAAATTCGTGATCCCAAAGTGATACTTTTATCGTTCAAAAAGTGATATACTCACTGAATTATCAAGAAATAAAATTTGCTGAATTATCACTCGACTTCTCGTTCGCGAACGAGGCCTCGTTCCGGAACGAGAAACCAGGAATCGAGTGAGAACTTCCTGAATTCTCACTTTTTGAAAAATCTCACATCCGGAGCGAGATTTTGCCTGGAGTGAGAACTCACTGAATTCTCACTCCAATTCTCGTTCCGGAAGCCGAGTTCTCACTTTTTGAAAAGTCCGGGAGCGAGAATTCAGTGAATTTTCATTCCATTTCTCGTTAAATCTAAATCCCGGCGGAGCGCAAATTCAGTGAATTCTCAGTCCATTTCTCGTTCCGGAACGAACGAAAACCCGAGCGAGAATTCGCTGAGTTGTTCACACTTTTTGAAAAGATCCGGGGTCTGCGCGCCTCGTTCCCGAACGAGGAGCGTTTCCGCTGTCGTTTTCTTGTACAGTCAAGTCATGATGTATGGCTCTTTTCTTCGTGTTTTCGTACTGAAGATGGAAAGAGACCTATCCTCAGCCATCCAGTGCTGGAAGAATTGAATACGATCGAAAGTTGTAAATCAATTTATTCTTATATACTCCTTCGCATCTCGAGCGTTCAAATCGGCGGCGAGCTCCAAGAGCAGCATGCAGACCTCGGAATGCCCACCGATAGCGGCAAAGTGCAAGGGTGTTCTTCGCAGTCGATCGAGGAGATTTACATGCTATCACAGGAGAAACGAAATCTCATCAGTGGCATAGAGATTCGGCTGTGTGTAAGCAACGCAGTCGCTTCTTTGCATGAGAGAAATGAGTAAGCAGCTTTCTATTTCTTTTGCTTTTGCAGCGGGAGAGGCAGCAAACAGCCTCGAAGCTCTGCCCCATATCATACATTGGCGCGCTGTCTTGGAAGAATCCATCACGCCAAACCACTGCACAGCAGCAAGCTGCCGCGTTCTTCCCTCCTGCACTGTGCAAACGGGGCACAAGTTTGCTCAACACAAAAGTGGCGACGTCGAGTACTCGTTTCTCGTTTTATGCGTGTCAAAGTTTGAGTCGAGTCCGTGTGCGTCCGCAAGTGCACTGCACTAAATACAGAAAATGGTGAAAGAACGCAACCGAAAGACGACGCATGTCGGACGGAATCGCTCTGGCGAGGGTTAAGCACGCTGATCATGCGCAACGCAGCGGGGCGCGGACCTCAATGCTCAATCTCAAATTCTGCAGCGCATAAAAACGGATACATCTGCTCCCCATTCCACTAGTCGGCACACAGCATCGACGTCATTGTTTGCAGTGGCGACCTAACAGATTCAGTGTGCCAAGTAACTCAGCGGCAGCCACGAGCGGTAGAGCCGCCATAGCAGATGGCCAATAGTAGCTGCATAGGGGAGGGGAGTATCTATTAGCTCACGGAGGTTCTTGTCTTGGAAAGGCCATTCGCAGGCATTCGAGGCAAAAAACAAAAATGGCCGCGATTCTTATACCCAACACGCCCTCGCGCCCCATTTTACTCTCTCACTCACGACGGGGCGGCGGCCGATGGGGGCCACGCCCAAAAGTTGCGGGCTCGCAGAATAAATGATCCACGGCCACAAACCATAGATCTGCCCGGGGCCCCACCCGAGGCGGGTCCCGCGCCGGGTCTATGTCGTCCGGATTACATCCCAGGCCTCGGCACGCTTCGCCTTTTTTGTTTCCGAGCTTTTGGGCGCCGCTTTTTCGGCCTCCCTTGGAACGTGGCCAAAGACGGCGCGGGCAGACCCCACCGTGCGAACCGCCTGACCTTTCCGTGCTGCCATCCTTTTGGCGCCTCCCCCCTGCGTACGTAGTTTTTCGCAGTCGGCGAGCCCCGGTTCTAGGTCCGCCAGGGCCAAAACCAAAGCGCACGGCGGGCTTTGGTGTTCAGAAGCCCGCGCAGCGTCAAACCGGCAGGACAGGCAGTTGAAGTTCGTGGCCTCACTACAAGCGGGGCAGGGCGGTAACGCGAGCGAGCAGGCAAATACAAAAGGAAAAGCCAGCGCGCCAAGTTCCGCTGCGCACCCGAGCAAACTCGGAAAGCAAAGCCGCTTACCCGAAACGCCGGCCACAAGCCGCGGCGCCTCAGCATCGCGCCTGCTGCTGAAGTGGGTGGCGGCGACATACACCGCGGTGGCGGGGGGAGTGCCCCACAACAAGACGAAGCCGGGCCACACTGGCCCTGGTGGGCCCGATACAAGGCGGTGGCGCTAGCGCGTCGCGCGATGACGCTTCGGACGACGCGACGAGGCGCCGCGCTAGGGTCTGAACGCTGCCCCCGTCGAAAACGCGCTGGCAGTGGGCCCATGTATGTAATGAGTGCACTTCTCGACGCCCCGATTTATCCGCAATCCCCTTCTCCAGCCACTGGCCCGAGCCGTCCACTGGATTGGAATCCTGTCCGCCACGGGGTTCGTACCAAAAGGGGGCCCGCTCGCTTACACATAGCAGCCGCGCCAGCGGAAGTAGTGAGGTCGCGGCCGTCCCTCTACCAAAGCGCACGCAGTATCAATCTCGGCTGCCGGGCCGCAAGGGGGCCCTCCTTGCTGCGCGTCGCGCCCGGACGCCCAATGTTGTGCCGCATGGCCTGGCGCACAACATAGGCAGATCACGGCTACAACTTTGCCGCCTCCCAACCTCAAACTCATCCCCCGCCCGTCCACTCAACAGGGCCGGGTCTGTGGGCATCCAAAATCGGCCCCGTAGCCCTCGCGCTGGCTTCAGTTTCTGGCGGGTGTTGCGCTTTTTGGTCTTTCCAGTCAAAACGCCGCAACCTTTGCGCCGTCCGCCGGCTGGAAAGTTGCCCGCCTGCGCTGGCGCTTATGCGGCCTTCTAGAGTATGTAGGCAACCAGAAATGGCGGCCGCACCATTAGGGCTCGCGGTTTTTTTTGTTAGCAATTTTTTAGCGCCCCTTTTTCGGCGCCCAAAACCGGCGGAATACGAGGCGGGGGTTGCCTCGAAAGAGCGCAACTTTTGTTGGCCCCCCTGCGCCGATTTATCTATCAAGCAGCAACCGACAAAAATTCGCCGGGCCCCCTTGCTATCAAAGCGTCGCCTGTTTGAAAGCAGAAGACTTCGCATGTGCGAAAACACTTCTGCCGCCCGCTTGAAAACTGCCAGCCGTTTCGCTGTCTAAGTGTCAAAAAGACCACCAGGTTAGAACGCTCGCGACCTTACTACATACGAAAGGACAGCACGTAGGCCAGCAATGTTGCTGGCAAACCAATCAAGGCAAATGCTCCGAAAAAACGCCGCCGGCGCCGTCTCTTTTCTTGCCCCCGCTACATAAAACGGCGAAGAAAGACGCGAAAGCGAAGCAGTAAGTACGTGCATTGCCGTGCAGCCGTTGTGGTCCGCAGAGTTCACACTCACGCCGTACAGATGCAGAAACTCCATAATGTCGTACCTTTGAAGTTTCAAATATAGTAGAGCGCTTGCAAAAAAGCGCACCGTCTCTGCCTTAAGACATGAAGTTCGCGGCAGTATTCATAAATATATGATCAAATTCAAAAACAAAAACAAGTCTGCAACCCAAAGCAGGCTTTTGGTTCGTCGCCTTACCTTTTGTTTTTCGTTGCAATTGTGAAAGGTATGTCCCCAGAGAGTGACTTTTGGTTTAGGTTGGCGCCCGTGCTATGCACTGTAAAGCGCCATGCCCCCCAAAAATTCTGAACCTTAGGCGAGCGCCGCGGAGAGGCGGAAGCGCGCACTTGCATATACTTTGCACATGGTCGCGCGCACTGTTTCGCAAGCTCCGACCGAGGCATGTGAAAAATGTTTTACCTTTGCCTTTCAAAAACTTAAAGGCCGACATGTTTGCGCTTCCGCTATTGCTGCCTTTGCCTGCAAGCTCTCAACGATCTGAACGCCTCACCAAGTTGGTAGCGAACACATACACAGTGCCGGCGGGCACCGGGGCCACCCACAAAACCCGCAATCGCCCCGCGTACGTTTGCGGGGCGGTGGCGCCCAGGGTCGGCCTTCGTTCTCCTCGGTCCGCTAGGCGCTAGCGCAACACGCTGAATTGGCAGGGCGGGAACGCGAACAAAATGGGGGGGGGGGTTCGCTGCAGACAGGGGCGCCCCGAACCGCGCGGGCAAAAGTAAGAGGGCCGGGGAGGCGGGGCCTGCCCCGCCCGGGCGACGGAAGGGCGCAGCGGCCCCGCCCCTTGTTTTTTTCCCCGCGAAGCCTCGCGCGGCGGGCGGGCGAGGTCTCCCCACCCAAGGGGCGGCAGAAGGCTTGCTGCCGGCGCCCCACCCTGCTGCGGCGCAGCTGCTCGCGCAAAGAATGCGAGGCCGGGCCGGCCTTCGCCGGCAGAATCGGCCTGCCTGTTGCGCGAGGGGCAGCTTGGCGCTCTGCGCGAAGGGCGGAGAGAATACCCAACAGGGCGCGCTCGCTGGCGATCCCGGAGGTCAGGGGAGGTCGCTCGCCAAATCCCTCCTACATGATGCAGGGGCGCCTCGCGCAGCATCGGGACGCGGGCGGGAGAGGTTGGCAATTTCCCTTTGCGGGTCTTCGGATTTTTTCGCCCGAGCACGGGGTGGGGGCGGAGAGGCCTCATCGCCGGGAGGGCAGACGGTCGGGTGGCGCAATCGGGGGCGCGCTCTTTTTCTTTGGCCGCCGCAAAGCCTCGCGCGGAGGGCGGGCGCCGCGGGGGGCGGCCGGCCGAAGGCGGCAGCGGCCCCCAAATAAGCGCAATCGCAGTCGGGGGAGGGCGCCACCGGGCGGGAGCTTCCACACCCAGCCCGCTCCCACTCTTCCGCTGACATTAGCCGTCGCCGTTTTTTGCGGGGTTTTCGCATTTTTTCGCCGCGCGACCGGGCCGGCCCGGATCCTCGAACGGTTTGGGGGGCGGAAGCGGGACCCACACGGAGCGTCCTACTCCCGCGGCCGAGCAGATCATGGGCTACCTAGCAGCAATGCTTTCGATCGACTTCTAACGCGGCCGAGCGCAAATCGTCTCCCCGCGCTGCCTGCAGGCCATTCATCGGTCGTTTTTGCGCAAGTTGCTGCCTTGCTGACGGGCGACTTCCTCGCCGCTTCCTTGTGCGGCATTTCGGAGATTCCCGTCGCCGCGCGGCTCCTTTAACTGGGACCGGAGGCCGCCACATGCGCGCTCCGTTTGCAAAACAATATCGCAGAATGCGCACTCCGGTTTCGTGAGCCACTGCGCGCTTGCATTTTGCTGCCAAACTACCGATCTACCCTACACGGATGCGCCTCCGCATTCATACCCGGGGGCACGCGCTCGCCGACGCCCTGGCGCCGCTAAGAGTAGTAGAACTTTCCGGAGAGCATGTGGCACCAGACTCGCGATGAAATGTTGCCGCGGATATCTTCTGTAGCACAACTTGGCAAGTGCTAGGTTCCCGGTATGGCACGAGTGCTCCAGCAGGGTCCTTTATCATGCGCAAAAGCTGCGCGCCCAGATGCAGACTGATAGTCACAAAGGCCCGGCCGTAAATGACAGAAGTACGTATCTCGTGTGGCCCTAATTTCGTCGCCCCGCATTTCGGTGCTTCAGACATTAGCACAACGACGGACACAAACCGCAGGCGGCCCGATTCGATTCGCGAACCCAGACTGCCCCGGCTCGGGGCTCATGATTTTAGGCCTCATCGGTTGAGGCCCGGTCCGTTTCAAACGATGCATGGCCATTGCCACCAAGTTAAGCTCCTGGGCCCGTCCGCCCGGGCAAGCATCACATGGCGAGGAATTGCCACGTGCCCACGAGGCGGCTACGCCCTTCAAGCAGAGGCTACGGGGCGCGCAGCCGTTGTTTGCCACTGCTGTGCGCTCGCCTCTTACGCGGCGCCCTTTACCAATCTCACCACTTCAAGGCAGCCGCCCTTCTCCCACAGCATAGTGGTACAGCGGGGGCCCTGCAATGCCCCAACCTGCGCGCGCGCGCCATCTAGCGGCGGCCCGGCTTGCTGCCTTTTTGCCGCGGCAAGCGCCGCTCCTCCTGCGGCCCGGCGCGTCGCGCTGGGTGCGCGCCCTTTCTCCAAACCAGACACGACAAGGCAACAAGGGCGGGCCGGCTTTGGTAGTCGGCTAGCCCTGAAGCGCCTGGCTTGGCAGAACTCCGCAGGCCCAAGCAGCTGGCTTGGGCGGCGAGGGCAGCCAGACAGGCCGTCCTCTGGTAGAGGGGGCCCGATTTTGGGCGCGCGCTTTTCGGGAGATTCGCTTCGGCCGGGGAATACGGTAGCCCCGCCGAAGCCTCCGGCTCCAAATTGGCCCGCCCTAGCAAATTCTCCAACAACACGAGCCCGCCTCCCGAAGAGGACGCCGCAGGGGTCCTGCGGGGGCGGGCTTTAAAAAGCAATCGAGGGTCCTCGGCCGTTCGTCCACCCGACCTGCTCTGCTTGCCCCGAACGCACCCCCCCGCCGAGGCGGCCGAGAATCCTCCCCGCCGGGGTGGTCCCCGGGGAACCGCAGGAAGAACGCCGTGGAACATGGGGGCATTACCCCTCGGGGCCCCGGGACAGGGCACAAAGGGGGCCAACCCGCCGGGAAACATGGCCCCATGATAGAGGAAACGGGAATCCGCGAAAGGGCGGAGGGCCGCGAGGGCAGGCAGGGTAGTGTCCGTCGGGTGAACGGGCACCCCCCCCCGGCGGTGGGCCCCGGCAAGGGGGGGCCGAAGCCTGCGCGGGGCGAAGAGGCCCCCGGGAAACGAGCTGGCCCCGAGGACAGGGAGGATTTCTGCTGGGCGCTGCAGCCTCCGGGGAAAGAAGGCGCCCGCGGGCGCGCGGCGGCCCGCAAAAGGCCCCCGAGACACCGCGACGGCTGCCCCACCATATTTGTCCTCCGCGGGCGCGCTGCGCGCGTGCTTGCGCCTGCCTTCCCGTGATATGTATAGTCCCCGACCCGCCCGGCGTTCCCGGGCTGGCACAATAGTGCTTGGCGCCTTGGGCCGCCGGCCGTTCACGCCTCGTTTTTTTTTTGTTGCCCGGCCTGTCGGGCCGGTTGCGCCGCTGCGCGGCCTCGCGTATTCGTGGCAGGGCCCGGGCGCGCGACCCGCTTCGCTGCTAGAAATCCGGCCCGGGGCAAAGCTCAGACGCGATCGAAACACAGGCGGGGCGGCAGGCGGGCGGCGACGAAGGCAAAGCCCCCGTGCTCGCGTGCCGTGCCCGGCTGCCCTTCGGCACGATCGGGCGCCCGCCCGTTTAGAATTAGGCGCTTAGGCTTCGGCGCCGCGTTTGCAGCAGCACCGAGGCTACGGGGCGTGCCGCGTAGCTAGCCCCTTCCGATGCCGCGCGGGCGCGGCGCGCTGACTTCGGGGGCGAGCGCAGCGCGACGCTGCTGGACGGCCTCCTTGGCTGGCGGCCGGGCGGGGCCCCAAACAAACACTAGGCCTCGGGCACCCCGCGCGCCCAAGCGCTGCTGGCGGGGCAGATTCGCGCAGGTCATGCCCGCCTCCCCTGTGGCGTGTATCAACAATATCACTGCGGGTGGCCCTTGGCAACTCCCGGGAAACACAAAAAAAGGCCGCATGCCCCATATTTATTGGGGCCACAGCTTCGGCAGCGCGCGCTGCTTTGGCCGGCCAAAGAAACAGTCGAAAGGCGCGGCCGCCCCCGTCCGGCTCTTCCCAAAACACCAGAAAAGGGCCGCCCCGGGGAGTTGGGGCCGGCCCCGGGTGCGCGGGCGGGGCGCGCTTCCGAAGCTGCGCGCCCGGCTGGTGTGCTTCCGAAGCTGCGCGCCCGGCTGGTGTGCTGGGTGGCGCCGGTGGCTCCTGGCCAAGGAAGCCGGCCTGGAAGCACTTTCTCCAAGCGGGCGGCCCAACTGTCCAAGCCGCCCGGCAACTGCAAACATGCGCTACGGGCGCGAAGAGCACGCAAGCCCTTTGCCTTCGCGAGGGGGGCGGGTGACTTGCTGAACGGCAGGCGTAGTCACATCGCCTTGAAGCCGAGGGGTGCCGCCGTGGCAGTTATTCCTCGGGGCGCGCTATCGTCCCAGCCGGAACACGCACAAACGCGCTATGCGGAAGATCAGCAGAGCAGCGCCCGGCCCGGGGCGCGGGCCCGACGAGCCACCACGGGCCAGTGGCTGCCCGTGCTGCGGCCATCATTCATCACTCGCCAAGCGGAGGCTGGCTTCTTAGTGGCACACGCGAGACCACTCCACAATTTACCAGGCACGGTCCTTCTCGTTTCTCTGCAGGGTGCGCAGCTTCTGCGGTCCTCACCCTTTCAGTCTCCGAGTATAGAACAACAGACCGCAGTGGACCCACTTGCCGCTTGCCGCTGTTTCGCCATGCGCGCGAACGGTTGCGCCGCGGCCCCGGCGTGCACGCGGCCGCGCCTTTGCTATTTCGCCGGCCCCCACCTGGGGTTCCAACAATGCTCCACGCGCGAGGCCGCCTACGCGTAGCTGCGCGAGGGCCCCGTGCTGAATATTCGCCTGCGCGAGCGTGCATATCATGTTTAGGGGGCTGCGATGCTTGCTCGGCTGCCGGGGTGGCGCACGCCGCGAGCTAGCAAGCAAGCGACCAATGGAGGCCGGGCCGTCAGGGGTCGCGGAAGGCCTTCCGAGGGGGCGGGCGAAGCAGATCAGGGTGGAAGACCCCGCGCACTTAAGACGCGTGGGGCGCATGCGCCGCCGCGCGTTTTTGGTGCCCCACCAGCCCGGCCCGCTCGGCGCAAATGCGACGACTCCCCGGGGGGCCCGCGAAGACGGCGAGCCAACGCGAGGAGGGGCGCGCCGGTGCCGGCGCGAAATCGGGTCAACGGGCTGGCTGCGCTATCGGTTGGGCAAACGAAGCCGGCGCGGGTAGTAGCTCTCGGAAGCCTGGAACCCGTTTTCTCGCACCGCGGAAGAGCCGCGAAAGGCGAGCGCATCGGCCTACGAGGCGGGGCATTGAAAGTTTCCCGCCGGCATTTCCCGACACCAAATTCGCCTCCAACGAATAACCTGCCCCCGGCGCAGCCAGACTCCTCGGGATGGCCACCGGCCAGGCCAGTAATAGGCCCGCCCAGGCTACGAACAGCCGCCCCCGGCGGGCTCAAAGCAGGCGTACCTGGGGCGACTGGGCAACATGGGGGAGCGCGCGCAATTCGGAGAGGCCCGGGCGGCTGCCCGGGCGTGACGAGACAGCCAGGGGCGCCGCCGCCCGGTGACTTTAGAAGACAAAACCACGAGCGCCACCGTGCGCGCGCTTCGATACCGGATCACGCCCCCTATTACACCCAATCCCAAGCCACGCCGCTTTCGCAAAAATAGCCCCGCTGGGCTTACAATTTTGGGACCCGGGGCGGCTTTCTTTTTATAATTCCGAGCAAATGCAACACTTCGCACGCCAAGAAGTCCGCGCGTGACGACCATCCACCAAGCCCCTGCACTGCCAACGCAGCGCTTCCGTGAGAGCCCGGCAAGCGCGGGCGGTCGGCTGCCGAAACTGGCGCCGCCGCCAAGGATGCGAAAGCATTCCGCCCGCCTTTTTGCGAAGGATGAAAATCTTAGCAACGCCCCGGGGCCCCGGAGTTCTAAAAATCGGCCTGCCGCTTTTGATTGGGCCTGCCCGGCGCGAGAGGCGCCCTCCCGGTGGGCAACCAATTTCCCAGAGCCGCCAGGCGCTCTCGCCTTCTGCGTTGGCCAGCGTTTTCGCCTTTGGTTCGTGCGGGGGTGGCGTGCGGGCTGGGGCTGGCAGGTTCCGCGGAGGCCTCTCAAGTGCCTCGCCTTCGGGGCCTTCACAATCTCACTCGAGAGCCCAAGCCGGCGGGCGTTCACGGAGTGCGCCTCTTCTGCATGCTCTTCTGCGTTGGCATTGTATGGCGCGGCGGGGGATGAAAATGGGGCGGGCACGTTTCGCAGGCACGCCCCGGAAGCTTGCAGGCGCTTTGGTCTGAAAGCACCTCCGGCTTCGTCGAGACTGCCGGCGGCGCTGCTGCCGGCATCGCCGAAGTCCGCTGCTGGCACGCTGCGCAACCCTTCGGCGCTAGTGTCGCAATGACAACGGCAAGCGGTTGGATTCGCGGCGGTGTGCTGTGGCATACGATGTCCCGGGCGTCTATACTTGTAGAATCCAGCATCCGCTATGCGAAAGGACAACGCTCGCGCGCCATTGTTGAGTATAGAAAGACAAAGATGCAGCGCGGCCTCGCAATATATTTGTAACGCCAACCAATCGCGCCCGACGGCTGCCACGCAGAGCACTCCCAACCTGCGCGGCGCCGGCCTCTACCTAGCTAGGGCGGACCACATCGGTCGTGCGGGGGCGGGCTGGGGCTTTTTACTAACTACAGACCACAAACGGCCCCGCCCCGCCCCGCCCCACCGCTTCGCTTATTTGCTTGAGGGGCCCCCGCGAGCCGCCAGGGCGATTACAACAAACGCACGGGAGCTCCCAAGCCCGCCCCCACATCTAATGCGGGCCCGTCGCCACGCGGGGCACCTGCCCGAATGGCCACGGAGCCCATTCGCCCCAGGCAAAAAGCCCCCGGAAGCCCCCGGGGCAAGCGCCCGCCCGCCGTACCTTTGCCGCGCCCGCCGGAGCGGCGGCGCAGCGCGGGGGGCATCCGGGGTCGCGGCGCGGGCAGTCTTTCCTTTGCGAGCGCAGTGCCGAATCTCCGCCCCTTCGAGAAGGCATACGCGACCGGGGCCAAACACGCTGGGCGCCCGACGGAAGCGTCCGCGCGCCCACCCTGCCGGCAGCCTTGCGCCGTATTTCCCAAGGCCGGCCGACCGCGCACCCCCCCTGGCAGATTCAGGCCTGCGGCGTTCTGCGTAGCGGGGGCACCCCAAGCATTCCGCCAGGACTGGGCGCCCCCTCCAGGACAACAAACGACGCATGGGCCCCGGCGATCGGTTGTGGTGTATGCGCGCGCGCCAGTGGTCCTCGTGCCGAAGCGGCGTCCGCGCCCGGCGTTCTTTAGGTCGAAGGGCCGCAAGTACCGCCCCCCGCCGCGGCAATGGGGCTGAAAGCGGTGGCGCCTCCATTGCTGGCCTGGGCTAGCGGGGTCGACGTATCCTCTTCTGCGCCGGCGCAGAGCGCGCCCCGGCCTGTTCGGGGGCCCTTTTCCAGGCGTGGCCCATGCGGAAACAGGGCAACGCCCCTTGCTCAAGGTATGGGGCCCCCCGCCCCCCCGCGGGGGCGGCCCGGGGTCGGCCGCGTTGCCTGCATGGGCGGGCGCCGCATCTCGGTGCGCCGGCTGCTTCTTGGCTTTGCCTCTCGGGGCGCGCGAGCTTGTGGCCGTTGCGCCGCGCAGGGCCGGGCCGCCGGCCGCGAATCAATCGCGGCCGCTTATGCGCCGCTTCCAAGCCTATCCTTCTGGCTGCGTGTTTTGATTGCGCCTGCCCTACCGCCATGGCGGCCGAAATTGCTCGCAGCAACCGCGGGCCAGCTCACCAACACACTAGGCTCCGCGAGACAAAATCCGCAGAGAGTGCCTCCGGGCGCCCGAATTCCAGAGGCCGAATCGTCGGGGCTATCGCAAGAAGCCGCCGCCGATGAAACATTCGTGGTCGGCGAGCGACATACCATGAGCGCCAATCAGCAAGACGCGACGCGCCGACACGGCCAGCAAACGAAGCTCCCGAGTGTGGTAGCCAAATACAGAGCTCGCGCTTGCTTCTTTTTGTCCTGGCTGTGGTGCGGCGGCGTTTCCTCTGGGATACCCGCTCCAGCATATTCATCAGAATGGTGCCTGTAAATATATTTATACTCTATTCGCTACTTCCTGCCGCCGTGGCCGTTTCGCCTTCTCCTTTTTATCTTTGCAAACAGGTGCCCGATATACTAAGCACAGGCCGGGTGGGCGATCCCCCGCGCGCGAAACACGTAGAAAGACGGGGGCCGGCCGTGCGGGCCGCGGGGCGGCCTTTAGCCGCCAAGCAGCTGCCGATCATGCCTGTCTCCAACAAAAGCCACGAAAGGCATGGGGCCAGCCGGTGGCCAGGTTGGCGCCCGCAGGCGCTATACGGGGAAGGCTGCTTTCTCAGCGCAGGGCGGCATGCATGGGCTTGCTTGGCCGCTAAGCAAGGCAAGGCGGCGCTGCGAGGGGGGCAAAAGGGGTCGCACGGTGGGGGGAATGGCTCTGAGGTACTTACCGGGGAAACTAACAGGGCAGACTGGCCCGCGGTGTTGGAGGGCGAAAAGCCGGCCGCCGGGAAGACGCCAGAATGGCCACCGCTGCCTGCCAGCAGGCCGGGCGGCCCGGGGTGCAAGCAAGCCGGCATACCAGCTAAGCCGCTCGCCCCAGCGGTGGCGCGCGCGCCTCGCGCTGGCAACAGGGTGCGCCGCGACGACCGCGCACCGGCGCCAACAGGGTGGGAAGGAGAAGCCGGGGCGGCGGGCGTAGCTGAAGCATTACGCGTCAAGGCCCGGAAGCCCGAAGCCTCGCCCGGGGACCCCGGACCGAGCGAGCACATGAGCCGGGCCCGCCGCACCACAGGGAGGCCTCGCGGCGCGCGCTGCACCTTGGCGAGGGCAGCGCAACACAGCTCCACCACTTGCGGACCACCGCGCGGGGATCGGCGGTGCCCTTGTAAGGGGTTGTCGATAGCGTGGGCGCCTTCGCCTGCGCGGCTGTCTTCCTGCGGCCGGCACCGGGCGCGCGGCCTTTCCCTCCGTCGCCTACAAATGCCATACGGGCCCCACGGGCTACAAGGCGGCCCCGCTGGCCGGGGGCTTCTTTTCGCGGCGGCGCGGCGAGCAGGGAATCTTTGGCGGGGGAAGGCTCGAAAAAGCTCCACCGGGCTGCCGCGCGGCGGCCGCCGCTTCGCCGGGCCGGGGCGGAATAGCAGGCCACTAAATGAGTGCCCCGAGAAAAGCAGGGCGCGAGCACGAAGGGCGTCGCTGGTGGAGGCATAGCACGGGCCGCTTTGGGTTTGGGCCGGGGCCAAGGCAAGCAGGCGCGTTCGTTGGGACCTGCCCCCGAAAGAGCAGGCCCGCGCTTCGATCGGGAAGCAGCCCGGACTGCGAGTTTACCTGCGTCACCCCCCCCCTCTCGCACCCTCGTCCGATCCATTCTTGATCTTTCAATACCGCGGACCGACGCAATTGCATTCGAGCAAGATGGATCTCGGGCGCGACGGCTCGCTTCGCCCGCTCCCCGAACAAACCAGGCTGTTGCCGCGGGCGGAAATTTGAACCGGATGAACCGCAGGCCCCGGACTGCCGAAACGCGGCCCCGGGCTTCACACACCGCTACGACGCCCGCCGGCGCTGGGCGCCGGCTGCTGCGGTTTGGGCCGGGGGGGCAGAGCGGCCGGCAAGGCCCGCACCGGCCTCCGCTGCCCTGCGGACCCTGCGCAAGTGCAGGGCAGCGCGCCTTTCCACCGGGGGCCACCAAGAGCAGAAGCGCGACCCTTTTCGCCGGGTCTTCCACGCACCTCCTGCTCGCCCCCCCCGCCCCCGCGCCGCGCGGAGAAAACGCACGCCCGCCCCCGGTCCGCAAAGGCCTTCGTTTTTTCTGCGCGCGCAATTTGCTGCGAGTTGCGCGCGCAGAAAAGCCAAGGGCGCGAAGTGGCCAAAATCGCCAGGGCCGGAGCCGCATCTACTGCGCCCCACAGCCGCGGCGCCTTCCTTGAATCTGGCGAAGGAAGACGAAGGAAACCGCGCCGACTTACTTTCGGGGAAGGGCCGGATGGAAAGGTCCGGCGCGGTCCCCGGCGGCGATCCGCCGCTAGTAGACTACTAGCGGCGGACCGCCGCTGGTAGATTACTGGCGCTGCGATACTGTAGCGCAGCGCCTGTTGTGCGGCCGCGGAGGCACGCGACCAGGTCCGGAAGGATCTTGCTGCCCGCCGGCCCCGTCCTACCACAATGGATACTGCTGCCCGAATATATAGGCCACATCTCGGCGGCCCGGAGCGGGGCCACCAGAAAATAGAAGGCGCGAAGCCCCGGGAGAATGAAATGCCACCAGCGGCGCGAGAGCATTCCTGCCACCTTCCCAATGGCGCGGGGCGGCGTCGCTAATCCGCGCGCCAGTAAAGGCAGTTGGCGCCCGCGCGTGGCCTTCTGCGCGCGGGCGCGCCAGGCGCGGTTCGTGCGGAAGGCTTGCGCGCCCGCGCAGACTGGCCGGCTACCGGCGCGGCTGTTCAGTCACTTGCCTGGCCCCAGCCAAGCAAACAACCTCGCGGACAGGCCGAAGCCTGTGCGCCGGATCTGTTCCGTCCGTGCGGGCTTCCTTGGCCGGCCTGCGCCGCCTGATGTTTTTCTTTGTTCGCCGGATTTTGCCCCTAACGCTTTTGGGCCGAAAAGTCCAGTTTTTTTCTGAAATTTTTTAAAATTCCCGAGAAGGGTAGCGGGGTGGCTCTTGGGGCGGGGCCGAGTTGGGGCCCGTCCTGCTGGCTGCACCAGAAGGGTGGCGGGATTTGGGTCGCTGCCTTCGGTGCTTCGCAATGGGATGAGCCAAAACACAAAGACGCCACGCCACGCGGGCTCCTTATGCCTCAGGAGCGCTCGGGAGGCGGCGCGCAGGCATAATGGGTGTGGCTGCTCGACAACGCGGGCACTCGGATGCATTCGAATTGAAGTGAAGAATTTCCTTGGCATGTGGCCAAGAAAAATTTCAAAAAAATTTCGACTTGCCCAAAAAAAGTTTGAATTTGGCCGGATAAAATTTCAAGAGGTGCGAAAAATGGCCAAAAAAAATTTCGGAAAATCGGCCACATTAGCAAAATCCCATTGGTTTTTGCAAGTTGGCCACTTTCTAGAATTTTTTTTCAAATTTTTTCTGCGCGCCTCTTGATTTGTCCCGGATTTTTTTCAAATTTTTTTTGCAATTTTTCCTGGCCAAACCCAAAGAGGAATCCTCTGCGGCGGCAATGCGCCACAAGGACGCCTCTGCTCCCCGACAGAAGAAGGCGCAACCCCACACGGGTTCGCCCCTCTGGGTTCTCATCACCAGGAGCGGAGGCCAAGAGATACGGACCACCCAAGCGGGCAAGTATACGACACCTACGCCCGGCCCTCCTCTGCCAAACAGGGGCGAGAACAGACTCGGGAGGGAGCTGCCTCACATAGGCCAGACCGTCGGGGAAGCAAAAAAATCCAAAAAAATTTTTTTTGCTTTTTTTTTAATTTTATTTTTGCCCTATGTGGATTTTCCGAAATTTTTTGCGTTAGGGTGGAAATCCTGCGAATCTTTGCCCCTTCCCAAGGGCCCGGCGTTTGCCCTTCCCTACCCCCCGGGGACGGCAGCCCATCCATGCCGAATGGGGGGGGGCGGCCCCATCTCCCGCCTTGTGCAGGAACCCCAATGCGATCGGGGGGCCCGCCCCGGCGGTCTGGCATATCGGCACCGGGAAGGATTCTCCCTCGCGCTTTTGGCAGGCCAGCTTGGTGCCACAGCAAACCAGCGCAAGCGGCCGCGCGCTTTCCAAAGGCGAGGCGGCAAACGAGTGCGCGCACTGCTGCATGCCGGGCCACACCAGCAGCAAAGCCTTCCACTTGCTACATAGCCGACGGACGCGCTTCCATTTGCCGACGAGCTCTCATAGCACCGCTGGCGCGCTTGCTCGTAGCGAAGCGGGGAGGCGCCGGGCCCAACCGGGTGAAAACGCTCCGCCGCGGTGGCCCTCCGCGAGTTGGGCAACGACAAACGCAGGGGCGTGCTGGCGTGGCATAATGCCCGGGCCGGGGGGGTTAGTAGCCTGGAACAAGGCCAGCGCATGCGCGTGCGCCCATGCCGCCAAGGCAACGGGGGCGAGGCAAATACTTACCCCACCCCCGCGGGCGGTGCGGAACCCTTACGCCGCCGGCCCCGGGCGAGCTGCCCGGTTTTGAATTGGCGCAAAAAAACATCAACACTAAAGCAGGAAGGAAGGAGGGCAAGAAAATACGCAAAGCGACGGCGCGAAAGCCCAGATGGAAGACGCGGCACATGGCCCAAACCGCCAGGGGGCGAGCGCAGGAAGTAGCCGCGGCCGCGCAAGGACAACCGGGACCGGCTGCCCCCGGGCCCATCGCGCCCCCGCCTTCTGCGCCAGATCGCGAAGCGGAACCTGGGCCCGAAAGCGGAAGGGCGGGGGGGGACCCAGGGTGGCCAACTGGCCCGGGCAAACATAGGCAACCAAGGGGGCGACGCTGGCACAGCGCCGCCCGGGAATCTACGGCAAACGCTGCCAAGGACCAAGACGAGACAACGCAAGGGCCCCGCGGGCTGCGCCGAAAGAACCTGCAGCGCAAAAACGGCGCCCAAAAACGAAAGCCCCGGGCGCCCCCGGTTGCCGCTTAACCAATCCCCAAAACGGCGCGGCTTTTTCTGCTTTCTCCTTCTTGGGTTTCCGGTGTGGCTAGTGCTTTATTTGTTCTATACTTGGTGGCTTAGTTTTGCACTGGAATTTGTCCTAAATTAGTACAAATTTTGAAAACGCCTCCGAGGCAAATTCGTGCAATTTTAATGCGCAAACTATTGCGCCAATTAATGCGCTCGTAATTACTCCGCGGCCATCCTCTGCGGATGGTCACGGATTGATCCGGAAACGATGGAGCCCGGGCTGACGACAAAAACTGGAGTCCGGGCGGAAACTCGCGGAACAAAGACTCGGGGCCCTGCACATGGCCGACCGGCAAAAGAACCCCGAGAAGGCTGCGCGCCCCCACCAAGTCAAAGGGGGAGAACAACCGCCCCAAGCGCCGCCCCACAGAACAACCAGGGGGCAAGACAACTCGAGAAGGAGCAGGGCGGCCCTTGAGGGGGTTGGGCCACCAATGCTGCGCGCCCTTCTATTGAACAGCACGCGAAGCGGCGCCCATTCTGGGCAAATAGGGAAACTTCCTTGGAGATAGGGCCCAAAAGGGCCCCGGCCAAAAAGTCCGCGCGCTTTGGCACTGCTGCTTTTTTATGGCGATTTTAATCGCCGAAATTTGCCCCGCCCTGGCTGCTTGCGCACCAGCTTCGCGCGGCGGCCTTTGCTGGAGTGCCTAAAATCAGCCCCATTCGGCGGGCTGGCGGGGCGCCTCTCCTCCCTTCCCATGTTCAGCACTGCGGCCCGTGCGGGCCGCTGGCAATCCACAAGAACCCAGGCCAAGAGTAAGCGCTCCGGCAAAGGGGTGCTTCCCCGGCGGTAGCGGTAGCCCGCCCGAGGCTCTCCTTTCGGGGGAGGCCGACCCGATCAAACCCACCAAGCCCAGGCAGACCGCGCGCTTTCGAAAAAATGCTGGCGGCCGGGTAGTAAAAAAAGCGCTCGAGAGCGTGCCTATCATCGCAGACGGGGTGAGATAAAACAAGAGGGATCCGATCCCGTCGCCGCGCATAAACATAAACAAACCGGCTTTCTTCACGAGGGTGCCGGATCGGCCGACGCCTTTAGTCTTCATTCTTCAAGATGTAGCTACCGCATTAGGCGACGGACTGAATGCGTGGCGCCTGTCGCTGTCTACTTAACAAGCATTCCAAACGAACGAAGACAACAATCGCAAAAACGAAACCGACAGCACCATTCTTCGTGAGAATCTGCTTCAGGTTGAAGGTGTGGCATTTCTCCCGTGCTTCCATGAGCGCAGCTTTCTGTGTATCACATGGAAATAAAGCTGTGACGCCTTGTCGGCAACAAGCACAAAACTTTTCTGCCCGAAAAATATCCGGGCAGGCGTGCTTCCAAGAAGAAAAATACCAAACAGACTACGGCCCCACACTCCTCTACTAATCGCCTGGGCTGGAGCAATGCGGCCAGGGCCGGCCGCTTCGCTGGGCAGCGCGCGCCACTTCTCCGAGCCGGCGCGGCCGACGGCTGCGCACCCCAGGGCGTTGCGCGTGCATAGCTGCTGTGAGTGTGGGTGCGGTCCGGGTCCGCGGGTGAGTAAGCCTGCCCACTGCGGGTAGGCAAAGCGGCCCATGTGGGCAGTACAGAGTGGCAGGAAAAGCGAGGCCACGCATGTCCGGGGCCCATCTTGTTCCCCGTTGTCCCGTGCCGCACTGCGCTGCCCTTTTTCGCGCTTTGCTCTACCTCCCTGCCGCTTCATCAATTCAGCTGAGCAGCCGGGGCGCCCTTGGTATTTCTTAGAGGGGGAACACGTCGCCAGCTGCTCAATAATTATCATTTTCTTTGCGGACCGCCGACGCTGCGGCAGAGAGCCCAAAACCGAAACGCCTGAAGGCCCTAGCGTTGTGAGGAATACGCGCCATTTGGGCTGTTGGGGCGGAGGCATCGCCCGTGCTTATCGGCGGCGGCCCTGCTGCTTCCAGGTCCGCACCCCGGAAAAGTTTCCAGGCACGAGGCTACTCTGGGTCCGTGGGCATTCCCGGCCTGCCGGCCGTCAGGTGCGGCGCGCAGCCAATTTAAATTCATCGGGGCCAAGCCCCCGTCTGGTGTCCCGTCCGGCCCGATGTGTGCCGGGCCCAAACCAAGGCCACCGGTCCGGTCCCGCCCGGTTTGTAGACGGGCCAGTGCCGACGCAAGCATGGCCAGAGACCGGTCCCGCCCGAGCAAGGCAGGCGAATACACCGCGCACAAAGCCCGATCCAAGGCACGCCCGGTCCCATAGAGCCGGCACGGCGCATGGCGCGTCCGGGTTCTTGTGCCCCGTCTTCGCCAGAGGGCTTGCAGGAACGAAGCACGCTTTGCTGCGGCCAATCTTTGCAAAATTTCTGGCCCTGCCGACATGTCGCTACTCTTCTGAAGCTTTGTCTTGTGCTAGCTTTTAATCGTGCCGATACAGCACGCCGAAAATTACAAACAATGACGAGGCAGCTGTTTCCATATAGTACTGCGTCGATGATTTTGCATCGGATTTCGCTGCCGCAAACTCGGGTATACCACTGACAACATCCCCCTGCAGACCGCAGACGGATTTAATCAACTCTACAAGTATAAGTAAGTATGATTTTGATTGTTCATCTGTACTACGACGAAGCTGATTGGTCCGCGGAGCCACCCAAACACGCCTACTCATACGCAAAGACAAACGCCCTACACAACGCTAAAGCGATACCCACCAAAACCGTGGGCACTTCCCAGATCCCTGCACAACAATCTCTTACAGAGCATCGCCACCACAACAATCTCCCACGGGCGCGCACAAGGCGCGGCCGGACAAGTGTTTCAGCGAAGGAAAGTCACCACTAAAAAGAGATCGCATCAGCTTGCAACTGAAATTGCCGACCCTTGTATGCGCCGTATCATTTTTCGCCTAACAGAAACCGCTCAAAAAACAGTATCGGCATTACTCAAGTCTGTGGACTTTTGCGCGACCCTAGTGTGATAGACTAGTAAGTGGAGCTGGAGGTCTGTTGCTCAACAAAATATCGCAGCACATGATCATCCCAGTGCGGCAGCGCTCGGAACGTCGACAACAATTCTGAGTCTAGTCCTGCAGTGCCCGGATATCGCTAGGAAAACTGCTGAGTCGAACTCGAGGAAATGGCCCTTGCATTACGGTGGCCAAAAATCGATGCACCGCCGTGCATTCCAAAACTACCATCACCATCATGATTTATCCTGAGCTTGTGGTGAGATGCAAACTCGGTCAGTAAATTACGATCTAGATGAACTGGCTTTGCCTATGCATTTTGGTGGGTGGATGCGCAGCGACTCAATTTCATATCTCCGACGGTGGGTTTCGGTGCGGTGCCCGCTATGCTCGCCTGCTTTGTCTCGGAAGTGGCCTCTCATACTAGGAAAGCGGGTCTCTGACCTAGGAAACGACATACGACTACTTCCTTGAATGCTTCTGCACACAGATTGCAACATCACAACAGTCCACTCCTGGGCGCGCACGCTGAGGCCAGTGCAGCCCTTCGCTGTCGTGCAAGCATTCCAACTGGAGCGCCACTCAGAATTGGCGTGAACCTGCGCCCTAGCAGCTCTAGCATAACTCAACATGTGCACGACATCAAAAAGTACTTATGCAAGCCATAAGGTGCGGAGACGCTATCTCATGCGATGCCTTTGCCTCCTCTTTCTCGTCGGCTTTAGTGGATTTGTCGTCCTTCTCATCTCTCTTCTTCTCCGCCTCCGTGGCCGTGGGCTCGTCAGACGGTAGGTAGATAGCTTGGTCGGCGGTGAGGGTCGCTGAAGTGGATTTGGATTAGGATTCGGGATGGTTTGTTACGTATACGCTCAAAACCATCCAGCACCGTTTTGAGCTATAGCGGTCTGTCTACCGGTAGCGCTGCGCCCTCTCAAGCCCGGGCGGTCGCTGTCACGATATGTGTCTGGTGCATACGAGGACCTAGCCACGCAAATAACGGTCTGCAAGACCCTGCGAAGCTCGCAGCTTCATCCTATCTAAACACTTCTACACCAACTAGCACAATTCCAACACTTACTTTTCGCAATATGACGCATGGCAATATGTAAAAATGACTGCTGTTGCTGGTCTTTACATAAAACGACCGGCGGCCTAATGGACGTCGGGCCCCGGGCGTGGACCTGGCAGCGACCGTCGGTCGCCCGTGCTGAAAGGCCAACTGTGCTGCCGGTCTACTTGTTGGAAGCCCCTCCTTTCGGCGATTTCACTACCCGGAGAGGGCCACCCAGCGATCTCGAGAACTACTGCGGGCGCGGCCTACTGGAACCAACTCCCTGACTGCGCGAAGGGTTCCGCCATGGACGCCCCCTCGTCGCAGCGTGTCCTTCACGAGGCCAGCAAGTCCGAACTGCTCAAAATTCAGCGTCGTGCGAAAAGGTGCTCTTGTGATTAGGTGCGCCAGCGCTTCGCCCACGAAGAGAAAGCATTTGGCGCACATTCCCAAACTGCCTGCGCATGTGTGTCATCCTCTGGGGTGGCCGTCTTTGGAGATTTCCCCTCCGGAATACAGGAGGCACCGGCCCCCGCTAACGCATGGAGAGCCACGTCCCGGAATCAGAAAAAAAGTGCCACGGGGCGGGCGGGTGGGAAAAGCGCGAAACGGCGCCCCCTGGTGCCGCGACTGCAACAGCCGGCAAGTTGCGGCTCCTGCAACGGGGACGCCAGCCGCAGAAGCAAGGCCTCTTTGCCAAGAATGAATAGCGAACGAGCATCGCGCCTGGCGGGGCTGCAGGGCCTCGCCATCATAACCATGAATGGAAAAAGGCACCCAGCAAAGCCCCGCGCGCTCGCACAGGGGCGCGCGCTGGAATAATGGCCGCAGAGCCCGCCACCAATTCGGGCGGGGCCGGTTTAATAGATCGGGCCGCCCGGCGCAAACAATGCGGCCCTCCCATTGCTGACAGCGCAGCACGGCGATGGTGCTGCCCGTTTCAGGTTTTGGCGCGTTGTCGCTGTCAAGCGCAACACAAGCCACGTACGCCCCGCCTTTAGAGATATGCGCCGCGGCTCAATTACTCCGCTACACCGAAAGGCAGAGGGGCAAAATAGCCCAAGAAGCCAGGCCTGACTACCCATGCCGGTTCGGCGCAGGAAGGCCTGCCCGTCGGGGCCCATCTGCCAGACCTGCCTTCCGGGCTCGGTCGCCCGGACCGTAATCGCCGGCGCGTTCTTGCAATCGATTGAAGCGCAAAACGCCGCGCGAAAGTGCGCGCGCTTGCAATTGTATCAAATTCATCCACGTAACGATAGGACTGCGCTGCTCGCAAAACTGTGGCTGCCGCAAGGCGTCTGCGCGGCTGTAACGGCTGTGAGCGGCTTTCGCGGTTACAGCAGTCTCCTGCCACCTGCCGAGCACGCCTTCCTTGGCCAGCTTCCCGCTCCCTGCCTGCTCGGCCCTTCTGCAGGTCGAAGCCCCATCAAATTCTGCTGCTGGTCTTCACCTTCGGGCTTTGCTTTTCGTTTTTGTTTTCAGGTTTGCTCTTTGCTTTTGCTTTTTCGCTTTTCTTTGCTTTTTGCCTTTGGTAGCTTTTTGCGCTTTCGCTTTTGGTTCCCCGTTGGCTTTGCTTTCATGTTGCGGAGTATTAGTTTGGCCGTCGCAAGTCTACGCGTAGCAAGGGCCGCGCGCCATCTTGCTAGGCAGTGCCGCTCGTATCTAAATCTCTCTCTATGTAGCAACGAACAGAGAGAGTGCGCAAAGTAGTGGAGCAATAAGCGACATACCCGGCTTCTTCTTGTCCGACACATCTACCCAATCCGGAGAAAAAGCATCGCGCTCGCATTAGGTAATCTCATCGCAGCCCAGCACTCGAGGACGAGAGAAAGCATGCGCGAGGAGGCCCGCAGCCTCCTGGCTACGAAAGTCGCAAGGGCGGCGCTCTTCATCCGGTTGCGGGCGCGGCACGGAATACGCCAAAGCCCCCCAAGCGCTTGCGCACTTCGCCACTGCAAGCGGCGCTCCCCCTACTAGCATGCAATGACCCCGCAGGCGGCGGACTTCTTGCATCTTGGCGAAGCCAACCTCGCGCATTCTAGCAAAAGCAGGGCGGGCCCGCCGCGTCACGCCCTGGCGCGCTTTCCCTTTTTTCCAAGCACAGGCGCTGCCGCCTTATTACGTCCGGCGCCGCGCAAGCAGTCGGCCCATCGAGGGCGCCGCTTTTTCGTTCGGACAACGCGGGCCACAATGGCGCCTGCGCCACGCGCGCGGGCGACTTGTCTCCCGGTCCCGCCAAACTGCGCCCGCCTTCGAGGGCCCATAACAAAGAACCCGGCAGGCTGGGCCGAAGGCGGCCTTCGCCCGGGGGGCGCCGCTTTTGCCGGACCACTTGCTTGAGCTTTCCAAGCGGTACACGGTAGAGCCCCGCGGTAGAAAATGCAACGCCGGCGCGGCCCGAGCCAAGTGGGCGCCGCAGCACTTTCAGCCACAAAAACGTTTCCGGGCGTGTCGCTTTCTGGGTGACGAAAAAGCCGCCGGGGCTGAACGTTTGCCAACTCGAAACACACCAGAGGCTCCCTGCGCTGGCATCTGTGGAACGAAAGCAGCGGCATTACTGTAGGAGAGAAAAGAAAAAGCCGAATCTTCAGAGAGCACGCAAGCAAAAGAGCTGGGCTGCGAGGGTTCCCACGCACTTAGCTGTGGCGCCGCCAATTGGCCTCGCCGCCCCTTTCGCTTTCCATGAGCCATGCAGCTGGCACATGTCGCAGGAAGAACGCGTCGGCTGTTTCTTTGTGTGTTGTGGCCGTCCTGGGAAGGTTGGAGCACAAACGCACGCCCCCGGCCGCCTTCCTGTTCTCGGCCGGCCTCCCGCCGGTCGAACGTCCCGTGGCCAGCAGGCAGCTGCTTGCCAGTTCAGTCCGTGGTTGGCACATTGGGGATGCGCGCGGGCAACCGGCTCGAACTGGGCCAATGGAGAACGCACTGGCCCTCGAGCGTGCCTGCTGTGCTGCCTTCAAAGCACGCGCCGCGAGGGGAGCGCGCCGCTCCCTTCTGACCCCGCGAAATCTGCGACCCCGTCCGTCACTGGGGGCGCCGCAGCAGGCTGCGCGTGCCGCGGTTCTTCTCGCCACTCCACCAAGCGCTGCAAGCCTGCTGGCACTTTGGCCTCCCGCCCGGTCATTTTCTTGTCCACTATCACATACCGCCAGCGGAGGCGGGGCAGCGGCCGCTCGCTCTGAATACCACGGCCACAGCGGCCCTATCGCGCTACCTGGAAAGGCCCTCGCCGATTTTCTTCTTGCGGTGCACAGAGTGTAGCTGCCGCCTTTCGCTTCAGGTAATAAGCCGGATGGTGGTCCAGGTCCCTGCGCGTCGGCCGTTTTCCTCTATGGAAAACGACACCAACAAGCGCCACCAGTGCCTCTCTCATTGCCGCCCCGCTGCAGAGATGCCAACTACTAGCGCGGCAACCTTCTGTACCTTGGTTCATCAGTTTCCGGCGAAACACTCTACGCATTCGGTTTCGGGCGCCGAGGCCGACGCATGCGCAGGCCGGTATCGCTGCGTTAATATATATGCAAGAGCACGGCACCCTTCTGCACATGTTTCTGCACCCTACCGGCACTCCTTTCAGTATTGGCACCTTTCGCGCACAAGCCCGGCAGCGCCGGAGCGTGATACAACGATACCGCGCCAGCGCATTAAATGCGGCGCGCGAACAAAATTTGCAGCGCCCAGCCGTTGGGATAGTTCATGCGAGCGCGACACTTTTTATTTTTCGCCGGATATTCCTCGCTGATCAACAAAATCTTCGAGAGCACCATATCAGCGTAAAAACGGCCCCATGTCCTGGCATCAGTCAGGGGATGCAAAGGAGCCGCGGTCGCGGTCGATCGAAGTGCAGGCCTGAAGTCCGAGTTGCAAAAGAGCGTGGCTTCCTGCACGTCGCTTCATTTGGCAACTTTAATTCTTGCAGCAACAACGACCACAATGCAAACTAAACGACCTGGGCCCTGGGAGCGGGGCAGTTTCACACATGGTACGCCGCCTGCATCTTCTTGATGGTGTGTGGGTCCATACGATTCCACTTCACTTGGTCCGGCTTCGTGGATTTCACTTGTGGGTGCCCCGTGTCATGCAGAAACTTCCACAAAGCCTTGGACAGGGCCAGCAGGATGACTGGAGCAGGATTCGGGAAGGACGCAAGCTTCGGCCATGCCTTTAGCTGTTCCGATTAGTTTTTGCTTTTCCAGGAGCTCTGGTCTATCGGCTCCTGCCGCTCTATTTTTCAAATACAGCGCGAAGCAGGCTTCTTGGACAGATGCAACATGTGTGCTCGCCTCTAGTTGGGCGAGATACTGTCTGGGCACTACAAATACAAAGAAAAGCCCGGGAGATGGATACTGCGCCCCCGACGTCGGCGTTTTTTTTTCCGCACACAATGGCGCCCCGCCCGCGAGGCGAACGGGGCGCCTTCGCTCGCGCGAGGCATTCACCAAGCTCCTTAGCGCCTTTGCTTATGCACTTCTAGGCGTCGGGCATCACGGGCCCCCCGGAGACGCGCAGCGGACTTTGGCAGGAGTTCCTGCAGAATTGCCCCAGTGATATTCCAAAATCCCTTATCGAGCCGCCCGGGCCACTCCCCGTCGGCATGCGACCGACCTTGCCCGAGGTGCCTCCGCAGGTGAATTCCTGAGGAGACTGCTGCCCCGAATCGGGCCGCCTGAAATGGCCCTTCCCCAAAGCGCGCGCCGATTTTACCGGGGGGCTGCGCCGGGAACCCGGACAAGCGTTCCGGCCCCACAACCCCTAGTGCCGTACCGGAGTCCAATGGGCCAACGTTAAATCCTTCCCGAGGCCCGTCACAGGGCGGCGTCATTAGCGGGGCCGCCCTGGGGAGAGGATTCGCCCGAAACAGCTCGCCCCCTTCGGAGCCCCCCTCCACGAGAGCAATTCCCCTGCCTTGGCCGAAGTCGGTGGCCGCCCCCTCCGCCCGGCAAGGCTGCACACATTCGCCGGCCGCCGGGGCGGCAGGTCCCCGGCCTGGGAACGGAGCGGGCGGGGGCATTCCCGGGAAGCATTTGGGTCCTCCGGGGCAACGCAGATTCCTCTCCAAGCGGACGGACATTCCCGAAGATGGGGGGCCCAAAAGATGGGCGAATCCCAAGGCCGGCGTGCGGGCGCAGTCCTGGGCCGAGGGTGGGCTCCCGGGGTACGGCGGGAGTGATTGCGTGGGGGGGATCTCGCGGTGGGGAGGGACCCCCTGCCCCGCGCCGTCGCAGGTCCTTCAAGCTGCCGCTGCTCAATCTCGAGAGCCCCCGGCCATGCTTCTCAATTGAGGTCCGCCCGCGCCAGGGCCTTCAAAAAACATCGCTCCAACTGCCCCCGAAAAACTTCCGCGCCCTCGCCCCAAATCGCCCAACGCCCTCCCAAACCTTTTGGCGGCCTTCAAAATCGCCAAGGACGCGGCGCCCGCCCTCGGCGCGGCCAGGGGGGAGGGGCGCGGCGCGCGGAAGAATGCCCGAACCGCTTCACGGCGGCGCTTCTTTGCGGGGCCTTGCTGCCTTAGCGCACGAAGCGCGGGGCGCCGATGTTGCGGGGAGGCGGCTTGGCGGGGGCCGCAGGAAACTATGCCCGGCCGCGCCAGGCTGCACACCAGGAACCAACACTCCCTTCCTCCGGCCCGCGGCACACTGCCTCGGGCACCGCGCGCGGGGCGCAGGTGTTGACGAAGGGCGCCGGGGCTGGGTGGTGGGCGGGGGATTATGCACGGAGGCGCCCGCGAGTGGCATGCGGCATGTGCGCCAGCGTGTTTTTCTTCCCCGGAAAGCGAAGGCGCGGCCCCCGGGCTCCTTCGCGAAATCGCGCAAAAGTGCCCCCACGAACCAACCGAAAACTTGAATGGGGCGCCGGCGGAAATTATTTGCGATAGGTGGCAAGGAGCGCGCTCTCGGACGCGGCTGCGCCTTTTGAAGCGGGCGCACAGCAAACCTCGCGGACCGCCTTGGCCCTGGGGCCCTCGGCTGGGCCGCCGGAAGAGGCTAGAATTTCTCGGGAAGCCTTCTGAAGTGGGATCGCCAAAACCCGCAAAGACGCCGCGAGCCTACGCAAACTACCGAGAACAAGCGAGCCCGAGATGGACGGGAACAAGGCTGGCGGACGAGGATCAGCTCGGCCTCGGCCCGCAGCCCAGCTTCCAACAGCCATTCTCCGGAGGCACGATGGCCCGAAAGTAAGCTTTTCATCATCATCATACCGCCGCGACTCAACGCACTTCTGATGGTGCGCGCAAGAAAAGCAGGGCGCAGCAACGCACTTCTGGTGGTGCGTGCAGGCACTACGCATCACGCTCCAATGAGCAACAGCTCACGTTTTACATCTTTATACTCTCCGACGGTCATGCAGTGCATTTTCGGCTGTTTTTCAGAGGCAAACGGTCATGCAGTGCAGCTTTTTTCAGACGCAAAAAAAGAATAAAGCAGTAGCCGCGGGAAGGCTTTGGCTGAGTTCCCGGAAGCAGGGCGCAAGCCGCCGGCGCGCTTTGCTTGACTCTTCTGCGCATTTTTTTTTTGCTGCAGTTACTTGTCCCCCTTGTCTCCTGCGGTTGAAATTGTGACTTCTGCGCCTAGTTTTTGCCTAGCCGGCGCTGTTGCCGTGGTGCATTGAAAATAGAACGGCGCTGTTGACGTGGCGCCATTTACATTTGCGCGGCCTGGCGATTGGCTGCTTTTCATCATTCAGCCGACGGCTGCATCCTATGGCGTGGGAGCAATACGTAGGGCATGGCGCAGATGAATCGTAAGAGCAGGCACTTTGCAAAAGTTTGCGAAAGCTTCGCCACCAAAGGCAGACCAAACGCTGCCCGTTTTGGCATTGACTGAGCGACCAAAACCAAAAGCAAGGGGGGCACGTAGCGTAACTGGGTCGACAAACACAATGCCGTTTGCTTTTCATCAGCAGAAGTCAAAACTAAGGGAGTCAATACATCCGCCGGCCCGGGTTGCACGTCAGCCTCAATCGCCTGGATGATTCCGTCATTGTCTTGCATATGCAGAATCGCCAGTGGTGTCAAACTGTGAAGGTATTTTCATTTTTGATCATGCGCACCAGGCCCCTTTCCCTTTTGCTCTGTTTGGTCTTACCTTGAAGAACCGACAAAATAGCAGCCGAACATCAACCATTGACATTCTTACTTCCAAATGCTATCAATACGCTTACCTTTTGTTGTTTTGCCGCTCTATGATGGCTGTCATAAAATAGCCGATGCTTCGGAGCGAGAACAGGTTTGCCTCAAGACTGATGTAGGAAATAGTCGGCGCGGTGGTAATAATTTGGCAGCGTTCCACGAGAAATCCTGACCCTGCGCTCGCACACAGCGCTGCTGCCAACAGTGGCCGCAGAGCCGAAGGCAAAGGCCCCCCCACCGGGAGTGCACGATCCCCCGGGGCGCGCAGTCTCAACATGGCGAGCGCAGTGAGGGTCCGGGCGCACACTATTTCTTTTTGCTAGCCAGCCAGCAACGCAGTGCGGGAACGCGCGCCATGACTTTCCGCTGATTCAGGTCTGGTGGCGCAAGCGACTTCACCCGGGTTTTAATTGCTCTTTGTTGCTGTGCTGTCACCACAGCTGTGCGTGCGCCCTTGGACTATCATCTTCATCATCATCGTCGCCGTCTAGCCTGCGCGGGGTATTGCGCAGAGGGTTAAAATTATGAAGTCACACTCATTTATTCCGGTACCATCGCGATTACGATAGCTATCGGGAATTCAAGCGAAAAACTGTTGCGCTACCGTGTATCTACTGCCGATGCAGTGCCCCGCGACTAAGCCACGGGGCACTTGACTGCAACCACGACCGCTCGCCAACGCGGGGGCGTTGGCGATTTTATTTCGGCCATCTTGCTTACCTACCTCTCCCCCTTGGCAGTAAATCGGCTGCGGCATTTTGAAACGCAATACCATGCCGCAGGCAAGAAAAAAAAGGGCGCAGGCAAAAAGCCGGCCAACAAGCGATTTAAAAGAGCAAGGCGGAGAACCAACAAGAGGCCACGCGCCATTGCGCGGCATGAGGGGCGCTGACTGCTTCGCGGCGGAGCCAGGCCCGCTACCACCCCACAACCCTGCGCGCGGAGGGGTGCGTAACGCTAGTGCCGCTACATCAATGTGGGGCCCGTGCCATGCCTTACGCGGGGCGCATGCAATGCGCCACGAGGGCGATCAATCTCCCCCGCGGCCCGGCTACCCAGGGGCGCCCATTGTGTACGGCCTTGAAAGGGCGCAGGGCCACGGCTGCCCGGCAGGCTGTGGGACTACTCGGCAAGCCCCCGCGGGCTAGCAAAACAAAAAAAGGCGGCGGCGCGAGTGCCCGCCCGGGCGTCGGTCGCTCGGAGCGAGGCCATTGGCCATTCGCCCCAATACTTCCGTCGCAGGCCGGGTTGCTACCCCAGGCCCAGGGCCTTTGCGCCCAACAATCCGAGAAAAATAAAAAAACCGGGTAGAATGGCACCTGAAACACAAACGCAGCGCGCCACACAGGGCAGGCTGGATAAAGCGACGGCCATCTTCCCCCGAAGGGGCGCCATTCACTGAGGAAGCAGGGCTGGCCAAAAATCACACTCGGCCAGGCAAAGAAAAAGCTGCGCGGACGGCGGGCAACCAGGCCTGATTTTCCGATTTTATCGTCGAAACAGCTCGTCGCAAGCTGTTTCGACGTCGAAACACCTTCGCCCGAGCTGTTTCGACGATAAAATCGGGAAATTGGGGCCGGGCCGCTGCGCGCCGGCGGCACATCCAGGGCAGCAGAAAGAGAAGGCGCCCCCGTGGTGCCGAGGCGCCGACGAGAGTCTAATGCCGGCGGAAAATGACGGAAAAAAAGTGGGGTGGCGCGGGGGCTGCACTGCTTCCTTGCGGGGGCAGACGAAGGCAAGGGGGGCGGAGGGCCACTGCTGGAAATACAAATAGGCACAATGAATCAGCAGGGCGCCCCGGCTTTCCTGACAGAAGGAAAACTACTTACGCCGACCCAGCCGCGAAGCGCTTGCAACATGTTGCCGGCGCTGAAAACTTTCGTGGGGCGGTGCGCTTTATTTTCTAATCAGACAGACATTGCAGATTTTCGCGGCCGGGACTGGCGCCAGAGGCTGCCACACGGCAGCCGGCGCCCGAGATAAAGATCGCGCGCGCGCTGCCTGTCCCCCGGAAGAGGGCGCGGGCGTGTGAGGCTTCATGGCCTCGCTTGCGGGAAAACAACACGCCCCAGGTCCGGCCAGGACGCCGCTTGGGCTACACGGCCCCCCCGTCCCCAATGCGATCAACCCAAAGCCGGCAAAACATGCGCAGGGCGGGGTCTGCGATAAGCGCGCCAAGAAGCTAGAAAAACTTCGCTGCCTAAAGGAGCGCGCTGCCAGAAGCCGATCTGGCGGCTCGGGGGAATCAACACAGCGCGCCGCCCTGGGCGCAAGACGTCCCCCCTCGAGCTATGTCCAGACCTCTCGCGGCCGCTGACTGCAGGAAGTGGAAGACACGCACTGGCGCTTCTCGGCCGCGTCGAATAATGTCTCATTTGCATGCACTCCGCGACACGCCAAGAGCGTCGCCAATCGCCGGAAACGCTGCAAAGCGAGCCGATCGCGCTGCTCTAGTTCTTGCAATCGGGAGTCTTATCGTAGTGGTTTTCCGATAACTATCGTAATTCCGATGGTACCGGAATTCTATTCTGTGACTTCATAGTTAAAATAAAGCTGGGGGCTGTTTGTTAGCGTGTTCGGAGTAAGTTCGTTCTCAAGAAGGGGTCTAACCACCAACATCGATCTTCTGCGGAAGTAGCCGCCGAGGCAGAAAATAGCCGCAGAGGCGGAGGTAGTGAGGCCCGCGGCGGCCCCTTGCCTTGCGTCAACTGCCACAGGGGCCAAGCCCGTTGGGCCGCGCGACGTGCGGTCGCGGGGCGCCCCCGGCGCCCTTTTCAGCTCCGCCGTATCTGTTTCGCGGGCCAGGGCCACCACCTCCTCACATTAAACGTTACTAGGCGCTATTGCGGGGCGGTCGGTTGCCAGTCTTGTGTAATTCCTTCCGGAAGCTACCCCGCAGGGTGCGGGCCTCTTTTGGGCGCCTGGGAAGGCGCCCAACAATGGTCGGGCATTCGGCTCCATAACATGTGGGCCGCCTTCGTGGGTTGGGCGCGTTTTGTATTTCTTGCGTGTCATTTTTCTAGGGCGCCGCCTCCCTGAAGCTGCCCAGCCTTGGGAACCGGCGCAACGGCGACGGGGTGCGCGGTCGCCTAAAATTCTCCGAAATCATGGACACGCCATGCAGGCATCCAATGCAAATATGTCTGACGTTTTGTCTGCAGACAAGACCTTGGCACAGCACAGGCAAGAAGACGACTCAATTTTTTTGAAAGGACTTCGTAAAGCAGCTGCTAAGAAGTAGAGAAAGGGCCAGCGCATGCTATGACGTCCAGCACCAGCTGCATAAGGCACTATTACGAAGCTTTCTCTGGGCGACATAAATAAAGCTGAGTGCTATTAACTTCTGTCGGGGGCCCGCGGCCTCTGCCGAGGTGCTACGCTGGCCAAAGCGATAAGCACGCGGGAGCCTGTGGGTGCTCGCGCAGTAGTGTCATGGGCGCGCAAATAGCACCCCGTGGCTGCATGCTCACTACTATTCGCTGACACTAGTAGTACCGTCTGGGCCTGGACAGTGCAACACTTGTGCTTGTGCTGCAGATTCCATTTTGCATACCCCACGCGGTGAGATGCGTAACACCTGCCCTGGCGTCACGAATTTTGTGAGGGCTTCCATGCCTATGCCGTGCGAGGCATGCCCTTTCCGCGTAAGAAAAAATAAAAACGGACTTCTCTTGCTGTGCACGCAGTGTCGATTTTCATAGAATCCGCGAGCACTGCCACGAGTTGCACTCTTCCTTCAGGGTGGCTACTCTGATTTTGCGCGCGGTTTTTGTGGGCGGCCGAAACCGCCGAAACCTAGCTTGGGGCTTGGGTTTCGGCGGCTAGGTAAGACGGCTGAAGCCTGACGGGCACCACTTTTACCCACTCGTCATCGGCATAGTTTTCCAATTGGCGAGCAGTGCAAATCCGTCGCGATTCGTTGACAACAAACCCAACCGGGCTAGAGAAGCATGGCTCTTCTTCAACTAAAAAACTGCTTCATAGGCCTAGAAAATGCGGGCCGTTTTTGACGCTTACTCGCAGGAAAGTTACCAACTAGGGCCGCTCGGTAGCCGCACTACACACAAGGCTCCCTGGATCGGGCGCTCGCGCCGTCAAAATCATATGAGCGCGACGGCTGCGTGGGACGTCAGCAAAGCTGAGACTTAGATGAACCCTCGCCGCCTCACCAGCTACGACAACTAGACATACTTAATCAGCACGCGAGGTCCTCGGCCTCACTTACAGCGCACGCGCGCATATCCCAAAACGAGCGTACAAGGCAGAAGCGCACGTGCTCACAAGCCTCAGGATTTTTCTGGAATAGCAGATGTCCGAGCAACTGTCCATGGTCAGCTGATTCTTCGACAAGTCCAGGGTATGCAGGCTCGGACAATTATGGAAACCGCAACCATTGTTCTCGCTAGCCGTTTGGTTTTAGCAAATTCTAATTCTTGACGGATGAAGGCTCGTATGAAAATAAAGAGCCGCGCAAGCTTAGTTTTGCAAAGCAAAACAAGGATCCTTCACTCCAGATGAATGCTAGTGCGCTCCTTCCTACTCTGGTAATCGCAGCAGACGTCGTCGAGAAGAAGTAGAATAAGAAAAATGCGCTCACACTCCAAACGCCAAGTGAGGACTAGCGGGGTTCCCGACAGCATAGCAATCGATCAGAACTTGTGCCTGTCCGCGGTTGTTTTTTTGTTTGGTTCACGCCATATGCATGGACCACACGGCTCCAGTATCCTCCGGGGTCGCCCTTGGGGTCCAGTGTCTTCCGGGGTCCTTTACTGCTTGGAGCGCCGTACGTGTGCAACACATCGACACGGCCAACGCGAAAGTGGCTCTATACTTTACGCACCGCATGCTTAGCCTATACAATTCGAGGCCCTCAAACTAAATCCCGTCCGAAACATAAATCCGCAAACAACATGGAGGAAGTCGCTAAGCCGTAAAAAAGGCCAAACGCGCACGCGACATAATCCCTGGATATGCTCATCGTACGAGATTCCAGCATATTTGAGCAGCGCGCCGAAATTGAGCGAGTCTGCACTTTTCAAATTGATCGTAGCGAGCCAGGGCTTGTCGAGGCAAAAAAGCGCCATGGCGTCGTAGATGGGGGCCGATGGGCCTATCCGCTGGGACAGGACACAGGTGGGGCAACAGGAAGAAAAAAGAATAAGAATTGGCAATAAGTCTTTGGACCAGGAGACCACCGCGCCGGCCAAGCTCTCTCACCGCGTGTTCGCCGATTGAAGACTCCGCCTACGGCGCGCTCATTGGGAGTCTTGGAATGTGAAAGTTGCTGCGAAAACGATTGTCAAAGAAACGGATAGGGGCTACGCTTGCGCAACTTGCAGTTGGGCAAAGCCACTGCAATTATTTTTCATTCTGTGCGTGGCGCAGCGATCTGTTCGATGCTTCGCCCCTTGTACCGCGGGGCGAGCACCCTACATGGGCACTTCACCCTACCGCGGGGCGAGCACCCTACGCCATGAGTTTTTGCTTCAGCGGAGAGGCTCCTGGCCTTGATCGTTCACGGGTCTTCCGGAAGGCGCTGCCTCGTCAGTCTAAGTACAGCTACAGTTTGTTTGCCTGCATAAGAAAAGTCATTCGCTGAAGGTTAATCAAGCAAATGCCCTGCCCGTGTCCAGTCGTCAATTAATTGTCTATGCCCTTGGTGGAACTTGCTACCAAAACAATGAACGCACGACTGGTGACCTGTTGTGAGTAAAGCACGGGGAAAACAAAGCTAAGTGCAAGAGCTAGATACCAGAGTAGAAAACCCAATGTCCGAGATCGCACTTCCTCGCAACAATGCCTGTTCCAAGTCGCGCTGCCTTAACCATTGATCGACCTGACCAAGAGTGGGAAATCAATCACAGAAAGCTCTCAACCAGTGCGACTAGGACTACTAGTACTACATACAAATAATGCAAGTAAGCACTGCGTCTGTGCTCCGTATTTCCGTTTTTCCGACTATTGCAACTGAATTCCTTTGCGACACAGTAAATTCGCCATCGGCTTTAGTTTCTATCAAAATTCCCGAAAAAAAGTAGCTCATCCGCCGATTATACCGTGCGAATAATTTTCGTAGCAGCCTTGGCCGCCTCTGGTGGCCCTTCCTCATCGGGTCGCTTCACTTGTTTTTTCGCCTTCCCGCTCTTGCCCGTGTCTTGCGTTTCTTTCTGTGATGTTATTAAAATCAGAAAGTCAGCAAAGCAGAGTGAGAAAGTACACGACAAAAATGTCAGCGAGTCGCGCTCTACCTGGCGAGACAGGTTACACACATGCCGCTGCTTATTTGGCACTAAGGGTGGCGCATGCTCTCGCCTTGTTTGCCGCTATCGCCAGAGAATCACAAATAAGAGCCAACTCGACGCGCCTCTTATGTTTGTACGTTCGCGGGCTCGCGGAACTTATACAGACGCGCGCATGGAAAATCAAGTAAAAGAGTACCAGCTGAAGGCCAAGGATGATATTTTGGGCCTCAATCTGTTCCCTTTTTCCGAGCTCGGCGTCCACGGATTTTTGAAGTGTAACGATCTTAGCTTTTAGCTGTGATATTTCGTCGTACTGATGCTGGCCGGAAGATTGCTGGGCGGCCAGCTTATCTTGCAGCTCCGCAAGCTCCCGCTTCAGAGCTTCGTTTTGCTCCTCGACCGGAGCCATATTCGCCATCTTTGGAAACCTGCACTGTATTGATTCGCTGAGAGTGCGTGGTCTCACTCAGAAAAAAAACGAGCCAAGTGCACGGCCGATATCTTTTCTCCGGGCGTGCGACGAAGAAATCTAGCGCGAGCTTTCGCACTCCTACTCGTTGCTGGTTCACCTGCATAGGTTCAGGGTTTCGGGCCTGAGAGGTGGCGGGGCCGACACGGTATTCCCCCACTTTTTACCGCGAAAGCGAAGCGACTGCACTGGTGATTCCAGCGAGGGGTGCGCGAGGAGATGTGCCAGTGCCAAGCCTCTCATGGCGGCGCGAGGCCAAGCAGTGAGGCAGTATACTAAACCGACAATGGGGGCCCCAGCCTGCCCTGTCTGACTCGCCCGCCAAGGCCTATAAACGCGCGCCCCTGCGCTTGTCGCAGCGCGCGCAGACCCGGTCGTGGCCGCGCGCGCTTGCACTGCGCCCGTCTGCCCGGGGCCGGCAAACCTGACCTTGTGGGGGCGCGGCGGCTTCTTCTAAGACCCCTCCGCCAGGGCTCTAGCAAAGGTAGTCGGGCCGGCCGGGCGGCCCGCGAGCGGCCGCAACCCTGGCGGCCGCGCCCCCGCCCGCCGCGCGCTACCGGGCCCGGGCGGCCCGCGGCCGCTTCATCCTAGTACGGACGGGCAGGCCTTTGCGGACTTGCCAGGCGCGTGCAAGCCCGCGGGGGACCTGCCACACAGCAAAGGCCGCCGGCGTAACTATCTGGACACGCCACGCTCGGCGGAGGGGCCGCCCGTGCCCCGCGCGGAGGCAGCCTAAGGCGCGAAGGCTGCCAAACATCCCGGGTTCCCGCTCGCGGGCGGCCGGCGCTTCCGCTCCAGTAGTCGGGCCGCCCCCGTTCCGGCCATCCCCCCTTCGCCCTACGCGGCGCGGCTCCGCGCGCTTCGCGACAACAGCTTCAAGCATCGCCTCTATCCTTGCGTGACCAAACTGTCGGGCTTGGCAACCACCACTAAGGCAGCGGGGCGGCCGCTACAATGCCACGCGCGCCATTGAGGTGGTACTAGCGGCATTGTCTCATCGGGCTTGCGTCATCAGCGCTCTCCCTGTCCCTATACCTTCGCTGGCCCCAAAAATTAGCGCTCGTGCTTACAAAGAAATCACCGGCTCCCGCTGATAGAGCCACTGCAGCGCCGCCCCTCCTTCGTGCCCCGACGTCGTCGCTCAAAGCTCATCACACATGAGTTCTCAGCCGAGAGATCAAGCGGGTACGTCTCACTATGGGCGCCTTGAGGAAATGGTCCCGCGCAGAGACCTCCAAGAAGATAGCCGCGCCGGCGCTTCGGAGCACTTTTGCTAACCTTGGCGAAAGCCAACTAAGCGCGCTGGGTGTAGTTACGCGACGGCACATGATTGATGCGGGCGCCGATATGCGCATCAGGCTAGCCGTACATCAACGGTGCGTCGATGTTAACCCTCAGCGTCCGGAAAGACCCGTCCACTCGTGCCGGCAGTTCCCACGCAGCGCAAAATAAAAGAACGAAGCCGAAATCCTCAACACTCCAATTCTCTATCTACTCTTTAGCATCGCTCAGTGAAGTTCGGCGGCAAAATCAGATTGCAGCCGTGGGTTGGTTGCGCAATGCTTTCCTCTCTCTCCTCCTTTGTGTTACATGCGCTGCTAGTAGTTCAAACAAGTAAAAGTGCTGGAGAACGAACACTTGCAGCAAAAAGCAGTAATGTGCTTGATCACCAAGCAGATAAAGGCTTTCTTCGATGCTTTTCTCTCCTGCTCTTCAAAGCGGGTTCACATATCATAACGAGAAATAAATACGAAGGTCACATCAGCTGGCCAGAAAGTTAGACTGGTTGCAGCCCTAAATGGCCATAGGAAAGTACACCACTAAACGCACTGACACATCGTCTTTAACCTGACTCGTTCTGGTGCATTGCGACCGGCTAAAACGACTGACTTCAGCGACTTCATCATCTCAATAGATCCTTCCTCCAGCCACCGGCAGAGAGCAGCTAGCAGTCGAAGCACACGTACTCCAGTCGTCCAACATAGCGGCGCGCCGCATCACGTTACGAGACAAGTAAAAGCATATGCATGGATTCAGAGTCTGGTGGACGCCTCCGCCTCCCGTAAGGCAATCTCTCGGTCGTGATCGGTTAACAATTACAATCCGTGACAAGCGTACAAGTTATGCTTCAACCGGTCATTCCGAAACTTTTTCATTTAGAAAAAGTTCAGGCTCGAACCTTTAGGAACGCCCAATCGAGTAGACGTAGATGTGTCCGTCCGTTGAACCGGCGAAAAGCGTGTTACCGTCGGCGGACCACTGCAAGGACACACACCACGGGATGCCGGACTTCGGAATAGTCTTGGTTGTCAGCTCGTCCAAGATCAGTTTGTTCTCCAAGTCCCAGATTTTGATACTCGTGTCTGTGGCAGCGCACAGCCAGTAGTTTTTCGGCGAGAAGCACATGGCATTGATAGTGGAATTGGCGTCCAGGGAGTAGAGATGTTTGCCGTCATTGACGTCCCACAGCATCGCAGTTCCATCTTTCCCACCGGAACCGCAGAGAGAACCATCCGGAGAGATAGTGATGGTGTACAAGACGCCTGATTGCAGATGATCATTATATTCGGGAGTCAAGAAGTTATGCAGGATCATGTTCATCTTCATACTTGAAGAGCACGCTTTCTACATGTTCCGACCGACTGAGTTACGGCAACACGTGAAGGCGAAAGCAAAGTGTTATTATTTAGAAAGGATTGCGAGCACGATGCAGAACGCATCATCTTGTCGGCCCACTGCCACTGAGAAGTGGCGAGACTCAAACGCTACTTCTTAATGTGGAATAGCCAGGAAGTCGTCGCGCATGTTACTCTTTGTACGTGCCATGCCTCACAACGGCATGCGAGGGCCCACAGTTCCCCAAGCTCGAGCTGCGCACGATTTTGACAACAGGCCTATCTTGAAAAATGATACAACGCGATGAGAAATGTTTGTTATCAACATTTAACAGTCAATATCTGAGTTGTACCTGTGTGTCCCGCCAAGTTGGTCTTCAGCTTGCAGTTGTTCAGATTCCAAACCTTGATCAACTTGTCCCATCCGCATGACACGATCAGCGGATTCTTCGCGGAGGGAGAAAAGCGCACACAGGAAACCCAATCGGTGTGATTCTCTTCCGTGATTGTGTACTTGCACTCAGCGAGTGTGTTCCACAACTTGATGGTTTTATCACGCGACCCGGACACGATCTGGCGGTTATCCGCTGAGAATGCCACGGAGTTGACGTCCTTCGTGTGCCCACGAAATTTGCGGACGGACTGACCGGTGTTCAAGTCCCACAAGCGCATCGTGCTGTCCATAGAACCCGTCAGCGCAAACTGACCATCGGAACTGATCACGGTATCGCACACCGCTTGGTTGTGTCCATGCAGGCAGCGACGAGCATAACCTTACAATTTCAAATTGGAAAACGACTTGGAATTACTAGACACTTTTTCACACAGTTGTTCGATGGCATAATCTACTCAATATACGATCACAATCAAGCCTAACCGCGGAATAGAATAAAGAATATGCGAAAAGAAGAACTCCGAAAATAACGTAGGTTTGTACCGGGGGAGGAGGCATCATTCGGAGTCAATTCCCACACAACAGCGGTCTTGTCACGAGAACCGGACACAACCAAGTTCGACTGCTCGTAGGTGGTCGCGATAGAGGTGACCCATCCAGCGTGCCCCTGGAGCGCTCCGCGATACGTGATTTCGGCCATTTTGCGAATTTCGTTATAATATCTGCCCTTCTGTAAAGAGAAAGCAATGGACCCTGAAATGATTATATGATCAAATTTCAGTAATGTTTGACGTCTGAACAACCAGGAGATTGATTTGAGGTAGCAATTGTGAGCATTTGCACGGATCAATGCGGCTTCGACTGCGTCAACCTCGTCGCCGTTCGAGCAACAAATTTCCGTTTGCACCCAACTGATGGCAGATCCTCCCGCTTTCTTGTGAGGTAGCAAACTAGGATCACACGTTTTAATGATCTCACGGCCATGCCGAGTGATTCTCAGAAGAATTCGTTCAGATCCAGAACTTCACAGCAGCATATTTCAAAGAGCCTCGGGCTCGAGTGATTGTGAGCAAAAATTCCAACATCGCCGACGATGATTTAAATCTGTTCGACTCCAAGTCTAAGCCATCATCGCAGAACGATCATCAATAACAAGCAGAACAGGTACATTTTCAAGAGGGCTCAAGTAATTTGTGGCTGTTCTTTCAGCTTTACATCCCTGTGACCGATGATAAGATCCAACACGAGCTTTTTTTTTCTTGCCATGTTGCTTTCGGATCCCCAACATGCTAAGACAACTCGTAGAAATTCTGATCCATGAAAAAAGACGTAGCATCTCTTGATCGTAGAGCTCGGTTCGATGATTCTCCAGGTTTCGTGACCAAAAAGTAGGTGGACAGAACGGAAACAAATCTCGCATCAAGTCTGCAGTACGACCTGGTGTATGTGCTCGACTGTCCACGATCGCTGGCTCTGCACACGCTGGTCTTTGGAGGGGAGTTCCAAATTGATTTTCACATGTAGCTAGCGGCTGTTCGGTTCCTCTTTCACCGACGTTTCTTTTCATAAATGAAAACGCGTGTCTGCTCCTTGCGCGCTGCGCTAAGCCACTCTTCCGTGTCTGCGAAACGCTCTTGAGTGTCAAAGTCCGAAAAGCCTTCACTGCAGTGATTTACGAGCCATGCTCACAGCCAACGCATTGACTTCTCCATGCTGAGTGGTTGATGGCGGTGGCGTCTTAGCACGTGACTACCAAGACGAACGCTTTTCTCCGCTTTCATCCCCGGGAACGTGACGGCCAGGCGCCGGCGCTCCGCTTGGTCGTCAGCGCCTGTCCGGAAAATCCGCGTCGCTCCAGGACAGCTCCGCGAGGAGTCGACGACTAAGCTCACTACTTTGCCCGTTCTTCGTCGCCCATGATTTGCTGGCGCAACGTTTCCAAGTTGTGCTTTGGCGGCCCTCTAGCGTGCGGCGGCGATAAGCTATCCCGACGGGCGAAGCGTTTGAGTACGTCATCCGTTGACTTCTGCGCACATTCGTCAACTACTACTACACAGCAGGCAGGGAGCCTGCGGGGCGCGTCAGGTTTCGTCGTTGCTGCCGTCGCCCCCATGGCGGAGCGCTTCGCTGTTACTCGTCTGTCGAGCGGGAGAGCTAGCCGCTCCCGGGATCTCATTGCGCTGCTGCTCGTTGACAGTCCAAACGGGCCTGCTCCCGGGTCGTTCGTGGCCCTCCTCTTTGGTAGATAGTGGAGGAGAATGGGTCGCCGTAAGAGCGAGCTGAGGATCGCCCGTCACCGCAGCAGCTGATAGCGGAGATTTCTCGCCGCGGCCTGCAGCGCCGGCATTTTTCCGCCCTTCGTCTAATGACCCAAGGCGGGCGGGCTGCTCCCGCGACTGCTTCCCTGTCATGGAGCTGCTAGCACTTGCATCGCCGCCTCTGCCATGTCCTTGATCTTGGTCAGAGACCCCAAACGTGCTCGGTGTCGCCTGCAACGACAACGGGTCTCCGCGCCTGAGCCCCCCATCAAGCTGCCCGGAGCCCCTAGGCCCTCCTCCGTCTGCTTCCTGATCTGTGTGGGAAGCTGCTTGCGCGATAAGCGCCGGCGCTCGGCGATGCGCCACAATTTTCCACAGCTGCAAGACATGCGGGCTTCCGCGAATGCCAAGGCCCAAAATAGTCGCATTAAACACAATTGCGTCACCCTCTTCAATGTCTGCGAGAGCGTCTTCAAGTTCGGGATTAAACAACAAAGTCATGGAATCCAGAAAAGAAAGCGCGGCGCAGTGCCCGCCGCTACTGCTGAAAAAACGCCTCGCGTCTGCATTTGTCTGTAAGCGCTGGAGCGCGAAGAGAAACAAAAAGAGCAGAGTAGCGCACTCACGTCATATCTGCCGGCCAGCCCTGCTGCTGGTGGGCGAAGAAGCAGAGAGGGAGGGAAAATATAACGCGCTCAACAATTAAATTCAAAAATTTTGCGCAGGGGGGTATCTTTCGTTGCTTTCTTTGCATTCTTTTCGAAGGCGAGGGCTTTCCAGGTCACCGGCCAACAGTGTGTCTCCAGGCCTTGTGGCCTTGCCGCGCGATCCGCGCAACCTTGTGACGCAGAGACACTGTTGGCCGCCTGAGTAGTGTTCGCCCTTCCTGGTTCTGTTATTTTGCGCGCAAATTTGACGACGCTCACTGCCTGTCGCCTTCATGCTGGCACGCGCGAGAGGGCTGGCGCCGTTAGCTGCTCATTCAGAGGGCCGGCCAGACTCTACCGTCATGGCCATCCCCTCGTGAAGGTGAGACTGCCTGAAAGCGAAAGCCCCCTTGATCCTCACACATGGAGCTCGCGGCCGAGCTGCCTCGGCTGCGGCAGCCAATCACGCCAACAGTAGGGGATAGCAGGGGCGGCCAGCCGCGCCCTCCAATGTGCCAGGCAACCCTGGGAGCAGACGCAGCGCGCTTCTATTCGTGGAGAACACGCCCGGCAGCGCATGCGGCACGTGGGCGTGTCTATCGATGTAGAAACACGGCCCCAAAGAAATTCACTGCGCCGGCCATTCGCCGAAAATAACGCGCAGACCTGGGGGCAACAATATTGGGTATGGGGCGAGTCTCTGCACGGGAAAAGGGCGTGATAGCCACGAAGGTGGACAAGCGCCGCGCCGGAGTGGGGTCTTGGCTGCTCCCCATCGCATGTCTCCTCTTGCCACCTGGGCAACGCGTGGTAGTGGAAATAGAAATCGGATGCCGTTCTGGCCAGATATTCCCCGCGGGCTTTTGGTGTTGCTAGGGGCGTGGGGCGGGGATGGCAGGGCTTTGGCAACAACGCCCGCGCCCAGACCCTTCGGCGCCTTGAAACGCCGCAACGCCCTTCATGCGAAGCTCGGCTTCGCCCAGTTTCCGCAGAAGAGTCTCCTTGACCGGCCAGCACTTATAGGGCCCGTGTAGCGCTGCGAAACTAGCGAAGGCAGCGACAATACAAGGCGCCTACCCAGACGGCGGCTGGAGGGGCACTGGTGCGCTCAGCTTCACTGCAGTTTGGCCCCGGGCGAACCCCGGAGCAGGGCAGCTTCGCACGCGACGGCGCCTACCAATAGCGCGCTTTGCGGAGCAAATACATGCTCGCCCTCGGAGGTGTTTTCTGTGAACCACCAACAGACTTCCCCACGAGAGCCTCGGACCCTTATAGGAGACCCCTATAAAGGGGGGGTGTTAATAGTTGAGAATTAGTCCACCATACCATGGCGAACTAAGTTCGAGAACACACCACATGAGGCCTTATAGCCGACCCCCCTTGGGCACCCCCTTAATAGTTGAGATTCTTGGGTGAGAACTGTCGAGAATCAGCTCAATTCCCATTCGGATTCTGGCCCCGTTAGGCGTAGGTCGTCTGCTGCTTTCTGCGCTTGGGGCGCATCGCTTTCGTGGAGTTGTGTGGCTGTGCGGCATCTGTTTAGGCGCGGCGCATCGAGCTTCGCTGTGTTGGCCAGCTTTACCCTGCTATAAACGGGGCCTACCAGAATTCTGCCTCAGCAGCCTCGCGCCTATGTTGCGCGCACTGCCCGATGACAGATGGCGCCGTGGGGCACGCCAGGCGAGGGGGCCAACCCGCGGCGGGTTTTCCATCGCCATTCGGCTCGGGGCCGTAGGCGCGGGCCCTCCAACAATGCAGGCCATAACGCGTGGGCTGTGCGCGAATGAAGTTGGCGAAGTTGGAAAAAGGCCTGCGCCGCCCCGATTCTGCTTAGGGTTGCTGCCCATCAGGGCGCGCGATACACGGCAGCAGAGTGGGGCTCGTGCGAGCGCGGGCGGCGGTTGGATTATCAACACAGCCGCCCGTGACAGGAATGGGTGGGGGCAGCACGCTTCTGATCCAGCCCGCGTTCCGGCCGTTCTGAATATAGGGCCGAATAGCAGCGCAAGGGAGCTTTCCTACCGCGCCGCACACCGTCTTTCATGCCCCCGACCAATGGAGTGGGCTTCAGATCGCGCGCCCCCCCATCAAGATTCGGCAGCCCAGGGCGTGTGGGCTTCGTTGCCTGCGCCCGGTGGTTTGGGGTGCAAAAGTGATTTGGTGGTCTGTTCTATGGTATTTGGGCGCGCTTTTTTGCCGTCCTACTTGGGGTTGGCTCACGTGAGCAAGTTTGCCGGCGCGTCGGCTCCAAGCAATATGGGCGAAGCAGCCTAAAACCCAGAGGAGTGGCGATGGCGGAAGCGCTATGGCAATCTCATTGGCGCTCTTGCCGTCGCGCTCGGCAGCTTGTTCGCCTGGTGGCGCTGGCATGCCTCGCGGTGGTGGGGAGTTTGGTCACATGGGCGCCCACCCGGAAAAAAAGGGCTTCTTCGTTTAATCAAGAAGCAATGCGGCCGACAAGGAGAGGCGGGCGCCTCGGTACCCAACGTCCGGTGGGGATTGCGGTTCCTGCTTCAAGCTACTGAAAAAGTCGGGGTGTCGCGGTGACTTCTTCACAGAGAGAGTGCACACGAGTACAGGTCGCGCGATTTTTAAATTTAATTGTTGAGCCCGTCATAGAAAACAAAGCGCATATATAATATCCAGAAGAGCACCCTTCTCCTCTTCTTTTTTGACTACTTGATCACGAAAACGAAAACCGACTCCCTGCATATGATATGGGAAGGCTCGGCTGTAACATTCCAGACTTTGGCTCTGACGCGATACCGATGGCCTACTTAATGACGCGAATAATTGCCATGCAGCTTCTACACCTACAATGTGCAGATGCGCCCGCTCTCTTTCCATAAACGCTTGCATCAAAAAGAAAGCAACACAATGTCACAACCCAGAACGATTTTCATGGTGCGCTCGCAATATCCGTAAGTGGTCAGATGCTTAGTCACGGCCACGCTTTACAGGGGGCGCGTATCAGGCTAGGACGCAACAAGCGTATCCCTTGAAAGCAAAAAGCAAAAACAAGTGGAGCAAGCTTCTTCGTAACTATTATTAGTAGCCGAGGCGACATCAAAGTCAAACAAAAAGCGAAATCAAACAAAAACGAAAAGGAAAAAAGCGCAAAAGCAAAGAGCAAGAACGCAGGGAATGCAAGTGCAACGGCTACAGGGCAAGTGGGAAGATTGACACTGGCATATGACGACTAACGCAAAGCGCTGGGACTGCAAAAGCGAAAAACAAAGCAAGCGGAGCGCGCCCTTAGTACCAAGTAGTTGTCAACTGAATGAAAAGGCTGCGCAAGAAAGGCAATGAGCGCGATGCCGCCCCGGGTCGCAACGCACCCCAGCACCACAAGATAAGACAACACGAACGAAGCGGAAAAGGCAAGGCCTTGCCTGCTAATGCCTATGCTGGCAAGCGCTTTGCTTAGCACGTCGCACTTTGTGCGTGTTCCAACTCCTCCGCGTTGTTCCTATCGATCTCGATCTCAAGCACAGCAACGACGACACGCTCCTGCCTAGCTTAGTCGCATCGTTGTGGTTCCGAAACAGAGCGAGTCAATCCATCTTGAAACACGACCTCAAAACGTCCTGAGTCAAACGATGCAAACTCGACCGCTCTTCGTATGCTTATCAATGTGCTCAGAATCCTAACAGCCTACCCAAAAGCTAAAAAGGAAGTAGACATGACGGGGAACGTGCGTGCCCGTGGCGCGCATGCTTCTCATCGCGGCGTGAAGATGTTTCGTGGCCACCGCGTACAGGCATCCGCGATTGCATTTTTCCAAAAGTGCCAAAGCCAAAAAAAACCTAGAGCCGAACAGCTACAAACAAGAAGAGCCAAGGGCCCCGACCTAAAGAGCCGCCCTCGCGCTCGGTGCTTGGCGCTGTTCGCCGCGCTGCCGTCGGTCTGCCCAAGCTGCGGAAGGCCGTACCCTGTCAGGCCTGCCGATGCAAGTAGTCGGCTGGTCGGGCGGGCCCCCGAGGAAACTATCAGGAAAGCACCGGCCCGGCCGGCTGGGAGCGATCTAGAAAAACGCAGTAGAGAAAGCAAGCGCAGAAGCAAGCGCAAAAAGAAAAGCCCCTGCTCGCCACTCTGCGCCGCGCCGTCTTACGCTCAGAGGATCTTGCCGGGCCTGACCCAGCTGAAGGGTCCGACGGGTCCTACCTACTGTTTACGCCCGACCCGGGCGGGCCGGCCCAGAGGGGCGGACCCCGGCAGGCCTGCTGCGCACACGAGAAGCGCTCGCAGGCCTGCAAACCGCCTCCCTAGCCTCGGCATGGAGGGCCCGGCGAACACGCGCCGGCTTGCTGAGATAGTACGAAAGTTAGTACTGGCGAGCCCCGGCATTGCCAGGCCTGGCCGGCCGAGTCGAAGAAAGGGCCTCAAAAAGGGCCGGCGAATGTGGAAGCGGCCAAGCCCCGTCTGTTCCGACGGATTGGGGCGGGCCAGGTGAGAAGGCCGGACAGGCGGGCCCCGGTTTGCCCGGAGCACTTTGCTGGCGGGCGCGCGAAAATCGCGCCGGGTGGGAGATCTAGCCGCCCCAAGCGGGTATCAGAAATCGGGCCCGGCTTAGTCGGGTATTCCCGTCTTTCTTCTTTTGCCGAGCCCCATTGTCCTTCTGTTCTTTTTTTTCTTTTCGCCTGTCGCTCCATGTATCTAGCACCTATGTAATTGCCCTCCTCTTTACACACTACAGGCAAAGCGTACGTTGCTAGTTATGCTTTGGTAACTAGCAAACGCAGTGATTACGTTATACTGCATATCCAACCTGTTGAATCAATTTGTGGTACGGTCTGACCCATCAAAGGCGACTTCGACACTCTCTTAGAGGTGCTGCGACTTCGACACTTCACGCATAGCTGCTTGAAGCCACCAAAGCGCATCGAGTTTTCGCTAGTCCCGAAATCTGCACGAGACACCTCCAAAGAATTCGTCTGAGTTCTGGCATGGTATGCTTTTTCACATGATATTCGGCGTTCCGAGAGTTTTCGGCCGGAATCATGTCCACTTTTATCATGCCGGGTGCGTCCCAAAAAAAGATATGAAACCCCTCCAGAATTTTGGAAACGCGTCCCTCCCAGAGCACACGGTTCCCAGCATACATCTCGTCAAATTTCCGGCGCGCTCGTAGCGGGTTACCTAGAGACTTGCGGTAGCCGCAGAACTTCAGGTATCCCGGCCAGGTGCCTGTCTCGCCATCTAAATCCCGCCCGCCAGTTGGTGCATCGAGCAGGAGGTGACTCCCATGGTGATCACCGCGCCACAAAAAGATGAAAATCAACAGGAGGAGCACGCAAAAAAGAATGAGGTACTTTTTCGAAAGCACCACCGCACATCCGCTCATTTCCATGGTAAAAACCTCATTCTGAACACGCGGGCAGCGCACGCGATTTTTCTTGGCGAGAACGTTGCGGCAGTCAGGACACCGGTGGACAACGGTGCGCAGTACGGGCCAGACAAGGGGTAATAAGCAGAGACTGAACCAACCACACGCACAGAGTATACAGAAGGAAAGGGCATAGGTCATGGCAGAAGCCTCGTGGTCGACGAAACTCACTCCGTTTTTCCGCCGGCAGTATGGGCACTCAACAAATTCCACCGGAAGCTCGCCAAACTCAATCGCATCGTTCGGGTCTTGCATACGTGCGCGCTCCATACGCGGAAAGTATCTCATCCACGCTGGGCGCACTGCGGACATGGCTACTTAGTGGCAGCACGTGAATCTTTGCAACCTAAAAGGCAGCTGCCAGCATGAGAAAGCTTCCTCCTTGTCTTCCCCGGCTTCAATGACTCTTTACACTTAATCCGGACCGTTCGTCCGGCAGTGGGTTCGAATAAACAAAGGGGGCCGAGACGTGCAACGCAGTGAAGTTAAGGCGCTACGCGTCTGAGACTAGTACGTAAAAAGACCACTGCAGAGCAGACCAACTGACTCAGCGGATATACTTGTTTGATGGCATGGCGTCCCCCGACGGCAGGGTGGTGCACGACCTTGCAAAGGAATATCGCCAAGGAGGTGGCGTGACATAGAAATTGTGGAAGCACTGCAACGCCGTCAACGAAAAGAAACGGGACACGCGCTCTCTCAGTATGCCCTGCACATGAAAAAACTTCGCGAGCACTTGCTCCGTGTTCATGCTCCCGCGTGCTGTGTGAGCATTAGGACATGAAGAACATCGAATGCCCTGCACGCAAAAGCCACAAACCAATGGGCTAGTACAAGAGGCGCAGTTGTATACGAATGAATAGGAAGAATAGACCGTGGCGGCAGGAAGTGCAAAACGGAGCCCGACCAGGATCATTCAAAATCACGACGAAGGCGCACCGTTTTCATCTAATAGGGGCGCCATGATAAATTGGAGGCGCGACGGTGCGGGCGCTTCATTCGTTGGCCGGGCCGAGCGCGAGTGCTACGATGAGGAGCTGCAAGACGCGGCGCCTGCAGCTAAGAGCATGGAGGCGCAGTCCGCCTGCATCTAAGAGCAAGACGCGGCGCCTGCATCTCAGAGCACACATGGGCGCACCCGGGGCAATTTTAGCAGTGGCCGGCCATCGCTCTGAGGCCACTGTCGCCGCTCTCCTCGTAGAACTACGACCAAGAAACGGACGGGGTTGCCATCTCGCCCACGAAACCTGAGCGAGCCACCCAAGCGAACTGCCTAGCTTCCCCCAGGGGGCAGGACTCGTGAGCGCTAGGGCCGGCGGCGGTGCGCGAGGCAGTCGCGCAACGCATCACATACATATGAACTCCTCGCCCGACCGGGCGGTATGGTAATCAATCGCTGCGCTTTTCGTCTGCGATGTCAAACGCGCGCCGCCTGCACTTCCACGACCGCGCGCAAAACGGGGTCACGGCCCTGGCTTTTCGCGGTCCGCGACCGAAGGCGAATGCCTGAACGGGGGGGCGCACAGCCTTCGTCTTGGGCCGCGCCCCCAAGGTGCGGGTCGGGCTCCTGGCTATGCGGGGGCGGCCATGCGCAAAGCCAAACGCTTTGGCGCGCCATACCGTCGCGCCTACTTAATAAAATTTTGCCTCGCAGTGCAATAAAATTTTGCCCCGCAGTGCACGGCGCACGCCTGCTTTTTGCCTGTTTTCGTTTGTGCTTTTTTCGTTCATTTCGTGCATTTCTTCGGCGGGTGCTTTCGCAGCTCAAAAACGGGGAGCACCCGCTTCATCAGGCGGAGGCCCCCTGCCCAAAAATGGCAAAACGTTGCGCCTCTTTTCGGACGCAAAGGTCGGCCCTTTCCCACCTTTCCCGGGCGGGATGCTGCGGCTTCGGCGCGTCGTTGCCCGGCCACTCGGCTGACCCCGGGCCCAGCTTCGCAAGCACTCCCCTCGGAGGAGCTGCCCCACCTTGGGGGGCGTCGCTTCGTTCCGTCTAGGTCTCCCGCAAAGTAATCCGCCTTCGCCCCGTTGCTTCGTAAATGGGAAGGGTATAGTTTTTTATATTCGAACGGGGTAACAAATTCAAAGCGAGTAGTTGCAGGCCAACTTGTCATTGCAAATGCAAATTAAAATAAAAATCAATTTGCAATTTCAAAAAATAAAGAACTACTTTTTTTTCAGTCCACGAACCACGGGACCCCATGGGGGAATTCGCTTCTCGCAAAAAATAGAACTTCTTTTTTACACTCCCGCCCGCTTAAAAACTGCCGGGCGTTTTGCAGTCAAAAAAGCCGCCAGCAGATTGATTGGAAAGCTCGTAACCTCACTATATGCGATTGACTCAAAGCCGAAGCCGATTACACATCTTCACATTTCCTAAGAAGTCTAAGCCGAAGACAGAATCACTTTAGACCACGTGCTAGTGGTCCGCCATTTTTTGCGAAGGACAGGAGCAAAAAGCCGCCAGGTTGAAACGTTCGGGACTTCACACAACGCGCGATATTTTTCGGGGCATGTATTTATACGAGTAGGCCTCCCCCGAAGTGGTTAGCTTTACATGCGCGAACAGATTCTTCTTACTCCAGTCTCAAGAACAAAGTGCCTCTGGCTGCTCTGTCAGCGTCGACATCAACAGCACCATATCGACGTGAATCGCAGCGACTTTGTACAAATATTGTAACTTTGCCCACTGCTCATCTTCATGCGCTCGTCTACGCTTTTCGCATGTAGATGCGGCTAGGGCTATGGTCAGGTTTCGCTCTTGCACTGCTCGTTAGTCTTTATGACGCATCAGCTTTAGACTATTATATATAAGGGGGGCGTGATCGCGCGACGATTTAGTCAGCCATACACCTATTTCATTTGGGCCACGGAAGCAGTGGCGCTGGCAGCACAGCGAAGCCTCTTTAGACATCTTCAGCAGATTATGAACCTGCGAACACCAGCCCGGATGGTGAGCCGATGTTTTGCGACGCGACACATAGACGAGTTTTCCATGAGATTCAGCTGACGCGCCTGCAACTCTTGCAGTTCTAGTCTATGCAGCTACGAGGTAATGCTATGTTGAATGCATCCCTTTATAATTTGCGTGAACAAAGAACCACCTCATCCGGTCATGCGGGCCCAAGATCCTTCACGCCGTGAGTGGCGAGACAAGCGAGCATGTCAGGTGAAAACCACTGATGGCGAAGTCCCTCCGTCATGTTCTTCAGGCCGTGGCCAAGTGGGTGAATGCCGGTCTTTGAGGCCCACCAATCCGGCGCCCATGCGTCTTCTTTCGCCAAGATTCTAACACGCAGACCGGGGATGACACGAGCTGGATGCAGCAAGGTGTCCAGTGGTTCACTGCGGAGCATCATTGTGGCCACGCTTTCTGAAGATGGTTCCGGTCTTCCTCCACTGCGGTAAGCTGCATCGCTGAGTTGGCTCGCATTCGTGGGAATCTGGGGCCCTGCTCGTGCCATTGAGCTCACGTTAGCCAATAAGCTAATGAGCTCTTCTCTTTGTGATGCGTTCGAGTGCAAAGCTGCTGCAACCAGCGTAGTATTGTCATTTTCCGACCTCGAATGAACGACAAATGCGGGACTGGTTTGCAGCAACAGCCCTCCAGCCCTCTTCTCGAACTCTTTTCCTGTTCGGTCCAGCGGCGTGGAACCCATACCGAGGTGTTCGCGGACGCACTTCAAAACGTTCGCATATGGTGTCAGGTTACTCACGTATGCTGTCAATGTCGCAAACTTTTCCTGGCAGTGGGACATGGGAATTCCAAGTGCCTCGGGCACAGCTAGGTGAATAGCGCCGTTGTCCGCAGAGCTGTACCCCTGTGGCCGCTCCTGCTCCCACGATGCCCACTGGCGCAGAAACCGCCGCGCCCTCGGCGTGTTTCGCACCATCAGGGCTCCTGCCATGAGCTCGTTATGCTGCTCTAGGCCCCACGCCCTCTCAAAAAGCATTACATCGACTGGATGAAATTGATCTGCATCCACCTCCGGCACGCGGCGTCCGAAATCCGTAATCTCAATGTCTGATTCTTCCACGCGATCTGAAGGGGTGTCCCCTCTAGCAAACTTTGGGAATGGGGACGGAATCCCGCCCTTCGCAATCGAGATGTTCGAATGCAAGGGGACCCCAAGAGCGAGCCCTGCCCATCGGCGTAGACTCAAGTCGAAACCGCGCGCACCAATATCAGAGTCCAAAGCGAAATAAAGTCCGGATGGCCCTCCCGGTCTGTCGTCCTCTTCTCTCTTAGAATCCAGATAGGCCGCTAGTAAGCAGTGGCGGAGGAAAAAAACATCTTGCGTCTTTCGCAAGCATCCCTCTCGCGTCTCTGGCGCGGCGTTACGGGCCCACGAAGCTGCCGTCTTGCTCAGCGAAAACACGTGAAACTGATATCCGAGTTTGTCTGCGTAGCAACGCAAACTCGCCAGCTGACCCTTATATTTGAGCTGAAATTCTTCATTCGCAAAGACCACCAGCTCGACCTTGTAGAAGGCCTTCGCGCCGTCAAAAATTCGACGAACTTCATCATCTTGAGCAACGCGGTTCAGTTCGCTCGCGCCGTTTTGGAAAAGCCTGAAGGGACTTTGCTGGTGCAAGCTCACGGCTGAGGTTCTCCTTGGCTGGGATGCGACGCTCATGGCACCCGCCGTCGCGGTCCCAGTCGCTTCTTCAGGCATTGTTGTTCTCGACGTCGCTATTTTTGCAGTGCTGCTCTGCATGGTCTCCTCGCAACAACCATTTTGCTGTTCTTTCTGCTGTTGCTCTTCCGCTTCCCTGCCATCAACGAGCCGCTCCACGAGAAACTCCGGAGCGCCATCCTCCCCCAAGAAAGTCGAAACTTCTTCGCGCCGAATAAGCTTGCGACTGCCATGTGTGGCGGGCACATCCGCGCTGGCACACACCGAGGCTCCCTGTTGGTAAAAAACCCCCAAAGCTCCAAGGACAGTCATCAACCTTGTTCGTGCAAAGGCTAGCACGGGCACGAACATTATGTGTATGCGTCCACTTTTTGCTAGTAATGCGACGGCGATCATTGCCTTGGTCTTATATATTTCCACGCGAACAAAGACAAACTCGTCCTCCTACCTACTTTCTTTAGTTCAGTTGTGTAAAAGTATGAGAATAGGCGAAGTACCACTGAGGGCAGTGATGCGCCATTTCAATATTCGCGCCGCGCCGAGAGGAGTAATCCATCTCCATCTCTGCCCGTGAAACACCATTTGCCGCCTTGGTAAACAAGCGCTCTCATCTCGACGCCTCTCCCGAAACCACACGGACCGACGTCGCAAACGAAGCCGAGCACTGTCTTGAAACAGGTGCAACAAGATTGGAACAATAGAGAGGCAGCTCGCGTTCCATGCCATAAATATCGACAGACTCCACGCCCAAAAAAACCGACCGCGCGATGCAAGTTTTTGTACATTTTTCCTACTCAGCATCAGCATTAAGCTCAAGGGCTGCAGTCACGTCACTGGGTGGGTGGCAGGTCGCTATCTTTCTATCACCCTAGCCGGGCGGTAACATGGCTAGAAGCGAGTAGATGATACCTAACCCGAGCCCCTAGGTAATAGTAGAGGTAGTGCCTGTCCGAACGGGAACACCCGTTCAGTACAAACCTAAGCTGCAGTACTTCCATTAATCTTCCTGAGTATGTAAGAACCAATCCACGCGGCGTGCGCCGCGTGGGAAAAAGTATATACATCATTCAGGTTCGACGCAGTTGATTTCAAATCAAAGCGCATGGCCCGCAGCCCTCTGATAGAATTAATAGCCGGAAAACTTCCCCGAAGACTTTCGAGGCGTGGCAGCGCGGGAATTTCGCAAACGCGCCGCGCGTGAACGCATGGGTCACAAGTGGCCTGCCTTCTGTCTGGAAAAGTTTTTGAGAAACAAGGGGCCTGCCTTCCGTCGAGAAACATACGGGGCGAAGAGTCCGCGACTTCTTACTTCGGGAAAGTTTTCGCTTTGTCTTCGAAAGTCGGACTCGGAGCCAAAAAGTGCGCGCTTTCTTGGAAACATGAGAAGTCACTGACCTTCAACTTCTGGAAAGTTTTCATTCTGGAAACCACTGACTTCTCATTTCTGCAAAGATTTCATTTTGGAAAAGTGAAACACTTCCGAAAAGTTTGTTTTCATTTTGGAAAAGTGAGGAGTCGCTGCCTTCTCACTTTTGAAAAATTCTCACTCTGGAATCGGAGTCGCGTTCACTCTTCCCAGAGTGAGAAATTTCGAAAAATGCGAAGTCAATGACTTCTCGCTCCGTTTCGCGAAGGTCTTCGAGCTCCCGAAGCCCAGAATCGCGAGGGCAGTGCGCGAAGCATCTGAACGCGAGCGATACCCAGTCGGGCTCTTTTCACACGGCGAAAAGTAAGCGCCCGACTGGCACCGGTGCCTCTGCTAAAGAGGGCGCGCCTCCGCTTGGCGTCAGCCGGAACTTCATCACGAGCCGGGCGCAGTTTGAGTCAACGCTGGAGCCTTTTGCTTGTGTTTAAACAGCGCAAAGTTAACAAAACCTTCAGAAGGCAGCTTCAGAAGGTTTTGAAAGCATAATCTTCAGAAGCTCTTCAGGAAGATTTTTTGACCTTCAGAAGGTCAAAAAAAGCTGCGTCATTTTTTTCGCGTTTTTTGATAAAAAGTGGCAATTTTCGTTTTCCACCTTCAGAAGGTTTTGAAAAAACGACCTTCAGAAGGCCAAAACCTTCAAGAAGGTCAAGAATTATTTTTGGCAAACCTTCAGAAGGTTTTTTGGGTCAAAAATCTTCTGAAGGTTACAACACACCTACTGAAGGTATGAGTCTTCTGAAGGTTTTCAAAAAAGGCGAAATTTGTGCAATTCAGGACCTGACTCCGTTTCAGTTTTGCGCATCAAAAAAAGTGTTGACTTTTGGATCTTCTGAAGGTTTTCTGATTCTTCTGAAGATTCTTCAGAAGGTTTTTCTTCTGAAGGATGTTATGACTTTTTTCCTTATAGTCCTTCAATTAGTACCAGTCCACATGGGGCAGATACCGTCGAAACCGAAAGCCCTTAGAATATAAGTAATTCCTTCACGCGACTCTAGACAAGCCAAAAGGCCGTACGAATATCACCACCATTGACTTCTGGCGAACAGGCAACACGCGGCAGAAGCCAAGCTGGTAGCTCTATATTGTTTTTTGAACCGTCAGAAGGTCTTTCGATTCTTCCGTGGATTCTCCTGAAGTTTTACGTTCTGAAGAGTCTCACTGATTTTTCCCCTAGAGTACTTCTATTTGTCCATGAATTTATGGGGCCCTGTCCCCCTCGGACGGACAGAGCGACATGTTTGTCGTTTGCGATCGTTCTGTCATAAGGCCTTGCACGAAATAGCACTGAGGTATCTTTTGCAAACTCTTGCTCCATACTTGCACGCTGGTAGAACCCAAATCGAAGTACAATCGCACATTTTTTGACTCTAAGGCTTTATCTGCAAAGACGAGGAACCCATCGCAGGCGGAGACAGTCCGAGCAGCACCGCGCAGAGGTTTCTGCTTTTTCCTCGCTGACCTATATCTGCCGCTATTCTTTACATCGGCACCTATCATGCACTTCGTTCGCAAACTTTCGCCTTCGTCCGCAGCTTCTGCTTTCGTCATTTCATTCTCGTGCCGTATATTCCTCTGGTACAAAAAGAAGGGGCACGCCACTGCTGGTGGGAGCTGTCTCTCGAAGAAGTTCTGCACTTGGCTCATACTCGCTCTGTGGACCGACCTGACCAGCACTGAGACGGTTTTTGACTTCTGTTTCTGTAGCGCGTCAAGAAGAACCACCTCGCTCACACAACGGCAGGCGTGGTGCGTGGTGAGCGTCATGACAAAGGTTTCTCCGTCATTCACCGACCAAAGCAGAGAGTGCACCAATTGCACATCCCTGGCGATTTTGTTTGCATGGATGTAAAAATCCCAAGGGGAAGTTCGCCTTCTTTCTCTTTGCTCTCCTGCGTTTTCTTCGGCTTCGCCATCACCTTCGCATCTTTCTGCCTGAACGCGTCCCGAGCTACCCCCCGCCTTACGAAGCCCGGATTCCGTGGGCGCATGAGCCAGTGACGTTACCGCGAGGGACGTACTTCGCGTCTTGCTCGTGCTCTCGCTGTAATTACCATCACTATGGGGGACTGAACTCAGATCGCACCCAGACCGTGCTGGCGTACACGAGCCAAGGACATTGCGCGACTTGATCGCTGTAATCCAATTTGACGCTACAGCGGATCCGAGGAGCCTAGAGACCTCACCAGATCGTACATCCGTCGACCGAGGTTCAGGGTGTTCGTATGTGCTGTCTGGAAACGAGCATGCCGATGCGAAACCAGGCCCGTCTGTGACGCAAATTCTTGTGTCTTCTGTCGCTGCTGCCCCAGCTTGGGCCTGCGCAGCGCACGCGAAATAATTCATCCGCACGTTGGCTTTGCAATGCCGGATCACATTCTCGCATAGGAACCGATAAACGGGTTGCGGGAGCTTGACCATGTCCTTTTTCTGTCGCTTCGCTGCTGGGGCTGCAACCCCTACCTCGTGCGACTTCTCATGCGAGCAGACACTTTCCTCGTCGTCTTGCAAGTCCTCGACGCCGGATCGCGAAACCGGCAACGTGCCTTCCAACGTGTTTACTCGTCCGGGGCCGTGTGCTAGTTCCACCGCTGATCTTTTTAGCGAATGCTTCAGCGTCTGCTTTCTCGGCAATGCCTGCGCGATGTCAATACTGGTTGCACAGGGCGGCATAATGCCAATAATAGCCACCGGGGTGGGGTCAGTAAGGTGGTCGGGAGCGTTTTCTTGCCTTGACCCGGCAGCACTCGGTCCGCGCCCACAGCACGCTGACAAGCGGCCGCATTTTCAAATGCAGCCCGGTCCTCATGAAGATACAGGTAGCCCACAAACCGGGAAGTCGGAAACACGGGGCGGGCTCGAAACGGCTCCCCTGTTTAACATCCTACCAGGGCACCCTGTACTCACCTGTTTACCTTTTTTTATGCCCGCGGCACGCCCCGCGGGGAAGTGGCCGAATTATAGTATGCCGGGCATTAGCTAGACAAATACTCAAGCAGTTCGGCAACTTTACTCGCAAAGCCACCCTCCTGCCCCCGCACCTCTTGCCACCGCGCCTGTTGGGAGTGGCAACATGGCAGCGCTCTACCACAATAGCAATAGGCGGGGGCACCAGGGTCCTGCCCGATGCAACAAGAGCCACTCGATCGAATAAGGTCAGAAGAACAAGCGCGACCGCAGACACTTACACTTCTTCCCCCTCGAACGGAGGGCCTCCGGTTCCCGAGCTCTGCAAGAACGAACTCGGACCCCCCGACTCCGGAGCGCAGCGCCCACGTTTCGGGAAACCCGAAGTCCCTCCGTGCGCTCAGCGACGCCCTATCACGCGGAGCGGTACCTTCAAAGGGATTGCCATTGCCTGGGCTTTGACGCTTTTCCTCCTTAGATAGATACTCCATACCGCAGCGCGCCTTTTCCTTTTGCCATTTTTTCATAAATAAATTTATACGCAGCTGCGCTCCGGTCGAAACTGCACCAGCTTTGCCGACCGGGGAACTATTCAAAAAACATCTGCCAGATTTCATGTGTTGGCGTCTTCCCTTTTTGCCTACATTTGGCTGGGCCGAACGGTCACAATCCAAGGCAGCAGACCTTTGGTGAAGACGCCACTACATTTCACAAGTTTCCTGCGTCGCTGTCGCAATCTTCGGTAGAATGTTTAAGCACCGCCACAGCACGTTTAAGCACAGCCACAGCACTGCGCGGGCTTTTGTGTAACAGATCCGATGCCACCGATCTTGAAGCTGGCCACTTCGCGTCTTTTCATTTGGAAAGAACATCCGCGACGGCTGAATTCCACTACTCAAGTCGGCGGCCGGTCTCAAGCACAAAAAAACTCGTAAATTACGACCTTACTGACCTCGCTGCATACCAGAGCCATGGGCTGCAGAGCAAGAAGAACGCGACTGCTGGTCCTCCCGGTGTAGTAGCGCCGCTGCTTCTCTTGCAGACTGCTGTCGCTGCTTTTCAAGGTCGTAAAAAGGACTGTCGACACTGCCGTGATGGCCCGGGTTTTTTACGTCCGCTTCTGTGCACATACGAAACTGGATCTTCTTCTGTCCGTACAATCCTAGCACCGGAGCCTCTGTCGTGCGCCACACGGCCTCTGGATCGGCAACGAGAGTGGAGGAAGAACTTCGCCCGGCGGTGAGGCAGTACTCGAACTGGTCGTGCGTGCTTGGTAGCACTTTCTCGACCGCTTTTCTCAATTGTCCGGGGTTGTTGTACACGATGTTTAGCGACGAATCGTCTAGCCATTCAAATCTCTTCACTCGGGCTTTGCCGAAGGCACTCTTGCGCAGGTCTTGGGTCACGCAGGACTCCACCCCAAAGAGGTGCAGCACAGATGGGCGTACCGGTGCATGACTCACGAACGGTCGGCGATCCATAATGAAGCGCTGTCTACGGCTCCGATAGGGACCCACACCGGTAGCAGGCTTTGAACGCACAACTTCTGCCGATGCTCAAGGCAAAGGGCACAACATCACGAGAAGTGCCTGGGCCATTATCTCCATCGCCATTTAGGGATCAACACTAACATCTTCGAAATCTTCCAAGCAACTAGAAGACATATTTATACTTTAAGATTATAAACTTCTTCGACCGCGTGCCTGCTTTGCCATCGAGAGAGTAATCTCTTTTCATGAAGATACTGGCATCAGATTTCAAAACTCGTCGCGACAAGAGAAATACAACAAAATAAAGTATCCTAAAACCATTATAGAAAAAACGTACTTAAAACTAAAACTAATAGAGCGCACCTAATTCGCTGATTATTTCATTTAGATTTTTCAGAGAGCGGAAAGGAAGGAGCATGGTAAACCAGAAAGAAAGCGAGGAAAGAGCAGGCGGGGACTCGCTTGTATGCATTCTGGTGGTTAGCTGGATTTTATCTTTGTGAACGTCAATCGATCATGATCTGCGGCCATGTCCATTCGGGCTTGTTCGTTATTGTGCGCATGCGCAATGATTTTTACTGGGGAGCCTTGAAGTTCCAACGACATGGAAGGAGATCAGCTTCTTACCATTTACATCTCTTTCATTTTGTGGAACAAAATAGATTCAGTTTTTCAGTCCGCCGAGACGGGACCCCGAAAGGCGAGTTTACCTATACCTAGCGTGGGACAGAGAGGTTCCCGGGTACCCCAAAAACATGCATAAAAAAACTAGAACTTGATGCGCGTTTCAAATTCTTTAAATCCCCCGAGGCGGGACCCTTGCGGGCAAATTCGCATACCCAGCGAGGGAGGATGCGGCTCCCGGGTACCCCAGAAAAAGGGCACCTTCTGTCTGCCGAAACGGGACCCTTACGGGCAAACGCAATCGATCCAGTGTGATTTTTTCTGGTATTTCATTCTGGAACTAGGTAGACGGCTCGCACTTCAATAAATCAGCCTAGCAGTTCTTCTCCGTCCCACAGTTGTAGGAGGATGCAATGAAGATCTTGATCTGAATACCAATGCATTTCGTGCTGATGCTCTGAGCGACTTTCGTCTGGTCCGCGGGCCGAGTCCCAGGTTCGCAGATTCTCTGGTCCGTAGGGTCCCTGGTCTGACCAGGATCCGCTCTCTGGTTTACCCAGATACCGACTTCCTACCTATCTGTCGCAACAAGGTGCAACCGCGCCATCGGAAAACACTTTGAAGTCTCGCGATCTACCTTCATCGCCGTACCAAAAGTGCGGGCTGGGACTGCTGACATTTTCTGTCGAATCGCTTTGGCGCAGATGCGACTGTGGAGCGACGCGCAACAAAGGTCCAGGCTGACCCGGACGCGAGCTTCTTGCCTTTCTTGCGAGTTCGTTACGATAGAAGCCGAGCAGAGAACGCAGATCCGAGACGCTCGGGTGGATCACTTTTCGTGGCGAACCTGCTCCAGGATCATCTCGACCTGAACTGACCACAGTAGCGCGCGTGTTCTGCGTATCCTGCTGCCAGTCTTTCCTCTGCTTCTGCATCGAGAGTTGACGCACCTCTGCCGCCGAGCTGCAGCAGCCGGCGGTAATAAACGGTGCCCTGCTTGCCTCCCCCACCCTGGTGTCAGCGCTACGGTCTGCGTTTTTGTTTCTTGCTGGACAGTGCGCGAAGAAACACTTCCGCCACACGGGCGATCGCAGATGCCGCAAAACCGGCGACAAACTGCAGCTGCGCTTGTCAGGGCTTGTTCCTTTCTCTTCGACAATATCGCACGGCCGATCTATTTCTACTGGAAAAAAGTCAAGGCCGTGGGGCGGCAACATAGACAGCCCCGCCGAAGTATCGGCCACTGCCCTCGAAGGACTAAGCGGGATCGGCGATGAAAAACGTGGGTCGGGGTAGAACTGCAGAAGCGTCGTCGTGCTCCCTAGTACCGTGTTGGGATAGGGGGCGTCGTGCCCCTGCGGTGCGGCCCGGTCTTCCGCATCTTGTGCTATCTCCTCGCTTGCGCTGCTCGTAACGGAATTTCTGTGTTTTGCTGACAACACCGAACGGGCAGCAAATATATTATTCTCCTCCTTGCGCGGCCGATAGTCCGGCTCCATAAGCGGGTTTCTCCATGTTGCAGACGTCTCTGCCGCATGCTTCTGACAGTCTGGTGAAGTGGCTGAATTTGCAGTCGGGCTAAGAACCTGCATAGATGCACTGAGCTCGGGAACACCGGGGGATGCGGAGAAGATTGTCCCGGCGCCGTGCCTCCTGAGCCGAGGAGTCGCCGCATCGGTTGAACTTGACCCTCCTACCGGACTGTCTTTAACGGCCAGGGGTGGCGCCTGCGTGGGCACGTCATCTCCACTAGTGGCAGTTCTCGCGGGGAAAGCTCCATCGTCCGGAATGGATATCCGACTTGTAGCTGCATGCCACCCCGGTGCGTCATCCGAAAAAATTGCGTACAAGCGCTTTTTCGCACCTGCTCCTGTAACGTTTGTCATTGGCTGTGCCTCTACGAGGAGCCGACCGCTTTCAAGGCCTGGCGACGCGAGCGCTGTGCCTAGGCGAGGAGGATATGCAGATCCTGGAGAGCGCGACCGGGTCGCGCTGCTTCCAGAGGAACGAGACCCTGTGACACGAAGGTGTGCGACTTGATCGCGGGCACCGGCGAGTACTCTTTGCTGCCTGGACTGCAATTCGCTCGTCTGTTGCTGCTTCTGCCACCACTTTCGCAAGTCCGCAACTTCAGGAAACGGCGACACAACTGCGTCCGACCGCTTCCGAAAACGGTCCTCCAGAGCGCGGACTGCAACCGACGGACGTGCAACGTCATCGGTGCTGCCCGTGTCAACTCCTGCCGCTGCTACCGGTTTGTTCCTGAGCGAGCTCATATTAGACCGGAAATCCGAAAGAAGTGCGCGCTTTCTGGTTCTTGAATAAGCGGGGCACGGTACGTATGTGGCCCACCGACCGGGACCTGGCGGCAGCCCCCCCCCCGCCCTCACTCTCGAAATCCAGCACCGGCAAACGAAGGGGCGCGACACTGCACAGAGCCGCTGCCTGAGGATTGATGGCCGAGGCCAAAGCGTTGGAGCACGGCGATGCACAAGAGCGTCCGAGGCTCTCCGCCGCCGGCCGGCCTTAAAATGGGTCGGACGTGCGCGGGCCGATTTCCGGGCAAGAAAATTGGGGGGACCCCCGAATTGGCGCCTGGCCCGAAGCCACCGGAGTGCCGGCGTTTGATTAAGACCTTGAAAGCCGGTTCGGCTCCGCACCCTCGCAGCGGAGCGGCACGCAGTGGGGCAAAGCGGTAAGCAAGCCCCCTCGTTTTACCCCCTAGCTTCGGCGTTGCCCGCCGGCACGGGGGGGGCGACACTTGGGAGCGTTTTGTGCGTTTTTACTCCCCGGCGAAAAGGCTCAGAACTCGGCCACGCTTGCAAAGTTTAGGGCTCCAAGATCCGCCGAGGGCAAGAAGCCCCGGGCAAGCTTCGCCCCTTGTCCGGCGCGCCGTACTTGTTGCCCTCGCTGCTGCGTCCGAAGCCCACTCGAGGACCAGAAGGCGCGCACTTCGTCCGGATTCCTGGTCTAATGATGCGATCGATCGCTTGTCGCAAACTCTCCGAGATAGACTCCAGTGCCCGGTGGTACATCAGGCGCGAGTCTTCGGAAGTGGACCGCATCTTTTCAAGCTCAACACACTGCTTGCCTGCGAGAAGCTCCGCCCTGCAGCGCTCCTTCACTAGTTGAGCCGCGTGCTTACGCGCCATATGCCGGAAAAACCCGAGCTGGATTTTGCGCAATGCCAAGTCCCGCTCCTGCACGATCACGGACCGGGGGCGTTCTTCGCCCGCACACAGGGGCCGGTGCGTCTCCGACCGGGTACCGGTTTCGAGGTCGGCAAAAAAACATTGCTCCTGGCGAGACTCCTCCGACTTCACCTTCGGTGGCGCCGCGACAAGTCGAGGCTTATCAGGTGCCACGAAAGGCGTGCTGCGCTCTGCCAACGGGTAGGGATGTAATGTGCTGTTGCGTATTGACTTTTTTTGCGACGCCACTGTCCGGACCACGTGGCCGGTATTCAGGGCGGCGCGGAACGACATGAACTTCGACACCGCTCCTGCAACCCCACGAGTGCCTCGGCTGATATCTTCACTCTTGGTCTCCTGCGCCCGCGCGATAGACCGTGCTGTGACAGCACGGAGCGTTGTGCCGCTGAGTCGGGGCGTCGCTTTCTTCTCTCCGTGGTAGGAGTCCCGGTTGCGCTGGTTCTCGAACCTCCGGGGCCCGCCTTCCCGGTTTGCAGCGTCGGTGAGGATGGAGGAGGATTCTGATGCGGAGCTTCTGCGAATTGACGAGCGATCTTTCACCCTATTGTTCGCAGGTGCGTCTAGCACTGCACGTGCAAGCGTTGCGTTCGAGTCGACCATTTGGCTGCTACTTCCCAGTTCTACTGTTGAAACGAGGCTCCCTAGCACGATATTGGCTGGACCACCGAGCCAGTCGGTAGGTTGGGGCTGTGAGGTTGTGAATGAAGTAGAGGTGGAACCACCACGCACTATTGCCGCGCCAATATTCTTTTCCACCTCCGGTGTGCCTTGTCCCGCCTCGCTCTGCTTACTGTCTGGGAAGGACGACAGCGTCTGCAATGTGGAAAATTGAAGAGGTTTCGTTCCAAACTTCCGGAAACCGACTGCTGATTCATTGTAACTCGTGAATACTTGGTGGGTCCTAAAATTCAAAACAGCAAAGCCGCAGACAATGTGGCATGTCCTCTATTCTGCTTGTCAACTGGATCGGCTCGTCTGTAGCGAAAGAGCTATATGGAATTCGCACTACTAATTGACGCACAGAAGGATAGAAACAAGAGATTTATGTACAATGCCACTCGCACCAATTTTCGCCATCTTGTTCGCTTCGCCCTGCTCAGTCCTCTCGCGGCTCATCTGCATTTCTGTCGCGAAGACACTTCTCTTGTGACCATACCGGATAGATACTGCGGAGAGGCGAGCTTTCTCCTGAGGCACTCGCGGCTTATCGCCCGGAGACAGCGCTGCCATGGTCTTGAATTGCTTGACCACCTGCTTTCGCTTTCCGGTGTTGAAATACACAGCAGGTTCACAATGAACCTAGCCGGCCCTTCTGGGATTCCTGCTAGTTGGACCGCAACGCAAGTGAAAAATATGCGCGGATCGTCATATCTTGGGAAAGCCACCGCTCTCTTCAGAGCGATATCGGTTACGATACACGAACAGCTGTTCCGCCTGCACTTGCAAATCCTACTTACACCACCCACCATCTCACCCAAAACAAAGAAAAGCCGCTTCGCATCTCTACTCACGCGTAGTTCGACCCCTGACGAGGAGTAGTCTTCTTTTGATGCCCAATCGTGTCTCCCGAATTGTGTCCGATTCCCTCTCAGTCTCACTCAGGCACGTCCGTTAACCACATCGGCGAATCCCCTTCCCCGTGAGCGATGTCTTTGAATGCTGGTGCGGAAGTGCCAGACAAAAGCAGAACCACGTACGTGCCGCCTTTGCCTCTGCATGACGCTACAGATTGATACATGTGCACGACTGTACCTCTAGACGACCACACTCACAACCTGACAAGAACACCGCTAACAGGCGAAATGCTGGCACAGTTTTGCGCTTGTGAATCCGCAGTAATTGAGATTGACGCTCAGGCTCAGTGTTGCAAGTCAAAATAGATACGCGTCTTGCTGCAACTACGTATGCACACTATTAGCAATATGAAAATACCAAGGTGCATAGTTAGTTCGGATCATCGTTTCGTCGCTCGAGTACTAGCTTCAGCTCTGCGCTAATTACACAGCGTCATGTAACTGCTCCAACGCGCGCTCCCGGGGTCGGATAGATGTTGTTGAGAGGACTTGTATATACTTCGTTCTGCCAGAGCATTTTGCTTTCAGTCATGCCGCTTGCGAACCAAACAGATACCGTTCTTGCAGCTTCTGAGCGTTTCCCACCGCCCTAGCCGAGGTTCCTTACCAACCGCACAGATGAAGAAACTTTCGCTTTCGACGATTTGATTCACCACGCCCGCTACGGGAATCGCTTCTTGTGGAACGAGCGTCTGCTTGGTCTGCACGCTCTTATTCCTTCGACCATTGCACGCAGTCGCCGCACCAGAATCCAGCTTCTGCTGCTTTATTACGTCGTCACCTGTTACGCCGGCACTCTTTTCTCGGATTTTCCAGGACCTGAGGTAGCCATCGCTGCTGCCAGATAGAAGGTAGTTGCTGTGGCGCACGCATCCGAGACTGCTAATCCACATGCCGCCGTGCGCGTTTTCGAATGACGCCTTGGGCTTGCTACTTTCTGCGGACCAGAGATGCAGGTGGCCGTCCATTCCGCCACTAGCGTAGGCACTACTCTGCAGCGCACAGACTGCATCTACAGAACTCGTGTGCTTTGCGAAGAGCAAGTGCGAATCTTGTGTAGTCTGCGAAATCGTACAGTTTTTGTTTTTGCCACAAAAAATTATATAGTTACGTAGCAAGAATGGTCCAAGCGTATAGTAGAGTCTGAGTGCGTGCGATCTGGCGCATTGCTATTTCATGTCTTTTCTAATGCGGTCAAAGAAGTAAACAAGTACCTTCCAAAGTCTCGCAGACTTGTCGGCGCTTCCTGTGATCGGCCTGCTGGTCTGATTCAAGTCGATGCACGTGACAGCTTCGGTGTGCCCCAAGTACGTGTCAAGGCACGCAAAATGCTGCAGATCCCAGAGCTTGACGAGCTTGTCGGTGCCGGTGGTGAATACGTTCGTGCCATCGACCACCACGCCAGTAATGCGGGCGCCGCGCTGGTGCCCCGCGAGTTCCCGAATGCAACGATTCGTGAAAACGCGAGGGTCCCAGACTCGAACCAAGCTATCCCCCCCGACACTGACCAAGAGCTGCAGGGCCTCGCAAAACGCTACATCAAGCACCTCAGCATGATGTCCACCGCACGCAAAACTGTTGTGTTCGTTTATTCATTCTGTAAGTACCGTTGGTTACCACGACGCATTTTTGAAAAGTGAAAGTTGAAATATTGTACTTAAAATTTCGGGCAACAAGTTGACGTCCGACGTTGGTGTTCTCCCGCCAACATCACTTTCAGGTCTATATATACACACAATTGTAAGCAGATTAGGATTACTCGCGGGGGCTGCCCGAGAAACGAACTTTCTTTCGTGATTCGACATCCCACTCGTAGACGACGCAATCCTTGCCGCCGGAATACACTCTGGTCTGGTCTCTTCTTACGCACGCGCTCGTACCTGTAGGTGTATGGACGCAACCCGTAAACTGTTTCGCTGCGGCTGCTAATCCAATAAATATAGGGACAAGAAAGCTGCAAAGGATTGCTGCTCCTTCTTGAGAAGGTTTTTTTTCTTTATGGCCCTCCTTCTTGAGAAGGACCCCCTTTCCGATACCGAAAAGGGGGGGGTAGGTGCAGTCGGTCGTCTGGCGGGCCGTATCCAGACATGGCCGGGTCCCTCCGGACCCGACCAGTTTTTCTTTTCGGACTTCAAAAATGTAAATCCGCAATTTCCCCGCCCCGGCAAAAAAGCGCTTCGTTTTGTTTGCTGCGGCTTCTCAGCGCGTCTCCCTTCTGCTGCGGTTTCTGTGGTGTGGCTGGAACAGAATGAAACACAACAACAGAAATAAATTTCTTGGGCGCGCGCGGACCGGCATACGGATGCAACAACAGAAAAGGCTTCAAGCGCGCGATGCGCGCGCGCAAACTGAGAAAAAGCTCGCGGCGCGCGCTGGTGCGCGCGCGCAGCGGAGAACATGCAGCGGAGAACGTGCCGCCCCAGTGGTCAAAGTGGCCGCCTCAGCTTTTCCAAATGCAGGAAGTGCTGAGATGGTCGCTTCAACATCCCGAGGGTGGTTGTCGTGCAATGCTGGGCTGCACGTAGCTGCCCCCTGGTGGTCTATTGCGTGGCAGCCCTGTTTTTGTGCAATAGAGCTACTTCACAGGAGAAGAAGCGTCGCCATGATGCATTGCGAACCACCTCCGTTTTTGAGCGGTAGAGCTGCTCCACAGTGGGTCTACGTCTACAAACTGCGCCCAAGCTACTGCGAAGCAGCTTTTTTTTTTGCGCAGTAGGTCCACGGCCTACGTCTCCAACCAAGTGGGGTGGCTATCAAGTTGGAGATGATTTACACCGGGGCAGCTGTGCTGCTGCTGGGCTCTGTGAAAGAAAGCCGCCCCCTTTGTTTTCGGAGATCGGGAGCCGGCTTTATTTTGAGAAGCAGAAAGCGCGTCGGTTCCGCTTTGCTTCCCTTGCGCTTCTTTTTTTATGAAAAGAATAAGAACAAACGAGAACTCGCTCGATAGCGTCGGCGCTGTGTACTTTGCGCACGGTAGTGCGCCTCGCAATCCATCGAAGCTGGCCGCCGCATGTGGCTGCCGTTGCGCTTTTTAAAAAACCAAGCGGCGAAAGGCGTTAGGCGCGCCGTGCCGTTGGGATTGAAATTCGCGATAGGTTTCGCGATAAACAGCCCCTTGATTTCGAAAAGGGGGGCGTGGGGGGGGTAAGCTCGGTCAGAGTCCCGCTTCTACCCCCCTTTTCGGTATCGAAAAGGGGGTCGATTAATCGTACAGCCTTTAAGCCCTTCTGAAGGCATGCAAAGGCGCGAACCAGGCGCCGCGCCCTGGGATCAGGTACCCTGGACCGGACCAGGTACCCTGGACCAGGTAACCCGGAGAATCAGGTGCCCAGTGAGCCGGGTGATCCGGAGTGTGGCGTCAGACGGCCACGCCGGGCGTCGGAAGGGCAGACCAGGCGGCGGACGACCAGGCCGGGCGGCAGACGGCCGGAGTGCGCGGCCGACGTGGTTGCTGGCAACCCAGTTCCCCGGGTACCCGGTCCACAGGGTACCTGGTCCAGAATAGTACCTGGCCCCAGGTGCCTGGTCTGGCCAGGGTACCTGGTTCATGCAGATACCTCTGAAGGTCGAAGGTCAAGACTTGGACCTTCAGAAGAATCAGCAAGAGACGCATTTTTTTTGCTTGAAAATAGGATCGGGATAATCGTGAATATTTTAACCTTCTGGCGGTCGTGCTTTCTGCAGGTTTTTTTGAACTTCACAGTAAAAACGTGAAAAAGATGCAAAAAAACCTTCGGAAGGCCAAATCTTCAGAACGTTGAAAACCTTCAGACGGTCGAACTTTCTTGACCTTCAGAAGAGTTTGCAACTTTTTAGACAAAAAGCAAGCTTTCAGAAGGCCACTTTGATAAACCTTCGGAAGGTTCAAAACCTTCAGAAGGTTTTTCGCTTTTTATCAAAGTGCAGCAATTTCATTCTGCCTCTTTCAAATATTCTTCAGAAGTTTTGCCACCTTCTGAACCCGACCTTCTGTAGATTCCTCTGAAGGCGCAAACCTTCTGAAGCATATCCACGAGAGCGCAAATTCTTGAAAAATTCAACAACAATGCTGACAGCGACAGGCACTCACACGCATTACTTTCTTGCGCGATTGAAAAGCTCTGCCACCCGTGTCGGGCATTATCATATATAAAAAAGGCGGCTCCTGCGTTTACACTTGCAAAAGCTCGCGCTGCTTTTTGCCTCTGAGAGGCCGCCTTTTCGGCTGTTTTGAATATCCTGACCTGATATTGGTTTTTCCTCTCTTTTCCGTGTTCGAGTTTAATTGTACGTCTTAAGTGCTGTCAGCTTGGTGAGAGAGCCCTGCCGTGGACGGCGTCGCTAGTCTTCCAGCATCGAGAACCAGTCGACTTCTCGCTATCTGTTATCTGTTCTCACTAACCAAGTACAGAACATACAATGACTCCAAATGTGGCCCGGCAACAATCTGAGTAAGCCTTGCCTGCGATCGCGTTCACAGAACAAAAAAAGAGGACTCCACCATGAAAAATTAGTACATGTGCCCTGATGTCCGCGAGGAAAAAATATCGGCGTGTCGAGTTGAAAGGTTGCATCGGCGACTTGCGGTTTGTCAAAATCCTCTGCTACTCGTTTGCGTTTGCCAATGCTGTTGCTGTCCGTTCCCGCGATGGTTCGCAAATACTCTTTCGCGATTCGCAATCGCGTCTCATCGACACCCTCCTGCTCCGCAGGATCTTCGAAGAATTCTGTAGGATTGGAAAAGATCGACCATATGATAGATTCGTAAGTGAGTGATTTTTTTGTATCATATGAATACAGTGCGTGCTCCCTGCTAGGCGAAAAAGATACTCCCAGGGTGCTTTCACGTTTCAGCGAGCAGATTTCTCCCGGAGGGCCTGGGCTCGAGGGCATCTCGTGTGGCCCAGCAGCCACCCGCTTTGAACCCGCGTGCCTTCAAAATTGCAGTCAGCCCAAACAGTCTCGAGCATCATAGTGAAGCCGACATACGTAGTGAGGTGTGTAGCTACGTGTAAATCAATATTGGAAGCTGTAGTACGTGTAAATCAATATTGGAAGGCAAGAACAAATTGTTACCGTCTTCGCTGTGAGGCGATTGTCGCTCGTGGTCGGCGTGGACTCCGTTGTGTTTGTGAACGACCATTCTTCAATATCAAAATGAAATCCTTCCCCTAAGTGCGTCGGCGGCAACCACGAATTCGTGCTTTCTAGTGCTTCACATTGCAAAAAAATCGCACTATTGTTTGGCTACCAAACCCTGCATGCGCGCGCGCGACTGAGCAGCAATCCGATGCACGACATGCCATCGCGTCTTACGTTACCCTGCAGGGCTTTGGAAGCAAATCGCCCGTCTCAACTGAGTTTAAAATTCAATTTTGGAAAGCATATTAAAACTTTTTTGCATGAGAACAGAAACAGGATTATTTCTTTGGATTCAGTCTGCTCTGACTTTAAAACGAAGAAGCCCTCCCAAATGTTATGGCCCGGAAAGGGCCTCCGCCAGACTGGAGGCCAAGGTCGTGCCCCATTTATAAAACAGGGACAATCTTGCGGCTTTTTGCGGGCCGTTGCCGTTAGATTGCTTTTTCCTGTCCTTCGGAAGTACGTGGCAACTTTTGCTAGGCCCCCCGGCACTGCGCGAGAAACTGCCACACTAGGTGCCCCACGGGGTACGTGGGGAACCTAGTGCGGCAGTTTTCGTCTGCCTTTTCGCGGGAACGGTGGGCGCCTCAGAGGGGCGCAACACGTTCGCGGCTTGAAAGTCGCTGCTCGCGGTACATGCCAGGATCGCCGCCAGGATAGAACGCCCGGGACCCAGCAATATCCGTACACAAGGGACGCATGCTGCTTACCGGCCGCAGGTGGAAAAAAAAAACGAAAGACGCGGAGCAGTTAAAGGGGGCCGCACACCCAAATTTGGGCGCCGGCTATTAAGAAAGGCAGCAACAGGCGGCTAGTAGGGCACTGCGATTTTCCCCTTTGCGGGGAGTGCGACAAAAATCAGAACCCGGTAACCGGGGAAAATTGAGCGCGAACAGCGCGCGATCTTGCAACTAGACGCGACGGCGCGCCCCGCTACCAGCCGGCGGCGGCATTAGTGAGAGAGAGGGGATAGCCCAAAAAATCGCAAGCCCTCCCGCCGTACGCCAGTGCCTGCGACTAGTAAAAAACATGCGCGAGCGGGAGCAAGGGGCCTCACTCGTATGGCCACCATAGCGGTGCTTTTTGCGCAGAGTGACTAGGGAAGCCCGCGCCGGTTGACCTAGTAGTGGCGGGCGGGAAAAAGACACGAACGCAAGGAGAAAGGAAACCACCAGCGACTTCTTTCCCTCTAAATTTACCCCAGGGTCTCCTTCCCGGAAGGTCAGAGCCGTCAAAAGCCCCGCAGCTGTGCGTTGCGTTTGTGCTGCTTTGCATCAACAAAATGAGTCGCTGCTTTCATGTCTTTTCATGCGATACAAATTCACCCGCCATTTTTCCGCCCTGCCGACTGGCGCGGAGCAGGTGCTCACTTTCAATACATAGCATCGGCGGTGGTTGTGAGTGGGACGACTGCGCAGTATTTCTTAAAATGCAGTCGCTTTTTGCAGCTTAACGAGAAGGTGACTTCCTGCGAATAAGACACGTCGTATCGCGGCACCGCTAGTGTATGTTCCTCGATCGCACTCACCAGCGTTTTTGCCTTACTTTGGTCTACTCGTCGTGCCTCCGGATTCTTCTCCTGCTCCTCTCTTCCGATCGTCTCGCAATTCACGTCACCAACGATATCACTGTCAGAACCAATACTGAGCAGGCAACTACGACTTTGCTCCGTGATACGGTTCGAAGTGGATCCGCTTGAAGATGCCGGGGGTACAAAGGAATCGCTGAAACTGGTAGTAGCTGCTGCACAAGTCAGAGTGTCCGCCGTAGTGCGATTGCTGTTGGATTCTTTTCTCCAAGTTGTGTGCTCGGCAGGCTCGGGCCCGCGAAATCGTCCCGCTCCCCAGGTATTAAACCTCGGAGGTTTATTCCCAGCCTCAACTTTTTGAACCTCTGGATGATGATGATGATGATCTCGAGCTCGACTCGGCACTAATCCCACCTCTGGACTTTGCTTCTCGGAAAAAAAACTGCACAAAATTGACAAACTGTTCTTGTTCACAGTTTTTTCTTCGCACGAACACAGACTCGATGATTGATCGTATCCTCCTAACTTGCTGACCGTCCAGTCGTAGCTGTGTTCTCCTTTCGTGCTGAGAATTTCCAAAGACTTGCTCTTTTCGCTTTCGAGGCGACAAGAGCGACTGGGCCTGCCTGAACTTTTGCACTCCACGCCAAACAAAAGCTCAGCCGTCGGAGAAAATGCGCTGGCACTGGCAGTTAAGCTGCTGCCCGCGTTAGAGGTCGACTTGCCCTGCACAGACCGACGCGTAACAGTCGCACAGCTTGATTTTCGTTTTCGTGTGGAGTTGTAGCAGTCGGACCCAAAGTGGGTGGCCTCTCGCTCGCGCTGCTGTGCTTGCGACCACGAGAGGGTACTTTGGTAGGCAAAACCGCTCTTTCCCTTGCTCGTTGTTGGATTGTGAGAAGAGCTACCAGCTGCTGAGGCGGCTTGACGACCCGAGACTGAGACGCTTTCTCTCGCACCTGCTTTAGCTCCACCGATGCCGGATGGTGAGGCACGTACACTGTAACCGAAGGCTTGGCAGTGAGATGTGGACGCGCTCGATCCAGTTGTGCTCGTACTGGCGCCGCCAACTGAGTTACTGCTACCGCTCGACCCAGCCTTGAATACCGAAGATCCGCGAAAAGTGGCACTGGAACCGCCACGATAACAATCGGAACCGTAGTGATTTTCCTGGCAAGGTCTTGTACAACTCCCAGGTATGCTGGTCTCGTATTTGTTGAGCGTTGGTCTCGAGTCCGGTCGTCTATTTCTATCTCTATGCTGCAGCACGAGCTCACCGGTTTCTTCCTCTGACGAATGACCAATGGCACTAGCGTTTCCAAAAATAGACCAAGCAGCTACGTGCCGCGTGGTCGTGAACTTTTCCGCCTGTTGCAGGCTTGGTTCAAGGCTTGAACCCTGTCTGACGTCCTGCTCGATCCCTCTGGTAGTCGACGAGGACCACTTTCCGCGTTGATCGATCAAAGTGCTACTGGTCCTCGCGCGCTTTACCTGTTCCCTGCCACTGTCATTGATAACGTGTTTGCTTGTCCCACGACTAATACTTAATTCCGTAGAAGACGACGTGGCACTAGTACGATCGGTTCTTGAAGCAAGGCTCGCTTGGCTCTCCTTTCGGATTCGCTTTTGTACCGTTGCGAAATGCGACCAGACGGAACGGAAAAACCCTAGAAGACCTCTTGCGCTTTTTGAGGATCCCGCGTTCGGCGGATGCCCTCGATGCGGCGCTAAGGCTGAGAAGGGACCGGCCTGTCGTGTACCACTATTTCTGGAAGAGGTAGTCGACGAACCTCCTCTGCTTTTCAAAAAGTGGTTCTCAATTGAGCTGTCTGCTCTTTCCAGTTGCTGTGTCGCTCTTGCCGGTGGCCGCGCTGCAGTCCCGGATACAATTGCTAGGGGCTCTGCTTCGTCGTGTTTATTTTGATAGTTCTTGTAGACCCTGTTCCTGTTTGACGCTGTAGTCCGACAGTTTCGCCTTGGTATATCAGGATCGTCGTCCTCCTGCTCCTCCGCGGGGCCTGGCACCTCAATGCCACTGCGCCGCCCGTTCTGTCCTGCGTCCGGCCCGGCCGCCAGCCGCAGGAAGCTAAAGCAGCACGTGTCCGAAATCTTCGACGGGATCCCACTTGCCGTCTCTTTCTGTAGACGCCTACAACAATGGAAACAAAACAAATACCGAAGACAGCCCAGAAACGGCCACTTCGAATTCCAATAGTCCCGAAGCTTCTGATAAAGATAAAAGTATACTTTAAGCTTCAAAAAAATCAATTAACAAGATGGAACCGAGCAATAAGTATCAGCAGCGTGTTGACAATATTCGCGCATGAGAGGAATGTGCTAAATTGTGTTTCCACAGTCACTGTGTGAGCGGGGCGTAATTTCGCGTGTATGAGTAAGTACGCAGCATAAGTCTGCGTTGAGTTGCAATGACATTCGGATGGCCATTTGATCCGCTTCTCGGGCATATTTCTGATCTAGTTGCACTTGGAGCCTGAAAACAGCTGCACCACAAGGACAATCATGTCACACGCTTGCCAATAAAAGACACTGAGTGACTGGATATCGCAATGCGCTCAAAAGATACGATAATAGTGGCGACAGCCCGGCCTCGGCGCTTCTCGGGGCCGCAGTACGGCTCCTGCTGACAGTCGCCCCCACTTTTGAGATCCACTCTAACTTTTCACTTGTCAAGCGCTTAGACTGTCGCGAAAGTGCAATTATCCACGCTTTGTGCTATGTGTGCCGATGTGGTAAAACTACACAGCTCCCAAGCGGGCGTCCACTCAAGGACAGCCGAGAAATCAAATGGTGAGCCTTTTCGCGCGCCCAGCGCCTAGTTGTGCCAAGGCCGGCCACAAGGGCGGGGCGCAAAAGTTGCGGAGTAGAAAAGCCTTTCGAGACACGCGACCGCTCAGACTTTGTCGCTCGGCCACACAAATGAAACAAAGCCGCACCAGCTTGAAAGCGTTGAGTGGTTGCCGCACAATGCCCGCGAACAAAAGCGCTGGCGTGGAGCCCGGGCAGCTGCAACGGCGGGTCAGTGCTAACGCAAAGAAAAAACAAGGAGAGGAGCAGACGCGCGACCCAATTGATTACTGCGCCCCCCCTGCCGATTGAAGGAGGACGCGAGGTGCCTGGGTGGCAGGAGGAAAAAGGCACGCGCGGAGAAGCTGTAGCAGGAAAGAAGCCCGCGTGTTTCCAACAACTGGATTGGACCTCCTTCAAGCATTGGCGCGCCGCCTCAGTGCGACATCGTACTGCGAAGGCGGCCCGCCACGGTGCAAATTTTGCAGGCGGGCAAAGGGCTACCCTCTGGTGGGCTCGGTGCCGCCCAACGACAGAACCAGGCCTCGGCACTCCTTTTTGGCTGGTTATCTCCATGAAAAGCGCGCAAACATTATCATTGCAAAGCCCTGCAAAAGATTTGGTGCGACGACTCGTCTGCGCGTACCCAGGCCACGTCATAGACAACAACTGTCATTTTCAAGCGTATACGCATGCGTGCGCTCTTTTCAACTATTCCTAATTCTCCTGATCTTCGGACTCGCGTAGGGTCAGCAAAATGCAAAGTGCGATCCTCTACGCCTTGGCGTATCGAGCCGCTGAATGCCTCGATATTTGTCAACACTTTTCATGCGGTTCCGGAGCTGCTACCTCCTGTAGTTCAAACCTGTTAACGCGACTGATCTCAAATTTAAGGAACATCTTTTTTGGGTAAAACCCAATATTTTTGCAGTATCGATTTTTTTGACCTTCATTGGAGGAAAAAATCTTCGATGATTTAGGCAGTAATTTTTGATCCATATCCATCGAGGCTTGTCAATTTTCCGTGTCCACTTTCGAACCAGTGCATAATTTGCAAAAAAAAACGGTGCTGGCTAGCGAGATAATTCGAGCGATTCTTCTGAAAATTTTCATTCTTCTGCTGCTTATCATCGAAGGCTGAAAAACTAAACAATCTTCTGTAGCCGCACTCTTTCGTTTATTGATCCGAATTTTTCAACAGAGAAACTTTTGAGTCTAGTTACGCTTTTGATGGTGCAGAGCGTTTATAAACGCAGACATAAGGGGCGCGACTGCGACGGGTCCAATGTCAAGTCAAGGAGTATCGCGATGCGGGGTCGCGCATCCAACTGATATCCTAGAGGAGTTCTTGTTCATGCCGTAAATGAATATCTCTGCAACAAATACTTCACACTTAATGATCTGAGTCACCTTGTCTCGCTACCGCCGCCTGCATCAGGTGCCATGCGCGCTGCGACGGTGTTTCCAATCGCAGGCGAGTCGCGGGCGGTAGTGAAGAGCTCGCCTCTTCTTCTTCGCGCAAAGTAGTCGCTTTTTGCTGCCTGCAGCTCGTTCTTGTAACGGTTTACATCTAATCGCAGGTCCTCACACGACTTGTGATATCCGGAAAGCTCCTTCCCCATGGCCCGCATCTGGTTACTCTTGTCTCGCAGGGACTTTGTGTACCAAGTGAGCTGCTCAGACACTTCAGCACCCGGCTGGCGAGCCAGGATGTTCTTAAGCTGTACATAAAGCTTTTCCTTTTCCTGGATCAGCATGTCACACTCGATGACTTCTTCCGTTTTTGTAATGAGTCTACGCTGCAAGTTCTTAATGTTGTGTAGCAGCTCATAGGACTGCGGATCTGACCCTTCCAGTCTGCGCCATCGATGTACCTGTGGTTGGGGATTGCTATATATCCTGGCCCGATCGCCCATTGCAAGCCGCACTGTGTTTCCTTCATCGGCTAGTCTTTCGCTAAAGACAACATCACCAGTATTGATAGTAGAAAGAACAAGTCCTTGGACATCAGGTAGCTATCAGAACGATAGCGCTTACGCACAAAGAATTGCAGCTACGTTCATGGGGTTCTTCATTTCCTCTTCCAGGTGCTTCACCTTGCATTGTTCGTGTATGAGCTCGCGCTCGAGGCGGTGGATCTCCCGCTTGATGTTTGTCGTAGAACTCATCTGCCCACGACACCTTTGCACCTCGTCCTTCAACTTGTCTATCTGTTTCTGCATGTCGACCACAGCTGTGTTGTATAGTGACCGATATCGCAGCTTCTCAACGGGGGGGGCCTTGCTGCCGCCATACTACTATCTACAACAACAAAAATGCGCACTACGAAGGCGACTTTTCAGGTGAGTTCGTGATACGTCCAGATGGGCCTGTGAAAAGCGCACACAACTGTCGCATGAGATTTGAAGGACATCGAAGAGGCCAGCAGCTCCTCGACCAAGGGCAACAAAGCAAAGCGTGCTGATCTCATTCAGTACCCGCAGAGGCAAAAGCATGGTCGAGCGGGCTATCATATCAAAATCAATCTAAAGCCTGAAGCTGCAATCCATTAAGCGCTTTCGACTTGGATGAGTGCCTCATCATAGCCTTGATGAGAAGTTTCCAAATCGTTGCTCTTAAGGGACAAGGTCCGAGTCGTCTTTCAGGCGAGGACAGAAGCTGCGAAGGTGGAAAGCAGCGAAACGAAATCGCGAGCGAATTCGTCTCGACATCCATGATCACCATCACGGTCACCATCGACCGCACGCATTAGCCATCGCATTACTTATATTAGAGACTTGAAGCAATATATATTGAAGAAAGAGCGCCTGACTAGCCTTGGCCCTGACTAACATGACCGGAACCCAGACACATCCGCCCGGGCACATATTAATTTGCACTCAAACATCGTCGCCTTTTTTTCGCGATCAACTGTGTCTAAGTCTAATACGTCCTTCAAAATACATTACGCTTCGTTACCGCTCCAGGAAAAGATGTGTAGTATGTTTTTTATATCCGACAAAAAAAATACAGTCGCAGACAGCTTTGTATTCGTTTTCGCCGTGAAGCATGTTTGACTGCTGAACCTTCAGTCCTTCGTAGAGTTTTTCAAGTTCTTCGTTGCGGCGAATGAGCTGTTTAGTCAAGACCCCGCGTTCGTCCACGACGCCCTTGCACTCCTTTTGCTGTGTCAGCTTTTCCGCCTCCGCAGTCTGGATGACTTTCTCAAGCTTCTTGGCTTCTTGTTGCTGTGTGTGAATGATGCCGGTCAGATTTAACAATCGCTTCCTGCTGCGCTCCAGCGATTCCCTGATAGCTTCGTTCCCCTTCGCCAACTTTTGCTCTTCAAATTTTTCCCGAATTAGGTTGTGATCCTTTTCGCGAATTTCGTCCTTCACTTGAAACTTTCATATTGAAAAAAGCCTCCGTTCATTTGAGCAATATTGCTTTAGAAGTAGCATATACGGGATGGCCCCATATGGCAACGCCAAAGCCTTCTCGCTCTTTATTTTGCGATGGGTGTATATCACAGCACGCAGATGCGTTTCCTGTTGATGCCCAGCACACCAGCACATGCGAGCGCTAGGTCATGCAGCTCTAGCTACCAGCTTCCCTGTAGTGACACCATAGTGGGTGAGTGAATGATTTACCCAACTGACGGTGACTGGGTTTTAATATTCATTAGCAATATTTTTCGGTAAAGGTGTAGACCAGGGCCCCTGGGACTAGGGCCCCTACGGACTGGGGCCCGTACGGACTGGGGCCTGCGCGGTGTCTCGGACTCTGGTGTCCCGGAATCTGGTGTGCTGGAGTCTGGATGGATCTGGAGAAGTTGGGGCATCGCTCTGCGGGCGTTTGCATTCGAGACGTCTCTCGTTAGCAGTTTGAGCTGTATCCACACTGTCCACTCGAGCAGTGCTGTCGCTGTTGCTGCGAAACATTTCGAATACAAAAGGCGCCCGTCGATCTGTGAGTAGTCAGCAGACTGCGCCACATATTACGTGTGACCTGCATACTTCCACTTCCTGGCCCGATAATACGACTTACATGACACGCATACTTGTACGCTGCTAGATACTTGTACGCTGTACTATTATTTGTACGCTAGTAGGCCCAGATTATTTCGACTTGATACGCCGCTAGACAGCTCCGCTTCCGGCCGCGCCTCGCCGTGTACCAGATTCCGGGACGCCGTTCAGTCCGTAGGGGCCCCAGTCCGTCGGGGCCCTGGTCCATGGGGGCCCTGGTCCAGGGGCCCCTGGTCTAGGGGCCCTGGTCTGAGCAGGGGCCCTGGTCTACCCGGATACCATATTTTTCATTCTATTCCATATTCCGAACAACTCCTTTCATTCATAGCCCGCTTGTGCGCAGCAGCTCGAAATGCCTGTGGCATCCGACAGGTGGGAACAAATACGTCCAGAGATGACTTTTCTTGGCCTTCTACCTCTCTCTTTCTGTCTCTAGCGTGCGAACGTCCACACTCTTCCGAGAGGAGGCTTTTTTTCTTCATGATAGTGATATATCGTTGTGCATCACCTTGAACTGCACCTCCATGCCCGCGATTTCCTCGTTCGATGCGATCAAGTTCTTCGAGTACATGTTTCCTGTGCAGTGAGTGTACAGCAGCAGCAATGACCATCAAGTGTAACCGAATTAAAGAGGACTGTTTTGCTGTATTTTCATTTGCGAACCAGAAACTAGTCATGCATATACTTTGTCCCGTTAAAGTGTGAGACTAAGTCCGGGTTTTGGGCTTGCGTTTTCCGAGGACCCGAACTCCCGTTGAGTCTCAGTCTGATTTCGATCACTAAGTTTGACCTTCAGTCAAAGGAAAAGCGCTGACTTGTTCTGAGTTCGCGCATTAGACGTAGACCTGAGTGTCAGTCTGAAAACGGACTTCGAGTACCCGAGGCCTGAGCTCCCCCGTCAGGCCCGGACATCTAAGTGGGAGTGAGACGTCTCACCACGACGACCGGTCTGCGAAGCGCGCTCCAAGCTCTTTCTTGCGCAAACGCAAAGGCACACACACACACTAAGCTATGAAACTTGGGCGAAGCTACCTTCTTCCAGGGCGGGCTTTTCGCACTCTGGTGCTTGCGATATGTCGCACCGCGCAGATCAGGAGCTGAGATATTAGGACGGGCGACATGTTGCAGCCGGGTGCAAAATTTCTTGTAGTACGCGCTTGCTGCAGATAAAAGCATTGCGCTTCATGGCGTCTGCTGAGCGCTTATTTTTTTTTTGTTTTTCAGGTTTTATCGCTTCACTTCTTTTGTATCGAGCTAGCCAAGCCCAAGGGACAACGCATGTGTGGCCGAGTTCATTGCTATGATCAGACATGCGAAAATTCGTCTTTCATGATGGTACTCTACCGGCCGGCCAGAATGTGAAAAAGTGTAGCGCAATCCGATTCAAAGATATGTATGTAAGTATATGAATACGATCCGAAACCACCGCATCATAAAGACTCTTCTGGTTGGCCAGCTTTGTGTTGACGTCCGAAATTTGTTTGTGGATTTCGTGCAGCCGTTCATCACGGGCTTTGAGCTCCTCCAGGCCGTTGTAGTATTTTGCGTTCGCGACCGACAGCTCCACAGCCGCTGCTTCCCGAAGCTTTTTCGAATGACATTTAAAAACTCTTCCATATACAGAAGCGAAACTACTTGCGTGCTGGTTTGATCTATATGTATATACCATAATGGACAAGACATTTCGGCGCTCCTCCCAAAAGCTTCGGAGGGTTAGACAGGTTCAATCAGCCTGTGCATTTTTATAGAAGCTCGTGAGAACTTCGCAGCATTTTTGTTGCTGCGCAAATCGCAGAACTCTCTTCCGCTGACTGGTTTCGTTAGTTTCAGTCTTTGCAACCCGGAGAAGGGCAAGGCTTCTGGTGGTTTTCACTTTCCCAAATTTCGTTGGTTTTTTACGATGAAAAACCGCCAACAGTTGTCTTTTGTAGATCGTTACAGGGTGCGCGTCAGCGTTTTTTAGCGCTCTGCTATTTTTCATACCCGGCAGTGCGCGCCCTTACTGGAAAACTGGAAATCTGCTAAGATCCTAAACCTGACCATGGTGGACACGGCTACGAATGGCCAGCAGAAGCCTCATATATTTTTTTTTGCGGGGTATCGGAACATGCGGGGCAAAAAAGGCACAAACACCCCTACCCCCCAGGGGGTTTGCCGGGCTTTGTCTTTTTCCCCTGCCATGCCCTCCGCCCGCCGAGGCGCCGGCCCTGGCTGGCACTTGCGCAGCGCTGCAAGAAGAGCAATGGAAGCGCCCAGCTCATACGGGCGCCGCTCTTTTCAAGCGGCGGCGCCCTCCGTGCTCTTTTTCCGGATATGGCGCGACTCACTTCCCACCACAGCACTCCCCGGGCTTTCCGAGGCTGCGGAAGTAATTACTTCGAAGACGGGGGGCAGCCGGGGAGCCAAAACCCGCTCCCTCAGACCCCGGCTTCCTCAGCGCGCGCCGCTTCCCCTCGTCGCCCCAATTCCCCAAAGCGCTTCACTGACTCCGCCCTCAAAGAAAGGAAACCGCGCGCGGCCGCCCGCTAGCAGGCCACGTTCTGCATCCTCGGGCGCAGATGCCACCCAAGGGGGCGAGAAGGAGCATACCCAGCCGCCCGCCTGCTGGCAGACACGCGGGGGGGGAGAAATGGAACGAACCGCGGCGCGCAGGCCTGTAAAGGGGCAAAGCGGTTAAGGGTTCGCTTCGGCGATTGGTCGACAACTTTCCTGCTACCCAGGGGAAACAGAAAAAAAGAAGCGGCTAAAACGGGCGCAGTGGCTGACGTCGTCGCGGGCCTCGCAGGTGAGTATCTGCCTCCGAGCAGTGCTCCTCTTTATATGGTAATGACGAAACAGATTGACACGCTCCGCCTGAAGTTTGTCCAAACGGCCCCCACTTGAAAGGCTTTCGGGGTGCACATCCAGAACGAAGCGCGGCGCCCTTTCGTGCTGCGGAAATGCTGGCGAAAAATGTCGCAGGCCGGTGGCTATCTGCAACGAAGTGCCTGACCTTTGCAGCAGCTGCAAAACCTCGACAAGTATGGCGCCCCGGTACCTCTCCGGGAGAGGCCTCGAGGGGGGTCCCTCCGTCGTTAGCCATGGCCAGCGCTCACCGGGGGACGGGACGCGCCATACTCAAAAAGAGCGGCCCTCTTTGATCTCGCAGCGCCTCTAAGTATTCGCGATCCCTCAAGCAAAGCCGAGGCCCTTCGGCCCCCCATCTACTATTCTGCGCAACAGTTGGGCGACTCAAAAACACCGAGCCGGAGAGAGAGCGAGCCCAGCGAATCTCTGTGGCGCTCCTTCCTTCTTCAGCACGCAAGGGGCGGGGCGCATGTGGAACACGGCGGAAGCAGACCGGGTGGTGGCTGCAATACGCGGCAAACCAGAGAAATGCGGGGTAAAGGGCACCGGCCGCACGAACGAAGGAGGGGCGTGGGCGCCAGGCTGCAGCGGGAGAAAATCGGCGGGGCCGGGCCTCGACGCCCCTAAACGCCGAACTCTGCCCCCTAGACCCTAAACAGGCGTCGTCTCTCTTGCATCGCCTCCCCGCCGACAAGGAAGTCGCGTAAAGGGTGTGGGGAAAGGAGGCAGGGGAGGTGCGCGAGTGAGGCGCTTAGGGAAATGGGTCACGGGCTTGGGGAAGTGAGTCGCGCCTTTTCCTCTATTTTCGGTCCGGCGTCCCCAATCTCAGACGCCGGGCGCTCGAGACCAACGCCGGCCGCTTCCGATTTTTTCGGCTCGTTGCGTCGGCTCTGCAGGCGGCGAATGAGAGCGCAGCGTCCCGAATCGATGGCAATACTGCCCTGGGCGCTAAGTTGTTCAGTAAGAACCTCCGCGAGATAAAACACCTGCGAGCACAAAGGTCATTTTCTCCCACAAGACGTCAAAAAGCTAGCCAATTACTAGGCCGCTGCTGAATGATCCTAATAAATTGGCGCGAGTGTTGTCGGGACACAGGGGACACGCGGGGGCGCCGCTTTGTTCGCGTGGAAGCCAGGCGTCTGCCCCCCCGGAAACCTCAGCCGCGCGCTTCTGCGTAACACTCCGCCGACTGCTGTGGAGTGCGGCTCCTGCCCGTGTGGCCGATGTTTGGCCCCGCGAAGCGGCCGCGGCCAGGCTGACGCAGTGCGCCTTTGCTCCTCGGCCGCAAGGGCTGCCAAGTGTTCGGCGCCCCGGCGCTGCTCTGCGCCTGCAGAGCGTGCGTGCCGTCGCCGGTCGGGCTTATGCTTGTCCCCGGAGTACTGCAAGCGTACTCCCAGGGCCGTGGGGCGGTGTGCTTTACCGGAGAACACCCCGCGGCTGTTCCGGGGACCCGGGTGGGGGACCAAGCCGCCAAGTTCTGCCCGGCTGCGCTGTGTGTCTCTCTGTGCCCCAGTCCCGAGGCATGCGCGGGGCTATTCTCGACATGGGGCCCGCGGCTTCGCCCCTTCGCTAGCAGTAGGCCGGCCCGCCCAGGACACGCCCGCGGGGTGCGCCTGCTGCAGGGCGTGGCCACTGCTGCCCTGTGTTCGGTCCACCGGTCTGGCTTTCCTACGGCCCGCCCGGGCGTCCGCTGGGCGCGCTTGGCTTGAAAAGCAGGCGCGGTCAAATGCGCAACAATTGCGACGCTGGGCCCGCAGGGCCAGCAACGATTCCGACAGACCGGGAGACCGCTGCCGCGGGCAGGTGCCGCGTGGCATAGTCGAACTCGGTCGCGCGGGCTGCTCGCGTCGGCGAAACCAACGGAAAGCCCAGCCCCACCACGGTCCTGCGCTGCGTAACAAATCGCACCAAGCTCGGCGCGGGGGGACCTCGGGCGGCTCATTCTGTCGCTATGGAGGTGGGTGCGCAGCTTGTGCCCTCGGCGATTTTCCCCACTGGGGCCTCGCTGACTCACAGCAGGGCTCTGACGACGCTGTCGCTTTTGGGGCGCGTCGCTGACGCTGGTGCGTGGTACATCTTCCGACTTTTTCACACCAAAAGAGACCGGCTGCGTCGCTTACTGCGGCCGTGTCTGTTTATGCTACAGGTCCTTCCCCGCTGGGATTCCGGTGACCAGCCGGAGTTCCAGTTCATAAATGAGCACATGCACACACTCGCCTACATACAAATACTAATGAATCGGCCGAGTCCCGACCATGCATCGACGGAAGGAAACCCAGCATTTTTTGAAACACAAGCCTCAATGCGCGGAGGTGCTTTGCAGGACCGCTGTGAATCGAAAGCAGTCGCTCTGTAATTGGGATATGTATTTGCAATCAGATACTCCATTTGCAATATCTTTTTGCGAAAGCGCTGTGCTTCCACTTTCCACTTTGCGATATCCTTCTTCAGCTGTGCGACTTCCGTTTCCTTGTTCCGAACCTGTTTTAATTACTTTCAGCTGCACCAGTTGCAGTTCGGGTGAAGGTGTTGATCTAGCCTCGGTATAACACGCCAGTCCGAAAAGTACGAGGACCTCTTGGATCGCGCAAAACGACCGAAAACATGGACTATGCCCAAAAAAGAGAACTCACAGAATCGACGGCGCTTGTCTCTCTGTACGATGAAATGAGCAGACGAAAAAGCAAATCTCTTGAGACTCATACGCCAAAATATAATGGATACCAGTTCTATTTGCTGCTTTGTCTTCTCATCCGCTTTGACAACATTCTTGTTGAGTATGTCCCGCCTGTCATCCGTGGGAAAAGTGTACACAATGCAAATGCATCATCATACTCGAGACGTAGTTCTTTCGTCCACGCCTGGAACCATTCCTGTGCTTCACATCCTAGAACAGATGTTATTCATTGCAGGTCATTCTATTTCTGCTATCTAATCGCAGGCGCATATAAGTTGCACTTGCATACTGAAGTATGTATATAATATCGCGCAAAGACCGTTGGCAATTTAAGGTGCTTTGCATTTGGACTTGGAGGCTTCGCCTTGACGGAGTCAGAAAAATAAAAATAGAAACTGCTGCAACATAGACTTGCACGTAGCACAAATTTTCTCCCTGCGATACTCGCGCAAGAGGCTTTCGATTCTCTTCTGTTCCGCGTCGCAGTCTTTTCCCAGTGTTTTCCTCTGCTCCTCCGCCTCATAATTATGAAAGTTCAGAAGCCCCGCTGACCTCCTTTGGCTACAAATTCGGTTCCGGTCAAACTACGCATTCGATTCGGCGAACAATAGCAAGGCTGTCTCCTGGGTTCATACAAACACGCCTACAAAGGCCCCCCGCAAGAGACGTCGCGCCTTGCAAAAAAAACTATACCAACGGCCGTTCCCCGAACGATCAAAACAGAGCATCCGTCCGTAGGCTGCTTTTCCCCTCCATTCTGCGCGCTCTTCTTCCACCTCATCGTTCATGAGATCCAATTCGGACAAAGGCATACACATCGCATATATGAGTCACCATGCGAAAGATTGTTTCTGCGTACATCAAGTGCTTCCATTTTCTCGAAGCAGTCTTGCGCTCCCGGGGCCCGGCACGCTGGTGCCGGCGCTCGAACGACGAGAGGACCGCGCCCACGAGAACGGGGCAGCGCGTGCTCACCTCGTCCGATATCAATCGATTAGGGTGGTGGGTATGTCGGGCTGCGCCGGGCTCGCAGCAAGGTGCGGGACCAAGTAAGGCGGCAACAACAGAGTCGGCCGGTCCTAATGAAACAGCGACAAATAAGGTGGGCGCCTGCTTCTCTGCAGACCATGCGCGCGCGGGACTGCTCCCGTGGGCCTTCCGTGCCTTTGCAGCATAAAGCGAAACGGGCGACCCTTCATATATAAAGGTCACGCCCGGAGGGCGATAGGGGTCGCGTGTCCAGCCGGGGGCTGGGCTTCTTGGCCCCCGGGGGCGCCATCCCTTCCCAAGTGGCGCGCCTGGCGCGGCAAGGGCCCCGCCGGTATGCCGAAAAATCTGCGCCAGTTTGCCGGGCCGGCAGTCGGCCGAAGCTAGGAGCCCGGGGGAATCGGCGCGACGTGCTGAACGCTGCGCATACCGCCAGGCCAACAGTCCTCGGACAAAATCGGGCCAATGCTTCCGGGGGTCGGGCACGGCCTTCCCAGGAGACTCGATTCGGGCCAGAGGATTGCAATGGCCTTCCAGGGGGTCTCTCTGAGGTAGCCAGCCTGGTCGATTCGGCCCGAGGCAGCGATCTCCGGCGGCCCGATCTGGGCCAGCGGACTCCTGCAAGGGTTTTGGGCGCCTTTCCGGAGGCACCTCCGGGCCGAATCGCTCCTCCACCCCTAGGGGAGCAGCCGTCGCAGGCGGCGCGATTTGTTTGGGCCACCGCATTCCGGCGGAGGTTTTGAAATCCCTGCAAGACTTCTGGGCAAGTCGGCCCCCCGTCCTAGGGACGCAGCCTTCTGAGGCGGCCCGGTTTGGGCCGCCGTCTCTCGCAGCCCGATTTTGGGCCAGGGGCCCCATGAAGGATCTCGGACTGCGTGTCGGAGTCATCTCCGGACTCCTCTGGCCGAATCGCCTCCCAGTAAACAAGGGGGTAGCCGTCGCAGGCAGCGCGACTAGGGCACACGGGTGCCCCGTAAGATCTAGATCTTCCCGGGCCCCTATGGCCAAATCGGCCCCCGGCCCTTGGGAGGGCAGCGGCCTCGGGTTCCCGAGCCGCGGATTTCCCGATACGCTTTTGCAATCCTTGAAGGAGCCCTCTGTTCCGGAGAGACCTCCGACGGCCCGATTTGGGCAAGGGGGCCTACAGGAAGGCTTTCGGGATCCTTCTCGGAATCAGCCGGCCCAAATTGCATCGCCTAAGTCGACCGCTTCTCGTGGATCGGGGGCCGATTCGACCACAGGACTCCGACCCAATACATAGAGTCGCCGAGGCGGGGGTAGCGGGGCTGCTGGCGCCTTCTTGCTCTGGTGGGGCTGCGTCACGATGTTGATTCGTCCGGGCGCCCCGCGCCCTCGTGGGTCGTGTAGGGCTGCACGGGGTGGCGGCCAACAAGGAAGCGCCGCCAACTCTGCTAACTGTAGGCCGCCCATCGCCGAAAGCCAGCCCCGAAGGTCTGGGGTCGGAAAAGGATCAAAAATTGGCCGGCCAACATCCTGGGCTTGCCGCGCTTTCTCTTTTTCGAGCTTCATTTTGGAGGGCGCCACCTTTGCTAAGCTTTTTCGCAACAGGAGCCGGCGAAAAGGTGCCCGCTTCAGCGGCCGCCCAAGTTGTTCGCTCCGAAATCGCCCGCGGCCGCGCCGTGCGGCTACGCTGTTCTGATTTCGCACGCGAATTTTTTTTTTTTGAAACCGGCGCGGAAGTCCAAAACCGCCGGAAACCCTTCAGCGGGCGCTCCCGAAAAGCGCCCCGTTTGCTTACTGCCAGAGCGGAGCGGTTCTGTGATCTAATTGCGTGCCAAGGGTAGCTGACTCCTTGGAGGTGCTGGGGTCAGAGCGGCGCCGTGCCCAGGGGCTTGACGCGATGCGCCTGCCGGGCTCGGAGGGGCGTTGCTTTTCTGTGCGCCGTACCGACACCCCTGCCGTTAATCCCAGTCCGCGTGCCCTGGCGCATAGATGCAGGAAAAATCGCGGCAAAAGCTTCGCAGCTTTTCGACATCGCAAACACACCTACTCTACACAGCTATGGCCCCGCCTGGGTCCTCGACCGGCCCGGCCCGATGGGCCCCCAAATGCGGATTGGCTTTCGGTGGCAGGTGCGTTCTTTTGTTTTTTCAGTCAAAAGAGCGCAGCCTCTGCGCTGCCCGCCACCTTGGAAGTTGCCCACTTGGGCTGCCGCTTCTGCGGCCTTCAAAAGTCGGCAAAAATGGCGCCAAGAGCATGCGCACTTGCGCTTCTGCCTTCTTGGCAATTTTTGGGCACCCAGTTCTGGGCGCTTCAAATCTTGCGCCGGGCGCCTCAGAAGGGCGCCCCTGTTGCCGACTTCCCTGTGTAGATTTGTCAAGCGGCAATCGATAGAATTCCCTCGGGCTTGTTTGGTAGCAAATCTTCGGCTGCTTGATAAGTGATGAGTTTAGATGTGTCAAAACTCTGCCGGCGGCTTGAAAATTTTCGGCAGTTTTTTTGCTGTCCTGGCGGAAAAAAAACCGCCAGGCTAGAATGCTCGTGACCTTACTAAATATTACGCTCCAGAAAGAAGCGTCCTCACCGGAGTCGGTCCTCTCCGGAAAGAAATTCTCACCAGAGTCGGGCCTCTTCGGAAAGAAGCGTCCCGGTTTGGAAATCCAGGCAGGAATCTTCTCAGGAATCCTATCTGGAATTCCTTCGCCCACCATATTGCCCTCCTAGTGTTGGGGAACGGCCGCGGAAATAAGAGGTGTGACGACGAAAAACGCGCGCCCGGCTAACGTGCGTCGAGTCGGGTAACGGCCTTCCACAGGGTCCAGACCAGAAATGTGCGCCGGCTTTTCGGGTCAGCTACTTTGGGCAAAAACCGCTATAGCTTCTTGCGCTTTGCCCGTTTTGAAACGGAGCCGCAACGCGTTACCTCGCTGGCCACAAACCGCACGGCGGTCCGCGGGGTTTGTGCGCTTCTGTTAAACTGCGCAACGCACCTGCTAAAGCGGAGTCGCCCACTCCCCGGGAAATGCTTTTTGCCCTTACAGGGGCGGACGCGTGTACTTTTGAGGGCTGAGAGCGTCACTTTCTGCAAAAATGAAACCGCTGCCGACGGTGAGTGCTTTGCCAGTTATACTATACTTAGCTCAGGTAAGTGCGTGGCCATTGGTCGGGCGTCTACAAAAAAATCCGCGCCGGGAACTGGGACGACTGGCTGGCCGGTCAGGCCAATGAAGTGGTAGCACCGGAGGGTAGGCGAATGCGTGCCAGTTAGCATCTATAGAAGCACACCAAGTAAAGCGGTAGAGGCGGACAAATAGTCGCGGAGCCACAGCTGATGGCTCACAGCGCTCAGACCAGCCTGGCGCGTGCACTGCTGCGAAAATGTGCGCGGGGTCGCGAACGTATCCGCAGGCAAACAAGGCTCCACAGAAGCGAGAACGCGTAGACGTATCGTGGTCCGTTAAGTGCCCCTATTTTCACGAGCGTGCGCTCCCTTTCTAGAATATTTTGGCAGCGGGCCAGTTTTGACTGGAGGCACCATGTTGAAACATGAGCCCCGGTGAAGTGCTACACTTGCAAACAAGCACAACGCATATCGGAAATGTGCCCGCCGAATGGTGCAACTTTCGCCATGCGCTACCCTCCTGTAAGGAATTATAATTACGACGTACCTTTTTTCTTTCCTCGTCGGCTTCCACGGTTTTTTCCGTAAGCGCGTCAGACAGACCTGTAAGCCGGACGTCAATCTCCTTGCGAAGTTGTTTCCGGATGCTCGATTTCTCCTTCAGCACAACAGACCTACGAAAAACGATAAGAAAAAAAGCTACTCTATCTGCGAGCATGAGGGAATCTTGGATATTGCAGTCCGTTTCGGTAGTTCCCAGGCGTCGACATTCTTTTGGATAGTTTGCAGATACCAAACGGCACTTGCAGACTTGTCCACTTGTAGCAATGAAGTGGCGATGTGGAAAAGTAGCCGTAGCAAGGAATCGCGACCAAGAGTCGCGGACCTTCTGTCTCCGAAGCGCGCTAAGCCTTCTCGCATGCTATGGCCCCTCCAGGCCCCCAGTTAGGGCGGGCACCACTGGCGGGCACACAACATGCGGCCTGTCTCACGGGACTGGGCGAGTTTTGCGCTTTTACGTGTTATTCATCAAATGCGCGTAAGGAAGAGCTCCCGAAACACAAATAGGCGCCCAGAGCGGCCGCTTTATTGGCCTCAGAGAGAGGGCGGCAACGCTGCCAATACCAAGCGGATCGCCGTTTTTTTTGCGCTTCTGCTTTTTTCGTGCCCTTCTTTGGTCACCCCAGTTCAGCGAATGCAATGCGCTGGGTGTCTAGGAAGGGAAAGGGCGCCGCCTTGCAGGCTCCACCGCGTCTCTTTCCTTGTAATGGAAGTCAGTGAGCTTTGTTTGACAACGACCCCGGCGCGCAAGAAGATTGATGGTCCGCCGTAGATGTTCTGTTGTGAACATGATTCAAAAATCGCCGCCCGTACTTCGCGATACGTAGCAAAAAAAGCGCCAGAATAGAAGGCTCGCCCTCTGACTAGACACACTTACATAGATAGCGTTTCCGCCCACGTATGACAGAATACTTTTTGTCGTTTTCATTTTCCGACGCCCGTATCCTTTTATTTTCTTCGTCGATTTTCAGCTTCGACAACCGCATCTCTTCCTGCAGTCGTTTGTACTCGGTTTCCAGGCGCGCTTCCTCGGCATTCATATCCCGGCTGGCTTGCTCGATTTTCTGCAAAATCTGGGTTTCATGCGAGAAAGCCTGCTGCTTCGCCCTCAATTCGGCGCGATTTCTGTCATATGTGTAAAATTATGCGTGGCGCAAAGATAGCACAGACGCCTACCCTTCAGCGTTAGCTCCTCTGCCTGCGCCAGTGGCGCAGGCAGTCTGACTCTGAGTCTGATCTGGTTCTGGATCCTGAGAAATATATGACTTTTGCGCTCCCCTCAGGAATTCCTGTTCTACGAGGGAACGCCTTCAAAATAAGCGCGGAGCCATTATATATTCTTTTCCCGGGGGCAGCGCGTTAGCAATTTCCTCCACATGTCCCGCGCCGTCCTGTCACCGCGTCCGAGCGCATACTCTAAAAGCGGTGGGGAAGAGTGTGGGCAGAGCCTACCAGCGCGCGCGCACGATCCTGATACCACTAGAGGCCGGGAGGGTGGGGGCAGTTTCGGTCGCGCGAGTGGGTCTGGCGGCGTTACGGCTGTTTTCGGCCGCGCTTGCCCACTTTCAACCAAGCAGCTGCGAGGCTGACTGAGGACGAGGGGCCCGGCCCTCGCGTTCCCATCAAACTGCCTACCTTTTTTTTTGCGGCCGACGCCAATGCTACACTTCTGATGGTGTACGTGAGGCGTGGCATGACGAAAAGTCAGCTACTCCGACTTCTCATCGGAATTCGCATAAACCCTGCATGGAGAGGTTGCTGTCTCCGGGTACTTCAGCGGTGTAAAGCAAAAAAAAACGCTTTGATCTTCTGCAAAGATAAAAAGAAGGTAGATGTATAGAGAGAACAATGCTCCGCTGCAAAGTTACCTTGGCCTTTTCCCTGCCTGCTCGGGCTTACAGGCTCGCCAACCGCCCGAAGATAGTGCGCACGCAGCCTGTGTCGCATGCCTCGCGCCGCCCTCCCTGTCATGTCGCCGGGGCGCAGGCTCTGGCAATGATGGGAAGGACGGCAGGCAAAGCCTCAACGCATGTGCGCAACACCCCGACATCATTCCCATCGTAGAGAGGGTCGACCACTCGCCCTCACTGCCGGCAAGGACCGCGCGGCGCCGGGAACGAGGAGGGCCGCCCAACCCGTCGGCCGCAACGCCCTCCCCCCTGCAACCCATTAGAAAGCGAGGGCAAGGCGGGCCGCGCGCACAGCCAAGTCGGGCAAGCGACTCGGGGCCCCCGCCCCGGCGCTAGCCAAGCCGGCGGCGCTTTTCTTCTGCGCGGCCCCTCCCTCGTGCTACATTTTTCCGGCAGCGCGCGTCTTCCCTTTGCGTTTGCTTTCTTCTACGCCCAAAGCGCGAGCAACCGCCGCCCTCGGGTGGCTTTCGCCGCGCTGCTGCCGCTCCTTTTTCTCAATACCTTTCCGCGAGCGCGTTCTCGCTGTTCTTTGCACGAGCCGGCTCTGCTGCTTGTTTTCCTCGGCTGCTCGCAACTTTCACTGGGGCGCGTCAGCTTCGGCGCTTTTCTCCTCTCGCACGGCTGCGCCGCACTCCTGGCGTGCCCGAATTCATCCACTTTCCTCGATTGCCCGCAGCACCCGGGCCCCCTCCCCGTCCTCTCTCCCACTTTTTCCTCCCTTCCTTCCTCCCTCTCCCCCTGCTGCCTGGTTCCCCCTACTCCTTTCCGGCTTCGTCTCTTCTTCGGTCATAGTGCGTCGCCCAGTATAGATAAAGCCTTGCAAAAAAGTGCGATGTACTATACTCTTCGCTTTGCAAAGTCAGGTCGTCAATGTCCTTCTCCAGGTCGACCTTTCTAGCTGTAATTTCGTCCGCCTCTCGGCGCTTTTCGTTTATCCTCTCACGTAACGCGGCTATTCCGGCTTCCGATCTGCATGTCTTGGCCAGCAATACGTGCACCTCCTCCCGAGTTCGCTCGGGGTCTATGCACTGCAAAAGTATCGCATATTGTACATGCGTCGCAGGACTACATCAGAAAAGGGCTCCCTTGCAGTCTATAGAATGGACCTTTGCGCTGAGGCGCAAAGCTATCTGCCGTCTGCAACGCGAGCTGTACGCAAGTGTACTTTTATGATTGATAAAAACCATCGTCAGATGATGCGCGTCGTCATGCACAGCAAACGGGGACATTGATCACGGTGCAGAGCAATGGAAGGGGTTGGCGCCCCCTCTGCTCTCCAAATAGCACTTCTGCTTTTGCATCCCTTCGAGCATTTCTGTTTCATCAACTGCATGGCACAGATGCACGAATGGGCGACGCGTGTTTGTGGAACTTGGTAGACTATACTTTTTTGAACTCGCACGAAAGCAGGGCCAATGGCACATTCTGATTGGGAAAAAGGTAAAAAAGGGGGCCAGGCTCATTTCACGACTTGAAGCCATAACGACATGCAGAACACGGCCAATCGCCGTGGTTTGTAACGCGAAAAACTGCTGGAGCAACGACAGAATCCGCCGTCTCCTGTTCCGCAGCGACGAGACTCCTCCCGTGCCGAAGGGGACACACCGACCGCCTCCTGCAGGAGTGGTCCCGAAGCACCACTTCGAACGCCAGAGAGCTTAAGTAGGCATACGAGCAAGAAGGCACCCGAGATCAGCTTCGTCACCTCGCGCACGCGAGGCGCCAGGGCCCCAGCGAGACAGGATATAGAGGTAGCCAGCCACCCCGCTGCGGTGGCCGTGTGCTGAAATGTATCCGACGGGCCCAACAGAAAGGCCCGGACCCAATGTCGCGGGCCTTTTATCCCGGTCGGCAGAAAACTAGGACCCGGCTTCTTCCTTGGACAGGGGCGGCGGAGGGTGCCGGCCCCTGCGCAGCGCAATCATGCCTCGGAAGGAGCCCCGAACGGGGATGCGCCCCCCCTGCCAGACGAAGTAGGGGGGCACAACTCTCGGTGGCGAGACGGAGAAGATGCGGGGGCTCCTTTTTAGTCCAGCGACTTACATCCATGCGGCGCTCCTCCTCAGGCTGGCGCAGCGTGCGCTCCTCCATGAGCCTGCTTCAGAAGAAAGCGGCTAGCGGGCGGGCCCCTTCCACGGCCGGGGACGTGTGGCGCACTCCTCCCTCGCTCGATCTGCTCTTCTGCTATGCGCCGCGCGCGCAGGGCATTTTGGAGGGAAGCGAGGCGCCGAACCAAATAAACAACAGTTCAAGCGCGCACGCATCCGACTTCTGTACGCCTGGAAATTCGCGCAAACTGCCACGACACACACCGCGGCCACTTTCCCCGCGGGCGGAAATGGGAACGAAAACCGACAGGGGCAAATCGAAGCCCCGCGCTCGCTTTATAGAAAACCGAAGAGATGAACCACACATCAGGACGAGGGAAAGATAAGAAACAAAACTATAACTAGGCAAGTAGAAGAAAGACACACGAACGGGCATCCAAAACGAATCGCCACACTGTACTGATTCCAAGCTGACACAAGAGTCCTGAGCATTTCAAAAAAGCCGAGCTCTGCTAAAGGAATTACCAATCGGGGCAAAGACAAAGCCAACCCTTTGCTCGCGTCTCATGGTCCGCGAGTAACTGTCTGACATCTGCAGCTAATGAATCCCGAGAGCAAGTCTGTTGCGAAAGCTTGAGAGCGCCTAGGCACCGCAGCGAGACCAAACGCTGGTCGTTTTAGCGGTGAGCGACCAAGAGTAGGGAGTCGCCCAGTTGTGTGAGTGAGTCCGAGAACCAGCCCCAGCGGAGCTCCAGACTTGCACAACACTACTACATCATCCGTGTGGGCCAATCAACCTCCAAAGAGTCGTCAGTGATGAGCAACACGCCTCAGGTGCTCAACCTGACGTCAAACTGGACTCAAGAACCACAGCGCCACGCACCCTCTCAGGGGTCACACTGTTGACTCCCTTGTTGTAGAAGCAGAAGGAGAGCCACACTGACGCCGCCGGGGGGATACAGAAAAACACGGAGTCATGCCCTGCACCTCCGGTTACCACCATCTAGGCTTGGAGCAAAATCAAAATCAACCCTTTGCTCGCGTCTTATGGCGCACGAGTTACTGTCTGAAATACAGCTATTGCATCCGGAGAACAAGTCCTTTGCAAAAGCTTGAAGGAGCTTAAGCACTACAGCAAGACCAAAAACTGCTCGCTTTAGCGGTGAACGAGCTAGTGTCAAAGCAACGGCAAAATCAAAATCAAAGCAACGCATCCCAGACGCGGTGACCAACTTTGCACGTAGCTGGCTAGCCCCCTGTGACAGCAAACCTAAAGATCTTTCACCTGCCACTGCAACTACATCGTAAATGAGCTCTGCCATTCCCATTACAGCGTTGGCGCCTTACTGAGAAGCGAAATCTCGTTCGACTGCGAGAGGGTGATCAATAGCCCCAATTTTCCTGAAGTACTCCTCTTTGGCTCGATCCACCTCGCGCTGTTGAAGCTCTTTCTGCAAGGTCAGGCTTTTTTTGCATTGCAAACATTTCAGACTCAGGAACAGGATCACATCGCGTTCGCGTGCCAAGAGGAGCCTCAGCCTCAGTGTCATTCTTACTAACTGTCAAGCCTGTGTGTCCATCTTTAGAAGATAGCGTAAGGAAGGCGGCACGCGTAACACAACTCCAGCGCGAAAGTCTCTTCGCTGCGTTCCGCTCCTACAGCATGCACAAAGAAGGAGCATCTCCCTCATCAATTGGCGTCGCGAAAGATTCACGCACAACTCCCCTGGTCATGATACGCTCGCGCTTCGTACTTTCTAGGCGGGCGTAGTACGCAATCGTACCGAAAAGCACACCCATACCCTATTCAAAAACATTTGGAATTCACGCGCGTTCGCGTTGCTGATGATGCGGCTACGAGGCAAAAGCCTCCGCACAAGAAGACGGAGTGCGAGGCATCAGACACGGAACTGCTGCCGTTATCGGTCCGACCAAGCTCTTTCGTAGTTTGTCGAGGGAGTGCCTTCGAAACGCAGCGAGCTATAAAACTAGCTGGACGTAAGCGTAACTCGTCAGTGAAGCTAGTGAAATAACCGCACTCAAAAGTAGCCAGCCGGAAACAAACCTACTAGGTGCGTCGCCCAGTCTAGGCAGCGGCGGCGTTCGATCCCTCACTTGCGCTTCTTGCCCTCTGGCCTCATCATGGGACCAGGGCGGGGCGCCGAGCCTCTGCGTGCCCCGAGGCAACGCATGAAGGGGCTGGATGGAGACCGTCGCTGATGTCGTGCCAGCTAACGGAAAGAAGCAAAAACTATAGCACATGCCGGAGCTGCGTATGTGCTACGCTAGGCGGACTGGGTCTGTGCGGTATCCCGCGCCATCAATTCTTTTCCAACAGTCGAAAGCTATTTCCATCGACATGCATTTTCTTCCCGCGCGTAAGCTCTCAACACGCGTCGGGCCTCCTGACGCCAGAGGTTCGCCTTCTAAGTTTCCGCGATGAAAGATCGCGATTACTTTCAGCATCCATTCCCATTCCACCTTTCGGCCTTCAGGGTCTCAATAGTCTTCAAGCTTTCCCGAATATACTATAGCTTCGCCGCGTTTTTAGGCCTTCCCTGATCATGATCTGTGGCCTTTCACTAGCTGATAAAGTGACTCCCAACAACTTCTACCGCTTCGGCATTTCATCTCTAGCCCTCGCAGCATTCGTCCTGGTTTAACGCCTCGCACGCCCTTACGACTTCGCGCGCCAAGCCCTGAGGCTGTCGCCTTCGAAATCAAGAGACGGATGCGCAGGAAGGGCGGCCGATGGGAGCTCGGGCCCCCCGCACGATTGATTCCCACGCCCTTCTTTGGCATGCCTCCACCCAACTTTCTCCAGTTCTTTGCAAGTCCATGCGCTTTCGCAAGCGAAGTCCCCTTCCCGGCGGGCGCCGGAGTTTTTGGGGCTGGAACTCGACGAGGCGCAGCAGGGGGGAGGGCAAAGCCCTCGGTGCGCGTGGGCCACACGTACCTACGATTTGTAGCATTGGCCATCTTAGACTTTTTTCTTGAAAATCCCCGGCCGCCATTAGTTTCTCGCTAGCCTTTACATCTCCGCGCGCGAGGCCTTCGCCTGCAGTGCGCAGGAAGAGGGAGGGCAGCAGGGGACTTAGGCCCCCCGCAAGATTTGTTCGAAAGCAGTCCGGCATCTTTCGCTTCCCGCGCTCGCGAGGTCGGGGGGCTTCGGTGCGCGCGGCGACAAGTCCTAGCGGTCGCCCATCCAGCTAGACAAGGGCCGTGCCTCGACCAGGTGGAAAACACGAAACAAACACGCCCGCACCACGTGCGGCTGCGCCTCCCGTGCCTGATTCGAGAGGAACACCCCGGTGCAGTGGAGGCGTTCGCCCCCATCCTGCCGCGCTTGTTGCCCTATGGAGAGCTTCGACCACTGCAAGCGGTGGCTCGGACGGGTCGTCCCCCAAGCGGACCAAGCTGATAAGCCACCGCCTTCCTCCCATGCGGCAATCGGCGTTCCGCTGCGTTGCGCGCGACACTAAAAAATTGCACCAGCTCCAAATAGTTGATGACTACGATAGAGGTGCGATTGTGTGCTCTGCTGGATAGCCTCGGCCGTTACGCCATTCTGGTCGCTTGCGTGCGGTATCGCGGCGTCCGCCTAGAAATCATCAAAATCTGGGAGCCCGGGTCTATGAAAACGGTCCGAGTGTTTTCTTTGCTTCCCCTTCTTCCAAGACAGTAGCTAGCTGCAACAGGCTATCATGTGCTCACGTTGAAAATGATCCAAATCTCGCCACGCTACACTTCGAAGGGAATTCTGCAAAGTGGCACGCGAAAAAGTCAGCCCGATGCCGCTGCGCGCAAGTGCCCTGCGCTGCTTCGGCCGGCCCGCGAAAGGCCCAACTGATAGACCCGATCCATCAGGAGCCTGCTTACAGTCATCCCCCGCGCCCAGTCTAGTTTTCGTGTGAACGCCGGCCGAGGCATGGGTCAGCGACTGGGGCGCTACCAACGAGGCCGCCGGGCCGGCCCGGCTTTAAGTCAGGCCCCGGGTCTTGGGTGGGGCCGCATCATAGATTGACCGCAACAAGGCCTGGCCGCATGTTGGTCGGGCACCTTCCTGCCGTCTCGCGAGCGCGACCGGGCTGCGTGGAATCTCCGGGCCCGCGGTCGGGTAGCAACTCCTGCACGCCGCAAGGCCGCGAAAAACCAAGAAAAGTGGCCGCCGCTTCTGCATCTAGAACGCTACGGCCCCCCTGCAAGTGCTTTCGCCACCGAGACCCCCGGACACAGCGCGCGTACTGTCCCCGGCCCCCTCGAAGGCTTTTGCGGAGGCGTCGTCGGCCACTTCGCAACACCCGACGCACGGGCGTCACCAGATGAAGTTCCTGTCGCGCTACTTTGCGTGGCCTCTACAAATCGCAGGGCCCGCGCCTCGGCTCCACCGAAGCGTTCGCAGGGCCATAGACGGCACGACGGCAGAACGGCTCGCGCCACACTTTGGCCTGGAGCAGTCGCCACCATTAGAAATCGCCAAAGCTATGCGCTTGGAGACCGAGGGGGCGGATCCATCGCGGTCCCAGACTCACTTCGTAGTGCGGCAGCAGTTCGAGCACTACGCGCCGCGCAACTGCCCTGGCCGACAAAGAAGCCACCTGGCAACGGCTGCCCGCGCGCAGTGCGGCCGCCTTTTTTATTTTTCGGGAGCGGCCCCGCATTAGCATTAGGGCTAGGCTAAGCGCCAGCATGTGAAGACGGGCAACAAGAGCACGCGCGCGACGCCCACTAGGGGATTCTTCCTACTAAAGTGCGGAAGTTTGCTAAGGTTCCGAGCGGCGGTGGGAGGCAGCGGTACAGAAATGAAACAAAGCGCGGACCCCGGTTGGGGCGGCTTAGCGACAAGCGGAATCGAGCGCGCACTAGCCTGGCGGCCTGGCGTCCGGCAGCCGCGCTAGCGGCCGGCAATTTCGATGGCCACCAAACTGGAGAGGCAGGCTGGGAAGAGTTTGCCGCCCTTTCAGAATGGTCGACGGGGCAGGGGCGAGACCGAGCCGGCGGCGTTTTCTTGCAGGTGGCCAAGCAGAAGTACTGGCCGGGGCAGAAGCAGTAGGTGCCCAAAATCGACCAGGGGCCTGAATGATGGCGCGACTGCGGGCTTCGGGAAGTGGCCAAGGAACGAAGGCAACTTTCATCCGCGGCGAATCAGCTCGCCAAGCAATTGGCCCGAGGGCCGCCCAAGGGCGGCACCCGGAGCCCCGCTCTAGTCGCCTGAATGGGCTTCGCGTAGTTGCTGAAAAAGCTGCCATGAACTTGCGGGGGCGAAGCCGCGGCGCTGGCTGGGCAGCAAACTTTCTCGCCGGCACACCCCGAAACCTGCAGCCTTTACCAAGCTGCCCCGCCTAAGAAACTGCTTTGCCCGCGGCCGCTCCCGCGGTTGCTGGAAATGCAAGCAACCTCCGCAGCACCAGCTGCGCTGCGAGTGCGACACCAGCTGCGCTGCATGCCCTTCGCAGCCGCACTGCGGGCACCCTTTTGGCTGTAGCGCGAGTAGGCCGCGTCTAGGGTGGCAGGCCTTTCGCACAATCCGTGCTGGCTTACCACAAGGCTGCCGGCAGAACACCTCCGGGCACTTTTGGAAAAGAGGGCCCTCCGCAGGAAAACTCCAAAAGCTCCCAACCGAAAAACAATCCCCGCTGAAGCGCGAGGAAAAAAGGCTCGCAGCTACGGCAAGGACGCAGCCCGGGGCGAACGGCGTGCCGGGCCTCGCTGTCGTGCTCGTTGCACTCAAAATCCGCTACCTCGATCTCTCGGGGCGTTATCGCTAGCGAGGCACTCTGAGTGCCTAGGGCTCGCTGCGTTTGTGCCATTTTCCGTGTTTGCGCTTTTGTATCAGCCGTGTCATCGCCCACCTGCGCTCATGTATTTTGACGATTGCCGCTCTAGCAATACCATAAGCAGGTCCGCAATCTGCTTCTCGTACGATTCGCATAGTTGTCGCTTCGTTGAGACTTTCTCAGTGTTGTTACATCAAGGAGGCAAACGTGACGCAAGCCGGGCCGCTACGGTCATGGCAGAATTCACGAAAACAAACGCCGCGGCCGGCACCGAATCTTTCGCGCTGGCCCTGGGCCAGCCAACGCGCCCCCCCTGCCTTTCAGCTAGCAACCCGCGCCGGGCCCTTTAAAATTTTCGGCAAACGACCCCTACGGCGGGGGCGGCCCCCCAAGCGGCTTCTCTCACGGCATGAAGGCTGCGCCCGGATGGCGATGGTGGTAACCGAGTGCGTGAGTGGGCATCTGGATAGCGCGAATGTCCGCCAGCGCTTTCCTCACTTTGCCCCGCCAAGAAGATGCGCCATCTATTAGAGGGCCGGCCCTGCTCCTTGGGCCGCAGAGTAGGGGCCAAGTGTGTCGCTTTCCACCGGAACACTGCCGACGCCGGGCGGGATGAGGCACGACGCTGCTACCTTTAGTGCGTGCATGCAGGCACAAAATGCACGGCACCCACCGCCGGCCTCCGGGGGCCGGATTCCGGATTTGTCTTCGAGGCTTACCGCAGGGGCCTGCAGGCCGGCGCGGGGTCAACGACTTCCCTGCCGCAGGCGATATCCGGCCGATCCGCAGCGGGGCATCCTTTCTAGCCCCCCTCAGACAAACTAGCCCCCTCTGCAGGCCACCCTGCCGTCGGGGCCTACGTCATGAACGACGGAGGGCAGGGGGGCGGAGAAAGGCGGAGCCAAAAAAGCTGCGCCACTTTGCCCATTTCCGGGAGCCCCTTCGGGCCGCCAAAGTCGGGCCCTGCCAGGCGGAAAGAATATTTTAGCCCTGACCCCCTGCCAGGGTTGGAAGCCGCGTCAGGTGGACACGCCTGCACGGGGTACATTTGCGCCGTTTCTGCGGTCAAATCCCGACGGTACTGGCCCTGTGGCAGTGTCAAAAATCCCGGCGGTATTGGCCTTGTGGCAATTTCATAAGTCCCGGCGGTATTGGCCTTGTGGCAGTTTCCCAAGCCCCTGGGCTACGGGTAGGCACCCCGGGCGTGATAAAGTGGGCGGCCAAGCTCAGCGCCGTCGTTTTTCTGAAATCCGACCAGGAGGGCGGCGGTGTGCGCAAAAACGCGAAAAAGTAGAAGGGCGCCCCGGCGGAAATGGACCGGAAAGCGCGCCTGAGCCTGAAACTGACGGCGCGAAGCCGCAAAATTCCTGACCCACGTCTACCATCAGAAGCATTCCGACCGCGGGGCGCTTCTGAAAACTGAAAAACTGAAGCGGTCTACAGACACGTGCGCAACCCCCTGCGGATACAGACGGGAAAGCGCTCCGAAACTGAAAATGAAGCGGGTCCGCTGCCATGTAGAAAAAAAAAACAATGCGAGAAAAGCTTCTTTGATCGCGCAGGTTGCCATCAGGTGAGCCCGGAACTGTCTGAGTGATGCGCTAGCTTCCTCGAGGTTAATTGCCTGCCCTCGGTCCTCGGTTAGTCGCCAGCTGCATCACAGAAGTCCGAACGCCGGCCGTTTTAGTAGCGGACGGACACCCGTTTTGTGTCCGCCAGGGTTGCCAGCTGTCCACCCGTAGCGTTCAGGAGATAGAAAGCGATCCCCATCCACCGATCAAACCATCGAAAGCCTCCGGGTAAGGGCCAAGAGCTGCTCGAACCCAGACTCTGACGAAGTCGACGGGGAAACTCCCACCCCAAGCTAATGCCCGGCCAGAAAAAAAACAAGGCGAGCACAAGCTTCTTCGATAGTCTTAAAACTATCTGGCGAGCCAGAAAAAAAACAAAACTAAATACAGAAAGTGCCCCGCGCTTCACCAAGTGTTCCGCGCTCGGGTCCCCTTTGGCCGTAGAGACCACGACCAGGCTCCCCAGGATATGCCGGGCCGCGTCGATGCTTCTTGAGTCCCGCTTTTCATTTCCACTGATTGTTTCGTATCGAAACCGTCACAAATGAGCGAAGATGCCCACACGAAGCAGCTCAGGTCTCTCCCATCCGTCGACCGAGTGGATTTATACCAATTGAACCCAGCAGGAGTTCGTTTTTATTTAAACGCGCTGCCCCGCTCTAACTGGGCACACGCATAGCTGTTGCAGTGCTCGAAATAACAATAAGTTTGAAGTTCCCATATTTGTACGCTTTCGAGCTTGAAGTTGCATTTGACGTCCTCAAATTTGCACGCTTTCGCGTCTATTTTACATGGCGGCAGAGAAGCGACACTGAGCCCGCACCTGGCAGCGCTGGCAGGAGCATAAACAGCACTTGATCATCTTCTATTTTCATTTACACGATACCGCGAGAGCGCAGCTCTGATCAAGCCGGTGCAACCCGGTTGCGACTCTGATGCCCGCAATGCGTGAAGTAAACTGGTCACGTCATACAAAAGGGCAGTTTCTCGCTTAGGGTCCACACGGGGCAGATCGCTGTCGGCTTTTGTTTTTCTATTTCTTTTTGCACCTGCAGCATTACATCACATTTTTCACCTCGATATGTCGGTAATCTTCTTGCCAAGTCCCTTGATGTCCGCATTCAACTGCAGGCACAATTCGTGATTGCCTTCGGACTGTTGCAGCGTGTCCGACACTTTTGTTTGGTAATTGTGCAACTCCTTAGCCAGCTCCTTGGACTTCTTAATCAATCGACGCTCGTTCTCGTGTGCCTTCCGGAGAGCTGCGTGAAGGTTTTCGAACTCTTCCTTATATTGGGTTAAGCAAGCCAATTATGACCAGTAAGCAGGTTCGCAGCATCTATCTTTGCAGATGCAATGGTTGTTATTGCGCGAATGCATAGCTGTAGTGCGTTCTCAGGCACCGTCAGGCTGCAGCAGACCTGATAGATACACAATCCAGCACTCCACTACATATGTAGATGCGCGACCACGTTGCTGTCTGATATCGTTTCGCGAACTTCGTTCAAAGTCATCAAAGCGTCCTTGGCCATGGCCTCGAACAGCTTGGCACTGTTGTCGCCATGTTCTTTCCACTCATCCATGGACATAATTCCGATGCTAGGCGTACTTCGTGGCGCGGCGAGACAGCTTCTCAAACGAATTCTGGTAGCTTCAGCTGCACTCAAATGCTTGACGCGTAGTTTTGCATGAACCGGCGCTCCCCCATAGCTAAGTAGGAGTATTAGCGCATGGGGTCAGGACGTGCGTCCGCTTCAGCGTCAAAAAAAAAAAGCCAACTGTAGACTGAAGCACCGTTACCGTTTACGCTACCGCTAAAAGTGCGCGAGGTCTTCTAATCGGAGCTTCCACGAGCCCCCGGTCGTTCCTCTGTCCGACTCGTTCACAAGCAACTGGCTCCAGGAAACAAAGAGGGCGCCAGAACTACGGTGGAGCAGCAGCAATATTGAGCCAGTCCTGCTCTGCTTTGGTGCTTAGCGCTGCATCCTCGGAGAGAAGGGTCCGCCGACGATGTGGCAGGTTGGAAGGCAACCTTCTGGATGGTAATCGCTGCGGCGCCTGTCATGCTTTTGCTTGAGATTGCCTTTGATTGACGGACACATGAAACAAACTGCAAGAGTCGAACAGCACAAGACCTCCGCATATGAATTCTCCGTTTATTTCGGCCTTTTCGCTCTCGACTTCTTTCTCTTTGACCAAGTGGAGCTTTTTTTATGTTGCGCAGGGAAGTAGTTGCCTGCTTTCTACTAAAGTCATGGATGTGCCAAGCTGAATACCGTTCCTGGTAATTTTTTCGGTTGCATTCGTCGTGACAAACATTGGCATATGTGGTTGCTCGCCAAAGAAGAGCCCTATACTCCATTATATCCGCGAAAGTTATAGTGGTTCTAGTTTTCGAGTTTTACAACTTTAGTAAACGAACAACGAACTGAAAACAGAGAAGATGAATAAAGAGAGAACGAACTGAGTGGGAAAGTAAGCTTCTCCCTCCGGGAGGGGTTCGAACTGGCGAGAAAAGTAAGCTTCTCCCTCCGGGAGGGGTTCGAACTGGCGAGAAAAGTAAGCCTCTCCCTCCGGGAGGGGTTCGAACTGGCGAGAAAAGTAAGCTTCTCCCTCCGGGAGGGGTTCGAACTGGACAACGGAGAGAGAGGGAGGTAAGGCGCACGAACTGAGTGACTGCGGCTCGCTGCGCGCGGCACCGTACCGCCTTGGGCAAGCACAAGGGACGCGTAACAAGGCGCGCGCAGACTCAGGGCGACGAGAAAGAGGCGCACCAAAAGCGCGCCGCCATCACCCCGCTCCCTCTATTCCCGAGCTCGGCTGTCTCTTTTGCGCCACATTCTGCTTTTTTGAACAACAAAAAAGGCTCTTCCCTGTACTTTGGCGGCCCCGAGTTGAAAAAAAATGCCGCGGCGTATGCTTTGCTGCAGAAAGTACTCAAGGCCGGCGCCCCCACCCTCACAGAGACTCTGGCGGCTCCTGTTGGGTTCGCAGAGTCATGGCGGGGGTTGGCCGGCATGGGCGAGAGCACGACGCGCCCGGGAAAATGACAAGAGGCCTGCGTCTGCAACTTGGCGGCCCGCAGTTGCAGAAAAAGGCCTCTAGATGATTGCCGCGAGCAAGCGCGCGCGCTTAGTCTGGATTGGTTTCTTTGGCTCGGGCGATGTTTCCTGGCTATTGTTGGGCGCGCAGCTGTGCGCGCGGTTGGGTGCAAGCCGGTTTCCTGGCAGCGGTAGCTGCGAAAAAACAAAAGACGAGCGCTCTCTAGCTACCTCTACAACCTGGCGGCCCCAGCTTGTCGAAAAAGACCGCCGGGCGAGGCTTGTTGAAAAAGACCGCTGCGCCCTCTGCTGTTGTCTGGCTGGAGGGACCCGGTGACCTTCCGCCCTGGGCCGTAGCATTTGTGTCTGGCCGCCAGCTGAGGCCTTTCTTGGCAGCTTGCAGCTGGGAACTTGTCCAATTTGTGCTTCTGTTTGTGTTTCTTGGTGTGAGCTTTGTGACCAAGAGAAACACTTCGACAACACCACTCCGGGCCACTGCCTGGCCTCCGATGGCCGTGGTAGTGGATATGTTGCGCGCGTTTCAGAAGCCACCCAGTTGCTAGACCGATTTCACTCCGAAAGAAACGGAGAAGGGAAGGAGGTCGAGCAAAAGAGCGCGGGGCGCCCAGGCTATGTGTTGCCCCGCTTTCCCCCCCCCCCCATTTTCTTGCGTTTTAGTGCTTATTCAATGCGAACGCGCAAAAGACAACGAAAACCGGGCAACATAGGCCATGAAGCGCAAAGTGCCAACTTAAAAAACAAAGTTTTACTGTAGTGCAGTGTCTGCCTGGTTTTGCAAATAAAAACTTCGCCGAAAGCCAACTCGTTGCCGAAGTTTTGGCGAATTTCGGCAAAAGAAATTGCCGAAATTGGGCAAGATTGAAAAGCATTGCCATGGCTTAGGTTTCCCGGCTTTGCATTTTGCGCGTTCATGCTATCCAATGGCCCGCCGGCCTACCGCCCCCCGCCTTCTTTTTTCCCCTAGCTATTCCAATCGGCACGGGCTGCCTAAGCAAATGCGCAGGCAGTTCGCGCAGTCCACAAGCTCCCCACCGCGGGCAGCCACTTCGGCGATGGCTCCCGACCCGAACACGAAAAAAACGCAGGCCCACGCGTTGGAATTATTTACTCAGTGCCCCGCGAGCGCGGAAGCAGTTCGCGCAGCTGCGCAATCCGTCAGGTCGCGCAGCTGCGCAGTTCGCAGTCCGTCAGTTCGCGCAGCTGCGCAGTTCGCAGTCCGTCAGCTCGCGCAGCTGCGCAGTTCACAATCCGTCAGCTCGCGCGTGCTCTGCAGTTTGCAACTTGTCAGTACGTTACGAAAAGACGAAAACTCGAAAACCAGAACCTATTGAAAGTTATAGTGTCTTACTCATACTCAGTTACTGTGATCATCATCATCATCATCATCATCATTTATCCTGCACTTGGGGGGGACGTTGTAGAGCTTTCCGCTCTCACACTCAACCCATTGCGCACATTAGCACTAACATCCGTTCTAGTGTCAGCCTGTTGTGCTTGTCAGATCATATCCTCTGTCGCTCGGCAGGTTTTTACTACTCCCCGAAGCAACTCTGCTCAGGGGCACTCGTTTTCAGACATATTTTCGGCGTCCAGTAACGAGCCCACTGTACTTCCGACGTGGACATCTGCGGACTGCTTGCCACGCAAATGTCTGCAATCACTCAGGAGATGGACTGGAACTACGAGGCTTCGATCCAAAGCGGGATCTCAGCATCCGGGTAGTCGTAGTCCTTGTGCGCCGGGGGACGACAATTGTTCCTTTGATCTGTTGATATGGAAGGATATCTTTCTGTTGAGTGCCGCCGATGACTATCCAGAGGAAAAACGTCCGCAACCCCAAGCTGTCATGCAAATCTGCATGCCCAGATCATCTGTAATGCGGCTCCACATGACGGGCATTTTCTAATCCTGTTTGGTGATCTGCAGTGCGCGAATCAGGGTGACAGAGTGGATTTGTGGTGCGTCTGGGCTACCTCAGCAGCACGACTACAGTGTGTCCCCAAACTTGTCATGCGCGACAATCACTACTTGCGGATTTGTCTAGCAGATTCCCCATGTTGACTATGGGGTTGGGGTGGGAGCCTTTTTGCACAGGATAATGACGACACAGAGTTCATGCCTGAGCCGAGTGCACTACTTTTTGCGCGGCGCCACAAGACGAAGCGAAGCGAGCGGGCGAGGCTGCTCTTCCGGCCTATATACTAGTGAACTTTTGCGACGGGGAGAACACCTACCCAAACTGCTAGTGCTCTCCTGCGAAACGATCCTGTCTCACTTTGCCTGTGTACTGCTTGCTTTCCTGTGATGAATGTCAGCGCACTTGACACGTGCCGAGTTAGTTTGGCGCCCCTCCCTTCCGTTCCACCCCTTTCAGCAATCACCGAGCGGCTGCCGGTGCCCGGTGGTTCTGGCACTTTGCATTACGCGTGTAGTAGCGGCTCAATTCTCCTGAGCGCTGGCTTTGCTACTCTGAGGGCTCGCGGTTCTGTGCAGGTGAAAGCCAGAAGAATGAGCAACATTGCCCGGCAGCAATGTCCACGATGGATTCGGGACCAATTAGAAGTGCTCTGGGTTGGTGTCCGGAGAAACGTCGGCGCAAACGCTGCTGGCCAGAAAACGAGCGGGAAGTGCCTGGGTGGGTAGATTGATACCATACGCAGGAGACGCAGCACCGCGCCACAGTAAATAGCCGCCGAAGGGGCGGCCGGTTTTTCCTCCTCACCCTGCGAAGGAGGAAGGGGGTTGATGTCTGTGTTGCCAAAAATACAGCGCTATGAGCGCGGGTGGTGAGGTTTATTGGCTCTGTTTCAGCAGAAAATCCCGGCCGCCACCATCTAAAAGCGAAAAAGATTAGAGATCCGAGCCCGTGGCGGCAGGTCTTCTCTCCGGCGCAACACAGGGGCCGCGGAGCTCCTCCCGAATATGTGAGAGCTCAGCGTAGTGCTTGTCCCGGGAGGGCACTGCGACATTGACTGACCTCGTGCGGCACATAAGATTTGCCCCACTTGGTTCCTCTGCGCAAGCCGAAGTAGAAGCAGTATGCGGCGCCTGTCGTGGAAGAAACGCAACGCGCGCGATCGCGAAGCCTGGTGGCGAGATGTTTACCTGTCTCGCGTGCTGCGCCGCTTGTCATCCTCGTCGACTCGGCCCTCGGGTAGCCACTTGTCCACGTCTTGGCGGCTTTCTGCAGTTTCCGCATGCCGCTCCGACTGTAGGTTTAAAAGCAAGCCCGGCCCGCGTTTTTGCTTGGATGGTCCGAAGCCTCCGGCGGGAAACCGTTCTCACCGGAAAGGCACAAGCGTCCACGATGGTGAGCGCACATCGGAGAATATCGACCGACCAGCCACCTCAGCCTAGTCTCACAGGCTCGATAGACTTCTACTGCATGGCCATACATTTTTCAGTGACGAGGGTGCGTGTTTCCAAGTAAATGGTCAAGAGCAAGAGCCTGTCAAAGCGTCGTTCCTATTGAAGCAAACAGATGCACTCGAGTCGTGGGGCTTCCCGGGCTGCCATGAAGTCCCCTGGTTTTTGCTTGATTGCTCTGCCTCTCTCGTCGAGAGCTCCGCACGCACGAAGTTGACGCAGCTAGTTGCAACCATTCGCATCGTTTTCGCAGTGCAAGTTTTCAGCCCCTCTCTGCAGTTGCTTACTTGTTCTTTTTTAGGTCGCTTGCGGTTGATTGCTGCAAACAACAAGCGAGCAGTGAAACTACTGCAGCGCTGGTCTTTTACGGGTGTCAGCACAAAGAACGACCCATCGGCGCTTGGTTTTTTGTAGTGTTCCACCTCACAATGACAATGGTTCTAGGAATTCCAACCGCTGGCATAGCTCACCCCAGGTGGACCGTACCATTAGGAAACAGCCCCATCACCTCCAGTATAGAAGCGTCAGGTGGGAAATCGTTCACATAACGGAGGCGGTGTGTAATACACAAAAGCGCCAAGCGTTTTCGTTTTAGCCATCAGTCTTCTATCTTTGCAGCACACCTTCGAAGCAACGCACCTCAAGGAAGGGCTAAGCGACCTCGGCGGCCACCAGCTTATTCGCGCTTTACTGTTTCGACACATGGAAGGACCTCGACCACGCTCAATATTCGGCGATCCCTTCCAGAACGACAGCCCGGGCATGGGCCGCAAAGATCCTCGCTTGCTGTGAGCGCGGGCCAGTTCCCTTTCTGCAGTTGCGACTTCAGCCCACGACCGGGGTCACGGGGTGAGAGATGGCAGCGGCCCCCTCCGATGCGGCTCGCTATAGGTAAGAGGCAGCCAGGGCGCCGCCATACCTAGGCGCACACCCCGACGCGTACCCGGTCACAGCGCTGGGCTGACACCAGACCCGCGGCAAGCCCAAACACTACAGCGGCACTAATGACGACGCCGGCGCTGTGCCCGTTGGCGGTCTGCTGCGCGCCCCCCCTACCTGCGCCCAACCTGAACAAGACCGGGCGGGGACCCGGCGAGAAGTCACGGCTCCTGTAGGTTCGCGGGCGGTTCCTGCAGGTGCCAGAGGCCAAGCGGGGCGCGCGCGCTTTCAACGTGCGGCCGCCATCGCCAAGCGCTAGCTTTATTGCGGGCCTGGGCTTGACTCAGATTCCCCCGCCTTTTGGCAACAGGTCCCGGGCCTCATACGTTCCTTGTTTTCTAGGCCGGTCGAAAGGGATCGCGCGGCCCCCGCCGGCGCCCCAAAGTTCAAAAAGTTTCCCCCTCCAATCCGAGAGAGAGGCGCGCCCCGATTGTGCAGCCCATCCGGCTTCTTCACAAGAGCGGAGCGGACCGCGGCACTTCCGGGAAGAATGCCAACAGGGGTGGGCGTTTTGCGTAGCGCATGACGGTGGCCAGGAACGCTCTCGCGCGTATCGTGATGGTGGCCGCGCCTATTCGTAGGCCGGCCGCGATTGCAAGGAAGCTCTTGCACACGGGCGCGGCGGTAGAGCAGAAGTAACAGTCAGAGTTCAAACACAAATACTGGAAAAATTCAAGAAAAAAGCTCCAAGCTAATACATAAGAAACGACCCAGGCGGCGCGCGCCGCGTGGGAAAAAATAGCGCGCAAACCTTTCGGAGCACCTCTTAGATTGGACGCGGAGATCTACGCCAAGCACAAGCTCGATGCTTGGCCTTCAAGAATCTCCACACTCCACTAAAGCGGCTGCCTTTAGCCCCTCTCGGCGGAGCTACATGCGGAAAAAGCCGGCAAAAAACCTCCTTCAAGAGCCAGAGCCGGATGGGAAAAGCTAGAAAGGCTGAGACGCCTCCCGCCTTACAAAACCGCAAGGCTGAGACGCCTCCCGCCTTACAAAGCCGCAACCTCCCGCCTTGGCAACTTTTCGGAGCGCCAGATCCAGAAAAAGCCGAAGCGCCCTCTGCGCTTTTGCTTGCAAAAGTGCTCAGCTTTCTTGTGTTTTGAGAACAAGAGAAAACTGGTAGAAAGCGGGCCCCCCGAGAAGTTTTCGGATCTGCAGGAAGACAATCTCGCTGCTTACAAAAATCCCCTCCACCTTCAGCCTCTTTTCGAAGGCCGGCCAGACCCGGAAAAGAAAAGCCAGCGGCCGGCCTCAAAGAAAGTGAACACCTTCTGGCTTTTCAGACGAGCCAGATCTGGTGGGCAGAGCTAGATCCGGCCAGAGTCCAAAAGTTCGCTTTTTCGTTGCAAAGGCCGCTACTTTTGGCTTGTCCTAAATTTGCCAGAAGCAGCCAAAACGTGGCCGCTTTTGGTCGTGCTGATACGTCGTGGCCTGGCGCAACCTTCAGAAAACCTTCAGAAGGCTTTTTGACCTTGATGATGATGATTAGTGCGAGCGGGGCTCGGCGCAGCTCCCTCCTCCGGCGCGCGGCAGGAATAGCCTGCCCTAATACCCTAGTGGTCACGGCGTTGACCGAGGCCAGGACTTTTCGTTATTCGGTTGTGGAACGCCCTCACTTTCGATCGTTGGGCCTTGCTTCATTCGGGGGCCGGCATGTTTCACACATTCCGAAGAACGGGGCGGAACTACCAGCACACGCACAGGATACGGCGCTTGTTTGTCCTATTCTTTGGCCTGGAGGTCAAGGATCGACCTCGCGATCACACTTACGGCTCACAGTACTAAACGCTCTGACCTCCGACCCGTACTGATTGCGCAGCAATCACGCTTGAGTGGACTCGAACCCCTCGGCTCGTTGAATGAAGTTCCACCAGTCAGGAGCTACACCCTGGCGAGCTGACCAAGGCAAAGCTCATCCCAACCTTTTGAATCCGGCGCAGTGGATCCTTTCCCTACTAGGTTTTTTATAGTGAGACCAGGGCACGCCCCCTGGAGACGGCGCGACTCACTTTTTGCAAACCTTCTCGCACTAGCGCCCATCTAGATGCGGCGGGCCTTGCTCCATTGATGGCGTGCAAAAAATTCGGATCGAACGAAGGCGCAGGCGCTCTCTAGGTAGGTAGTCCGAAGGTAGGCAGTCTTAAGGTCGTGCCTTTCTCTCAGTTCTTTTTTGTGTTTTCTTTTTCTGTGTCTTCAGAGCTGCTGTCTTTCAACAGCGAGCCCTTTCTTGGTCGGTTAGCTGGTTGCTAGCCGTTTGAAGACGTGCCTACTGCTGTTGCTAGGCGCAGGCTGTTGCGTGTGGCCGCTGGCGCATGGGAAGGCGGGCGGACCTGAGAGGTCAAGGCAAGCAAGCAAAGTCTTCAGACACGTTGGCCGGCCCCAAGACGTTTGCCGCACATCGCGGCGCCGCCATAAATCGACAGGCTGCTTTTTTTTTCCGCTCTAGAGACCGGCTCTTTCGCTCGTTTTACGAACAGCCTACCTAGAGCAAAGCACTCTGGTCGGCCACTGGACCTGCGCCGGCTGGCTAGTGGCCGACTGCCTTTCACGGCTGTCGGCGGGCTTTTTCCTTGTCCGGCAAGCTTCTGGGTCTCTGCTGAAGTCCTTCTTTTTCTTTTCGTTCTTACTGTCGCAGGTCGCCGTCGAACTGTCCATGTTTGCTATGGTTGGAGTCCGCAACCCGGCGAGAGACTTGGCGGCTGCCCCTGCCACGCCTTGGGCTCTTCCTGCCTCACCTCCTGTCGCCTGCCTCGCTCTGTTTTACGCCGCGCGCCTCGGCCTCTTTGCCAGGTTGCTGTCGTCCTCGCCCCGGCCTCGCAGCTGCGCTGCGTTGCCCCCCTTGGAAGTCGCGCCGCTGCTGTGCTCTGCTGCCTTTTCTCCCTTTTTCTCTTTTCCCGGTTCCGGGGGGGGGACGCCTTTTCCTGCCTTTCCCGTCAATGCGTTTGCCACTACTGCAGCAAGGGCCCCCTCGTCTACGGCGTCGCGCCCCTCATCGGTCCCGCGAAAGCCTTGCCCCTGTTGCTGTTGGCTTTCTTGGCTCGCGGGCCTGTCTTGCGTTGCCCGCGCACCTGCTTCACCAGTAGCCCCCTGCTGCTCAGCTTCGTCCAGGCCTAGTTTTTCTAGCAGCCATCTCGACCGTTCTCCGCGTGTCATTTCCGGCCATTCCTTCACCGGTGGGAAGTCATAGAGATTAACTATCCCCGAAGTCGTACACTGGCCAAGCACCACGCGAGTCGTGATTTTCTGCGCTGCCGTACCGCAACCCTGTTTCTAACGCCGGGGCGTCGCTTGCTACCTTCCGCCAAGACTCCGCGCTGTCACCGTAGAGGCAATTCTTTTGCACTACGTGCCCAAGCACCTCCATGGTCTCGATCGCTTCTGTCAGGCTTAGCACCACGCCCGCACCCCTACGCAGCGGACCCCGCGGCTTTTGGTGCAGTTTCTTATAGTCCTCCAACCTGTCTGAAGCATATCGCTTGGCCTGAGTGCCATGCCATCACGGCCTCCACCGCAGCGCGTGCACTGCTGCAATATGCCAGGACCTGCTGCTCTTGTTCTCTATCTTTCTTCTACTTCCAAGTGCGCCGCCTTGATCTTTGGTTGCAGCACTGCAACCATTTTTGTGCCGTTGGGTGGAAATCGCCCATACATAGATCCGAGCGGCCCCAACCTCGTCCGTAGAAAGTACTGAGGTCGTCAGCTCGTCCTTGCTTTTGCGCCCGGGCTAAAGCGCTCCGAGCGGTCCGGGATGATTCCCGCTAGCCGAAGATCACAGGAGTCGGGTAGTCGGGTCATTGCGCCTTCTGCTAATGCTGTCACTAGCGCCGCGTCCGCCGTTTGGCGCGTTCGCCGTGCCTCATGGTTCCGCCTCGTTCAACCCCGCGAGGCCAGTGCCCAAGATTCGCAGCGGGAAAGCTGCCCACTTCAGCACGCCTCCCATGTCAGTCAGCAGATTCCTTTGCGACAGAGCGCGGAGTATTTTGATGCCCAGAAGGTTCAAAAATAACGCGAGCCCTTTTGCATGTTTTTTTGTGAAAAGTACGCACAGTTTTCTTTTATTCCGCCTTCAGAAGGTTTTGGGACTTTGAACCTCAGAAGGGCAAAAGAAAAAATCTTCAGGAAGGTCAAAAACGAGGCGCATAAAAACCTTCCGAAGCTTTGCAGTCAGTCAGTCGCTCACGTCTAAGAGTAGGGCCAACGCGAGCAGGTTCTGCGTCTTTGGCCACAGTTCGGCTCTTTGCAGGCTGTTCACGAAGAGGGGACGCCAAACTCATAAAGAAAACTGTGGCTACGGTAAAGCTCTAGAACACACAAAAGAAGACTGTGGCTAAAGTTTTGCACATCGATCAAAGAGCTTCTGAAGGTTATTGAACACCTACTGAAGGTCCAAACTCGACAAAATTTTCTAAAGGTTTGAAAAAAAAAAAAAATTTCCGAAACAGGACCTGTATCCGTTTCAGTTTTGTGTCTTTTTCAAAGTGCCCACTTCTGCACCTTCAGAAGGTTTTTCGATCCTTCTGAAGGTTCTTCTGAAGAATTTTCTTCTGAAGGTTGTAGTGATTTTTTCCCGTATAGTCCTTCTATTGAATTATGCATATAGTTCCTACTTCGTCGTCGATTTTCCTCCAAACACTCCCTTATCTAAAGTGGCTTTGGTGTCGGCAAACAAACGTGTCGGTGGAGGGAAGGCACACTTCAGTACCGAGGAAGGGTCCTCGTGCGACAAGTGAAGCTTCGCTTTCGCCGCCTGGTAGAGCTCAGCCACGGTCGCTTGCTTCGGCAGAGACACGCGACAAGCTCCGTTACGGTGCTTCACTAAAATACTGCAAAACGAGGCTCCAAGTTCCGCCTCGCCGCCGGATGGGCCGGCTTGCGTCATGCAGTCGTCTCGCCTCGCCCTCGCACTGCAAGTGTGCTCCACGGCTTTCAACGGACTGGCTCTGACGGGAAGCGTAGCTCCAGTAGTTTTGCAACCAGGAGTTTGCTCCTCGACCATTGTCCGCGTCACCAATCTCCGGGCCGTCTGCGCACTGTTACTCCGCAGCTCGGCGGGATTTGCGGCTGGCAGACGTACGGCGTCGCGCTCATTCTTAGAAAGGAGCCGCTCTTCCATCTCTTGCCGGATCGGAACAATCTGCCCGTTCGCCAGAATAACCTGAGAGAGAACGAGATGTGCTGATGTTGATTATTGCCCCTCTGCCTCTGGATCAATCTGACGACCGAACACGAACGCAATAAAGTGTGCTCTTGCTTTCCGTCTTTGTAATTGCTCAACTCGCTTTTGCAGCACTTGCCGGGAGAGAAAAAATGAAAATCGCGCACGCGCGTGCGCATATAGACGCACGCCAACTACACCAGACGATAAATATCAAGAGTCAGAAGCTCCTCGTCAGTCAGGCAACGGAGGGCCAAGACTGCAAAGCCGAAAAGAACAAGGCAAGTGGCCCAAATGGCTGAGGGCGGCCGAAAGCCAGGCCCCGGGGGGACGGCGGCGGCTGCCTCTCACAAATACCAAGCGGGGGCACTGGGTGCGACCAAACTCCCCGAGGCGCAGAACCCCGGCAGCTGTTTGTTTTCAAAAAACAAGCGGCCGGCCGCGGCAGCTCCCTGCAGCCCAGCGGGCCCCGAGCGCGGCGCCCGCCCGAGGGCGCCGGCCGCGGCTGCTGCAACGCGCGGAGACCCGGGCGCCCTCCCACCGCGTTCCCGACTGCGCGTCGCCCTTTGACTTTTTTTTTGTTTTCCGAATCGGCACGCTGAACCTCCTCCGCGCCCTTTTTGGCAAACTTGTCCCACTAGTAAGGCCACCGGCTTTTTTCTACAGACGCGCTCGCTTTCGAACCCAAAAAATTATGGGCCCGCGCTCCAAAAAGAAACTCAAGCCATTTGATTTTTGGCCCAGATTTTTACTTTTTGTCATGAGGCAACTGTGCTCCGTTTTCTCTTTTTTGTCGTTGGGGCTGAAGAACTTTACGCGCCCGCTAAAAGTTTCGAACTGGGTCTAAATTTGCATATGCGATCGGGCTTCGCGGATCTGGGAGTGGGACTGCGACTGTCTGTGCCTGGGTTCGTAATGGGACATCTCAAGGGCGAGCAGTTAGGAGGTCTTATCTCGGGGAGCTTCTAGATCTCGAGTCTATTGCCTACAATTTGCGATAGTTTTGCCCAGCTAACACGCATAGCAACTCCAATACTTTTCGAAAAAGATCGCGCCAAAAACGCATGGAAGAGTGCGCCATCCTCTCCCATGATTACTCTCTACGCCCTTGGTCCCCCTCCATTCCTCTTCTTCCCCCCTTGGCAACTCGTTTCTTTGCCCTTTCCTTGCGTGACATAAGTTGGCGCCTTGTAAAATCAAAATAGGAACCCTAAATCCTAAAAACCCTCTAAACCCTTCCGACGCTGGTGGCGGAGCCGGGACGGAAACAGGATGGAGTAGGAGCGGAAGGGAAGAAGGATCGGAGGAAAAGCGCAGGAACCGCCACTGATCAGAGAGAGCGCGCATAAACGCATGGCGTGTACCTGAGCAGAGTTGCGCGAAATAAGTTGGCGCTTTGTAAAAAAGACAGAAAACCTGTGCGGCCAACAATCAAAATGCGACAAGACAGCAACGAGACCGAAGCAATCGACGAATAAACACCGGAGGCGAGTCAGCATAGTGCAGCGCTCCTATATCCTAAAAGTAGCTCCACCAGCGCAGCGAAAAAGAAGGCGCATATTGATAAACCACGCACAGACTTTGCCTCCCCCCGCGCGTTAGAGGCGGCGCGCGTTTAGAATAATGCGCTGGCGCTTGAGCGAAGCAACACAAACGCGAAAGACAGCAGCTTACATACTTAGAGCAAGCTCCTTCGGCACTGCATTAGCTGCCAAGGCGGGCCAGAGACTGCAGTCAAAGAAAAACGAAAACGCAAAAACTAAACTTAAAGTGTAAAGCAACAAGCAGACAGAGCCAATAAAGTCTATAGATGGGCAGCGTACTGGAGCAGTCGAGTTCGTCTTACCTGCTTCGGAAGGAGGTCCAGAAACTTTTCCTGCACTGCCCGAGAGGCAAGCCGAATCTCGTGGCTGTGATAGTCTTCGTTCAGCCGGTCGACCACCTGGAGACACACCCCATTGGGATAGTCGGACTTCAACAGATAGGGAAAATATCCGTCCATATCGGGTGGAAAAGGAAGAGCCACCCCCGCCGCATATAGGGGTCCCGGGCGAATGTGGGCGCAACCTCTAAAGAAATGGCTCGCCTCACGGAGGTGCTCCTGCTCACTCGCACTAACGCAGGGCCGCGATAGCTACGCCCTGGCGGTCGGGCAGCGTGTCGAAGCTGCTCGCCCCTTGATCCAGTGCGGTGCGCCCGCGCTTCGCTATGCTCCCTATGCATCGCCGATTCCCGGGCCTCCACAAGAAGACTCGTCGAGCCTACCTGGCCACGGTACAGAGGCAAAGCCAAACGAAGCGCACAGAGATAAGACACGCGGGCGCGCTGCAAATTGGCAGCAATGGATGCCGCAAACGAAAAGGATGGCGGGCGGCCCCGAGCGTGGATGAACCGGGGCCGCCCAAATCTTTCGCGGGCGCCCTCACCTCGAAAGCGGCAAGCCACCGGGGCCACTGAGGCGGGCGCCCGCGCCGGGTGGCCATGGCATGAAAAACAACACGCGGGCCCCTTCGCCAATCAACGGCGAAGCGCGCGGGGCTTCTAGTTTTCCGCCCTGCGCCCGCGGCAGCTGTTGCTAAGTAAGAAAGGACGGAGGCAGGCGGCACGCTACGGAAGTGCTGCCGCGGGCGCCCGCGGCACTGGCCAGCGCTGAACACTGCTGGGCCCGCGGCGGCGCGTCTACCTCTAGCCGGCACCCCTCGGCCTACCTTCCTCCGGCTTCCGGCGGTCCGGTTTTTTGCTTTCAGGCTTCCGGCCTGGTGGCTTTCGGTTTTCCAGATTTCGCCGCGCCCCCGGCTTCCGGGCTTCGGTGCCCCGGCTTCCGGCTTTCTGGCTTTTTGCTTTCCGGACCGCTGCACGCTGGCTTTCGACCGGCGCCCCGGTTTTCGGCCCGGTGTTCAGGTTGTCGCCCCTCATGCCTTCGGCCGGCCTTCAGATTTTCGGCGCCCAGCGCTTTTCGGCCCCCCAGGCTTCTTCTTGCGGCCTCCAGGTCTCCGGCGTTCAGGTTTTTACGCGCCGCGTTCAGGTTTCGGGCTTCCGGCATTCGCGCAGGCCTTCGGCCCCCGGCAAAGGTTTTCGGCTTTGGGGCCTCGCTCCAACCTTCATTCTCCGGCCTCCGCCTCGGCTCCAAGGTTTCGGGGTCTAGGCTTAGGCCCGCCGGCTTCCAAATCTACGGCGGCCGCTTTTACGTCGGCGCCCAGGATTCCTGCTTTGAGTTTCCCGGCAGCCACCTTCGCGCGCATGGGGCAAAATGGCACGGCCCGGGCAAGAAACTTGCTCCCCCACTGCTAATATTCAGGCGGGCCCCAGGTTGTGCGCCCGGAATCACAACCACAACACCGCCCAAGGGGGCCGCGCTGCGCCCTGGTGCTTTCCTTTTGTTGTCGCGGCGCCCTGGGCATCTGAGTGACACAGAGACGTGCTATACCAGTGGCGGGGCCTGGGTGGGGCCGCTCCCAGGAGATATTTTTCTGGCTACCCAAATGCCCATCGGCGTGAACGGTGGGGACGCGGGGGGCCAGCGCTGCCTTGAGTGACACAGGAGAGGGGGCGCGGAAAAGAGGGGGCGCGGGCACCCTCGGGGCCCGGCGGCGCGGCGCTTGCCCGTACTTGTGCGGGCGCGCGGGGCTACCCTTCTTTCATGCCATGGCACGCGCGGGCTGGCTGCTGCCAATCGCTTGAAGCGCAGTCGGGAACAAGAGGAGGAGGCGCGCGCGGGCAACCGCGCCGTCCCGGGCCCGGGCTGGCTTTGCCCCGGTGGCCTGCTGCTTGCACGGGGGCCGAGAACGGCAAAGACGGCTCCTGCCAGCCTGTGCGCCCCCAGGCTTTCGCGCACAACGCAAAAACCCGGCAGCTGGCTTCGATTTCTGGCGAACTCCTCTCCTTTTCTTGCTACCCAAGGCCAAGAAGCCCAGCGCGTCGCCTGCTCCCTCCCCACTTTGGAGTCGGCCGGCTTTTGTGGTGCGCCCTCCATTCGAATGTGGGCCAAGATGATAGATGCCCGCTCCGCGCGAGCTAGCTGCTTCCTTCCTGCTGGCCCCGTTTTGGCGCCCGTTTTTGGGCGCTCCAAATTAGCCGCGCGCTAAAACCCAATGAAAGAAATGGAGACAGGTTGCTTTGCTGGCAACAGTTCAGCACCCACGCCGCCTAGACATGACAGGTTTTACCTCTCAGGGATGACAGCACCACGGACCGCTTAAACATTGCCGGCCGTTTTGTGCCCGGGTGCCAAAGAAGCCGCCGGGCCTGTTTGTCGCATCGGATCACGCGGCACAAGCCCCGCTTTGAGTTCCGCAATATCGGTCGGGGGTGCCTTGCGTTATCTCTCTGATAGTCCAGCACGTCACGCAAGACCCGCTGCGCCGTCGAGTTCTTTATCACACAGAACACAAACGCCCTACCTTGCTTTTTGATCGCGGCCCCATCTCATGGCCGACTGTCGCGCATCGTGTTGCACGTTTGAAGTTGCGCACTACTGTTGCGCGCTGGGAGTTAACGGCCCGGGGCGCTCACCCGGCTCATACACTACGACCAGCGCGCGCGTTTTTGCGCGCGCTTTTGTTGGGGAACACCACACCGCCAAAGGTTCAAAATGCTGCAGCTTTGCACAGCTAGCAAAATCCCAAACACAAACACAAACGGCAGGGCTTGAGCTCCCTCGCTCTGCCGAACCTGGAAGGGGCAAAGGAAAGGGACCAAGCTCATCGGCTCCACTCTCTTCAGCATCATCATGGCCATAGGTCTAGCGCTAAGGCTCTGGATCTGAGTCATTTGGATCAGAGTACTGGGCTGCGACGCTAAGGCATTGAAGTCGCTGAAGGGCCTGCAGGTCGTATCTCGTCGCCATTTTTAGCTAATGCAGACGCTGGCGCCCGTTATAGAATTGGCGCACAACCTGCCGCCCTGCGCCGAGCACTCGGCCGGCATGGATGCGTGGCAGGCCCACTGCCCCCTACTTTTTGACATTTCTGGCCGCGGGGGATTTGGGTGAGCTTGCGCGCGCGACCGAGTAGAAATACCGTGGCGGCGGCGGCGCGCGCAATGACAAGAAAACCGCTACCCTGCTCCGCCCCGCTCGTTCGGGCTGCGGGGCCAGCAGGAGAAACAGGCCGCGCCGCGATTTTTGGAGGGGCGGGCGCCGCCATGGTACTGCGGCGGCTGATTGCGCACGCCCCGGGGCTTGTCGGGTGCGTCAACTGGAAGAACGGAAATTGGATCCAGGTCGTGTTTTATCTCGGCAAACACCCCCCATGCCGTCGCCGCCAACCCCCACCGAAGCCAAGCACTTCAGCCGCGGCCTCAAGCTGAAGCCGGTGCAAATGGGCAAGCCGAGGGAAAATGTACAGCCAATGTTGGCGAAGGTGGCGCCAGTCAGGGGCAACGCCAAGAAGAAGGGCGGCACGAAGGGAGCGGGCAATAGCGGGAAAAACGGAAACGAAGGCAAACGAAATGGCGCGACGCCTCTACTGATGTCAATCTGCCAGCGCACGAATCTCACCCACACTCCATCCAGCCGCGCGACAAAGGCAACCAGCAAGCCAGACAGCCCTGCGCGTTTCTCCGTGGGAGCACATGTTTGAAGAGTCTGCATACTGGGCCGGGGGACTGAAAGAAGCGCACGGGGTGAACGAGCCGCATAGCGGAGTAATGCAGCACACTCACGCGCTGCCTGGCACCACTCTAGCCAGGCGCGCAGGCTGCTTGACGCCTGCAGCCAAGAGCCGCGACAGGGCTTCTGCGTGGCTTACGTGCAACAAACGCACGGCAGACAGGCGGCACGCAGCAGCCTGCCGCATGCCGCACGCAGCCACCGCCGGAAGGCTACTTCTGATTGCACATATGCAACAGGCGTGCAAATCAAATCAAATCAAACCCGCCGTCCGGTAGGAATGTGAACCACTTGCCCCCTCCTCTGAATCACTCCCCTATCCCTTTGAACCACCGCCCGATCTGGGTCACTACTTAGCATCTCACGCATCACCTCCCCACCTCCCCCAGTCGGAAATTGAGCGAGCTGGTACCGAAAGGGCCGGCGCGCTGAGTACCCGGCCTGGCCCGCCGGGTGGCTCCGGCTGGTTCTCCGGCACCGAAATCCTACCTGGCCTGGCATGCACCAAAACAAATCCTACCTGGCGACACGGTCCGGCTCGCCGCCTCTGGAACTCAGGCCGGAAGGGCACGCGCTGGGGCATATGAAGAAACTTCGGCAAGCCAGACGGACCTTCCAAACACGCCGCCCGGCTGAAGTTATCGGGCGTAGCGGTGCGGCCGGGCCTGGCAGTTCCGGCGGATCACGGCGCGGCAGGCTTGCCCCGTCGGGCGAGACCTCATTTCCTTGTCGTTTTCATTTTCTGGAGAGCCTGCCTCGTCGCTTTATTCCTCAGCATTTTGCTTCTTACTTTGTAGTTTGTGATCTAGCGGAATAGTTGAACTTTTCTACACATCTTCACAGGCCTGGCGTACGCGGATAGTAGTTATGCTTTGCAAGCAATGATGTGGAATATTGTAAAGCTGGTATGGATGTGCCATTCTGTGTGATACGCTCATACTTGTAAAAAGGGTGACCCTCTAGCCGCAGCCCGTCTTGAAAAAAAATGAGCTGCGCCAGCCTTTCGGACTCGAACTGGTGTAGCCTGGTGCCGCCCTGCGGTCCTACCTGAACAATTTTGGCCTCCCTCTCCACGAGACCGCTCAACTCCGTGACTTTGCGCTGGATCAGCCCGATATCTACGGTCGGCGCCACTGTCCGTGCGTCTGTTTCGTCTTGTCTACGAGAGGGACTAGAGCTAACCGCCGGCGCTTCTCTTCCTCGCTCAGGTGGCCGACCCGGCATGGCGTTGACCGAAGGAGAGACCTTTAGCGCCTTGCCCTCTGCTTCTTGCGATCTTTCAGTTTCAGGGACCGTTGCTATTGTCGGGGACGTGTTCGAGGCCTCCTGTAGTCGAGATCTCTGCTCCGCGGGAAGCGGTGGCGCGGCCATGACCTTGGCTCTTATGCTCTTACCGACGCGATGGTGAGCCTCCTCTTCCAACACGCATCTATCGACGCCGTCCTCTGGAGAGCCTCCAACCCAGGTGAGGCCGTAGTCGGCCAAGAACCGTTTGATATCCTGGAGCTCTTTGCGCAACTCGGCATTTTCGGACACGACCTCGTAGAGCGAGACGAAGTTGTCTATTTGTGCAAGCGGTTCGTTCGCTTTTTGCAGCTGCATCCGCACTGCCCGCCTTTCGTGAGCGCTATGAGACGGGTCGGCTTGAGTTGTTTGTAGTCGCTGAGCAATCGAGGTCGCGCCGAGCGAAGATCCCCTTGGCGCAGCCTCCGGACGAACTGAGCTGGAACTATGAACACTGGGGGCGAGGCGTTCAAGAAGCAGCTTGTCGCTACTTGTACTTTTTGGGCTAGGCACAGGAGCAAAATGAACCGATGCGGGTCCGCCGGCGAAGGCTACAGCGGCGGTGCGATCCAATACTTTAGGACTTGCGTATACTGCATTTGGATGGGACGACGACGACACCCGCGGTAGTGCGGTGCAATGACGCGGCTCCGCGAATGAACCTCCTTGGTGCTGAGCGCGAGTAGCGTACGCCATCGGGATGCGCTGCCAGAGTTCCTCCTTCTCCAGTGCGGGGCTTCGCTCCGATCCGAGCCGACTGCAGAGGTCCCCTGATGATGCTCTCGGAGGCAGATTTCCCTCGCCTGGGTCCGGCCCCCTCTCGCTGGTCCTTGTTGACGCACGCACCGACGAGGCCTGTCGCAGCGCGAATCTTGGCGACGTTTTCCACGAAGAGAGTACTGTAGGACTGCTGACGCCGACAGCCGCAGTGGAGGTCCCAGCGCCGGCGGTGCTTCTGCTTTTCTTGTAATCTGTTCGAATAAAAATTTCAAAGCCTGACGCGCTATCGGTGGTTAAGCTTTCCTCGTCCTCGCGATGAATGTGAAGATTTGGGGCTCCCTGTCCCTCGTCTAAAGCACCTGCTATGGAGAGTTCTGGTAGTTGTTTCGTGGCGAAGCTCTTTTCAGCGCTATGGAGGCCAGCAGCCGCGTCCGTCGCAGTCCGAAGTGGCAATCGAGAGTGCAGAAGACTGACGCGACCCGCGATGTTCACTTGATTCTTCACGGCAAGATTCGTGCTAAAAGGTATGGCTCTCTCGAGCAGCGGTCGGGTAACCTGTTCGCGGCCCCCGAGCACACAGCTATCCACAACGCTTGCGAGCGCCCGCAGCTGCGAGCTCGTATTGGAGCAGCCATCTGCGAGGCGCGGCTTCGGGACGTCCTCGGGAGATGGGACACATCCAGATGAAGAAGGAAAGGACGCAGTATCGTGGAGTAGTGGCACCCGAGCGCCTCTTGGCGCTGGTGACAAGGAACTCATCGCGGACAAAGTGGCTTTCTCTCGAGTTGAGCCGTGCGGCGAAAGCGCGCGATCACGGGACAGAATACAGTGAGACGGTTGGTCGATGTGGTCGCGAGCCTGTTCGTTGCTATTTTTACTCAGTTTCTCCCGCCAGTGAGGACCCGCAGGTACATTTCGCTGTCCATTGACATTATCCCGCACGACACCAAGACAGACGCCTTGCAACAAACGCCCTTCATGTGAATTCGGGAAATAGTTGCTGCTCTCACCCGGACCGGCGACCGAGGACATCTTATCTTCTCAAAAATTCGAACTCACTCCTTTCCCCTCCGCACTGGCGCAACTTGTGAGAATCTGAGCCCACAGATAAGCCCCCTGTTGTCCAGCACGACAATTTGTTCAGTCAGTAGAGCTATATACACTGCGCGGCCTTCTGTCAAGACACGCGAGAAAACTTGCGAGGTCTCTCGTGTAGCAGCGCGAATCCGTTTGAGGGCCCGACATTTCTCATATCAGCTGCCACGCTGTAGCCGATATGTCCCGAAGGACCGGATTCCGAATTTGTCAGGGGCTGATCCGTCGCCGGAATCTATGGGGGCGATCATCTCCTAGGCGGCGCCCTCATCCCAGTGTTAAAGCGAGGGCATGCGCATGGCAAACAATTTGGATAAACCTGTGACCGAGCTGGGGGGCATGCAAAATGTGCCCATAGCTGGGGGGCAACCAAAAATGGCCGAGCTGAGAAATGACCGCTCATAGCTGGGGGCAAGCAAAGAGTGACCGCCCATAGCTGGGGGGCAAGCATAATTTGTGACCGGGCTGGGGGGCATGCGAAAAACTATAGAGCTATAATGCGCCAGCCTTTGTCTATCACGAGGGGAAGACTGCTCGAACTCCCACGACGGAACGCGTGACCAGTGTGCGGGGCCGACTTTTCGCGCTGAGAAACCTCACGCGCACAGTTTGTGTGAGGCCCTAGTGACAAGGGCCAACCGGGAAGACCCGGAGATCAAACAAGAGCACAGCGGGACGCCCAGCAGCTAACAAACGCTATTGAACGCGCGGGGTTCAATCAATAGTAATATTGGACGCGCGGGGAAGCCCGGCAGCTGCCTCAGTCAATCAATAGACATAGAGCATATTGACGCGCGGCCGCGGGATTCGCTAAGATATTGCATGCGCGGGATTCGCTAAGTTGCGGCTTGTGTGACAAGGAGGCAGCCCGAGACAAGCCAAGGCCTGAAGGCTAAGCGCCCGGAGATGTGGACGAGGGAACACAGCTCGGATTCTTTATAAAGTGAGCGCCTCCACCCTGCCTGGCGCCCTCGCTCTTCCACGGTCCCGGAAAGAGAGACGACCTAAAGCTCAAGGCTGCTCGCATTCCAACCTCAAAATTTCGCCACCCGCCCGATCCCACCCGCCCCACTCTGCACTCTCCCTGGTGCTTCATTGGTTTGCCAAGCTTTCTGCGAGCCAACGCCCCATGCCTGCGGGGTGGGGGGCTGTCATGCTAAAATATCAAAGCGCCGATCTTGCGCCAGCCTGCCTTGCGAGCGGCTAGATATGGGTACGGGTACGGGTGCGGTGTGGCGAGTAGCATAGCACCTAAAGCTTGTGCCAAGTATGACTACTTGTGCCCGACAGACTCGGGCGCTGCAGAGCAGACAACCCTCCACCAAAGCACTACACTAATAAGACTATTGCTTCCCGATGCTATACTACGCAGGGCGGGCCACAAAGAGTGGTCTTGTAATGAAATAAAAGTCGAACTAGCGCGCCAAGTCTGAACACAGACTCCTTTCCTACACCCTGTCTATTGTATCACCTTCATATCACATACTATCTTCTTTTACTAAAACTTTTTCTTCTGTCAACTTCGTAGCGCTGCGTGTAGGTATAACCTTAAACCCGTCTACTTCTACGCGCGTGCTCCGTACCGACGGTCTTTCTACATGGCACCATAGACAGCTTCTTCTGCAAAAAAAATATTTTCACAAAAGCGCCGACTTTCCTGCTGTGCCAGGCGCTAACGCGCGGGCATGCATCACGACTAACACTATTGCACCCCGCCACTTGCCGTCGGTATCCACCAATACAAACTCATACAAAGCCGGTCGGGGCCTAAAGCTACGGATCCCCCACACGACAAATAGCCCCGCCGGGTGTATAAGCCGTATGGTATGGCATGGGCGTGCGTGGCGAGTAGCATAGCACCTAAACTTTGTGCCACGTATGGCTACTTGTACCCGACTCCGGTGCTGCTAGGCAGTCTTACCCCTTGCCAAAGCACTACACTGCTAAAGCTTTTACTTCCCGGTGCCTGGTGTGGGCACTACGGGCCACCGTAGTGGTGGTCTTGTAACCAAGCAAACGCTTTTATAGTGCGCCAAGCCTGATCACAGACTTATTACCCTAAATCCCGTCTAGTATATCATCCTCATATCCGTAGAAGCAAGAGGCCAGCTTTTTTCGTGCAAAGGTGACCGCTTTTGGCTTCTCCCGAGAGAGATCCGGAAGAAGAAAAAAAGCCCGCCGAAAGAGAGCCATCGCAAAGCAAAGGGAAAGAGCTTGCCTCTGTACCCCATCCACAGACCTTCAGAAGACTCGCAGAACACCAGCAGAGGGCCCCAGCCTCCCGCGGGTCACTAAAAAAGACAACTATTCTGAAACACGACCAGACTTCGCGTCAGTTTATTCCTTGCGTGGTCCATTTTACATCCTCGTGACGCCTTTTCTACTGCTCGAAAGATTCCTCTGAACAAGGTTGACCGTCTGGGGAGGTTCGTAGATTTTTCCCCTATTGGCCTTCGCGCGCAAGTTTAGCGATGTAGTTTACTAGACGTCCTACCGACGGCGACCTGGTCGGTCCTGGACGCTCGCCGGCGTAATAGTCTAGCACTCATACAAGGGAAGCGCTGCCTGCCATTTAGTGAATGTGAGAAGAACAAGGCGATTAAGACATTTGAATTTAATCCAAGCACTGGACAGAATCAATTAGTTGCTCCGCGTGGAGTGTGTGAACTGCTGGAATGAATAGTTCAATCATCATCATCATCATCATCATCTATTCTGCGCGGGGTATCGCGCAGAGGGTTAAATATCGTGGGGCCTGTTCGCGTGTTCGGAGTTCGTTCTCGATGAGAGGTCTAGACATCAACTCGATGAGGGGTCTGGAATCGAACAAAACTAGAAAGCAAGCCTTGGAAATGGAATTGCTGGCTCGCAAGTGTTGGATGAATTTCACGCGCAATAGCAATACGTCAGAGCCTCAATCTATCCCTTGCTAAGAGTAAGAGTGTGACGGCCAAACCATGACTCCGCAATTTAAAGCCAAAAAGTAAAAACAAAAAACAAAAGCTCAGAAGGAAAAGCTAAAAGCTAAAAAGTAAAAGCTAAAAAATGAAAATTGCAAGAAAGAGAAAAGCAAAGCGTGCAGCAGAACGCCAGCGGCAGAATTTGAAAAACTTAAACTTTTGAATTGCTCAAGCAACAGCAAAAGCAGGCAAGGCGGTGCAAGCTGGATAAAGAAAGCGTGTACGGCGCTGGCAGAAAATGCGACGCCTCAGGTTCAAAATCTTCAACAGCTGGCGCCCCAACCCGAGGCTCGACCAGCTGCTCGCCATCGGTTCGCTATATAGCGAACTGATGGCGGGCGCCCCACCCCGAGGTCCGACCCGGTCCCCGGGCACCTCAGCCCGAGGCTCGACCAGCTGCCCGCCATCAGCTTGTGCTATACCGAACTGATGGCGGGCACTCCACCCCGAGGTCCGACCAGGTCCCCGCCATCAGTTCGCTATATACCGAACTGATGGCGGGCACTCCAACCCGAAGTCCGACCTGGCAGAAAGAACGAGATCAACTGAAACAGAGCAAGAGTTTTCGAAGTCCTGTTCTGGTTTTTTTTTTTGTTTTTCGATCTAGCGGAATAACTTAATTTTTTTTCACACTTCTACAGGCGAAGCACACATTGCTAGTTTTTTTGCATTGTTAGAGTCGTGTCTATCATCACCATGCCCCTCCCTCGCTCTTTTGCCAGTCTGTCATGTAGCGAGCCCATCCGAAGACGAAAAGTCGCAACAGAAACACGTCAGTGAGAGCAACGGCCTCGGGTGTGTCATAGGGTCCACGCAGCGGCGAGGCGCCCGGCGGCGGCTCCGAGAAGAGCGCCAGCTTTTCCGGGATGTTCAAGCGGCCCGGGGTTGCCTCAGGTACGCGGAGACAGAAGTCGTTCTGGTCCTGCTTCGACATGTACTTGCCGGACTCCAAAGCGTAGCCGCCCTGGTTTGCAAATTCTGTATAGAGAGCCTCGGAGTCCGCCAGGCTCGTATGTTTCTGCGCAACGCCGGCGGTCCACTTGAAGTGGAAGAGCACGACAAGAGTGGGGTGCGGCCGCACAAAAAAGACGCGAGGCCGGAGTTCGTTGGCTGGATGATCGGCAAAATTTTGCATCCACAAAGGAATGGTGCCGTCTCTTTCCGGATCTGGGTTAGTAAGTGCGTGCACGTCGCGCGAACCCTTCACCCAATGCGGCTGCTGTCCTAGTGTCGCGTGTCCTTGTACACCCTGGCTTCTGCGCTTTTCGTTGTGCATCTCGTCCTCCAGCAACTCGCGGGCAAAAAACTCGTCCTCCTCTTCGTAGTTCTGCAGGACAGCAGGAGCAGTTGACGTGTGTGTAGAGTGTCCTTTTTGTTGTGCTCTCCTGATCCCTTCCACGCTCCTCTCGTGTACACGCGCTTCACTCGAACGCTGCTGCTGGCTCTCGTCATAGAAGTCCGAGTTGTAAACGACCGGGTTGTCCGGTGTCGGCAGCAGCTGGAACACCTCGTCTCCCAAATGTGCCTTCATCTTTTGGAAATCGCGGTCACTGCCGCCGGACTCGACGTACTGCAGTTCCTGCAACAGGTTCCGTGCGTGCCGATGTGCCGGCCAGTGATCTTCCCAGTCGTCTACAACCTCGTCTACCTCCGCGTCCACGAGTCGTTCCTTGAGTTCTTCTTCTCTACTCGTCGCTTCGTGTATAACTCCGGTAGAAAAAGACGACGAGCCAGCTTCTACTGTTGCGTTTTTGGTTCCACTCGACGACTCTACTATTTTTTTTCGTGCAACTTTTATTCTTGCTGTCTTCGCCTCTTTGCGTTTTTCGTACCCCACCCGCGGGAGTAAGATATTATGGGACCCGTGCACTTGGAGCTCCGGAAAAACCACGTAGTTCAGTTTCTCCTTGGAGAATGGTGCAACGCGGGGCGGATGTGTTGGACTGGTCATGGTGCTCCTGCTCTTGCTCCTCGTTATATTGTTCGGCTTAGCCAAGTCCACCTCAAACTGCCATGTCGCCGGCGGCAGATGGGGCAGGAAGTCTTCAGAGGTTTTGTCTAGGTTCACGCGCTTCGCCCACAGTTCCGGCAGATGCGCCAATGTCGGAAAGCCGCCAGCGAACACCCGCGCAAACACGTCGTGGCCCGCGGACCGTAGATGGCCGCGGAATAAAATCACCTTGAGCGGGTCCGCGTCCATTGTTAGTAATTGTAAGGCACAGTTAAGCGGAAATTGCTCCCAGAGTGACGGCCGCAGCAGCTTGGTGGCGGAACACGAGACCGGAAGCGTTGGCGCGACCATCGTGTGTAGAAACGTACCAGCCCCATAGTCAAGATTGCATTTGCAACGAACCCTGCTACATAAATCCAGAACAGAGGGCGTCCGCAGACAGCATGGCACAGGGCAGGCCGCCCCTCTTGGTGTGCATAGCCCCACAATCAACTGGCGCATCATCATCGTCAGGCGCGAGCGGCTCAGTACGCTTTTGATGGCGCACACCGAAAAATAAGGCACATCGTCGCCGTCTCGACTATGCGCGCAGATGCTGCGGCGCAGCGGCACAATACCCAGCAGCCTGCACCTTCCGCCACTATGCTCTCCCGCGATCATGGACACAGCCACGCAAGGGAGATAACTTGCGCGCAGCACAATGGCGCCGGATTCGAAGGAATGCCCCAAAGCGCCCCCACTGCTCCCAATATGGTCGGGGCGGCGGAGCATTCACGGTAGGAGCGCGTCCCTTGGGGAGTACATATACACACAGACGCCACACAACACGCACGCACACAAGTGAGCCAGTACACGAAGGGCGCCCGGGTCTCCACAACAGACAAAAAAAAGTAGCGGGGCAGGCAAATGAAGCACGACGAAAGGCAGGGAAGGTATGCGCGTCCCGCAGAATGCGAGGGCGACAACGATCGACTGCGCTGCGTGATGGTAGAAACGTGGCGCGCGCGCGCCTGTTCGAAGAAGCGCGCTGCTCGGAAGCGCGCTTGGGGCGAGACATGTCCCGGGGCACAGGGCGAAAAGGCGCACCGGGGGCGAGGGAGCGGCATGGCACTTGTGCCACTTCCAGCGGGCCGCTGCCCTCCAGATGGGCACTCGTTTCCTGGCTGCCGGTTGGGGTGCACAAAGCCCCGGGGCTACCCAGCAGGGATAATTGTTGCGCCGTATTGCCAGTGGGAGCAATGAAAAACGCGGGCGCAGAGGCATTGTCGGCACCGCCCCGAACGGGGGTCCCGCGAAGTCCCGGGGGCCCCTTGCTCGGCGGCTGGGCCGCCTAGACAGCGTCTCGGAAAGGACAAGAAGGGCCAGGCGCCTCCGTGCCCTGCCAAAAAGATATAAGCCGCGGGGTCTTGGGATTACTGGCTCACATGCAAAGCGCCAGACGCAGACGGGCGACGGCCAAAAGGTAAAACCAGTGGTAGATGCCAAAACCAACGGCAAGCAAGGAAGGGGGTGCGACTGAGGCAAAGGGAAGGCCATTCGTTTGCTTTCTCTGCAGAAAGCACAACCAGGAACCACGAAGAAGTTTAAACGGGCCCGCTTCCAGTTGTTGGCTAGTTTGCAGAAAGAAAGGGGGCGCTTCGCTCCATCTCCCTCGCCGCGGTTGCGTCGTTCGGGCATGCGCCTCCGGACTTGCGCCGCGCGCTGCTCCTTCGGAAGGGCCGTCCCAGGCCAGGCTGGCCGGCCCGGCGCTAGCAGGCCAAGGCCGGCTCCCCCGGTGGAGCGCTCTCGCACGCACCTCCCCGCGCTTCGGGCGATGAACAGAGAACAGGGCGCCACCCTCCCCTCTAGGCAAGGAAAGAAAAACGACCGCGCGCGCGACTGACGTAGCTACCGAGCTGGCCGCCCAACTGCGTCTGCTTTGCCGCGCGGGCCTGCCTACTCCCCCGGCAAAGGAAGTGCGGCCAAGCGCCATCCAAGCCCGGCCCCGCGCGTGCCGGCAAGCGTGCGTGCCCCCCCCCCGCCCCGAGGTTGCAGCAAGCCCCGAATCAAGTGAGTCCGCCGGCTCGCCCCAGGATGGAAGGAAACCCAGCGGGCCTGCCAGGGACAAAACGCGGCCCGGCGCCAGGGGGGCACCCCGCCCGGCCCCCGGCCGGCTGCTGTCGTCTTCTAAACATCAAGGGCGCGGGGCTGTTCCCCCGAGAAATTCTGCGCGCGGGGGTAGTTGAAAACCACCCGGCCCGGGCCGTGGGGGTGTAGCAGGCAGCAAGGCCCGTCCGGCCTGGCCCCGGGGCCAAGTCCGCCCGGCCCTTCGAAGGCCGGGCGGGAGGCCACCCCTCCGGCTCCGGCCCAGACGAATGCCGCTATGGCAGAGCGTTCGGAAGGGCCGAAACCCTTCCGGCCGAAGACCAGCGCCAAGTTCGTCCGGCCGGTCCGACGCCCTAGCGAGGGAGCCAGAGGCCAGCCGGCCCAAGCAAAGGAGGCAAAGCCAACAAAGGTTGTCCGCCCCCGCACCCGGCCCCGCCACCGGCCCATCGAACCCAGCCGATGGGGCGCCCAAAGCTAAGGTCGTCCGGCCCGACGGACCCCGGGCCCCGCTCGGCCTAGGAACGCAGCCCGACCACTGCTGAAAGAGGGGCAGGGGAGTCCGAGAAGGGAAGGGCCCGAAGAAACGGCCCCCCCCGCCGGGCCAAGCCCAAACCAAGGGCTGTCCGGCCGATCTCGAAACCAAGTCCGTCCGGCCCTGCCGGGTTGAAAGTGAAAGTCCTGCCAACCCGCCACAAGCCCACAATAAAAGTAACACGAACGGCCGGCCGGCCCAAGCCCAACCAACAAAAGCCGAACGCGGCCGTCCGGCCAGGGCCCAAGTCCGTGCCAGCCAAGGCCAGCTCGGCGGGCCCGGGACCAAGCTGGCCCCGCCGCGCGGGCGCAAAGCCAAGGCCGGCCCGCCGGAATCGTCTCGGGCCGCTGCAAATCCGGCGCGCAACTCTTATCGCGGACCGCGGCACTTTCTTCAACACAAGAAAGCGCTGGCGGACTTCCTGCAGCTTTTCCTGTCGTCCTTCGGTATCGACTCTTACTGTTTTTGGTTTATCTCAACAAGATTTGCACGGATTATACTTGATTAACAACTCTGTCGCGCACACGCGGAGCTACGGAAGGCTGAAAATCAAAATAGCATGACAAGGACAAACACAAATGATTAAAGATGGCAAATCCAGTCTGCTCCTCGTGGGGCTACGAATGGGGCACAGTCTGCACCGCGACTGCTGGAGCTGGACATGCAAATTATTTGCATGAGAAGTTACCAAGATCGTGCGGGTACGTTTTTTACATAAGGTAACGACGATAGGCTGTTCAAGATCCCCGTTGCGGCCGATCCTTTCCGCGAGAAGCGCGAACATCGCGTTTTCTCCGTTGGCCTCAAGGTCGTCCACCAGGGCAACGAGTGGCGTCGGGCGTTTCGGGTAGAGCTTCATGCCAGGAAACATCGCAAATTCGTCGCCGTCAGCCTGCAGAACCCAGTCCTGCGGCTGCACGCCTACTTCGTTCAGGATGTAGAAGCGGTCGAACACCATTTTCTTCACTGAATAAGGCTCCAAGTCGACAAAGACATTGTCGCAGATGCCGGTTGTTCTACTAGTTTTCCTCTGCGACGCCTGTTTATTGATTTTTTTCCCTGAGCCAGTGATGACATCATCATGCGGCACATGCGCACTATCACGCGGATACGCTTCTCCTTCTCCTTCACCTCGTTCCGTGTCGTCATAGTACCCGTGGGGCCCGCACAAAGCCTGGTCCGCGAACTTCTTGGCCCGACCCACAGTGGGCGAAAACAGCAAAACGATGAAATAACGCGGATCCATCCCAAGTCGTTTCTGGTGGTGCTCCACCCAGTAACTCACCGTCGCGCGTGTCGAATTGCTGTTCATACCCCACCCCGTAAGGGCCCAGATTCGTCGCTCGTAGGAGCGCCGCGGAGAATTGGAGCCCTGTGTAGAACAGCTTGCCTGGATTGGCATTGGAGGGGTGTACTCGCGCGCAGAAACGGACGACTGTAGCAACGAAACACAAACAACATGTAACAGCGGCAACATCACAAACGAAAACAATGCCGACGCTTTTGTTCGAGACATGAGCCGCTTCGTGTGATCTAGGGGCCGCTCGCCCTTTTCCGTCGTGCTGCACGGCTCCTGGAGAAACGACAGCCGGCAAGCTCTACGCCGGGAAACAGCCAAGGAGTTGACGCACTACAATTTTACGAAGGAGCGCGCATCCCAAACAAGACAGAATGACAGAAACTTACTCTGCGGAAAAACAGTCCCGCCCTTACTTGGTATTTCGCGCCTAGCATATCTATCAATAGCGAAATGAGTTTCAGTGCTGCCAGCTAACGGGGGCGACACCGCCGTAGGGGCAACGACGCGCGCCGGACACGTGTTGTCATTTCTCCCGTTTTTCCTCCCTAACAAGAAGCGGCCCCCCGCATGGGCAGGGGTGCGCGGAAAAACAGCAACTAAAAGGTCGGAAGGAAAAAAAAAAAGAAAGAAGTCAATGTGTGTGCCGGCGCGCGTGCTCGCCGCGACCCAAGGTCGCTGCAAGCTGGTGCCGTGGCCGCAGCTGTTGTGTGCTCGCTGGTCTCGCGTCGCCCAATCACCCAAAGCTGTGACAGCTAAGCCCGCGCACATGTAGTCGCGACCAATGCCAGCAGTGGTGAAATATCTTTCTGACAAGTGTCTTCAATAGAATACATCACAAGAACCGTGTCAAGGTTCAACAACATCCATGCGGGAACCCGAGATGGGGCTGCCTGGCAAGATTCAAATAAATTTGATGTCGCGGACACAAATTGCCTATGTGCGAAGTTTCGTCTGTGAGGTCTTGTGAGGTTGCTCATTTGCGTTCGTGCGCGAAGGTGGAAGCGCGTCAGCTCACCTCTTTGCTTTAGTGCTATTTCAAGAAAAATCACTCTGGCTGCGGGACGCTGAAAAAGTCAGCTCGTAGAGGTATGGCGCCATTGCTAGTGCTGCTGACAAAGGTAAAGCCTTAGCCTGTGACTTCTTATTCCTGTGCGCGTAATAAAAAATATGCTTCTCGTTATTCTCGAATTCGACCACATCCACAGCCAAAATTTTTGCAGTAAAGTGAGACCCACACGTCCAGCAACGCCGACCACCACCACACACGAAAACCAAGCTGCGCCCACACCCTCCACTAATACTAGACACGTACTATAACCGGCAACAATACGACGAAAACCAATGGGGGCAGTCGACAAGAGTCGGCATTTCCAAAACGCGCAATGCGTGTGGACGCGTAACGCGCCACACGTGACGCCTTCGCGCCATGCATCGCATACGACGGGCGCCGTGTCGCGTAGTACACGCGCGCAACGAGTGCGGAGAGGCCGGGCCGGCGCGATGCGGCGCGGGGTGCGGCCGGTAGCTGCTACGCACTGGGCGGGGCACCGGGTGGCCGGGGGGGCCGCAGCTTCCACCTGCGGACGGCCGGAAAGTCAGGGCTTCTCTGCGCGGCGAGCAAAGGGGGCGCGCACTTTCTTGCAGCCAGGCCGTAAGCAACCGGGCGCCCGCTGCCAGCGGCGTCTGGCACGCGACCGGACGCGGGGCTGGCAAGACTGCTGGCAGACCTTCGACAACGGGCGGGGAGGGCGGCTAACTAAGGTACGTGGGGCCACGCCCTGGCGCGCCGTGTGTTTGCAGCAGAAACGGCGCGCCACGGTGCGCGCCTGCGTTGTCTGCAAAGCCAGCGCTTGCGCTCGCTTCTAGGCGGGCGCGGAGTTGCTTAGTTACTGCAGCATACCAATAATAGCCGCGCCCGCGGGGGTAGTGAGATCACAGCGGCTTTTTTGACTGTCCGCCCCCAATAAAGCGTTGCCTTGCATGGTGTCGGGGGCGGTACATATCACGGCCACAAGCCGCCCGCTTCCTGTCTGCAAAGTCCGAAGGCCCTCCCCGCATGCCATGGCCCCGCTAGGGCCTCCACGAGGGTCGGCCCCTTGGGCGCCCCAAATCAGGCCCATAGCATGCGGATTGGCTTGCTGCTTTCGGCGGCATCTGCGTTCTTTGGTTTTTTTGTGGCAAAGTCGCATCCCTGCTGCCTCCAGAGAAGCAACGCTTTCTCGCATGCATGGCCACCCCAGGGCCCTCCCCAAGCCCCGCCCCATTGGCCCCCAAAATCGGGCCCAGACCATGCGGGTTTGCTTTCAGCTTTTGGCGAGCTTTCCGCTGTTTGTTTTTTTTTGTTGAAAAGTGGCACCTTTTGGCTTGCTGCCCGCCTTCAAAATGCCCGATTTTGGTGGCCGGCTTTGCGACCTCGAAAAGTGGGCCAAAATGAGGCCCATAGCATGCGGATTCGCGGTTTTCGTATATATTGCGGTTTTTTTTCGGCGCTCCTTTCTGGGCGCCCCAAACCGCCAGAAACCAAGGCGGTGGGACCCTCAGAAGGGCGCCACCTTTGCCGGCTCCTCTGCGTCGTTTTACCAAGTGGCGACCGATAGAATCCTCTGGCGATTCGGTGCCGACACAGCCAAAGCGGCTCGATAATTGGAAAGTTTTTATGTCACAAAACTCTTCCGGCTGCTTGAAAACTGCCGCTCGTTTTGCGTGAACCATGGCAAAAAAGCCGCTAGAATAGAACGTTCGTGGCCTCACTACATACAAACCTAAGTCATAATTTCTTACGCTAGGGACCCGCTGAACTTCTCCGCTAACCCCATGGGGCGGCTCTCTAGCTCGGCGGGCATGGGTGCAGCGCTTACAAACTCCTGCGGCTTGAGCCAGGTTTTTTTTTTGCCCAAGTTCATGACGAACTTCTTTTTCTCGTGCGGCGGCGGGCGGCGGCGGCGCTGGCCTCTTACCAGAATCAATAGCGGGAGTGTGGCGTACAATGAATAACAATAAAAATAATAGGCATCCTGTACACTTTCTTAAACATCAAAAACCTTGCCGGGTTTTGGGACTTTCGCTCCTTCTGACACGCACGCTCTGGGGACGAATCATTCTTTTCTTAAACTTCAAGCTAGCCCAGTATTCTTGCAGTGTCGGATAAGTAGTTTTATTCTAGAACGCAACGACTTCTGCAGTATTGTTCTTGTCTTCGTCCACTGGATAAAAGCCCTTCTCTCCTTCCTTACCGGTATCCCACATACGGGATGACGCTTCGGACTCCGTGTCGGCGTATACGTGTTTCGTTCGAAAGAAGGGTAGTTCAAAGATCCCACCCTCCCCAAACAAGAATTTGAGCACAATGAGCCCCAAAAGCCCACCGGCGCCGTACTTCGCGTAGTCTTGCGTGGTCATGCTGGACTCCGCCTCCTCCTCGGCGGTGCTGGCCTGCTGCGGCGCTTCTGTGGTCACATTACTGCTATTTGTCTTGTTCGCGACACGCTCTCCATCCACGACATCGTGGCCCAGTTGTCGCTCTTGCGATGAGAACAGCGCTCTTACATTCGTTTGTGCGATTCCATGCTGCGCGTTTTCGCGTGCAGTCGTCTCTTCTCCTCTCGAAGGCGGTACTCGCCGCATAATCTTGGCCCGCCCCTGTTGTTGCGACGTGCTTGCTCTTTGCCAACCGCCACGGGTGCTAGTACTACCCTCGTTCGCAGTTCGAAGATGTCGGTCCAGGTACGTGTGCGAATGTTCGAGATTAGAAGGTTGTCGTTCTGTTTCATCAGTACGTTGTTGAGGCGTTCCACGGTATCGTGGGTCGTGCTTGCCTCTCAGCACGTTCGATCGCATTTGCAGCGCTTCCGTTTGCTTTCCGCCCTTACCACCACTCACGTGCCTCGTTTTCGTTTTCATCTCATTGAAGTTGGCATCTCGGACGGCACTTGCACTAGAAACAACTTCACTGCGATCCTTGTTCTTGTACCTCTTCCAGTCATCCGATGTCATTCTAGTGCGCTCTTCTGCGCCACTGTGCTGTCTTGTTCTGCTTGCCACGCGAGGACCCCAGGTTGTCAACAACGCCCCCATGTTTGGACTTTTCTGTCCGAAGTAGGCGGCAGACGTCCCAATTTCTTCACTACCATTGTGCTGCTGGTCTGTCGCTTCGGCTGTGGCTCCGTCAGAGTGCAGCTCCACTTTCGACGCCGCCGGCTTGCCTGACGTTTTGTTGGCTACCGGGAGAGAGTGACGACGTGAAGCGATAACTTTCCCAACGAATAAAGGAAAAATTGCGCATAAACAACCGCACATTGTTAGGTAGTAACCCAAAGCGACAAGAATGTTCTGTCAGGACACAAAACGAATTGCCCTTGACATTCAATTCTGCTCTCCTCTCAACAACATCTGCTACTAAAATGAAGTGCTTGCGAAGAGTCTATACCCTTCTCCGGCAAAACGTGAACATGCTTCCTATTGTGCTGTCCATAGTATGAGTATTCAGAAGTGAACAGCTTTCTTGCCCGCAGTCAGGGGGCCGGGGTTTCGCTGGCTTTCGACGCAGTCGCATAACTTCAGCTGCGTCGCTATCATGTTGATACGAACTGCTTTTGAGAATTGTCCCTCGACCACGAAAACTTAGCGCTTCTTCGAAATCCGTACTCATTATGTAAACTTTAGAGACTGTGCAAAAACTGGACCCCCTTTCGACGTGTCGATAGGGGGGGTCAGCGGCCTGCTGGCGACTTACCTCCCCCCTCCCCCCCCCTTTCGACAAGCGCGCCCGGGCTCTACAAGATGGGATGTGCGGGGCGCGCTACGCGCGCCCACTGGAGGCACTTCCCGGCCTTTCCTGCTTGGCCCGCGACCTACTTGCAAAAAATTTCGCGGGGCGGGCTGCGCGCGCCCGGTGCAGGTACATTGCCCACATCGCTGGCGAACTAGTTGAAAGAATTCTACGAGCCACGCGCCGCCCGAGGTGCAGCTACGTGACACGCGTGCGCATTACACCGTTGCGAAAATTTCGCGGGGCGCGCTGCGCGCGCCCGCTGCGGGTCACTTGCTAGGAAAATCTCCACGGCTTCGCTTTTATTCATTTGCCAATGACTTCACTTTTATTCATTGCGCACCCGCTTCCGCGCTTGCCAGGGTGCTAAAATTTTGCGGGGCGCCCTGCGCCCGCCCGCTGTAGATAAATCCCCAGAAACTGCGCCGCGCTCTACCTTCTGCGTGTGCCAGGCAGTGGGTGCTATACAACTTGAAGCGCCTCAGATGCAATTTGCGGACGGGCGAACAGTTCTGCTATTTTGGAAAGGGTTCCAACCAACGCAAAAACCAAAGTCCAAAACGACGCCGAGAGAGTGCTTGTTCCCCTAGTTAGTATGGAGACACGCGCTGGCGCTGAAGCTTCAGGATGTTGCTGTTGTTGGCTGAGTAAGGCGCAGCGATACCGATACGCCCGGCCCGCACCTGCCCGCCAGCCATTTTGGCTCAAGCTATCACATCGCGAACTGCTACAAAAAGCCCCTTTGCGCCCTTACTTAGCGAGGCTCAAAAGGCGGAAGGGTGCTGGACTTAGCAAGCCACGCCCCTGCACCTTGAGCCAAACGTCCTCGCTGCAAACTTCGTTCGTTGAATTGGCACTGGTTTGGCACCAGGACGCAAACCTCAACGAATACTTACTCGCACTGTGCGCCAAAATTTGACGCGATGGGCTTCCGTCACTCGCGAGAGTGGTGTCAGTCCTGAGTTGCCAAAGTTGAGACTTGTGGACCATGAGCCCAATGCCAAAGATGTTGCAGTGCCGGGCTTTTGGCTCAAGGTATCTATTGCGTCGCGACTTGCTACGCCCAATCCCTTTATTTTCACCCTTCACGGGGCATGGCAGGCGTGGGCCTTGCTTTTGAGCCCGTTGATTTTCCATTGGGGCAAGGGTTCTGCTGCATGGCCGGGCGCGCGATACGAGTCCGCGCGCCATACCATGGTGGGTAGTTTGATTCTGGGCGGAACGCTGCCCATGTTTTTTGCATTTGGGGCCGCTGGTTCCTCGATTCTGATCGCGAGGCGTCTTGATTTGGCGACGACGAACAGGCGTGGCCTTCATTTGCTTTTTTTAAAAAGTTGAAATCCGCCCTAGCGGTAGCCCACTCGGGCGGATCGCATCCGACGAATGCAGCCCGGCCTTGTTCATTCTAGAACACATGGACAGTGCTGGTGGACTGGGTCCGTCTGGTGAAATCCGCCCCCGTGCTGCGCGCTGTTGTTGGCCTGGATCCCCCCGCGCTCTCGCCCTCACGCTGGCGGACCGGCCGCCGCTCCCCGGCAGCCGACCTACCTACCCCCCCCCTTTCGACCTGTCGAAAGGGGGTCCAATTGTTGCGCAGCCTCTTAAGTTTCCAACTTTCAGCAAAATTCTGCACATGCAACATGTACGACATGGAGACGATGCAGTAAATTTAGGCCAAGTTATGCCAGGTTTTTGGCGCTTGTAGGTAATTTCCGTTATCCCGCACCCGGGCCCACCGAACGTCGAAACCGACCGGGCCACCCGGCGCACTGAGCGGCGGTACATGCAGGTGGCCCGACATGCAGGCAAAATTTTTTTCGGCGCGCGCGCAGATAGACATATTTGCATGGGAGAAAACTTTTCTTAGGCGCGCGCGCCCCCAAGAAAATCCCGACCCGAACACAAAACTTACGCAGGCGACGCACAGAAATTATTTCCCAGGATTTTCGCCGCGTCACGAAACTCTTGACACAGGGAAAATCCAGGGAGCAAATTTCTGTAAGTCACCTGCGTAGGATTTGTGTTCCGACCGGCAACACCACTCTGAGCACAAATATTACGCAGGTGACTTACAGAAATTAGTTCCCAGAAGGTTCGCCGCAAGGGCATGGCATCAAGATGTTCTGAAAAATAACCTAAGGAGATGAAAGCAAATGCTGATCCCCTCCTTGGTTCGAAAAGTAAAAATCTTTTCGGCCCAAGGGGATGAAAAGAAAAACTCTTCACAGCGAACGTTTAGTACTAGCAACTCATCTCAACTTAATCCAATACTCGAAAACTTTGAAGCTTAAGGCTCAGAAGTGCAGCACGATCAAAGCATCGTAGAAATTCAGCGTGCAAGTTCTCCCTTACCTAAAAACAACTCGTCCCTTTTTTCAGCAAGTTCAAAGTGAGTCCTTCTAGTTTTTCAGCAGCTGTAGTTAAAGAAATATTTCTCTCTTGTCTTTTTTCAACCAGGGGTTTTTCTTGAAATAGCGCTAGGAGAAAAGGTGTGTAATCGCGTTTCCACCTTCACGCATAAACACAAACAAACAACAACAAACAAACAAAAACTCATTCGGCCTGTGAGTCGAACCGTTCTTGCCTTTTCGAACCCAGGAGGTGAACAGAATTGCTTTCGCGACCGCTGAAGTGAAGGCCATCTGCTTCCGCTCCCACGAGGTGGAAGCAATTTGCTTTCACTGCCAAGGCGGAGGCGCAGACAACTTTTGTTCTCAGAAATGTGTAAGCTTGAGAGGGTCTCACGAGCAACCCCTTCCGGGACCCTTTCGCGACGCCCTTTCGTGGAACCTTTTATAGCTCGGGACTGAGGTACTTTCCGCGAATCTTTCCCGACCCCCTCTGCAAACATCCTCGACGGAGACCCTATCCGGAAGGTCTCAGCTAGAAACTGAGCCCCTAGAAGAGGACGCAGCTTCTTCTAGGAGCGGGGTTCGTGGTTTCGATCGCAGAACGTTCGCCCCTAGCAGAGCAAAGAACTCAACCGGCCCGAAAGCAAAACCGATGGGCGTTCCTAAAGAAGCCTCGGCAAGCGAGAGCTACTGCCCCAGGCTTCGCTGGGAACATCGCGGAAGCGTGAGGCGCTCCAGGGAGCTCGTTCTGTGCATGAGTTCAGGAACACCGTTCTGGAAGGCCAGGAAGAAAAAGCTGCTGCGGGAGTATTCTTACCTTGAAGCACAGACCAACTCGTTTGCCTATAGCTTCGACTTTCTGGCTTTACAGGAGTGCGCTCCTAGGATTTGCCTACTACGTCTCCAATCGCCACACTTCAACACGTGGAGGATTTTAGTTGTGTCTAACTGAGGTGATTGGAAACGCAGTCAGCAATTGCCAGGAGCACATTTCTGAAAATCCTGGGAGCGCATTTCTATAAGGCCTCCACGTGTGATTATGTTGCGCGAGATCTTCAGACCTACTCCTAGTGCCGGCCAGAGCACAAACCTTACGTGGGGGCCTTGCAGAAATGTGTTCCCAGGATTTGCGACAAACCTTGGGAACACATTTCCAAGCGGCTAGAGTGTGAAAGCTGTCGAGCGACCTTTTTTATTGAAAACGCATCGCTTTCAGTACCCTGGCACTGAAAAAAAGTCTATCCCTTGCTAAGACTAAAGTCGTGACGGCCATACAATTATTCCGCAACTTGCTTCCCTCCTTTCAGCGTTCCCCGCGTGCTGTTCCGGCAATGAGCGCCAACCCGAGCCAGGTCCGGCGGACAGCTGCGAACCATCGGCACCCAATACCCAGCGGGCGCTTAGCTAGGACGCTAGCATCTAAGTGAGCATACACCTCCCCGGGCACAACTCTACTGCCAATCCCCCACATGCAAAGGGCAGCGAGCAGGGGCAGCTCACTATGCCAGATGAGATTCTGTTTCTGCTTACGGACTAGCAAAGTTCAGAAATCAAAGGAGAAAAAGAACCCACCCCCAAGTGTGGACTCGCATGGTGAACGTTAAAAAATAAAAAACGCGTAAATCTACATTGCGCCTCGCCGGGTTAGCATTAAGAATAGCACCAAAAAACAAGTAGAGCGCATTCACTTAAGGAAAGGTTAGTGCTGCAGATATGTTGAAAGGAGCGAGAAAAATACCGCTGGATCAGCCTAGCGCTAACGAAGGCCGGGTGTGCAGGCATGAGAGGACGAGCGCAAAAACTACAGACGGCGGACACTACGACAAGAACCTAGGAAAACAAACAGCGCTAACAGGCCCACCTAGCCGTCAGGGGGTGCCTGAACAGCCTGACTCATAGTGTTATCGCAGCTGCCGCAATATCTTCAGCTGTCGCAACTATGTGTGGTAATCATGGCCTTAGGAGCGCCACACACATACCCAGGAGCGGGGTTGTCCGGTGGAGACGTCCTGGAGCCTTGTTTGCCCGGCTTTGCTCCCGGGGGAAAACTAAAAGTAAAAAGTAAAAACTAAAAGCAAAAAGTAAAAGTAAAAACTAAAAGTAAAAATAAACGAAAAGTAAAAGCTAAAAACTAATGCTAAGCTGCGGGTAAAAACTAAAAGCAAAGGCAAAAACTAAAAGTGAAGGCTAAAGTCAAAAAGTGGAAGTTGAAAGCAGAAGCAAGGAAAGGCAAAGCTTGAAGATGAGGGCCAACAGCAGAACTTGCAAACCTTTTGAATTCGACAAGCAACAAAAATACGAGGCAAGGTCGTCAAAGCTGGCTGAAAAAAGCGCGCGCGGCGCTGGAAGGAAGAACGACGCCCCAGGCTTTCAAAGTCTTGAAGAGCTGGCGGGAAACAAACAAGCCTAAGCAAAACGATCTGGGCACTCAGTGCCTGCATCGGGTGCAAAAGCCAGGGACTCTGCTCGCGTGTGGAGACCTACCCACAATTTGGCACGAAGAATGACAGCCGCGGTATGCAGAAAAGTGGCGCAAAAACCACTCCAGCCACAACAACTGCTCACAGCTGTTAGCACAGCCGCGCATATGCCTTACAACCGCAAAAACTGCTTGCGACCGCAATCAAAATCTGCTTACAACCGCAACCGCAAACGGGGCGGAGCTGCTTCTGGCCCTGGCTTTTCGTTTTTTTATTTTTGAGCTCCTGTTCTGGCTCTTTTTTTTGTTTTTCGGTCTAGCGGAATAATTTGATTTTGTTTCACACTTCCACAGGCGAAGCATTCGTGGCTAGTTGCTTACAGAAGTATACTGGCACTGCAAACAAATTGCTTCCATTGCCACGCACGGCATTAAAAGTACTTAATTCACTTTCAATACCTCCAGGGCATTTGAAAGCAATGAATTTGCTTTCAATGCGCAAGAGTGTGAGGCCCACTCCTGGCAGCCCGGAAGGAAAAGCGTGGCAGCCTTGCCGAAGAAAGCTGCCTGTTCTCCCTCGAGCTCGTGCGCTGGCTGCTTCCCAGCCTGATTCTTCATGGCCTTGGGCCATTCCAAGGGACTCCGCAGAGATGCTACCTACACCGCCCCGCAGTTTGTTTCCGTTTTTTTCATAACATGAGTGTTCGGGAACGAGGTTGGGAACTAATTTCCGAAAGCCTTCGAGAGAAGTGGCGCCGGGGCGCGCGGAGGTTGGGAGCAGCGTCGCCCCGGAGGCGCTGCGACGGCCGGCCGCTGCTGGCTGGGCGGCCCCTTCGTGTGCGTCAGTGCTGGCAGCGCACTCAAGCAAAGCGCGCGCTCTGAAATTGGGCACCACCTTGAAAACATCCATGCCGTCGCCTAAATCAGTCCGCTTGTGGTGGGGAAAGTCGCGCAATGCAATGAATAAATACAACCGCTACCATAAAACACAAGATAGCAAGGCAATGCATGGGTCAATGCAATGGAATACAATGTGGAGCAAGCTTCGGCACTGTATGTGCAGGAATAGAATACAATACAACACAATACAATACAACACAGCTCAGCGCCAAAGAGTTCACGAATGCGCTCGAAAATTGTCGCTCGAGCCTCACGCAGAGGCGCGGAGAAGGTGTTCGGATGAGATCACTGCGAGAACTCTTTTCTTCTTGTGAACAGCTGCTGAGTTGGACGATTCCCGTAAAGAGCCAAAATTCTCACGGGTGAAAGATGCAAGTCTGGTCATTGCTACTTTTTCTTGTCAAAGAAATTGCATGCACGTGGGCGACGTAACGCCTTGCGCTTACTCGTGTATACATGTACTCACATGAGGGCCAGCTACTATTGCCACACACCAACACAAGCAGTGCGAAAACCCCAGTATCGAGTGGGGTTTTGTGTGAGTGAGACTGGCCTTGTTTACTCGTCACCATGACTTGTTACACTCAGTTATAAATATGTAACCGCTACAGAGAAAAACTATGACGGCGGCGGAGGCCAATCTAACTCGTGACGAGACTTCTATTACTATAAGAATTACAACTACAACTTTTTTTTTCATTCCGCCTAACTTATATTTCGCAGCTACATCATTGTTATTCCTCAGCGCTTGACCTTCCTTTTTTTAGTTTAGTTTTTGTGTAGCGTTTGTTCCTTTCCGCGGTGTACCTTCTACAGGCACTGCGAGCGTGAACGTATGTGGCTTGGCTCGATGGAGCTTTGTAATTGCAACTTCAAAACGCGTAATCAGGTCCCGTTAAAGGAATTCTTGCAGGAGATCTTCGAAGAGTCACGCTTTTGACGAATTCTCGCAACTAACTTCAACTTCTATTTACTATTTGTGTGACTGATATAGCAACATAGTACTGTTTTTTGTTTCTGATTCTGGCTTACCATCCGCGTTATAAATTCATCATTTCGGAATCTTCTTCTTCATTTAGCAAAACCGAAAGCATAGATAAGTAAGTGTAGGAAAGTATTGCTTCGCGTCGCGTCAGCGCCAGACAATGATTTCTCTTTGATAGCGATAACCTAAAACTCGGCAGAGAAATCGATGACATTTTCAAACGACTGAAAAGTGCGTACCCGTACCCCAGAGAACTGTATCTCAGAACTTCATGCCTCCTGGTTCATCCATGGCTGCTCTCTCCTCACTTACAGGGCCTCATGACCCCGGCACCGGCTTCGCTTGCACGCCCTGCAGCAGTGTAGCCGGCTCATCTGCTGTACACTCGGATTTTGCATCCAGCATGCCTTCTGTAGCTGAATCCGTACCTGATTGAAAAATGCGAACCTTCTGCACAAAGACTTTTGGAAAGCAAGGGGGCTGTTGCGAGGAACGACTAACAGCTTGACTTGGTGCAAGTGATTATGACCTGCAGCATAGTGTGAGTGTCTGCAATATATAGATAACACACACAGGCAAAATTCCGATGACGAGTGACTGTGATGCCCGAAAATGTGAACACTTTGCATACACATACCAGTAAGTAGTACAGTGAGGACTTACCTTTGAGGCCAAGAGGAAGCGGCTCGACACACGCGCTCGCCTCGCTAACAGCGTACTTCTGCAATGTCTCAGCACCATGCCCATGGTTCGCTGGGATAGGAACAGCAGACTCTAGGGCATCGCCCACCGCTGCTTGGCCACCACGCTGACTTTTCTTGCGCACGAGATAGCACATCAGGCTGATAACGAGGGCGCCGCAGTATCCCGCGCAAATGCGTTCGGGTCAGGAGCGGATTGAAATGCATTGCGCGCATGCTTTTACTAACTCCCTAGACTATTACGCCGATGACCAGCACGCCGACGGTCGGGCGCGTAGCAAACATGACGATGACCGCAGAGGATCGGGCGCGTAGTAAACATAACAAGCGAAGAATAAAACAGCTCGGGCTTTGGACACGAGCAACCTCTTGCCTGGCTCCCGGGCTCTGGGGGCCGGGGGGAGCGGCAGCTTGAGGCTGGACACCAGCCTGGCGGACACCGGGTTGGGCTCGCGCTGCGCTTCTCCGGCAGCTGCCCCGCCCACAAAGTGCGAGGGATGGGGCTTCGCAGAACTAGCCGCACGAAGCGCAGAAACGTCCTTCGTCCCTGGGCCCAACAGTCCGGCCGCAGACTGGCAGCCGACGGAGGGGCACCAACCGGGTAGCCTGTTCGAATGCGCGACCGCCAGAGCGCCCTTTCTAAGTCGAAGAAGGACGAAAGGGCGGCGCGGCCGCGCGTATCAACTCCGAGCGCCCCGCACCGGGAATGCGCTGGGCGGGCAACGTTCGCGCGGAAAAGGCCCCGGCCGGCGCATGCAAGTAGGCCGGCACCGGGCGTGCCCCAATCAGTACGGAAAAACACGCAGAAAATGGGGGCTCGTGGTCCACGTCCCCTTTTCAAAAAAAAGAAAAAGGGCGCACTGGGCCCAACCCGGCGGGAAGAGGGCCCCCCCCCCGGCGTAGAAGCGGCCCGAGCCCGGCCGGCGGGGAGAGGAAAGGCGTCCGGAGCTTGGTTGTGCATTGCCCACTCGGAAAGGATCGGAGGCTTTGGAGGCGGCCGGGGGCCCGGCCGCGGCAGAGAGAGGGCCGGGGGCCACGCGGGGCGGGCCGGAATCTTCAAACGGAGGCCTTTCGGGCCGCAATCAAACGGAGGCAGGGGAGCAAGGCGCCCCCGCCTCGGAGGGCGCAGCCCGCCCTATATTTCACGACACGGACCAAAGCGCGCCGGAGCCGAGCGGGGTAGGTAAATGCAGTAGGTAAGGACCAAGACGACTACGGGCCGCCTCTGTCCGCGGGGGTAGTGCGGCTGCCGCGGTTTTTTTGCCTGCGCGGCCCAATTTTGCGGCACTGCTTTCGCGCGTACATTCCCGGTAGCAAAAGCGCCACGCCTTTTGTCTCGGGCACTCTCCCGTCGCGCATGACGTATGTCCGCAGGCATGCAGCCGGGGACCGTAGATATCACGACCACAAGTCGCCATCTTCCTGCCCTTAAAACCAGAAAACCTCCCCCGTATGCTATGGCCCCGCCACGGTCGACCCCTCGGGCGCCCCAAATCGTGCCCGCAGCATGCGGATCAGCGAGCTGCCTTTCGCGCACGTTGCGTCTTTTCTATTTTTTCACTTTCAATCAAAGCGAAGCAGTTGGCAAGCTGCTCGCCGCATTGGAAGTGGCCCACTTAGGCCGCCGCTTTTGCGACCTTCAAAATTCGAAAAAAATGGCGTCTAAAGCATGCGGGCCCGCGGGCGTTTTTCTTCTTGGCATTCTTTGGCGCCTCTTTTGGGGCGCCCCAAATCGGCGGAAACCAGCGCCCCGGGCACTTCCGACGAGCGCCCCTTTTGCCGGCGCCCACCCCCCCCGCGTCCGTCGCCCCATCACTCGGCAAGCGATCGAATAGCCTCGGGCCCTTTTGATTGACCCCAGTGCCCCGGCCGATTGAAGGCTGCCGCGTTTCTATGTGGGCCCAAAAGCCTTCCGGCCGATTGAAGTCGCCGGGCGTTTTGTTGTCTGGCTGGCACAAACCTTCCGCTTCCCCGGCCGGAGCCGCTCGGTGGCCTCACTACGTACCACCCTGGGCGCCCGGCCGGGCGGGCGCCTCAGCCGTTCCGCGCGTTTCGCTTCCCCCCGGCTGGCCGTCGCGGCGGGCGGCCCCCCGGAGAGACTGCCTACCAGGAGGGCCAGCCAGGCTGGGCAAGCCATCGTAGGGGGGGGCAACCAGGCGGCGCCCGCCGCTTTATTTGCCGGGGTGGCGAGGGCCTTGCCCGCGTTGGGCCGAAGAAGAAAAGCGGAAAATGGCCGCCCACAGAAACCCGGAGGCGCCCTCCCTCACTGGCGGCGGCTCGGGTCGCGACGGCGGGCCGGCGCGTAGGGGGCCCACGCCGAAGGCGGACCCCAACAAGCGCGGCTAGCCAGCGGCGATGTGGCTAGGCAGCGAAGCACCACAAGGCCGCTTGCCGCGCCTGCTAGCTTTTTTTTCCCGCGGCGAAACGCGACCGGCGGGCCGCGGCTGTGGGTGCTCGAGGTTTATTCCAATGCCCCGACCGCAGCCGCGGGTGCCTGCGCTAGAAACAGGAAGCGACCCAAGGTAGGCGGGGCGAGCGCACAAGGGCAACCACGGCAAGCAGCGCCCGCTCTAGGTAGACTCCAACTACCTCGGCCAACGAAGTCGGGGGCCGACGGAGAGGAAGCACAGAGGCAAATGGGCCGCCGGCCCGACGAAAACACAGGCGCGGGGCGTCATTTCCGCATTGCCCGGCCGGTGCTTGGTTTTTGCGGCGGACGCCCTGCGCGTGTAAGGGCCACACGGGAGCAGCTCGGGACATACGGAAGAGCCGGGCAAAGGGCGAGACAGTCTGCGGCAACCCAAGGAAACAACCCCGGCCCAGCGCGCGCCCCCCTCCTGCCAGTATTGGCTTGAACAAATTTCCGCGGGCCTGTGCGCTTCACTTAGTTCAATACCACGGCCGCTGTGTTTTGCAGCGAAGCTGCGCGCACTACTTTAGTATTTGAGTGCGGTTCCGCACCGATATGGGTCGCGCCCCAGGAAGCCTGACGCAACTTTTCGCACGCTTTCGGCGCGCACTTAGATTGCGCCCCGTGGCGCCCTGGCGTGAAGCTCTCGGGACGGCCTGGTCGTGAAGCTGAAGACCATCCAAGAAACGAGCTGAGAATGCTCGCCGACCACATCGGCTTGCAGCCGCGTTCCCGGGCCGCAAGGGAGGGCGGCCGCATAAAAAAAAGGGCTCGGGAACGCGTGCGCGGGCCCGCGGCTTTATCTGGAGGAAACGCGCAGCCACAAAAGCTGCCCCAGCCCACGATGGATCTCAGGCCCGCTCTGCCTTCCAGAGCGGCGGCACCAGAACTGCCCGACGCCGCGGCCCCCGGGCTACTTTAGGAGCATGCGCCGCGCCCTCCGTGAAAGTGTCCGGGGCTCGAGATCCGCGGAAGCTGCCACGAGCTTGCGCCGCCACCTGATTCATAAGTGCTCAAGTTGCGAGCCCCCTAGACCGAGCAGACTATCGAGTCATTGAAAAAAAACAGCACGGGAGGTAGAGAAGGCTGGAAAAGGAAAACAACGAAAGGACCAGCGTGCGACCGGCACCAGGAGTAGAGCGATACGAGACGAAAAGAAAACAGAGGGCAAGATGAGAAACAAAGCAACGAAATGGGCGGGGCCTGCCCATTTCGCTCCTTTGCCTCTCATCAGTCGTCACGCTGTGGTGGCTTCAAGTTCAGTCAGTGCTCTTCGCGATCTCAGACGAACGAGCCCGCCCAGAAAAACGAGCCCGCCCCCCTCTATGTATACGCAGCCGTCTTCGTATTACACAGAAGAACTACGCGGCTGCGCGGATTTGCATGCAATGCGAGGCGGGTGCGAGGCATTGCAGCCTGCAACCCAGCGAATGCGCCGCCTAGTCACAAGGCTCGCGAGTGCCTACCGAGCGCAGGAAAAGCCCAAAAGTAGAAGCCGCGGCATTTGCCAGCCAATTTCCCGCCTCGCAGTTCGCGAAAGGCGACGTTCACGAAAGGCGACGGCAATAAAGGCATTTTGATGCCAGGGGCCCGACTGCTTCCGAACCTACACGATTTGCGGGCAATGCTTGCAAGCGCGAGGCCGCGGCCGTTTTGCGACTCAAGCCGAGTCGTGTTGCTTATTAATTCGAAACTGAATCTAAATCCCTGCGAAATGCATATTGGAAAAAAATCACGCAGCCCAGGCATTTATATATTTTGCAATTGATATGCCAAGACCACAAGCGGCCAGCACTACTGCCAGCACCAGTGTATCATCTCCATCCGCCGAACCCGTACCAGAGCCGCCACTCGCCGGCGCGACGGTCGTGCTCGTAGTCGTAGTCTGCGAGGCCTCCAGGACGGCAAATGAGGGCGCCTCAGACGCTTCTGCGACCTTTTGGCTCAGGGCGGTGACGCTCAGACTGTGCACACAGAACTGGTAGCATGTCTAAATAACGCGAAAGGTTTCTGCGGCTCGTAAGGCATTCGCTAAAGCGATTTCGTTGCAAAGTGGCGCCTTGAGGGGGTGGTCCGTAAGAGGCTGACGAAGTGGCGCCCCTGAGAAAAACTAGCACATTAAGGGGCCGCTTTAAGTTTTGTGGGTAAAAAGCGGCCAATTTGCGAAAGAAACGTGCCTAAAGGGTCCCGATGCGCCGTCGGGCGGGCAAAGGCTCACAAGGAGCATCCGAGGGGCTGCTTAGCAGCTTTCGAAGGCGCTCGCCAAGGGCTGCCCAGCAGCATGCCCTGGGCCCCTTCGCGGCTTCTCTGGGAGCGCGCTAAGAGCCCCGCAGCCGCTTCCTTAGGAGCTCGCTTAGGAGCTTGCTGCGGGCAAAGCGCAAAGGCAAAGCGTCGCAAGAGCAAAGCCGCGCAAACGCAAAGCGGCGCGAAAGCAAAGCGGCGCAAAAGCAACGCGGCGCGAAAGCAAAGCGGCGCGAAAGCAAAGCGGCGCCAAAGCGAGGCGGCGCTAAAGGCAAGGCGGCGCAGAAGCAACCAAGAAGCGCAAAGAAAAGCAAGAAGGGCAAAAGCCAGGCGGCGAAAAAGCAAAGCGGCGCCCGCCAAAGCAAAGCGGCGCAAAACAAAGCGGGTCGGCGCAAAAGCCAAGCGGTTTGCCTTGGTCTTTTCGCGTTGGCGCGTTTCGCTTCGGGCGCGCTTCGCTCTGGCCTTTCTCGCTTCGGTTGGTTTTTTTCGCTAGGTCCGCGACCCCCGCCCCAACTGGGTGCGCGAGAAGGTATGCACTTCGGCCGTTTTGCTGGTCTAGTTATGCTTATGCATGACCCCCACCGCCACTTAAAGCCGCTGGCTGGAGTGGAGTGTCTGCGTTTCTGACATTATTATATAAGACACGCTAGCAGCTCTTTTGTAAAGGATACGGAACCTGAGACACCGACAGCGTCGGCGTCCTATGAGTTGCGAGTGCTGGGGTCTAGAAAAATGGAAGAACTCCACTGCAGGTTTTTTTTTTTCTAAACTTCTTGCGCATGGATTTCGGCTAGGCTCGGCGGTCCCGATTTGTATTGCTCGCTCTGCGTGCGCTCCTCTAAAGTTATTTACATATTATATTTTGTATGGCCACCAAATAGGGACACAATTGTTTGTCACGCACACAGCACGAGAAACAGAAAGCAGCCCAAACATTTGCTATGCTTGCGTGGAGCTGCAGTGAGTGACGTTTGAGTCTCTTCATATTAGTCCCTCAATGAATTATGAGGTAGCGCCACAGGTTTCCAGACCCAGAAGCATTTGCAATGCATACGTCCCGTCGTTCGACAACGACGCTACTTTCATGCCCATGGTCGGTAGCAGTGTAAGAGTCGAGTTAGATTGCGGCCCAACCGAAACGTACATGCTTCCGGCACCAGCTCCAGTCGACAGCGCACGCTGAGAGGGAGTAACACTCGCCAATTTTCGCACTGCCCGGCGGACGCCTGGATTGTCGACGCTATCACTCTCCGTCGGATTCAGCCAGACGATACACATTTCCGTTGGCATCGCGGGAATCGGAAAACAGATTTTCGACCCGGCCACCATACCGACGTCCTTGATTAGATTCATACCCTGCGCGGTCCCAAATGTCGTGGCCGATTCCAAGTCCGAGCGGAAATTCGCCGGATTCAACTGGGAGGGCAAGCCCGTGATAGTGGTAACGTGGAGCATATCCGGGAGGGTACCAGACAACTGCATCTTCGCACGAGAAATCCAGGTCTCCGCATTGTATTCCCACGTTCCGAGAAGCGTCGTCCGTCTTGGGAGGAAAAGTGCCCGCACCGACTGTCTCGGGTCGTTTGTGTACGGCACTCCTTTTGCCTTTCCGCGTGGCGGGAGTAGTGATTGGATGCTTGTACTTGTTCACGAATGTAGTAAACTGGCATAGGAATCCTAACCCATGCGTCTAACTATTCCGCATGGTAGATGTCTGCTTTCCGCTAACACCCATAGATATCGCGACATATTGGATTCGACAAAAGTTTCTGGACGTGCCTGTCCCTACTTTCCTTGTATTTATGCTCGACACAAGCAGATTTGTGGCCACGCATGGAGCTTTACGAATAGCCTTCCTGTGACAACCAGGGGGGCGTGAGATTTTGCGTCAACATAGTCTTGTACTTGAACACTGTAGAGAAGATGGAAGCATCTTCAGTCTGGTCGTCCCGCTGCGTCGTCGTGAGCTTCCGAAAGTAAATTTTGTTTCGGACGTACTCTGTCATTTGCAGACTCCGCAACCTCGCGGCGCTCTCTTGTGAACTCCCCAGCATGAGGTAAGAACTCGGCCCGAGGTAGAAGCACTTCACAAACTGCGACAGGGTCTCCGGATTCCCAACGTCGATCATGGAGCCGATCGACGGGGTCGTAGCTCCTGATGCCATGCACGGGTGCTGGGTCGGGGCGTTGAGCTGCCTCTGGGACCAGCCTATTGCGGATTGGGGAAGACGCCGCACGCATCGAGGCTGGCGGCACGGAGGGCAGATCGCGTTTGGATCACCTGCTGGAACGGTGTATGTATTTGCCGCGCACCCGCCGTCTGTGCTTCCATCAGCGGCCAATACGGTGTCGTTCAGCAGGTAGGACTGGATCCCTTGTTTGATTAATAGAATTAGAATAGCAATAGTCGTACACATATAATGATGCAGCCGACGATCTCGTCTGTCCAAATCAACCTTTTTCGCTTCGGTGACGAAATCAAAAGCAAGGACGTGCGCGCTCCACTATAATCAGTCACGCAAGCACAGCAACTACATCACCACGACATTGCAGCAACAGATCACGGCCCGGAGCGCCAAAAAACTTTACCTGGCGTCGAGGGTATCCTGCAGGAAATCACTAGCAGCACACTAAGTAACGGTCTTCGTGTACATCTGAAACTAAAAAATGGGTCCCCCGTGTCTTGAGAGAGTGGCATCCTCTGGGGCTATTTTAGTCAGTTGAGTTTGCTTTTTCATTTTTTGAGAAGGATGCCGGGGTCAGTTGCGACTTCCTTGCGTAGCGACGTCGAAACTGTGCAGGACCAAAAAGCAACCTGCTATGATACTAGCTTGTCGCAATGCAAATGGTGGCGATTTGAAGGAGCTGGGCTTACCTCTGTTTCCTCTTTCGGCGCGCGGCAGGAATGCCCTGCGTAGCGAAAGCCGAGCGCTTGCGAGAAGAAAGAAGCGGGGCGCGCTCGTGCTGACTTTGAACAACCGCGAGAATGCTTCCCACCCAGCCAAGCAGACCGCTCGGAGGGGCCCGGCCATTCTTCAGGCGCCCACCTGCGGCACTTGAGGCTGGAAGCCCCGCCCCACCGCTCTCCCCGCCCGGCTAGCGCCCGCCCGCGCTTCTCCTCCCTGGTTTACCAAAAGCAGCTCGGCGCGGGGGCGGGCTTGTTAGGGAGGCCGCAGGCGTTTTCTTGCCCTGGGCTGGTTGAAGAGCCCAGGCCCGCGGCGGTTTTGCTCTCCCCGGGCTCCCCGCGTGCTAGCGGATGACGTTAGGCGGCAAGAATAGGCGGCCGGCTATGAAGCAAATGCCGCACTTTCCAAGCTTTTGCGCCTTCGAAAACAAAGCGAGCCCACCTCCGGAGACCGGCCCCGACGGTATGAGGCCCGCCCGGCGGGCTCCTGGGTTTGGCAGGCTTTTCCCCTTTTGCCTATTCTTCCTTTTTTCGCAGGGCGCCAATTTGCAAGGCGCGCCAGTATCAGAAGCCGACGAAGGGGCGGCCGCTTCAGCGAGCGGCCAAAACGCTGCGACACCGCAACCGCGCCGCGTGGCTTTCCAGTTCAGATGTCGCGCGGGCGTGCTTTTTTTTTGGGCGCCTTTTCGCGCGTCCCAAACCGCCCGCCAGAAAAAACGCAGCGGGCGCCCGAGAAGGGCGCCGCCCCTCCCGGCTCACCGTCGTGGCGCGCCCTTTGATTTGGCCGGCGCGCGATAGGCAGGGCCCCCCCGTGTTTCGTTGGCCACGGGGCCAATCAGGGAGGGTCGGGCGCTTGGCAGATTGGCCTTTGTTCAACTTGAGGCCCTGGGGCGGTGGCTGCGCTGTGTCGGCTGCCTACCGGCTTCGGGATTTGGCAAAAGCACGGAAGCCAAGAAAATGGGCGGGGCCGGCCCCGCTTGGCACGAGTTGAAAAACCCGGCCGGCCCCCCTGGCGAACGAAGTACCCGCGGGAGCGAAGGCAGGCGGGCCGAGGCTCCACACATTCCAGGGCCCCCGCCAAAACCGGAACAAGAGCAGGGGCGGCGGACCAAAAAAGGCAGGAGCGGCGCGGGCCAATGTCCCTACGCCCTCCGCCCGTGTGCTTGGTTCCCCGAGAGAGGACGCGCCCGGGGTGGGTGCGAGAGGCCTTGGCGCCTCGCGAAATTCCCCGGCCAAATTTGAAAAAACGGAATCCCTAAACACCGGCCACAAAACCCGACCCGAAGGAAAGCGCCAAAAGAAGGGGCTTCTGTTGAGGTGCCCCCGGGGCCTTCTATTCCGGCCCCTCGTAATGGCTCTACTGCAGCCCTTCTCCTGTTGGGCTTCTATCCAGATCGGGATCGCGGCCGTTTCGTCGCCCTCCCGACATGAATAGAAGCCCCCCCCGGGCCCTTTTGCTTCCCATTTTTTCGACGTACGGAGAACAGAACCCCCGCCCGCCGAATCGACGAAACTCCCCCCGGCCGAAACGGGCGCAGCCCCGAAAACTTTGAAACGTTCCGAATGCTCCGGCAGAGCACAAATTCCACCGCGCGGGGCGGCCATCCTTCCGACTGGGCAGCCGGGTGCCCAACACGGGGAAGCGGCCGGAACAACTCGGGGCCGGGCCGCCAGAGCCTGGCGCGACGCCGCCACAAACCGGGGGCGCGAAGAAACCCGAACCAAAGACGAGCAGCGCCGCAGAACACTTCGCGCGGCCATCCCTCGAGAGCGGGGCCCGGCTCAGGAGGCTGGCTGCGAAACACCAAAGCAGGCGCGCGCGCGATTTTCCGGGAAGTCACAAAGCGACGCCCTTCCTGGATGCCTCACGCTCCGGACTTCGCCGCGGGCCCCCCAGGCAGGCGGGGCAGCTGCGAAGAGGCGGGGCAGCTGCGAAGACACGCCGGCGGGGCCGCTGCGGATAGGCGCGCGAGCCCGGGCGGGCGCAATCCTGCCGCAAGTTAGTCGCGAACCGGGCCCGGCGCGAAGCTGCCAAAGCTCTGGGATTTGCAAAAACCCCGAAGCCGATGGCCAACCAATAACGCCCGAGACCGCTCCGGGGGCCTGCCTCTGCCTGACAAAAGACCGACGCCGCCGGCCTGTCCGTGTGCTCATTCGCGAACCGGCGCGGCGTAGACGCCGAGCCGCGCCCCCCCTCCCGGGCTGCGTCCCCCGCTTCGCAAGCTGGCGGCGCGCTCCTTTGCCTCGCAGCTTAGCCCGCTGCCGCTTGCCGCCTTGTTTGTAGGGCGGCCGAACTCCTTACGGCCACCGTGCCCCCTCCTTGAAGCGCGGCAAGCATCCATTGGGGGCTTGTCCATTTTCGGAATGCGGAGGAGGAATGGGGCGGCACGCCGGCGAGAAGGGCGAAGAAACCCGGGCGAATCGGCGCTAGGCTGTGCGGCGTCGGCAGCGAGCCGGGCCGGATCTTCCCCTGATTAAAAAGTCTGTTCCTACTGATTAAAAAGCTCCCCTGATTAAAAAGTCCCCTGATTAAAAAGTCTTGATCCTACTCCTTCCCCTGATTAAAAAGTCTGACACGTACTACACGCGGCTAGTAGCTGCTATGCAAAGAAATTGAAAATTTAAATCAACAAAAAAAAAGGCGACAACTGCATGCCTTGGCTTGCTAGCAATTTTCTACGTGATAACATGTACAAAGTAGCGGCATCGATACATGTCCGCAGATTCTGCATTGCTCGGCAGCGTCCAAATTATCTTGAGGAAAAATCCCCTCGCCCCATACGCAAAGCAAAGGAAATGCAAATGCGTGGCCTCTATCGCTGTGCATGACCTTGATATGCTAGAGAGCAATACGAGAAATTCGCTGTCGCGTAGTTAGTAGCACTAGCCCCGCGACTTTTATTTTGCACGAAGTCCTGGCGAGTTCTTGACCAGTCGAACACGTTTAATCTCTGCAACTACCCGGGCCACGCCGCCCCCCTAGAATGTAGATCACGGCGTACATCCTACAGATCGACGACATAGCTCCGCCGCCGACATGCTTTGCAGAGATGTCACTGCTCGCTTACGTAGGCGCGCGCCCTTTGGGCCGTATGTGCGACGGGCCTGTCTTAGCATCCAAGCCCGCATGTGAGCAAGTAGCAGAATGTCTTGCGTAGCAGTGAAGGGTAGCAAAACGAACTGCACAGCTCTCGCGTTTGCAAAAATATGCAGAGGGCGCAGCGCGATTGCAATCACTGCAATGCGCTCTCACGCAGCTCCGTCACCTATTTCGCGCACGCCCCTCTTTTTCGGCGGTTCCAAGGGCGCCCGTAGTACCGCAGCAGCCAGCCGCACAGCAGGCCCGCTCCGCGGTGATTCAAGCCCCCCTTTCAGGTTCTCCGAGGGCTGCGGCTTTCGCGCAGTCCTTAGGCCGGACATCGGCAAACGTTTTTACTTGTTTTTGCATTTCAAACCTCCGCGTCCTCACTGGGACACCGACAAATGAAGAGAGGAATGCGCGGGGGTTGCTGTGCTTGGAAGAAAATGGGCAACTAAGTAGCAAAAAAAAAACTATCGCAACGGCTTGCACGACTCAAATCGGGGCTCCCGGAGCATGCTGTTGTTGTAAGTAGCATTTCTTTGGCCATGTCCGACATAGCGCAACGTGTACGTGATCATGATCTTCAAACGCCTTTGCTACATGGGCTTAGGGAGCTGAGGTTTTTCCTCATGATATACGTCGAACCAGCAACCCCAATTGTTTTCCCGCAGAATTCTTTCGTTGGCGATCCGAGATGGGTCGCGAGATCGGTGGACCCGAACCTGCAGATGGTTCCCGCATTGGAAAAATCAATGTACCCAATGCCATCCAGCACATTCACGTACTGCTTTATGTGTGCGTAGTTCCTTGTCACATCGATGTCCTGGCTGTACGCCGGGGCGGTGGAGTAACGGACGGCGCACTGGGTGCCCACGCCAGCGAAGAGGTAGGTTGGGTAAGCGGTGCCGTCCGTGTTCTCCAACCAGATGGACGCCATCGCGGCACGCCCGCCCCCTTGCGAGTGCCCTGTGATGTAAATGGAGTTGGTCGCCTCGCCGGCAGTGTTTCGCCCCGCTGGGAGCACCGCACGGACCACAGCCTTCGTCAGCGGCCAGTACCCCTGTTGAATCAAGTCAGCACGCTCGAGTCCGAGCGTCGTATAGAAGAAAATACTGACCTCACTGTGACGATTTAGAGCGACGAGTTCGCTTCGTGTGAAAGTAGAACAACTAGTAGTAGTAAGTAATATCGCGCAGGCGGATCGAGGCGCATTGACTCTGGATCCCGTGGACTCTTTTTGCTCACGCTGCTTGTGTCGATTTTTTCTGACATACTTAGTGAGCCAATCAATCCCATGTGCGTGTCCTCAGCAAAACGCACGCAGCCCCGGCGGTTGCTTCGGCTGTGCTTCCTCCAGAAAAAAACATACTTACTATGAAATATAAGTAGCAAACTCTGCAACCAATACACGCCCACAATGGATCGCTTTTCTGTGAGGTACGATGTAACCCAATTGTAATCGTCAGACGCCGCGATCAGGGAAGACATACCCAAAAACTTCGCACGGTCGACCACGTCGTCGACCTCCGCGCGCGCAAGCATCTCGGAGGTTATGGACAGGCCGGCATCCTGCCACATTTGCATGTAACGCGCCCGTAGCCGATGCAAGAACCACCCCTCATGCCAGTGCAATAAATTGTTGAAGTCCGATGTTGTCTCGGTGCCACGAAAAACGATGACGCGAGTTGTGCCATCGTTGTAGACTCCGGCACTAACACCCAACCCCAAAGGCTCGCCGGAGGGTTCGGTGAAGGATTCGGCCCACTGGTTCGCGTTTCCCTGCAAGACGGCCTCCATATCAGAGTTCCACTGGTTGTGCGTTGCAGTGACTCGCGCCCCGAAGGCTGCCACGGTTTCTCCGGCGTTCGGCGAACCCTTGTAGGAGCCGCCTGGAAATGAATGGACATGGTCCAACTTGGGCGTGGCGTAATTCCCGTCGGGATACACTACCCGATTCATTGCCAGCATGGTGCGGATTCGCGCTCGCTCATCTCCATTGCCCACGAACCCATTCACCGTGGCGGCTTCCTGCAATGATCTCCGACGTCTTCGCAAGCGTCTTTGCAGTTCGGGCTTTGGTAGCTCATGCTTCACCAGTAGGCTTAGTTGGGAGGCGGATGCGACGCCGCCTTTTGTCGCCAATAAGGCCCTGCTGCGTTGGGCATCTTTCGGTGGCAGACGCGGCCGGATGACAGTTTCGAGCACGAAGTGCCCCACAGCGTGTGCAGGGTGTCTAGGCTCCTGTAGCGGATGCAACTCTGTCGAATGCTCCACTGAAAAGTCGAGTTTTTGCCCCTTGACCCGGACAAAGAAATCGGGGACGGGCGACAAACCCAAGGCGCAACCGCCCACCACAGCGGCGTTCCTGAGATTCATCTGGGCTCGTCGGTCGTCGGATTGCGTTTGCTACAAAAAACTAGAGGAGAGCGAATATTCATACCAATACTGACATCCTAGATACACCTACAACTGTATAGAAAAACACTATGGGAGTAGTCAATGACAAAACCTGCAGACAGGACGATATCCCGTGTGTCCAACGTGGTCTCCACGAACACTCAGTTGGGCCTGAATTATTAGTCACCAAAAAGTTCGAAGCGAACACCGTCACCACTGTCTTAGTCTTTTGCCATAGCAGGGAAAAGAATCATAAGCCGACAAAAAGCTGCAGCTGTTGATGTTGTTGACAGCAGAGATTTACAACCTCAGTTCGTTGTATCTTGGCTTTTCATCACATAGTAATAATCAATCTCTACCTCAAGGTCGCTCGTGCACAAGACAAGTGGCCCGGTTAAAAAAAGTAAGCAAAAACAAAAGAGAGAGTAAATTGGCGACGCCATTTCATGTGTCTGTCAGTTGCAGTCTTCCTCGACACCGCAAGGTCCGGCGTTTCGCTCCTCTCTCGAAACCTGTCGAGTTCGCACATCAGCAGGAAAATTGGCGGCGCGATTAGAAAGAAAAAACACAAAGAAGTCGAGAGAAAAAACACCTAGAGACAGAACAAAAGCACGCAAAATAAGAATGCGCCGGCCACTACAGATGACAAAGGGCCCGACGCAACAATCAGGGGCGAAAGGCTTCATTTGAATCGCGGATCGATTGACGATCAGAGCGAAAATTGCACCCGAGGGCATCCCGATGCCCATGGAAAGATTGAAATCCACTTTCTACTCTCTCACTCACTCATCTCATCCTTGGAAAGATTTCCGGGCTGTATTTGTGTTTCGGATTTCACACAATCATAGATCAAGGCACTGCATTGACTCACGAAGAACAAGAGTATCGCAGCATAGTGCATACCTCCATGCATTCGCATGCATTGCATTAATGAGTCGCGGCGCGAAGTCGCAAGTCCTTGGGCCACGTCTACCACAAGAAGTATTCCGCCCGGGGGGCGCCTCCAGTTCAGTTCAGTTCAGTGCGATCGCGATGCTAGATAAAAAAAAAAAAGAGTGACACACATTGCCTCTTTCGTAAAAAGTCGCATCACAATGACAATCCTGGTCGCCATCTCATTAGATTCGTCGAAAGTTTTGCTTTCTAAGTGCTTGAGCTCTCACGGGGGGGGCTGGCAAAGATGACGAGGGTACAGAAGATGAACAGAAAACATAGATGGGCATGGCGATATCTTGGCGGCATGCCAAACCAATAATAACAGGGGGTAGTGAGTTCATGGCGGCTTTTTTGTCTTCGTGCCAAAAAAAGACGCGACTTCTCTGCCCACCATGCCCCCGTGAGTAATGTTATGCCCGGCGGCACGGCGGTCGATAACAGACTCGACCCACAGCTGGCCCCCCTTTAGTTTCGAATCGGGAAGCCTTCCCCGCATGCTATGGCCCTGCCAGGGCCCCTTGGGAGCCCCCAATCGGGCCCATAGCATGCAGATCGGCTTTTTGCTTTTGACTTTGCGTATTTTGTTTTTTTTTTGGAAAAGTCGCAACTTTTGGCTATGGCTTGCTCTCCGCCTTACAAGTGCCCGACTTTTGCGGCCGGCCTGGCGGTTTCCAAATGGAGGCCAAAATGAGGCCCATAGCATGCGGGCTCGCTTCCTTTTTCCCACCGCCAATCTTTGGGCGCCCCTCTTTGGGCGCCCCAAATCGCCAGAAAGGAAGGCGCTGGGCGCCTTAGAAGGGCGCCCCTTTTGCCGGCATCCCTGCGCCGTTTTATCAAGCAGGAATCGATAGAATTGGCTCGGGCCTGTTTGGTATCAAAGCCCCGGCCGCTTGAATAAAAGTGCAGTCTCTTTATGTGCAAAAACACTTCCGGCCGCTTGAAAACTGCCGGCCGTTTTGCGTAATGAATGGCAAAAGAAACGCTAGATTAGAACGCTCGTGACCTCACTACACATAAAGAAAATTAACACAGATGCCAGACGACGACCCCTATTTGTCCGGTTCGTGAGCGGCGTTATAGAAACCGAATGAGCCGAAGAGCCGCCTTCTTGCACTGCTCCTGGGCGGAATCCCTAGGGGCAGGGCAGAAGTGTGCGCGAACGCCTTGCACGTATCATCGTATCTGCGCAGAGCCGTCACGCATTGGAAAGATCTGCGCAGGAGCACCGTCGTCGTTGTGAATTGGAAATACTGCTGCATAGGCCCAGCGTGTGCCGCCTATGTATGAAAAAACTGCCACGCCGTCTGTGTCTCATCGTGAAACCGCGGGCAATTTTTTGGCAAAGATGGAAAGTTGTTTGCTGTCCGTAGTTTTTGACTTTCTCCGAGATGGAGTGGGATGGGCAATAGATGGCGACTGGCGGAGTTTCTTGTCCAGAGTCTCACTAAAGAGGCGCGGGCGTACAGTTTTTCGCGACCTTGCACACGACTAGGAGTGGGCAGTGCGGGCACCTCCCGGAGCACAAGCCGGAAACGCGGGGACTAGTTACGTATTAAGTCGCCAAGTTTGCCGTTCAAATGTGCGCCATCCAAGTTTTGCATCTATTCAACTGTTCACCATCTCTGTGTTTAAAAAAAAACGCTCATCTGACATAAAAGTCTAAGCTTTATTTTCGTTTTTCTTCATTAAGAAGAGCAATAGCGTGGGCGATCATATGATCCTTCTCCGATTCGAATTTTACTCGTGCCGCTTGCGAATCCCGATCGCGCTGGTGAGCGAAGCTTTTCTCTACTTGTATCCGGTTCTGCAACTATCAAGGTTGAAAGTGCCCTCCACCCCAAGCAATGCAGAGTGCTTGCATTGCAAAGCTTCCACATGGAATTTTCTTTGCTCGCAAGAACGACCGCCACCACAAACGCAGGCGAACGCTTGGAAACACTTCCGTAGATGCTGGGGACACACATCGAAAGCGAAAAGATAGGAAAAAAGCAAGCGAGAGAGAGGAGGACTTTCACTGCTATAGTACTTCGGGCGGTCTGCTAGTAGGTGTGAACATCTTCACTACCGCCCTTAAGCCCCGGCCTAAAACTGTCCCGCGTTTGCCTACGGGAAGCAGATCGATCACGATCTGCGGACGCATCCATTTTTTGCTTCGCAAGGAGTGAGAGGGGCGAAGGCATGGGAGGGCGAAAGGCGTCACGAAATATCGCCCTCGCTGGGCCAATTGTCTCTCAAAATTCTCGCTTCCTTCATGCTGAGGTCCGTCGAACATTACAAAACTGACGTAAGGTTGCAGCAAGACAGCCGCACCGCGTCGCAAGACTGCAGCGAGCAGACTCTGACTTTAGCTCTGCCCTTCAACATGCATGATGTATGAGTTTAAGCTTTACGCTGTTACAGTTAAAGACTGTTCCAGCTGAGAAGGCCACATGGGGTACGGACGTTTTTCATCCTGATAGCAACTCCACCAATTTCTTTGCTTTCTCCGCTACCGACGCCTCCACTTCGCAAAGAAAGGCGCAGAGCTGCCATAACGCAGCACCGGATCCTAGCGTAAGGGAAGAGAAGGCAACCGATTCTGGGCCCTGGACTGCATGCTCGTCGGCTGCTGTGGTAAGGTAAGGAAATGACGCAGATGCAACGCCCTTGCCAAAATTGCATGGCACTAAGCAAATGCAGGGCTCTGGAGTGATCCAACTCGAGCCATGCAGCAACACACGGAACCCACAAAGGGAAGCGTCTGCTGCTTGGTCAACTGTACTACTTGACACTTTAGTTGCCGGGAATCGCCAATAGACCCGCGCCTCCGTTGCCTTGCCCAGTACCGCAGCACAGATTCTGGAAAAATCGGGCACCGCGCTAGGTAAGCAAGCTCTCCAGAACCTGCAATGTTCATCCATCACGCACAAGCGGATGCCGAGCCATGGCGCTGCGGTTTCTTCTCTTTGTCCTGGGGGCGACGTCAGGTTTGGAGGAGAAGTTTCTTGGTCTACTTGTCCTCGTGCAGAAGGAGAAGACTTGGTGATCCTGATACAACTTCCACTTTTAGTACTACTGTGGCGGTTGTGCCCCTGTTCGAGTTCTGTGAAAAGTTTCCTTTCAACTTCGTCAAGATCATCCACACTGGCGATTTCATCAAACCGAATGCCCAGCTTGCAACGTCGCGACTCTAGCCAATTTTCCAAGTGGCCGGTCAGGAGACTACAATCCGACACAACATTCATTTTCACTCTACTGCCAGCTCACGCTACAAAAAGAATGAAGCTTTCGCTTTTAGAGGGTTGTACTTCTCTGTATCCTTTGACTTTGTTTTCTTGGTCTTCTTGTCTCGTGTAGTTTCCCGGCGTCGCAGGCAACGAAACGTTGATAAAGGTATATGAACATGATATCCGTGTTGCACGGAGCAGCAGGTCAACAACAAACATAGCCCAGGATTACCATAAAAGTTTTCTTTTGCTAAAAAATAGTCATGCTGCTGACTGTGCAATATTTGTCGGTATTTCTTCCACTCTAACTCTATTTCGACGGAGATGAAATAAATTGATGCCAATGAATCGCAAACCCGCACTGATCTTCCGAACCCGCTAGGTCTTGAAGAAATGGCTTTTCCATCCAGATCACCAACGTCCTCTGGATCTCACGCCGCGTGATCGCACCGAGCTGCGACGTTGCGCCCTTTCCGTTAGCGGCAGCGAGCTGCGCAAACGCTGCGTCGAAATCTCGAACAAGGTCCTGTCGCAATGCCGTTTCCTGCCACAGCGGGACAAGAAAATTCTGCAAAAAGTACTGCTGAAACTGCTTCTCTTTCTCGACTCCGTCTGCAAAGTACGTTGTGGAACTTATTCTTTCCTCTCCTGCCTTAAGTGGCGAAGAAGTAGTGCCGCGTCCTGTGGTATTTATGCCCAGCAATGTCGTAGAAGTAGTGCCAATTATGTTCTCTTTACTCTTACCTGGCGATCGCTTCCCGCTTGTCTCACTGCTGCTGAACTGCTGCGCCTTCTCGTTCAACAATGCTGCAAGAGTGTGTGTGCAAATTTCATTTGTCCTAGAGGTGCTTTCTTTTCTCAGAGTACGCAGCTGTCGCGCCAGTTTTTCCGCAGAATATTTCCATACTTTTGTACCGCCACCCCTTGCTGCTACATTCTTCTCCTGCGACGAGTGCTGGTCTACTTGTTGTAATTGGGTAATATCGACAACGGGGGGACCAGGATCAGTGTTGTCCTCCTGGTAGAGGATCACTTCGAGGGCAGTAGCGGTGAATTCCGTTAGCAACAGCACTTGCTCCTGCCAAGTGCGTAGGGCTTGTTGCCACGCCCGGATGTGATACGAAAAAGTCGCCGTCTTTGCGTCCGCAAGCTGAATGCGCCCAAGAATCCCCAGCGTACTTTTCGTCGCGGTTGCACTCCCGGCAGGAGAGCAGAAGCCGAGCACAAGCTGCACGAACAGCTCACAACTCTCTTTCACAGCGTTTTCGAGAATCTGCTCAAGCGGACCCCACCGCCGCAGAAATGTCGCGCTCTTCAGATCGAGCGATCTCACTCTTTGATCGATCGAGACTTTGTTGACTTTCATATCGCGCTAGAATCGGCAGTGCAACCTTTTTTACCGCGACAAGCAGAACTACAACTAAATGCAGTGTCATACTTAAATATTTATGGACAACTTCGTGACAAACCTTGGCCCACGAGTGATCTATTCGTGCTCGTTCTTCAAAATAAAGTCTCAAAGTCCTGTGGGGAAAAATCAATGTTGAGGTAGTGAAGCTTCTGGAGATACTCCGGCCTTGTAACGATCCGCGCTTTACAAATACAATCGAACCTGTCCAATCAAGACCAGTACTGAGAGTGCGCCTTTTCTTGCTGATCATGGTCAGTAAAGATCATTTATCTCAGACGACGCTTCTCGCTGAAGAATTTAAGAAACTGCACGAGGCGCCGCGGATTATTTTGTGATAGTATGTAATTCTCGACATTCATAAGCACTTTCTCTATCGCATGGCTTCGATTCTTGATCCGAGTGCATCTGCTTCATGATCAAAAAACCGCCACTGGAGGAACTCTTCGACGTTCATACTTCATAGATCGACTTTGAGAAGAAGTCCAACAACGCACTATATAAGCTCCTCGAAGTTTGAGGTTTGCGCGGTATGGCAAGCGGGGCCGGCATACCGGCGCCCCCTATGCATTTCTCCAGTTGCTGCACCAGGGCCGTCAGGCATCGGACCTGTACATGTGGGGTGTGCGCAGGACTGCGTGGCGGTGCCGTGTCCTATCCTTCGGCCAGGGGCGCTGCTGTAGAAGGACCCCCCGCCCGCGTCAATGGCGAGGCACTATGCCGGGCAGGCAGCCCGCTCGAGCTGGCTTGCCAATGGGCCTTGTGTGGCGAAAGCGAAACAAGCGCCCTGGAGCAAAGGCCGGCTGCGGCTGCCTCGGCTCCCCCTGCGTTGGCGGGGCGGAGCTTTCTGGCGTTCCGCCCCGGCGTTCCGGCCGCTAAAGCTGCGGCCGAGGGCTCGGAGCGGCCTAGCAGAAACCGGCGCCGGGGCGCCGCTTCGCCCCCCGGTGCCAGCCCCCTCGCCGAAGTCGGGCCCTGGCGCTTTTCCGCTTCCCCGCGGGCCTCATCCTGGCGTGACCTTGAGTGGCATGGAGGCTCGAGACCCTGCCGGCGCGCGGGTCTGTTAATCTTTTCAAGCAGCTAGAGCTGCCCCGCAGCGCTATGACTTTCGGGCGCATTGTCGCGGGCGGCGGCAGGGAACAGGGGGACGGCGCGGCTGTGCCGCCCGCTCGGTGGGGCATCAGTCGCGTCGCGTCCTTCCCCGGGGGCAACGCTCCCTGCGCCTCTGCGCCCCAGTGGCTGGGCGCCTTGTATCTATGGCAGCAGGGCACCCGCGCGATGTGCGCGGCTTGTGACTTGGGCACCACCTCACGAACATGCACACCGTAACCGATGCCACTCCTGCGCGCCTGTGGCATGGTAGTGCGTGCCCGTCGGTTGGCCGGCACGGACTCAGGCACGCAAATCAAAAAACGACCCAACAGGAATGCCACTCCAAAGGTGGCAACTCCTTGGCGGCGGTCAGTGAAGAGTCGGCGACCCATCGAGATCTGGTGGCGCAGTGTCGCAGGGAAGATCCTCTGCGCGCTTGATAGTGTAATTCTATTCGAGGCAGTCCCCTTCGATTATCCTCCTCCCCCGTCCTCTATCTCGGTCTCATAATAGCCTTGGTTGGTAGTCTTTCGCTGCTTGGGGCTCTTCTGCGCACTTACGCTTATAGTTCCACTTTTGTTCTTCTCCACACGTCCTCGGCCGATCTTGTTAGTGTTACACTATCCGTCTTCGTTTTCCTTCTATGAAACATGAACTTGACTCTATGGCATGACTAACTCTACAGCACCCCTGCGCCTGGGGTAACCTAACGCATTATATATAATATATAAACCAATTGGATTGATTGAATTGGATTAGTATCGGATGGATGGAGCAATGGAGTGGGGCGGACTCGGGGTTGTAAGAGCTCCGTCGAGTGTTTTCATGAGCTAGACTTGACCACGCTTACTAGATTTTAGTAGAGGCGGCTAACGGTGAACCTGCACCCCGCCCACGTATCATACAAACCCCGGGCTTATCGACATGCTTAAGGGGGACGGGGAAATCAGCCCAACGCTGGCAGACCCACCGATAGTCTTATACCGGCCAATGTAATAACTTCACGCGCCAGACGGGAGCACACGTCGAACCCTAAACCCTGTCTAAGTTATCACTTATCAGTCTCTTACGTACTAGTTTTTCTAACAATACAAAGTCTTATTTTTTTCATGCATCTCACCTCGGCCTGTTTGACATTTTTTCTTTTCGAACCCTTTTGTGGAAGATAAACATTTGGATCCAATTAGTAGCACCACGGGCATGTGCACACACACCGCCCTGGAGGCGGCATGCAATGCACAGCACTGGGAACAGGATCTTCTTTATCTTTTTTCAAGAAGGTAGCTTTACTTTTCTTTTCCTGAAGGAGCACTACTTTTGTTGTCGTTAGAATAAACAAAACTACCGCCTCTGCATGTTGTGGCCGAGGTGCATACAAAACGCAGGACCGAACTTTTTCCATCTAGTGCCACCGAGCCGCGCAGTGGTCTTGTGCGCTACCACTAGAGTTAGGTCGAGGCGGGCGCTAGCGCTACGCGGCATGTACTACACGATCACGCAAGGGCGACGGCCACGGCAGTTAAGCGATCCGCGGACCGCAATGCAAATTTTTTAGCCACCTCGGTGGGCCCCGCGAACGTCACGCGTGTCGCCGCAACTGCTGACGCAACAGCAGTGCGGGGGATGTAATAAGCTAAGCCTTTGAGGCCTATTCTAGGCATCCCCGTCTAAGTAACGCCGGTCGATGAGTTCCTACATGTTTATCTCCTGCTGCAACAGGGGCGCTAAGTATAACGAACTTCTAAACTATATCATCGCCGGGAATAGGTCTTTTAACTAGTAGAGCTCTTCTAAGTTAATGGAGTGGGGCGAACTCGGGGCTGTAAGAGCTCCGGCGAGTGCTTTCATGAGCTAGACTTGACCACGCTTACTAGATTTTACTAGAGGCGGCTAACGATGAACCTGCACCCCGCCCACGTATCATACAAAACCCAGGGGAAGCACGCATGCATATAGGGGGGACGGGGAAATTGGCCCTACCCAGGCAGGCCCACCGGGAGTCTTATGCCGGCCAATGTAATAACTTCACGCGCCAGACGGGAGCACACGTCGAACCCTAAACCCTGTCTAAGTTATCAGTCACACACTTACACACTAGTTTATTTTCTTCTAACAATACAAATCTTAATTCTTTTTTTTTCATGCGCCTCGCCTCGGCCTGATTGACATTTTTTTTTCGAGCCCTTTCGTTGAAGATAAAATTTCGGATCCAACTAGTAGCACCACGGGCGTGTACCTACACACCGCCCTGGAGGCGGCATGCAATGCACCGCACTGGCTCCAGCACTCGGATCGGATCGGAGTGGCGAGTGGTGGGGCGGTCCAGAACTTTAAGAGTGCAGCTGGAGCTTTCATGAGCTAAAACTTGGCCACGCTTGCCAGCTTTAGTAGAGGCGGCTAACGATGAACCTGCGCCCCTCCCTCGTGTCATACGAAAACCCAGGGCAAATACGCATGCATACAGGGGGGATCGGAGTGGGGCGAGTGGCGAGTGGTGGGGCGGTCCAGAACTTTAAGAGTACAGCTGGAGCTGTAAGAGCTCCGGCGAGTTTTTTTCATGAGCTAAACTTGACCACGCGCGCTAGATTTTAGTAGAGGCGGCTAACGATGAACCTGCGCCCCCCCCTCATGCCATACAAAGCTCAGGAGTCAGGAGTGGGGGCGTACTCGGGGCTGTAAGAGCTCCGACGAGTGTTTTCATGAGCTACACTAGACCACGCGTACTAGTTTTAGTAGAGGCGGCACCCCGCCCACGCGGCTTCTTTAGTAGAGGCGGCTTCTTTCTCCTAGTGGAGATATACTGGCGTAATGGTGGGGACGGCTCACTGCGCACTAGACTCGCCGATGGGAATTTACGATCTAACTGTTTACTTTGCCGTACGAAAATTTTCTTTGATCTACTTCCTTGAACTGCTCGACTGTGGATTTAGTATACAAACTCTACCGCCTTCTTGTTTTTTTGGCCGAGGTGTCTAGGGCGCTACTAGTGCCACTGATCCGCACAGTGGGCTTCCGCGCTGCGAATATTTTTAGGTCGTCGAAGGTGGGCGCTAGCGCTACGCGGAATGTACTACACCATCAGGCATATAGTGACGGCCACGGCAATGCAGTCGCTCAGACCACCATGCAAAATTATCTAGCCTCGCCATGAGGTCCCGGCGAACGCCACGCCTTTCGCCGCATCTGCTGGCGCAACAGCAGTGCGAGGGATGGACTATCTTAAGCCTCTTCATCCCTTTTCTATACTAGTACTACCGGTCGGCGTGCTATGTAAGGTTAAATCCCTAGAGCACCAGGGGAGCTAAAAAAATAACTTCTTCACCGCCGGGCGCTACACCAGTACTACTTTTTTCCATTTTTTTTCTTTTACTACTCGTTGGAAGCCGAGCGCACCCGCCAACTCCTGAGAACTCTCGTTTATTCTGCAAGTCATATTTCTACGGGCGAGTCGGGTTTTCTTGCTAGAAGTTTAGTCTCAGACTTACGCCTTCATACTATCAATGCGGGGATTGCGCTTGCTTGCGCAAGAATATGTCCGCGCCGTCAAAATTTTAGAATACTATACATAGAGATAGAAGTCTTGGTCTTGGAGATCGCTTCATGGATGACTTTCACTTGACGTAAATTTTCTTTCCATGCAGGTTTGGTCGGAAGTTTTTTATTCCCATGTAAAATAACAAGCGCTCTGGTAGAAGGTCGTCATCTTTAGCCTCCACCAGGAAAGCGAGCCGCGCATGTCGCCCGTCCGTCGACGCGACGTATTCCCAGGCCATTTTCGTTGTTGCGCAAAACATGCTGCTGAACTTCCGAGTGTCGACGTAGATCTCCAGGACACGGCACTGGGACGCTAGGTTTCCCTCCAGAGGACGCAGCTGTGTCGATTTGGTCAGCAAAATCGGCTTGCCCGCATATCCGACCAAAAATTTTGGAAACCCGTCCATTTCCATGCCCTTCAAGCTCTCCGGGCAAAACGTCCACAGCCATTTGAGTGGGAGGGACCGCACAGACTCCCCTGCGCGGAGCAGCTTCCGCCAATGACGAACGTGCTTCAGCTTGTGGAGCTGCAAGTCGGTTAGACCCGAGGGGAAAAGAACAGTGGAGACTAGGAAATCCTCCCTGGCTGCACGGTTCATGCCGTCTGCTGTTCTCTTGGCATACTCCTGATACTCCACCTCGAGCACGTCCAGCACGTCAGGCGCGAGTGTGTAGTACGTGAGTCCGTTCCAGCCATTGTCGTCCATCGGATAGGTTTTTGTCAAAACGGATGGGGATGTTTTGGGAATGGATATGTGGCAAACCAGCACGTAGGGCACAGCAAATGCTTCGCGGTACTTGGGATGTTTCGGCCATTTGTCGGAATGTTGCTGGGGTAAGTCCACCAGAATCTTGTTCACAGGCATGATCCCTTCGTAGCCCCCTGGAAGCAGTACGTACAAAGGTGAGCCCGAAGGCTCCTTTTTTTTCGTTTTCGTATATCCTTTCTGGCGGATATGGAAGAAACTGGGATCCAGGGCAGGCGAAACCTGAGCGATGCCCTCAACCTCGGGACGAGTGTCGGGATACAGCTCAAAGCCGCGCGCCGTCTCACCAGCTACTTCGCCGCAGAGTAAGCCGCTGTGGGTACTACTCGCCCGTCCTGGCATGGCATCCAAATGAAAAGCTCCATCACAGTCTACCTCTTTGACTTCATCAGGCCGTTGCACTTATCAATTGTTTGATAATCGACGAAAAAAAATTCCGCAGCTGCCTTGCCTGAAAGTGCATGACCGTCAACATCTATGCCAGGTTTATCCTCATTCCCTTTTATTTTCTCTGCAGCACACGATCAAACAGTAACAGCTAGAAGCTGTTTTTTCTGAGCCGCGGCATCTTTTTCTGACTCATTCACATTCAGAAACAACAGCTACAAATGGGCACATGCCTCGGTAGGTCCAAGCTACAAGTGAGATCATGTCTCCGCGGGCAAAAGTCTGGCTCAATATCCAGCGTTACGCGTTGATTGGCGATTGCAATACATACTTCCGGCAGTGCTGGAACTGTAAAAGCAAATCAATGTAACAACAGACACAGATAGAAATCGTAAAAATGACTGAAGCGGAATGCCGCTGCGGCTGCGGTTCTTCCCACCTTCGAACCTCGGCGGCGCCGCCTTTTTCGTTTCACATGCGCCCAGTGAATCTGAATGCGCCCAGTTCCCTACAGTAGGTTTGAGATACTGTCTTCAGACCGTTTCTCAATTGCGTGCGCCTCCCTACAGTGCCTACAGCACATCACTGGCTTGGAGTGAACAGCTGGGATAAGACTCCAACAGGAATAAGATTAGCCCTTAGCTCCCACCGGGAACAAGATCACCTCTTACTCTGCTCGCATCTCTTGGCGCGCGAGTAACTGCCTGACTTATGCGGCTAATGAATCCTGAGACTGAGAGCAACGGAAACAAGATCAGACATTCCATCTGCCACAAGTTTGCAAGCTTCTCATGTTTGTTATACGTATTTATTATTAGGAATCTTGAATAAAATGATAAAAATGACTGCGATGAGTTTTTCCCTCTATAGATGGACTTGGCGATGATAGCGCTGCTCTGGTGCCCGAGCATGCCGGAAAGTCGCCTTGCGAACTGCTGCAACTTCGTACTAGTGCCCTTCATACCCGACTCCGCAGATTTACTCCCTGCGCCAGGCTGTAAACCTAAGGGTTATTTTTCTGGTCGGCCTATTGTTTCGAGCAAAAATAACGAAGCGCACTACGCCTATGCTAAAGATTCTACAAGCAGTTCCTATCTAAGTACTTAAATGCATGTCCGGCACAGGTGGATGCGTGCAGATCGCCAATCCATGAAGTCCGAGGCTCTGACGCCACGCATCCCGTGACCATTCCGCCGGCCAAAAACCATAGGTAGGTGGCTTGAACAAGCAAGGCGTGGCCGTGCCAAACCAGCGACCATCTCTACCACCGCCCAACTGCATTTCGCACCTTGTGCGATTTTGGATCCACCCTTACTTACCACTACGAGACCCCCAGCAGTCACACGGGCAGGCTCCGGGTTCGGATGTATCGCTGCCCTCCACCAACCGGGCGGGGACGCCGGCAACAAAAAATTTCGGGTGCGCGGGAGCGCGCTGCACACCCCAGCATATGCATACTCATATTGTTCGTAGGTAATCAAACGACAACCCGCCGGAGCTTGCTTCCCCAGATAAGTGGCGGCCGGCGCTGGGGCCGACCCGTCTCCCTCTTCGCCCGCCGCCCCCTACCCGCCGCTGCGCTTTTGCGTTTTCTCTCCACCCGCCCCAAAGCCTCCGCCCTGGGCCGCAGGTGGAGGGGGTGACCCCGGCGGCGCGCCGGGGGCGGCGCCTCCTGCTCTAGCCCAGGGCAAAATAAGCTTCCCGGGGGGGATACGTAAGGACCAGCGCCTCCATTTGGTGGGCGGCCTTACGTGTTGACGGCGTTACGTGCGGGCGGCGGAGTGGTGAAACTCCTCGGGGCATTGGGGCAAACCTGGCAAGCAAGTGCGTGCGCGATAATTTGCCCAGCGCGAGAGCCACCATACCTATTCGGCAAGCCGCAAGCCGCGGGCGCGGCCCCGCCGCGCGCCCGTGCAAGACATTTCGCCAGGCGGGGGGGCGAAGGGTGGGGCGCAAAGTCCGGGCCGCCGCAACTTTTGCAAATTCCCCAGAAGCCCGCGTGCCCTGCCGAGCCACCAGAGCCGGCCACTTCTGACGCGGGGCAGGCGGGTGCAGGATTTGCTCCCCTAGCCCTGGCCAGATGGCGCGCTTGGGACATGCCCCCGCCCAACTCCCTCGCGGCCTTTTTTTGCGCACTCGCGGGAGCATGGCGAGAGTGCGCACCCCCCGGGCCGCCCTTGCCGGCCAGTCTTCCGGGCGGATTAGGAGCGCAGGCCCTTTGCTTTGTTTCCTCCCTTGTCTCTCCGGAGTCAAGGCGGCAGGCTTCCAGACATTAAGCACCTCCCTTCTACTGGGCAGCTCATGAAGGCAAAATGCTTCGCGAAAGCATTTTGCGTTTAGGAGCTGCCCAGGAGGGAAGGCGCAACGCGCCTTCCCTTCTGGGCGGTGCTCTATCATGCTGTCCGCGACTTGCAATTTTTGCCGCTTTTCCGCATTTCGCCGGACCCCCATAGGGCGGACGGTTCGGGACAAAATCCGCCCGCACCCTTTCATCCACCAGCCCCCAACGGCGTCTTTTTGCGCGCCTTGTCATATATTTTTCCGCCGCGCCGTCGCCCGGGCCTGGGCGCCCGTGCAGGTCGGGGGCCCTGAAGCTGCATCCAGCGAGTATGGCGCCGCCGCAAGGAAATTCTCTGCCGTCGTTTTTATTTTCGGACTCTCGTGCGGCCCAGAGAAAAAAACGCAATCTTTTCCGCCTTCCCTGATGCCCCGGCGCGTTTGTTGGTTGTTTTTTGCGTGTGGTCGTGCTGTGCTTCCGCGCACCTCCCACGCAGCCTTTTGGAACTACATCCCGCCGACTTCTCTGGCCTTCGCGCCTCTCGGCGGCTGCTCACATGGTAACAGAATATGCCTTCGCGCTGCGTTTGCAAAAAGGTATCGCGGGCGCGCAGACCGCGCCCGCCGTCCCACATTTGGCTGCCCGAGAGTGGCCGCATGCGCCACGGCCCTCTCACAAAAATTCTGCGGCACTGGAAACGGTCCTGATTCGAGGTCTTTTGCTCTTGTTTTTCTTTGTTAGTGTTCATCTGGCGACGTAGTGCAGTGCTTCCAAAGTCTCGCGCTGCCGTTCGTATCATGACGTCATGGCGCATACCCTGACAGCCATGGGAAAGATGGCAGAAAAAGCCTACCAGAGAGCACGCGCGGCCCTACCTGATGTCGCTTCATAGCGGGGTGGGCGGGTGAAATTTCGGTTGGTCACGCAATCGAGCCAATGCATCTGCCTTGCGCCGAAGAGGGGTAAACGCCCGCGTTTACACAAGCAGAAGCAGACTCTTGCGAATTCTATGGGGAATAGGGTGAGAGGCCCAGCACTCACGTGCCGGGCATACTGCCTACCCTTGTCGCCCCTGCTCTGGCTGAACTCACAGGCTCGCTGTTTGAAGACAGCGAGCGCGCCACCTGCGTCACATGTCTCGCGCCACCCAGTCTGCCAGGCATGGCGTCGCCACCAGGGCGCATCCTCTAACAACTGGGGAGAAAAAAGATACCAGGCGCGAAGCCTGCCAGCGACTTCGCGCGATCCCCATGCCGCCTCAGGGCAGGATGGTGGGGAAAATTTGGATCGCGCGATCAAATCAGGTGGCGCTCTTTCGCCGAATCGGGCAAGTTGGCGCTTTTAGCCGGGCAGACACGTCATGAGGATGAAGGACCCGCCGGACCTTACATCCCCTTCGCGTTGCCTGCTCTAGTTTTCTCTCTGCCTGAACTCACAGGCGTGCCAGCCGTTCGAAGATGCCGATGGTCAGCTTTCAGCCCCGTTGTATTAATATTCGTAACGCTTCCACCGGCGGAGCGTAGTACGTCGCTCTCGCAACTGGTACTATCTATAGCTATTTTCCTGTCATAAACACTTCAGGCACGCATGGTCACGGGCCTATCGAGCGGCATGGGCATGCTACAAAACTAAGTAAGTAAAGGATGGAAAAGGATAGTACGCAAACTCTTCTACAGTGTACCCGGTACCTTGGCTAGCGAGCAAATGACTAACATGGGACAGCCATCTTCACAGTGAAAAACACCGCCCCACCATGATACCCCACGCCGTTCAGAACAACGGAGAGCGAGATCAACCATGACCAACAACAAAAGTTACTGCTACTTAAGTCGCCTGTCTCAATATCGATTTGTGCGCAATTAACCGGAACTATCCGCTCCGGGCGACCCCTACTCTCTCTCTCCTGCCGACCCTCTCAGAAGTTGGCAGGTCCAGTGATTAAAGCTGTTGATGGATAGACTCCACTGACTTCTTTTCCGGTTACACAAGCGTATCCACGATATCATCCTCATCATCATCTACTTATCCTGCACTGGGAGGGCGTGCATGAGGTTGCGGGGGCATCAGCTTGTGCTGGCGAAAACGGCTGTGCTGGGCATGCTGGTAAGGCTGCATTTTTCGCATGAATAGGCGCGCGCTTAAGATCTGGTCATCTTATGCCAGTGAAAGAGTTAGAGAACTTTTCTAAAAAATGGCGGAAGTTTGTCGCTTTATTGAGTAATAATAGCACCCGCCTGAAGATGCAAAAACGTATAAAAGCGAAAAGCTGGCGAAGCACGACTGTCTTCAAGCGCCGCATGACATCAAGGATGAAGCCTTTTTAGTGCGTGCTTATCGTGTTCATGTGCAGCATGATATTAGAGCCTTCCACAACCTCATCAGTTAGCCCGCCTCGGACTCGGTCTTGCAAGAGCCCTCATCTGCCACAAAAATCAAGCGCGCAACTTTTTGTCTCAGGACAACGACAAACAGCATTTTTTTATACTTATACTAGGGTCAGCAGTCCGGCCCCTGGCCCGTATAGTGAAAGCAAAAAGTTACAGACCACTGAAGGCCGCGCAATTCGTGCGGCTAGGTAGAAAAACCGCGCGCGCTGTCGTTCGTTCGAGAAAGGAGAAACTGCGCGCCAAAAATTTCGTACAAACGCGAAAGGAAAAAGCGCCATCGGTGACGTCCAACCGCGCTCAGGCGCGTAGCCCTTAAAGAACTCATCGGCGAAGGGCCCCCATGCATAAAAAACCCATCTCGTCTGTCCCCGCGTTGTGTTCACCGGTCGCAGGGGAGGGCATTAGCCCGCCGTGCTCGCCCGCGATGCAGGTGTGCACTGGCTAATCGCACGGCCTGCCTGCCTGCCCTCGCCTGTTCCCGGTCCCCGCAGCCGAACGGGGAGCCATCGGCGCCCCCACCGGCCGCGTGCTGCCGCCCCCGCTCGCCGCCCCCGCGTGCAGCCGCCCTCGACTTCCACCCGCCCGCCCGCACACATTGTCCTGCGGCTGACCCCGGCCGCCTGCCTTCCCCCGCTCGTGCTGCGGCCAGTCCCCGCCCCCGGGCGGCCGGCCCGGCCCGCCCTGGCCCGCGTTTCCCGCCCCCGCCCAACACCAGCCTCAACCCTGTTGCTTCCTTTGCCTGCCCGCCCGGCCCCGGGCCGCGGCCGCCTTGGGGAGCGCGGCACCCCGCATAATTCCCCGCCCCCGCCCGGCCGCCGTACCGCGCCGCGGCCGCCTGCAAGTGGGGCGCGGCCCCCCCGATTCCCCGCCTTTTGACGCCCCTTGCCGGCCGCCTGCCCGCCCGGCCCCGGCCCCCCCCGCCCTTGGCCGCGGCCGCCCGCCGGGGCGGGATGCGCTGCCGCCCCTATACACTCGTCGCCCCCTGTTGTGGCCGCCTGCCCGCCCCGAGCCGGTCTCCGCCGGGGGGGTGGGGGGCGCGGCCCCCCCCCCGTTCCCCGCCCCCGCAACTTTCCGCTCCCTGCTACCTGCCCGCCCGGCCCGCGGCCGCCGGAAGGGGGACGCGGCCCCTCCCATTCCCCGCCCCCGCAGCTGGCCGCTCCCTGCCGCCGGCCCGCCCGGCCCCGGCCCGGCCCCCCCGCGTGCCTCGCGCGTTACGCGACGCGCAGCGCGTTACGCGCGCCCGCGCTCGCGTCTTGAAATTTTTTGCCGTTTTTCTGTGGCCAGGGGCTTTTGTTTTATCTACTCCGTAGTCCGTGTCTATAGACAAGTGGAGCTCTGGTGCGACACTTCGAAAAGTTTTCTCTTGAGCTCTCCATACGACTTTTTCCGCGTTGCTGGCTGAGGATATCAAATCCAGATCCTCGTCCGCGGTGGCATTTGAACTGTTGTCGCGGCAGAACAAGTGGCCCGCGTCTGTAATATCCACACCAAATTCGTCATGCTGCGAAACCGAGGAAGCCAGCTTTCCATTCTCTCCGTCGAGCAATGTCGGCAATGCTGTGCTTGAGGTGCCCGCGCCTTTGGGACCTCTCTTTCCACCACCCAGCACGGAGGGCCCGGCGCAACACCATCTCCGCGGCTGGCGCATTATACCCGAGTGAATTTTCTGGCGTTTAAAGGGCCTATTGTAGGATCGAAAGTCTTCACTCTGTGGACGCACGAGCCCCAGAGGAGCCGTAGGTCGTCGCCGTTAATATCTCGCACTCGCAACTGGCAGGGGTATGCATTTCAGTGCGAAGACGGAAGATCTCCGGCCCGAGGCAGAACACATCAAATTTGGGAAAAAAAGTTCAAACTTCCTGGAACTTGTAAAAGCAAAGGAATCGGGAGAGCGAGCCCGAAAAGATGCGCAAACCCCTCGGAGGAAGGGCCGGCACGGGGGTGGGGGGGGAACGGGTGCGGGCGCCTGCATTTCCGGGCGTGCAGTATTCGGATCGGGAAAAGAAGCACGGCGGCTTTCCTGGTTTTTCCAGAGTGATCGCTGCGGGGCAGGGGCGCGGTCGCAGTCAGAACTACACGGCCCGGCCCATCCACTCCCAGCGTTTTCACGCCCGTACGCCATGTCTTTGTGCGTGCCGCGAAAAAGAAGGGCTGCCGAATGCCCGGCGCTTCCATTAAAGTCAGCCCTTTGCTCGCGTCTTATGGCGCGCGAGTTACTGTCTGCCGTATGCAACTATTGCTTCCAGAGAACAAGTCCTTTGAGAAAGCTTGAAGTGAGCGTAAGTACTACAGCAAGACCAAAAACCGCTCGCTTTAGCGGTGCGCGACCTAGTGCCGGAAGTCGCACGGTGTGAGTGGGTCCGAAAATCCACTTCCATTAAATTCAAGTTAGGACCCCTCAACAATCCTAAACCGGAAAGCCCCGCTGTGACGGCCGCTGGACGGGGGTGGAAGAACCGGGACCGGACGGAATCAATGCAGTTGCGGAGGAAAGAAGATTCGTCGCCGGGCGCTTCCAGTAAAAAAAACAAGGGTAGCACGAATAGAAACCGCAAGCAAGAGGGTAGGGACGCGAAGCGCCACGGGCGACCACTCGCCACACTAGACATGATTTTTCCAGGGCGCAGCCATGCCAAAGCACTGCGCATGGGGTGCCTGCCACTGGAGCTTCTTCGCGGGTCTTGACTTCTTCCGCGGCTGCAGCTATCTTTTTTTAGAAAAAACAGGGGCGAGGCCAGAAGTGGAACGCTGGGCCGCAACGAAGTGCGAAAACGCAAACGCGGAACAGTCCGAGGGGCACCGAGGGAGTCGCGCATAGAGAAGTAGGCCCCTTGCTTGCGCATAACTCCCAGGCATTCCGCGCTCGCCCGGGGCGTGTTTGCGTTCGGGGGATGTTGCTTCCTGGGGGCCGTTTGCCTTCGAGCACATACCCCCGACCCGCGCAAGCACAGGCGCAAGAACTCTCGAGAGCATGCACAGTGCCGCAATAGCACACGCACGCACACAACCTGCTGCCGTTCCCCGCCCTCCGACGCGGGAGGGCAACAACACCGGAAGACAATCCTTGCTTCAGCAGCCTGCGCCCCCAACGCGCATGGACCTGCTCTCGTGAGCGGCTGCTGTTCATTTCACCACCGGACAGCAACCCCCCGCAGGCAGGTCGGTCAAGCAGCAAGCCCCTGGGGCCGGCGGCCTCGGAGAAAGCAGAGACGCCCTGGAAAATTTGCCGCCCCTCCCCATCACGAAGCGAAAAGAATCGGCGAGGCCAGCCGGCGCGACTGCGCCCTCGCGCCGGTCGGCCTTGCCGGCCCTAAACCCCGACCCCTAAACAATAGACCGAGAACAACATCAAAGGCCGTCGCCGGCTCTGCTTCTGCATCACCTCCGGCCATTACGGTGGTGATGCGGCGGTGGTGCGAGGTGATGCGTGGGAGGTGGGTATGTGATCCGGGTGGGGGTCTGATGCGTGGGGAGGTTATTCAAAGGAGTGGGGAGGTGGTTCACACTCCTACCCAAAAACTTTGCAAGTAGTTCTTCCCAGGCCAACACCTGACGCCCTGAAACCTCTGCCCGTAGTTGAATCAGAAGAAGGTCTTGCACTTTCGCGCACGGGAAAAATGGCGCAAGTTGCCGGAGCGAACTGCGAGAGAGCAAGATGCTTAGCCTGTCACTTTGGGCTGAGGGGCCGCGCTCCTCTCGTGTACTTGTCAACTGTTGGGCGCCCGCGTCTGTTCTTCGTGGGAGGTTCGCGTCTCGGCTCGAGAGGGCTTTTGGCTTTGGTGAACACTCTCAACCCCACACACAGGCAAAGCCTGCGCTTCTAGGTGTTTCTGCTAGGCGACAAATTGAGCGCCTTCAGTTTTGCCGGAGCGCGACGGTCGAGTAGTACATCGACAGGCACGCACTTGCGTGCTTCAAGACCTGCAAACCTTTCGGCGGCCCGCCTTCTGCTTTCTATCATACTCGTTTTCTCTTCCTTCTACGCGGTGACTTTACAGCTATGGCTGCCGCTTAGACACTGTGGGGGCTTTCCGCAACCATTTGCGCAGAGATGGCACGGCCCAGCGCTACTCTACTGAACTTTCTGCCTTATGCTTCCGTTTTTTTTTTACTGATAGCAAGCTCATTGCATCTATGATATGGTAAAAGGATACTCAAGCTATTCGCAGGGACGTAGAACCTACCACGCGTAGCACTTCCTCACTTTCCTCGTCTATTTAACTAAGTCAAGTTTTTGAAAGTTTTGGGGACTGAAGATGAATGCAAGATGACACGCATGCTTTAGCCAGTTTCTCTAAAGTATGTAACTAACTGCACGAATATGTTGAAGAGCCACTGCATCACAGAAGCCAGCTCTCGTCGTTCTTGATAAACACAAATGGACTGCGTACCTCTTTGTTGCATTTACGACTGAGGAATCGCAAACAGCGAAATACTTCGAGCATGCTACTCGCCCGACGGCTGGACTATTTTAACTTTAAGTAAGGAGTACTTCACCATATAAGAGCCATAAACTTCGACTTCAAAACACTGCGACCGGCTCAAGTCGAATCAAGATGAAGATGCAGTGTCGCAGAGATAAATAAGCTGCTCCCATATTGAATAGGCCCGGCGTCCGGCTCTTCTTGGCATATGGCCGAAGGGTCGACCGTTCGAGGAGCGCCACCGTTTTTCAGAAAATAGAAAAAGGAGGGGAGGCTATTCTTGGCACATGGAGAAGGATCTAAGGGCGGAAAGGGGGCCACCGAATGCGAAAAGTTGCCCGGCGGGGTGCCGACTTGCTGAAATCTGTCGGGCAGGGGGCGAGAAATGCACCGCGAAGCTGGTGCCTGAGCAGGCAGAGCGCAGCAGCAATGCCGGGGGGGGGCGCGACACTCTGGCTTGCGAGCATTTCTGCCCCGTCATAGAACCTCCGATAAGGCCACTGCATTTTCCCGCGTTCCCGCGCCTGCAATGGTGGCGCTCGTGCCGGGCCCGGGCGGTTCTCCTGCGCCGTTCGGCCAGGATCACGCTCGAAAAAAGATGAAATCAAAGAAGAAAAGCGGCAATGCCAGGCGGCAACGTTAGGAGGCGCCCCCCTACCGCCACGACCTTTTCAAACTTGGGCTGTCGCCTTTTGTTAACTCGGGTACCGCCACGACCCTTTGCGTCGGGCTGCCACGGGGGCATAAAACTCGGGCGGAAACCTGGGTCCCCAGAAGAGGGCCGAAACCCCGAGGACGAAGCGGGGCGGCCCTGTAGCCCAGCCGGGAATCAAGGCCGCGCGCGCGAGCCTGCACCCCAGGAGGGTACCTAGATCCCAGGCGGGTGCCGCACGATTCTGAGCCCACCATGTGAACCCTGGCCCCAAGCGCGAATCCTGACCCAAAACGCGAACCGGAACCCCACACACGTACGAACCTGAATACCCGCGGAAACCTCTCCCCCGGTCCCATCCACTCCCGCGCGCGCGGCCGCCAGCTCGCGCAGCCCTAAGGGCTTGCAGCGTTCCGCCTCTTGGGTTAGAAAGAGGCAGCAGGCGCCCGCAAGAAGACTGGAGGAAGGCCATATCTATCAGACCTTCGGGGCTGCGGCGGTTGCTTGCTAACTTCAAAAAGAGGTGGGCCAGAAAGCAGTGCTTTTTGTCCTCCTAGTCAAAGGGTGACAAGGAGAGGCAAGTGGAAAGAAAACAGGAGGCGCAGAAATGAGGCCAAACGAAAGGCAAAAACGAGAAGAGGGGGGCGGAAAGATGAAAAAAAAAACGAGAGGGGGCACAGCTAAGCAAGCAAGAAGCTGAAGCGCGGCGCTACGTTGTGCCGCCTCCGTGTGTCCAAAAGAGCCGGGCGCGTCTGAAAACAAGGCGATGCCGACGAGGAGCGTTATACTAATATATAAAGATAACACCAAGCCACAACGGACATAGTAACAACTCTTGTACTACACCACATCCGCAACTCGAGGCCTAAGCCCGAAACTATCGCACTAAAACAATCTATCCCTCTGCAGAATTGGCTTCCTTTGTGTGATTGCTAAGACGAATCCTAGAACGACGAAAAAAGCTCCACCGCACAAGCAAAACGCCGAAAGAAACACCGCTGGACCCCCCAAAACTGACCGGCTACCTTGTTATAGAGGAGTGTGGTGACATCTTTTCGCTTCAATCCGCTGGTCCACTAAGTACCGTCGCGCAGGCGCAAAGACAAAAAAATAACGCTCACATCTCAAGGCACACAAGAAGTCAGCGCCCATTCATCGTGATAAAACGCAAGTACCTAGCACAGCAAATTTCCGCACACCGCCCCCCTTCGAGTTCGACGTGGCTCCACCAGTCTTGGTGTCCTCGTTGTTTCGTTGGAAACTCTGGACTGGATTCCAGACATCAGAAAAATGCAGGCGAATAGCGCTCCCGGCTGGAATTTCGTCCAAATCTCTGATCTTGCCGAGGAGCTTCCTCGTTTTCGGCATCGCGCCGACACGCAACCAGTTGCCGAAGAACGGCGCTTCGACGCCGTGCAGCCGCGCGGAATGCATTGCAAATAGGTCTGGGCTGGAGGCGTACGAGCTTACAACGCTAGCGAACTTCTCAAGGAGGCCCCCTGCTCAAATCGGTCTGATACAATCGCGGGAGGGCAGGCTCGCAAAAATGTGCGGCCGCATGTACCAATCGGACCCGCGGACAAACTCCGTCGGGGGCTTCGGCGCCCCCTGCTGCGGAACCCTGTGCCGACATCGGGCCCATCTATGCCAGGCGCCTGGGGGACGAGCGGCCTTCCTCCTGGCCCAATCCGGGCGAGCAGATTCGTTGGCGGGCTTTGGAATCCTCTCGGGAATCCTCTGACGAAACCGGACCAATGGCATGCCCTTGCAGCGTGGCGGCCTCGTGCGGCCCGGCTAGTTGGGCCGCATGGTTTTTGCGGTAGGAATCCTCTGCGGAACTCCTTCCGGAGCCCCCTAGCGCAAGGTCTGGGGCTGCGGTTGCTTCTGGCGCGAGGCCTGCCGCCGAATCGCGTACGTTCGTCAAGACGCTTCTATGCGAGGCCCGTAGGCCTTTGCCATGAGTCACGTTTGTAGGCGCCGGAGGCGAACGAACGCCCGGCGTCGCCGGGCGGCTTCAGCGGTCCATCGGAATGATGCGCCAACCCAGGCACTGCCCGGCTGAGCAAAGGAAACCACGCGGGACCGACCACAAAAAGGGCTTGCGGGGAGCGCGGCGCCGCCGCAGCCGCGGCACTGGGAAAGCCTGCGGCCAGCCAGGGCGGACGGCCCGGAGCCCCAAACGCAGACCCTGGGCCCGAAGGGAAAGGCCCAAACGCTAGCTACGCGCCTGCCTCCAAAAGCGGGGCGCGAGTGCGCCCCGCCCCGATTCGCGCAGCGCGGCTCCAATTTCATGCCGTGGCCCCCCTTCGGGCCGGGAGCCTTGGCAACCTCACGGAGAGCCTCTGCCGAAATCAGGCCAGCGCCGCCGGGGGGCCCGGCCGAAGCGGCCCGACCTTGGCCGGGGGGGCGGGCTTCCTTCCACCGAGGCCCCGCGGCCTTCCGTTTTCGCGGCCTCGAAGCGATGCAGCCGGGACCGACACGCCCCCCCAGCGGTCACAAGCCGGGCGTGATTCTGTCCTTCACATACATGGGCTAAGGGCCGCACTTGCCTAGCTCGCTGCCACCCTGGCCCGGCCGGGGTGGTTTTGGGGCGTACCGGAGCAGCTGGAACTGCATTCTATTTCGAGCCCCACTGCGCGCTCTCCCTCCGTGCTTTTTCAATATACAAAAACGCGCCAGCCAGTTTTCCCGTTGGAAGCGGCCGGGGGTTTTCCTGTCTGGCTGCCAAGGTACGCTAGACCGCCCGCGGCCGCACTAGATACAAGGGCGCGCCGCGACGACTGCCCGCCACGCCGACACTTTTCTGGCCCCCCTCCACCCCTTGCCTGGATGAGGTCCTCTAGGGCAGGTGCCCCGGCCTGTCCCGCACCTTAGGCGCGGGTCCGGCCGCGCGCTTCTCCCGCCTTGCCACTGCCTTGCTTCTTTGCCAGCCCCCCCGGGCCCCCTGGCGCCACCTTTTTTTTCCGTACTCCGCTGCCCCGACGTGTTTCCGTTCTCCCCCACCCTGCCCCCGCTTCCTTTCGGTACAGACTGCTCGCGCGTCGGAACGTGTACTCCGCGAGCGCCCGGAATTTGGTGGCACTGCCCACAAAGCCCCGGGGGCTGCCAATGCCGGGCCTGCGGCGCGCTGTCAGCCATCTCGCCGCGCCGGCCACCACGCCTCTTCGGCTGTACCTGCGCGGGCCCGGGCGTCGTACGTCGCAAAATTCAGGAGGGCGCCCCGCCGGGCTTCGGGTTCTTCCGTAGTCCGGCGCCTTGATAATGGGCGCGAAGCGAGTTCTTGAAAGCCCGCCGGCCGAGTTTGGTCCGCCCGCCCGGGGGCTGGTAAATGCGGGGCGCCACGCAATATGTATGCGGGCCCGGGGTTCCGGCACCGAAGGGCGGAGTGGCGTAAAACGCAAAAAGCCGCCAATCGCGAAGAGCGCCCTCGAAAGCCAAAAAAAAGCGACCTGCCGCCAACCGCGGGGTCCGCATACTGGAAACCCTTCGGCGCCCCCTCGAAATTCTGGCCCGCAGGGCCAAGTCTGCTAGGGGCCTTGGGGCTCGGAGGCACCAATCTAGTGCTTTCCCATCCTTCTTTTTCTGCGATGGGTTCCGAAGCTCTGGCGCAAGGTCTGCCCGCTGTGCGCATTCGGAAAAGCCGGCCAACACAATTCGCCTGCCTGCATTCTGCTGCCACCCGGCCGCAATTTTGCCTGAAGCCCCCCCATCCGAGCTCGCTCGCGTCCGTTTATTTCGGAAGGGCTTTTGGGGTCGCGTCCGCTAGCAATTTTGGCGCGCGCCCCTGATTTCCATTTCCGGGGCCCCCTGGTTGTTTTTCCCGCCCCTTCGCAGTTGGTACGCGCGCCCCTTCCAATTGTTTCTCCCGCCCGGGCCCCCGGAGACGCGCGGGCCCGCACGCTGCGTAAACACAGGTCGCCGGGGTGGGCCGTGTAGGCGGAAAACCCAAGGCGCACAAACTCCCCGGGAAACCACGACGCCAGCTCGCGGGTAGTCTTGGCGCCATGGGCGGGCAGATAAAAGGCCGCCTGGCCGGCGCCAGCCCTGTGGCCCAAGGTAGGGGCGGGCGTGTCCTAAGCTACAGCCCCCCCCCCCTTGCCGCCGGCGCGGCCTTGCGATGGCAGGGCGAAGCGGCGGGCGCGCGGAATTCGGCGGCGGCCTTCCTCCCATCAATTTCTCGGGAAAACAGATTCCCGGCCGGCCTCGGGGGCGGGGCCGCCTGGGAATCAGGGGGCCCCCCCTCGATGCCTGCCTCGGCGCACGAAAGCAGGACGCGACCGCCCCCCCCTCTGAAGCGGCCCCGGGTCCCTCCTCTAGGCCATCCTGCGCCCCCTTTTCCGCGGGTGCGGCCCTGCAATCGAAAATGGGGCGGGCCAGCCGGCAGAACGGCGGGCGGCAGGCGCGGCGAGCTTCGCGCTTTACCCCTACCGGCCGGGGGTATAACAACGAAGGAGGGACGGTATCCGGCGGCGGCCTGCGAAAGTTTATGCCAGGCCAAGGGGGCGCGCGGGGTCCCCCGCGCCTTCGACCCGGAACTCGCGGGGCCCACTCGTCGACGCTTGCCCCGAAGAATGAAAGCAGGGCGCGGTCGCCTTTCTTTCTGTAGCGGCCCCTGGCCCCTCCTCGAGGCAATCCAGGATGGTTTCCGCCGCAGAAATTGCAGCGCCGGGGGGACGGCTGGCACAGCCTTGGCCCTTGCTGGCTGCGAACACAGTGCGGGCGGCTGTGCCCTTGCCCGCCTCCGCCGAGCGTCCGGACGCCCATGCTCTGGCTCGCCCCATGCCTATCCCAACAGTTGCCTAGCCCGGGCATGACTCGGGGGCAGCGAGCCGGGTGCTAACTGTAGCTCGGTCATAGCCGCCGTCGTCGACCGGTTCCCATTGCGCCCCGGCAATTCGGCGCCGCGGTCTTCAACGGCAGAAGCCGCGCCTTTGTTAGGCGCTATCCAATCAGCCAACCAGGTAAACACGTGCACTCTTGTCGCCGCCCCAGATATATTACCACTTGATACTGCGTTTCCTCTTGCAAGAAGATCCGATCAGATATCACGCAGGCAAAAAACTAACCACCACAATAGATACCCTTACCGATGCAAAAACGAAGCGTGTATATTTTTTGCTTTTTCTTTTGCTTCCTTATTCGGTTACTTTGAGTGTGTGCGTTCTTGCATAAATTCCCCAAAGCTGTTGCGAAGCTAGCTTTCTTCTGGCTGATAGTAGCAGACAGCCCCGCTATCGTCGACATTGCAACCACGTTCAGAGTATTACAATAAAAAATCAAGCCTCACCATACTCAAGCTAAGCGCAGCCCAGTGATCTGACTGAAATCCAAACGTGAGTCCCGACCTCTGGCACCCATAAACCCTTTGAACCCGCAAGGCGGCGGCTGCGGAGAATCAGACGACGTGACGAAGACGAGCGAACCTCATGCGCGGCGCGGCGGACACGGCGGGAGGCCAAGTGTGGCAAAGGTAATGGATACGAACTACGAGGATACCTTATACACAGCGCTGCCGGGTGCCAGCTGGGCACGGGAAAAACGAACGGGTCCGACAGGAACCAGAAACGAAAGTAAAGCCCACAAAAGCGCTGGCGTAACTGTAAAGCCCCAGCGCTGAGAATTGTCGGGGCGCGCACCCCCCTTGGATGCGATGCTATACCCGCCGCTGGGAACGTTCGATCCTAAAGTAACCCCACGGCACAAGAGCCAGCCGATCCACGTACATAAGCGCAAAAGCAAGGCGGGAAAAAGAGCGAGCGCCTGATGGAAAGCCTTTCCTGAAAAGACTTCCCTCCATTGGCCTAAATGATAACAAAAAGCGCAGCGCTGCGCTTTTATTTTAGGTTAATGAATGTCATGTTCCCAAAAAATATCGCTCTCCAGGGATGCATCTGCCTAAAATCAAGCAACGATACTCGTGGCCAATCGGAGCAGTTTGCGAATCGCCTACGATGGGATACAAACTCGCTCGAAAAAAAGGGCGAGGCGAGAGATGAAGCACGCGCTCTCCTAGGAGGCGCATCTCGGCGCCACGCCATGGCGAAAAAAAACGAAGACAGCCGCGAAGCGATAGCGAGTCGCCCGCACCTCGTAGCGAGGCGGCCGTGTGGACATTCGGCGCAACAGATTCGCTCAGCAAATTTGCCCCATTTTTGGAACTCGAAAGCGCACAGCCCCAATATGCAGGACCAGACTTCGTCGCCCGCGATAAATTAAAGCTGGCGCGCGCAGCGGGGCGGTTTTTCGCGTCGCCAAGCGAACGACGCCCCTCGCCGTCCCCGCCGCCCGCCCCTTGCAAACCTTGATGCCCCTGCACCCCCCGGAAGCAACGGCGCCCGCCGCTTCTATGTAAACCAACAGCGAGCGGGCGCCGGGGGGGGGCTGCTGGCCTGGGCATCATTTACGAGCTCGCGGACTGCTGGGTTCTTTGCGAGCTCCCGGAGTTTGCAACTATCGGGCGCATTATCCGGATTTCCCACAAATACACGCGCACTATCCGGCCAGGCCGCGAGACGAGAGACGCGGCAAAAGCCCGCGGCGTTTGCTAAAAACCTGCCCTCTATCATAACGGCCAAGAGGGGAAGGCCATCGCGAGCGCTCGCTTCTACTGGGTAGGCGAGAAGGTGCCCGCCTACAACCAGCCCTCCAACACCAAGAAAGTGCCTGCTGAAGGGCAGGCCGGCGCTCGAACGCGTAGCGCCGCCCGCCTAACTGGTGAGCGGCCGCGCCGTCAACCGAAACTCCCTTCCCATCAGCAATGGCGTCCAAAAGGGAAAGCGGAAACTCCGCGCGAAGGCGAACGCAAGAGCCAAAGAAAAAATAAACGCCAAAGGCAAAAAGCTAAGCGGCAGAGCTAACAAATACGCGACGCCGGCCAACCATCCCGAACCGATCCAGTGCGTCTGGCAATGTTAGTGCGCGGAGTGTTTTCGTTGCTCAGGGAAGCGTCGGGAAGTGCCGCAAGCTGAAACCGATCCGGAAGGCCGGAAATCTGGTTGGTTCTGCTCGGGGTCTTCCTAAGTAAAGCGCCTACAGCCCTCGCAATTGCGCAAGACCGAGCGCCCCCGCCGGCCGGCGGTTGAAGGCTGGCGGCCAGATAGCGCGCCAGCGACTGCCACCCTCTGGGCCGGTTTGAGAAGCTGCCAAAGTGGCGCAAAAGCTGCGAACTGAAGTCGAGGGCCTGGCCAGATCTGACAGCCGAAATTATCAGCGCAATAAAGTCCCCGCCAAACGCAACAGCCTTCAAAGTTCGCGAGGAACGACTTGAAGGCCGACGGAGGGGAATGAGGCGAAAACATGAACGACGAAGCACGCGAAGACACCCAGGCCACGACTGCGCTTGCAAATATGCACGCCCTAAAAATGCCACGCGCGAAGACTAAAATCAAAATAGAAGCCCTCAACCCCAGAAGCCCTCTCAACCCTGTCGGCGTCGGCGGCGGAACTGGCACGATGACAGTGGCGGAGATGAAGCGGAGAGGAAGAAAACATTGGGGTCGTGGCGCTCGGAAAGCCTCCTCACATCTGATGAGGGCGCGGAGCATTCATGGTTTGCACAAAGGACGAGGCCTAAAAGCAGAAACGAAATAGCAGCGCCCAAAAGTAAAGAACACAAACAAAGCAAATCCAAAACCCCACAAGGCCATGAGCGGCCTAAACCTAAATGCCCGCCCACACGCTGTTCAACGCCCGCCGCCGCGCCGTCTTTCTTCCGCTCTCTCTCCCGGCGCGCAGTCGCTCGGCGGCTGCAGCCCGTTGGCCCTGCAAGCCGAAGTTAGTCGACCGGCCCGGCTGTCTTGAAGGGCTCGAACTAACAATCAGGGCCGGCCCGGTCCGGTCTGCGGGGCACGAGCCGAAAAAGCCACAGACCAATGCCAAAAAATCCGCGCGCGCCCGTGCTGTTCGGGGTCCTTCGTCGCCCCTCCCTATCTTCCGATCCGGCTGCATTCTGTTGGGCCTCGCTGCCGAAGTCCGGCCAGTCGGCCGGCCCGACGCGCGGTTCCGGCGTACTCGGGCGGGAATATCCGCCGCCCAGAAGGGAGGTCCGCCGGACGCCCATAGCCCTCTGTATGGGGCGCCCGGGGATTTGCTACCTGGACCGGAACCACGATAGCGCCCCGGCCGTCCCAGGCATGGCCGGTCCAGAGAAAGGGCGGGTCTTGGGCAGGGCCGGCGACCTTCGTGAGGGCCAGCGGAAATCGTCCGAAAAATACGGCCAGCTCCGGGTGGCCCGATGGATTGCGGCGAACCAGGCCGGCGGGCCCGAGAGACGGACCCCGGCTTTCCCGGAGCTCCCTGCTGCCGCATGCGCAAAAGCCGCGCCGGCTGGGACGCCAAGCGGCCTCGCGCGAGAAGCGAAAATCGGGCCCGTCTTCAAATATGCGCGCGCCGGCCTCTTCTCCATACCGTGGCCGAGCCACCGCGCCCTATTGTCGTTTCCTTTATTTTTGCTGCCCGATCAGGCGTCCAGGCGTTCTCTTCGTCACGTACCGAAGGCGGCGCGCGCGCGGCTGGTTTCAAGAAAATGAAACAAACCGGATCAAGGCGCTCCGGCGTCTGGCGATTTTGAAAATCCGGCCAGAGTTTTCAAATCAACGGTGGCAAACGGCCCGAAGGCCGGCGATTCTCTTTCTCTCTGGAGCCGTTTGAAATGCCCCAGATCAGCAACAAGACCGCACAGTCTTCAAGCGGGCCAACTCGGCAACAAAACAGCACGCATTTCAAGACCGCGGTCGCTGGTGGCCAGCTAACTCGCAGCTACGAGCGCAACCACCCGGGCGGCTGGACGGCTAGCTCCGCTCGCGCCTTGAATGGTTGCCGCCTAAGGCCGCTCGAGCCCACCGCGAGCTAATCGCCTGGCTGGCCGACCAGCCGGTTACTTCGCGGCTGCGAGATACATCGCGGCCCATTTGCTACCTGCTCCAAGAGTGATCTTCCTGTCTGTGATCAACATCGCCCCAAATCAATTTAGTGCAAAACTAAGACGACGACGAGGGCAGCTGTGTATAAAAAAAAATAAAAGCCTGCGCGCCTCCATAATCAGCAGCAAAAGCGTTGTAGGTCGGTGCCCAGAGTGAAAGGCTGCGCAACGATGCACACAGGCCCAGCGGTTCGGCAAAGACCAAGGGTGCGGGCGGCATGCCCCGGGCAAAGCTCAAGTGGTGCGTGCTGGCGGCGGCAGAAGGTGTGCCCGATAGAATACGGCCAAGCGCTTCCGCATTCTGTTCATCCAACGCAGGCAAGCTGACTCACGGCCACAGATGGGGCGCCAGCTCTGCCTTGCTGAGTATGTGGGCGAGTCGTCTTTCCGTACGATAATGCACTTCGTGATTCAGGTCCGCGCATGTTCGACCGCGCTGCGCTTCGCAAATGCCTGCCAAAAGGAGGCCTAGGCTCTTTTTTCTCCGGATCGGTCCAAGTATTTTCCATGCCCTGACGAATGTCTATTGCCCCAACGGTAAGGGAACAAATGCAAGAGGGCAACGAGGAGCATGGCGCGCCGCCACGTACAGTACACGCGGCCGGCGCGGCTAGATTCAGACACAGCGCGCCACCTCGGTGACTCTAGTCTAGGTTTGGGCGCGTACTGCATACACTGGAGGGGGGGGCGCAGGTCGACACTGTCGCGGCGCGCCCTGTCCTGCCGCCGTGGGTTCCTGCGACTGCGCGCGCGCGCCTTCGTCGTAGCACGCCGGAGGGTAATTGAATGCGTAGCAGCTTCGCAAATGACTACGAGAAGAAAAGCGCCGCCCGCTCTGGCCCGCCCACAACCCGCGCGGCCGTGCCCAACAGCTTGCGGGCGCATCTTGATTATTTTGCCCCGGCCACGACTGGCACGCGCGGCGCACACAAGCGCGACGCGCTTGTGCGGCCACGGCACTGCCCGCGGGCATGTGCGCGCGCAACCGCGAGCCGCGGAGGGTGGGAATATGTTAGGGGTAGGGATGTTTTACTCTTTTCTCAGGCCCCACCTTCCCAGGCGCTGCTCTACCTCTGCCTCCGGACCTCGTCCCGCAACATTGCGAAACGGGGCCCGGAGGCACACAAGCCGGGGCAGCCTGCGCTGCGTTCCGGGTCACCTGTAAGATCGGGCAGGTTGCATGCCCGGCTAAGGCGTAGGCAGGCGCACCGGCTCAGTTCAGGCCACAGCCTTCGGAGAAAAAAAAGGCGCCCGAATTGAGGCCACGGCGCTACTGTTAGAGCCTGAACACACGAGAACAAAGGGAGAGAGGTGGGGCCACTGCTAGGCCCAAAAGGCTCAGGGCCCTCAACGATTCAAGTCCTGGCCCCACTGCCTAGAGTCTGCGAACCTGTGCCAAAGTTAGTGCTGAACGGCTCGGGCCAGGATCTTGCTCCCAACGAGCAAGGGGCGGCGACACACAAAGACGCGAGGATCGAGATAGATCGGAACATCGAGCATGCTGACACTCCCCTGCTACTCTACTAGCCCAGGGGGAGCTTCCGGAAAACGTAGCCCCTTGCTTCCATTTATTTTGGGGGGCCTGCCCTGTGTTCCAGGTAACTTGCGAAGGGGGGCAGGCTCGGCTGCCCGGCCCCAGTGGCCAGCTACATTTCGGTCGAAGTGCTGACCCAGATGGCAGCCAAGACAATGCCGCCAGGCCTGTGGCAGCACATCGGGCAACATCTGGAGCAACAAGGAGGCCGCCAACCTTTAGCTGTGCGGGCCCGGCGCCTCCAATGCTGCCAACCAAGCGGAAGACGAACCAAGGCACAGCCCGGCCGTCGGCCGGACGCGGAGAAAATGAACGGGGGCGCGGGCTGCGAGTAAACCAGGGGGCAGGGGCGGCCAAAATGAACAGAGGCAGAGGCGGCAAAAATGGATAAAAACGAAGAGCCACAAAGCTGGTCGGCAAGCTAATTCAAACCTAGGGGGCGAGACCTGGAGACGGGCCGCCCTCCTCCTGCGCGAAGCCGACGGGAACCCGGACGGACGAAACGCACCCGGGCGCGCGAAAGACGGGAACTGACCGTGGTCAAAAATCACACGTCTCGGCTTGCTGGCCGCGGTCAAAAATCACACGTCTCGGCTTGCCAGAGTAGATGACAACGGGGGGGCCAAACGTCTGCAACTGTACGCGATTCGCCGAGGCCAACGGACTGGCGCCACAAGGGTCGCAACTGCGCTGCCCAGAGGGTGGGCCCATCGTGTTTGGGGCTACTTTGCGCCACTTCCAAAGGGCTGAGAACCGCGCGCGCTTGATATGTTTAGGCCACCGCGAGAACCGCTCGTGGGGCCCGCGGGCCTGCGGCGCCGGCTGGCAGAGTGAAGGGTGGCGGCGCTTATTCCACTCCGATCGGTCTCAACGAAGTGCAAGGGGGGGGGGGCGGGGGAGGCAAGCCAGACCGGGGGGGAGCGGGCTTCCACCTCTGCTACCACGGCCGCCGCCTGAAAACAGCGGGGCGCCTGCCCCCCCTAACGCCTGCTCCGCCGCACCGTCGGCCGCCGGGAAGCACCGCGCGCCACCCAAAGTCCCGCTCCTCGTTTCGCTGATTAGCGGCGCTGCGGTCGCTCCGCCCCAGTAGGGAGGGGCGAACACAAGCGGCCGGGGCCCTGTCGGGAGGCAAGGCGCAGCACGGGCAGCAGCTTGGGGGCCACTTCGCCATATGCCTCCCTGGCCTCTCGAAGGCGGCCGGACGGCGCATTTTACTTCGCGGCGCCGGCAGCCTAGCCGCGTGAAAACGCGTTTTTGTATCTCGCACGCCAGTCTACCCCTAGGGGCGGCGCTTCTTATCAATATTGCACTACAAGCAACCGAGCCCATTGCCCGCGGCGCGCCACCTTCTGCGCCTCGGCCGCCTATCCCGGGCCCAAACCGTTCAGGACCGCGGGGCCGCCATCTCCTGCCCTTCGGCTGCTCGGCCGGCCGGCCAATCCGTCCTGCTTGGGCGGCCAATCGAAGTCGGCCCGCCTGGTCGTTTTACCCGGGCCGGGCCGCTGCGGGCTCCGGCAGGTCGCGCAGGCGGCACGGCCTCAACATCATCCCATGCGCCAGATATTAATTTGCCGTCCCCCGCCCTGGCTGTGTGCCTGCAATGCCGCAGCGCCGTCGCCTCAGATGATGGCGCAACTGGTTCCCGCGTACCTCTCCCATCACCTCGCTTGCCCCTAGCAACACCCTCCGAGGTAGCAGCGCATCGCGCGCGCTTCCTTTTCTTCTTCTGCACATATCTCCCGACCTAGGACACAAAAGCCGTGCCCTCGGTCGCGTTCGAAGCAGGTCGCCCTTGCGCCTCCCGTGGCCGCGCCTGTGATTCGCTTGGCCGCCCCCTTTCTGGAGGTGCTTCCTTCTCGGTGGGCCGGCTTGCCCACGACCCGGGGCGCTTGCAACTCCTGCAACTGACACACAATCTCCGGAAAAGGGCCCTCGGGCTCCAGCAGACCAAGTAAGGCGGCCCGAAACGCGCCCGGCCCTCCGCCTGCGGCTATCAGGTGGCAGGGCCCGGAGAGGGGTCGATGGAGGACCTCTGGGAGGACCGGCGGAAAGCAACCTGCACAAAGGCGCGGCCAGGCACCGCAAGTCCCGCGGATCGTGCCGGACCTGGCCGACTTCCTTCACCAAGCAAGGAGACCGGGTTCTTTTTTATTTTCACCTTCTTCTTTCAAGTTTTGTTCTTTTTGTCCTCGGTCTACCGGAATAGCTGGACTATCCTTCACATTTCTACAGACAACGCATACGCCGGGTGGCTAGTCCTCCCGCGCTGCCAAATATCTGCTTGTGGAGAAAGAGAAACAGAAACGACACAGACGCTGGCGCCAGCTAGCGTCGGTAACAGGACAGCACATCGCAAAACGAGTGACGAGGGCAGCTTTTCCACAACCGGCACAAATCCGACTGAGGGGCGAAGGAAATAGGTAGGCAATGCATCCCATTCTCTTCATGCAATACACAAAAAGTCTCTGCCTGGAACCTTTCCAAGCCAAACCCTTGGGATTCCTGGGGACATGGCGTTTCCCAGTTTGATAGGGGAACCGGTGGATGAATTAGTACCCGAGGAGCGAAAAGAAGCTTCTGCAGCAGGAGACGGGGTCGAAGACGGTGTCGCGGAATGAAACGGCTGCGCGGCAAGGTTGTAGTCCTCGAATATCGACCAAGAAAACAAACTTTCTTTTATCGCATGACTCGCGGGTGCGCTTTGGTATTCTCCTGGGAGCGCGTCCCTTGGTGGAAGAAGTGGCATCCTGCGTAAAAATTAGACAAGTCACTGCGTAAAAACTACACATGCCTCTTCTGACTGTGGAGGTCTCGTTTCACTTTCAGACGGATACACTAAAAATCGAACTTCATCATACAGCGCGTGGCTGCGACGAAGTGCCAGGACTCCTAGCAGTGCAGGAAGAAGAACGCTTATTCGGCTACTTCGATTATGCAAGCGTTGGGAACATGCTGGCCTCTAGTGATGCACAGGATACCGACAGAGAAGTCCTTTTGCACGCACTGCACCTTTGGTAGGGATTTCTGCAGCCAGAAAGCCGGCGATTGCCTCCCCGATTCCCCACTGGCTGCGATTGTCGTCTGTTCGTCCGGATTTTTCCGTTTTCTTTCAGAACGAAAAAAAGGGCCGCCCCCTGCCCATACTCAGCAAAAGCGGTAAGCTCCACTTTTTGTCAAGAGTTCCGACTACACTAGTCAAGCCTCATAGAAGATAATTTTGTGGCGTGCAGAGGGGTCGAGGCAGATGCAAAAGAAACGTAGGAGGCTTGGCTGCAGCCTACCGGGTGACTACGTTGCGACACGTGTCTCCCTCTGCAAGCATCCACATTCTTAGGTAGAAACTTCCGCCAGAAGCCTCTCGGTCTCGAGAAATTGTTCCGCTCCTACGTACATAACTTGATAGATAAAATGCCAAGCGTTGTATGGCTTTTTCGCTGCCACCGTGCACTGTGCGGCTATTGTAATTTCACGCAATCAGGTTCCCGCATGTGTGCGCAGCTGATAGGGCGCAGCAGTCTCCTGGCCTTTTGCGTTCACTTTCATGAGACCGCGGCAGCAATCTTGACGGGGAAATCACTTGGATGCTCGCTTCTTCAGGCGGGCGACTAACTTTCTGCCGCATTGGCTACATTACTGCTTGTAAGCCGCCGGGGCTTGTTAGTGCCTCAATCGATCGCCTCCAGAGTTGACGGGAACAGGAATTGCGTGCGCGCTTCTTCAGGCGAGCGAGTGGCTGTTTGTCATGAAACGCCGCGCGTTTTAGTGGTGAACGGCCAAGCTCGGGGAGTTGCCGGGGAGAAGGACTGCCGGAGCCTTCCATCAACCCTGGCTTCAGACTGGAGCAGAGCTGCCTCCTCTTCCGTAATGCTCCTGTCAGCCTCCACACAGCCACAAGGTCCTAAACAAGCCACCTTTGCTTCCCTTCCTTGCGTCAGAACAGGCGCCATAGAAATGGCAGGTCCTAAGCAAGACAAAGACTCCTCTTCCTGCCTGCGCTACCTGAGCCGGAGCCCTGATAGCGGTACGCAAAGGCCACCGGGGAACGCAGGAAAGCGCGGATTTACAACCTGCATCCCCAGCTGCCTCACTAAAACCCTTGGCGCTACCCTGAAGCCCTTCCGCCGCTTTCCTCTTTGCTCGATGTGTGTGCAATTATTCTCCTTCAATTGACGGGAATATCAAAAACGCCTCGCTTGGCAATGGCTACAGGCGCCGCGCAGTGCGTGTCTTACGTGGCTGCAGCAAAAACAGGCGCCCTACGCTTGACACTTTCTCCCCTTGCTCTCTTGCATGAAGCTCGCGCCCGGAGGGCGATCTTGGGAAACAAGTGGGTGCGTGAACATCTAACCAGCGCGAAGATCCGCCAGCCTTTTTCCAACATCAGGGCCGCGCTTTTGCCGCACGGCAGCCGGCGCACCGAGAAAAAACGACAGCTCTTGGAGCTCCACCCTAGTGGAGTTCCAAGCGGACTCCACCACTTCCCCGCGGCCCCAGGGAGCCGCGGACGCCTGAGCACAGTCGCCCGCGGCGGCCCCGGCCCGCAGGCTCCGGCGCTACGCATTGCAAGCGAAATGCAGCCAACTCGCAGCGGGGCGCCCTTTTTAGGCCCCAGCTCGCAGCGGGGCATTTCTTCTAGGCCCCTCGCGACAAAACAGCCCGCTCTGAATGGCCCCCGCCGCCATGCCATGGTGCGTAGCGTCATACACGAGGGCAGGCGGGCCCGCGAAAATGCGCAAATCGCAAGAAGTTGCCCAATTTTCGGCCTTTCCAGAAGGCCTTCTGGGCCACCCAAGTTGACCCCTTTCAATCGGGGGAGGCCTTCAACTTGTGGCCCTCAGAAAGGTCGAAAACCGTGCGCGTGTGACACATCTCCGCAGGATCTACGTGCCTTATTTTTTGCTCGTTCATTCCCGATGGCGCGAAGCCTCGAAAAATTTTCAAACCATCTCGCAGCGGCCATCTAACGTCAGGCTTTGCATGTCGCAAAAACGCTGCGCTTTTGGGATGCCCATCGGCTTTCGGGCCATGCACGGAGTCGGTTTTTCTATTTGGACTCGTTATATTCCGCGGCAAAGGGTTGCGCTTTTTTTTCCTTTTTTTTCGAATAGCTATCGGCTTTCGGGCAATGCACAAAGTCGGGCGGTGCTTTTCTTGGGCCCATTCATATACTCGCTCAGTGGGCATCCGGTCCACAGGATGCCCGGCCCAGAGGGTACGGTCCGGAGTACCTGAACCACGGTGCCTGGTCTGAGAGGGTGCCTGGTCTACGCGGATGCCTAAATATATACTCTACCTTCAATTATTTGATCTCGTCTCAGTTATTTCATTGCCTGGCCAGGGGCGTTGCTTCCTACACTTGTAGTCCTGTCCTCACTACATTGCCCACCTGCAAAGATTTACCTCGGGTATGGGGTGGGAGCAACAGACCTTTCCTCGTGATAAAGCCCGCGAATGGCCCATGCACTTCTTTCGTCGTCCACTTCTACCTTCAGCCGCCGCCATTCGCCGGAGTGTCCGCCAGTTTTGAGCTCGACACTGAATGTATCGTTTAGCATCGACATCGGTAAAAGCCCGCAGGGAAAATTAAACAAAGGAGAGAAGTCCGCTTCGCCCGCCGGTCGGCTACCGGAAGTATGAAATTTGTACGACTCCAATTGTTTGCATCGGTTGGCCGGGTGCAATTTCTCGCCGCCACTCTTCAGTTGCTCTTCGTCCCGTGTATCCCGCGCAAGCAAACTCTTGCTGCTTTCAAACTCGCTGGACGACTCACGCCATGGCCATTCGCCTGGTGCGTGTACGTGTAGCGAGTGCTTTTATCTATTCATAACGTATCAATTACTTACTTCCTTAGCAGCATACGGTTTTCTTTTGCTGCTCAGGCACGAAGATCAATTCAGCCGACACGGACAGAGCCCTTTTGTCCCCACGTACACGTTGCTACCTGCACACCCTTAGTTACTTTCGCGAACTCCACCAGAGCGCTCCGTGATGAAGCGCTCCAGTGGTTGATCAGGGCCCTCGACCAGGTGAATGGACTCTGTTTCTGCTCTGGAAGGAGAGAAGACGACGCCGCGCGGCATCTCTCAGCATGACGAAACTCTGTGAGGCCCCACCAAACAGAGGACGGCCATCAGCTCGATCCTTTCCCCTACGCGTCAAGTCGTAGACGCCAGTTGACTTGGCCGAATCACGATGGATGACCGAACCGAATCACGATTCAGTGCTGTGTGGTTGTGGATCGTCGTGTCTCCACCTGGAACTTCCGTAGATCGTAAAGCGCAAGAATGGCACACCCGCGCGGCTTATTTCGCTCTGGCTAATCTATCAGAGCCATCGGGAGCATAGCGTGCTGAGCGAGGGACGAAATAATTACGAACGCGGTGGCTGCAATATTGTAGCACAGGGCATAAGAACGCAGCGAGGAACTTACGCCACTGGCTTGCTCTTGCAATTGCATTGCAGACGACTAAAGCGGTCAAGTTGCCCGCGCGTACTTCGCTTTGTGTGCGCGAGTGTTTTCGGACCCAACATCGCGCTGCCAGACGGAGTGATCTGTGGTCAAGGAAGTCGCTATTATTTCCGCAGTTGTCTAAAACGCAGTCAAGACCAAAATGCATGATATTGTTAGCTGCATACAAGAGAGAAGCGTCACTCAGGATACATTGACCACGAGTACAACATGTGGCTCTGAAAAAAATTACGAATTTCGACATTCAGATAAAACGGCCCGCTGCCAGCGTGGTCTACCACTTGGAACTCAACAAAACCTCGGCGATTTTGCGAAAAGGACTCGCCTGCATCAGTTGAGCCCGATGCTGCCGGTGTTCCCACTGACGTAGTTGAGGATGTGAGCTTTGACGATGCTGTCCCTGGCCCTGACTCTGTGCCGCCGGCTCCATTGAAAACAAGTACGCTCTGCGTCACCTGCACCCCTTCGCCCGCGACGACCGCTCCCTGCTCGTCCTGTCCGCCCCCTAGCCACGCGGCGTATGCAGGGCCACGTTGATACGTTACTAACTCCCGCATTTTTGGACATTTGACGGCGTCACGTTGGACTTGCAAGAAGGACTGATTTACAAAGGATCGGCCGGGAAGAAAAACAGCATGTGCTCGACCCCCATGAGTAGTGTTCGGGCTTGCCTCGTGGTCTGCTGCATCAAGGTATGCCAATCTTGAGTCTCCACTGTGGTCCACTATCACCGAGGACGCTGCGTCATCATGCGGAAAGATCCCCCTCGCCCTCCGCATCATTGTCAAACCAAGACCTGCACTGCCGGACTTTCGTGGTCGCAATGACACGCCATGCCCGCCTGTGTCTTCCATAGAGCGGAAGCGAGACCTGTTGAGCGGTGCATTTTCGAGGCAACCCCTGGAGCTCCTGTTTCACTCATACCAAACACGTCTCCCTCGCCGAACAACTGCAAAAACAAAAACTTTTCAGAAGCTCACAGTCTGCCTGCGGCCGCGGTGTCCCGCACCATGTCCATCATTTGTGCTAACAAATGACTCACGTAGCACAAGCATCCATTTGCGTATACGGAGAGCGGATGGCTTCTTCTTCATGATACGTGTCGTCAAAAAGTTGATCATACGCAACGCGAAATTCCACGACGTCGGCAACCGGAGTGAGCTCCAGCACACAGAAGAGCAAAAAACAAAGGAAACCGTATGCAAATACGCTGGTAGACGGCAACAAGAGGCTGACCGATTTGTTGCACAGCTTCTCTAGATCTAAACTCTGCTTAACTAAGACCGGGTCGATCCAGTGAATGCCAGATGTAGTGCCGGCGTCTCCACGGCCTCTGCGCACCGGTGGTATTTTCGAGAACGGGCTTCCTTCCAATGGATCCTCGGCGTTACACTTTACGTCGCGGCTCGTCTCTCCGATTGACACAACCGTCACAGAACAGCTGGCAGGCGGCTGCCGCAGCTGCGGTCGCCGCGCCAGTTGCTGTTCGCACTGCTTGTGCGCAGCACTAAGCTCTGCCCGCCAGCTATCCTGGGTAGAAACGTCCCAGCTTCCTTGCGAAGATGTGAGCTCAGCATACGAGCGAAACAACTGCTCTCGGACTCAGGCCGGGCATAAACAAACAGCCCGGACATAAGCAAACCGCTTCGCGTGAATTAATGACTCATGTGGGAAGTCACGTCAGACATGTCCTGCACATGCAAAACTTGCGGATGAGATAGTATATATTTACTGGGTCGTAGGGACGTTAAGCAGTGCAGAGGATATCCGGCAGACGCATTGCTGCTGGTCGTGACTGCGCCTTCACCTGAGGCAATCAGATGGAAAAACATCCCCGCCCCACACTCTGCATGTGGCTCTTTCATGAGCAAGAGGTTTCCTACGAGTTCCACGATGAGAGACGTTCGCTCCTTGTGCTCCTCATTCAGGGAAAATTTGTAATCGTCACCGTTTTGAAATATACATTTTCTGAGCAAAAGCGCTGGCCTTTTGATTGGCTTATTCCTATGTGTGTCCATTGATTTCTGCCAAGAAATGTTGCGAATTATGCGGCAGGCTCGCTAGTACATTTCAAGCATGCATGTTGACCCAGCCCGTTGAAGGTGGTCCAAAAATATCCCAGAAGCGCCTGCCGTTTTCCAGACCAAAACCGCGGCCCCGGAACGCCTTTGGCTGGGCAGCCGTCTAATGACACTTTCGCGACCAGCTTTGGGCTCTCAGAGTCCACGACACCTCGCAACCTGCAAAACTTCCGGGATTTGCCACCGAAGCGACACGAGCCCGAGACTCTCAAGAGCCACCCAGCATCGCCCGCCGCAACATGCAGAACCTCCGCCGGCGAAGGTCGGGCTTCTATGCGCCAGAAGACGGCCTCTTCGCGACGGACTTTTAGGAGCCACGCCCTCGGTCTTCACGACGGCAAAGCCAGCACTCCGGGGTGCTTCTGAACTGAGTTGAACTATCCGGGCCACCACCACCATGCTCGAGGTGTAATGCCTGGCGCACCACATTCGAAACAGCTAAGAGGCATGGGCGCCATGTGTGGGATACCTAGAAAAAATGAAACTTCTTTGGTCAAAAAATGAACATGTCACAACGGTGACAAAGAAATTTTTTCTGCATACTCCTCGCGAATCTTTCCTTCTCGTCTTTTGATCGGGAGAGACAAGCGGATTAGGCATGCGGCCAGGATAGCTAGTCTAGACTTAGGTAAGGGCCTAGTACTGTCATGCGTGACTCCCAGACCAAACTGCTTCCGGAGTTGTACTTATCTTGCTGTGGTGTCGGTAGACCTCTATGGACAAGGGGCCCATGTAAATCTAAAAACACACGAACTAGGAAAGATAGACGAACTACAAGGCAACTCTGTGGGTAGTTACTTCGGAAATCGCAAATACGATCAAGAAGCAGTCAACCTACGAAGCTGCTGGCGCGGCTGCTGCCGCAGAGTGACCTTGTTTTCCTGCCACTTGACTAGGAGCAATTTTGTGTAACGAGGTGTATGCTATAGCAGAGCTCACATCGTGGCTTTGGGGATGGCGTAGAGACGTTTTTACACAGGATAGTAGGAGCCGTTGTGTCAAGCACCGTACCCGGCACTATGGCTTGCTGCACAGCGTCTTCTACGGTGGATGCACATACTGCAATAGCCACTGCTGTGGCGTGACGATGTCCTTCATCATCTCGTTTGCTGTCTTTGTCATTTTCGCCAGTAAAACCTTCGAGTGTGTGCACTCCAGGCTGCACCGACAGGCTGGCTTCGGAAACGCCGCGGCAAGGGCTTGGGCTTCGGTTTCGTTCCGCCCTAGCCGGTGGACTACTCCTGTTGGGACCGTGGCCGCAGTACTTTTCCCGGAGCTGTTCTGAATGACTTCGCCCTTTGCTTGCACGACCGCGCTGCAGGTTTTTTTCTCGCTTGAGCGAAAATGTAAGCAAGCTGAAGTAAGCCAACTCCTTCCTGAGTTGCGTGGAACGCAGGGGAAAGTGAACTTTCTCATCCTGTCCAACACTCCCTGTACTTCTGGCCCAGCCACGTGCGCCGCCAAACCCGGTGGCTGTAGCATTGAAAAGCGACATCTCCACCAGAAAAAGGCAATGATCGCAATTTTCTTTCCGACAAAAAAAAAAGTACTATAGGTACATGTAAATTAGCTGACCAGCCTGCGCGACTAGTCCAAATGAACGCTTCGTAAGATTTCCATGAAAAGGTTTCCATAGAAGTCGGCGCCTTCTTCTGGGGTGAGCAAGTAGTCTATTTTCAAAAAGATAGCGAAGGCAGCTGCCGGCTCGTCTCGACCCTGCGTCATTCGATGCTGCCGCTTTGAAAAGACACCAAACGCGAGTACATCGCACTAAGTGATTTTTATCGTATTCACTTTCTTCCGCAACACCAAAGCCGACTTCTCAAGATTCCTACGGGGGTTGGATCTCACAGCAATTCAAGCTCTCTTCAAAAGCAAATGGGACTAGTAAAACAAATTAAAGGGCCAACATGTGTTGGGCGACCCGCTTCACGCCGACGACTCTGCTGCGCCCCAATGCTGTAGCTAGTTTTCCTAGCAAGATGCAAGCAGAAGGGAACGCAGCCGGTATGGTTGCGGTACTGAAAAAAAATCATTATCGAAGAAGTGAACTGTGCTCGGACTTGTGCTAGTTGGTTCCCTGAGTCCCTCCGTTGGCGCAACCATAACACCGATACGAACAGAAAAAAAAGGACCGAGTCTTATCCTTGTATAGAAGATAACTGCCATGGATTAAAAAAATGCAAATGTCAGTTAGAGCGAGGTAGAATTCTAACATTGCGTTTGACGTTCAGAATCGCGCTCGAGCTTGAGTTTCAAAACCAAGTTCGAGTTTGAGACACAAGCTCGAGCTTGAGAGACAGGATCGAGATTGAGTTTCAGATTACAAGTTCGAGTTTGAGATACATGCTCGAGTTTGAGTTTGAGAGACAAGCTCGAGTTGGAAATACGAGCTCGAGCTCGAGTTTGAGACACAAGCTCGGATTGGCCGCAACGGCCCGTGCTGCTGCTCCTCGTCTTGTCCAACCCATCAGCCGACGACCGTTGGACAACCAAGAGTCGTCCTGCGGGTGAGAAGTTGTCCGACGGCCGTCGGACAGCCAAGAGTCGTCCGACGGCTCAGAAATCGCCCGACGGCCGTCGGACAGCAAAAAGTCGTCCGACGGCTCAGAAGTTGCCCGACTCCGACGGCTCAGAAGTTGTCCCGCGGCCGTTGGACAACCGAAAGTCGTCCGACGACCGTCGGACAGCCAAAAGTCGTCCGACGGCTCAGAAGGTGCCCGAAAGTCGGACAGCCAAAAAGTCATCCGACGGCCGCCGGACAGCCAAAAGTCGTCTGACGGATCAGAAGGTGTCCGACGGCCGTCGGACAGCCAAAAGTCGCCCGACGGTCCTACGGCCGCCGGACAACCAAACGTCGGCCGACGGCCCAGAAGTTGCCCGGCGGCAGTCGGACAGCCAAAAGTCGCCCGACGGGTCAGAAGTTGCCCGACGCCATCGAGACACGTCGACGCACCTTCGGGGCCGGGTTGACCAGATTGGGCGCGCCGGAAATGGAGCGACCAATCGGGGCGCGCCGGAGCCGCAACAACGAACCACATTGGGCGTGCCGGCGCTTTGTTTTGGGGCCGGCGCTTTTTTCTTTGTGATTTGCTATCTAGATCATGCCGCTTGACGTTTGCGTTTCTTCTAGTGCCTACTTCCAGGAGACGCTGGCGTTGCTAGTTTACATTATTGAAAAAGAAAACGGACTTCCTTGGTTACGTATCTGCGATATTGCCCCGCATGAGAACGCCAGGACCTCACCAGCGACAGACTGTCGCGCTGTCTTCTTCCAAGAAAAAAGGCACTGCACTAGCAGAATAGGCGAAAAGCAGAAGCACACAGCTTCAGCCAAAACGGGCAGAATTAGTTCAGGACAGTCGCCTTCGGTTCATTCCAACGCCGGCACTAGCGAGATCATGATCATGCTTACGTAGTTACAACCCTAGTCGCACGGGCTCACTGCTTTTTCGTTCTACGAGCAGTCCGCACACAGTACGAAACCGAAACCGAGTTCCCTTTGTGGAATCAGCGCTGTATTGCTTGCAGCCTCCGACCCTCCCTTTTCACTACTGCAACTGCTCGAGACCACATACAATTTGAAACTTTCTGTGTTCTTAGGCCCCGTTCATACCAACCACGCCACTGCTGCCACTTCCTGGTCACTGCCTTAGGCAAGACCCCCGCTCGGACGCGCCGCGAGTACACCACCGGCCCAATGCTTCCCCTTTGCTCTGCAGCGATCTCGCACTTCCCCGCCAAACCGCCTGCGCTTTCTTTCACAGTTGCAGGCCTCCTTCTCTTGCCATTCGATTTCACCCACGAAAGAAATCCACAGACGAAACTGCCCGAGCCGCCGCCGCCGCCGCGCACGATCGAAAACAATGGCGGCCCAATTCAATACAGGAGCGAAAGAAATGCCTCCCTGCCGATAGATTCGATTCCAGCTGGGCACACTGTTCCGCCGCCCCGCCAACCTTTTTCCCCGCCCCGGGCGCGGCCTTGTTTCGCCTGATCCGGGCGCACTACCCTGCCGCGCCGTGGTGTTGGCGCGCTGCAGGCTCCCCGCGGTTCTGGCGCGCCTCCCCATCCACCTGGCCCAGCGCGCCGCCACGCGCTTCCGGAGCTATTTGGGCGGGCGCCCGCCCCCGACGCACTGGCCCCCCCGGGCCCAGCCGGCGCACTCCCGTGATCTGGGCGCGCTGCGTGTGCGCCCCCCTCACCCCGCGGCTTGTGCGCGCGCACTGCCCCACCTGGCCTTGGCGCGCTTGGCTTCGTTCCCCGTCCGGGCCCAGCGCGCCCCCCGCCCCTCTATGGTTTGGAGGCTCTGTGCCGCCTGGTCCGGGCCCCGCTGTTCCTCGGTTTGGTTGGGCAGGCGCGCGTCAGTCTCGGTCGATCCAACCCCCGGCGCACTTCCAGCCCAATCCGCGGGGAGGTGAAGCGGCGCGGCCAGGCCCGGTGGGGATGGTTGGAACAGTGCGCCAGGACCGAGTGAGGCAGTGCGGCGGGAGACGCTCCCGCGCACCACTGCGCCCGGTCTTGGTGCACTGCCCTTATTTCTCCGTCCCCGCGGTAGGTCCGGGCGCCCTGCGTGCCAAGACCGATCCTGGCGCACCTCGCCACTCGCCTGCCCCCCCGCGGCCTCGGCGCGCGCAGTGTTCCACCCCGTGGGCCCGGGAACAATGTTCCGCCCCGAACAGCGCGGCCTCGGGAACACTTTGCGCCCCACCCAATCCAGGCGCACTTTACCGCACCCCCCGGGGCTTGGGCGCACTGCCGGAGCCCCCCGGTCGGGGCGCACTGCTCTGCACCCCCCTTCGCGGCTTCTTTTGGCGCGCTGCCCCAGACGTGCGATCCTGGGGCCACTGGCCCGCCCGATCCTGCGAAACTGTTCCGCCCGGCCCTAGCGCGCTGTCCCTCCGCCCCGTGCCCGGATAGCAATACTGCAGGGCGCTCCGGGACCCTGGCGGTCTTGCCCTTGGTTCTACATTCTCCCGCCCGAACAACGGCGCGCGGAAAAGCAAAGCGGACAGAGACGAAGCCCGTACGCAACGAGCGCAGGCACGTGCCGGCCCTTGGTCTTCGTGAAGTGTCAGGTCGTAGGGCGGGCGCTGTTGTTGTTCGGGCGCCAAGCACCACGCGGATCGCTGTACGCCGCAGGGATGACCTTCTTCGACACACGCGCGCACGCTTCTGACCAACCCCGTTCTGTGTCTTTCCCGCGACACCTTTGTAGTACCTGCGGGAATGCCCGCCGGGGGTCTCACGTACTGCTTCTAGTTGCACGTCCCTGATGGCCACGGCGCACTGCCCCATCCGGTCCGCCCGGGCGCGCTGTTCCGCCCTCCACCCGCGGGAGGGCTGGAAGGGCGCACTGCTCCGCCCGGGCCCGACGCATTGGATTTCTCCGCCCGGCTTGTTTGGCGCACTGCTTTTCCCCGCGTGGTAGGTTTGAGCGCGCTGCCCCGCCGGTCCTGGCGCACTGTCCCAGCTTCCGGCGGTCTGTTTGGGCCCCCCGTCTGCTCCACTGGCAATCTCGAGGCAAAAGAAGGGTGTGGGTCGGGGAGCGGGACTTTGGCGGGGGCCGGGCGGTTTGGCTTCCCCGCCCGCTTGCGTAAGAATATATATAAAGCACTGCCGGAGCTTCCCAATGCCAACGCCTTCACTAGCGCCTTCGCTTGCGCCTGTCGCGCGTGGCGCTTTCGCTATCGCATTCATCACTAGTGCCTTCATCGCTAGGGCCTTCATCGCTAGCGCTTTCATGATCGCTAGCGCTTTCATGATCGCAAGCGCTTTCGTGATCGCTAGCGCCTGTCGCGCGTGGCGCCTTCGCTAGCGCCTGCGGAACGTGCGGAAGGGAGGAGAAACGCTCGGGCTGGCGAAGGTAAGATCCGCATGGCCTTTCTAGTGAGTTGAGTTTTTATCGGGAGATCTTCGCTAGTTGCATTAAGGACGATACACAAAGCAAGCCCGAGCAGCAAGATTGTCGTCTCTGCCGAGCGTAGACGGCAGACCGAACAGGCCGCAATGAACCATACTTCCAACGGACAACGCAGCGGCAGCGGGAAAGTATATAAAAAGCAAACACCTCTCAGGGAGCGTTTTGCTCTTCGTAACGCTGCCGGACGGGCCTAGTCGAAGACGGGACCCAAATATCCACGATGTGTGACGCGAACCATTCGTTGGGGTAGCACAGCAAGGGGTTGCGAAGGTAGCAGTGGTTGCAGGCGGCGTGCATCTGCATCAGTCGGTCGTACCAACGTATCGGCACCCGTACATCCGCCCCAAAGATGTTTCCGGTCTCCTTCTGAATCTTTTCCTCATTGTCAGCGTATTCCTTTTGTACCTGGCAGGAGCCGAACTTCAAGCTGGTGCGCAGGTTGGGCGCGTTTGAGAGAGGATCAATGCCGTTGGCAGCCCCGCCACCAGGCTTCTTCATCTCGCAGTACTGCCCACACTGGTCGTCGGAAAACACGGTGGCCATCTCCACACAAGATGCGGGACCGGCAGCGATCGCGGAAAACTTCTGTTGCTGGTACACCGCATTGTCCAGGGACAGATCCGACTGCGCCGCGCAGTGCAGCAGGCACCAGCTCGGGGTCAAAAACCGAATGTTTTCGAGCCCATCCCGAACTAATTCCTGCCTGCTCGGGTTTTCGCACAAAAACGGAAAGCCGTTCAGTGTCAGACTTCTGTTCTCGGAGAGGACGCACATGCTGCAGTCAGCCAAGCGAAAGTAACTGCCCACAACGTCCTCGCGGAACGCTTGGTAGGGTATGGGCACGCTCAGCTGCGTCAGTCCTGCCTTGATGCTAACCAACGAGTCGCGCTCTGCTTGTGCGGAAGCAACGTAACTCCGCGTCTGCTCTACCACGGACCTGAGCCCCTCCCTCTCTCTGCGCAGCGCGGCCGTCATTTCGACGATCGTGTTCTCCAGCTCCTCGAGCCCCATGGTGGCCAGCGCACCATCGCTGCTCATCGTGCTCACCTTCTGTAATGTCTTGAATGCGCTCTTTAGTTCAACAGTCCGCAACGCCATCTCCTTGGTTTTGTCCACACGCTCGCGAAACGACAGGTCCTCAACGGGATTGTTGAATGTCGAACCACCCTCCCCGCTTTTCTCGGCGTCGGAAAGTGATACACTTGTAAGTGCCGCGCTGCCATTTTTTCCTGCTTCCCCTTCTTCTAAGAACGACTCGGCGCTGGAAGGATCTGCTGGTGCGGTCGCTTTGATCTTCCCAGTGCTGCTCGTGGCACCCTCCACCAGATTGCTCAGGTCCGCGCGTGTCGCCTGTATCTCGTCGGTCAGGACCCGGCACTTGTCACGCAGAAACTTTGGGACGCTGTCCATGGTCATTTTGTTCGTGTCCAGATTTTCTTCTTCGGTCGCGAATTTTTCAATAATGACCCGCTCAATGTCGGGCTTCTCCGTGTCGATCACGTTCAATATGTCTTCTACCTTCTGCTTCGTCTGGAGAACGCACTCCTGCATCAAGCTTTCCACCTCCTCTTCGATCTCCCGTACCCGGGTCCAGATTTCCTTCCGCCGCGTTTTGTCTCGGTTCAGCCGCGCAACGGTATCCCGGGCTGCCGCGCCTCCTTGCAGCCGAAATAGCGACTCGAGCTCCTTGCGGTCCATTTTCATCTTCTCCTCGTACGTGGTCTTCTCGATACCCATCGCGGGGACGATGTCGTCCAGCGCCACCTGCACCATGCGCAGAGTGCGTGGCACAATAACCTCGCGAAGCAGCCGGAACGCGAGACTGTCGATATCCGTCACTACCTGCTGAATCGTCGAATCGGCGCGCGGAACGTTCCCATCCCTGGTGGCATCTGCAAGGCGGGCGGCTACCGCGCTCAAGCCTTTTCCCGGCAATTTTTCTTCCAGCGGCATTCCCTCGAGCGCCGCCCGCTTCTTCTTCAGCGCCTGGTACAGCCTCGACAGCTTTTCGAAAGCTAAAAGTGTCGCCCGGTCCACGTCGTTGTCGTCGAAGACCGGACCCGCGTGATTGAAGTACTCGTCCGCGATCGCAAATCCCTCCGCCATCTTCTTCTCGCCCTGTGCGCCACCGGCTTGCTTGATGCTGTCCACGCGGCGAGCAAGCCGCATGAGCTCGGATACCGGGTTCGCCGCGGCAGTGTTCACACTCAGGCCCTCAGTGCTCACTCCTCGAGCTTGCAGCGTCTGCTTAGCGGCAGCGAATCCTCGCGCCAGCAGAGAACCCAGCCGCTCCTTGTGCGACAGGTTGCCTAACGGCGCCTCTCCAATCGGCTTGAATTGCTTCAGGACGATCAGTGCGCGATCCAACTCTTGATCGTCATTCTCCGCGCCAGATTGCTGGACAAAGGATACCGACTGGATTGCTTTGGTGCCGGGATGTGTAAGTTTCGCGGCTGCTTGAATATTTTGCGCGTGTGACTGCTGGTTCGTCAGCCTAGTATGCAGTACGGGAGCAGCAACGATCACTGTTGAATCTTCGTCTGCACGCGACGCCCGGCTAGGCTGCCCCGGTGGTCCAGAAGTAATCGGCGCCGCAGATAGCGGTCCACTGTCATCTTCCAGGTCCGCAAGAAAAGCCTCGCTACGTGCCTGCGTCAACAGCGCACTCTCGGTCGTTTCGCCGTTATACCAAAGTAGATCTGCACTGCGAGTTGCAGGAACACCAAGAAGGTGAATCTCAACCACCGCACGCAGCCGAAACAGCGAGGAGCTGATATGCAAATGCCGCAGCACCGCAGCAACCCGACAACGATTTTTTTCCATCGCGCAAACCATGCCTGGATGATCAATCGCTGATGGGAATGACAAAGGCAACAAGAAGAAACTCTCCGCGCGGCGTCTTTCCTCCAGTAAAAGCGTGAAACCAGCCCACGCTCGCCGTGCGAGACATTCTACTTAGTTGTGTTTTATTCCTCGCGCAGCAAAAGCAAAAGGTTACTGTGCCGGTACTATCTCCATTCTGTGCAATGGAGCCTGCTGCAGGAGAAGAAGTCCTCGACGTCTGTTCCGTCATCTCGACAGATTCTAAATAACCCCTCAAAGTAAAAACTTCACACGAACGTGAATAGTAGAAAGAGCGCGCGCGACTTTCACTCTCGCAGAGGGTAAACTCAGACTTCCGCAATGCCAAACGTAATTTCAGCAAACTCGGCATTCTGCCGACGCTCGTCCGGCGCCAGCGTGAAAAACAAAAATGAGCCAACATCCGCACTCCACCAGGAGCCTGTGATGAGTCTCCGTCTGCAAAAAATCGTCGACCTGGTCTGACGCCAGCTCAGTTTTCTTCTAGAAAACGTTAACCTCCCTCATTACCGAAGGAAATTCTCATCTTTTTGAACCTGTCTCAGTGATGCGAACTCGTCCGTGCCGCTTTTTCCTTTTCCGTATAGTGACTGCATGGGAGTTGTAGCAGGTTCTCTTCTTCGCTCCTACGATTGATGTATAAACATAAAGTAGCGGAACATGGTACAATAATTCACAAAGAAAACTCGTCATGATGCCTGTCTACTTTACTCATTTTCAGCCTAAAGAAAACGAGCACTCATTTTGGTTAATATGTCATGAGACTGCTTTCCTTTTCCATCCTAAACTACCGTGTGTGAAGAATACTTACTTAGCCTTTCGCGGTCGTCAATATTCAAACAGCAACCGTCTGAACCTTGACTGTCTGCGTACTCTCCTCACAGCATTTACTTTTCTTGTATAAAAGCTTGGTCGATCGATTCAACCGCTTGAGCGGCATAGTATAGCAAAATCGAATGCGCAAAAAAAAAGTGTGAAAAAAGGAGTGACCCATCTAAGGAAGTGTATGAATCTGCTTCGGCGCTTTTGCGATGCCGAAGGAAGCACTAGCGCCAACGATAGCCGGCGAAGCAGAGGTAGGAAGTTCGGCGGCGTTTTTTTCTTGTCCTCGCCAATCGGCGGGACGAGCAAGCGACCAAACTATCAGCCAAGAATGAAACAAAGCGCGGCAGTATAGCGCGCGGCGGGAGGTCAACTGCCGGTACGTGGCCCCTTGCTGGGCCTTCGAGTAAGCGCCCCAACGGGAGGCCTGCAGTGGTCCCACGCGGCGACGGCTCTGAGAAGTGAAGCCGTTCGACGTTTTCCGCTATCTTTTGCGTTTCACGGCGCGCCTTTGGGCATAAGGCTCTAGCTCCTCCTGATGCCGCAGCGGCCGTTGGAAAATAAGCCAAACCAAAACCTGTTGCGGTCCTTGCCGGCTCGCTTGCGAATCCGACCCCCAGTGGCATTTGTTTTTGGCGCCTTCATGGGCTTCGTGAAGGGGCCGGTGAATATGCCCAATGCCCCACGGAATAGCGTCAGGCATTTGGCGCGCTTTGCGTCTTACTTTTGCAGCGACGTGCCTCTTCGGGAGTTGCCCAGGCCTCGCAGCTGCTGCAAAGGCGGCCGTAAACGCGACCGCCCAACGTGCGCAAAAGCCGGAGCCGCAGCATGCGGATTCGCGGCGTTTTTCTTTGAGTGCGCATTTGGACGCCCCGCCATATGGCCAGACGTGGAAGTGCTAAGCGCCTCCGAAGCGTGCCACTTTTGTTGGTATGCCTACGCCAATTGGTCAAGCGGCTAGCGATGGCCGCGTTGCCTCCCTTTAATCTGGCAAAAGCCTCTGCACGGCATAAATTCTGCCGGTCCGAAGTCAGCGCGTAACTGTGTATAAGAAAACTCCCCGGCTAGATCGTTACGGTACGAACATACTATTTTTGAAATTTCTACTACTTCAACGGACGTTTTCGTGTACCACGCCTCGAATCAATATTAGGAAGACAAACGTCAGCCGTTGCAGTAGATCGCCTAAGACTAAATTGGGCTGGCGGCCATTGAATCGCGCGAAGCTCCGCCCAGCTTCCTCCTCCTCCGCGCAGCAGGAATGGCCGTCGGTGATGCCTGCATGTGCAGAGTATTCAAAATATAATTAAAAAAATAGTGGTATTCAAACAAGGCTTCGCCCTCAGCCTGCTACTCATCCCGCACCCATTCATATCTACACTTGCAGCATTGCGCCGCAATGGTCCGCGTGCGATCTTCCCCCCGCCACGTGTCCCAAACGTCCAAATGCGAGATGTTGTATCTTGACCCATGCGCGGTGTCGCCGCACTTGGGACACACGAGGTTTTTGTCCCAGAAAGGAAAGGCCGCGTGGGAGTCCAGGACGTTTTCTGTGTGGTGCTTTGCTTCTTCTTTTGCCCGCTTCACCCTGGGACTATTGTACACATCTGGTTGCTCGTTGAATTTGCGAACGAACTGCTCCGCGGTCAGCTCGCCCTTCACTAGCATTCGTTTGTGCTCCGAGTTGTAGCCCCGTTTCAACGAGGCAAGCAGCTCCCGTAAATCATGCACATACTGAAACACCGCATCCCGCCCGCTGGAAGACACGACAGCCCTGACCGGCACTTGTTCCCATGCGGGAGTCACGCTCGTCGTAAGCGGGGAAGGGGAAACCCCGCTCGGTCGAGTCGCAGGAGATCCCGGACCATTGTTCGTCAGATGACCGGCGCTTGTCAACGTGGTCGCGTACTTGTCAAAAATCATCTTCTCAATCTCATAGGCGGCGGCAATGCTTGTTTTCACGCCCTGTCGCCACTGTTCCACCAAATCCATTGCCTTAGGAAGACCACTGCTTTTCAAAAATTTTCCCACTGTTGTATCAAAGTGAATAGCACCCATCTTCAAGAAGCGCGAGGCATTTCTTGGTATACAATCAATGCTGTAGCAAGGAAACTTCTCTCCTGCTGGTAATCCGAATACACCCAAAGGCGCAAACTATCGTTTCAGAACAATGCCGATCAAATTCGCTATCGTTTCAGAATAATGCCGCACAGCTTTCGAAGCTTTCAATAATCATCATCATCATCATCATCATCGTCATACGGTCCTTCTAGTGGCGCGCGCAGCATGAAAAGCAAGGCACCAGCGCGCTTCTGAAGGTGCACGCAGGTACTACGCAGCGCGCCCCAGTGGTCTTTGACGGTGCGCGCAGGTACGTACTACGCCGCACAGGTAGTACACCGTGCGTTGACCCAGCGGACTTTCTTGGTACTCTTCGTATGTACGAACTGCAATGACATCAGTCTTTATCTTTCCAGCTCCAGCATTGAAGAGCTTCGCATAATTTATTTTCTATGGGGAGGCCGTTGTCTTCACTTTGATACTTGGTGTCTTCTAAAAGCTTGCTACCTGTTGTTTTATGCCAATTCATCACTCCATGAGCGAATCACGAAGGTGCAACAAATGTTTTCCCTGGCGCCAAAACACGAGAGGCAAAATCCCCCACGATGCTGCTGATTGCTATTATCTATCTCGAACATTATTGAACAAATGGCATCGCGTCCCCGGGCCCCTTGCTGAATCCGCAAAATGCTGCGGGCCGCGCTAATGGTTTCTGTATTTTCTCGCGCGCGCTCCCTTTCTCTCGAACAGAATGCCCTTCGCGCCCTTCGTCTTTTTTAAGAGAAATACAACAATGAGCATAGCAAAGTAAACAAATACAGCCTAAAACTAACTAAAAATATAAAATGATAAAGAAATAAAACAGCCCTTCGTCTTTTTTAATAAGATTCAAAGGGGAGCCAAGGGTCGGGAAATGTAACAAAGACGAAGCGGGGGCGGTCGCGCCCAAACGCAGCACGGGGAAACGCGGTCGCGGGTCCGAAAAGTGGCATGCAAAACGCGGCGCGCCCAAACGCGGTCGCGCACTGGAATACATAGAAGGAAATACAACAATAAGCATAGCAAAGTAAACATATACTAACCTAATAAAACTATATAAAATTAAAAATAATAAAACAGCACACCTAAGTCGCTGATTTTTTCATTTTTAGGAGAGGAATGAGGAGCATAGAGAACCTAAAGAGGGCGCGAAGAAGAAAAAGAGGAAAAGAGCAAGCGAGTGTTCGTCTGTACGTTTTCTGGTGGTCAGCTGGTAAATGTGAACGTCTTCACGAGCGCCTTAAGCACCGGCCTAAACCTGCGCACCGTTTGCCAACGGTGCACGGATCGATCATGATCTGCGCCTCCAGCCATATGTAGCTTGCTCGTGCGAGAGAAAATACATAGTCCATCGCGGTCCTCCCCCGACAAAAATGCGGCCGCGCCCCCAAAAAAAAGCCGGTCGCCCAACGAAAAAACCGGGGGCGGTCAAACGCGGAAAGCGCGGCGGTGGTGAAAAGCGCGCCGAATCGCGGCCGCGCTAATCCCGGCGCGGTCGCGGTTTTGCAATCTTGGCCAAGGCCGGTCGAGGCGGGGGCCAGCCGCGTTTGAGCGCGATTTCATGTCTTATCCTGCTTGTGTAAATAGATATTAATCGCCACGGTATAAAAAGTGTCACTTTGCGCTCCGATTTCAAGTTTGATTCTGAGTCTCAGGCTTGACTTTGAGTTTCAGGCTTGACTCTGAGCGTCAAGCTTGACTTTGAGTCTCAAGCTTGACTTTGAGTCTGAGTATCAGGCTTGACTTTGGGTTTGAGTTTCAAGCTTGACTTTGAGACTGAGTTTCAAGCTTGAGCTTCAGTTTCACAATTGACCTTGAGTCTCAGCTTCAGGCTAGACCTTGAGTCTCAGTTTCAAGCTAGACCTTGAGTTTCAGTCTCAGTGTCAAGCCTGACTTTGAGTCTCAGTTTCAAGCTTGCCTTTGAGTGTCAGTCTGCCGGAACCGGGGCCACCGGAACCGGGACCGCCTGAACCGGGGCCACCGTAACTGCGGCCACCCGAGCCGGGACCGCCGGAGCCGGCGGCCCGGCGCTTTTTTCTTTTTGGATTTGTTATCTAGAGCTGGCAAGATGAGGACACTTAAATGCTCCAGCTCCGGAGTGCTTAATTACAGGCGAGGCTGGCGTTGCTAGTTGTATATATATGATCACATACAAATTTAATCGAAAACTCGAAGGGATCTTCTGGATTACTGTACTCATTGGCAGCTTGGCAAGATCGCGCAAGGATTGGTCGGTTATTGCGTTCTCGGCCATGATCGCATTCACCTCCTGTTTGTGGAGATCGTAATCCCTGTCGTGCTCCAATACCTCGATGAAAGCCTTTCGAAATTCATGCCTTTTTTCCGCATTTTCGGCGATCGGCGCCTTACTCGTTCCTAGACTAGTCCGGGGGCTAAACGACCTCGGGCTGTCCGGGCTGGGGTCCTTACTGCCGCCGCCTGAGCTCGTCGTTCGTTGCCTCACCAGGACGTCTAAAGAAATTCCGATCAAGAGCGGTTCCTTTGGAACGTGCCCCTCATCGTTTTTGCTTGCCGTACGGCCACGCTTCGCGACAGTCGATTCAGCCGAATTCGTGCGAGTACGAACGATGTTAGTCGTGGGGGACCACTCGAGTTTCCCCCGCATCTGTGGGGTCGTGCCGGTGGCTTCCGCGCGTGGACAGCGCAGCGGCGAAAAAAAAGAAGGATGTGCCGGCTTCTGGTTCCCGGACAACGATCCGAGCTTGCTCCTCATGGCCGGGGAAGCTGCAGACGTGGTGGTCCCGGTGCTGGTTGGAACGGCCCCAAAGTGGGGGGATCCCAACGGTTCGGTGCGTCGATGTATCGAAACGAAAAAAATACCTGCCCCATACCTAAGAAACGTTTGTATTCTTGCACCCCGTCCAGTAAATCTATCAAACTCACGCTTTCATTCATTGCCACCAAATCGACCGAAAGCACGATCGCGGCTTCTATGTCAGATGAGTTAAAGGACGGCGATTCTTTCTGTGTACGGAATCTAATCGAGCTATGAAACATTTTACATCGCAGTGAATATGATCCTTGCGGTGCCTCAATACAACACTGATGCTCGTCGCTGTCCAACTGAGTCTAAAACTAATTTGCATGACACATACAACAACTATGTTGAGGAGCTTACCTTTCATTTATTGTGAGGAAGAATCCCCCCTCCCCAGCATATAAACTGGAAATTTGTGACGCTGCCTATTTTGTGGCCACAAATCAGATTTGTCGCGCAGAAAGTGTTTGGCGGTATTTTCTAAGCCTGTTCGGGTATGCCATAGCAAACAGGTTTGCAGTAGTGGAAAGCGCAAGACAGGCTGGAGCTGGCTGTAGAATGCGCCACAAGGCTCCCACTGCCCTACAGGCAAGTAGACAAAGGCGATTTGTGGCCACAAATCCGCACCACAAATTTCCATTTTGATCTGGGGAGGGGGGATTTTTCACTTTGATATCATTTCTTTTTTGTTTTTCTTTCTGACAAAAATTGAAATACGTCACTTCGGGATGCGGACGGCATTCTCTACACTGATACTACGCTTGGCATCAGGTGAGTCCAACTCCGTCTCCGGCATGCGGCTTTGAAAAGACGCGGCACTCATCGCAGACATGATAACTGGATTGGTATCTAATGAAAACTATCAAAAAATGAAGGGGAATAGATTATCTATAATGAACGTGGTCGCTCAAGCGTACTGAAGTGCGGACAACATGCTAGCTTGAGTTTACCTTCTAAACTTATTTCGATAATGAAGTTGTATTTATGATTGTCGAACTAGGACTTTGCTACACGGTGTACTTGTGAACTCATGCGGGCTCATGAGACCGAGTCCGAGAAGTATGAAACTAAAAAGATAAACAATCGAGAGTAGAACGAAGGTCCAGGTAACAAAAAATATTGATATTCAAAAACCTGGAAAGCTTTTTTGTCAAATTGTACAGAAACTGTTCGTTCTCAATCCATTTCATCACACGTGCGAGCCTATACCGGATGGTATCGCCTTGCTTTTGGGACCACTCGCGTCGAGAAAATATCAGACTTCATACTTACTTATTCTTCGTTTTATGTTCGAGCGGAAAACCAGAAAGTAAAAAGTAAAGATGCTGTTTTCATCGAGCCACAGATCTACAATGCAGGACAAATCTCTATTCCAACCACACGGGAGTGGGAAATACAGATCGAAGTACGGTGATCTGGGGTCTTTCTAGAAAAAGACAATCCGAAAAAAAGCATCCACTGGAAGTTTCAGAAAAGATCATGATTCGAATCTGTTCGAAATCGACTCTGCGTCTTAGCTTTGCCTTTGAGAAAAGATACAGGTGAATAGGGGACGCAGCTTTTTTTTCGACGCGTGAGAATCTTTTTGGGACTTCGTAGCTCCACACCGCGGCCCTTAGCTTCTGGCATTTCGCTAGTTCATTCTGGCTTTTATTCTTTTCTTCGTTCTATGTAATGAATAAGGGACATCAGTCGCCTGCTACTTTCCTTTGTTTTTTCTCTCTCTCTTTTCTCGTTCTCTTCTTCGTTGGCATCTTTCTCTTTTTGTACAGAAACAGTTTCCGTTTTTTTCTACGGGGGACAAAAAGCGCGGGATCTGCGTCTGGTGCGTTCATTCTCCAGCCTCCGCCCCGTTCGCTTTCTTGCTTCCCTCTTGCTCTTTCGCTGTTCAAATCCCGCCCCTGAGTGGGGTTTTGGCAAGGCTGCAAGTTCACGGAGCTCGGCCGCGATGCTCTCGGAGCCCTGGGGAAGGGATCGAAAATTCACTGCGCTTTCGATCCTCGGGAAACAAACTGCTATCAGTCCGAAGCCCCGTGAGCTTTGGACTCTCCGAAAATCTCGGTCCGGGTCGATATCGTCGAAGACCGAAAGTCCAGCGAACTTTCGAGCCTTGGCAAATCTCCCCGATCCGGACTCAAATTTGACGGGGATCGACGGAATGAAGCTCCGTGAACTTTCCATTACCTTTCCACGGGCTGGCCCGAGATAGGAGTCGAAGGGAAATTCACTGAACTTTCGGCCCTCAGAAAATTCTGATCGTTCGAAAGTTCATGGAACTTTCCACGCCTTTCCCAGGCTTGGTCTGGGAGAGAGGTCGAAAGTTCCCGGAGCTCTTACCCTTCTCAAAATCGCAATCAGCTGTGGGCTTTCCCGACAGCCTTGCCAGAATCTCACTCCGGATTGCGATGCAGCTCTCGCCCTCTGTCTATGCATGTTTAGCGCCGTTATCATGCATCTGCGAAACGAAAAGCGTTGCGGTTGTGTGGGCGCCAAGTGGTACAGGGTGTCGCCCTAGCCCCCCTGGTTTTGCAGTGAAATCAATTTTCCGCCGAGGAGGGGGGACGGCGTTTTCCGGTCCATGGTCCATGGAGAAACAGCAGCCAGCACGCGCCTTCTCCGGTAGTTTCCCAGCTCCTTCCGAGGCGTTCTGGCCCAAAAGGAGCCCGACCGTCGTTTTTTGTTTTTTTGCGAATCAGAAGGGGACAAAGGGAGAAGCGGGGGACCAAGTCCCAAAAAGACCCCTCCACCCGCGTCCCAAAAAAAGCCTCATCCATCACTGAGTATGAGTAAGTAGACAAACTGAGAAATAATAGGAGTTTAAAGACCTACTCTTGCCCATTATCTCTCTCACACTCACACTGCAATGCGCCTCCAGCCTTTGTCTTTACGCTCACGCACTTTGCCCTTCTAAAGCACCTCCTTCGACAAAAGTAAACCCGAAGGCAACCGACTCTGCACAATTGGATTATCAAAAACACCGAACTTCCTTTAACGTAGCCGAGTGACTACATTCTTGCTGAATTGACCCGGCAACAACGCCACTCATTTGTAGTTGCGACCAAAAATTTAGAAAAACCCTATCTTCCTCGTGCATGTGTATTTCAAATCTAGAAAGAGGGTATAAAATTCTCATTCTGCATTCAGAGCTATACCATGCTGATCTGCCGAATGTACTGTAGAGAGACAGCGGATCGCGGAACTGCCGCAGTGCTTTTCGTGATAGACAAAGCGAAGCCGGGCAGGCTTCGATCAGTGGCATCGAACGCCGTCGGCTGATGTACTCTATGCAACTCGGGGAGGTGGACTCTGGCTATGTGCCCAAAGGTTTTTTGTCCTCCCTATGATACGCAGTCTGTCATACAATTCGAGTCGCTCGCCCATCACTTTCCACCACGACCGTAGCGTGCACGAAGTAAGTTCCTTCTGAGACTGTTTGCGCTCGCAACGAAGGTAAATCTCACAAAGTGAAACGCTGAACCTTTCGAGGGCAGCCTGTCAATATATTTATCCACTCACTCCTTCAATTACGTCTTTATCTATTTATCTATTGCTTTTCACTTGTCATCGCGAAACAAAATTTAGCTCCCGCTGCGTCCGCCTCTTTATTTAATCACAGTCGGGTCCTCAATCACAGTGGTAAGACATTGGCAAGGGCTGTCCCAAGAAGGACAGCAGCGGCAGATGGTCTCGAACCGCGTCGCTTCATAGACAAAGCGTTTTTTTCCAGAAGGCTCTGCACGTCTTTACGGTCATGGTGTGAATCTTCACATCCCCACGCACCGCTTCCCCATCTTGGGGAAGGGCTTCCCCTCAAATGGGGACATACTCCCCGAGCGCTGGGGAAGTGGGGAAGTCAGGCCCAACGCCCACTGTTGTGACCGAAGCCCTGCTGCCCGCAGCTGCGCTCCACAATCCTACATATGTATGTGAGTGGCTGCCACCTGGCGGCAAGCCAAGGATGGCGGACTTGGAACGACACGCGGGACGCGCATTGCAAGAAAAGGCGGCACGGAAGACACGGCGGGGGCGCGATACTGGGCGCCAGAAGAAAGAAAGGAGAAGCCAAGGGGAGGAGCCGAGGCACAGGGTCAGAGGCAGGCGGAAAAGAATCGAGGGGCAGCAGCGCAAGAGAGAAGGGAAGCGCCAAGCCGACACGTCAAGCGCAAGGGCCAAGGGGGTCGCCCTTCGACTACCCTAAGCCCTAGCCCCTAACCTAAAAAAAAGTCCGGCACCGGCTGCGCATCACCTCCCGCAGTTCAAGGTGGTGACGCAGGGCAAGTGGGGAGGTGATGCAGGGGATGCGGGGTACTGATCCGGTTCGGGTGGTGATGCGTGGGGAAGGGATTGAAAGGTGTGGGGAAGTGATTCACACTCCTAGAGCTACGGCTCGCAGGAACCTACTTGCCTAGTCCCATCACAAACGAAAGGGATGGTGCTGCTGCAGAGGCGCTTTTTGTGTTTCGGGAGAGCAGGGCCGGCTCTTTTCCGATGCGCGCGAAGTCCTAGAACTTCCCATAAGAATCCGCCTGCCGGCAACCGGGGGTTGTTAATCTATCCGAGCCACGGAGAGGGAGACCTTCGGCGTGGTCATTAGTTCAGGTTATTAGGAGAATCACACGACGGGATCTAAGTCCCAAGTGCTGACAAATCAACAAAAAAAAAGCGACTCCCTCCTCTCGTCATCGGCGCCCTACACCTACTCTTCATCGCTAGACATAGGACCACGCTCGACAAAAGCGATGTCGAGCACCGCAAAGCGTCTGCACCGAACAAAAAACCGCATCCCCGTGTTTGAAGGGAGACAAGCAAAGGGAGGAATCGAGTCTCATAACCCACTTGTTAACTCAATCTCAAAACAGGAACCATTACAGCTCGGATCGTCATCAGACCCATGATTGGCTCTGCGAACGGATCGCAGAAGGCGTCTCATTTCCGAATGTCCAGAAAGTCCGACGCAGATTCGAACAGTCAGGTAGCCAAGTACTGCCGATGCTGTTTTCCTGTCGAACCAAGCATGGGAAGCGACTTTTTCCTCGAACGGTCAAAGGACCCCCGAGCCCGTGCAGCCGTCGTGCATGGAAGCGAATGGACCTGAGGCACCGCGGTAGATGCTGTGCCCATTACCAGCCGGCGTCGTGCGTTCGTCCGTGATCTAAATTCGCCTAAAACTTTTTCGATGTCGGCAGCAAAAATTTCGTATGGAGGCGGGCACGCCTGCGCAGTCAAGACATGCGACCGCGCATCTGACTTAGGTAAAACCAGCAGCTGCGGATCCAGCCGGACATCACCGTACTTGGGCGGCGTATGTACTCCGGCGGACGTCGAATCTCTTGTGTTTCTATCGCTTCTTGCCTGCATCCCGCGGACTTTCGCCACTGTGTCGCCACGATCTCCCACGAGGTCCTCGCCGTCGACGCAGCGATACAGGATAGCAGGAGGCCAAATGGAATTCGTCCCCGAGTACGAGGCTGCGCATGTTGATGCGGATCTGCTGCTTCTACCCGCGTTGTTCGTGACGCGGTCCAGTCCACCGACTCTACCGGCGCCACAGCTTTTCCGATACACCGCACCAAATACAAACCGCACCTGTAGGACCGGCCGCTGGAGGTCAATAACCGCGAGCGCGGCTTTATGGCGCTCACTAGCCGTGGTGTCCACATTCCAGAACCGCAGGTAGCCGTCGGCAGAGGCGCTGACCAGCAGACGCGAGCCTTCGAGCGCACAGACATCACACCGACTAACACAATGAGCGCAGTAGCACTTTTGTGTCTATTTCTTTGCGAACGCAGCTGGACGATAAACCCAAAACAGGAACCCTAAGCAAACCCTTTAAGCCCTGCGTCGGCAGCGGAACTGGGACGCTTTCTGCGTCGGCCGCGGAACTGGGACCATGCTGCGTCGGCCGCGGAAATGGAAAGAAGAACAGAAGTCACATCGCCTACAGGATAAAGAAGACAGGAGGCAAAGACGCGTAAGCAGCACAGAATGTCCGACGTGGCTATCATCAGCACCCACGCCAAGAAATAAAAAACCCCCTTCGAAAGAAAAACTGCTTGGTGCCAGCAGGGCCCGGGAAAAAGGCAAGGACGCAGGGAAAAACGTGAAAGAAGGAGGAATATTTGAAGCGCTAGTATGGCCTTCTGCTCTGATCCATCCGGGCGCCCCCCCCCCCTTCTGGTTCCGATGCTTCCGCACTGCGGAGAACGATCCGACCCTAAATCAAAGCACAGGGCACCAGGAGATCTACGTACGTAAACGTATGCGCACGAGCAAGGCAGGCAGAACGCGTGGCGTGGACGTCTTCCGCACTAAACCCAATCCGGGGGATATGTTAACGGACCAGCGCCAGGACGAGGACACGACAGACACGATCGCAGGAAACGAAACCACACTCGAGAGGGCAAGCAAAGGACAGGAGCAAGCTCTCCTGTAGAAATTTAAGTCCTCAGCCACCCGCCCCGTGAAGTCGAAACAAAATAAAAAAACCACACCACTCGGGCCAATTTGAGAAGCTTGCGGTGCGCTCAGGAGGGGCAAAAGATCGATCAAAAAATGCGAGAGAGGAAAGCGGCAATCGAAGTAATACAAAAACAGAGGCTAAACTCATGCGAGCAGCCACGAACAAGATGGAAGGGCAAGAGGCGAGATCGAGACTGAAACCAGGCCTACGATGCAAGTGGTTGCTATATAGGATTCTCAGCGGCTGGATCTCAGCGAGTTCATCTCAAAGGCCTCGGAGGCCTCAACGACTTTCCGAGGACCTCAACGACTGGTCTCAACGATAAACACACGCGAGAAGTTGCCGGCGTGAAGGTCGGCAAGCCAATGCAGAAAGGAGAGCCACCGGACGGACAACGAAGGGCGCGCGTTTAGAGAAACACAGGGCGCAACGAGAGGACGCGGGTCGGCGTGCAACATTAGGAGGGTAGCAAAAGAAAACCGCCGGGGGGGGGCAGTCACTCGCTGCCGGCCTGCCCGACGACCCTAGACCCCAAGCCCTAAACCCGAAACCAGCGGAGCTGGCGGCACCGATTTGGTGCGCCGGTCGTTCAGATATATTTCTCAACGTTAAGCTATGAGGTCTCAAAGTTGAGATCTGGAAGTGCAGTTGAGGTACCTGTAGTGCAACCCATAGAAGCTCCCTCGTGCAATCTCAGACGAAAAGCGGCATCGAGAGGAAACTCAGCATTTCAGAATGCTCATGTAATGCAGAGCATCAACATACATAATGGCTCATAAAAATGAGCCGCTCTGTCGGCATGCAATTCTTCATTTTTGCGGCTGTGCACTAGCATTTGTCAGTGTGGTAGCAGATATCCTCTACCGAGCCTGCGTGGCCGCGGAGCTCGATGACCTCGTCGCAAACCGCCGATGTTCTTTCTACCAGGGTTGTGTGCGGCACCAGTTGGCCCCACGGAAATTGTAGAATTAGCCCAGAACTCAACCCAACGAACAAAGCTTTTGCCCGGACGGCATGCAAAGCCACGATGTGAGCATTGGTGGAGAACGACAAATGATGCTGCGAGTTCTTCCACACGTCCCACACGTGCAATTTCCGGTCGAACCCACCACTGCAAACTAAATTCCCTTCCAGGTGGGTACATACATACATGGGCGGGGCGCCGCTCGGTGAAATAATGGGCGTGCGTTCTCCAGTCACACCCGGGTATCGCACGTCTCCGCAACACTTGGACTTGAAGACGCTCGCGTTATCCGTCGACTTGCCTCCAATAGCACTCGCCCTCGATTGAGAAAGCAACTTCCGTCCCGACGAAAGTGCCACCGGATGTGGCCCCGATTGGTCCTCCGTGCTGCCCCCCGCTGCTGTTGTCGGGGCCGGAACACGGATGGAATGCAAATCGAGCTGCAGCACGTCTTCAAAAGTGGCGCGATCCCGATGCTCTGGAAGTTCCGGAAGTAACCATAAATCCGCATGCGTCTCTGCGGAGAAAGGCAAGCACCAGTCGTAAAAAACCGCGGGCGCAGTTCGTTGACAAGCACGGCCGCTTTGGCTTTCCTCTGGTTCCTGCTCCCACAAACGCAGTCGCCTGATGCGCTCTGCTTCCAAACATCGCAAGCGATCAAGGCCACACACAACTGGCGAAGCATTCAAACTGAGGCGGTTTCCCGTTTGTTCTTCGCTCACGCGCTCGCACGGGTCGAAACAAGCACCACTGGCAGCCGTCGTGGAATCAATGGTCATGGAATCTCGGCTCACAGTGGCTAGCAGCCTCCGTAGCGGCACGTCGCTGGGCTGGTGTCGGTGCCGCTGAAGGTGAAGCTCCTGTGGATCGGCTCCCTGTACAACTTTACCAACGTGGGCGCGCACACTCCCGTCCTCGTGAGCAGTGAGTGCTATGAACCCACTGGTGCCGTCGTCGTCGAGTGCGTGTGCGTCCCCGTCAATGTAGGAAATAATACTCAACCTATTCGCGGGTCCTCCAGATAGCGGACACTGAAATATCTCGAGTAGGCGAAAGCACTGAAAAGCACTTCCGGCAGGAGTTCTGGCTGCTTCGACTGCAGCCGAAGGGCTCGCCGTCCGGGTGTTCACCTCTTGTTTTAGCTCCCCGACACCACGCTCCAAACGCCAGACTCGAAATAATCCGTCCAGACCCACAGTCAATAGCAGGCTGCGGGCGGACGCTATTCCCGTGACGCTCGACCGGTGCGCACTTGCGAGTTGGCACAGTTCTTGGTGTGGGCCGTGGCCTAGGTTTTCCTCTAGCGAAAATCTCGACGGCGTCGCGCCGAACTGGGCTGGAGTTTCGGAACTTTTCCTCGTTGGCCGCGCGCCGGCAGACGCTCCGAACAGAACTTGCCCGTACACGCGCAACGTTCCCTCATTGCTGCCCACGATAATGACGTTGACAAGTGGCCAGACACAGGAGTGCAAACAGGTGGCACAAAAAGCAGACCGACCGGAAATGCAACTGCTCCTGCCAGGATGGTGCCCTGCTACTACCCTTGGCGACCACACAGGCAACCGGAGCTGCTCCACGTACGAAAGGTTTTTCACGTTTCCTTCTCTACCTGTTTCAGTGTGCCAGCCTAAAAATGTGTCTCGACTTCGTGTCGCTGGAGTAGATGTACGCCGCATCACATCCGGACACCGATGCAATGGAACAGGCAAGCCACCACGCCCTTCGACTACCGCGCACGCCTGCGTGCGCACGAGATCCGTAGAGAGGCTGCGCAGATAACGTGATCCATGTCGCCAAAGCGCTCGGCGTTGACACCATATATGCCATGCTTCCCGTTCGGAGATCAGGCCTTCACTCCGTGTCACCAAGCGCTGCACGATATCCGCTTCCAGTGTGCGAACTGGATCCCCCAGCGCTTGCCCTCGAAGGATCAGATGGCCAAAGTCCTGGACGCAGCACCGCCAGACATCACAGGTGCAAGCCAGCGCGCACAAGGACGCGCTCGAACAAAACAGCGCGATGCGAAAAAGCAGCTCGTCTGGGAGAAGCAGCAGGCAAACGCTATCTTCGTTTTCCGGTTGTAGCTTTTCTTCCTGCAGCGTCACGGGAACGGGGATAAGGCTGTTGGTACGTTCTTTGTCGTCGCCAAACAATGGCGTCGCGGGATCGAAAGCATTGCCCTCTTCGACAAAAATTTCATCCACCCATCCGTGAGCGTGCGCCTCGTCGCCAATAAACATGCCAGGCGTAGCCTCGAGGTCGGACGAAGCACAGCAATGATGCTCGAAATTATGTCGCCCTCGCCCGATGTTTGGTCGACACTTATCCTACCCCTGTATTTTTTGCAGACCAACACTCGAATTCGCTTGGAGTTCCAATGTGAGGGCCGTGCTTGGGCTTGAGCCCCGGCCCCGCTTCTGGGCTTGCGTTTGCGTCTGAGTTCCAATATTGGCAGCTCGCGGCCTGAGTCCCAATATTGCTTGCGGACTTGGGTCCGAGTTCGCGCGTCGGCTATCAGTTTCAGAATCCGCTACCTATTTCCGTCTGGATCTGAGCAAGGGCTGACGGGAGTTTTCTACGGGCCACGTTTGTAAAAGACAAGGCAAAAGCCCGCATGACAACTATTGCGCGAAGGGGGCCAACCACTACCCTGGCGCCATATCCTCAGCAGGCTGAAGGGCTACCACGATCGCGAGCAAAGACAATTATGGCGCGCTACTCAGCACAGCGGCGAACGGTGACCGTTTTGCAACTAGCGGCTCGCGCCACAGGTCGGCGGACTGTGCTGCTCAACTGCCAACGCTCGGGCAGCGTTCTTGGTTGTTCTTTTTTTCGTAGCGCGATGCCTTTTTGGGTCTTCCAGAGTTGTGCCATCCCACGAAACGCCGGCCATCCTTTTCCTCGGCCTACCCGTACCCGGTGATCTTCTCCGTCGACCCGTCCTCCTCCCCTAGTAGGAACGAATCAATAGCAATAGTAGCCGCCTCGGCGGGGTTTATTGTGAAATTCCTGAAGGTCAGCACGTTGGTGTTCATGCTGCCACCTACACCCACGTGCTGACGTTTCGGTGCCCGCTGCAGCCGTGCCCGGCCGCACGGTAGGGGTTTCCCTGCGGCGCCTTCTCTTCCTTGCCGCCGGCATTCAAGAACCGGCCCGACTGCCTCCTAATCCATGCCACTAGTTTCAAGCGCCCCACTGCTCCGGGCGCTGCACGATGGAACCACGTGGCGCGTGCCGCTGCTACGTACAACACGAGACCGCGCGTCCGGCACGGTAGACCTCCCCAGCCGTTCGGATTTTAGCACCCAACGGCTTCATAATGTACTGTCTGCAATCTCCTCCCAGTGATTTTCGTTTGCTCTTTGTGTGTATGGCGCATGATAGCTTGCTCTCGTTTTGGCCACTTTGTGAAAGTTTTGCAGCAGGCACGCGCAGCCGGGATTCTTGAAAGCGACCGGGGGGAGCGGGGCCCCCATTTCGTCGTCGCTTCGCGAAGCCGCAAAGTTCCTACTTCTTAAGCAAAAGCGACAGGGAAGAATTTTCGCAGCAAAATTGCGGCTCTTCATTTCCATCCGTGCAATCCTATTTATCTATTGCGCAAGGGGATTTAGAACTTTAGGCGGCGCGCCCCGCCGTTCGCAGCTCGCAGTTCTAATGGTGAGACACCGCAAAGAACGGCCAATACTGCACTTGAGGCTTGCCGCCAATACTTTTGATGGTGCGCGTGAGGCTTGCCGCCAGTGCAACCAGGCTTATGTTCTTATATTGTTATACTCCCAACGGTTTCACACTGGTAAGAGCCCACGCCTCATGTGTCTTCATCCCATATATATGAAAGATGATGCGCTGAGTCTTGTCTTCGCGCTACGTTTGCTCAGAACGACTTCGAATGATAACAGCAGGGCGTAGCACGACTCTGGTAGTTTTTCACGCCAAAACAGAAATCAATAGAGCGATGGTAAATTGGTAACTCATCACTCCGTCGAGATTCTATCTGACATTTTCCGCAAGGAATAAGTCACCGAGAGCAGCCTTCCGCCCCCCCCCAAAGTATAGCTGTATGATCTGAGTCCAGAAAGCAATGAGGCGGGATCAATCACTTTCATGTGTAGGCAATGACTTGAACACTTGACAGAGAGTTGCACTCGCTAACAAGCGGCTTCGAAAATTTTCACTTTCCATCTTGGTGGAGAGCTCCAAACCCAGAAGTGACGAGTTTTCGGTCGCCGCGAAGAGCAACGAAAGTAGAAGCATCTCCATCTTCTTCTCGGTCTTTTCTTCCACAAGCTGCTCAGACCAGAATGTAAAACTTGCGGTACAAAGAACGCAATCTTTTGTTTGAGTGTCTTTACACAGAAGTGGCTTGCCTTCGCGGGTAGCTAAGTCACAATGAATATAGACTCCGGATGCAAACGGTTGCGCCACAAACGAAGAAGCAAAAAAGTTGTACAGGAAGCGTAGTATAACATTGATTCGATTTCTTTCGGCTAACTACTTACCCATTGGTCAAATCATCCACTGCACAAACAAAAAGAAAGAAGAGCGCGCGTGCCGCTGATATCATCGCCTGTCAATTGACACCGCCGAAATTTTTTGATAAAAGCGGCAAGAACGCTACCCTTCGTCAAAATAGACAAGCCTCAAAATGACCGAATTCCCGCCATTTACAGCTCGTCGGCCTTGTTCTTTGAGCTCTGTTTGTTGGCCTGTTCAGGGTTGCGAAAAGACCGCACCATGGGGGGCTGCAGAGCTGTTCGCGTCTGCAAAGGTTTCCATCCATGTGCCGGGACCGAGTGCGCGGGGCCAGAGACCTTCCAGATTCCTTCGCCCGAACTGGCGTCCAGCCACCAGCATCCGTCCTTCCGGTTGAAGTATACGTATGCATTCGTGGCGTGGCGAAACCAATCGGCTCCGTCATTCAATTCCTGCCACACTTGTGCGGTGTTCCAGCCCTTCGCCTTGCACACCGCGCCGAATCCCGGTGGTATCTCCGTGGCACTGGTCCGCAGGTACTGCCCGTTTTCCGGGCCCTGGTAGAGCACGTCCAGAAGTTGCGTGGTTGCACTTCCTGAGGGCGCCTGTGCTGTCGACGTCGTCGGCTTCTTTTTCATTTCTTCCCACTTAGCAAAAACCTCGAGCACGGCAGCAGCGCGACTATCATGCGCAATTTCCGCGGGCGTTGCGCCCACCGTCCCCCGGAAGCCGGGATCGGCCCCGGCCGCAAGCAGCTGCTCCGCTCCGACGGGCAAATTGTTGGAAGCCATAAAGTATGCATTGCATGTGTACGAGTCTGGAGAAATTCACGCTTGCAACGCTTACTTTGGGTCACACCAAAAATGTCACCACCATCAGAAGTCTCCGCTTTCCTCTTATGAAGCGCAGGAGTGACATATCACGCAGTGTCGGCATTGAGCGATCCCTTTTTTAGAGACCTCCACTACTGCGGCATAAGCTCTATAAAAATGGCACTGCCTGCAGTACCTAGACTCTATTCGCGATGCAGAGTCTGCATGACTAAAATGTTGCGTCTTTCAGACCGAAACATAGATACGGTGGATATGCGATGCAGCGGTGTCATCCCGTAGGTGTCAAGCCCTTCCACGTCGGCACCGAACTCCACCAGAACAGCAACGGCATCCTGGGCATCGCGACTCATGCCGCACAAGTGTAACGGCTGGGCTCCGCCAGTAGAGATGTCATTCACCAGGTCAGGGTACTTTGTCAGCAGTTCGCGCAGCGTCGGCTTTTCGGTATGAGCCTCCCGTAGCGCGTTGCTAACCGGGGTGTAGCCGCCTCCCGCGTACACCGGACCCGGGCGCGGGTTGTGGTTCTGGTACTGTTTACCAATGACCACCGCGCCGGTATTAGGGTCCCGCTTCACCCGACCCCCGTAGATGCCCGGCCCCACCGTGTCCGCGTAGGGATCAAACCCCTCGCTGTCGGTGTTTCCCGGCGGCCCGTACTTTTCTACCATGCCCGGCGCAAAGGGATCGTACGTGATCCGAACGCCATCCGAGGCCCGGAAGCGCTCCTTTTGCTCTGTCATGATCGGCATAGCCGCGGGAATCCCTACAAGTGCCGGCTGCAACTGCTGCGCGAAGGCAGTTGTGCTCCTAGGTGTCCAGACAAGCTCACTCAACGGCAATGCCACTGTCGCGAAAACACGACGCGTAGTTTGCACAGCCGCTCGGAGAAAAACCATAAAACACAACGCGGAATCCCAGCGAGTAAAGAGGAGCTTACACTACACTAAGCTTACTTCTGCAGTAGAGACGAGTACTGCACTGGTGTTGACTACTTGCGCAACAGAGATATGAATGCCTGTCGTTAGGAATAAGGGGTCATTTGCTCGCACTGTGGCGTTACTGCCTAGGGCTGAACGTGTTTCTGTTTCGTCAAATCCGCCAAAAAAAACACGCGTGCTCGCTTCGAAAAATCAACGTTTAGATCACCGCGAGCCGGAACTCTCTGGTGGGTATCTTCGCACGTGTAAATAAGAAAGCGGACCGAAACAGTATCTTTCTCTCAGTAAGTGAAAGTGCGACCGAAGCAATTCTTTTTTCCTCGTGGTGAGGAACAACAGACACCGATCAGTCCTCAATTTTCCAAAAGTGCCAAATGCGAGCACGCTGAACTAAATCATCAGAAGAACATCGCACTTCCTGTAGCCCCGTAGTGTATCGGAGGGCTACCCAGCTCTACGATGGTGCCTCTGGATCAAGTTGAATTGCGAGTGATATCAGCGGGCTCCCTGCTGTACCAAGGTGCCGTCTACTGTGTTCCATGTATACATAGCATACAGAAAAAGACTCAACACTTCAACAAACTCCCAAAACCCAACCAACTCCGGAGACCCAAGGATCTCCACGAGCCCAACCAACGATGGACCCCAAACCAATCCCGCGACCTCAACCCAATCCACTGCAGGCCCCGCGACTTCGGAGCTTGAAGCCCTGGGGGCTGTCGCTTCGGGCCTTGCTGCCTCGGCCCCCGCGTACCAGCTTGGGCCCTTCCGCTTCTGGCCCGACCACTTCCGACATTGCGCCCTCTGGTCTCGAGCACTCGGACTCTGCGGCGTCAGGCCCTCCAACTTCGGACCACCCCGCGCGCCCGGGCCCTGAGACTTCGGATCCTGCGGCGTCGGTGCCCAATAAAACTTCGGAGTCGTCACTTCGGTCCCACTCTCTTCGGCCCCTGCCAACATCCTGGCCCGCTTTCATCCTGCGCCCACGGCCTCCTCACCCCAGGAGCATGCGCATGGATCTAGTCGCCAGGATACCTGCGCCAAACACAGCGCCGCGAAAAAACATGCGCAGCGCCGCGGGCCCCAAGGTAGCAGAAAAAAACTGCAGGCGCACAGCGTGCCCGGGCCTGGGCTGCGACCAGGCGGCGAATAGCACTGCCCTTTGCCGGCGTGATGCTGGGCGCTTGGGCCCGAGCGAATGGCCGGCCGGGCTCGCAGCATGCTTTCGGGCACAGGCGCTTCGATCGTGGCCTATTGGTGCAGCAAAAGAATTGGGCGCGGGGCCGGCAACGCTAAGCCAGTTGCCCGGGAAAAGCAAACAAAAGCGGGGAAAGGGGGGCCGGGCACAAAAAAGCCCATTGGGCAGGGCGACGGGGGCGGCAAACTGAAACAGAAGCAAGTCCGCAAACCCGCGCGCGGGCCCGCGAGGGCTTTCCCCGTCGCCGCGCGACATCGGCAGCCGGCACGCGAAGAAGCAAAACGCAAACCCTTCGGCAGCCGGCCGCGCAGCAGTGGACTCACTTCTTACCTTGGTAGACCTGCCCAACCCTTCGGGACATTGAAGCGGGAAGGGGTGGCGCGTCTGCCCCCCCCCGCCCCGCCGCCGCTGCTGCGGCCGGGCACCGGCGCCGCCCAGATGAGGGGGGGCGCTAGACGGCTGGCCCGCCTTCGGGCCCGCCTTCCGACCGCGGCCCGGATGGCGAAAAAAGGGCAGCACGGCCGCACAAATCGCCTCCGAAGGAAACCCTCGCCCCGGGAGCGGGCTTGGCGCCTCGCGGCGGGCCCGACGCCACGCAGGTAAAGCAGCACCGGGCGCGCCACACCCGTCGCGGGCGAACGCAAGAACAAGAAGCCCAGCGGTGGCACGCCGGCTTTGCCAAGCAAAAAGTGCACACGAAGCCAAAAGGTGCGCGCAAGCCCAGCGCCGCGGCCAAGGAATCACCGCGGGGCAGGACGGCAAGGGGGGCGCCCGGATGAAAAACGCGGGCGGCACCCGGGGAAACGAACACAATTGCGGCTGCTTGCCGAAGCAAGCCGCTCCAGGGCCGAGCGGGCCGGGGCCGCGCAGCCTGCTACACAACTAACGGCGCGCTCCCGCAGCCGGCGCCCATCCTTTGAGGCGCCAAAATAAGTACCCTGCCGGGTCAGTGAATACTACTTACCACAGGCCCGGGCGGGCGGCAGCTAGAACCACTCCGCCCAGGGCACTTCCACCCCCGGCCGTCTTGCGTTGCGGACAGGCGGCCCCCTGCCCGGCTGAAGCAGCCATGAGGGGCGCTGCAGCCAAACAACAGAAACCGCGGGGCGCTAGCCGCTTGCACCGGGGCGGAGCCTTGGCCGATTTTGTTCCCGGAATGGCCGGGGGAAAGTGCAAAGCGAAGCGGCGCGCGGGGGAAGCACGCTGAACATAGCGGGCGATCGCGGCGAAGGTGCAGCGAAGCACCACAAGACGCCGCGCCTTTTTTCTCGCGGCGAAAGGCGAGCAAAGAGTTGGATGAGTGGTGGGAGCTTCCGGTCGTGTTTGGTTTGTTAAGCGGATGCCTGGGCTACAAGAAGACGACCTCGCTAGCAGTCGATTCCCCAACGCCACCGCACTGCGCGCCGCATGAGGTGAAATCGGCTGGGGGGCTGCAGCGTGACACGCAGTCGATTTTGCGTCATGCCAATTGCCGCCATTTCCTTGTGAAACATCTCGTACATTGCAGGATACGTCAGACCTTCAAATTTGGGGCTGCACAGCAGGCCGTAGTAGAACTGATCCCAGATGTATGGGCCCCCGCCGCAGTCATTCTTCAAAATGAAGTGTATTGGCTCAAATTTCGTGTATACCACTCGGCGAATATTGTCGTAGTTCGGACTCGGTGGCTTCTTGAATTTCACACTGAACCACCGAGCGGACGATGGAAAAACCAGAGCCATGATCAAGGAATAGCACAGAGGTTTTCGAGGCTGCGTGCTCTCAGAAAACGAATACGTCCCTGATTGGCAAGTGACAGTCAGCAACTACCTGCTTCGTGACATTATTTTCGCCACAATTGATTGACATCCACTTCCACGCAATCAGCCGACCTGTCTATCTCTATCTTCTCCGAAGATCTGCAGAAAGTTCAGAAGTCCATGGCCGTGGGGATAAGAAACCTCAAATAATTTCTCTCGTCCCATCATCATCATCTTACTAGCATAGGGCAGGAGTGCTAGGGGTTTATTGGGGCGATGTCGTTATTCAGAGATCGGCGCGACAATATGGGTGAAAACGCGCACTAGAGCTAGGACGTGGCAGAGAAGCTGTGGCCATTGCGCTTCACTCCGCATGATCATGGGCTCCTCATGATCATCACCTTCCTCTTGGGGCACCGCGTCCCAAGGAACAAAAAACATTGAACAGCGCCTGCCTTTCGCAGCGAGCAGGGCTCTTCGTCCGATAGATTGGCTGTCATGTTAACTCTATGCGTTGTAAATTGTCTGGAAACAAGATGACCATGGCACAGCACTCAGAAGAGAACGACATAAATTTTCAAAAGTAACAACGTCAAGATTTTTAGTAGGGTGAGAAAGAGTGAGAGAGAAACGTATGGAGCTGGCGAAGCGCGAGCGCAACGCGGGCGGAGGGGCACCGACCTGAAGGGTCCGAAGACGCGCCTTTTTTTGGGGGGCAGAAGAGGGCTAAGCCCGCGCGCAAAACCTCGGCGGGGCCCCAGAAACTTCGGCGGGCCCCCAAAAGTTGTGCGTGAATGCGCAGCAGAAGATTTGGGCGGTTTGAACTTCGGCCCACACGGTCCCGCAGGCTCTGCCGAGGTGCTGCGCTGGCCAAAGTGATAGCAAAAAAAAAGTTGCTGCTGCAATTCCCGGGGGGGGCTTTACGAATGAAGGCCGCGCCCAGAGGTCGATACCGGTAACCGAGGGTGTGCGTGGGCATCTAAGCAACGCAAAGACCTGCCGGCGCTTTTCTAGCATCGCCGCGAGCCGTGCGGCAACCGTCACACCAAGAAAGAGCGCCATCGATTGGAGCGCCAGCCCTTCTCCTTGAGTCGCGGGCCGCGGCATGCGGTCGCGGCTCTTGATGAGGGCCGCGGGCGAAGAGGCCCGCAGGCTCCTGCGATAAGCTCGGAACGCGAAGTCTGGCCACCTCGCAGCGAGGCTGGCCCCTTGCGAGAAACTAGCTCCCTCTGCGGGCCGCTCCCGCTGTGTCGTCGTGCATGACACCGTCAAAAAAAAACGCGGCTCCAAAAAGCCGCATCATTTTGGCCATTTCCGGCAGCCCTTTTCGGCCGCCCCAGTCGGGCACTTTCAACGGGGTGAGGGTCCCGATTTGTGAACCTGAAGAGAGAGGTCGAAGGCCGTGTGGGTGTGACACACGACCTCCGCAGGATCTACAGACCATTTTTCTTCGTGCAATCCCGACGGCGTGGGCACTGTGATAAATTTGAAAAACCACACTTCAGCGGCCCTTTCAGATCGAGTTTTGCATTTTCTACAACGGCCGCGGATATCTAGACCTATCTGCCTTCGGGACATGCCCAAAATGCATATTTTCTTAGACCCCTTACATTCCGCAAAAAGTTGCTTCTATCTTTTTTTGCTTTTTTTTCCAAATGCCTATCAGTCTTCGGGCCGCGAACGCAGTCGCTGTTTTGAGGCCCGTGGCATTCCGCAAAACTTTGCGGCTTTGTTGCTTTTTTTTTGTGTACGAATCGGCCGCGGCGGGCGGCGGGTGGCAAAGTTTCCTCTACCAAACGCGCCACTTGTTGGTAGTCCAATTTGCCGGCTTGTTGCTTCGGAAACTAATCGGGCGGAGCCGACAAAGTCCGTTTTTTACCTTTTCCCAAGACCTGAGCGCGCAGGCTTTTCTACTTTTCCAAAAAACGGGCCAACTTTTCCGGGATCCGCTTGCTCGTGTCCAAGCCGCATTGGAAATATGCCCGGACTTGTGAGTGCTTGCATGCCTCCAAGCCCCTCCAACATGGCAACGGCAAAGCCCTCGCGCTGCGTTTGCGATGGCTAAATCCCCGCGCTCAATGCGCTCGTGCACGCGTTGGCTTAGACGAGCACTTGCGCACGCTGTGGCTATCTGATCAATGCTGAGAGGAACAAGTAGAGGCGAGGAAAAAACCGCGACGGCGGTGATCCTTTCGAACATCCAAACGCCACTGGCCGTGGGAGTCAGGCTTTCGAATCGATAGGCTGTTGACTGAAAAGACAGTAAGTGTATAATTAGAGATGGGAACGCGCAAAAAAAAACTCGCAGCGGGTGCCCCGCCGTCGCATGTTCCACAGTCGCCTGCCTTATCGTTTTCTACACTAGGCACGCTGCGCATTTTCGAAAGATTTCAAACACAGAACCTCCAACCATCGTCAGAGTGGCTCGCGAAAGTCACAGCAACGCAGGATACCCCGGTAGGCGATAGTTTCCATTTGATTGAAGAAATCGGGGCGAGCGCGTTTGCGCATCGCAATATCCTACAAACCGGATGGAAAAGCGAAAAGGACAAACCCAACAAGTCAGGGCCCGCAGAGGACTCCTGGGCGCAGACGGTTAACGAAGAAGCCTGCGGCCGAAATCGCCCGCGCAGGCTGGAGAAGCCGAAAAAGCCTGCGCGGCGCGTAACAGTGCGGCCGCGGGTTCCGGATTTGTTCAGCTCCCGCGCGCCGGTTGCGGAGCTGCCCGGCATCAAATGGATCGCCGGCCTTAAGCCGCAAAGGGAGCGCCTGCGGGTATCGCCTCCGGCAAGGCCCCGAGCTTGGCCGCTGCGCAGCACCCCGCGGGCCCCACTGCCAGTGGGGCCCGGCCCGGGCGCGCCCCGGTCCAAGAACCGCAGCCCGGGCGCTGGCCGCAGCTATCCGTCGACCGAGCCGGAGCCACAAAGCCCGCGGCCGCGAGCCGTCGCCAAAAGTGCAGCGCCGCGCCAGCTGGCCGGACGAGAAGAAATTGCGCCAAAGACCTGGAGTCGCCCAAGTGGGGGGCAACACCAGAGACAACGCAGACCCGCCCGCCGGCCCGAGCAAGACGCGCGCAGAAGCGCCCGGTCTACCTACAGCGGACAAAGACCGCCGCGCGAGGGCGGGAGGCCACAGGGAAACGCGGCAGAACCTTTGTGGCCCTGCTAGTGCAGGAGCGGGCCAGCAGCAGCGGGGCCCCGAAATGGGCACAGGACACCTGACTCCGAACGCCCGCAGCCGGCGGCACAGGGGTGCGCGTGCGCTCGCCAGAAGGAGGCGCGGTGGCTTGTTTGTCAAATGGGCCCCTCTGTTTTTCCCTCCTGGCCTGCGCCTGCGCCAGCCCCTGCGCGCTCCCAGCGGCCGGGGGGGGCCGCCCCGACTACGCCCGCACACAAAAAGGCGAAGCGCCAAAAAGAGGCCAACCGCGCATGGGCACGCCGGCCAAGGAGGCGGCCTGGCGCGCGACGCCACAAGGGGTGCCCGCGCGGGCCCGGGCTACGGGGAATGAAAAGAGGAGCCACGCGCCGGGAGCAAGACAAGAAGAGACGCCGCCCGGCGGAAAGCAAACGGCGGCCCAAGCAGCAATATACAATAGTAAGCAAAGCCGAGCCGGCGGGCAAGCGGGGCGGGCTTGCGCGTCTCGTTAACACCCGAAGCCAGCCCGCCGCCACTCGATGCCAATGCCCGCGGAACAACAAGGGGGCCGCGGCAAGGCCCTCCCGCGGTGCGGGAGGGGCCGCTCGGTACTGTGGGCAAGCCTGCGGCAGAGCCGATCGGGGCCGGCTCCGATGGGGCGCCGGGTGTCACTGTTGCGGCACGGCAGCGGGGGAGCCGCGGCCGCCAAAACAAATGCCCTGGCGGCGGCGGCCGGCCGGGCCGTTCCCAGTTGGCGGCGGCGCGCGCGCGCTGGCAAGCAGCTGCCCCACGCAGCGCTGACGCATCTGGACAATGCAAGCCCCGCCGAAATTCTTTTCGCGAATGGAAGCGATGAGCCGGAACAGTGGTGGAGGTTCGTCGAACAAGCCAGATTTGCTATGCGAATTACCTAGGTAGGAGATCCTGGTCTCAGCGAGGTGAGCCTCTCCCCACTTCGATACACGACGACGATGGTGATGACGTTTGTGCATGGTTGTCACAGCGCTGGAGTCCCGGACGCTACACGCAGTCACCCGCAGCCCAATACGCCGCCATCGGCCCTGAGCACAAAAAAGCGCGCCGCGGTCGTGCCACTTCACCTTTCGACCAATCCGCAGGCTGCCATTGCTTTCGCATATTGCTGTGTTCTGTTCATGCAGACTTTCTCTCCAGTAGGTTCTATGCCTTGGAAAAACACCGCTGCATCCGTCTACGTAGGACACCCATACAGACAATAACACAAGAAATCTATCATGATCAGCGAAGCCCTCGAGAGTTGCAGGGACCAAAACCGACTGAAGCGGATGCGCGGAGGCACAGGGTGGGAGGTCCTTCTGGTGGTGTCGTGAGTAGGGGACATGATGTCGAAGAGACCCCGCCGGGCGGCCGCACGCAACTCCGTCGGGGGCCCCGCCCGACGGCCGCATAGAGCGACAAGCAACGCGAAACCACTCGACTTGGTGCCGCGCCGTTGGAACGCCCCCAGCCGCATTCGCGCGCCGCGACTAGCCTCCTGGCCCTTTTAGCATCTCCTCACGCGGCGGCACGAGCGCGCGCACCGTCGCAGCGGCCCGGCGCCGTGCGTGGCTGGCTTTTGACTTGCAAGCGCCGGGCCCGTCGGGCTCACAAGCAGGCGCCGGCGCCGGCCGGCCACCAAGGCGCACAGCCCGAGTTGTGCGACCTCGTGATCTGTGCCAATCTTGCCCGGCGCGCAGGCCGTTGCCAGCTAGGCGGGATCGCCATTCCGCTGCTAACGCCGTCGCGCGCGGCTTCGCAGCGCTCTACGCGTGGCGCGCGACCCTCTCGGGCGTGGCCGGGTTCCGGAGCGCCCGCCGCCCCGGCACCAGTTCTGTGCGCCGCCGCTTTTCGGTCGACGGGACGCGGCTGGCCGCCCCGATGGATCAAAATCCGGGCCTTGGTGGCCAGCGAACCCGCTGAGCGCCACTGCGAGGCGCCACATGAGCGCGGGGCCCTAGCTCGGGCCTTGCGGCGGTCCCCCGTTGCGGAAAAGGGCAAGGCCCGGGCTCCCGGCGGAGCCTGGGCCTTTTAGGTCTCGCAGCCCTCTGCGCCGCGGCGCTCCGTGCATCGCTTCTAGAGTGGGGGCGCACGCAAAAAGCCGCCCCGCCCCGCTACCGCAAAGGCCTAATCCTGAGGCAAACGTTGCGGGCTTTTATTTGATAGCGACGCCATCGAGTGCGCAGCGCGCCCCCCCCTCGGCCTTCGCCCCTGTGCGGGCGCCACTCCAGGAAGGTTGGGAACCGTTGGCCCGGGTCCCTGCGCTGCGGCCTTGCGTGGAGATTGCCCCGAAAGCCGCCGCGCCCCCCGTTCCCTGCGTCCCCGCCGTTAACAACGATAACCGCTGGCCCTGAACAGCGATAGCCTGCTGAAATGCACAAGCACGGGTAAGATAGAAATTCGCAATTTGTCATGCACAAGCACGGGTAAGAAAAATCAACACCCAACTCAACAAAGTCGCGCTGCATACTGACTGCCATACGTAAACGTACACGAGGACGCAGCTTCTTGCTCATCTATCATTGTGATAGCTTTTGTCGTAATCTTTGTTCTGTGAAAAAACACGCCCGCCCCAGAGTCAAAATGGCAATTCCGGCAGCACACAAAGCAAACAAATCTAAAAGTCCGGGATGACGATATCAGGTCCGCAGCCCAGCGATTGGCTCGCGCGGCCGCATAAGTACCAATCTTCTTTCTTTTTGTATGTAATTGTCTCTTGTTCTCATTAAAGCATGACAACTTCCCGACTGCGGTGAGAATACTTACTTCTCTCGTGGGGAGCCGCAGGGGAAACTTCGTCTTCGCCTCGCGCACGTCCCAGGTTCGCATAACAAGAATGGGGCGTGTCCGTTTTTGAACAGGATAATCGGGTCCGCCACGCTGCATTGAATCCGATGTGGTCCAGGTATCCGGTATGCTGTGCAAAAAGCCCCGACGGAGTTGTCACGCAATTCATTCTTAAATGTGCAGAAGATGGGTGAAATAAATGGCATTTCCTAGTCGTGACTTGTAACACTCTGATCAGACAAAGAACTCTATGTGTAGGTGTGACGCGGCCACGAATCACGACTACACTGCGACTACAAGTTTCAATTTGTCGCGCACAATTCACACAGCAGTTCCTTCAGCTGTCTAGAAGCAATCGCATCTGAAACCTGGGACGGGTACAATTTTACGCACGATATCGCGTTGGGCTTCCATACTTGTTTTTCAAAAATTGCAGCACGGATTCCATCACGTGCGGGCTGCTAGAAGTGAAAAAATCAGGGTGCAACCGGTTCTGGAAGAGCGCCTGCTTTCGCGAGCAGTATTCCGTGGAAAGCAGCGACGCAGAGAGCTGATAGGAGTAGACGATGTCTTCCTCTGCCAGATTTAAGGCAACCATTAGCAGCGCAACAATCAGACCGGTGCTGTCTTTTCCGGTCCCGCACTGCAGCACCAGCGGGCTCGCTTCCCGCGTTACCTCCTGCAGGACCCGCAGGACTAACTTCTGGTTATACTCAAGCGTCAGGAGGTAAATACCTGTGACGATGTTTATCAGTCAATCAATCAGCCACGCACGTTCTTTTAAAAAACGCGCGTGGAGGTCAATCAGCCACGCGCGCTCTTTTTAATTCATAGCGTACTTAGTGGCATAGTTCTCGCACTCAGATTTGTCGAGAAGCTCGGGGCTGTGCGCGCATTGTTATTAGTTTTCTCTTCTGTGTCCGAGGGCGGACTCCCGCTATGTGTCTGACTAAGCAAGATGTTCCAAACGATTCCCGCTGGCCCCAAACCCCCAGCGCTTTCGCATCGTTCTCGCTCCGGTTTCCGCAGCGGAGCGCTTCAGCGACCTGGGTGGTCTTCGGGCACCCAGACATCGGGCTTGCTATCCAACTGCGGCCACTTTTCCCCGCCCGGCTTTTCGGCCGCCCCGCGTGCCGTGCCCCCGCTGCGCCTCTTTTCGCTGCCCCCACCGCCGGCCCTGCGGTCTTCCTGCATTCCCTGGGCCGCTTGCGATTTCGGGCCGGGTTTTTGGCCTTTCTTCTTCGCCGCGGCAGCATCTCGCGCGCCACTGCCCCCGCTGGTTTTTGCAGCGCGAAAGCATCGGCCGAAGCACGCACTGCAAGGCCCCCGAGCCACAGCGGACAACCTCCCCCGAGGGGCATTCCCCTGAACTTCCTGCCGGATTTTACCAAGTGAGCCCTCCCCCTTGCCGGGCGTGCCTCCTGCTGCCTGGCCGAGCCCAGGCTGGCTACGGGCTCCCTGAAATCTGTATAGATCATTTGCGCCCCTAGGCGCGCGCACCGCTTCGCCCGGGGCGGAGGATCGCTCCCGGCCCAGACCTCAAAAATGGGCCGCGTGGCATTGAGCTGATCTGCCGCTGCCAAGGCTTCGGCGCTTCTGATCGCTGCGCCGGGGCCAAGGGGACTGCCGCAGCTGGCTTTCCGGCGTTTCGGCACTCCCCGGCCGCGCCCGATCCCCCGCCGCGGCCTCGCGACGCCTGCCGCCATGGCACAGCGCCGCGGGGACTCCGCCGTAGTGGCGCCGCCTCCGCCGGGCTGCGCATCAATCCAGGCGGGGCTGCGTGCTGCCGCGATCAGCTTGCCGCCGTGCCAGATTTTTTCGGGCTCGGCCCCTGCAAGGCCTTCGCCCTGCTTTTTCTCGCCTTCCAACTGCCGCGCGGCCCCGGGGGCGCGGCCGCGAGTTGTCTTCGCTGCCCTGCCGGGGCCAACGGCCTCGTGGAATTCCCGCGCAGCTTCGCCCGGCGCCACATTCCGGGCGGCGATGCCGCCTGTGCTTTTCCCAGCTATATCCTCTTGGGCCCAACCTGAGGCGGCCCGGCCATTTTCCAACGTGGCCCGCCCCCGGAAGCCTAAGGCCGAACCAAGTTGCTATGCCCGCCATCCCAGAGCGCCAAGGAGGACAGGGCCACGCCCCCGATGCGCCTCGTGCAAATCCACCCCTCCGCGGCCCGATCTTCTGGTCGGGGGCCAAACAATTCCCGCCCGCCCGACCATCAGGCCGCGGCCTGTTTCGCTCCTTTCCTGCACCCCCGCGTGCGGCGCACCGATCGGCACAGGCAAACTCGTCCGCGCGCCCCTTTCTCTCCGGGCTAACAGTCACGCGCCCCGCCCTTCCCATTTCCGCGCTCAATCCCAGCCCCACGAACATGCACGCCCCTGCAAGCTCAGCGGCCGCAAACTGGGCGCCCTCCTCCGCGGCCGCCTTGGCCCGCCGCCCGGTCGTCGGCGCCATCCAGAATGCTCATGGCCACCCCCGCGCCTGCGTGCCGGCCGCCTTCCTTTCCTTTTCCATCACCTTGGCGAGGTTTGTGATGGCGAAGGCACGCACAATAGCAAAGGGCAAAGGCGAGAGCGAGCCATCCTGACGCACGCACGCCATCTGCTTGATTGCTTCAGTAAAAGTGTCGCCGGCTGACGTTGTTTGCCGTAAATAAATCTCGTCTCAGAAGATCATCGCAAAACGCAATAGAAGGCCAATGCGATCCTCCCTGTGCACTTTCTGCTGCACGCGCCTAGGAAGTCGCCTTGTGGTTGAACAACATAGAGTGATATCATAAACAAACCCCACACAGCCCAGGTTTTTCATACTTACACATGTATGGCCTGATGCCAGCAGAACGAAACACCACACACCTCGCAGACGGAGCAAGGCGCAATTCCTGACGATGATTTCCTGTCCGAGCACGGCCAGGTCTCGACCCGTGGGTCGAAGCGCGAAGAGGAAGGCGACGCGCACCTGCATGAAAACGTCGACCAGGGATAGGAGGAGAGTTATTGAAGAAACGCACATCCGTACTACATTCGAAACCATTTCTATTGCTTACCACGCCAGGCGTTTAAAAGTGAAAGCAAGAAGGAACTTCAACGAAGGGAACGCACCGCCGTTGAAGTAATGTCTACCCCACAGAACAAGGCCTGCAGCTAGCATGGCAAATTAATTGCAAAAACGAATATATATTGCAATGTAAAATCAAAATAGAAGTTTAAGTAGATCACTGTAGCCGGAGTATATATATACTAACTATTTAATGGCTTGCCTGCTACTAGTTGTTTGCCAAATAATTCTTCGGGCCGAGCTTCTGGCTAAAGCTGGAAGGCTCGCAAGCACGGCCATGCAGGGCCTGAAACTTCTCCTTTGAAGCAGGGAAACCAAACGGGTACGCATGGCGCAACCAAGAGCTGCGAGCAAGAGCATAGCCGCCTCTGCGCTGTTGGCTTCTCTGCGTCGTTTTTGCAAGCGCGCGGCGATCGATAGCATACCGCGACGATTCGGCACCACGTCGGCCAAGGCCGCTCTCTCAGCCACTGGGGCTACTATTTTTCAAAAAATCTTTCCGGCTGCCCAAAAAAAAGCCGGCCGCTGTGCATGAGGGACGGTAAAAAAAACCGCCAGGCCAGAAGGCCCTTGCGGTCTCACTGCGTGCCAAATATAGCCGCCGGGGCGGAGGTAGTTCGGCCGCTGCTGTTTTGCTTTCTGCCACTGTCTTGACCGCGGGCCAGCAAGGACGCCGCTTGTTCCGCGCTCGCCATGCTCTCGCGGCTGCGCGAGGGCGCACAGAATGGCGGCCGCTTATTCAGGCACGTCGCGAATTTTGGCACATTCACGAAATTCCTGCGCGGAAGCCAGACCCGGTGATAGGGAGCCAACCCGGGCGCCCCGTGGTGTGCCCAAAAGCCGTGGCAGAACCGGGCCTGTAGCATGCGGCGGCCCGGCTTCATGGGTCGTGCGGCGTTTTCTCTTTTGCGTTTCCATTTTTTGCAGCTGCACCTTTTGCCCAGCCCCTAGGCTGAGGAACCGGCGAAAAGGCGGCCGCTTTCCCGGTCGCCCAAAATGGTCCGACATCGCGGCCGCGCCATGCGGTTTGGTTATTCTGATTGTGCGCGCGTTTCCTTTTTGCGCCTTTCTACGCACACAAAACCGCCAAGAAATAGTGCGGGAGACGCCTTAGAAGGTGCAGGGCGCAGCCTTGTGTGGCTCGCCATCGTCGGTTTTTAGGTCGGTAAGCGATAGCGCACCGCCGCGATTCGTTGTCAACAAAGCCAAGCAGGCTGCTATGCTGGAGTTTTATTTTTCTAAATAACACACAGCAAAAGAAACAGCGTTGCAAACTGCGCGGCTTTTCTGGCGCTTTCTCATGTTCTTGAGAAAACTGCCCGGCTGGAGCCGTTAGGTGCGACTGCTACGCAACTGCTTCGGAACGAGGGCTGTGCTTCTCCACGTGATACGCGTGAGGGGAAACAGGCTCACTGACACGAGATTCTTCTCGCCTACTTCCGCTCGGCAAATCTCTCCGTCCTCCCGGCGTTCGTTCAGGTTCCGTAGGTCGAGAATTCGCACAAAACCGCTCTTGGCCTTCAGCCGTCGAAATTCTTCCGCCGACATGTCGCTGCTGTGTAGGTTGGAGCTGCGAAAAAGTTTGCCTGCGGCTAGGCGATCCCCTGTACTGGTGCGGAGCCGCGACCGCTCCGCCAGCACATCCGCGGCATCCGAGCAGCAAAAATCGCGGAAGTTGGGCGCACTCGCAACCACGTTGCAGGCGTGCCTCGACCCAAAGCGCGTTTCTAGGTGCGCCTCATCTTTTTTCGCGTTTCGAAGATTTTCCTCTAGGGCATACACCACCACACGCTGCCAGATCGCGCGCCGTTTCTGCCAAAAGTAGTACCAGACAGCTATCACGCTCACCAGCACGAAGGACAACACACCTTGCAAAAAGATCTTGCTCCGCGGCGCGGCTGGGCCAGCTCCCCAAGAAGGTAGCGACGACCAAACCATAGAGCTGGTCACTTGCTTTACTTTTTTCAGGAACTTAAATGCGTAGCACTAGCGATTCCCAGCGAAGAGAGACAAGGCGGGCCAACTCTCAACCCGCTAGCCCTTTATTGCTTGTTTGAGTTTTGGTGGGTTCTTCCAAGAATTATCCTTCGGATTGCAAGCTGCCGCATGCGCCCTCATTTCACTGGTTCTCAGCGACTCAAAATGCTCGTTTAGACGCTCAGTGCGATCGTCGTGTTTGCACAAGATCAAGGAGCGCTAATCGCTGTACAATCGGTGCGCAAGGCAATAAATATAGTATACATGACGACGGACATACACCAATGAGGAAATAAGGAGGAAGAAGATCCCTCGCACTTGCAAAGCTGAATGCACAGCGTTAGCGCTATCTTTACAGGTGGCGCATAATGTCGCAGATCAGCCTTAGGAAATCAGCAGGGAGGCACCGCTCACGAGAGAAAGACTTACTCGGTCAGCGTTATCTACTGTTCCTCGTACCAGATGCGCCATGATGCCAATAGGGCATACCTGAATGACGCGACTCGGTGTCGGTGAATCGCGTATGCATTAGATTACGATCATGTGGCTCAGCGAGTCACGTAAGTAACTGCTCAGTGATGACCTATCTTCAAATGTTTTGCGTGCGCGCTTCTTAAGGTGCGAGGGGAAAATCCTCCCGCATACTGTCATCGTCCTAGACATCAAGACAAAAGAAGCAAGCGCATCAATCACACAACGACACAGTCAGTATCAGTAATACGGCAATAATACACGAACATGGCGCGGCGCTCTCTCCGATGTCGAAAACACTGCGCAAGGAACAGGTATTCAATTGACCGCATACCTGAAGCGCGAGTAACTTCAGCGCAGAAAAGGCAGCCGAAGTCCCTGATGTGCGCAAAGACAGACGCAATCGACATCATTGCACGGCCTAGAGCTGATGATCTGCGAAGCGAAAGTGCGAAGACGAACCACACAGAGAAGACTCAATACCAGTTGAGAACAAAACCCCAAGGGATGTAGTAGGTTTCTCCTTTAGGGATAGCCGTAATGATGAGGCTAATCCCCTAACTACTGGGCAGATTCTTAGCGTTCACGGTATGCAATATCACTCAAGGCCTGTACGTATTTGGGTCGTACGTGATTCGAGTCATCAAGGTGGTCACTTTTGGGGTCATTTTGGTGGTTGACTCCCGTCAGGTTCGTCCCTATGTCTGGACTAGGTCAGGGGCCTAGTTAGGTCGTATTTAGCTACTTGACTCTGGTCAGGTTTGGCACCAAGTACCGGGATCATTTAGGTCATTGCTTTCCTTGTGTTTCCTTCAGGATCTCTCTCAAGATTGTAAAGGCAACTTATTGGATCATTGGACAGGAGTGAATCTACGCTGCGCGTGGTTCATCATTTATTCGCCATAGTCCCCCTCACTCCTGACCATGTCCATACTAACAGATAAAACAAAGTACGTCGCTGATATAAAAGTAAGCAAGGTAGATGGTTGCTGGTGCACTGATATAAAGCGACATAATCTGAATGAGTTTGCAATGCGTAGTTGAAAGCTGTAAAATATTCATCCAGTAAAACTGTCTTCGTTTGTTTGCTCAAGGCCTTCAAAGTGTCTTCATCTCCGTCGTCAAATCATCCTTCTCGATTCTCGTCCCCCTGTCTCGGTTCCTCGGAACTTGTCCACCAGCATCCACATCGCTCTGTGTTCGTTTTCAATTTTCCAGCACGGCGATGCTGTTGAGTTTCAGGAATTCATAAAATTCGTTTGCGGGACAAACTTTAGTCAATCCATTCGATCGATTGACTTGCGTACTGTGGTCGAGGGGTTTGATGAACTCGCGTAGAGTCAAGTCCTTGATAAATGCATGTCTGATGTCCAAATGTTTCAGCTGAGACTTTACACCGCAAGAGCCTTGGCTGTAAGTAATCGCAAAACTGTTGTCGCATGCAAGAGCAATCGGAAGCAATAGGCTCTGGCTACTAAAATACTGACGCCACCAAGTTCGTAGCGAATCCAATACATAGTAGAAACGTAAAGCCATCTTGCTCGCTTCGCTCATGCCATATATTTCAGCTTCGCTGACACTTGTAGACACTGAATGCCGAGTCACACTGCGCCAAGCAATCGCGCAACCGTTCAGGGTGATGACTGCGCCGCTGTTGGATTTTCGGTCCGAAAACGATGCCCAGTCCGAATCGCTCCAAGCCGATAGGACCAGCTTTTCGCCGAAGGTCTCGCGGTTGTTCTTGTACTGCAGTCCGCGACGTGTTCGCAAATATCTAAATACACGCCTCAGGGCTGCAATGCTTTCAGCAGTTGCCTCCACCCTGGCGCAAGCTTTTAGCGCTACTACAATATCTAAACGCGTATGAGCTAGGTGCTGCAGACTGCCAGTCTTTCTTGCTTTAGTTTCAAAAGTTTAGGGTCGTCCTCTGTTGCAGAGTTCGGGGGAGATTCCATTGGTAACGTGACTGATTTTCCAATATCCCCGCCGAATCTCTCCAGAATCTTCTGCGCAAGCATAGACGTCTTGGCTGAGCAAAATATCGCCGGAGGTAGTACACTCCCACGCCTCAATGCCCAAAACATCGTAGACGCGGCAGCGTCCCTCGTCGCGTACTACTTCTGGCTCTAGCTTCAAAATTGGCTTCAGTTCATCACGGTACTTCGTGACTTCCTCCTTCTTCCCGAAAAACCAAAAATTATCAACAAAGACCAAAAGTAAAACCAAACCACGTTGCCACAGGGTGGCCTCGATTGGATTGCGTTTCCAGCTTTGCTCTTCGAGTTTCGAATCTCGATGACTTTCCCGCGCTTTGCTACTCAAGCGCAGGCCATTCATCGCATCGACTACAACAGCGGAGCGGTAGTTTCGTTCAGCTTGTAGGCGTGTATCTAAATCGATAATAACTCCATCAGTTGGGTAGGGCGCTTGCAAAAAGGCTGGCGTAGCATCGCTCGGGAATGCGTACAATCCTGGCGCCTGACACTTAAGTGCTAACAACATGCGCAAAAGGCTAAGATCAGGAATAGAAGCATAAGAATCATACGAAGAAACCTTGTCCATAAATCCAAGGCAAACAGTTCTGCGCTTGCATCTGCCACAGCGCTTGCGTGACAGAGGCATCTTGCACGGAATTGGTCTGCTCCTTGACTTTTTAAGGGTTGAAAGTTCTTCCGCGGTCGCTTCTCTAAAAACATGCTTGTGGGCTGTGAGTTCCTTCTCGATAGCTGCACGCCACTCGTCGGTAGACGTGTCAAATTCTTCTTGTTCCTTTGGTAGGGTTGCAACTTTGAAACAAGTTTCACCCTTTTCCCAGTCTCTAACTATTAAAGGCGCGAGCATAGCAATTAGGGATCTCTCGTCTATGTGGTTAAGCTCTTCACTATTTCTACACCTTTCTGCAATGTCAGCTGCTAGCGTCTGCAGCTGGCTCTCCTTTAGTTCTCTAGTTTCGGGCTGTGCCCCAACTAGTTCACGAATTTGCTTCAGCGTCTTGCCGCGCTCTGCATTTCGCAAATGCCATGCCCCACGTACTGGAAGCGTTTCCTCGTTAGCTAGGATATTCCTAAGCTTCTCAGCTTCTTCGGCTTTTATCCTATTACACACGGAATCCTTATAATCTTTAGTAAGCCGGAACCTCTTAGAAAGGGCTGCGCCTTCTTCCCCGCCTGAAGCGGTCGGGGGCTTCACACTGTCGACAGACCCTAGTGGCTGCGACTGCTCCACTGAGCTACTCTTGCCACGCAGGCGAATGGGACTCATCAGGTCGGAGTGCCTGGCTCTTCTCATCAGGTCGCACTGCCTGGATTCCTTTCACATCTTGCCACGCAGGCTCCTTCTGCTCACTAGCAGGCTTCTGCACGCTGGCAGGCTTCTCCTTGTTACTTCCGGGCCGCACTGGCTGGGCTTCCTCAAGTTTCGAATCGCGTTCGAATTCATCCTGATTGACTTTCGTGGGTCTTGTGCCCTTGCGCCTGTCCGATGCATCGCCGACGACTTTTATTTTCGCTTCCTCTTCAACAAACTCTCCCACTTGCGGTAGTCTCTGCCCCACGGGCATGCTGTGCGTCTTGTATAAGACTTTCAACAACATAGGAGGTAGCAGCATGTCACTAGCTGTCGCGTGCTTTCTAATATGACTAGCATGCGCACGGCGATAGTGGCCGTCGTGATCTACTACAAAAGTTACTGAATCTGGGTTGACTTGTCTATGGATTAGAGTCGCTGGACCCATCCACTCCTTCTTATCTTTATCAAAGAACTCTACTAGTTCGCCTTGTTTAACTTCGTCGGACTCTTTGTAGCAGTTCCTCTGCGTTTCGCGTAGCTTTTTCATTTCGGCCACAAGTTGACTATCAGTTTTGACTTTTTCTATCCAGGCGCTAGCCTCGCAACGCATTTGGTAGGCTTCTTTTACTTCTGGGTCTTGCATGAGTACTAACTGCTGGCCGTTCAAATCCTCAGGGCCAGGGGGCTCCAACTTATGGGGATTGATAACCCACTGAACCCGGTAGGGACATGGGCCATCTAGTGCGCTAGTTGGTGTCATATTGACAGCGTTAGTGGCTTGCTCGACTAATTTGGGGATAAGAGTAGTTGTCTGCCCGAATACATAATAGAGCCTGTGAAGAACAGAGCGAAAGACTCTGTGTCTGCGTTCGCAGGTACCATTTACCCAAGAGGCTTTAGGGGTTAAGAAAAGTTGGGAGCCATACAACTGACAAAACTGACGAACTTCGGAATTGTCAAACTCCTTGCCTTGGTCGCATACGATGTTCTTACCAATAACCCCACACGCCTTGAGGCTTTCTAGAAAGTTCTTAGCGTCCTGCATTTTCGGGGCTCGCGTAAGTGTGTGCGTTTTGCTTGCGCGGCTGTGCAGGTTGATAGCATGCAAAACGGCATGGCTCTTGCCTACGGGCCAAAACGTGTCTAGCGCTACCCAGTCGGATATCGAATTTGAATCGATTCCGCCGACCTTATTATGGGGAAAGGCCGTGGTCTTCAGGCGTTGTAGATTGTGCTTGCAGAAATGCACAACCCAGCAACGAGCCTGCGGACTGTTGTCCATGGTTCTAATAATTTCCCAGATTTTCTGAAAGGTAGGTAGAAACAAGTTCGCAGCTACTTCGCATATTTTACTACATGGCAAGCGTCCACACTGAGGCGCGTGCTCGGTATCTCGCTTGCAAAACTTCTCTGCTGGCATAGTGCGTTCCGGGTGTGGAGAGGCTTTTCGCTTCTTCTTTTTGGGCTTCTTTTTCGACTTTGCTGAGACAGGCTTAGGCCTATCCTCTACTGCGCTATCGCTTTCACTACTTAACTCCTCTACTTCTGTCTCAGGGGTTGCGCGAGCTGAATGGTTCTGAGTCAAGTGGCTAGACTGCACCTGTTTACTGTTTTCAACAGGTTCGGAACCCTTCGCGGTCTGGCGCGAGTCAAGTCCGCAAATTTGCTCACTTTTTAAGCTAATCGCGGCGAGACTCTGGATTTCTTCGCTGCTGATTTCGAACGTTCGGGCCTGAGTAATTAGGGGGCCCGCTGAAACGGTTACTGGCTCATCGAAATAAGCTGCCACCGTTTTCAGCTTGCTCTTGATCTCATCGCTGACGACAGGGCAGAGCATTACAAGCTGCTTGCCTCGGCTCATTCGACTCCCATTGATGATTTCCGAAGTGGAAAGATTTTCTACGTCTATCTCGTACCACGCTAGTCTAGCACCACTACCAAAACCAACAAAGCTAGTGAAATGGTCAAAATTAGTGCACCAGAGTGACTCCATAAGCTCCTGCGTGTTCGTGACAAAGCACTTTTCCACCGGATTCGCCACCACGTGCATCGGAATCTTGACCGTGGTGCATCCTCCCAGGATATGCATAGGGAACCTGTTGAAGAAATTCACGTTGTCGATGGATACCGGAAAGCCGTTCTTCCGCAAAAGATCGAGAGACAACAGGGTCTTCGAACCCAGGGACTTCACGCAGACCACGTTCTTGAACATGCAACCCGTCGGGCTCCACATGTCTCCGACGGTACGACTTTCGCATAAGCCGTTCGCAGTCGAGAAAGTCAGCTTCGTATCGGCCGGGCGCAAAGAGCGCAACAAACTTAAGTCGCCACTCATATGCCGGCTCGCACACGAGTCCACCAACAGGATGTAGTCTGCCACATTCGCACCGTGGGCAGTTTGTGTCGCAAAACGCTGCAAGTGCTCGGACTTGTTAGCGATTTCAATGCACGGGGGGGGCTGCCACGTAGTGCCCATAGCCATTTTGTTGCTGCGGCGGCTGCCACACCTGCTGGACCGGGAAGCTGCTCTGCTGTTGCTGCTGCGGCGGTGGGCACACCTGCTGCTGCTGCGGCTGGTGCGCCTGCTGCTGCTGCTGTTGCTGCGGCTGTCCGCCTTGGTTATTGTGGTTTCCCTGGTTCTGGTGGTTGTTGCCGTTGGTCGACTTCGTGGTCGTGGCGTACGACCTGCCATTCTTGTAAATCCCGTCTGCTTCGTCGCGCTTTTTGTCACGGCATTCGGCAATGAAGTGGCCGGAGCGCTTGCAATAATGGCAAACACGGTCGCCCTTCTTGCCTTTGCCCTTTCCGGTCTTCTGGCCGTGCTTTCCGCCGCCCTTGCCTTTCCTGCCGACGAAGAAAGCTCCTTCAGCGTTTTCACGCTCGGCAGGGGGCTTCCACTGCGCCTGCGCCTTTGCAATGCTGGTCGCAAGCTCGGAGAGGGTCTTGGGGCGGTCGTTGATAATGGTCTTGCGCACCATTTCCGTACAGTTGCGACGGGCAACACGGATCACCTCGCGCGTAGCGATTGCTCCAGCTGGCAAAGCAGAATGCTTTTGCTGGAATTCGCGGAACCACTCGGAAGGCGTCTGCTTCTTCGGGTCCATAGTGCACTTCCCCAAATCCTCCGCCAAAAGATCCTCGTCGCCATATTCCTCACGGAAAATGTCGCAGATCCGGTCGAGCTTTTCAGCTGCGCTCCGGATGTCTTTCACCTCGGGCCGCTTGGTGATGGCCCGGTAGGTCCGCAACATGTCGACACAGGAGATCTTGCCCTCGACATTCGCAATTGACGTCTTTCGCGTCATGCTTCTCGCCACAAATCTCCAACCATTCCCACATGGGCATCGTGGAACTCTCGGCGAAGTTGGGGACCTTGGTTGGTCAATGCGTTTTTGCTGTCCTTCTTGCGCTTTTTCTTCTTCTTCTTTTTCTCACCGTCGTCCTCTCTCCCGCTACTAGAACTGGAATCGGAAGACGAGCTTCCAGAAGTTGAAGAGGACCGCCTGCGCTTCTTGTCTTTCTTCTTCTTGTTGCGCACCGGGCTGCGATTCTTCTGCTCCTGGACTTTGGCAAGCTGCTCTTCCTTCTCCTTTTTCGCCTGGGAGAGCTGGTTCTGCAGGTCGGTCCCACTTCATTTGGTTCGCGGCGTTGGCTTGTTCCTGCAGTTGCTGCTTTTCGCGCTCCTTCTGGAGGCGTTCCTCCTCGGCTTTTTCGCGCTCCGACTCCGCCCTCTCCGCTGCGTCGTTGAGTTGCTTCTGCAGCTCGGCGCGGTCATTCTCGCGCTGTTCTTCTGCCTGCTGCGCCTGCAGTTTAGCGGCTTCCGCCTGATCCTGCAGCTGCTTGCAGTTGTTCTCGATATTGGTTTTCTCGTTGTCGAGATGCAAGTAGCTCTGCTCGAGGTTGTGCTTCTGCTGCGCCAAATTCTGCAACTCCTGTTTATTTTTCACGGGTTCCTCACGCTCGGCAACGCCGAGGGTGCTCCCACCAGTGCTCGGGGTCGGGGGGTTCTTGTTTTTGTCGCCAGGAGGAGTCTGCGGCGCTGTGGTTTCCGGCTGCTGGATGGCAGCCTGCTGCCCTTCGGCTCCGGTATTCTTGTTTCCGCCGTTCATCCCGCTCTTGTTCTTCTTTTGCTTTTTCCGCTTGCTACTGCCGCTGGTGGTGCTCATTTTTTACTACTGTGTGGCCGCTTAGTTAGTTTTCTTAAATGTCGCTTAGAGTGTGTTTTGGGCTCATAACTCTGCGAAGCGAAAGTGCGAAGACGAACCACACAGAGAAGACTCAATACCAGTTGAGAACAAAACCCACAGGGATGTAGTAGGTTTCTCCTTTAGGGATCGCCGTACTGATGAGGCTAATCCCCTAACTACTGGGCAGATTCTTAGCGTTCACGGTGTGCAATATAACCCAAGGCCTGTACGTATTTGGGTCGTACGTGATTCGAGTCATCAAGGTGGTCACTTTTGGGGTCATTTTGGTGGTTGACTCCCGTCAGGTTCGTCCCTATGTCTGGACTAGGTCAGGGGCCTAGTTAGGTCGTATTTAGCTACTTGACTCTGGTCAGGTTTGGCACCAAGTACCGGGATCATTTAGGTCATTGCTTTCCTTGTGCTTCCTTCAGGATCTCTCTCAAGATTGTAAAGGCAATTTATTGGATCACTGGACAGGAGTGAATCTACGCTGCGCGTGGTTCATCATTTATTCGTCATATGATCTATGATCGAGTCGCGGCGCTTAACTCCCTTCTTTTGTCCACCAAGACTAGCAATCAAAGCGGAGGCAGTGAGGCCCCTTGCGTTTTCTTCCCTTGACCTGGAAAAACGGCTCAATGCCGGCCGCGCGGCTGGAGGATTCCTTCGATCCCGGCCAAGCCACGACCTTTGCGACTGGAGTGGCCGACCATTCTTGGCGATGATGTCCTAGAAAACTGAAAGATGTCCTCCCTACATATGGAGGGGGATAGAGTAGAAAGCTTTGGAATGGAAGGGATCGAGTAGAAAAGCTAGGAGAGAAAAGCGTGGAATGAGGACTATCCTATCGGAGATGATCTTGAACGTCAAATCAAACGAAATCCCGATAGAATCGCGATCGAGTAGAAGGCAGTCAGTTGCTGCGCGACGAAGATGAGGCTCCAGCATTTCGTTTTCCATCCAAAATATTTGGAGAGTTCGGCGGTACGGCTGTGGACGTATGACACGTCGAGGACTGCCGTGTGTGCGATCACTAGATGCCGCCCTAAGGAAGAGCACACTAAACCGCGCCGATCTTGGCTGTAATACCAACGTCTACACTTTCCGCTGCTCTAAGAGTTTTCTACTAAACGCTCTAGCGCTTTGACGAAAAGCGGGCGGCCTCAACGATCGGAATGATGCCCCGGCCGGTGTGATAGCCTAGCCGGAAGGGGCACCGAGAACCGCGCAAAAGCCGCAAAAAAGGCGGGCGAGGGTGCGGGGCATCGGCGCAACCGCAGCAAGGAACAGAGGCGGCGGGAAGGGCAGCCCTCCCCCCTGGCGGCTGTCCCCCAATGCCCCAAACGTTGAGGCGCCGGCGTCCACGTTGAAGCGTGACGTTCTAAACGTCACGCTTCAACGTGGACGCAGTGCAGCTTCTGGCTTGTCGACCTACTTCCTTGGTACTTGAGGTCTACTCCTAGACGGAAAGCCGTAGCGTCAACACCATCTCCGTACTTCAATCATGTGTTCCGTCCGTTATCTTGGTGCTCCTCAGTGTTTGTGGACCTTCCTAATCTTATGGTAAATACGATCCTAGTCCTGTGTCATCGTCTAGACCCATCTACAGTCTCGAACTCTCAAAAATATCGGAGCATGTAAGCACTGGCATCAATCCACTTTGTTCTTGGTTGGCGCGCAATAACGTCTGCCCTCTTTTTCTGCATCTAGAAACGTCTCTCACTATGTGAGTGCGCGAACATGTCGCACGAAACCGCTCTCGCGAACACGCCGAATTTTTTCCGCGAGCATCTCTGCGGACTCCTCATCCGGCATTCTCACCTTATGCAACCACCGTAAGTTCCGATACAAAACAGCAAGAAAAATCGCAACTCCCACTGCCCAGTGCGGGACAGTTTCTAACAGACCCACAAACTCCCTCACCAAATCAACATGGTCGCCACTGCGTTGTGGTGTCGCGTAGTCGAAAATGCCTGCGAGTGGTGGAGAGAGTCATCAACATCAGCATCTATTGGCCACGGAGAGCGGCCATCCGAGACGCAAATCAACGGCGTGACTAATTCATTCTATACCGAGAAGCGCTAGACCGAAATGAGCCGAATGACACCCACTTCCTGGCTTGCATTGGTGAGTAACTCGCAACAGCTGTAAACATGAAACCACTCGACACATCGGACCAGCAATCGAAATCAAGTACGGACAGCACAGAAATGGGGGATGAATGCCTGCACGCTATCCGGCAAAAAATCCATTGTGAGTGAATACCTCCCGGGTGCTGCTCTACAGTCATGTATCGCAGCGCGACCGTGGGTGCGTCAGATGGCTCACTTCCCTTTAGATGTAGAAAGAATCCATGGAGACGTCTTCTGGTCACACTTGTGCCCTCTGCAAAGTGCGGCAATATTTTTTGCAATTTCTGGACGGCAGCGCTTGCGTCGATTGTGCCGCCTCTGAGCCAGGAGCACGGAAGCACACCCTTGGAAAAGCCAACTCCCTGGTGCTGCGCGACGTCATAGACGAGAAGGTCCCCGCTCGCCAGAAACATCGAAAGAAAAACCGGCCCTCCTGCGGTCCAATGGTCCGCGGACAGCCACGCAATACGATCAGCGCGTCGCAGTACGCCCGGGGGTAGGTGCCACCGCACCACACAGGATGTCAGATCTAGCAAAAGCACTTGCTGTCTGCTGGTAGCAACGAAAACGTGCTCGGAAAAGCTGTTGTTCGAAGAAGTAGCCAAGTGCGCGACTGTGCCGGAAACTTGTTCATGCAGCGCGCAGTGTAGTTGCGCGGCTCCTCTACTCCGTGTGTTGTGGTTTTCCTTCTCCTGCCACATGCCGTTGGTCGCATTGTTTGGCTCTGACTCACCATTTTCACGGCCCATTGCATCTAGAAAAAAATTCGGCTCGGTAAGATCCCGAACTCCTGCACGGTTTGCGGAAGCGAATATCAACTTGGAGTCGCTGCCCCACAGCGAGAGACTCTGCCCATCGCATGCGGCAACCGCCCGATACGACACGGCTACCGTACCGTCTCGCGCCCCAAAAGCCAAGTGGAGGCGTCCACTTGCGTCCAGATGCGCGACGTAATTTTTCCTCAAGGCGACCCACTGCACGGCGCTCCGCAACTGGGGCACTCCCGCAGCTCGGTCTCCACCAATGATTGCGGGCACGTCAAATTCGCTCCTTCCATACGCGCTTGTTGCGCACTGCGGCACCGCGTGCTCCCCTTCGAGAAGCGTGATGCCCGACTGAAGTCCGGTCGTGACATTTGCGCGCGTAAAGGTTTGCTCGCGGTAAAGGCGCACCGTGCTGGCCTGGCGCCACAGAGATGCGTCGACGCTGCCCGTCATAGTTGTCCCCACTGCGGTGAGCAACACCTCCTGCTGCCGCACCAACTCGCAGTCTAGGGCTACGGTCTCGACCGGCTCGGGTAGGGAAATTTCCTCAAGGAATTGCCATTCGCCTGGGTGCGTCGCGTCCGCGAGTCGTGTGCTTGGATTGTAGAGAAAGACCCGCAGCACGTCCTCCACCACGGCTGCAACCAGCACGTCGGCGCGGTTTGACTTGGGAACAACCGCACAGAAATCACGCACCCGGCCGAGCAGCGGCTCGCCAGCTGTGAACCAGGTCTCGTGCGGCAAGTTGCTTTCGCGGGTGGCGGTGTTGAAGCTGTGTGCCGTGGTCGATGTCTCCTCCAGTAAAGCCCGCAGGGGCGGATCCAGCGTGTCCCGCGCCAGCTGGAGGCGGATTTCCTGCAGTCGGGCCAAATGCGCACTGCGTCTTTCTGATTTCGTGCCCGCCGTCCCCCCAGCATTGGCCCGCGTCCTGTTGGTAGCGCATCACACCGAGGAAAAGAAAGCTAGCACACCAATGCTAAACCTGCTACGCAAAAAAAGCGAGCGGCATGGGCCCGCCCGCATTCCTGCACAAGTGCCAAAAAAAAACCGCCAAGGCGGAAATAGTGCGGCCAGTGGCGATCTGAATCTCCTTTCCTGGTCTGAATCAGCAAAATGTTTGCGACGGCAACACCTACAATTGCGCCAAGGCGGGGTCGTTCAGCGGCCAAGCAAAACCGGAGGAGGCGCTTGGCACTTTTTCATGCCTCGAGACGCCCTCTAGGCTTCGGAACTCCCGGTCGTTTTGCTGTCTCACTGCCCGGAAAGCTGCCCGCCCCGAGATCTTCGGCGACCGTGCTACGGACCAGCAGTCCCCTCCCCCTTCGCCGGTCGGGTAGTTTTCGCTATACAAATTTCAAGCGTCACTGCGCTAGGTCTAGAAGGATCAAAAAACAGCCGGGGGCGTCCAGCAATTGGCGCGCACACGTGGCCGACCATCACAACTGGCAGAGAACGCGTCGCCCTTGCGCAACGCAACATGCCGCGAGGCACCACCACCATTTTTTTGGGCCCTTGCCGCACCTTCTGAGTCTGTGGGGCCTATGGCGCCGCGACAGTTGTTGCGCCCGCTATGTACTCCTTCCTACCCGCGTGCTTGTTTGATTTCGTTCGCAAGGCGTTCGCGATTGTTTATCGCCCGTGACTTGCTGAGGCTTTTGCAATCGGCGCAAAGCCTGGTGAAGGAGCAGTGTGGCGAAAAGTCGAAGTTTGAACGAAACAGCTCCGCGCCCGCGCGTGGCGTTGTTTTGGCGGCCCCCTCGTAGGACGGGGCAAAGTCCAGCCCAGTTCGTTCGCCCTTTATTTTAGCGAAGCCGCTGTTCGCTGCTCCTGAAGGTTCCAGCATATTTCCCAGCTTCGAGACCTCCTGCAATTTCGCTTGGTCGGCGCTTCGTTTGTATGGCGGATCAAACTCCGAACCAAACTTGGCGGTCACGGTCAAAAACAGGCTCGGCTCTCCTGCCCAAACTTAACTCCGAGCTTGAGACCCAAGCCTCGGCGTAAAGCTGACGGCCCAACCCCAGCGCGAGGCCGATGCGCAGCACCCAACTCAAACCTGAGACGGAGGCTCCGGCCTAAAGCTGAGGCACAAGCGAAGACTCGCCCTGCAAACCGACGCTGAGACTCGAACTCCGGCTCGAGGCTGGCCCCACACTCCAGCTCGAGCCCGAGACCCAAGCCCGAAGATGAGCTCCGACTCCAGCTCGAAGGCGAAACGCGACCCCAAAGCCCATACCCCATCTAAGTCCCGAAATGTTTTGGTTCTGGAATGTAGTTGCAGTACAAGGAACAGACACTTTCGGTGTCAGATACCCAATCGGCAACGATAGCTTTCTTCTGTGACGTATACAAGCCAGCAGCGAAGAAAAAAGTAGCCTTGCCGCTACTAATTTCCTCCTTGACATAATTCGTCGCCAACAATTGAAGCCACTTGTGCGAAGGCCGGCCTCGGTCTGGCCACGACATATGCAGCGACGTTAGAGCAATTTTATGCAAGAAGTTCCAACTTGGGTCCGGATCCCTTCCATCAAAGTTTTTTCATGGTGCTGCCCCTAACTGGAACACGATCGCCGCAAGTTCTTTCTTTTCGAGGTTCACAAAGCCCAGCTCCCCACAAGATTTGGCTGCGGTGGAGGAGTAGAAGCTTACAATGGAACGCCTTCGCCCCGAGCAGACGAAGCATCTGGCGCAAACGGCGCGCGCAAAATTGCAGCCCCGCCGCCACGTCTTTGGCTGCTAGACTGTGGGCGTCTTTCGTGTCCGTTCGACGAGTTGGGCGCCAGGCGATGCCAGGGCCTTGGACTTCGAAGAGCCAAGGCGCCGCCCCCGAAAAGAACGCCCACCGCGTCAAAAAAAGCAAGCGCGCTACGTTTCTCCTGCTCACCACCGCACGCCCCGCCCGCAAAGGCGCCTGCGAATGCTCTCGGAGGCATTAACTTCATGGCGGCCGATAGCTGACAAGCTGGCGCCGCGGATCGCGATCCGAGACCACGAGAAGGCGGGCAAGGAAGTGCGCGCGCGCCTCCTCGGCCTCGCGCGGGCGTTCGACACCGCCCCGCGCACGCTAATCGCGCAAGCGCTGCAGCGCTGCGAAGTGCCGCAGCGCACGCAGGGCCGGCCTTGGGCCCGGTGCGACGGGCGCGGTTTCGCGATAAAAAGGAAGGGCGGGCGCGGAAACGCAAAACACGACGGGGCTACGCGCGCGGGCCGCCATTCGAAGGCGCGCCAATTGGCAGACTCCGGCGCGCGCAGAAGCGCGCGGCGCGATATTGCAGGCGGGCCCGCGAAGGGTCTTGGGCGCCTCGGCCGGCAATAACAATGCTGGCACTGGTGCGCAAGCGCATGGCGTAACAATGCTGGCATTGGTGTGTAGGCGCATGCAATGCGCTTGCGCGCCACATGCTCAGCCTGTGGGCCGGCTTACTTTCGTTTGGAGCGTAGCGCTAGCGTAGAGAGGCACTAGTACTAGAGTAGTAGCCAGGGGGAGAGAGGAAGGGAGTAAGCGACAGAGGCACCAGAGGGATGCTCGTTGGTTGAGGGTGTCGATGGTTCTCGACTGGTCAGGAACTCCATGCGGATTCGTGAGATGCTTACTGTTTCCGCACTGTAGGTTGACGGTATCTGTTTGGTGGTTCGAGGAGTGCGATCCTCGTGGTCCGACGTACCTGCCGACCTCGGAGCGCGTTCCCAGGTCGTAGCTATTCAACAGGCAAGGTAGGCCGCCGGGGGGGCGGGGGGGGGAGTGGTTTGCTGGGAGCGGGCGGCGGCCGGGCGAAGCCGCCCGGGTGCTTCGCCTAGGACAAAAGCCTCGCGCCGGCCGGGGGCGCCGGCGATTCCCCGGGGCCGCCTGCTTGCGCCGGCCCCCCGCCGCGCGCCCAGCCGCCAGCGTTCCGCCTTTGCCGGGCCGGCCGCGCCTCCGGCCGCCTTTTTCGGCGCCGCGGCTGTGCGCTAGCTTTTGACGGGGCCCGCAAATCGGCGGCCCTTTTTCTGGGCCTGCTTTTTGGGCCTCGTTTCGGGCTGCTGTTTTTTCGGAATTGCGGCAAAGTCGCGCGATAGGGCCAGTGCTGCTCCGTGCGGTTCTGCAAAATTTGCGGGGCCGGAAAAAAGTAAAACGCTCGGGAAAAACTGACCCACGGAGCCTGGCAAAAAGAAAACAGCAAAAAAAAATAAAAAAGGCCCCAGAAAATACCCTGAAAAAATTACGCAAAAAACAAGCGCCCAAAAATTCCCACAGGAAAACTGCGCCGCAAAAGGCGGCTGCTTCAACGCATGCAAAAAGCGGCCCCCGAAAACCAGGCCGCGGCGGCCTGGGGCAAGGATATTGAAAAACTAACTACTGTTTCTTCACGATCGGAATGCGAAACACGACGAGAAACGGGTAGAACAGTTCTTCTTTACCGCTCGAGAACCTCGACAGGAGGATCAACCACTGCTAGATTTTTGATTGGGAAGTCTTTCCGACTCGGTGGACAAGTATAAACTTGAGCCAACCGGTCGGATAAAATAGAGAATTGCGCACCTGCAGTTCGTGAAGTGTTCGCGTTTTGCTTTTCCAGCAACTGTTTTTCTTTCCCTCTTGAAACAAACGAAATCCAAACAAAAGTTCCCGAAATAGGCCTACTTCCCTCAGGTGTGAAACAAACAAAAATAGAATCTTTCATAGCATCGAATAAAGTCTCTCTTCTGCTTCTGGACTCGAAGAAATACAGGCGCAAATACGATGGCCGGTCATAGTCACGTTCTGAATAAGCATCGAAAAAACAGCGAGGAAACCCTAACCGAAGGAATACTCGAAGCAAAGGTAGAAAAGGTAAAAAGTTCTCTCTTAAACCCGCATGCTGGGGCGATCGGGACAGCGATAAGCATCCCGAAGCCGCATGCTATGATCGAAGTTCTCTCGTTTTTTTAAAGAAACCCGAACCCGCATGCTGGGATGGTCGGGACAGCGCTTAAGCAACCCGAAGCCGCATGCTATGGTCGGGGTAAAGCAAAACCCTATAAAAATGACAACGATGAAGCGGATCCCTCTAGAATAGACCTAAAATAGTGAAGACAGGCTTTGTAAGTGCGAAACTGAAAAGACGACTACTGCTAGCACTACAAACACCAACAGCCGCGGCAAGGCGACCACATTTGTCTTCTCCCCTGTCATCCACCCGAAACCATTCGCCCGCTGGTTCCAGCACTGCCAAACCACTGCGCCACCGGTGTCAGTGGTACCGTAGACGCCACCAAAACCGCCCGAATTCACCAAAATGCGCGCCGCTTACTAGTTTTTCGATAAGGAGAGGCCGAGTCGCCCCCCCTCCCCCCAAAACAGGGGGGGCGGACCGAAGCGGCCCCGAAGGTGCGGCGCCGCCTGCGCCGCCCACTTTTCCTCTCCGCGCCCCCCGGGTGCCTGCCTTGTCGGCCGAGGCTCCCAAGACCCTTTGCGCCCGCGCCCCCAGCCGCCGCCTTTTGCGCTCTGGCGGGGCACACCAGGCCAGGCAAAAGCGCCGCCCCGCCGGAAGCTTCAGCGGCCTTGCAAAATTACACCGCAGGGGTGAAACGGAAGACTGAAACGAAACAGGTGTATTTTTGCGGAGGGCGATTTTCGCCCTCCGCAAAAATGCGCCTGGCCTGAAACGAATAAAAAAATTTCGTTTTTCACACCCTCGCTCACTTTTCCGTCCGGAATTCGAGAAATAATTCTCGAATTCCGGACGAAAAAGTGCTGGGTTCTTTTGGTGGCCAGACCACCCCAAAAGAGCCACCAGCTGTTTCCCCAAAGGAACCATTGGTTCCCACAGTACTGTGGGAACCACTGGTTCTTTTGCTGAAACAACTGGTGGTTCTTTTAGGGGGCGGATCGAAGGCGTTTCCGAGTCAACTCGGAAACGCCTTCGATCCGCCCCCTAAAAGAACCAGTTAATGCAACGCGTCCCCCGACGTCAAACCTAGATCCCGTGCGAACATGCAGTACAAATCTGCCTGAAGGACGATTTGCGCTGCACGTTCGCACGGGATCGCCGCACTTGCAGTGCAAATCTGCAATGCAGATCTGCACTTTGTGCTGCACGTTCGCACGGGATCGCCGCACTTGCAGTGCAAATCTGCAATGCAGATCTGCAGTGCAGATCTGCAATGCAAATCCGCACTGCAAATCTGCAATGCAAATCTGCAATGCAAATCTGCATTGCAAATTTGCACTGCAGTGCAAATTTGCAATGCAGACTTGCAATGCAGACTTGCAATGCAAATTTACAATGCAAATTCGCAATGCAAATTTGCAATGCAAATTTGCAACGCGCGTCCGGCTTTGCAATGCAAGTCGAGTTTGCAATGCAAGTCCGAAGCTCAGGTCTGGGCCTACATTGAAAATTTCCAATGCAGCATTGCAAATTTGCAATGCGTATCGGATGCGCATTGCAAATTTGCAATGCGGGGGGCGCGGAAAGCCGTGGCACAAACCGCACCGCGGACCTGCGGGCCGCGCAGCGAACTGCCCCGGCGGGGGACGAAATAGCAAAGCGCTGCCCCCGCCCCCCCTTTGAATCCGCATTCAATGGGGGCGCGGGGGGCGGGCGCAAAACTGGCAGCGCCGAACTGGCCTGCATGGCTGCGGCAAATAGCAACAAAGCACCGCGGCCCCGGCCGGGCGCGGCCTGGCTTCGTGGCGCGCCGCCCGTAGGCTTTCGCAGCTTTCGAGCGGCTTTTGCCGCAGATTCAACGGGGGCGCGGGGGGAGGGCGCAGAGCCCCAGCGCCCCAAATTCTGCCTCGGCTTAGCCTGAAGAGGCGCCGGGGGCTCGCCTAGCTGCCCTAGACGAGTTTTCCCCTAGCGCCGCGCCTAGCAGCCGCAGGCGCGCCCGGGCTTCTGGATAGGCAAACCCAAAAGAATGCGGCGCCGCAGGGGGCGCCAGGAAAGCTCCACCGGCCGCGGCGCCGCCTCGCCCGGGGGCGGGCGGCGATTGCAAAAAGCGCAGGCCCATCGGGCCATGACTAGTATTGATTTACCTTAGTTCAATACTAGGGCGCCCCGCCCGCCAAGGGCCCCCAAGGCGCGCCCCAAGTTTGCCAGCAAAATTCTTCCGATTTTGCTGAAGGATTCCGCCTCTTCCGCCTGCTAGCTTCGCAAGGTCGCGAAGCTGGAAAGCCCGGCCCCCCAGGCCTGCAGGGGAAGAAAACAGGAAGGGCGCGGGGGCCCGTTCTTTCGCTTTCAGAAGTTGCGGGCCCGGGGCTTTCAGCTCTTCGAGCTTTGGAGCAAGCCGGGATCCAAAACCCACGAACAGGTGGGCAGAAAGAACACCAAAGCCCGGAGGTCGCGATCGAATCGCGACCGCGTTGTTGCTTCTTCTCATTCTTTTCCTTTTCTCATTTCCAAAATCCTAAACAGGTTCATGTCGAAATCCGCATTGATTCTTGCATTGCAAGCATGGCCTCCTGGGGAGACAAACACCCCTTCACCGATGGCAAAGAGCCATCACAGCGCCCCGAACAGCGCAAATACTCTCAGAAACACTCTCAAAACCTCAGCAAACACAAGCAAAGCCCTCAACCTCCTCCAAAACCCTCGCAAGCCTCGAAGCCTCGGCGCCGTAACCCAGCGAATGCAGCGGAAGGTTGGAACGAATGGCACGAACACACCACAGCCTCCGGACTCCCCCTCGAATTTCCGGAAAGCGTAGCGCCCGGAATTCGAAACGCCTTGCAGCTGCTGAAGAGGAGAGAAATGCTCCCCGCTAGCACATTTCCGTGTGTAGCGCCGCGAAGTTGTATCGCAAACACCGCTCCCGAGCGCACTTTCGGGGGTGGCCGTTTCCCGATAAGTGCTGCTGCTGAAAGCACTAACATTCCCCGTCACCGATCCGTTCTGCAGAACCCCGTAAAAATCCACGCCGTTTATTCATTTTCGTATGTCCACCGCAATCCTGATTTGCAAATCCCCAGTCGTAAGTGTCGTTCTTTCCCTCGCGCCGCGACCTTGGGCCGCAAATCCCCGTCACCGCAGTCTTGAACTGCACATGCCCCGAGTACTGCAAGATGTTGTTTGAATACTGCCCGACATGTATAAAGAAACCGCTGCACAGAAGATGAAGATGAAGTTAGTAGCCGCGCCGAACACGAAGTCAATCTTTTTCGAACTCGAAACAGGTAGTAGAGAGACTTCTTGTAGTTTCGAAATAAAATTGCATCTGTAGACCAAAAAAGCGTAGTGATGATTTTCGCAACACAAACTGAAACCGTCCGCCACTGGAAGGCGCGAAGAGGTAGTTCTCGAAAATCTAAAATATAGTCGACGTTTGCTGTTTTTCCCGTTTGCACCTAGAAGGAGTCCAACGCGTCCTCGAAGAACCCAAACCCGTTGGAACCAGAAGAAGACTCGCTGCACCGTCCCAGGCTTTTGCCCGAAGATCTGCTCGATCCGGAGGAGGAAGCAGGACCGGAAAGCACTGCATTGTAGCCAGTGCAAAAACTACTCTTCGCCGCCTGCATGTCCAGCATCTGACTGATGCGCCGCACCTCCCCCGCATCCTGGATCACCTTCCCGCCGCAGTAGATCGGTCCCGCACTGTTGCTGTTCCCGGATCGACAAACCGCCGGCCCGAAGTAGTGAAATCCCGGCTGCTGGTTTTGCATAGTCGGTCGTCCGGTTTGCATGGAAGGGTGGATAAGACTGCTGGTGGGGGGCATCACTGGTTGCTGCTGCACAACCTGTCGCGCCAGCGAAGGAGGAACACTCGGCCCCGCAGTTTGCATCACCCCGCCCGCAGCGAGACTGTTGTAGCCCGGTACCGCGGTGTTGCCCCGCGGACCAATCGCAGCCGGCACGATGCCGCCAAACTGCGAGTTTCCCTGCGCGCCCGTCGGTCCCGTCGGCATCTGCAGCTGCGCGTAGCCCGCCGGCTGCATCGGAAATCCGTACTGCTGGTTCCCGCAAGACAGGTCACTGCACTGCGGCATCAACTGCTGCTGCAGCTGCTGCTGCGCTCCCCCGGTAGGGACGCCGGAATGGGCTGGGTCGATCTGGTTCGCGCTTCCGGACGGAATTGTCGGCCCCGAAAGGTTGTAGCCCGTCTTGCCAGTTCCCTTCCCGCCTCCGCCCGTTGCCCGGCCTGCCTTCTGCTCGCACCGCAGGCAGGACTTGCGCGACTTGAAGTTGACGAACCCGCACACGGAGCAATCCCAGTCGCCCGGCTTGCGGCCGAACTTCCCGACCGTGGCATTACTGCCCGCGCCTGCCGCTGAGACCTCCAGCATCTTCTTTCGCAAAAATGCCTTGTCCTGCACGATGGACATCTTTCTCTCTGCGATGACCTTCTGTGCCTCCGCAGAGGTCCCGAACTCGTAAGCCGGGCCGAAGAAGCACTTCTCCGGGTTGGAGTGCTCCTTCCCGCACCACCCGCACAGCGGGATCATCGCGCTGGGGTCCCGGTTCACGCCGGTGTTGCGCAAGTCGTCGCCCGCGCCCGTACCAGTGAAAGCGTACACAGGGTCCCTGTTGCTCTCCCCCGACGCCAGGAACCGCGTGAACTTGTCCGCAGCGTCGTCCTGCTCTCCGACCGTCTTCGGCTCCTCCAACCGTTTCCGCGCGTAGTCGTCCAGCGCGTCCAGGTAGTCGCCGAAGGTCGTAGCGTCGCTGGTGTGGTGGCTAAGCCAGTCGCAAGCCTTCTGCCCCGACCACGTTGCCATCATTCTGAAAAAACGACGGGTCTCCCCCGCGCTGTTCTTGCTGTCCTGCAGCGACCAGTGGATGGTCGTCCGCTTGCTGGCGCTGTTCACCAGGTTCCGGATCCGCTCCGTGACGTAGTACACCGCCGCATGGTTCTCGACCCAGCGACCGCCAACCCGCTCCAGCAAGCTAGCGCAAAGGTAGTCGAGGTCCTGCGCCCCGCGCGCCAGGTTGATGCTAAACTTTTTGTTGATGCGCTGCAGCAAGAGGTCGACGCAGGCCTGGGCCTCCACGCCCGTTGTCGCGGCGTGGTCCTCGTCGATCCCGCTCCACATCTCCAACCCGAGCCCGCAAAGCAGCCCGGAAAGCGCTTGCCAGAAGGTCCGCCGGCTAGTCACCCCGGCGCGGTTCATGATCCACTCGATGCTGCGCCACTCCGTGGCCACTGTGCTCCGCTTGCTCAAGCTGAACTGCACGCCCTTGCCGATGTCCTGGTGGATTTTCTCCTGCAGAGGCGACGAAGGCCCCGCCCCTGCCGCAAGTCTTGACCCTCCTGCCGCAGGCTGCTGTTGCGGAGATGCAACGGACTGGAAGCTGTGCCCGCCCGCAGAAGTAACTTCCGCACCCGCAGCGACCATCTGCGTATCGGCGGCTGTCCCATTGGTGTCCATCCCGGTGTAGGCAAAACTCGGCCCCGGCGCCGATGCTATCCCCGCGACCGTAGGCCCCGCAAAGGCTGCCCCGCCTGCCAGAAGTCGCTCCAGCTCCGCATTGCGCGCCGCCAGGTTTTGGTTAGTCTGCTCCATCGCCAGCAGGCGCTGCTCCAGGTTGGTCACCGCGCCCTCGGTGATGTTCTGCGTCCGCGCGACCTCACCCGCAACGGCCCGAAACCCCATGCCTGTGGCCTGCATGACACCGGTCGCCAAGTTCAGGCCCTCGCTCCGCAGCAGATGCTCCCCCGCGGCCCGGTCCGCATTGGAAGTTCTGCGCGGCGAGTAGCTCCGCGTCCTCAGGTGGTCCGGCGAGTCCAGCAACTCGTCGGGATAGGAGGAGTAGGACATCCTCCCCGCGGTCTGTCTAGCAGGGTAGCGCTGGGCTCATAACTCCAAAACCCACGAACAGGCGGGCAGAAAGAACACCAAAGCCCGGAGGTCGCGATCGAATCGCGACCGCGTTGTTGCTTCTTCTCATTCTTTTCCTTTTCTCATTTCCAAAATCCTAAACAGGTTCATGTCGAAATCCGCATTGATTCTTGCATTGCAAGCATGGCCTCCTGGGGAGACAAACACCCCTTCACCGATGGCAAAGAGCCATCACAGCGCCCCGAACAGCGCAAATACTCTCAGAAACACTCTCAAAACCTCAGCAAACACAAGCAAAGCCCTCAACCTCCTCCAAAACCCTCGCAAGCCTCGAAGCCTCGGCGCCGTAACCCAGCGAATGCAGCGGAAGGTTG